TGTTGTTTGAGAGTTTGGAGGGTGAAAAGTGTTTCTCTTACTGTGAATCTGAGGGTCCTGGTTCTTCACTTGAGTCAGGAGAAAAATCTTCAAACCGGTCACTCCTCATAGACAGACAGTTGGACATTACAGACGTTGTTCTGTCCTCCTCTTCCTTGAAACAATCACTCATCTTCTCCATCTTCTTTTGTGCAAATTGATGGAAGATGAAACCGAGTTATACAACCTGAGGACAAAGTAGACAAACAGGTGAGACACAAACAGGAAGAGAGAGTTCAGAAATAAAAGAGGAATCAGAAAGGAAGTAGAGAGTCTGAAAAAAGCTTCATCCCCCTCTTTAGGAGTTTTCCAGGTTTAATAAAACTTAAGGAACTGGATTACATTTGAAATGAGAGGCTAAAAAGATTCTTATTAATGTTTTTGACAAAAAGACAAGTCTGAACAAAGAGGAGGAAGAACTGCACGTACACAGTTTCCTGTATGAAGAACTGATCCAGCTCTTTGTCCGCTCAGGTTTCTTTGTTTTACAGTTTTTAAGTGTTTTAGTCAGTAAATCATTTTTCATTAACAGATAAAACAGATAAAAAGTTTGACATTAAAACAAAAACAGAGTAAACACTCACCCTGTCTCCTCGTCCTCTCCTCTCTGTTCGTTTCTCAAAATGGAGTCTGTTTTTCAGCTCATATACTTTCACTTTGACCGAAACCTAAACAACCAGATCACAGATTCGTCTAAAACAGGAACTTGTTCGGTCGAGTCTCAGTTTATTTTTAATGCAGCAGCGCCACCTGCTGGACAAACCGACTGTAGCTCCCTCCTCCTATAACAGCATGAGACAGGAGATATTGGTTAAAAAACGGGGTTCTTTATTGTCAGAGTAAACCCGTGAGAACAGGTGGAAACAAATACACAATAAACTGAATGAAATGTCTGTCATCACAAATGTACCCTCCAAGCTATATAACACGGAATAGTTAATCAAATTCGATTCATACTACAATTTTTGTAACCCATGTATATAAAACGGCGTGTAAAAACACAAACTACACAATATTAACGTTTTAATTGCATAGTAATTTAGGCGCGAAACGTACAGTGGTTCATTCATTTAAGCTAGACGAAAATACACATACCTCGTAGGCTGCTTGTAATTAAAAGGGACTTTATATTGAATCTTCTTTTTTCTTTTCTTCTTTTTAATTCTTGAAACTTACCTGAGCTCGAATGAACCTGTTGCTTTTACCGATCTTCTGTGGCGCTACGCACACTGTTAGCAAATGGAGTCCGACGTCCGCGAATGGCGGCCATTTTGTTTCCGGCCGTTCGCCCACTCATAACATCCCTGGCTGTGTCCGAAATGGCATACTGCCTGCTATCTACTCACCTACTCAAGCAGTAGCTACTGCCTACTGACTACTCAAAGATGATTTGAGTATGCCGCGGCTGCCCGAGCGTTTACACACATACATACTAAATACCCCAGAATGCATTTCGTGCCGGCCGGACGCAGCGCCGGGAAAATTTAAATAGTCCTACCACAAGCTACACAGAACGACTGCATCCCGGACAAATTATATAAATTCATTCAATAATAATATTTTTTCTAGCGAGAAAGTAAGTGTTTACATCACGAATATGAGCCCAGTTGTTTGAAATAGTGGCTGTTTGTAAATTTGTCTCGGCGTTTTCGGAGACCGAAGCGTCCACTTGGTCGGTGTTTGCGTCTATTTACCGTAAACACCGGGCAGCAGCAGCTCCCTCTTCACGTTTCCAAATTATTGCGAAGTGTTTTCATAATCAACATCTACACGACACAAACCGGGCGGCAGTGGATGAAAAAAATCACACAAACATCCGTGTATCCATGGTGATAATGCTATACACCACCTGCTAGGCGTGTGATGAGCAGCAGAGGGCTGCAAAATGACCAACACACACCATAATTATTATGACCTCGTTCGGTTATTCCTTGGCAAATACATCATCTCCCGACTACATTATTTTCATGTACAATGATTATTTCAGAAATCATCAGATTTTCAACCACAAGTAAAAATTAGTAAAGCTCACAGAGATTGTCAACTGGAAACTCCCCCCCGTTTGTATATTCTGAACCATGTGCTCTCTACCAAAGATAATTTTTATTAATCAGAGGTCTGTGCTTAATATGAGCGACCACTTTGATGATGCATTCAGAGATGAGAAGATGCTCAAACTGGATGTAATAAATACATCTTTAATAGACACTTAAATAAAGTCAATTCATACGAATAGTTAAAAACATGACCTATAATCCTAATTTAAAATACAAACAAATCTGTTAAAAAGATCAAAATATGATAAAATGATGAAAATGGTGTAATGTATACTGACTAAATATTGTTTATGTATTTATATATATAATTATTATTGCAATCACATGCCATCTATTTCTTTTCAGCCTCGGGAAAGAGGGCCATATTACCAGCTGATGTGCGCAATGCATTGTGGGGCAGAAGCAGTACGTGAAGCAAGCTGCGGTCCACACTCAGAAATCGAAGCCGATTGAGTATACATCCGGGCATTTCTCGCATACACAAAACTCGCATACTGTACAGTGTGAACGCACTGTCTACTCAATTCAGAGGCGGGTTTAGTAGGAGTAGTAGGCCATTTCGGACACAGCCCTGGGCTGATTTTTGAAAAGTTGAAGTGGATCCATATGTTAGAGAGATACTACAAATAGATAGTATATATTTTTTACATTTAAAACTCTTTGTAACATAAAGAAAATACAGCCGGACAGAATATTTAGGCGTCACGTCATTGACCCATATAAACCTTTCTTATATATGTCTATGGGTTTAATATCTGAACTCTTCTGATGTCTCCCCACCCTGCAGGGCCTCTCTCTGATCCTTGTCTCATTCATGGTCCAAACAAAATCAGCTGTGAGGTCCCTGAACTCTCATAAAAACTTAAGGAACTGGATTACATTTGAAATGAGAGGCTAAAAAGATTCTTATTTATGTTTTTACCAAAAAGACAAGTCTGAACAAAGAGGAGGAAGAACTGCACGTACACAGTTTCCTGTATGAAGAACTGATCCAGCTCTTTGTCTGCTCAGGTTTCTTTGTTTTACAGTTTTTCAGTGTTTTAGTCAGTAAATCATTTTTCATTAACAGATAAAACAGATAAAAAGTTTGACATTAAAACAAAAACAGAGTAAACTCTCACCCTGTCTCCTCGTCCTCTTCTCTCTCTGCTCTGTTCGTTTCTTAAAATGGAGTCTGTTTTTCAGCTCATATACTTTCACTTTGACCGAAACCTGAACAACCAGATCACAGATTCGTCTAAAACAGGAACTTGTTCGGTTGAGTCTCAGTTTATTTTTAATGCAGCAGCGCCACCTGCTGGACAAACCGACTGTAGCTCCCTCCTCCTATAACAGCATGAGTCAGGAGATGTTGGTTAAAAACTGTGTTCTTTATTCTCAGACCACATCCGTGAAAACAGGTGGAAACAAATACACAATAAACTGAATGAAATGTCTGTCATCACAAATGTACCCTCCAAGATATATAACACGGAATAGTTAATCAAATTCGATTCATGCTATAATTTTTGTAACCCATGTATATAAAACGGCGTGTAAAAACACAAACTACACAATATTAACGTTTTAATTGCATAGTAATTTAGGCGCGAAACGTACAGTGGTTCATTCATTTAAGCTAGGAGGTGTGAATCGCGACACAAACTAGACGAAAATACACATACCTCGTAGGCTGCTTGTAATTAAAGGGGACTTTATATTGAATCTTCTTTTTTCTTTTCTTCTTTTTAATTCTTGAAACTTACCTGAGCTCGAACGAACCTGTTGCTTTTACCGATCTTCTGCGGCGCTACGCACACTGTTAGCAAATGGAGTCCGACGTCCGCGAATGGCGGCCATTTTGTTTCCGGCCGTTCGCCCACTCATAACATCCCAGTCTCCGGTGCAGGTAACATTTAAATAACCATAAATTACTTAACTCTTAACCGTTTTTCGAACGGTTTGATTTCTAACAAACCTCAGAGTTTTGGTTATGTTCCTGAATACTCAAGAGTAATTTCAACCATGGACCAATAAACTGTTTAAGCAGATAGTAGAGCAATAGATATAGGCCTATACACAAGGCAGTTATATTAAATCATTGATGTATAAAACACTTAATCATTCAATGTATGTTGTATTAGTACTATTTCTACTGTAGGGATAACTATAATAACATATAACAACAAAATATATGTATTTATTTTCAATATCTGCCTAATGATTCCATTTTAGATGTTTTTAACAAACCAAACAGTTTGGAAATCATGTGCAATTTTAGATATGTTGAATGTTGAAAAGAGCATTTCTTCCTCTCCATGTAATGTAAAATTACTGGGTCAACTTTGTAATATGTACTTGGTCTCACTCACAGCTTGCCAAGTTAGACAGCTGAGAAACACAAGCACATCCACAAAGACTGTCACTGAGAAAAAATAAGGAAAGAAAGAAAAAATAGGCTGTCATACAAGAAATTAAAATCTAGATTGTGGTCTCAGCCTTAACAACTCGCACAAAGTGACTCAAAGTTAGCCCTTGTGCGCAAATAGCCGTGAAACAACTGTGCTTCATGATTAATACGTTTCTTTTCTCAAAGTAAATCTGCTATTTCAATATGTCTAAGCATCCCGACTCAAAGCCACGTTATTAAGGTCTGTAATAAACTAAACCATTTGTAAATCTGATTTCAGCGAGTTCAGAGTAGGGACGTCAGCGACTCTACCTCGAGTCATCTAGCCTTTCTCGTCTCACTTTTGCCATGGAAATTGTATGTCAACTTACTGATGTTAGCATTGTGCTCAAACAACAAATATTCACTTTTATTTCTTAGCTGTCATCAAAACTATTGCTCTGAAACTATGACTTTAAATACTCATCTGTTGCAGTCGATGTTAAGTCCCATTGAGACACAAACTCTGGCCGGAACTGAAATTCAACATTTTTATTATTATAAACTCAAAAATACAAAGTTCTTCTGTTTCTGTGAAAAATAATTACTTCCTTGGCTCTTAACTTTAAAGTGCGAAAATCACATTTTTTTTAATATTCATTATACTGAAGGTCTTTGGAGTAAATATGGAGTGTTTACAAAATTAACATCTTTACCTGAACATTTCCACTTAGAAAACAACTGTGTATTTTACACATTTATCATTAGTTTAAGAGAACTTACAGTTTTCGGTTAAATACTTTAAAACATCAATTATCTGCATAAATGAACACAAACCACGAGCAGGAACATTAGCAGTAAAATGTACAAACATTACAGTTTAGTCCGAGGATATGAAGGTCTAGGTGAACTTCCTGATAAAGCGCAGTTTGAGGTACGCGATGGTGAGGAAGCAAATGGTCATGATGGTCAGAGCCAGGTGGTTCTGCCAGAAGCCCCAGGTGGAGTAATCGACGCCCTGCTGCGCCAGAATCTCCTCCCCTGTAGTACACCTGGAAACACAGTTAACCTGAATAACTAAACAACACTTAAAAAATACTACTTTCATTATTTGGAGCTGCGGTGTTACCTGTGGATTGTATTAAATCCACTTAACCTGATTTAAAGATCTTGGATTATTGCATCAGCCAGACAAAAGCAGGTAATCAACAGGATGTAATACATTAATCTGTCCAGTAGGGGGAGCCGTTAAGTTACTGTAACACAAACTTGATTATATTTCTTCATCTTTTTGAGAGTGTGTCTTACAGCAGTTCAGGCGGTATGGAGGTTCCATTCAGTATTTCGCAAAACTCCAGTCCTGTATATTCGTTGACCTGCAAAGACTGGAGAGACACAAAAAAATCAGAAACAACACCATAAAAACGCAAAAGGACGGTTTATGAACTGCATTTAAAAACACTTACACAGACTTGTGAGTTTTAAAGTAGTGTTTTGTTTAATAGATTAAAATTTGTACAGTTCAGATCTTTATGTCAAGGAATACATGAAACATGTTGAGTGTAGATGTTATGACGTTATTGTAGTTAATTAAGTTTTGTTTTTTTTTTAAAGAAAGATCTTATGCTTGTGATTTGGGCTTTCATCATAACCTGACCATGGCATGCACTCTTGCCCTCACTAAAGCACCTTGTGGAAGTATTTTATGTTCTATGTCAGTAGCTCAGGAGGTAGAGCGGTCATCCAAAAACCGGAAAGTTGGGGGTTCGATACCCCCCTATCGTGAGTCTGTCCGTTGTGTCCTTGGGTAAGACACTTCACCCACCTTGCCCCCAGTGTGTGTCCTCCACTAGTGTGTGATTGTGAATGTTGTGTGGTGGTTGGAGAGGCCACTGGCGCAAACTGGCAGCCCCGTTTCCGTCAGTCTGCCCCAGGGCAGGTGTGACTACTAAGGTAGTTTACCACCATCAAGGAGTGACTGTGTGAGCGGATGAGTGATGTATTCAATGTAAAGCGCTGTATGAAATCTGATGCATTATTACCTCCGCCAAGGAGGTTATGTTTTCGGTTTGTTTGTTTGTTTGTTAGCAACTTTACGGAGAAAGTAACAGATGGATTGACCTGAAATTTTCACCAGAGGTGCGTCTCAGCCCCAGGAGGATCCCATGAAATTTTGGTGGTGATCCGGACAAATATAATGGTGTCGTTGGAATTTTCAATGCTGAAAGATAGTCAATAGGCGGCACAGTGGCATAGATAGGCGGCACAGTGGTGTAGATAGGTGGCACAGAGGTGTAGTGGTTAGCACTGTCGCCTCACAACCAGAAGGTCCTGGATTTGAATCCGGGTCAGGGCATTTCTTGTTTAAGGGGGGACATGAGCTGCTTGGCAGAGGTCTGCGCTCTCCAAGTGCTTTTCTAGTTATTATTATTATCATTATTGGCAAAAAAAAAAAGTCAAGCCAGTCATGCTCTTTCTGGTGTAAAACCCAAAATAGAGCCACAGGGCACTCTACTGAGGTCAAGAGTGCATGCAATGGTCAGGTCACGTTCAGAGTGCCCACTGCACGATCAAACACCAAACTACGTCAGAATCCTTTCTTTTGAATTCAAACAGCTTATTACAGTCCAAATAGGAAGACTTAAATCTCAGACAAAAAGTGACAGTCCTAGTCCCTTGTGTGTACTTACACTAAGTCCGTATCGGGGTATACTTAAGTATTTCAACCAAGCCAGCCAGCTGGGGATGGTGGTGAGATTCACGAGCAAACCTGCGAAAATCTGCAGAATAAGAAACAAACAGTTTTTAGAGTTTGGTTTTTAAATGTTAAGAGAGAATCCTTGACCAGCCCTGATGTCATGAATTGACGTTATCTTTTATTTACACGATTGACTGATGAAGTTTCTCACTTTGGCTGAAATTTTTGGCATTAGAAAAACATGCAGAATCTTCATGCTTGACATAATCTGTGTTGCAAATCTGTGTCTTAACCATCCCATACTTTAATATCACACTGTAAAAAAACTGTCTTTTTTATTTTGCTAAGAACAGACTGTTAAGTTTTTGTGTCGTCGCGTGTGATTATCTGAGTGCGTCACCATCATGAAGACGCAGGCGATGGTCATGAAGATGTTGGCGATCGCCACCACCGTCTGGTCGGCTGAGATGGCCAGAGCCATGGAAGTGGCCGTGTAGGAGACCAGAGTCACAGAGAACATGAAGAGGAAGAAGGCGTCAGCTGTGGGCTTCAGACCTGCACACACACGTAAACAAGTAAACAGGGGGCTTTTTATTGGATTATCAACGAGGTGGACCTGACGTAAAATGGACAAAAACTTAGAGAAAAGGCAAAAACAGTAAATTCTTGAGACAGCTCAGTGTCAGAAAACAGAAGTTACCATCATGAGTTTCCTGAGCCACAGGTGGGGGAAAGTCCTTATGTTGCAAGTCCAAGTCGAGTCTCAAGTCTTTGCTCTCAAGTCTCAAGTCAAGTCCAAGTCCTTACCGTTTCTTTCAAGTCAAAAACAAGTCATATCAAAGCCATAAACCATTTGTTATATGTAAAGATTTACATCAATCATGAGCATTTTTCACTATTTGCATTTATTATTAAACAAGGGTTCTTGTTTGTGTAAAGTTACATAGTGCAGCTTTAACCAAACTATTTTACATGTCATCCAAAAAATAATCAGATATCAATAATCAAGAATTGAAAACTTAGACAATGTGCACAAAAATAAGGAAGACTCAAATACAATTAAACATTAAACTGATACTCTAACTCACTGTTCCTAAACAAAAGAGAGACACAAGGCGACACGTGGAAACAGGCGGGCAATACTAGCGAGTATTTTTTTGCGGGAAATTATCAGACTTGGCAACACAACACGGTGTTACCATCGGCCGTAATTCCTGACTATTAGTTGATGCGACACTTTTTAAACGGTTTGGGCTGTAAGGTATTAAGTGACTTGAAAAGACTTGACTTGACTTTTCAAGTCACTGGGCTCAAGTCAAGTCAAGTCTCAAGTCTTTAGCAATCAAGTCCCAAGCAAGTCCAAGTCATTTCTTGATTTCATCAAGCAAGTCAAAAACGGGACTCAAGTCCAAGTCGAGTCTCGAGTCGAGTCGTCAAGCCCCCACCTCTGTCCTGAGCTAAAGTTGACATTTTCAGATCATGTATTTAGTTATTTCGCATACTCAAAAAAGATCATTAACTACAATTTTCAAGATTCTAGTTACTTCAGAAATATTCATGAGGAAATTTCGTTATCTAGCGTGGCCATGGCCTTGTCTCCTCTCCTACCCACCGATCATGAAGTACGCCACGCAGCTGAAGACCATGGCGGGGATGGTTCTCAGCGTGAGAATGTCAGACAGGATCTTTGACAGGAAGTAGACAGACACCCTGTAGTAGCCGCTGATGTACTCGTGACTAAAGACAGAGAAAACACAACAAATGGTTCATAAATTACCCCCATCTCTGCAAAAGAAGCTGAGATTTTGACATATCACAGGCATGACTTGATTTACACTTCTATAAAGTACCCCGGGTTGCCCGTTATCTCCACACTGTTAGCCTAGCTTAGCATTAAACTTAAAGTATGTTTAGTGCCGAACTTACATGAAGAGTTTCCGCTCTGAGATGAAGAGTTCAGCGGATGACAGCGAACTGAAACACTGATTCACGACAATGAAGAAAAGCGCACCGAACCTGAGAATATGATCAAAAATACCACTTTAGTTAAAGAGTATTTAATTTTTAGCGATAGTTCATTTTGGCACTCTGGCTGTTTTCAGTGCAGAGCCAGAACACGTCTCTGTTTCATATGGTAGAGTTGAAATAGAGCGTACATTTTGAGAATTGCACTGATAGCACCAAATATTACAACAACATATTAAACCTGTTCTGATTTCCTTTCTGATTGTCCTCAACGCCGAAGAAAATGGCTCCAACAACCAGCGCCAAGAACAAAGTCACCGCAATCTTTAACAGAAATAAAAACACAAGTTCACGTCAGTCCCTCTGAAAGGCCAAAGGGATTAGAGAAGTCCATCGCGAAACTAGTCCGAACCTGAGCGATAGACGTCTGAGGGTTGAGCATGAGGTTCCTGAAGGTTCTCTTGAGGACCCATCGGAATTGCGTGCTGAAGCTGGTGTTGTAGGTGATGGTTCTGGAGGGAGCTGTGGTGGTCATCTGCCTGCCTTCGATGATCTTTTCTGAGAGGAACAGACGGTAACGATGGTACAAAATTACTGCTAATATGTCTTTGCGTCGTTCCCGGTGTGTAAGGTGAGGAGGTGAGACACGCTTACACTAAAATGAAGAGATCACCCAGAGATGCTCTTTGTACTCACCCATGTCTGCTTTGGTCTGTTTGTAGTGTTGACTGTTTCTGTATTCCTCAACCAGTTTGTCTTCAATCCCCTGTCTGGTCTTGGTCTTGGAGTTTTGATCTGGATCTGAGGGAAAGAGACAGACAGAAAAAACTTGATTTCTCAGCTTCGTTCATTTTTCTTTATAAAAGCATTTCTCTGAAAAGGTTTCAAAAGTTCCTCACACACCGTCTTTTTCCTCACTGTTGAGCGTGACCGCCGTTGAGTCCCCGTTGATGATGTCCAGGAAGAAGTCAGCTGGGTTGTTGTGTGGCTCACAGGTGTATCCTGGGAAATGAAGTTTAAAACTGAGTTACAGTGTCACCATCGTTTTTTGTTAGGATTCATAAAAAGTTCAGTCACGGTCGTACCGATGTCTGAGAAATAATCCAGCGCGCTCTGAGCCGGGGCGTGATAGACCTACGAGGTTTAGACAGGAAAACAAACAAAGTAAATTCAGAGTTTTATCAATAAAGTTCACACAGAAACTAAAACACAGCAACAGCTGATTCGTTTTCTGGAGGTGAGAATGTTTAACGTTGAAATCAAGTAAGAAAAATAAAATAAATCAGCAAAATGGAGTGTGACCGTGTTTATGAAATAAATGAAGAAAAGTTCCAAGACTGTAAGAACTCTTTGTGACCTGTTTTCCGCTGACGAGCAGCGTGAGGCTGTCAAACAGGCGGTAAATGGAGTATCGGGGCTGGTGGATGGACAGGATGATGTTACGACCGTTATTCGCCATTCTGAAATAAAACAGGAAATAAAAAACAGGCTTCAAGAATTTCTGTGTGTTTGAATCATCAGGAGACAAAATGTGTTCATGTCTCAACCAAACCGTAATTTGGAGTTGGACACATGTGCCACTAGGTGGCAGCGTGTATACATGTGTACGAGAGGATGACACTTTGGGTCACGGGATGGGAGTCATTTTTTAATTAATCCCGTGATCGGGATGAGACGGGTAAAAAGCGACGGGAGCAGGAACAACATTAATAGATGATCATTTTCAGCCGTGATGACAACCAGATGAACAGGTGCGTCCATTTTTGTAGTCATCTCTCAGTGAGAGCCGACACTCTTGACTGCGCTAGCAACACAAAAGAACTACAACAGTGGTTTGACTTCCTGTCACCACCTGAAGTGAAAAGTGACTCGGAGCGACTGCCGGCGACACACACATTGTCGCCGGTAGCGACTGCCGCGCCGACTCGGCTGCCACTTTTACCTAATTTTTTTAAATTTTAGGTAAATCTTTACCTAAAATAAAAAAATGCAAAATTTTTTCAACATGTTTTTGGTTTTATTCAAACGGGAGTGGGACAGGGGTGAGAGTAATTCTGAGTGGGAGCGGGATGGGAGTGGGAGTCAGTGGGACAGGACAGGATCAATTTTTTTTACTCCGGTCCAGGATTAGGACGGGACGGGATTTTTTCTCTGGGAGTGGGACGGGACAGGAGTGGAAATCCGCTCCCGTGTCACACTCTGAGGTGTACCTCCTCAGCAGCAGCAGGACAGAGTTCGCGGTGCTGGCGTCGAGTCCTGTCGTCGGCTCGTCCAGGAAGAGGACGGACGGGTCGATGATCAGCTCCATGCCGATGTTCGTCCTCTTCCTCTCACCACCAGAGATCCCACGAATCAGCTGAGTGCCCACCTGAACGCACACACAAAAATATTGATTTCTATACTTGTGAGGACCGCCGATCTGAATTTCTTTCAATGCCTGATTTCTTTTCTTCCTCTTCCCTGTCCTCTATGTCCTCTCTTTTTTCCTCTACTTTCTACCTCTTTTTTGTCCGTTTTTTCCTCTGCCTCTCTTTCTCTTTGTCTTTTTTCTTTGCCACGTAATCTTCTGCTCAAAAGTGCTCCATGATGTGGTTTCAGTCACTTTTTCTTTCTATTTACCTTTTCTAGCTCACATTTGCGTCGTGATCTCTGAAGCAGATCCTAAAAAACTAACCGGACATTTCTTCTGTTGTTTTTTTGTCTCCTCTTCTTTCCTCTCCTTCACTCTCCTTATTTTACTGTTAGCCTCTCCCTCCTCCTCCTCACCTTGGAGTCGGCCACTCGGCTCAGTCCCAGCTCCTGGATCAGTCTGTTGACTTTTTTCTCTTTCTCCTCCTGAGAGACGGACTCTGGGAGTCGAAGCGCCGCAGAGAAGCTGAAGTTTTCTCTGACCGTCAGCGTCCCCATCACCACGTCGTCCTGGGAACAAGAAACCAACATCAACGAGGAACAACATCCAAACTCGGACTGTAACTGTCTTTGATTGATCGCAACTGAGTCTCTGATTGAGTATTCCTAGAGTTTCTGGTCTTCTTATGAAGGTGCGAGTAGATAAACACGCTCATGGTTATGTTCTTGTTTGAGTCTGCTGTTTTTGACCTCAGTATTTCTTCAGTCACTCAATCACAGTGTTTGTTGTTGTTGTTGTTGAAACAGTCTTGGCCTGAGATCTGCTCCGATTGTTGCCTTCACTCCCTTCCTCCCTCAATCAGGAAACTCTCCTGATTCAAAGACGCCCCATTGGCTCCCGCTGAGCTCACTTCCTGTCCGTCTTCCTGCCCGTCTCACCCACCTGCACCACGTATCCAGACAGACATTTGAAGTTTGGAGGCTGAGGAGCTCCGTCGATCAGGACCTCTCCTGACAGGCCTGCGGGGTCCTTCCTGGCAGCCAAGACGTCCAGGAACCTGAACGGCGAACAGAAACGACTGAAACCCTCTGAAGGGACAGAAGAAGCTCCGAAACAAAAGGACACGCTTTAAACAATCAAAACCTTCTCTTGTAGTCCACAAACGTTTGAAAAAAAAAAAACACACTCACGATGATTTCCCGCTTCCTGTTGCTCCCATGATGGCGTTCAGACCGGGCCTCATGATCCCACTGACAGAGAGGGAATAGAAAAGGTCAGTGCGAAAACAATTACATAAAACATCGGCTCTGCATCACATATGAGCACATTTGGGCTCCTGATTGTTGGAAATTCACCATCTTTGTAGTTTTTCAGGTCACAGAAACCAACTCTGATGGAACCAAACAACAGGGGTTCAGTTTTGGCCGATTCAGCAGTTTCTAGTGCAACTCAGTTTGATTGTAAACAGTGAGTTAAACAGAGGCTTCACTCTGGTGAACCTGAAGAACAAAAACTGATTTTCTCGTTTTATGTGAGTCTACAGTTTTCTAAAACAACATTTTAACCCGTTTAAACTGGGACAGCGTGTACGCATTTCAACGTTCCGAGCCGGGAACGCGGCTGCGCATTTCTACCCCTCAAGCCGGGAGAAGCATGTCCTCGCTGGGTGAAGCCACCCCGAGAACAGCACCCTCTGGTGACAGGCTGCAGTATAGGTCATAAATCCCGCCTCCTCCAGCAATCCCTATGGAGCTGTGGACAAACTTTATAAATGAATGACACAGAATATAAATGTTTCTCCCCCCTGGTTGTGATGTTGACATGTAGTTACTGTCAGACTGGTTTGTGCTCAAGTCCTCTTTTTTCTGTACAGCTCCATTTTTAAAAGTTATTAGGGGGTTCATGTTTCTATGGCTGCGTCCGAAATGAATCACTCAACCCCTAACCCCCATATGGGATTTCACTATATAGTTGACTTTGTAGTGAACTCAATCACCAGAGGTTTCAGACACTACATGGCAAGACGCACTGCATGACGGGATGCCCACCACTGGTGAGTGACCATTGGATGGTCACTACATTTTGCAATGCTTTATGGGAAATTTTGAGTCGCCTATACAGGGCATTGGGATTGATCACTGAGGTTTCGGACACCCCTCAAAATGGCGCTAACCCCCATGTAGTCGCCTATATAGAGGTTAGGGATCCATTTCGGACACAGCCTATGATTGACACCTGATACAGCCTATGGGCGTTCAAGGATTGCGTAGCTCACCACGGGGGATACGCTGTTTGAGCCGAGCGTCATCACAGCGACTCTGCCGCCAAATGCGTACAACGCTACTGCGCAATGCTGGTTTCAGGAAATAAAGAAAAATCGTGGAATTACCGAGAGCTTTTTGGCTTCAAATCCATATAAAGGCAGGAGGCGGAACCAAGTTGTCCAGAATATATACAGTGGTTTCAACCTTCCAAGACGGCGGCGCTGCTGCGCATTTCTACCCATCAAGCCAGGAGCGCCGATACATCATTTTGTAACGTTCTGCAGTTTTTTAATCATTTCTGGAGTCGTGGCGAATCAAATCATCGTACCCGTCTGACTCTGAGTAAACAATGATGGAGGCAGAGAGCAGCTTCAGAGGAGAAACATCCAGCAGTGTGAACAACCTCTTCATATTGAGGTCTTTGGTTCACACTATTGGCGATTTCTGTGAGTGTTGCATGAGTTTGGGTCACGTATTAATTTATTTAGTTTTTAGTTTTTCGTGCTGCTTTTGTACTGGCACTATACTAGGGCAGCTGTATACCCTTTAACACTGTAATTTTTATATTTACATTTGTATTGAATGGACACTTTATCATGACTGCCACTTGTTTCACAGAAAGCAAAAATTTCAATGGCTTTTGAGTTTTTCATTTTTGCCATTATCATCACGTTAAAGAAAAACTGTGTCAACCACCTCAGTCCAAATCTTGTTTTTGACTTTCTGCAAGAGAAAAAAAAAGATAATTTGCCTCTGCAGCCAAACTAGAAATATGAGCAGTTTGAGTTCGACTTCGCTCAGCTGACAGTCTGCGTCTCATTCGTCGTGATTCAGATGTTCGGGACTGCTAAACATGACGAAGCAGTTTCAGTTCCTCGTTTCCGTGAAGTGACTCTTGGCGAACTTTGAGATTCGCAGACGTCATGTTTTGATGGTTTTAAAGGAACTAAAAGAGTTTTTGTGGTTTTGCAAAATGAGTAATTTTTGACAGCTCAGTTTCCTGTCAAGTTCTTTTGTAAAGACGATGATTCATTTCTGGGTGTTTTTGCTGACTCAGGTTCTGTACTTCTCTCTCAAAAATAAACCAAGCACAGTTTTCAGGAAATCCACTGATATACTTGGATTACATTTCTAACCATTAGGACCCAATTTTAGCCCCTTTGAGACTAATCGGCCAAAACTCACCGATATTTCCAGAAATAAAATGCTGAGAATAAGATTCAGTTTCACTTCGAAAATGCCATTTGAAAAGTTCCCCGACTTATCCTGTAGATGGCGCAGCGACCTGAAAATGCTTTTCTTGTCTCAGTTTAATAAGGCGGTCTTCCTGTCGGTTGAAGAGCAGTGGCCTACATTATATCTACAGTATGTGTATTTTTTATAACTTCATAAAAAATTTTAAAAAATTGGCAGATTAATCGGTAATCAGATTTTTTTCCCCCTAACAAACGGTATTGGCAACGGCCCAAAAAACACATATTGGTAACTATGACACAGCAGTTTTTCTTTTTGGCCTCCTCTAAAGACACAACAAATCTGTAGTCCCTCCTCAATTTCTTGAACTTTCATTTCACATAATTTTTTTTCCCCCTTGGCAGCAAGTTTCAGAATGAACTACTGCGAACTTTTTCTTTTTTTGCTAAATCAGAAGAACCAAAGGGCAGAACTTCCCCCTGAGCAAAGTCTGTCAGGTTGTAAGCAGTTTTTATTAAACGTGAAACAAAAGTCACGATGGTGCAGTTCCGTGTGCTCTCCACTTCCAAACTTTACTGTTTATCTGTTTATTGAATATAAGCGAATATAAAAAGATGTTCACATGCAAACCAAACATTCCATTTCCTGTAGCCTCGTGATAACAGTTCTGGTCAGATTAATTTCCATGTACACACACAAAATAATGATTTCATCAGTTTGTACAATGGGTCCAAAAACGATGTGACATTTTCAGCATGAAGCCTTTTTGAAAAGCTGTTATCTCACTATTTCAGACGCCATCAAACTTTGTCCAGAGAAGAAGCTGAGTTTGACAAAGATAAAAACAAAACTTTGAAGCATAATCACATTTTAAAGCTCTGGGTTGAAAAACAGGCCGTCAGCACTGACTCAGACATCGTTCTCACATGAAGACAAACCAAAGCTGTAAAAGCGTCAATAAAACAATCTGAACCAGCCTTCAACTCTGAGTCGGAGCTGTCAATGATTGAAGGCAGCGAACAATAAAATACCAAAGATACTACGCTCTACAAATGGAACACATGCCGCGGACTCTGACCTGCAGTTTCATAACATTTCATAACACACAGTAAAAAAAAAACATAATTAAAGCTTTGTTTGATTTCACAGAGCGCTTTCGAAGAGTTTCCGGTCACGTGCGGCTGTGAGTCAACTGTCTGAACTCCTGTTGGACAAGGAGGATGAAGAAAGGTCTTCAAAATGATGAAGACTAAACCAGTGGAGGAAGATTAATCCGGACTCTTACTGTTAAGGTCCTTACACACCTGGAGCATCGGAGGCTGTGTCCGAAATGAAACACTCAATCCCTAACCCCTAACCCCCGTACGGAGTCTCACTATATAGCTGACTATGTCGTGAGCTCAATCACCTGAGGTTTCGGACACTACCGTTGTGACGTTGCCGTTGGAGACACAATGCATGACGGGATACCCACCATCGGATGGTCACTACATTTTGCAATGCTTTATGGGAAATTTTGAGTCGCCTATACAGGGCACTGGAATTAATCGCCCAAGTTTCGGACACCCCTCAAAATGGCGCTAACCCCCATATAGTCGCCTATATAGAGGTTAGGGGTCCATTTCGGACACAGCCTTATTCACCGGTTTATCCAACATGGCCGACCGGCTGATTGTTTACGTGTCGGAGAACAGAATGATTTTTGATAAAAGACACAAACATTACAAAGATAACGACCTGAAGGACGACGACGATGGTTTGTGTGCTTTAACAGTTTGATAAACGTCTTTGTTTTAACTTTCATCTGCGCTAAGTAACTTTAGCTCGTAAGCTAACCTGTTCAGATACAACATACCATACGTATTTTCACTGTAAACTCAAACTCAATCACAGCGTTGCTGTCACAGCACCATTAGGTCTCGGTTGTTACCTTGTTACATTCGCCTTAGAATATTTCGTGATTTCGCATCGTATATTAGCATCGTTCCCGGTTTGTAAGGACCTTTAGCCTTCACCCGTGTCCTGCAAACTCAACAGCTAGCTAAGGATACAATGCGTCTGATTTCAGCTGTCTGTGGAAGGTTTTTGACCCCAGGGACTTCTGGAAGTCGGGTCAACCGAGCCTGCGGGGTCTAAATTTGCAGTTATTGTGTTTTTGTTTGTCTACGTGCCGACACAATCCTACAATGACCACAAAGGTGACTCCATCGAGGCCCACGTGGATCAAACACACACACACACATACACACACACACACACCCCAAGTTTTTCTAGGCGAAGGAAGGAAGTCAGCTTTGTCCAGAGACTCAGGTGCACTTTCCCTTTATAACACAAGCCCCAAACACGGGCGCATAAAAACACAATGACCCTCAGTTTGAACCAACAAACAGACACAGCGGCAGGATGCTGAGCTAACACCAAACCTTTGAAAGTTCACTCACTGGGAGCGGGTGTTAAATTCACAGAGAGGAGTTTGTTGACGGATCGTGGAGTTGAAATAAAGCCGGTCTTTTGATTCCTGCGTCTACAGTGGTGTCAGTCCAAGAACAGCACAGGTGACATGCTAAAGGCTTCGCTCTACGCCCTCTTTAGACAATACAGTCCGATACTGACAAAAACATTCAAAGGTAAAAAAAACACACGTGACGTTTTGGTTCAGAAAAACCAAATCTACACATTCACGTTTTTGAGTGATTCACACTTCGAGAACCAACTTTACTCACTTGAGGTCGATGAGGATGTCTTTGGTCTTCCCATTTTTACGGCACAGACAGTTCCCTCCTTGAGTCACCTTGTAGTAGATGTTGTGAAAGCTGACGGTGGCGCCTCGCCGCTGCTGGCCCGCTCCTGCAGACTTAAATACAGCGAACTCACCTTAAAACACGGGGTTTTTGACATTTTTCAAAGTTTTATGTCAGCATAGAAAAAAAAAGAGAAGATACCTGGTGTTTGAAGTCTCCATTCAGCCCGAGCTCTATCTTCTCCTGGTCTACCGACATCCTCGTCTCTCCTCCTGGACGTACAACTCTGAAGAAATATACCGATACGTTTGTGAAATGAATCGTATTTTTGGGATAAAGATCGATTCAGTAAACTTTGGAGACATCTGTGAGGCGTTATCATTTATGTTCTCAAACAAAAAATGATGGTTCTGTGTTTCTAACACCAACCTTTGACTGTTTCTCGAACTTTGCTGATGTGCAAGATAAAGCTCATTCACCTGTAAATCTGCTGAGTCAGATCTACAAGCGCTAATACGGCGTTTATTTTTAGTACATTTAGAATTATTAACAGGGTCTGTGAAATGTAGAGCTAACTGTGACAAAAGTGTTAGCGGCTACACACCTAAATCAGACCTAAAAGTTCCCAATTAGTAAAAAGGTCATTTTTTCAACTGATGCGTTTAAGAGACATGTTACTGTAGTTTCTGTTGTATGTGAAGCTTAAATCATTTGATCTCAACAGTCCGCTGTTTCCCAACAAATAAAAAGACCTAAAACCTGAGATTTCCTGGAGACTCCAAAACTTTTGAGGGATTTTTCTCTCTGTATTTTTTTTTTAAATAAAATACCACAGAAGGCTAAAGGATTGGGACCATGTAAAACACAAACAACCAAAACTTTAAACAGATCCACGACACTTTTATAAGAGGTGAAAAAGAAGTAAAAACAGCATTTCATCTTTTCACGATACAAGATAAAATGCGGGTCTTTTTTAAGTGTTTCTTAGAAGTTTGTTAAAATGTATGTCATCTTTGAAGAAATACAAAAATACGGCAGCAAGAATCTCACCCAGAAACACGTTAAACTTAATATTTATACATCAGTGAAAACATGAACAGTTTGGAGAGTCCATCACTCACCTGCAGAAGTCAGAAAATCCGCGTGCGTTCACCTGCTGACGAACATCCACACTACTAAACACGGACCACGGAGATCCACGTGTGAGAGCAGTTTGTTCAGAGTTGCGTGGGTGTGTTCAGCCCCGTTTTATGACTGAAGGCACGATAAGATAAGCGGAAGGCAGTGATGTAACTCTCTCTCTCTCTCTCTCTCTCTCTCTCTGTGTTTGCTCATTTTGCACTTCAACGATTTATCGAGCTGCTTTTAATGGAAAATGTTGACGAACGTTTAAAGTTATTGTTTTAATTTGGAATCTAATCTTCTGATTAACCGGAATTCTTAATTTGACTTTTTTGATGATCATCCACACAAACTAGTTAAGGCTTTTATTTGTTGTCTGACAGATATGGACGGACAGGGGAGATTAAGAATTGGAAGATGAGTTGCTTTTCTTCTAAAATGTTCACATTTTGCAGTCTGTGTGTTTTAGCAGAAGCATAAAAATGTCGTTAAAGATTATTCTAAGTGGTTGTTTCCTGCTTAAATTGAATAAATCAAAACAAATTAACACTTTGTTGGGAATGTCTTTCAAAAGAAGTGTGAAAATCTTAAATATCATATGCAAGTTGAATTGAATGTGCCCAATATGTGTGTGATTTCAATACTAATTTATCTCCTGCTGTATTATATATTCAATTGGATTTGTAATGTGAGGAAAAAAGAGAACATTACAGCAAAACACGTCTTAAGAGGAAACTACAAAAGCATGATCAGTAACGGTCTTTTTTGGACTGGGAAAGAAACCTGAGTCTAATCTGAAAATATCTCCATCTACTGTTGAACACCAAGAACTACAATAACATTGTTGTACCAAAGCCCTGCAGCAGTCTTGAAGTCAGCTGTTAATGACAACAATAAAGTTTATTTATAAAACGCTTTTCGAACGTTAGAACGTGCGTCACAACCTAAAGACAGAAGAGAAGAAGATTCTGATCAAACAGATGACGGAGTGGAATGACGCAACATCAAGACATCAACGTAACCGTCACAGCAGGAAAATTCTGCCACCTTATTGGACGGAATCCCAACATCAAGGATTAGCGCGAACGTTCTAGAACTCTGCCGAGGTCAGTTGAGAGACTTGGGACCTGCCATGAACTCCATGAACTGGAACGTCATTGAACTTGAAGTGAGGTTGAAGTGAGGTGAAGATAAAATAATGTCAAATTTTGTACGCGTTATAAACTGATGCAACGCAGTCCTGTTACACTTCGATTTAAAGGAACAGAACATAGACTGTATAAAGAATGGACGCCGTCTGCGATTCTCGGCGACTCTTCCGCCAAATGCGTACAATGCTTCTGCGCAAGTGGTGGAGTGCGTACAACGCTACTGCACAATGTTGGTTTTAGGAAGTGGAGAAAAAACGTGGAATTACCGAGAGCTTTTCGGCTTCAAATCCGTATACCGACGGAAGGTGGAACCAAGTTGTCCGTAGTATATACAGTCTATGGAACAGAACCATGAAACTTACGCAGCCAGAGACACTCATCGATTATTTTTAAGGAAGGGATAAAGTTGTTTAACTTTTATAATATGGTATTGAAGCTATTGTTAATTCTGTCGCAGAAGAGATTAGCTAAACTTTGCAGAAAATCTAAAATAAGTGTAAACAGCTAGCTAGCTAACTTGCCTATGTCCAAAGATAAAAAAAAAACCCTTAATGTACAGATCTGTTAAATATTTATCTTTCAATCTAAGACAAGTCATCTCCACTCTTTAAGCTAGCTTAGCTGACCAATTGCTCACTTTAGCATCGTATTTTCTGCACATACAAGAGTTATAATCCTATTAACTTTTTCTCTGGTCAAAAATAATATTAAAATTGTAGGAGCCATCATGTCGCTTTGCTTACTGGTTATCCTGTGTTCAATTACTTTTGTCTTGTTGCTATTGGTTTCGCTGGGCTTGGGTCACATGGGCACTGAGTTTGAAAGCCGTAGTTTATATTAAAAAACTACTACTGCTAAACTACTTTAATGTGTCATGTATTGTCCTTTTTTGATATATTTTGATGACAAGTACTTTTTCTTGGGTATGTTATTTCGGGTAAAAATTACTCGAAAGCGATAGTGTTCCAGGGTGAAGAAACACAACACTGGGATGAAGTGGTTGTAGAAAAGGAGACAAAGTGGTGTTCAGTTTAACATGTTGATCTTTATTCATGTCTGAACACATATCTTTTCGACAGTGTCCACAGGGTAGTCAGGGGTCAAAGGTGAGAAGTCTGGAGGTTTTTATTTGTTCTCAAATTCCAGATGAGCTCAACCTGAAACCATCTGCATTCCTGACATGTTGATACTAAAGAGGTTTGAGGTAAAATTTGACACATCAGTGTCAGAACAAGTGACAAAATTAAAGAGGGTGGATGTTGAATATTTGTGTTGATGCACACAAACGCTGACTAACACACGGACAAACTCAACATCGACAAAGCAGCAAACTTTTCTGTATGTACAATATATTACACACTCTATTTACACTGTTGTTCAGTTAATACTAAAGCCAACACCACTCTGGGTCGGTATGTAGGTTCAGGCGGGTTCAGATGGATGAAAAATATTTGGTTCCTTCCTGTTGGATTGATTTTGTGGACTGTTGTAGAGTTTTTGTGACTTCTTGTGTATTTCTGCTTCTTCTACGCCCATCTCCCACTGGAGGCGAAGTTTCTGCTCATGCTGTAGACGGCGTTGGAACTCTGGTTCTTCCCCCACGCCCCAAGAGGGATGATGATGATGGAGGCGTTATCCTCAGAGCCGTACTGTAACGCCTGGAAATCACACAAAATACCCGCATGAACTAACACGCCCCGGTTTGCTGGTTTCTCTTGATTCCTGGAATCTTTTGAAATCGTCAAAACTTTTTCAGGTTATCGTGTTTTTTTTGGCGTGTTGACAACCTCCAGTTTGACTTTGTCACTTAAGAAGACTTATAAAGGAAACATTTGAAAAGTTTTGAAGCTTTGAGAAAATGAGCTTTTGGAGCTTCAAGAGAAAAAATCTAATATTATGATGAGAGTATCAGAAACTTGAGAGTCTCCGCTACCTGCTGAGCGATGACATCAGCAGCCTCTGTGGGGTCTTGGCACTGGTTGATGACATCACAGATCTCTTGGTCACTCAGCAGGAAGTTGATGCCGTCCGTGGTCAAAGCCAGAAAGGAGTCACTGCCGTGCTGGATCTGAAGTTATAATAATAAAAGTAATAATAATAATTAATACAAATTTAAACTAATAATAATAATAATAATAATAATAATAATAATAATGATATTAAAAAAGTTAAATTAAAAGTTAAAAATAAATAATGATTAAAAAAACAATAACAACAAAAATAAAAACTAATAATCAAAATTAAGAATTAATAATAATAAAAAATACTACTACTACTACCAATAACATAATAAAAAACAAGAACAAAATAAAAATAACAATAATATTAAATTAATAAAAATCAATAAAAATGAAAATAATAGTAACAATAATTATAATAAATTGATAAAAAAAATTAGTACAAAAAGTAAAAAAAGTTATTAAAAATAAAGATTGATAATCATAATAAAAAATATATACAAATAAATAAATAATTAATAATAATAAATGATTAAAAATAAAAATTAATAATAACAATTATAATAATGATAATAATAGAAAATAAATAATATTAATTTATAAATAATAATAATAATAACAATAATAATAATACTAATAGTAAATAAATAAAAATAAATAAAAATAATAATAATAACAATAAAAAAATATATAAAATAATAATAATAATAATAATAATAATAATAATAAAAATGACTAAATTTGTATTTGACATTTTGAGTATAAGGTGCTTACAAAAAGAACACAGTACAAATTTGTTTTGACCCTGAACGGCCACCGTCTAGACATCATTAGTGTAACAAAAACAACAAACCTTTCTGAATTTCTGAGTTTCCTGAATGCTTTAAGGTCAACGGTCACAAGTAGCTGTATCAGGACTTACAGTGAGCCGTTGTGTGTCTGGATCAGCGATGACGCCACTGCTTTTCAGGTGGAAGTCTCCGATGCTGCGCGTCATGGCGAGCCGCCCGTTCACATTGGCCTGACCGACGCTGTTCCACGTCAAGAACCCACCGAACTTCTGTATCCTGGTGGAGAGAAAAACTCTGGCCATGAGTCAGTGTTTGTTTAGTGTCTAAGATGACTGCACCTTTAAGACACATCAGAGACGTTTCATAACAGTGAATATCTGTCTGTGTGTCAGAAACTGGACTCTGCAGGGGGATCATGAGTTTGGGGGATCAGAGTTAAACTTAGATCCACTCAGCTCTTACATAACTCCAGCTGCTTTGATCGAGGGGGGAAACCTGCAGCCCTGCCCTCCTGTCATTGGACTGGACGGACCTGATGTACAAAGCGGAGTCCAAAAACGCCTCAGTCCAACATACCACTAAGTCTATTTATGAACCTGATCCACTTCTACGAAACCTGAACCCTGATGATCTACTAACTTCTTTCTGCGCGGTTCCCTCTGGACCCAGAGAGTGTGACTATGAGGGTCCCTGCTAAACGCTTCAGGAATAACACCATCGTAGTCGAGACTAGTCCATCCCTCATGGACATCATCTAAATCTTTACTCGTTCACTCGTTACTGTTTTAGCCACAATAGATGTTGGTCAGCTCGGCCGCTTTCATGAGAAACTGCAGAGAGAACCGGTACGAAAGCTAGGCTACAGTTTTCTGCAGACGGGTCCGACTCTGTTATGAAATCTAGCTAATTAAAAAAGACTGAGACCTCAGTGTAAATGTACGCTCTGCTGAGTTTATCTCAGCACGACTTCACCATCAGAAAGCTCCTGCAGACCGAACACTCTTCCATGCTCTTCTGCAGCGAATCCAGTCTATGATTTATAAGTTACCAATAAATTGTGAATTTTGATATTTCTCAGCTCTGGGTGCTTGGGCTGCCTGACCACCAGCACTCTGGGACATTGACTTTACTAGTTTGCTTTACACCTAAAAACACCTTTAGCATTCAAGGGTGCCTGATGCCCAGGAGCCGCAGGACAAATAGTTTATTAAGAATAAATCATGTACCGTTTTCTCTCGTCCTTGCGGTCTGGCGTGTGATCTTGTGTGAGTTTCATGGCTTGGCCTTGCCGGCACAACATCGCCCGACTGTCACCAGCACTGCCAACAACCAGCTCCATCCCGTCACGCAGCAGAGCAACCGTTGCTGTGGTGCCGGCTGTCAGGAATGAGTCTGGTCAAGAAGAACAGAGTGAAGATGTTGATGATTTTTACCTTTTTTATCTCACATAGTTCTACCTCGGACTCAAGTGTTTCCCCTACATTCATTCAGCACCGCCACTGCTCAATTACATGCGCCGCTACTGAAATTTCACATGATCATTCATATCAATGCGCCACTAATGATTCTACTTGCACTGTTGTAAACACACGTTATTTTCGACTTGTTTTGAGTCATCAACGAGTGCATCAAATACGGTCGCACCCTCTTCCAACAACATGAAGGGTAGCGTTCAAGGTAACAACGGCCCTGACACACACACCGCCACAGGGAAACACTCTATTTAACACTTTTTTGTTCATCTGGGGGTCTCACCGTTGTTGAAGTAGCTGAGATGTGTGTGTAACGCCTTGTCAACATCCAAAAAGGCTTTCTTTAAAACGTTCTCCAGGTCGTCCTCGGTCTCCAGAGCGTCTCTGAAATCAAACGTTTTGACTTGTTTACAGCGGGACAGTCAAAGAGGCGCTCTGAAGTGGTTTTGTATCTCTCAGATGTTTCTACCTGATAAACTTCTCCATAAATGTGAAGCAGTAGTCCGCAGCGTGTGGACCACCATGCCCGTCAAACACAGCGAAGTACAGCAGATTGTCATGGATACGGGCGGTGCGAAGGCGGTCCTCGTTTTGCTTTCTGAGGCCCAAAACGGACGCGCTGCCGACCCGAGACAGACTGACCTGGGAGAGGGAAGGTCATCCATTAACCATTCTTCCATTTGTGTTCATACAATTCATCCCTCATAAGTCAATACATCCATTCATCCGCCATCATGACTGAATCCACCCTTGAATTTGGTTATTGATGGATAGAAACACCATCCATTCATCTGTTCATCCACTCACCTGTGGAATGGGTCTTCCATATTTGATGCTGGAAGGCAGCAAGATTGGTTCCTCTATCCTGTTGTCCCAGATACCGACTGTGTCCCAGGTGACTAGCTGGCTGCTATCAAAACGCGGTGACCCGCTGGCGTGACGTACACCCACCACCCCGAACAAAGCCCCGCCCACCTGCAGGTGAATAATCAGAGAATTAGAAAGGGTAATGCTCAGATAAACCCAGGAAGTCTCTGATGAAGATTCAGGAAACGATCACAAATGTAGAACTTATAATCAAGGTCAGACGTGTAATTTATTTGACCATAGGACTTCAGTTCTGCTCTAACACCTGTGGACTCACCTGTGCGGACGCTGCAGAGCTTTCTGAGGAGGAGCGAGCCGTGAGAACGGCTTGTCTGCTGATGGTGGAGCGACCAGCACGCAGCAGATTGATCAGCACTGTAGACGACATGGTCAACTGTATCAGCCGGACAGGCAGCGAGTCTCTAAAACACCAGTGACAGACAAAAAGATAGATTCAGATCTGAAGAGATGTAGAAGAAAGCAGCAAATCCTGATGTTTCAGAGGCCAACACAATGTTTGGGTCTGGTTTTCCCCGTCACAGGCTGGTGAGAGGGTGAAGGGGGTCAGCTATTAACACCAAGTCTGAGTTTGATCCTTTAAGCTTGTTGACATCCACACGGATCATCTGTCCACCTTCTTCAGTATCACACTTTCCATCCTCCCCTCAATGTTTGTGTGTATATATACGGATGAGTACCTACAAACAGACTTACACCTCCCGTGGTGTGACGTCTCATATCCATTACAAGAAGGTGAAACTGTCCAAAGCTTTAAATACACTGCGTCAGACTTGATCTATAACACTTCCTGATACTTCTCACAGAAAGACACGAAACCATCATTTTTTGAGTTTTACAGATGAGGAACTCGAGCTCAGAGTTCATTCAAAGTCAATAACCGTGCACAGCTGGAAGTCCTCAGATAATCTATCCATGAAGAAGTTGGAAAAAGGTAGATCGCCTTCTCCAGGTCGGAGGAGCGGTCCTGCCTCAAGTGGAGGAGTTCAAGTATCGTGGGATCTTGTTTACGAGTGAGGTAGGATGGAAAGGGAGATCGACAGGCGGATCGGAGTGGCGTCAGCAGTGATGCGGACGCTTAACTGAGTTGTGGTGAAGAAAGAGCTGAGCCGTAAGGCGAGACTCTCGATTTACCAGTCGATCTACGTGCCGATCCTCACCTATGGCCATGAACTTTGGGTAATGACCGAAAGAACAAGATCGCGGATACAAGCGGCTGAAATGGGTTTCCTTTGCAGGGTGGCCGGGCTCAGTCACTCGGGGAGACACTCGGAAGGCGCTCAGAGTAGAACCGCTGCTCCTCCACGTCGAGAGGAGTCAGCTGAGGTGGCTCGGGCATCTGGTTAGGATGCCTTCTGGACGCCTCCTGTTAGAGGTGTTCCATGTCCCACCAGGAGGAGGCCGGCCCAGGACCAGGTGGAGGGATTATATCTCTCGCCTGGCCTGGGAGCGCCTGGGAATCCCCCCTTGAGGAGCTGGTGGAAGTGGCTGGGGCTTCCCTCCTGAAGTTGCTGCCCCCGCGACCCAGACGAACCCAGATGAACCCAGATGAACCCAGATGAACCCAGATGAAGCGGAAGAAAACGACGACAACGACGAAAAAGTAGCAGTTAAGCTAAAATACTATGCAACATGCTTGGACGACCAAGAATGATGTAAAATTGTAAACAACTAGCATTAGAGCGCTGACGGAACATTGTTGCAAAACTTAAACAACATTTTTTTGCCACAGTGTCAACAGGCGGTTGAGGTCAAATGTGCCAGACTCCTGCGGGTTGATTTGGTATAAGGTGTCGTATCAGTTCAAGATGCATCGCAGTTTAAAGCGCTGAAATTTTCCTTTGAATTCTTTGGAAAAAGGACAGTCCATTTCCCTTTTATCCATACTTTAAGTTCTCAGTTACTTCCATCTAACAGTTGGAATAACCCTGCAGTTGTCAACTTTACCACATTTCCCTTTAACACAGTTTTGACTCGTGCCAAATTGTTGTCAGAGCACTCAAAGCTCTGCCAGTGATCAATACTACAGATTAGTTCACCACCTGCTGATTTATGTGGATTAAATATCCAGCCAAGAAAGTTGCGCAAAAGAAATATATTCCTATAAGAGGGTTTGACCTTTACTGTCTGGAGTAGTGTGTCCCCACTAAAACACATGTGACCACTTGTTGACACAACAGAAAAATGCACATGCGTATTCAGGTGAACACAAGTGGATACCGACACACATACCATGAGATAAGCAGCGCAAAACAACAAAACACCCCTAGAGGATTAGGCTTTTAAAATGATATTTAAGCAGTATAACTATGTACAGAAGTTTTTAACATGTATACACCACAGAAAATCACATTTAAGTCGAATATAAATCTGAACATTTAGCTATTGTTGGTTGTTTAAAAACTTAATTAACAGCAAATGCTCAGTAGTTATTCACATTTACACGCTTGTACCATGAAAAACAACGTCTTTACCAAGTAAATTCAGAAGGAAAAATTGTCTACTGTTGTTGTATTACTTTGTAGGCATGGATTTGACTTGTCTTACAAACATAACAATTCATGATGCAGCATCATCTGTTTAATATCAGCTTTATTCTTCACAAGTAAGTTGTATGGTTTTCCTAAAAAAAAATTCTACTTTTATTTCACAAATACATATTATATTTATGTTATAACTGTCCATACAAAACACAGTACCTGTAATGTAGAACAGACTGCTACTGGTAGCTGAAAATGTACTTTTCTGCCGAGTACACACTGCAGAAAAGTACCACAAACTATTTGAGTATGATTTAAAAAACGATATTCTGTGAAAATGGCCTAAATTCAGAGAAAATTCTTCACTTTGTTCTATTTTCTTACCTTTAAACTTTTTCGCGCCGGTCCTGTTTCCGTGGCAACAGTTGTCAGGAGCCCCAGCTGCAGTCTCGAGACCTCAACAGTCCCACTGTGGCTGATGATGTGGGGGCTCGGCTCGAGCGCATTTAAGTGAGACACAGCTGTCCAATCAGAAGCCAGAAAAAAAAACGTCATCGCTGGACACGGAGATGGAGGAGGGCGTGCCCGGTATTGGCGCCATGCCAGATGTGGAGCAGAAACGGTAAATTCCGAGTATTTGTGCCTTTTTTCCCCTTATTTATCACTTTTTTGGGTTTAACTTCTTAATAGTTTGTAAAGAAACGCCTTTTGTGGTTGCAGCAAGAGTGAAAGTAGAGCTAATAGTTCAATAAGGTGAGTTTAGTGTTCAAATAAAACTCACACCGTCATAACGAAGAACACCTTTGTAGATTTTCTGTATTTAACAGAATATTCATAAAACTTTATTATTTAACATCAGTTTCAAAGAGAAATTACATAAGCACAATCAAGAAGAGCTTACATAACTATATATGCTAAAAATACACAATGTAGGTCACAGCTAAACTCTACCAAGTCCTATTTGTAACTTTTCCCACTGCAAATATTTGATTCGTTTAACTTTGAAGAGACCTGGTATTTTGCTCTTTTTATAATTTGAACACAAATGTTAACATTTTATCAGTTTAAACCTGGGCAAAGATCCACATAGTGTGTGATGAAGTAATCCCCGGATAAAACTACAGGCTGCTCTGAACGGCTTGTTCAAAAAGTCACATGAGAATTCAGAGAGATGAATATGAGATCTCTTCAAAAGGGCAAATTTCTCAGTTTATAAAAGGAAATACAACTTTGTTGCTTGCCAACAGTGAAGGAGGCTTCCAGAATGTTGGGTATAGGAATGCTGGGGGCGGGGGCGATTTAAAGGAACAGTGGCTTAAAATGAAACATCACAGACTGCAGACCTGAAATACTGTTTTTCTGGTATTTGTTCAGTATTGCATCATAATTACATGCAGTCTGAAGGATATTTGACTGTTCAGGGTTATGCTGGTTTAAGGTGGAGTTCAACTCAATGGTTTGTCTGCAAGGACAGATAAGCACATGGCAGGGAGTTCCAGTCCAGAGTTTTTTTTTAATTCAGTTTTATATTCAGCTGGTTTCTCTGGAGAGGGTGAGAAACGAGAAACAAAAGTGAATTAACTAAAATTATTAAAATATGCAAACTAAGAAACATTCTTTCTTAACCATAAAGTTATACATAAGTCAGCATAATAAATCAAAGATGAGTTATATAATAATTTAAACAAAGGAAAACTCACAGGGTAAGCACACAGTGAAGGATACTGGTGGTGTTTCTCTCAGTCAGCCTGCTCCATTGTCTCCAGTGTTCCCAGTAAGAGTGAATGACTCTGCGGCTCCTGGAGTCAGGTAGGAGAGTCAGAGAGGGAGGGGGGATTTTCCACATGGTCATTTACACTTTTGTAATCTGAGTCAAATATAGAAAGTAGAAAATTTTGGGTCATTTATGTGACCAGAAGACTGGATTTAATGATCCTCTCCTCTTTTTTTGTAGGGTTGGTAGTGCCAGCCTTCATCTTGATCTATGGAGTAACAGCTCCCTCTAGTGGTTGCTTGTTCTTTTAACCCAGTAGAACACACAATGAGGCGTCTACTATAAGGGTTCTTTACCATGATAAAAACATCAGTAAAGTCTAAACCAACGGAAGGATCGTAACATTATTTTGTCATTGCTGTTAATCATTTCAACTGGTATAAATGTAGAAATCTTTGTTTTCTTTTATAGTTAAGAGACAAAATAAATTGAGGTTAAAAGCCCCGACTGAGTGTGTTTGTATGATAAAGATTCACCTTCAGTCTGCGGGACCAAAAGTCAATCATCGACTTCTACAAGCCTGCCAATCAGAGGACTTGGAGGCAAGCCATCGTACAAGAAGACCAATGGAAAAACACGCTGTCCCCCACAGAGTCAGGAACAAACATTTCAACATTTATGGGTCAATATTCATCAGTAAGTTTGGCTTTGGAAAGATGAGGCATGTGTCACTTTTTGGGTGTCTTTGTAAGTATTTGTGACATTCTAGTTTTCTCGAACCACTTTATTTACACGCTCTCTTAAGCTGCACCCTAACCTTTACTCTGTGACTCTGTTTTTTTAGGGCTGTTTGTCCACGTCTACTTGGTGAACTCCGAAAATGTTTCCGATAAAACTTCATCGCACAGTGAGTGTTTTTCAACAACAACAACAACAAAAGGCACCAGGTTGGCTTTGTAAAACAATCAAACTTCTACGGCATGAAGCAACACAAGAAAGCGGACCTCCTCTGTTTTGACTCGCCTCCGATCAAAACAACCACGGCTGACCAGTCAGACAAAGCCCCAGCTGAGCATGTTTGAATGGGCTAGCACATATTTCTACGTCACTCAGACAGGAATGCAGTTGAAAACACATTCCACCAGACGCCGTGATTTTAGCGTGAGGTCATGGAAAAGGTCTGATTGGCTTTAACGCCCCCGTCAGGACTGATGATTGTAACCTTTGATAGCAATCTAATCTCGAGGTAAAGATTTAAGAAATAGAGGATAGGTAGATGTCCAGAGGCGCTCTGGTTTTTGCCGTGGCGAGGATACTTCTGTCCCTAGCAACTCCTTACGTTCTGAAAAGTAGTCAGACACTCTTATCACCAAACAACATTCAGTGGGACCAAGACAAACATATAAACTGACAGTAAAAAAATTAAAGTGCTTATCAATTTGAAATAATGTCATCAGGTTGTACTAAATGAACCGAAAACGTCCTTTTTTGTGGCATTAGCTGTTGAGCTTCAGGACACCAGCCCCAGAGAGAAACCTGTGGAAATAGTAGCAACACAGATGACAGTCTCTCCAACCTGGTACCTCAGTGTGGGGGACACTGTGGAGATCAACTGCTCTGTGATTGAGGACAAAGGAAACTACAGTCACAACATCAATCTGCTTCTGATCTGGACCAAGATGGGCTCTACAGAAAAGACAAAGACGGTTTGGGGAATGACCGAATCAGATTAGACAGAAAGCGTCCTCAATACTCTGATATATCGTTTATTCAGTGCGTTAGACTCAAGTGGATTATCAAACATGACATCTACTCTTCTCTAACAGGTCCTCATGAGTCAGAGAGCATCCACAGGGATCAGCTATGTCCTAGGTCCGGTTACCCATGAGCACCAGGGAATGTACTCCTGTGACGATGATGGCAGTTTGCCCGATGTTTTTGTGAATATGTGGCACCGTATAATCTGGGTGGCTGGTTAGCAGTGTTTATTATGTTTTCAAGATACACTAAGGAATGTTACGGCCATAATAACTGGTTGTTTTATTAATTCATGTGGTATCTATAAATACTCAACGCACAGATGCTTTTCCAAGTGCCTCTGCAGACGTTATCAGCCACAACAGGAGCCAGTTCTTCAGCAATGAGAGGTTCACTCTGGGCTGCCAGTTGCCTGACCCGAACACCCAGTGGAAGATGATGAGGTTGGTTTGGGCCGTGAGGCTACCGGATGAATTGGCAAAAAGTTTAAAATCTAACGCACAAACTGAAGATGTCAACAAACTGATTGTCAGACCACTATCACGATCCCATCCACACCACTAACATGATCTATGAGATCTATGAGGGATTAGCATTTTTGTTTTTTCCCTCAAAGGTATGACCAATATTGGGGGACTATCACAGCGTGTCCTGATCAGGACTCTTCACGTCGTGGTCTGACCTGCACCTCCAGTTCGCAGTATCCCTGGTCAGACATTTTGTATTGGTGTGAAAGTCCAACAGGAGAGAGAAGCAACGCCCTTAATATAACTACCACAGGTACACACCACTTGTGGTCCAGTTTAGTGTGGAATAGAAACTCAGACGGTTCAAGCCTCAAGTGTAAGGTGACCAGACATCCCCGATTTCCGGGGACAATCCCTGTATTGGATGACCTGCTCCCGGCAACAGCTGTCCCCGGAAACTTAATAATTGAGAACAAAAATGTTACATGTAGACCAGAACAACGGTTATCACGGTAGCCGAGTAGATAGGAAGCACGAGTACGAATGTTGCGCACAGTCCTGAACAACAGTTTTTACGGAGAGTTATTACGGGGATGTTGTCGAGATGTTGTCTGTGATCACGCAACCCATGTCCCCGCATTTCATTACAGAAATCTGGTCACCTTACTCAAGTGTCTGATATATTTGAAATGTACACAAAAACTACTTCACATTTTTAGCTTGTAACCAGCAGAAACGACAACCAAAGTTAGGGTGTCTGTGCAAAACCAACATTAGCTCCATCAAGTGAAAACTACCCAGCTATTTCTTTCTTGTTGAGAGCACAAAGAGGCGGAGAGGAATCTGGGAACCAATCAGCATTCATCCAATGCCAACTTAGCTAGGGTGACCATATTCTGAATCCCCAATAAGAGGACACTGCTCCGTGGGGTGGAGTTGCGGAGTTGCGCACAGTAAATTTTGAGGGTTTTCTGGGTTGGGTCGAGTATTTTTCATGTGCAAACACAAAACTTCCATACAAAACCGCAGACATTTGAAGGATTTTATAAATTCCCCCAGACAGGCCGGACGGACAACAAAAAAGAGGACATGTCCGGGTAGAAAAGGACGTATGGTCACCCTAACTTAGCTTTTCCATTTTGGTCTTTTTGTCCAGAGTTATCAGTGAACAGCATCACAGCACCAAAGGCTCAGGTCATTGGGTTTGTGTCTGTTTGATTTTTCTACCTTACTTGAACTGTTCTCACACTGTTTGTTTTAAAGTTATGAATATTTTTAAACTTGATACACATTTGTTTAAACTGTCCTTCTTCCCACAGTTGGTGTCAATGTGACCTTGGAGAGTCCACCACTTCCTGTGTTAGAGGGGGAGGATGTTCTGCTGCGCTGTTTACACCGAAATGAAACCACAAAACAAATAACCTCCAACTTCAGAGCAGTTTTCTACAAGAATAAACGTCGGATCAGGTAAATCCGTCAGAAGTTGTTGCCCTGTGTATAGATGGTGTTCGCACATATATAGGTCAGATATGAGGCTGTTGGAGAATGTGGAGAGCAATCCTTGATGCCAAGGTTGGTCGAATTCCATTCTTAGTGAATTCATCCCTGACTTTGTCTCCTTTGTGTGATTGTGTCTCAGGATTCAAACTCAGGGAAACTTGACTCTGTCAGCTGTGACCAAAGCTGACGAGGGGATGTACATGTGTCGCCACCCAGAGGAGGGACCGTCACATTACAGCTGGATCACTGTCAAAAGTAAGAACTCTCACACAGACATTTACATGAATGCAAACAGTTTTGAAGGACGGTGCTCATTTTGTCCTGACCAGGTGACGAAGACCAGAAACTATAGAGTAACATCTAGAAGACATAGATGCTTCACCTCCAGATCCAGTAAGCTGTCTTCTGATTGGTCCACTGAAACGATTACATGAGACGTGACAAGCTTCTAGACTTTCTCTACATTGTGATTTAAATATGTTACTGAAGAAAAACCTGAATCTGAAAACTTCTAACATAAATAAATAAAAACATAATCTAAGCATTGGAGACTCTACAGATTACTCTGGTAAAGTAAACGTCTGCATCTCTGTGCTGTAATGTGTGAGCGCTCTCTGTGTATCTGTAAGTGAATAAAACATGGCGGAGGGACTTTGTTGTTAACATGAGCGTGACTTTAATGTGTCTGAATTATTCAGAGGAGCAACCCGGTGCTCCATCAACAACACAACTCAACTAGAAGAGGAGGATGAGGAGGCCATGGATGGTGAGATAACAGAGGGAAGGTGAGGGAGCAAGATAGAAGTGAAATTGGGTAAAACTAGAAGTTATTAGAAAGGGGTTGAACATTTCTGAGATTTAACTAACATATAGTGTTGCTCTAAAGAAGGACGCAAGCAAAAGTCAACAAAGTACATTAATTATGACGAAAAGTGTATGTGTGTCGCCCCCATCAGGACAAACTGAATAGTACATGAACTCATTTTTTTTTCCAGCGGAAGCAGGAAAGAAAAGGAAAGGATGGAAGGAACAAAAATGATGCAACTAAATAATGAACAAGGAAAAGAAAAGGGAAAGTCCTCAAGAAAAAGAGTGGATGAAAAGGTTAAGACTACATAAAAGGAAAGAACAATTTAAAAAAAGATGGTCAATAAAAGGAAGGAAACTGAAGAAAGAGAAGGAAAGTTTGACTGGAAAGAAAAGAGAGAAGTGTCACGTTTCAAGTGTCACACTGTGTGTTCTGGAGTGCTTAAGTGGTTTTTGCCTCATTTCATAAAAAAGAAAGTGAATGAAATATTTACCATCAGGACAGAGTAGAGAGCTGCTGTCCTCTCCACTTAACTTCAGCAACCAACAGTAGACACACACTGAAGGACGACGGATTTTCTCTACTGCTGAATTGAACTTTAACGTTAATATTCACCAAATTCATATTTAACCAATCAGGGATGAGCATGGTATAGAGCTATGTATGTTACTCTTAAACAAAGGTGTAATTTAAAAATATCCTAATTTCTTAGAGTGCATTATTCTGTATATTTAAAATGTCTATGAAACTTTTTGTTCGCAACTGAAACATCAACCAACAAAAAACCCCGTTCTTAAACCAATCCTTGAAAATGCTCCTTTTTTCATGGATTGGCTGTTGTCCCGGCTCACTCATGTCAGCAGTAAATTTCAATGTTCTGAATCAGAATATACGGAGTAAATGCTTTTTGGGTGTTGAAAACTATTTCTCAGCGTCAGGTCATCAAGGAAGAGTACCTTTGTCCGTAGCAAAAAGTTTCCAAGAAAAAATGCCTTAGATGGCTCACTCAGATTATTCCTGGAGTTGAAATCATGTGATGTAACATGAAAACTGACTAAGTCTGTCAGGAAAAGCATGGTCCATGGATGCTCAAAAATACTGGATTTCATCCCAGAGACCAGAGTTCAGATCAGTTCCTGTATGAGAGAAAAGGATTGTGTTGACCTCTTGAGAAGCTACTTCTTTTTATGCAATGCACTTCAGTTGTAAAACTAGCAAACACACACCAATGCATCTGTAAAACGGAACTATTTCGAAACCTAATAGAGGAATTTGATGCCAAAAAACAACCAAGTTATACTATATGAAATGTTTGTCACCAATGTTCAGTTTTACCAAATTCATGCGTTTTGGAAAAAAGGTTTTGGCAAGCTGCACATCAAAAAGAGAAGTCCACATGAAGTGTACCCTGTTGTGTTTGCAGGTCTTTTCTTTGGGAGACATGAACTCGCACTCAGTCTGACACTGCAGGTGCCTTCCTGCAGCAACCGAGAATCCCTCCTCTCTTCTTCTTCTTCTTCTGCCTCTTCTTCAGCCTGTACCCTTTGAGGCTGTTTGTGGAGCAGATGGATTTTCTCAGAGTTGTGATGTGTCTCTCTTGCTCCCGAATTTTGGACTCCAGATGGGACTGGATTGCTGTGCCCAGAGACTCCAGGTCCAGCGAGGCACCGTAGACCTCCCATGTCATCCCCTCTTTATCCCACGCCACATCATGTGGTTTCATTGTCTTTTGCTTCTCCTTGTTGTCCTCCTCATTTGGCTTCTTTGCTATTTTGTGGACTTCTATAGGATCCTCATCCTCTTCCTCCCAGATGCTCTCTGCACTTATGTCCTTGTCTTGATTCTGTTCAAGTTTCAACTGTGACATCAGGGTGGGGCTCTGCTGGAAGCTGTACGTACGCAGACAGGCTGGGAGGGAACTGGCCTTTTCAGTAACAATTGAAGGAATCACAGTTTGGCTGCACAGCTCAATGTCAATCTTGCAGACGTGCTGGAAGGGTGGCTGACCAGCAGGGATGCAGCATAGTGATGGGACTGTTGGCGAGGTCAAACTTCCTGACTGACAGCTGGGAGAGCCGATCAAAGAAGAAATTGGGGCCAACTCCACTTGGATTCCAACCTCTTTACTCTCCCCGACCTTCCTGTCGCTGGGGTCAGTCATGGTTGCTGTCTCAGTTACCTTCTTGGATCGTTTTTGGGTGGGTGTTTTAGGAAGAGGACAAAGAGGAGATGAAGGAGAGAGAGAAGAGCTCCCTTTAACATCTTTATTTTTATCCCTCTTTTTCTCCTCTTTCTTACTCTCCACACTTGCTGCCCTGGGTGTTGGGACATTGCTACCAGCTGTGATGGCATTTGAGATTCCCAGGTGACTTGGTTTGCTCAGTGGAGTACTTTGCAAACTCTCTGCATTGGCAGCCACATTAACAGCTTGCACAACATCCTGGGACACCACAGGTACAGCTGTCACTTTGGTCTCAGGAACTTTCAAATTTGGTTCTTCAGCAACAACACTTGGTTTTACCGGTGGCTTGGTGATGGAGTCAAAATTCAGACCACGACTTAGACTGGTCATATTAGGTGAGCTGCTGCTGGAGTTCGGTTCCACTCCGGCAGATCCAACTGCTGCAGGCTCTTGTGTGGATCCCCCCTTCATTGTCAAGGAAAAAGTGGTTCTGGTTTTGGGACTGGAGGTGCCTTGAGGAGTCAGCAGACCTGAAGCTGCAAACAAGACGACAGTGTAAGAAAATGCCTCTCAAAACATAGACGAGAAACTCGGACTTAAGTATATTAAGACTTAAATTAGATAATCCTTAAGTATTTGGTGTTAGTAGTACTTCACTACGGGGTAAGCAGACTTGAAGTCAATATCATTTCATCAAAAAGATTATATTCTATGGATGTACTTACCTGAAGGAGAACCAGCATTCCTCTGGACCTCTCTATTTGGTATCACCGGACTGGTCCCAAGACTTCTGCTAGGACCACATCCAGGGCTTCTATTTGCTGAGCTTGGTTTTGGTGAGAGTGTCAAAGAGGAAGACAAGTCTGCGAGAGCTGAGTTTGAACTAGTCCGAACTGGCGCTGTCTTGGAGATACCTAAAGCATCTTTGGGATCTTGGGTGGGTTTGGCACTAGAGCTTGCAGCCTTGAGGTTTTTGTCTTTCGTGCCAGATGCACCAGTTCTAGATACTGATGGGGAGACAGATCCACCAAGATCTATCTTGAAACCAGAAGACTTAGTAGTTGAACCAGTTGGACTTGGTTTTGAACTGGAGATGACATCAGAATCAGAGCTAATTTTCAAATCAGGACAAGGTTTCAAACTCATAGGACTGAGATTAGAACTGGCTTTAGCAGCCAAAGAAGTCTGGGTTTTCAGATCCTTGCCATTGCTCTGTCCTAAAACAGACTTAAAGCTTGTGCTTGTTTTTAAAATTTGATTGGTTGTCTCTGCCTTTAAATCCACTGGGACTTTCGAGTTGAGACTATTCCTGGATCCCATCCCAGATGTAGAGCTGGGACTAGCTTTGGAATTTGAACCAGTTTTAGAGTCTAAGCTGTCCTTTGATCCCAAGCTGGTTTTGGAAGTAGAACCACTTTTGGAATCCAGGCTATCTTTGGATCCCATTGCTCTCCTGGTATTTGGACTTGCTTTTAAAATACAGGCAGATTTAGGATCAAGACTATCCTTGGATTTGGAGCCGGTTTGTGATCCAGAAGCACCACTTGAGTCTTTACTGTCAAGGTTCTCCTCTGCCCTTTGTGTCTTGATATTTGCAGGCTCAGCAGTTGCAGCTCTCCTCTGTGTGGATGGTTTAGGATTTAGAGAACTTGGGTGCAGGATCTTGGCATTGAGTAAAGGTGTTTCAGCCTTTTGGTTATGTGATTTTGGTCCCAGAGGGGGTGTCTGAGAACTGGGGGATTTTGCATCATGTCTGATTTGCTCATTTGACTTAGAAAGTCCTGGGTCTGATTTGGGAATTTTTGTTGTCATTGTTGGAGTTCGACTGGCTAGTTTTGGACTAATGACATTTGAGTCTCCTTTCTGAGTTTGGACTTTTGGGCTCACAGGAAGGTGGAGCATCTTTGGTGACTCAAAGCTTACTTCTTTTCCAACATCCTCTTTCTTGTTTGGTTGCATTTTAAGGCTGACTGTTATTTTACTTGTAGTCTTTGTCGTGTGTTCAGCTGGCAGTGAAGTATTTGGTTTAGGATTGGGGATGCTTGAAGATTCACACAGAGCTTGTGTTTTGACCCTTTCAGTCATTCTTGGACTTCTTGCCGTCACCGTTTGTTCAACTCGTTGCGGTTTTGGACTTGCCTCCTCTTTGCTGTTTGTGTTAATCTTGGGGCTCTGTGTTGGAGTGCGTTTTGGATTTGGGGATTTCAATCTTTGGTCACCTCTACTGTTTACCGATTCAGCTTTCGGTGAGCGCGCCAGTGCTGGAATTTTGCTCTTTTGACGCATTGGATCATCTCTCTCCCCTGGGGACATCACTGGGGTTGTTAGTGTGCTCGTTGACTTGCCAGTGTCTGTAGTAGCTGCCGCTCTTAAACCTGCTTTCACAACTCCTTTACTCCCATTGTCCTTTTTGTTTCCTCCTTGCAGGTTCAAGGTGTCAATGACTGGGCGAGGGTTGCTTGGGGAGGTCAGATTGAGGTTGAGGTTGAAGTTAGGTTCCGTTCCCCAGTTGGCATTGGGTCCAGTGTGTCTGAAGGGGTTCTCGAACTCTTCCTCTTCCTCTTGAATAGGACCCTCTGATTGGATGATATCTTTCATGTGTTTAGACACATTCGGTAAGGATTCCATGATGATGGTATCAAAACTTTGCTTAGAGATGTTGGAAATCAGCAATCATCACCTGATTAAACAAACAGACACATTTTAGTAAACTAAAATTTAAAAAAAAAACAAGAATGTATTGGAAAAACTGAGTCATGGTATTTTATGTCAAAGGGAACTAAAACGAAAAAATATGATTATGTGCTAACTGATCAGAAAAAGGAAGATGTCCCGCCCGCAACACAATATTGAAACATTATAGGACATTTCTACAACAGCAGCCTTCAATGGAAGTCTGATTAATTCAGTTTTATGTTGTTGCTTGTCTGGTTCTTTTGTTATCTGATGTAAAACAGGAACTATTCATCAATCACAGTTTATAGAAGACAAACATGTTTTTGTTATTCCAAGGTCATTTCATTTTTGATATAAAAAGAATAAAGTCTATTCTGGTGTCATTTTTGACAACTCTGTTTTCTGCCTAATAGATGCATCCTCTTAAGACCTGACATTTTATTTTTTGCCTTTCCCTCAGCTGTGTCTCCAACATCCACATTTAGGAATAGATTTTTAAATTTGCCAGCAGTGGATCATCATTTTTTTTTTAAATCAAGAATCCAATGGTAAAAGATTACAATATTCTGCTGTAACTTGTTTTCTAACTCTACCAATATACACCAAGTCAGATGGAGCAACCGAGACAACACACAACAGAAATATCGGACTGCTCTCAAAATGATAACTTCAACGATTCCCCCTCTTTCTTTTACATACCTGTTCGTGGTCGTCTCTCTCCAGAGTCGGTCAATAAATACAGGATCCGTGGTGGAAATGCCATCATGGTGTCTAAGCCGAGTCTGAGCGGAAAGCCTCAGCTGCTCTTTCCTCGGCGTTCTACCACAGGATGCATTTATGAATAAATAAAAGGAGGAGGGAATGAGGGGGGAGATCATCATCATTGTCGTCAAGACTTTCTCTCCTGTCTTCTCTTTGTTATAGCTTTGTTTTTGGATGTTCTTCATGATCTTTCCCCCCTTTTCCTCTTTTTCCTTTACTGGTTTCTTTCTCATTTTCTGTCACAATTTTTCAGGCCTGTTTTTTGAATTTTTGGAACAATTTTCCCCTTAAGTTAGATGGTAAGGAAAGACACAGGGATTCGTCCCCTGGTGACCATGAATATCTATTACAAAAAAAAAACTAGCAATGAATCCATCAATCAACCCTATTCTTATCCCAGTAGTGTCCACTGCAACAGCAACTTGCAAATAACAAATAATTTATACATTGGGGTAAAATGGAGAAGGGTCTAAAAATAGTGGTAGTCAAATGGAGGAGGGGATGAACAATTTAAAACGGCTGTTAGCTTTACAAGCAGAGGAACAAAGAGGCTCAGATGGAAACAGAAAAATAGAAGTGCAGGAGGCTGTCGCTTTTTTTGTTAGTTACAATTAACTCATGGGCAATTTTAAGTCTTGGACCCAACAACACTCGTGTTTCTTTTTTTTTGTATTGTTTTAAGCTTGTTTCTTGTGTTTTGTTTGGCTCGTGTAGACATGATCTTCCAGAAACTTCTCCAAAGTTGAAGCACATTCAGATCATTGTTTTGTTTTTGTTTAGGACTGTTTGACCCTCACCTTCATGAGCTTGGTTGCTTGCTCACTCAGCCAATAGAAAGCTGTGACAGTGATGCTACCTGACAACAACAGCTGACTGTACATTGTCCTTTAGTGTGTTTGTGTTTGTACTTACACCAGGACTGAGCCTTTTTATTGCTCGATGGACGTGAGGAGCAACTCTTGCTGCAGATTTGATCTTTCAACGGAAAAACTATTTTATATTTCATTACTGAGACCGAAATACTTTGAATTGAAGACAACTACCCGGTACTAGGACATCGTCCTGCTGAGACACAACATGTGGGAAGAAAACTCCGACACAGAGCAGTAAGTCACCTCTCCAGAACACCTGAAAACCTTTAAATGTTGAGGTCAATGAATTGCATGAAAGAAAAATATATTTCAAGATTTTCTAATAAGAAAATGTTGAGAATCGGGATAAAACTTTTAAGAGTATGTGAAACTAGCACAATGTTTTATGCTAAACTCAAGTTTTAAACTTGTTGAAACTCAAAATGTTGTTTTTCTGTCAGTGAAAACTCATTCAGTTTCCTGCAGATGCTTTCACATGATGATTTCATCTCTGCTTTTCTTATTTGAAAACTTCCAGCGACTGTCTCCGTTTGTTTCACCAAACTTGTGAAGATGCCTCACCATCGCTAGATTTAGTTTCTGCCCCTTGCTTGACTAACATAACTGCCAAATTTCAAACTGAGAAAAAGGTCCATGTTTGAATGAAAAGAACTATTTGAGATAAATTTTGCTTCTACAACCCAGAACTGGTCGCAGTACAAGCCAAACATTAAGCAACACTGTAAAGCAGCGTCTTGAGTCCTCACTTGGTTGATGAAAATTAACTAGCCAGCTCAATCGCATGAGATTCCCAGCTAGGCCAGCAAGCGCTTTGATGCCATCATGAGATATTGGTAAAACTGCTGATGTATCTACAACTGGTCTTGCTTGTGGGTGGTATAAAGTGTTTGCTTTTCTGTGTGTCTGCATGTCGACCAGTGAGGTTGGCGGTAAGCTCGACTACTCGCCGGTATCCTGGCGGGAGTACTTTGACCAGATGGAGGATGTCAATGTGGGACCAGCTGACAACAGAGACGTCTTCAGGATTTATAAAGCAGGGAGTGAAGGACCTGTGCTGGTTCTGCTGCATGGAGGTGGTCATTCGGCTCTGTCCTGGGCTGTCTTTACTGTGAGTAACTGGGCCATTAGCTGGACGGATGACTGGGTGACTAGTGGGTTAATCAATGGTGACCATATCCTGAATTTTGTCACCTTGTTTGGTGTCTTTTTGTGGTACAGACGGCCATTTCCAGCAGAGTGACCTGCAGGGTGCTTGCCATGGATCTCAGGGGTCATGGTAAGGAAATACAAAGGGTCTCATTTTGTCTTGAGTGATATTTGTCTCCTGAGAGACCGTCAATGATTATCAGAAAACTGGCCAGGGTTCATGGTATTTCACTTTTTTGGACTGATGTAGCATAAGCAGCAATTCATGTGTTGTACCAAACCATAGTTCAGCTGTGGTTATTAATTTTTGCCAGCAACAGAGAGTCTGAGATCATGAATACAAGCAACACAGAGCAGTCTTGCATTAGTAATTAGAGCAGAATCATCTAAAGGGAGCGTGGGTGGAATCACTTCGTTTTGGCATTGAAAAGAGTCAAAGAGTCTTTTCAGGCATGTTCAGCTGTGGTAGAGATGTCGAGATAGACCTGGATTTCCATGGTAGGGTTACGGCATCTGGCCTGACAAAGCCTTGAGCCTGCTCGGGATTGGAACACCTGGGACACTTTACAGTACTTGCTGCCACTGCTACCTGGCCCCTGAATACGCTGCAGAAAATGTACAGACAGATGTTTGTTTTTCATGACTCTCATGTTGCACTATACTATTTTGGGGGGACCTCAAATTCTAACATGGGGGGAAATTTGATCTTTGTTTAGGTGGTACCCTGGTCCGCCAATCAGATGACTTCTCCACTCAAACTATGTCCAGGTAACAGCGCCTGACACAACTACAATCAGTAACATTACCATCCCCTACTATCATTGTTTTATTCATGGTTTACCCTTCCCCCTCAAAGCGATGTAGCCAATGTAATTCAAGCCTGCTATGGAGAGGCTCCTCCCCCCATCATACTGATTGGGCACGGTGTTGGTGGAGCAATCGCAGTGCATACAGCCAGCAATATGCTGCTCCCAACAACTGCGGGCCTGGTGGCGATAGACGTTGTGGAAGGTATGAGTGCACGGTAGAAGCACTGCGATACTCACACCTACAAAACACCTTTTGGATTAAATTTCCCTGATAATTTGGGAATCTATATGTTCATAAATACAAGTCTTCTTTCTTAATAAAGGCAGTGCAATGGAAGCGCTTCATAGCATACAGAACTTTCTGAAGGGAAGACCCAAGTCCTTCAAGTCCATGGACCATGCCATAGAGTGGAGGTGAGTATTCAAGAAATCACGGCATTCTGAGTAGTTGCCCAATAATGGAAAGGTCAAGTCTTTTCTAGACAGTGGTAAGAGAGGACAAGACAGTTTCCCTCTTGGTCTCCTTGGTGGCAAACATGGGCTACTCCTCACTGATAGAAGGCTCTGGATGGTCTCCTTCAAGGGCCTTTTGAGTCCACTCGGAACCAATCCAGTACCCATGTTTGCTGACTGAATAATACAATTTTGGCAATCCAACAAACACATGTTCTCGATTGCCCAAACACCAACTTCAGCCCAATATGAGTGAGTGCCAAGAGTTGGCTGTGATGGACAACTGCCAGGTACAGTTCGTGGTATATTTGGGACCCATACAGTACCCTTCTTTTCTCACTGTATGGCAGGACCTTGTTTGTGCATTATTGTAAAGGTTTCTTGAGATCATCCCCTTGATTTCCCAAAGATGGTGGGAAAATTTGCATGTTTACTTATTAGCTCTTCAAATGCAGTCAGCACTGGCTAAAATCTGAGTAACCTGGAGCACTTACCAGTCTCGTTTTTTATGTTTTGCTCTATTCAGCGTCAAAAGTGGGCAAATCAGGAACCTGGAATCGGCCAGAGTTTCTATGGTTGGTCAGATCAAAAGGTAAATTTGCTTCTTATCGGATCACGCATGACCTTGTCTTTGTGTATTTGACCACATGTAATCAAGAATGTACATTTTTTTTAATAGTTGTTATAGAAAAACTATTAAAAACAGAAGGTCCTCTGTCTTTAACGTTAAAGGACAACATAAGTCTGAAACCAGATTAAGAACCTTCATCGGGCAGAGTCACATATGTCAAAGGAGACTTGTACTGACCTGCCATAAAAACCTTTCACTCGCTGTCTGAAAGATGTGAGGTGGAGGAGGCGAACTCTCTGGAGGAAGCCAGCCCGGTGACCGACGTGGTAGTTGAACGTAATGAAGAGTTCTACGATCAGAGCTACGTCAACGACAAAGAAAACGTCACTTCGGAGGTGATCCACTTATGAGTGTTATTATATTTACTGTTCTGCCTGTTTTATCACAACAACGATGAGCATACTTCTGTTCAAATGTGATCACTAGAGTGTGTACAAGTGGCGTATAGACCTGTCCAAATCAGAAAAGTACTGGGACGGCTGGTTCAGAGGGACTTCGAACCTCTTCCTGGCTTGTAACCTGCCCAAACTTCTGCTACTGGCTGGTAGGTGTTTCAGAATCTCATGCTGTGCTTTTATTAACATGGTGGAAAGTATGACAATGAATCTGTAATTTCAAGAGCACTTACCATGAAAGTGCTTATGTTTCCAGGAATCGATCGGCTGGACAGAGATCTGACGATTGGCCAGATGCAAGGTAAGGTGCTGACTCAGAGCCTGCAAAAATAGTCATATGACGTGTTTGATCCAAAGGCTTTCCCATGCCTGTAACTACATAGAACTTTAACTCTTTATAGGGTGAATAGGTGAGTAATTAAAAAGTTCAATCTTAAAGGTACACATTTATTTCTGCTGTTAAGTTGGATAATTTCCCCAGAGCTCTATGGGGATTGACTCACCTTTGAAGACAGCCCCTAGTGGAAACTCAAGGAACTGTATTTGTTTTTCCTCCCAAACTGAATCTGTACTAAAACTAGGACTGTGTAAAGTTTTATATATAGTTTTACATGAGAAATGTTTGGAAGGAGATATCAAAGTATGCTGGGCTGATGGGAAATGTAGTTTTGCAGTGACATGTAGAGGCGCATTAGCAGTGGAAGTAGATGACATTTTTTTTTTTTTTTACACCGACTGTTGGAGAAAAAGGCGAAGGATGTGTGTGTGTGTGTGTGTACAGGTGCAGACATTACTCTAGTGACACACACTTAAACACATATACACACACCTTGAGGCAGCAGCTCCTCTCTAGAGACGGCTGGTCCTGTCAGTCAACAGTTGGAAGTGACAGCCTGAGGTAGAGAGAGAGTGTGTGTGTATGTGTGGTAAAATAGCACTAAGAATATGTTCAGTCGGGGTGAGTGTGTGACGGACAAGTCTCTGCGATTTCTCCGTCTGCAGGTAAATTCATGATGCAGGTGCTGCCCCCCTGTGGCCATGCAGTGCAAGAAGACAAACCAGACAAAGTAAGAGAAATGACTTTATCTCTTACTGTCCAAAATAAAAAACGTTATCGGTAAAAATGTCGGCTAACTTCTTTTTCAACAATGATCAAGAAGCAGATGTAACATTCATTTAAAGCTCTGTGAAAAGTATTTATTTCAGGCACAATTTCAACTGAAATAAACGAAATTATCTCCGTTTCCATGACAAACATGTAAACATGAATCTGTTCTCGAAAAGGTGGCTGAAGCCGTGGCCTCCTTCCTGCTGAGACATAAGTTCGCTGAAGCCAGAGGAGAAACTAAGAGGTAAAATATTCAATTATTAACAAAAATGCAAGAGTTAATATTACTACAAAAATTATACACTTACTCAACACTCAGGGAATTTTCTCCTTCTTCTCTGCAGCCCGAACTCCTTAACACGATGAGGTCGGCAGGTGAGACTTTATCTTAACACCTGTTTAAGGTAAAGGTAAAAAAATGAACAGTGGTCTAAAGTCATACTTTTAAACTCCTGTTCAGTTTAAAAGTAATAGTTTCATTTTTTAACAATTTTTCTCTTTCAGACACATCAAAATGAGCTCCAGATTCAGACCGAACAGCTTCTACATTTCCCTGAAGACCAGAACAAACCTCTGTTTTTTTTTTTATTTTGATTTTTTTTCCTTGAAAAGTTTACTGAATGGGTTGTACAGCTTCGGTTCAGCTCCAAGGATGAACCGAAGTTAATCGAATTCCAAATTTTGAATTATCAAATTAAAAAAGTTTACAATACGATCTTTATTGGCTGATGGGAAGTAGCTTGTTGTAGCACAGAGTATGAATGTTTAAATTTCCAAACCTTCACTTTCACCGACTAAATCTTCAGACAGGAGAGTGATTGACTTGTTAAAACAAAAACCGTAAGTGTAAATCAAGAATAAAGACATTGTTTTATTATCCTGTGACCAATGTGTTCAAGTGAGACATGTTAATGTTAGCTTCTGTTTCCATAGTGACAGTTTAGTCGTCCAGTGTGTCTGGGGTTCCAGTTTTTATCTCACTGCTGCTTTCTAGAGTTTTTTCTGTCCGTTACAGCTAATTAGTCAAACGTATTTTGATCCAAGTGTATCACTTATTCATATAGAAAAATAAGCATTAGCATATTTAGCTTTTTGTCCTGAATATATTTGACATGAATGTGGTTGTTCTGTATTAAATTCACTGTAATTCATCCTGTGTGTGCTTTGTGTCTTCACTTTATCTGAGGAGGTCATCCGCTAGATTATAAGAAATTTAAATTTCTGATATAAATAGCAGTAAAATTCTAAGAAGCATAAATTCACCTTCAACAGATTTTAATTGTCTTACAACTTAAAGAAAAAAAAATTGTATTAACTGGATTTCTCTGCAAACTTTTAAAATGATTTCTCTAGTTTTGTAGAATGAATTAACGCTTTGAAAATAAAAAATGTGCCTGGTAACAAAACAAACATTAGTGTTATATTTTGAGTTTAAATACATTTTACTTTCACATTTAACAAATACTGAATTACCAAATGCAGCGTTTTTTTATTAGAACAGATTCGTTGTAATAAAGACACTTTGTTTCTTATGAAAACACAATTTTTTTCATTTCTAAAATGCTTTAAGTAACGAGTCAAAATGTTGAGCTTTTGGTTATTTATTAAAAACTGGGGAAAAACAACAACTCCAATGACATCCCAGATGTTGATTTTCAAAGACGACACACAAACGCAAGGCTGGGATAGAAACAAAAACTTGCAATAAAATTTTATTTAAATTCTGTCCTGAATCAGAACACGTGCAACAACTGAAACACGGAAACAACACGGCGTCACGCCGCCTCATATTTACACGTGTATGTATTTTTACGTTTGCGTGCACACCACACAACCACACCAACAGACGCTCTGTTAGACAATTAATCTGTATAAACATACACATCATTTCACGCTCTGTTGTCATGGTAGCAGAGTTTACATGGCTACAGATGCAGTAGATCCTAACTCAAATTTTGCCGTCTCTCTGGAAGGATCTGAACGTTAAAACCCAGTTTATTCTCTTATTTGCTGACGATACCCTCTTTTCTTTTTTTTTAGCACTGCTTAGATTTTTGACATCAGTAGGATCACTAAAATTCATAAATACACATACTTAAGATTATAATATACGATTTAATCCTAATGGGATTCATCAGATCTAGCAAAGTTATAAACAGATCAAAACATACAACTTCAAAATATGGCAAAATATATGGCAGTCAGTCGATGAATACACACGAGCTGCAATTTGGTGTGAAATCAAGGAAATATTCCATCTGACAACAATATTCACAGAACCAATTCAACATGGCAGGAGGGACCTTGAGATGTGTAAAAGGTAAAAGTTCCTAAAAGTGTCTTGAAAAGGAGAGTTTTCCAGAACCTTCCAGAGAAAGAGAATTAAAGTGCATCAAGAAAAGCCGCTGAACACCCAATGACAGCCAAACACAGCACCCGAGAGAAAATAAAGAAGCGTCATTACCGACTGTGACATGAGGGTCCAGACTCCAAAGTGTCATTTATAAAATTCACAAAGTGCTTAAAGTCAGAATTCAACATTAACGACTCACCTCGTTACAATGAGAATCAAATCCATAAGATTCTTTAACTTCCTGGGAAGGAAAGTCGAAATCAAGTCTCATCAGTCGAATTCAACGGGAGATTTGTTTTAGTCAAAAATTAACGGTCCATCTCACTTTTGTTTCACAGCTTTTCAACTCTTGTAAACACTTAAATTAAAAACTGTCAGTTAAAATTTCATTGTCTTTTCTCCTCTTGACGAACTCCAACGTAGTGGATTACGAAATGTCTTTTGGCGAATACTTGCCTCAAGTTTTATGCCGTTATGTTCAAGAAGCGGCAAAAAAAAAAATGCTTGAAGATCCTTAAAGTTTTTCAGAAGATGCTGGATCTAAATGAAGAGAAGAGTTTGAAGAGCTGAAATACCAAAGTAAAGAGGTTAATTATCGGCACATGTTCAGACTCAGTGGTTAATGAGAGGTCGGGGCGGTTTCTCGAAATTGTGTGCATGTGCAGACGGTTTTCACGAAAACTGGCCGCTGGACCTGAACTTTTCAACTTTAAAAAAAAAAAAAAAAAATCAACTTTCTCAAATATTACATTTGATCCAAACAGTCAGGACTAATTTAATGGGTGTTAAAGTAGAAGAATATTAATTTGAAATTACGTGGAAAAATAAGAAACGAAGAAGTTGAAGTGTTCTGGGATCTGGAGGACCCGTCATGCCACAGCAGCCTCAGTCTATCAATGAAAATAGAGAAAAATAGATTCAAAGGTTCCAGTTCACTTTCAGTACTGCGGCAGCAGAATTGCAGTCACATATAATAAATTAGAGAAACATTGCAAATATGAAAAAAAAACAAAACCAAGAATTCCTTTAAAATAAAGCTTCCAAAACAAAGGAAATCTTTTGAATTCAAACATTTTTCACTGAAAATCGTCCAAAAGAAGGCAAACATATCAGTCATCATTCATATATTACAACAAATACACTCTGCACCATTTTACTACAGTTTAAATTAACTAGTGTTTTTTGTTTTTACTTGGTAGTTTAGAGCGAAATAAAAGCCCTGAAACTGAACTGTGAGGAAAGAGCAAAGATTAGGAAGCAAAGTAGCAAGAAACTTAAAAATACTTCAAAGTCTTTCGAGTTTCGGAAAGAAAATGAGCTCAAAAGTCGGACTGGAGACACCGACACGAGTTTGATTTTGTCGCGAAAACCCAAATCAGGGAATTGCTGTCAATGCCGTAAACAAGTCCTGCAAACATTACAGTTGATTATTTTACTTCTTGAATTTACTTTCAGGAATTTGAGAAAATGAAAATTTTGTGCCGTTTTTAAATACCAGCACTGAAAATAATTTACGTTCAAGTCAAACAGTTTGGATCGGTTCAGTTTTGGCGTTCCGGCCGACAATCTTGCTCCATTTTCATCCAGCTACATCAACAACCAGATCCTGAATTTTTCAGGACAAACACAATAATTTAAGTTCCTATTAAGGTCCTTTAAGTCCAGTATGTATGTACAAATACACAAATAATCAACAATTTCAACCCGCCTGCTCGGCGCTCAATCACATTGAGAACCAGCTGGCCATGCGGTCATGACAGGAAGGAAATCAGTCTTTGCTGCTGGGTGTCTTAGTTACAAAAATATACGTCTCCTCTGGTATCAAAATAGACGACAATCTTAATCTTTCTCCTAGTTTGGTGAAGTTCGCGGTGCCGGCGACACCGTGAAACAACCGCAGCCTGCACACGTGGCGTAGTGGAATTTACAGATTATATTTACAAGCTCAAAACTACACTGAAAACTACAGCAGAAGAAGAAGAAGAAGAAGAACTTTATTGATCCCTTAAGGGAAATTCAATAATTCAGGGATGGTTTTTTTTAGCTAAACTCCACGTGTCTACTGCTCTGGATCTTTCAACACCTGTGTAACTTGGGTCACGGCTTCCTGTTATCAGTCCCAGCTTGATTTGTGGCGTTAAAATGGCAGCTTATGCTTCTCTCGCTGTACAGATCGAAGGCTTGGAAATGTTTGCGTCAAAACATCCAATCTGTGATTGTCAGGGGTTGAAGAAGTTAAAGATATAGAATTCAAAAAGGCAGCACAAGGACAGGCTAATGGACATGTTTGGTTTGTGAAATGGACAGATGGACGGACATTAAGACGTCTAAACCAGTCAACACTATCACAAGGTTCTTAGGAGGCCCTTTGCCCAAACTTTTCCACTCTGGAGAGATCCCCACGATGGAAGACAGGTCAGCAAAGTTTTAAGTAACTTGACCTTCTGGGTTGATTACTTGGAAATTTATGAATGTTGGCCTGGCTTAGAGATTCTTCATTTGGACACACTTTGAGATGACGGTGGTTGGCTGACGATTTTGTCAGTGAATTGTTTTAAACATGGAGCCCACCGATTTCTGGAGAGGCGTTTTGAGGCCCTATGATGGCATTTGCCATGTTGGAAATACTGGCCTCACTGACCTTTTGGTCAACCAGGTGCACACCTATTACTCTTGGCATCAAAACATGGATATCCAATTCTTTGTTGAAAAGGCCGCTGGACTTGCTTGAGGTTCTTGAAGATGTTTCGCTTCTTCAAAGACCTCAAGCAAGTCCACTTACCTTTTCAACAAAGAACTGAATAACTACGACCTGGATGAATGAGAACTGACCTAAAAAAGTTTCTGAAGTGGCCTGTAAACCGGATCAGTTTTGCTGTTCCAGGCTTTTTCGGACCAGCCCCATATGGTCCTGGTTACCAGATTTTTGCGCTTCCGCATCGGCACCCGGTACTCTCAAGCTTTTCGATCATTGGCTGAATTTCTTTCCCAACCTGCCACTGATGGTGGCGTGATCTGCTTTTGCGTAACTTTGATCAAATATGAATTGGAATAATAACGATCTTGCCGGGTTAATTATGATTATTGTAACATTCAAGTTTAATTTGTATGGTTGAATAGATGATGGTGCATGCCTGTTGTTATCAACAGTGGTCCCGCCCTGGCACAGAATTGGTCCAAACATGCCATTTCTACCAGGTGGTATATTTATTGTACAAACTGCGGGAATACAATTAATTAGCCAACGTCTCCTCCATCATGGCGACATCTCACCTTTAACTTATTTCAGACTGTGCTTCTTTGTTGTCGTAGTTATTTAACTTCCTTCCAGGTACTGAAGCTCTTAACAGCCCTACAATCAGGTCTACAGTGTCTAATACCACGGTGCGGTATTTTCCTGGATAAACCTAAACCCTGTCTAGAACTACGGGCACGAACAAGAAGCATCAAAATTAAAATACTGTCTCAAGATTATCAAGATGACGGAACCTTAAATCATACAAACTGGCAAAAGGAGATTCAAAGAAATACCATGTGGTTGCTTTTCAATACTGCATCAAATTGTCATTGGAATACTGCCGTGATCAATCGACCGCTTAATTAAAACACAAGAAGAAGAAAAAAAACAAATCCTCTGCCCAGAGTTTGTCCCTTTGATTCTCGAATCTCACTTCTCCAAACTGAAAGTCAGTAACTGAAGACGACACACACGGAGCCTTGGCGACTCAAATCGACCTGAAATTCAATCTTCACAAGCACCAGGACCAGACTAGGAGGTGAACAGCCTTTATTTTGGTGTCCCATTCCAGTTTTTAGAAGGTTTTTTGTGCCACTCTTTCAGAAAACAACAGGAAACAGAATATTCCACAAGAGGTCCCAAGACAAGAGCAATCCTTACCGACCATGGTCGAGTAAAAATATGTTGTTAATCTGCGCAAACTCATGTTTGGAGTTCCCAGGGCTTTGTCAACTTCACTAAAAGTTGCCAACAATGGAAGATCAGTGCGTTTCAAAGGGTGGATCGTATTTTTGGCCAACAACTTTCCGGGTCACAATTCGGTTCTACTCAAGTGAAGATTCTCACCGATTCCCATCTGCTCTTTGGAAGTCCGGAGACAAAGGAGGAGCTTGACAGTATTTCAAACAAATGAGCAGGTTTACCGGAATCTTTCTCAGCCTTCATGATCGATGGGAAGAGCCGAGAAAGAGGTCGGGTAGTTCATCTCTGTGGGTTCATCAGGACATCTTCACGTCAGATCAGATCAGATCAGATCAGAAGACTGAGTGGAACTTTGGAAATCTCCAAGAGCAACACCAATGTGAAGTGGAAGACAACCCAATCAAGTCCTGATCCATCCTCATTGTGTGTCGCCGTAGAGATTTAGTCCAAAACCAAGTTTCCAAACCAACCCAACCGTTATATAACCAAGGTCCACTGCCACGAAACAGAATCCTGATCCTGCCTCCATTACAGGCCTAGAGAAGATGGTTTGGTTTGGCAAAGTACTGTTCCTAAAGGTCCAAAAGAAAAACCCTGATGGCAATTCTGGGGTTACTCAAGACAGATGGGAACTAGAACCAGGTTCTGGGTCAAGCTCAAGTCAGGTTTGGTAAGATGTGGCCTCTCTAGAGTTTCAGACGTACTTTTACATATCTGAACCAGATACGAGTCCAGTTTGGCTCTTGGATTCTGGTTTGGCTCCTCTCAGGACTTCTCCCCGAGCTGAGATTGCTCCATCGGCCCCTCCTCATCTGAGAGACCAGTTTCCACTGTGATGACTAAGGAGGCGACTGAGGCGCTGCTCGCCATTGGCTGCAACTCACCTGGAAGAGGAAAGGAGGCCGCGTTAGACCAGAGGGTCACCCCAAATAAGACTTCATCTGAATATTTGACATAAAACACAGAACAGAACCCAAATATCATTGGTTTAGGTCTTTCCCTCTGGTTCTATCTGATGGATTTTTCAGTTTGATATAAATCCTGAAAACACGTGAAATCTAACTCCATCATGTCCAATCAGAAAAAATAAGCTGTATGATGTAAACAAGGTCAGAAACAAAAAACACACCATTTCAAAAAAGTATAAAAAAACAACAACAAAAAAACACTGAGATCTAAATTCCGTATTTTAGTCACCAAAAGTTCAAAAAAGTAAATTCCTTCATGGTGAGACTAAAACTGGCTCATGTTCCAAAATCACCACTAGGTGTCAGTGTGACACCAACACACAGTTAGGACTCTCACAGTCTGTGTGTGTTACCTGTGTGTGTGTCAGTGGTTGCTGTCACTGGGCTGTCTCTCAGGGTGTCTGGATCCTGGTAGTCCTGCGGTAGCCCCACCCGTCTCACCCCAGGGTCAAGGACCACAGAGGAGCCGCCCTCGCTCAATGTGCCGTCACTGGATGCCCCCGACACCACGGCCTCCAGCGCAAGGGCCCCGACTCCACCCACTCCGACACCTCCAACCCCGCCCACGCCACCCAGAGCCAGGTCATAGTCTAGAGGCAGGTCGTCCAGACAGTCTGCGTTCAGCTGGAGTCAAAGCGGACAAGCGTCAGACACTTTACCCGTCTCTGAAGTTTCCGCTGAGGGTCTGTGTTTCAGAGACTCGCTCTGCAGATCTTCACACAAATCTTAACATTAACAACCACTAACCATTTCAGTCAAGAGAAATTTTACATCAGCACATCTTCAGTTTTTACCCCGCTGACTCTGGTTGTTCCTCAAACCCTTTAACAGATTTAACATTTGCCTAAAAGTGTGACGGATGTTGTTAAAGACAAATCAAACTCACAGCGATGCCCAGAGCTTTGAGGATGTTCATCTTACACATGGGACATGTGCGGTGATCGAGCAGCCACGGATCCACGCAACTCTTATGGAACAAATGTCTAAAAAAAAGGAAAATCATAAAGGAATCAGTGTGAACATGCTTATAAATCCTTAAACTTATTTTACAATCTTTTAAAAGTTGTAATTTTTTTACACCAACGTTATTCTGGATGTGAACAAACAAACTAAAACACCAAATTTAAATCAAGAAGAAGAAAAGTCAAAGAAATGTTCAGTCGATGGAGTCTAAGTGGATACGGACTTCCACCTGGGCCAAACTGTCTCAGGGGTGTTTACCTGCAGGGAAGTATGCGGACCACGTCGTTGGCCTTGTAGCCCTCGATGCAGACGGCACAGTTGTCAAAGTCGGCCTCTGTCTCCTGGTCGCCTTTTCTGATGGTCCGAACCTGCAGCTTACTGATCGCCTTCTTCGCTGCATCGCCTAGACGGCGCTGTGAGGACAAATGAAAGATTCAATCACAGGTGAGGGTGGGTTCAGGACTGGCAGATGATAACGGAAACCAAGTGTCAAATTCTACAGAAAGTATAAGAAGAAAACAGGACCAGAACAGGTGTGCGTACCTGGTTGCGGTCCCGTGCGTTGGCGTATCTGAACCTCTGGATGTAGTAGAAGACGAGCCAGGCGAGCGAGATGATCATCAGAACGATGAAGGAGATCGAAACAAACACCACCGACGTCCTGCTCACGTACTTCTGCAGGTTCCTCGTCCCGATGGTGATCGTCATGGTGACGGTCACATTACGCTCCAAAAGCGATACCACCTCCCGACCTTTGGGCTCGGGGATCATGATGGCGACCACCTCGCCTGTACCTGAGGAGGTGGGTAAACACTGAAATTATTCTACTGAGTCAAGGACAGAAAGAGGGTTTTCTTGGTTTAGGATAAAACTGAACGATCACTTCAATCTGTAAACGGAAATCTACAGATGTTCCTTAAGTCCCCAAAACGAACCTTTGTCCCTCTAAACCATTGTCCTTTTTTTTTAAACTAAACCCAAATGTCCACGGGTCTCGTCATCTCCTTCTCCCTTCAGTTTGAGGTTTGTAAACGAGTTCGTAAAAAAGGGTGAGGTATCCGTCACCACAGACAGGAAGTGGTAAGAATTTGCTGATATCAGTGCCATCATCAGTTCTGCTTCTTGGTCTAATTCTTTACTGGCAAAGCCATAAAAGCAGAACCATAAAAATTCACATAACTGCGCCTTCACGGTATAGATTTCATGAAGTATTCAGATCCGTCCAAAACATCTCAGCTCAAATCTCAAACCTCTGACTCATAAGAAAAGAGTCTTTTCCTGACTTTCACCACCTCAAAGTTTTAAAATCTCGTTTAAGACCGAACAAGTATTTTTCCGGTATCCTGTACGAAGAGCAGTGAGAGTGAACTAAAACAAAAAGTTTCCCAAAACATCAGCTGAACCTCACTGTACAGCTCCACAAACCTGAGGTTGGGCGCCACTTTCACACTGTTGTATGATGAATTTGAATTAAAACCACTTTCAAGAGCAGCAAGTCTGGAACATTCCACACGGCTGATCCTCCTCCAACATGTTTACTCAATAAAATGCCAGAGAGTAGCTAAAAAAGACGAAATGTTCGACCTGCTTCAAAGGTCAGGCGGTAATAATTCACCACGTTGCTCAACGGGAGAGTGTTAACCTCCAGACCACAAAACCAGCCATCAACAGCTGAGTCTGAAACAACACACTATCTTTGTGCTCCAGCGAAGATGACAAGTTAGAACATGATAACATCAGCCCTGCAGATGTCAGGAAGAAATGTGAGTTTGTGATGCAACCAGGCGGTTTGGGCAATTTGTTAATTTCAGGTTGTCCTTGTGACTTAAGCGTGACAGACCTCGAATAACCCAGAGCGCAGAGAGACGAAATCAGTCAGGAAGAGAGATAAGACCGAGGTCAGGAGGGGAACAGAGACTCTTCAAAATATCTACAGAGACAAACTGGGCCATCAGATGAAACCAGGACTTTTGAAACTAGGACTGGAATAAAAAGTCTGAATATTTTCCAAGATCCAACCGAGAGTAGAGGTTTCAGGAATGTGCCGCCATGTCTGACTTTTTAAATACATGCTAGTCCAACTGAAACTGCACCAAGAAGGGCTGGGCAATGAACCGGAAATTTACCGATACTGAACTATACGACAATAACCAACGTCATTTTGCCCATGCTAGTATATTCAGTGTCAAAGGAATAAATAAATCAAAGTTGGTGTGTGTAATGTGTGTGTAGGTAGGCTATGGTCTCATGTCCCTTTAAGACGCTGTCCTAGTCCAGTCCGTAACAAAGAGGGAAAGACAGGTGAGGAGATGGAGAACGGTTCAAAAGTTGTAGCGGCTGAAGTAGACGAAGTTAATGTGGGAGGGGGTGAGCAGCTTGTGGAGTAGTTATCGTCCATTTATCGTTATCGAGGTGAACTGATCAATATATCGTGATATTGATTTGAGGACATATCACCCAGCCCTAGTACCAAGTCAAATTCCACAAAGTCAGTCCAATATCTCAAGATGACATGGTCGGGGATTGATCTCTTCTCTGCACGCTCCACAGTTCGCACTTGATGAATGATCAACATTTCTCAGTCTTTCTTTCAAACTTTTACGACTTTATGCAGATTATTTTCATCTGGGTAGTGGAGTTTTATAGGCTATGCTGCAGCTTTAATATGACATGTGAACAACATTTCAGGCCTGATGGTGACAGGCAGCTTTGTCATTTGGACACAGAAAAGACGACAGAAGACATTGCAAACAGTTTCATATCCTATCAGGAAGTCCAGAACTAAGTCTGTTTAGGACTCCTCTCTGTTCTTGTTTAGGGGACAGATGATCCGGCTGGTTTTCTGTAGTCTAAACTTCCCAGAGTCTCGACAACAAGCTGGACACGCCAACATCACGTGTGTTTTCATGACGTCGGCGTGTCCTGACACTCTGAACCGAAAACCTCACAAACCCCGAAACTTCAATTTAATTAGTCCGAGTATTCTGGAGAAATGAAGAGAGAAACTTTTGCTGCTCTAATCTGAAAAACGTGCTCTGACCGTGTGTGTGTGTGTGTGTGTGTGTGTGTGTGTTGGCTGGACCACAAGTTGGATACACTCCCCCAAGGCCTGATGTGAACTTGATTCGACCTCTCCGAACACACAGAAGCAGAAATTGATTAGTCTCAGCCTAAAAATAAACCTGTGGGATCAATGTGCCGTTCACCCACACACACACACACACACACACACACTGATCCTCTACCTCTCTGAGGACCAGCGCTTGATTTAAACACTCACCAACCGACTTTAATATTAACCGAAAACTAAAGCGTTGGACATCCTCACTGCTAAGGAAAGGGAGCAGAAAGAACGGCAAAAGGAAATATTTTGGAGCAGCAGGAGTTTCAAAAATACGAGGATAGGAATGACGATAAACAGAAAAAATCCCATTTCAATGAAATAAGTTTTCAAAGTTTTAGTTTTAGATAAACACCGATATATTCTGCAACTCCAGAAATACGTCGGCGATAGCGCTGTAAAAAAATCAAAATCATCTGTAACTGTTTAAAAGTTATGTTTTTGGAGCCAGAGGAAGGAGTTAATCAGTACGGCTGATTTTAGGTCACTACGGCCGACAGGCTAACAGCTCTCGCCGCTCTTTCTAAGAGGCCACGCCCCCAAATCTGAACGGCACAAACCCGCAATTAAACACCCAAACCTGTTTTCTGAACCGGACTGTAAACACGTTCGGTTCTGCTGTGAGGTTGAACTTTTTGACATAAGGCTCTATGGTGGTTTGATCACTTTAGGGGGCAGCCCCTAGTGGTCGCTTTGTGAACTGCAGTTTTTGGTACTTCAGCGTCATTTTTTATTTCCTAGTCCTTCAGGTTTAAAAATGTCGTTCAAACCGGAACAAACATTTTAAAAGACCTTTTACAAATTCACTTCAGCGATTTTGAGACAGAAGTTCGACATTTGCTGTTTTTCTCTCTTGATTTAACGGTAAACTTGTTAACTTTGTGTTTGGACAAGAAATGTTTCAAATTCATTGCTGTAAAAAGTTATTCAGATTAGGGCCCGACCAATATGGATTTTTTGGGGCCCTTGCTGATACTGATTATTGGGGGGGATCCGATTAGTGATTAATCGTCCGATTTTTTAAATTTTTTATGAAGTTATAAAAAATGTATACTGTAGATATACTGTAGGCTACTGCTCTTCGCACTGACAGGAAGACCGACTAATCAAACTCCGACCACAAAAGCGTTTTCAACTACCCCGCCGCCGATCGGTGCTTCCGCATCTTAACTCACGTTACACATTTGTTGTTTATTCTACCGTTACTGGCACGGCTAACAGTGTAGCAAGGCTAATAGAAGTTGGCTAACTCTAACTTTAGCTTCATATTACATGGCGCTTCACCGTTAATTCGGCGTGACTGAGACCAGCACAGTGGGGATCATCGTGAAGTGGGTTGAACTGAAACTTGTTGACTTAGGCTACAGTCACAATTCTGATTTTTTGTTAAATCCGATCTTTTTGTGCGGTCGTTCACATTACAACAACGAATGCGGCATCTAATGTGAACAGAATGTGTCCGTGAAGTGACCCACATGCGCACAAAGCACAAATTGCTCACTGCGCCTGTTTGTGTTGTCAAACTAGGTGACATTTGTCGCGTATTGATGACGTTTAGATTGGATGAACCGAATCTTATTGTCTGCATTTTATTTCTGAAAATACCGGCGAGTTTGGACGATTACCGACTCGTCTCAAACAGGTTAAAATGGGGCCCTAATTCAGATTTTTATTTAACTGTTTTTCTACTTCCTGGAAAATGGATGGAGGAAATAATTTGCTGATTAAATCACAGAATCAAAACCAAAACTCTAAACCATGTGAAATATTTCTGGATTAAAACCGTGACGGTTCATCCTTCATGCCGAAAATAATTCAATGAAGGTTCATAAATCTGAGCAAAGAATGAGGAGAAGCTGCCAGCTCTGGTCAAAAACCGACCCTGACCCTGAACATGAACATGTCAGGGGGAAGCTGATTTAAAGTAAACACATGCTGCTGTGGGAGCTTCAGGGATCCCTGAGGGGGTTTTCCAGCTGACAGAAACAGCTGTTCAAGGAGAACAACAACAACAACCAGGAGGGTCCGCATAAACTGAAAACCCCTTTAAGAAAGCATGATGTGACCCTGGAACAGGAAGAGCAGAGCAGAGTGGAGTCTGGTTCCAGCAGCCTCAGAGACCTTCAGTCAGCAGTTTGGCTGATAACCAGATCAGACTGATCGACATTGTCACGTTTCCAATCCGACTGACTCAGCAACAAATCTGAGACTACACAGCTGTAACCAGGAGATCCTTCCTGGTTTTTGGTCTTTAAAAAAGTCTGAAAATGTCAAAAAGGGTCATATAATCTTTAAGAGATTTAGTTTGAAGATATTAAAAGACAAAAAAAAAAGCAAATTCTGACCGTTTAATCAAAAGTTAGAAAAAGTTTGAGTTCTGTTTGGTACTTCTAAATTCATACACACCAAATAGGTTTTAGATTATGTCGTTGAACGTCTTCAGATTCAGGAAAGAAAAACACTGACTGTGGGTGATAGGAGTCTGTTATTTCGTTGCCATAGAAACGGGGATCATGTTATGATTCGATAATTGCTGGGAATGACTTTGGCTCCAATATCACGACAATTCGATTCTGGACCTGAATGCTTTATATTTTCATTTTTTTTATTAAGTTCGGTGGCCGAGAACAGCCACTGCTGCAAATAAAAAAGAACGCAAAAACAAGAAACTGAAGCACGTTGCAAATAAAAAAAGAAACGGTGCAGATAAAAAAATGGAAGTTAAGACGCAAAAAAAAAACTACTCACTGCGAAAAAAAAAAGAATGCAAATAAGAGAAGAACCCACAACGAAAGTTACCAATATCAAAAAGTTTTAAATAAAATGAATCCAGCTGCAAATAAAAAAAATGTGCTGATAAAAAAAAAAGTCACAACAAAAGTTAACAATACAAAAAAAATAAGAAATAAATAAATTCTACTGCAAATTAAAAAAATTTGGCGATGATTAAAAAAAAGTCACAACGGAAGTAAAAAGCGCAAAAAAGTGGCAATGCAAAAAAAATGTTGCTTACTAGAAAAATTAAAGGATGCAAAAAGACAAAGCAAAAATGGAAGTTAACAGTGCAAAAAAATTGGCGATGCAAAAAAAAAAAGAAAAGAAAAAGTTACTTACTGGAAAAACAAAAGGATGCTAATAATCAAAGCCACAATGGAAGTGCGCTGTCGGGGACTGATAATGATGATGCACCAGTGTTTTCCGATCTAGGCACAGAAGACGAAGGCGAGAAGACGAGCGAAGAAGTAAGTGGAAAGGTTATTGTTTAATTTCGCTGTGTAAACTTGTCAGAGTGTCATTTGGTTAGGCCACGTTGCGCCTGAGTCGACACGAAGTTAAACTGGAGGATGCCGATGTAATGCTAGCTTCGACTCAGGCGCAACGTGGCCTAACCAAATGACACATCGAAAAGTTTACGAAATTAAACAATAACCTTTCCACTTACTTCTTCGCTCGTCTTCTTGCCGTCGTGAAAACACCGGTGCATCGTCGTGATTGGTCCCCGGCAGCTCATTTCCGCAGTAACGTTTTTGTTTTTTTTTGCGTCGTAAACTTATGTTGCGGTTTCTTTTTTTATTTGCAGCTGCGGCAGTTCTCTAACATAATTTAGTGATTGTAGGAAAGGCGAAACCTCTCAGGTCCTGACACGTAAAAACAAAAAGAACAAAAACATGATTTTTTTAAGAACTCCTGGATGATGTGGTGACTCCGTGAAGTTCTGACGAACCCTTTGTGATTGGTTCTGGATGGTTAATAACATCTGTTAGAGAAGTTTTTCAGGATACCTGGATGAGGCATGGTGATGGTGTCGTTGGGATTAGCCGACCCCACATTAAAGATGACCACGGCGGACGCGTTGTGGTGAGCAGCGTGGCGGATCTTGTCCTTGTAGGTGCAGTTTCCCCGGGCTATCAGTGCGATCCAGGCCCCGGTCTGAGCGGGCACCGAGAACCGGCTGTGGGGGTCGCAGGCCTGGCGGTCGTGCGGGGCTGCGGGCAGCACCAGCACCCCTTTGGCGTCCCTTTTCGGGGAGTGCTCTCCGTAGCGTCCGCACTCCGTCTTCTCGGTGCGGAGCTCCGAAGTGGCCGGGTCCACGTAGGTGATGTTCACGAAGGCGGTGTACCACTCCTCCCGCTCGGCCACCGTGAAGTCCAGGCACAGCAGGTGGACGAAGCAGAAGGAGAGCAGCCACGTCGAGAGGGCCAGGCTGCGGCAGGCCGCCACCAGAGAGCCCGGGGCCATGCTGAGCCTCCCCGTGAGAGAGAGAGCGAGGCGTCCGGCGGTTGGAGACGGCAGACGGCTACTCCACCATGCTACCGGAGGACCGAGAACTGGGGGTGCTGAATCCGTTTAAGCGTTTGATTTCGAAACCTACTCAGTTTCAGACCGCTCTCTGTCTTATTTTAACCGTTTTTTCGGGCTCTTAGCCGCTCGACGTCGCCGCCACTCTCAGCCTACCGAGCAGCAGACGACCGTTAGCCGCCTGCATTTCCAGCCATGACGGAGAGCCACACAAAAGCAGCCCGGAGAAGAAGAACCTCAGCGCGGATACAGATTTAGACTCGGTTTACAGACGAGGAAGAGGAACTACATGTAACCTAATTTAAGCTCCGAGCCGAGGAGTAACGACAACATGAAGTTAACTGGAATTCTCTGTTAAATATTTACAGCTAACCGCAGCAGGCCAGCTAATCTGCATTGTTTTGACGGGGCCCGAAAGAAAAAAACGTTAAACTACAATCAACCAGAGGATCTACTTCCGCATGTGGATTTTCAAAATAAAACACAATATATACTGAGAGAGCGGCTTATATTCAACACGTACCCACTTTTCACTCATTTAATTCAATGTACCGTTCACAGTTCAGCAACACAACACAATATACCAAATGCATTCAACAAGTACCAACAATCGGCCATCAACTAACAGGCAAAACTAAAGGGAAAAAAACTTGGCTGCACAATAAATAACATGATGAATGAATGAATGGGTTTAAAAATATGGATAATAAATAAATAAATAAAAAGCAATCCATAGTCAGGTTGGAAGAGTGGTGTAAACATACATGAATCAGGCATTCATGAGCTATGTACATGCATACATATTACACTACAGGCCAAAAGTTTGGAAGCAAGGCCATTACAGGCCGAACAGTTGGGAGTAACTTCAAGTTTTTCTTCTTTTTTTAAAATCCAGCATGAGTTTTATGTATTTTGGGATGTATTTACTCCATGATCAACCGTGAAATGATGTTTGAGAAAGGCTGGTCCGAAGGGTTGTGTATCCGCAAAAAAACACTACTTCGGCAAAACCTCACAAAAAATGGACTTATGATGACTAGAAACAAGTTTGCCCTGTTTGGTTCAAAACACAGAGTCTATGTCCGCAGACAAACTGGTGAATGTCTGAAAGCTCCATGTGTTACACCCACAATTCAGCATGGAGGTGGTAGTTCCATGGTATGGGGATGTTTAGCAGGTGATGGAGTAGGAGATTTGTTTGAAGTAAAGGGTATCATGAAGAGGGAACAGTACCACTCCATCCTCCAGCACCATGCTGCTCCATCTGGACTCAGACTTGTGGCTCTTAAGTTTGTTTTGCAGTAAGACAATGACCCTAAGCTCTCTGCCAAGCTCTGTCAGGGTTACCTGGACAAAAAAGAAGAGGAAGGTGTTCTTCAAAAGATGGTTTGGCCCCCTCAGTCTCCAGACCTTTCTCCAGTTGAGCTTGTGTGGGATGAATTGGATCAATTGGTCTGTTTTTAATGAATTTAAGAAAGCTTGGAATGCAATCCCTGGAACAGACCTTAGAAAACTTGTGGAACGAATGCCTGGTATGCCAAGCTGTTGTTAAAGCCAGAGGAGGTTACTTTAAAGAAAGTCTAAGCAACAATAACTCAAATACCTCATAATTATAGTCAAAATGTCTTCTGATAAGTTACTCTTTACACAATAGTCATGTTTATTGTGTTGCAAATTATAGATATGAAACTATGATCTTGTTTTTGTACAAATCTGATCTTGCTTCCAAACTTTGGGCCTGTAGTGTACATGTACACATACATACACATATTCACACTAAAGTCAGGCGTTCATGAGCCGGATGGATGTGGGTACAAAGCTTGACATGGCTCTCTTCATCCTGAATGCCAATGATCTGTATCTGTGGCCTGAGGGTAGCACACTGTAGCGGCTGTGCAGTGTGTGTGATATCTGAGGTTATGTGTGTACCTTTTAGTTCAACCCTTCTGTTGTAGATGTTGGTGAGTGATTCCTGCTCCGGTCCAATTATTTTACTGCTCATTGTTATGATTTTGTTGAGTGGCCCAAAAGTTAAATTTAGCATGACAATGATTTATCTTTTAATTCGTAATTTTTACAACAATTCAATTTGGTTACACAATAATTAAATTTTCCTTTTCGTGTTTTCTGATCCCGCCGACCTTAGTTACCTGTATTTTGAAACATTTTGTTAAACAGCTCTGAATTAGCACGCATTGTGGTTTTATTCTGGAGGATTGAAATAGTACATCCGGTTTAAATATGTCTGATTGGGCCAGCTGATTTTGCGCAATAATCTGAAGCAGCGCCACCTGGCGGCGTGGCAGTCAAACAGCTGCCGCTCACTTTTTACAATTCCTCCACAAACGTCTTTTAATCCAGGCTCTCGATTCACCTTTGGAAAACTAAAATGAATCTCCATAAATCATTAATAATCAGTGTGTGTTTGAGTAGTACGAGTCAGTCCAGCCCAAAAATGAAACCATGAGGCATTTGGTGACAGAAATAAACGAAATGTTCATTTATTTTAAAATCCAAGAGCAGCAGCCACAGTGAAGATTTCACAGCATCGACGTAAAAATGAAATGTACAGACACTCTTCATGATAAAACAAACACTGAGGATGTAAAAAAGAATCTGTACACTGATTTCAAACAGTCTGGGAGTCTATCCGAAGCTGCCGTCTGGAGGCCGGTACAGTTTGGGGAAAGTGAGGAGCTGAACGCCGCTGAAGGCGAATTTTCTGTTGCCCACGTTTTTCTGCACGTTCTCCATCCTGCAGCCATCCCTGTGCGTCCACACACACATAAACACACATGCGCACAGTGAACAGTGAGATGGATTAACTTGTATGAAATATTAGATCCAATATTTGTTTAGAGAAACTGATTAAAAAGGAAGAAACGTGTCATTTGTTGTTAAATGAGATTGTCCGGTCAAAGTAGTTCTGAGGATCCCCTGAAAAAAAGACAATAAAACATGAACGTGTTCTGGTTTAATTCTCGTTAAAATCTAATTAAAGTATCATCAGGTATCTCCATGTCCTCCAGTGTTCCCAGTCCATCTGGCTCTACTGGTACTTGGCGAGCAGAATGACCAGGCTGAGGATGAGCCACAGGACCAGCAGGTGAGACGTGACCAGCAGGAAGGCCACCGGGTACAGGTGACGCCTGGGAGCTTTAGGAGCCCAAAAGGTGGGAGACCAGGAGCCCTGCAGATCAGAGGGGGAGACCCCGGAGTCTAACCCACAGATAGAGACGCCTGGCTGGGTGTAACAGCCCAACATCTGCCCCCAGGACAGACGAGACCTGGAGGAGGGGTGTGTTTGTGCGAGCGTGTCGGATAAAGAGTGATGAAGGGATGTGAAGAAAAAGAAAAAGGAAGACAAAGATACGATGAAAGAAAAGAGGAAAAAAGAATATGAGAATGGAAAAAGGTCAAAAGAAAAGAGACGGAAAATGAGAAACGTTAAAACCGAGAAGAAAGAGAAACTAAATGTTCAGTCTAAAGGTCCTTACGCACCGGGAGCGGTTTTGTCGTGTGATTATTTCGGACGTCAATTTTTTTTCGAACCCGTATCCTGTCAATACAAGCATTCACATCAGCGACGTTTTCCCGTCTTGCAATATTGCGGCATTTATTTTTTCAGATCACGGTCGAATTTTCTAAAGTTTCTCAGACTGTGTGTCCACTTCTGACCAATCAGATTTCATGTTGTTGCGACGTCAGATTCACTGGTATATCCAACATGGCCGACCGGCTGATTTTTTACTTGTCGAAGAACAGAGTGCTTTTTGATTAAAGACACAAACATTACAAAGATAACGACCTGAAGGACGACTTGTGGAGAGTCATAGCGTCGGATTTCTCATATGACGATGGTTTGTGAGCTTTAACAGTTTGATAAACGTCTTTGTTTGAACTTTCATCTGTGCTAACGTAATATATTTGCGTCATACCTGGTGTGTAAGGACCTTAAGACAAAGAAAATAAATTTAAAAAAGAGAAAGGAATGAAAAGGTTAGGTATAAAAGAGGGAATGGGAAGAAGAGAAAACATAAGGATGGAAAATAAAAAGTGGAGTAAAGAATTGAATCAAAAAAAGGAGAGAAAAAACAACTAGCAGAGATAATTGACAGAAAGAAAACAAAAAAGATTAAAAATACTAAAAGACTGAAAAATGGGATAAAAACAAAAGGATTAAAAGAAAAGTGGAGGAATAGAGATGTTCGGTCACAGTGTTTGATTCCGTCGTGTTTCTGAATTTTACCTCCTCATACAGTCGAGCGCGGAGCTGAAGCTCTGCTGACTCAGTGTGTGTTTGTCTCTCAGTAACACACACTGCTCCAGAGTCACCGACATCGCCGTGCGGTCCTTCGCACTCTTACAGCTCGTCAGGCGCACGCCGTTCACCTGCCGACACACCTGAACACAAACGCAGTCATCTTTTACACTTCATCAAATAATTATTTATTAAACTCCGCTGTCATCAGATTCTGGGATTATTACACAAAAACCACAACTGCAGTTCATAAAATGTCCACTAGAGGGAAGGTCCAGAGTGAGTCGATCCCCATAGGGTCCCATGTTAAAATGTCAAACATCTTACTGTTGCAGCGATCCAGAGAACCTCCACGTTCTTCCTCTTCTTGGTTTCAATACATCGCTCTAAAGAGGACAAAGAGTCTGACAGTGACTGGATACCAGCTGGAGAGGGAGAGAGAGAGAGAGAGAGAGAGAGAGAGAGAGAGAGAGAGAGAGAGAGAGAGAGAGAGAAAAGAAGAGAATAAGTTAAAGGGATATTCCGGTGTAAAATTAATTTAGGGTCAAACACACCGTAACACCGAGTTAGACCCCCCCTCCAGAGATGATCATAAATGTTCTTCCTTGAGCTGCGTCACCCCGCTGTAGTCCATAATGGACTGGCCTGAGGTCACGCTACAAACAAGCGGCTGCTGGAAGAGAGGCGTTTTGGTTGAGGTTTGTTTATGGCTCCTCAGACCGCTGTGTATTTCTATCCTGCGGTCGTTACTAAAGTTGGTATAACTAGAGAAGCAAGTGGTCGACAACATTCATCTCTCGACGAGGTGTCTAACTCGGCGTTACGGTGTGTTTGACCCTAAATTAACTTTAATAAAGTTCAGAATTTCATTTTATTAAGATTCATCCTTAAACAAAAACACCCTCAAGGTTAGTGAAAGACTCAAAAATGAACATAAAAACAGAAACACAGACAGACGGAGAGTCTCACCCATATGAGGCAGTCTCTCTCTCAGACTCTGACAGTAAACCCTGAGTCTCTCACAGCTCTGCTGGTTCACTCTCTCCTGCAGAGAGCTGTCACCAAACCTTCGATTCACAAACAGAAAAAGACGATCAGAGAAGAGAATTCAACTTCATCCAAAACTCTGCACCGTGAACTTCAAATCAGGGGTAAAAATGAATAAAACAACAACACTTGAGTTTGTCAGGTGACGAGGTTTTAGTTTGGTGGGTTTGTTCGTACCTCTCAGCCAGACTCTGCTGCTGGTTGATTCCGATGTTGAAGAGAACCGGATGAACTAGTATCAAGCGTCCCTCTTTCACTTCTCGAGGCAGCGATGTAAAAGTCTCTGAAGGTAACGGGACCTCGACGACAAATCTGCCCCTGAAGGACGAACGCACAGAGAAGGAGTTTGCTGAGAGTGGCGGCCTCTGGCAGAGGCAATGATTCTGGTCCTCACGAGTATAGAAGTGTTTAAGAGTGTGTGTGGTTACCATGCTCCTCTCAGTGTCGGCAGCAGGTCGTCCGGTTGTTCCGTTTTCGCCTCAGTGACAGTGAACGCAACACCGCTCAGGTCTGCCACGCCCACCTCCATGTCCTCCAGCATCCCGACCTCGTCACCTGACAAACACACACCCATCAGTACACCTGTATACAGTACATAGAGCAGGTAAATGTGTGTGTGTGTGTGTGTGTACCATAGGTGCTGAGCAGGCCTTCAAACTGAACCAGGAGTCCGACGGAGAGCAGCTGCTGCAGGAACTCTGGGTCCTCCAGGCCGCCGTACAGCTTCAACATGAAACCGCAAACCGCCGCCGAGAGCTGAGGAGGCAGAGGAGGGATGACTCTCTCTGGGTTTGTAGACATAGACACGATAGAAGCAAATACACCTGGCGCTACCTGATCCGTCCCAGAAACCCAATAAATTCCCCCTTGACACTTTGAAAAGTCAGAGAACCATGAATTTGACCGGGTTGTGGCGCTCTCTGTGGCCCGGGAAGGGTGCACAATGGGTGGCCACGCACCTCTAGAACATCCCCCCTTTGATACTTTGAAAAGTCAGAGAACCATCATTTTGGCCGGGTGGCAGCGCCCTCTGTGGCCCAAAAGGTCTCACCGTGCCTGGCAGGAACTCTGGCGAATACCTCGGCATTAACTCTGGAGCGTCCTGCTGGCTAGCCTGTCACATCGCCGGCTTGTTTCTGAATCGATCGGTAGATTTGCACTTCCACAGTTCGTATTGGGTAGATGGCGACTCACTGCCGTAAAATACAAATGCCAAGAGAGGTACGTTTCGCACATGCTCAGTACAAATCAGGTTTCCGGGACGGATCGGGTAACGACAACACCCAATCATCTCCGTGTGTCTCACCGTCTGGCTGAAGACCGCATGGCGTCTCTGGACAATCTGTGTGGGTCCCTGATTGAGAGTGCAGGCTACCGCCCCCTGCAGGATCACAAAGGTCATCGCAGCTCGAGCCTTGCAAACCGCCTCCCGGACACAATCCCTGAGAGTGACCACCAGGGGGAGCAGCTGCTCCTGCCAGGAGGCGGCAGAGAGGGAGGAGGACGCTGGAGGAGAAAGACAAAGACGGGTTCATGTTTCAGAGTTTCAGACTTCTCTCTGTTTGACGGATGAACGCCAAACTGTGTCACACCGGTGTTCTGAGAGTTTGTGTCTCCTGGAGCGGCGTCCTGCTGGTCTGATGGCGTCTGATCCTGAGGTTGGTCCTCTCGCCCCTGCAGCCGGTCCAACATGACGATGATGCAGTTAAGGCTTTTGGCGACATTGGCCCACGTCCTGTCCTACAAAACACACGCGGGATGAAAAACGAGTCAGAACACGGACCGCTAAACTCTTCTGGTAGCCTAGCTTGCTAAGTCTATCATTTAACTCATTCAACCCCACTTCGAAATACCGGAATGTTCCTTTAAGTAAGTAAACGATCAGTTGCTATGACAACTCCTAAAGTCTCGATTCAGAAAATCACGCTTGCCCATTCTTCCTCGTCATACTCCGCGTCCTGTCTGCCGGCGTCCTGTTGCCCCGGCGATGACTCCCCGTCTCGACCATCTGACGTGTTGTCACAGATCAGCCCGTTGCTGTGGACGTGGCTGCTGTTGTAGTTCGCCGAGAACTGGTTGTGTATCGCCAACAGCGCGCTTCTCACCAGCTCGTCTTTGAGCGCGTGAACGAACAGCTCCGTCTGAGGAAGGAGAGAATCTCAGAGTTCGTTTTTCTTCGTACGCCACCTGCTCACCTGTGTTTCCCGCTTTTTTTTTCTCACCTGTTGAGCCAGAGCCTCGAGGACCTCCTGCAGCCGGGCCGTGTTGTGCTCCAGAGACACGGCGAGAAGCTCCTCGGCTAACCCGAAGACCAGAGGCTGCAGCTGGGCCACGTTGGAGAGCAGCTCCCTCGCCCTGGAGCTCTCGTCCTCGGAGTAAGAGACGGAGCTGAGAGAGGGGAAAACAAAGACACATAAATACAAGATGAACCCGCAGAACTCCCAGCTATATTCTGCTATTTTTGGTCCGCCATCTACAGGATAAGTCAGGGAACTTTTCAAATGGCGGAACATTTTCGAAGTGAAACCGAATCTTATTCTCCGAATTTTATATCTGAAAATATCGGCGAAAAACTTGTTTTGCCGATTACCGATTAGTCTCAAAGGGCTAAAATTGGTCCGACTCTAATGCACACCAGTCGAGACACTGCGACTTAGGGCCGGGCGATAAACTGAAAATTAACTGACGTCATTTTGCCCATATCGGTATAATCAGTGTCGAAAAACTAAATAAATCAAAGTTGGTTTTGGATGTGTGTCGGTAGGCTCTGGTCTCGCATCCGGAACATCTACGAAAAGGCCGTATCCACCGATCGCAGCTGATCGTAACCATTCAAGTTAATCTTATTCTCGGCATTTTATTTCTGAAAATATCGGCGAAAAACGGCGAGTTTTGGCCGATAACCGATTAGTCTCAAACGGGCTAAAATTGGCCGATTCTACAGAGGACCACATCATACTGCTCAGAATCTCTTCTTTGCTTGTTTCCAAACATTGAGGACCATTATTTCTGATTTTGGAACTTTCTCGTCTCTTGTTGATCTTTGGTTGCCTCTTATTGGACACTACCGTCAAGGGAACAATAGAAGAAGAATATGAGACCATGTAATTGGTCATCAAAACAGCTTGTCAAAGACATTAGTGGCATTTAGTGATAGTGATCTTTTTTTATCACAACAATCTGATAAATAATCTTGTTTTCATCAGTATATATCACTGCGGATTTACCATCAAACGTCTCTGATCAAACACCTGTTTTTGTGTCTGGATTGTAAACCTTGTAGCAGGTGTAGAAACGTCTGGAAACCCTCGATAGATCGCCAAAAGGGTAAACTTTTAAACACTTTTCATCCCATAGAGATAAACGGTATAGTTCCTGAGAAACTGTAAACTATAGTAACGGTGTCACGTGGAATCGCCATGTTTCTTTATTTGACTTCCTGTTTTTTTCAAGAAGGTGTTCCAAAGTATGTGTCAGATTAGACCCAAACTGTCTTTTCCCGACAAGATTCCTCCCTGAAAAGACGGGATTACAGCCTCCTGCTTTAACGTTTTTAGCTCGTCGCTGCGTTTTGTGGGACGGAGGATCCTGGAATAAAAACTCCACCAAATGTATTTGTGCGCTGATCTACATACAGCCGCACTAATCCTGACAGGCAGACGGAGATTATTCAGATTAATCCACAGCTGCAATATTGAGAGACGGAGGAGAGCATGAATGAAACACACACACAGACACACACAGATACACACACCTGTCTGTGCTGTTGGTGCGTTTGCTGAGCAGCTTCTTCAGACCTCCATGTTTGAAGGCCTGGTGATGATCAGAAGGAGCGCCAAACGTGATCACTTCGTACCAAACGCCTGTGAAGAAGAAGAAGAGGAAATGAACGAGTCAAACCCAAACTCAACGTTTTAACGTGAAAATAGGAACTCAGAGGAAACAGGTTTTACCCGCGCTGTCGGGGTCGGTGACCTCCATCCTCTGAGAGTGAAGGTTTGTGGGAACAAACTGAAGGTGTTTGTCCGATTTACTGCAGCTCGACTTAAAACTGGAGGAAACTGTTGAGGAAAGAAAAAGGAAAAAACGACGACAGATGAATCATCACCGATAAAAGCTTTACTGAGTGATTTTCAGGGTGTGTTTGATGGGAGCAGTAGGGCTGGGCGATAAGGTCGCGGCGATAACTACTCCACCAGCTGCTCAGCCCCTCCCACATTAACTTCGTCTACTTCAGCCGCTCCAACTTTCTCTCCGTCCTCCATCTCCTCACCTGTCTTTCCCTCTTTGTTACGGACCGGATGGGGTGGAGTCACGTCTCTGACGTCGGACAGCGTCTTACCCCCAATTTTCACCGCATTCGGAAGCGATATATTTTTTTCTCCTATCCCTAACCTGACAGACGATGACGTTTCACAGCTATTAGGAATAACCAATTGGAGCCCAGCACTTTTAGCCAATCAGAGGCGAAGGAGGGCGGGACCTTCCCCTACCAGCCTACAAAAATAAAATAGAATGGCGGTAAATTTTTGCTGTCTGCCAATTCTTGCCGGACATGTTTGTGAGGCGAATTTCGTGGTGGATAATGGGCACCAGTAATTGCGAGAACTCACAAGAACCCGCGGATTCATGTTCAATCGCACGATACCGAGTCGTCTCTATAAAGACAGACACATAGACATATAAGCAGTAGATTGTGTCCTTCCAGAGGAGGAAATCTACTTCTAGACTTCTAGAATCAGCATCTCCTCATCCATGGTGTCATCGGGGTGAAATGACGTCTAAAAACCACTGCGCTGGGTCCGCCACCCTCCACCGTGCCGCTGGCGGGCACGAAAATAGAGCCCACGGACTCTGTCTGCGCAGAGGACTCTGACTTGACTAAAATGACTTCAGATAGATGTTCATCATAGATGTCTGATGAAAATGGAGCTACTGTTTGAGTTTCTCACACTTGCAGATCATATTGCCTCATATACCGTTACAAACTATTGTCTTCTCATGTATCGTATTACCTCATACTGTAATATTCGATAATCCTTTGTACCGTAATGTCATGTATCCCCGTTGTTTCCCATTTCTTTACATACAACTGTATCCTGTTACGTCCTTTAATATCACAAACTTCGTACCTGAGAGTTTGTCGAGCTCACTAAGAGTTTCCTGATAACCGCAAACCAGGTGATTACAGTGGTTGATGACATCATGGCGGAGCCCGTCCCAGTGGGGTGAAAGGTCACCGAGCTCCTTCACTTCTCGGACCCTGAAGGGCGAGATCGAAAAAATTATAAAAAGAAAAAACTATTTTGGAGGATTTTAAAAAGTAAAAGAAAAACAGAGAAAGACCTGTCCGTGTGCTCGCGTATGAGCGCGCTCAGTAGCTGTTTGGGTAAAGAGAAAGAGAGCGGGGTCTCGGACATCTGTTCTCGGACCAGCAGCCATCTTTGATCCTCCGTCTGAAACCTGTAGACCTTACACACCTGAGCACACAGAACTAAACACACACACAGGTAAGGGTTAAAAAGTTTTAAAAACACTTTCAAATGAAACTCCGTCATGGAAACACTGTTGGAGGTTTACCCGCTCTCATGGTCGGACTGTTTTCTCTCTCGTGGACGGAGCTGTGGAGGCTGTCGCACAACTCCGAACACTGCAAAGGAAAAAAACGGTAAAACAGCGATAAATTTACAAGAACCCTAACGACTCATCATCATCATCATCATCATCATCATCGAATCAACTCAACCTGAAACCGACTGAACAGAAACCGCAGAGGAGGTGTTGAAATGTGTGAATTCTTTATCTGTTTCACTATCAGGAAAAAAAAGGTGAGAGGCTAAAAAAAAAGGCGGAATTTTCCTTTTCTTTTCTCGACCTTGTGTTCAGGCGGAGTTCGGTCGCCGCTCTCTCCCTCCATCTGCAGACACGACACCTTCACCTCCCCCACCTCGTTCACTCGGTCCATCGTCCTGAACAGAAGAGAGAAACACTCCAGTTAAAAAAGACCCAAAAATGGTTTTTAAGTACAAGATACTTCGCAAGATAAACAAGATAACCGACAAGATAAAGACAAGTGTGAGAATAACAGGAAACAAGACAAGTACAAAAATGAAAAAATTACATTAAACTTCGTAAAAACAAGATAAAAATCATACTAAGGATAACCACAATCAAGATACTTCATAAGATAAGGCTAACTGGAAACAAGATAACCAGCAAGATATAGAGAAGTGTGAACGAGATGATGAGGAGAGCGAAAATAACAGGAAACAAGATAGGTACAAAAAGGAAAAAAACATAAAACTTAGTCGAAACAAGATAAATATCATGATAGGGATAAGCCAAAACAAGATAACTAGCAAGATTAAGGTTTGTGTGAACAAAATGTTAATGGGGGAAAAAACGGGAAACAAGACAAGAGCTCACTTGAAAATAAAACATTAAACTTCGTAGAAACAAGATAAATATTATGATAAGAAGAACCAAATACAAAATACTTTGCAAGATGTGGCTCACTGGTAACAAGATAACCAGCAAGATAAGGACAAAAATGAAAAGATTACTTAAAAAAAACATTAAACTTAGTAGAAACAAGATAAATATCGTGATAAGGATAACCAAAACAAGATACTTCGCAATAAAGCTAACTGGAAACAAGCTAACAATGCTACCCACGAACAAGATACTTGAGCCTGCTATAAACAAAACAAACATCAAAAACAGACTATAAACAAGATTAACAAGATGACTAATCATGACAAAATGAAAACAAACCGGATCTCTAAAAACTCCTCACCAAAACATGCAGAGAAAAATCTTGTGAATCTTGCTAAACTAAGCAGATATCTGATGATCGTTGGGTCATGTAGCTGAATCAAAGCTAACTTCAAACAAGATACAAAGCAAGACAGACTGGCTAAGAAGAATATTAACAGCAAGACAAAGTGATTACTTGTTAGATACACCTCCCCGTAAACAAGATAACTAGCCCAAAAACGCTACCTGTGAACAAGATACCTGAGCTCAAAATAAAAAATAAAAAAAACCAGCAAGAACAGACTATAAACAAGATCCCTGGCAACATAAAACAACTGTCTCACAAGATAAAGCTACCTTCAAACAAGATACCTTGAAAGACAGACTGGCTAAAAAGAACATTAACAGCAAGACAGAACTAGCCGTGGACAAGATACTTGAGCTTGAAATAAACACAAAAAACATTAAAAAAAGACAAACAAGATTAACAAGATGACTAACCAAGACAAAATTACATGAAAAAAGATCTCCTCACCAAAACATGCAGAGAAAAATCTTGTGAATCTTGCTAAACTAAGCGGATATCTGATGACCGTTGCGTCATTTAGCAGAATCAAAGTGAACTTTCTCCTCTGACTGTGAAAACAAGAAGTCCCGTCCTGACGCGCTGTAACTCCTGCTGCCTGTTTCAGGTATGTATGAGTCATGTGACACACCTGGACGCAGCATGCCGGCACAGATACTCCTGCTGTTGACAGCTACACCTGGGGCTCTTCTTCTCCTCCTCCTCCTCTTTTACTCTCTCTCTCTCTATTCTTCTTCTACTTCTCGCCCTCCATCTCTGAACTCTCCGTCTCTCTATCTGACTCCTTCGTGAGGCCGCGCTGCCGTCGCCTCTGTCTCTTTAAGGATCAGTGATATCAAAACAGGAAGAGAGACACTCTTTCTTCTCTTACAGGAGGCGGGGCCACACCTCCGCCTCTCACTTCCTCATCTGGCCTCACAGAGTATCCAAGCAACAGCCAATCAGGTGAGGCCTGATCAGTGCATCAATGTGAAATCTGTGTTTCATTCATATCCCTTTAAAGACAGCAGAGGTACTGAGCGAGAGGACGTCTTTGAGGCTCATTTTAAGTTGTTTTAAAGGTGGTAAAAAGTGTCAGTAAAATCTGTATAAAGTTAAAAAAGGTTCATGAATGAAGAGAAGAGTTTACCTGAGGCTGAGGGAGATGTGGGGCTCCTTGGATTTGAGCAGATCTCTGATAGAAAAGGAGGTGAAACCCAGAAAGCTCCTCTAGAAAAGACAGAAAAACCCGTCATAAAGTCTACGAGTCGAGATATTAATGATTCGTAACAATAAAAATTCACCATAATTATAAAAAGGCACATTTTCCTAAAACAGCTGTTGTCGTATGAAGAGTCCCTTGGTGTGTTCGGATTTTTGTTGTACCGTAATTTGCAGACGGTCCCTGTGCACTCGCCCGGCTACCGGCTGTGCGTAGAGATCGGTACTATTTATCCAGCTCGAAGAACGGCTTATTTGGCTGAATATCTTTCCAACTTTACCGAACTTTATCCCACTGCTGCCATTTATAAGCTTTCCGGCACACGACACACAAAAATAAGCACCCGGCTCTGTCAGTTTCCGGCACCAACTACCGTGAGGCTTTCCGTCTTTTCCAGCCTCTTCCGCCCAAGCCCGGCTTCCAATATCGCCGTTTCTTCTCCTGGATTGATGTACCTGACATCCATCGTTTGAAATTCGCCGTTCTTTTTTGACATGATTTAGAAAAAAAGAAAAAATTCCCGAGCAGGATTTCCGGCACTGTGCCGGAGGTCTTCAAGCCCTGTATTGATGACATTTGGGAATATCACAATATCGCTGTTTCTTCTCCTGGATTGATGTACCTGGCATCGTTTGAAAATTGCCGTTCGCCGATTTGTCTTCCTTTTCTTCTTCTTCTCCAGCAGGATGTACGCTATCCAGCGTAATGCGTCCCAGTCATATTCAGATGTAACTGACTAGGATGCTGCTCCTTAGTGCTGATTGGTTGTGTGTTGTGAGGCACACTCCATGTCCTTAAATTACGTTCAGGAGCCCAAACAAAGTTAGCGTGCTACAATATCGGACAGTAGAAACCAACCAGAAAGTTCGGAAAATTGTCTGAATCCTCCTTTGGCCACGACTGCCGACACAAGCAAGAAAACAAAGTAAATACCGGAGACTCTGGAGGAATAACGGGCGCTTAAAACGGAGGTAGACCGGACAAGAGCTAAAAAGACGGGTCAACATAAACCATGGGGGACGCTTGGGGATCTTGGTGACCCTGTAACCTTTCTGCTGGACAGGTAAACCGCCAAGTTATGATCAGACGTTCTTATTTACAGACACGGGTTTCTTAATTACCTTGCTGACATGTTTCGACGTGCTGGCAGCAGTCTTCCTCAGAGAGTCACGTGATGGTTGTGTGGCGCGTCTTAAAACAGCTGATGTTTCCGAAGGCGTCAGTTTGACAGATCCCTGAATCACATAGAATGATCCTTTAGCCCTGCATTAATAGTTCATGAGGCAGCAGGTACTAAGAGAAGCTTCGTTTTTCCTTTTTTTCCCTCAACACCTTTAACCAAACACTCCCATAAATCCCCCAAAATGTCCCCTAACAGCCCGACATCATATGCCAGAATTATCCGACTCCACGTTACATAAAGAGCTCCCAAACACTTTTAATCTTAATCTCGCCGATGTCCTGAAATATTAATTAATAAACCGCTCCCGTTGGCTAAAACTCATCACGGTTGGGTCAGCCAAAGTCGCCTCCCCCCCCCACGGCAGCATCGGCATTAAAATCAGTCCACTGCTGAGACGATAATCAGAAGCTCAGAGGATTACCTTGACGAGTGAAAAGCACTCAAATCACAGATTCACCAGCTCTAGATACCAGAAACAAACTCAGGGAAAATGACACAGAACTTATTTATTCTATCTAGAGCTTTATTTACACGTTCATTTCTGTCTAATGACGTTCATGAAGGGTTTACGACTCTTCAAGAAGTCTTCATTTGATTGAAAATACAGACCAAAGAAGTCGTTCAAAGTATATTTCCAAACACGGCTGAATCTCTTTGGTTTGGGACTGACAGCTAAACTAATTCAGTCATTTAAAGAAGTCTGCGAAGGCTTTGGGAAAGTTTGCTGAACAATATTCTGTATTTCTGACATCTTTTGGACCAAAGGATGAATAAATAAAACTATCAAACTGACGAATAATACTTGAAAGTTTCAAAAACCCTTCGTATTTTATGTCGTTTATGTTGACCCGGCTTTTTAGCTCTTGTTCGGTCTACCTCCGTTTTAAGCGCCCGTTATTCCTCCAGAGTCTCCGGTATTTACTTTGTTTTCTTGCTTGTGTCGGCAGTCGTGGCCAAAGGAGGATTCAGACAATTTTCCGAACTTTCTGGTTGGTTTCTACTGTCCGATATTGTAGCACGCTAACTTTGTTTGGGCTTATAAACGACACGGGGGAGCAGCATTTTCTTGTTTTCTTGTTGCCTGTTGTGGTGTTGACTGTTTTGGTGTTGACTGTGTTCTTGTTGACTGTTTTGGTGTTGACTGTGTTCTTGTTGACTGTTTTGGTGTTGACTGTTTTCTTGTTGACTGTTTTCTTGTTGACTGTTTTGGTGTTGACTGTGTTCTTGTTGACTGTTTTCTTGTTGACTGTTTTCTTGCTGTTTCCTTGTTGACTGTTTTCTTGCCGTTTTCTTGTTGACTGTTTTCTTGTTGACTGTTTTGGTGTTGACTGTTTTCTTGTTGACTGTTTTCTTGTTGACTGTTTTGGTGTTGACTGTGTTCTTGTTGACTGTTTTCTTGTTGACTGTTTTCTTGCTGTTTTCTTGTTGACTGTTTTCTTGTTGACTGTTTTCTTGCCGTTTTCTTGTTGACTGTTTTAGTGTTGACTGTTTTCTTGTTGACTGTTTTCTTGTTGACTGTTTTAGTGTTGACTGTTTTCTTGTTGACTGTTTTCTTGTTGACTGTTTTAGTGTTGACTGTTTTCTTGTTGACTGTTTATGGTTGACTGTTTTCTTGTTGACTGTTTATGTTTGACTGTTTTCTTGTTGACTGTTTATGGTTGACTGTTTTCTTGTTGACTGTTTATGTTTGACTGTTTTGGTGTTGACTGTTTTCTTGTTGACTGTTTTGGTGTTGACTGTGTTCTTGTTGACTGTTTTCTTGTTGACTGTTTTCTTGCTGTTTTCTTGTTGACTGTTTTCTTGTTGACTGTTTTCTTGCCGTTTTCTTGTTGACTGTTTTAGTGTTGACTGTTTTCTTGTTGACTGTTTTCTTGTTGACTGTTTTAGTGTTGACTGTTTTCTTGTTGACTGTTTTCTTGTTGACTGTTTTAGTGTTGACTGTTTTCTTGTTGACTGTTTATGGTTGACTGTTTTCTTGTTGACTGTTTATGTTTGACTGTTTTCTTGTTGACTGTTTATGGTTGACTGTTTTCTTGTTGACTGTTTATGTTTGACTGTTTTGGTGTTGACTGTTTTCTTGTTGACTGTTTTCTTGTTGACTGTTTATGGTTGACTGTTTTCTTGTTGCCTGTTTATGGTTGACCGTTTTGGTGTTGACTGTTTTCTTGTTGACTGTTTATGGTTGACCGTTTTGGTGTTGACTGTTTATGGTTGACTGTTTTCTTGTTGACTGTTTTCTTGTTGACTGTTTTCTTGTTGACTGTTTTCTTGTTGACTGTTTAAGTCAACCAATCAGGTTAGAGGAGGTGGAGAACGTCTTTGTTTACAGTCAGAAAAAATGTTCAAATGTTGACGACACAGACATAAGAGAACACAGAGATATCGATATATTACCAAATGTCATCAATAACTAATAACTATTGACTGTATTGGTGTGTATGTGGCCTCCGGTGGACACTCAAAGAACTGCAGTTTTTAGCACTTCAGGTCAGTTTCAATGGAATCAGCAACAACAAGAACAACGCTTCAGGAAATAAACAAACAGGATATTGAAACAGACACGCTAACACACTCTGGCTGTTGCCACATTTCCTCGTTTCCTTTTAAGAAACACACACACACACTGACACACACACCCACTGACACACACACACACTGACACACACAGCTAATCTGTTTTATCGAGTTCTTGAGCAAAACAAGCAGCTTTTCAGATTACAGATTAATCCCCATCAAACCTACACACACATACATCTAAACACAGACGATCAGATCAGACTGAACAGTATTTACTGAGGATCTACGTTCACACTGCACAATTCGGATTTTTTGTTAAATGGTGACGTTTGTCGGATATTAACGACGTATAGGTCGGACGAACGCGACCTAAGCGTCCACACTGCAGTCACATCGGAAGGAAAAGAGGCCTGGGTCGGATTACAAAAAATCGGAATTGCACCGTTCACACTTAAATGAAAAAATCGGATTTGTGTCACATACGGTTAAAAATCGGAATTGACCTGCAGTGTGAACGTAGCCTATGTGTGTGAGTCTTTCTGGCTAAACCCACAGGATCCAGAACGGCTCGGCTTTGCTCCGGACCAGCAGGTAGATCAGAGGGTTTTGCCTGTTTGTAAGAGTGCGTGTGTGAACATGTGCAGTACTCTACCTGTCCAGCAGGGGAGCTGCCTTCTGCCGGCGGACAGAAAAACTTAGTGCATGCCACCATCGCTCTCTGCATCCCCGCCATTTCCGCAATAAACGATAACAGATTAAAACAAAAAAAAGAGTCTTTTTTCGGTTTTTCTACATCAGCGTTCGACTCCGACGAACTCCTGAGGTCTACAACTGAAGTTAAAATAGAAGTTCACTCAAGAATGCGACACGATTCCGTCTTTTAGATTCTAAAAATGTATTTGTTAAAATAAAGAAATGCCTCCAGGGAAAAATGAAACTACCCGACGAAATAAAAGCTAAAAGAAAAAAGAGGGAGCTTGTGAGGTGATTGGAACAGCAGCAGAAACATGAAACCATCACCCAAGAGGAAACTGTTTTTCTCTTAAATCCCTCGATCTTATTTATTCTCTTACCCGCTCTTTTTAATCTCTCTGCCCTCCGACCTTTGACTCTTACTCCTTGTTGCTTTTCATGTTTATTTCACTGTCAGACACAAATAGGTCAGGCGCCGCGGGAAATGCCGCTTTAAATTTCCTGAAAGCCCGATAATGACTCAGTGTCGTTGGAGAAATTTCACCGCTGATCTAATTTTAAATGATTTTAATCGATAAACTACATTTAATACTCTCTGTTAAATAAAACAGATGAATGTCCCAAATCGGAACAGGCTGAAAATCGAGTTAAAAATGATTTTAAAAAATGCTGTAATATGAGCGGACAGGTTTTGAAAACATTCTGATGCTTTTAAGGTTTTTAAAAAGTTACAAAACACCTCCAGATATCCAGTTTAACTTCAGCTATATTTCATATTTTAAATATTTATACGGGAGTCAAAAGTTCTCAAATCCAAACAGAAGCAACCGATCGAGAGTTTCTAACTTAAAAGCGGCAAAAATAAGGAAAAGGTTTGATTTAAATTTCAGTCTTTGGTTAAAAAGACTTAAAATGTCAAACTTTGGACGCACCGACGATCTCGACTGTGATTTTTAAAGTGGTTTAAAAGTATTTGAGGTAAAGTACTTTGAAGCAGATCAGAACTGCAAAACAACTTTTAAACTATTTTTTTTTTAAAATATACAACTCAGCTTTTAAAATCAATAAACTTTGACTTTTAAAAAAAGCCAAAAACTTTCACTTTTTCTTTAAATCTTGAACTTTTTTTGAATCAAACTTCAATAAATGTTAAAAAGTATGAGCGGACTTTGAACATGTGACAAAATTCTCTAAAATTCCAGGTTTAAGTTCGTTTTAAGGGGATTTACTTCAGTTTCAGTAAAAATCCTCCTAAAAGTTGATTTTTTTCAACACGACTTTGAAGATGAACTTTTTCATCATCAACAGTTTCTCAGAAACTTCTGGACCATTTCAGTTTCTGTCCTGACATCCGAACTGATGATTTAAAAGCCGTTTAAAAGACATTTAGTTTGAATAAAATCCTCAAAAATAAAGTGAAAAATCGAACGTCTGAAGTTTCCAGCTGCACCTGAACGCACCATCACCGCTGAAGCTGACTGTGCTGCACGAACGTAAGCGATGACTGTGAGAAACCTGTCCCTCTGTCCAACACCGCTCCTCTTCCTCTCTTTCTACGGGACGGTTTTTAACGAAACGACAAAAAACGAGAAACCTAAAAGAAGAAAAACGACGAGGTAATCCGTAAATCATTCAAGAATCGCTGCTAAATCCGACATCTTTGGCTGCCTCGTCTCCGCTCGTCTGCAGCTGAGAATCACTCAAACACACCGAACGAGTGTCTCTCTGCTCCCTCCATCACCTTCCTCCTCCTCCTCCTCCTCCTCCTCCTCTTTCATCATGTCCGGCAGGATTAAACATCCACCGGCATCATGGGAAATATGCAGATTAGCGAAGCGGTCGGTCGGGTTGAGTTTGGAAAGGAGGGGAGAAAAAAATCCAGAATATCTTTTTATTAAAAATATCTCACTTTGGCTCGTTTAACTCTCTCTCTCTCTCTCTCTTTTCATGTGTGTGTGTGTGTGTGTGTGTAGATTAACTTTAGTGTACGTGTGTGAGTGTTACACGTATTACACATGTACACATCCTTTGCTCTAATCCTCTTAAATTCACTTTTTCAGGGACGCACACACACACACACATAGACACACACACACAAACACACACTCACTGCAGTGTGTGTCAGTGGCTCCTCCCCCTGGTACACGCTGACTTTGATCCGGCTGTGACGGTAGAGAGGATAGTCGCCACGGAAACACACTGAGGTCAGAAACACACCGTCATCCGTCTCCTGGAACACACACACACACACACACACACACACACACTCGTAAAAATGCGCACACACTGTCAGTTCAGTCACAAAGTGTGTGTGTGTGTGTGTGTGTGTGTGTGTGTGTGTACCTCCATCCTGCAGCAGCAGTGCCTCCTGACAGTGTGCGTGTGTGTGTCAACCACACATACTTGAACCTGGACTCTGGACGCCACGGCGACCACACCTGCGGAGAAAGCGAGGCGGCATTAAGAGGAGAGTGTGTTTGAAACTCTGATGGAGAAACACAGTACGCTGCAGTATCTTGAGAGTGTGTGTGAGTGTGTGTTTGACTCACAGAGTGTCAGGTGCAGCGGGGACACTGGAGCAGTGAGTGTGGCTCCCCCTTGTGGTCAGAAACGACATCATATCAACACACAGTTTCAGATCTGAGATATTTTCATTCATGTGTTTGGCCGTCGCGGGTGCCGCAGCTCAAGGAAGAACATTTATGATCATTTCTTCATGGAAATACAATCAGACCGAGATGCTAAGGCAGAAGAACTACCGCGTCTGTAAAATGATTAATATGGTGATTATTACTTCAAGGAAATGATGAAGAAATGATCATAAATGTTCTTCCTTGAGCTGCAGCACCCCGCTGTAGTCCGTAATGGACTGGCCTGAGGTCTCACTACAAACAAGCGGCTGCTGGAAGAGAGTAGGTGAGTTGTGTTTAGTCTCTTTGCTAAAGAAATTTGTCGTTGTCTTCTTCTGCTTCATCCTGGTCCGGGTCGTGGGGCAGCAGCTTCAGGAGGGAAGTCCAGACGGCCCTCACCCCGGCCGCTTCCACCAGCTCATCCGGGGGGATTCCCAGGCGGTTCCAGTCCAGGAGAGAGATATAATCCCTCCACCTGGTCCTGGGCCGGCCACGAGGTCTCCTCCTGGTGGGACATGTCTGGAACACCTCTAATGGGAGGCGTCCAGAAGGTGTCCTAACCAGATGCCCGAGCCACCTCAGCTGACTCCTCTGGACGTGGAGGAGCAGCGGTTCTACTCTGAGCGCCTCCCGAGTGTCCGAGCTCCTTACCCTATCTCTAAGGCTGAGCCCGGACACCCTGAGGAGGGAACCCATTTCAGCCGCTTGTATCTGCGATCTCGTTCTTTTGGTCTTTACCCAAAGTTCATGACCATAGGTGAGGATCGGCACGTAGATCGACCGGTAAATCCAGAGCTTCGCCTTACAGCTCAGCTCTTTCTTCACCACCACTGATCGGTTAAGCGTCCGCATCACTGCTGATGCCGCTCCGATCCGCCTGTCGATCTCCCGTTCCATCCTACCCTCACTCGTGAACAAGATTCCAAGATACTTGAACTCCTCCACTTGAGGCAGGACCTCCCCTCCAACCTGGAGAAGGTAATCTACCTTTTTACCTCTAACTAGTTTTCTTGCCGTTTACTTATTCATGTCTTCCTAATTTCTTGAATTAGAGACATGATGATGCAGATTTGTAAAAAGCAGTAATTCAAGTTTTATCAGGTCCATCCTCAAGGAGAAAAATACCTGAGATGTTTTTTCATATGTAGAAGCATTAATGCACTATCTCACCTGCTGTTCCGGAGTCTCCACTGTCCTGCGAAGTCTTGTGTGTGCGTTGTTGTGTGTGTGCATTAAGAAGTGTCTGCAGGTGTGTGATGCGTCTTTTCAGCGAGTCTGTGTTTGCGTTTTTCAGGACGACAAGCCAGGAATCACAATCTGGAGGACTGCTGCACTGGAGGAAGACAGGAGGGTCCCCGCTTTCAAAGGCTGAATACCAACAAACACATTTAATAAATAAAGTGACATAATGAACTAAAGACCACAACAAGTGTGTGTGGATGTGTGTTTACTTACTGACAGCCAGCTGTGTATCATCCCCTGGAAGTTTCATTACCGCACACCTCTCAAGCAGCAACACCTCCTCTGGTTTGCCGCGCTGCACACACACAAAAACTAGAATTATATTTCGATTAAACGCCAAAAAAGAGGGATGCCTGTCCCTGATTTCTCACCTTTTCCTTGAGGATGAAGAGCATGTTCCCTCTGAGCCGACAGAACCGCTCATTAAGATCTGAAACGAGAGTTCATACTCCATATTTATCAGAGCTCAGATCGTGGCTCTCTGAAATGTTCCAGGAAGTCAACTCAGAGTGAGTCAGGGTGTCAAAATAGATGCTGGTTTACGGTGGAGACGTGATTCAAAGAGAGCGTGAACAGAGGAATCATGGAAAAGGTACGAGAAACGGACGAAGAAACTTAAAAGACAAGAAGAAAGAGCAAATCAGAGCAAACGAGGACAGCAGTAGATACGAAATCAGAGACAGAGACGGACAGACCTGCCGAACCTTTGACCTGACGCCCGACTCTGAGCGTTCCCTCTCTCTGGAAGTTTCCAGATGATTCGTCTTTGGACAGAAAGTGCAGCTGTTTGTGGTTCACCCTCAGCTTCATCCTCCTCATGTTCATCCTCTTCCTCAGACCGCATCAACTACCTTCTATCATCATCATCATCGCTGTCAGGGTCTGGCCTTCACTGCTGCCTAAGTAATCACGGACCAGATGAGATTTCAACATTGTTAAATCAGAACAACGTCTTATTACTTTTACAACCTCAATTCTGCGATACAATATGTATTGTATGTAATCAGTCGATCTCCATATATATCACGATATAAAAAATGAAATTTAACAGCGTTTATTGGTCTCATGTCTCTTCCAATACAATAATCTACTGCATCTGTGAGGTCTTTGTTACAGTGCTGTTAAATGAGGGGGTGGTGCAACAGAATGGGAAACACGCACCTGTCACAACTGTTTGGAAGTTGTAAGCATTAAGTTTTAACTGAGAGTACATTATTCATTTGGCTTTTTCTTTCATTTTCAACATCTGATGTTGTCTTTGCTCTATTTTCAGTTCAACAAAGACGTTAAACGATTCACAAATCCACGTCATATTACGAGCGCTTTAAAAAAACGTCCTCTCTCGGAGTTAAGGTTGTAAAGCTCTAATAAAGTTTGACAGTTGGCAAATAACGTAGCTGTGTATCACTGGAAACGAAAATAGACGTAAAATACGGGAGAAAAAGCGGTAAAATACTCAGAAACGGCCGTTGGCGACGCTAAAAGATACATTTAAACTGTTAATCGTGACGTCATTCGCCCTGTCGTGACAGTTGGCAGTCATCCGACCGTTACTCTGCTGGCACGAGGGCAAACGTCATTAAAAAGCAACCGTCAACTTCATGTAATGACTTCATATGAAACAGAGTTCTATTTTCTACGTCTACGACGCGTGAAAAAAGCTCGACCGGTCTCTCTTACCCGCAGAAAAGCACGTCCGTCTGTGCGGCTGAATCCAACTTTCCAACCGCGGTTTGTTGTGGCTGGCAACCATAGTAGAGAACCTTTGGACTGCTCAAGTATCGCGAGAGCTGAGCGTTTAAAGCGACACTGGCCGTGTAAAACCACAAGATGTCGCGAGAGGAACGATATAAACCACGAATGATTAACCACATTAAAAAGGACTGCTTTATAGTTATCTATCCGTCAGTGTTATCTGCTTTAGTTCCTTATTTGTATTTTGTTTGTTCCTGATGTAATGTATATTTTCAACGCACATTAAACGAAAAAGCTTGTCATTACTAGTTTGAGCTTCATTTTTGTCCTTCTTTCTTATTATTTATTTGTTTATTTATATATTTTTAGATCTGTTGAATGTTTTTGCTTCACCTTAAAATCACCTTCTTAAGTTAAACATTAAAAAATGAAGCTGTTTCTCACTATGATGTAAATAATTGTACTTATATCCTAATGACTAATTTATCTTGTGCATTTAAAGGGATAAATATTTAAATAAATAAATAAGTAAATGAGTAAGTAAATAAATTCATGTGAACAGTTGACATCAGTTAGTATGTCTGGAATAATTCCTCGTGTATTTGTCGACCACGGTTTGTTTTGTTCTTCCCTTTTAAAAGTACATGTACCTCAGCGGCGTGGTGGTCGATGGTACACCGGATTGTCATCTTCAGGTTTCACACGCTTATTGTGCAGGATGTGAGAATGGACATGTCAGCACTTTGTCTGCTCCTCTGTAAGTCAAGTTGGAAATTTAATTCATTTTGGTTTATTTTCTCAAAAACAGAGAATTTCTGCTCGAATACTTTAGATATGGTTTAAAATGTTTGATGATTTCATGTCTGTTTTTGCATCCTTCCATGTTGTTGTTCATTCTGCACACTTGTGCATCTATGTTGGGCCGTCTGTAACTGTGCGCCAATGGTTTCCTCTTTGCATGGTACACTTTTAACCTGCAGTTGCAGCATTTTTTCTTGTTTGGTTTTCTCTGTCTTAGCTTTCTTGATAAGTTGCTGATTACATTAGCATGTAGTCGCACAAGAGTTGATGTCTTGAGCACAAAACTTAAAAGTTTTACTTACCTACTTTTCTGTACTGAGTGCTTTCAATGTAGGTCCTACACTGAAACGTTTACATCAGGAGTACAGAGAAATCTTTCAGACTGAATTTGAAAAAGACAGAAGTTAGACAAAAATAACAAAAATTAAATGTCTTTTTTTTTTTTTTTTTTTAAAGTTTCTTGTTTTTTATGTTTTAGTGCTGAATTGCCTGAACTCTGCGGCCGCCAAAGGTAAAGCCTAAAAACCATAACATTTATGTTTATGTTTTATTTGAACTTTTGTCAAGTTTTTAACGCTCTTGTGAGGAGTTTTTGGGTGGTGATGAAACACGCCGACATTGAAACTGGGGCCTCTGTGTTTCCAAGAAAGGCAAAAGAGATTTTTAGCTACGCAAGTTTTTTTCCTGACTGAATATGTCAACCCAGCAGTAGTTTTGATTACAGTATAGACAAAAATCTTGGCTAAAACATGCTCTCTGGTATTTATTCTGCGACTCCTTCCCTCTTCCAGTCTCCGTCCGTGTCTCTCCTGACAGATCTCAGTTCTATAAATATGAAAACTTCTCTGTGAGCTGTGAGGATGAGGAGGGGGGACCTGTTACTGGATGGAGGGTGATGAGGAGACAGATGGATGAAGAGGTTTGTTTGAAGACACATTTGGGCTTTGACTGTTTCAACACAGTAGGTGTTTTCCTCTGATGAAAATGAGCTGGAATGCTGTTAGGGCCTGTGTCCACTAAAACCAAATTAAGGGCACATGCCCTATAAAATCAGATATAGGACCTGTGTCCACTGACATCAGGTTAAGAGCCTGTTTCCACAGACATCAGATATAGGACCTGTGTCCAGTAACATAAAATAAAGGGCCTGTTGACTAAAATCAGATAAAGAACCTGTTTCCATTGACATCAGATCAAGGGCCCGTTTCCACTGACATCAAATAAAGGGCCTGTTTCCCCTGGCATCAGATATAGGGCCTGTTTCCACTGACATCGGATTGAGGGCCTGTTTCCACTTACATCAGATATAGGGCCTGTTTTTAATATCATAAAATAAAGGGCCTGTTTCCACGAACATCAGAAATAGGACCTGTTTCCACTGAAATCAGATATAGGGCCTGTGTCCAAAAATAAAATAAAGGGCCTGTCGACTAACATCAGATATTGGGCCTGTTTTCACTGACATTGGATTAAGGGCCTGTTTCCATTGATATCAGCTATAGGGCCTGTTTTCAATATCATAAAATAAAGCCTCTGTTGACAAACACCAGACATAGGGCCTGTTTCCACTGGCATCAGCTATAGGGTCTCTGTCTAATAACATAAAATAAAGGGTCCATTTCCATTAACATCAGATACAGGGCCTGTGTCCACCACCACATACCCTGATTTTGAATATTATTCTGAACAGAGAAAAATGACCACTTTGGAACATCCAGTGTTTGTGCACTTGAGCCTAAATAGCCAATTATTCTTACCCATACTTCCCCAACAGGTGCATCCATGTCCATCCCTCTGCCACATATCTGGTGGGCAACCCCGCTCTGACAGCGGAGAGTACTGGTGTCAGTCCGAACAGGGAGCGACCAGCAGCAGCGTCAACATCTCTGTCAGCAGTAAGATGGTGGAATTAACACACAAACAAATATCAGTAAAAACTTCAAACTTGAGTATCAATAATATGTGATAAATATTCAGTTGACAGTTTTTATGAATTTCCTTTACCTCCAGGTGGCCTCGTCCTCCTGCACAGTCCAGTACGCCCGGTGAAAGAGGGGGACAATGTGACTTTAAGCTGCAAATATTTATTCATCCAAACATCCAGCATGATCCTCCACACCGAATTCTTCAAAGACGGCCTCCTCTTCAGGCGCAGCTCCACAGGAAACATGACTCTTCGTAATTTCTCCAGGTCCGATGAAGGACTCTATAAGTGTGCTGTCATTGGATCGAATAACGAGTCTCCAGAGAGCTGGGTGGCCGTCCGAAGTGAGGACTCATTTATTGTTGGACGTCGTCTAAACTGAGAACTGAACTTGAACCTGATATTTTTTACAAACTGATTCTTTAATTCCAAAAATACTCAAATATGAATAAAGTATAATATAAAGTGAATGAACCTGGACTTACTGGCACCAGCAACACCTTCGTCAGCATGTCAGTATGTAAAAAAAAAGAGAGATGTAATTTCACATTAAACTGAATCGATTGTTTTGCTAATATCTCTTCAGGAGCGCCACCTGCAGACCAGAATCCTCCAGCCAACCTGCCGTTATTCATCACTCCAGTGCTCCACCTAGTGGTGGGATGTCCCTACCTGCTGTGCACCATCTTACTGGGGCTCATTTACAGAGACAGAAAGAGAGGTGAGCTTTTATTTCCGATGTTAAATGTTACAATTCTCTCGTAGAAAATTCGTGGAAATTACGAATTTTGAAGACACGGCCTGCTTGCCCTAACTTCTTGGGCACGTCGTACTGCGGCCATGAAGAGATAATTGACTTCAGGGCAAATGTACGACTCGGGTGTACAGCTGTCGCTAAAGTTAATGATTTTTTTAACATTAACACTAGTGTGTAACGGTTGACGGACTGACAGTCGCCACCTGTGGCCATCGAGTATACTACACCTTTACCTTTAAGTAACATCAGTTGGCAGTGAGTTTTTATATATTTGCAGATCTAATAATCACAATAGTTTAACTCACTCATTGGTCTTGGTAGAACTGAGGACGAAAATGTAATTGAAAAAAAAAAAGTTTTATGATTGACCACTAGGGGCGCTGTCAACACCTTTAGGTTTATCGAGGAAGAATTCCATTTCCTGATCCGTCCCGGAAACCGGATTTGTACTGCGCATGTGTGAAATGTACACCACTTCCTCTACTAGCTATCTTTGCAGCAGTTTAGCAATTCTTTGCCCCTCGCGGTTTGCGATAGCTTCGGCATTAGCGAGCTCACTTCAGTCGGAATGGATGCTCCAGTTTACCACCAGCCACACGCTTTTCTTTCCTCCTGGACAGAGCGCTTCCCCCGACTGAAGCAGAGCGCCGGAAAGTCAAGAGAATGGCGCCCAGTTTCACGATTAAAGGTTCCTATTCCAGCTTAATTGTAAAATTGCAACGGAGTTTACCGGGTGCCGACGCTTCCTGTGGCCCAAAAGGTCTAACCGTGGTGGGCAGGAGATCCTCCTTCTAGCTAGCCTGTCACATCGCTGGCTTGTTTCTGAAATCGATCGGTAGTTTGAATAAAGTTTTTTATTTGCACTTGCGCAGTTCGGATCAGGTAGGTAGCAATAAAAACGACTAACTGCCGTAAGATGCATTGAAATACGAAGAGAGGAAGTGACCTTTGTTTCGCACATGTGCAGTACAAATCGGGTTCCTGGTACAGATCGGGTAGCGACATGCATGACAACGCCACTTTTTAGACAAAACTGTGTCGAGTTATTTAACAACTTTTAGATTTTATTTTGTGTTTTTGAAAGCTTTTAAGTATGACATTTTCATCAAACTATACTATGACATTTTTTGCTCATTCTAAACTGTGACTTTTTTATCATACTGTACTATATCAAACGCTTATTTTTTTAAGCGGGATTGTTTTTTCCCTTAGAAAGAGCATGGCAAGTTCTTTAACCCAACTCCAGTCTCTTGTAGATAAGACACTTAATGAGCGAGGTCCCAACACATTTAGAAAATCAACCGCAGTGGAGTCAAAAAGCACTTCAAGCCTAAAAAACACTATCAAAGTCAAATAGAAAAATAAAGTTAAATAAAATAAAAGTGAATTAAGAGAGTAAGATTTCTATTATTTTAAAATATTTTTCAGCTCTGCGTGCCAAGAGAAGGAGACAAAAATCCCTGGAAGTCATTATGGAGATGCAGCATCACAACACGGGTCATTATACATGACTTTAAAGATGAATATCAGGCTGACAACGAAGAGAATCATCAACCCATTGATCATTGATATACACGTTTGTATTTCCTGTACTGCAGATAATATGTATTACTGTTTTTCTTCATTTTGTGAGTTTTGCTCTGAATTTTCTAAATAAAAATATGATACTCAATAACTTTGGCATCGTCGTCTGTCACAAAGAGAGTCTGAATCAAATGGAAACTTTAGGGTAAGAGTGTGCCGGCTGAGCTGAGGCTCACAGTTTCCATAGCGATGGGTATTTCACTGTGACAGGAAGTGCCGGTGCCTGAAGTGTTAAACCGCCTGGTTGTGGTCAAAACTGTTAAGAAAACCATGTTCCAAAAATATCAATAAAGATGATTAAAAAGCGATAATATTACTTAACTCTGTGGTATTTTACAGAATCTGGTGATGTGCGGTTTAAACAAGTTAAAAAAGTGATTCCTCTTCATTTAGCTGTGAGTTTGCAGTGTCACGGCTGTTATTCAACCTCTGGTCGGACAGGAAACCACATTCAGTTTAAGAGATAAGCTGCTCTTCGGCCCGTCTACCGTCCCCCGGTCTGAGGGGAAGTGGTTGTCTTCACACTTCACCGGGAGTCTAAAACACTTACAAAAATGACTTCTTTTTGTGAGCGTTCAGCATGTTTTCTACAATTTTCTTCTTTTTTCCCACTCAAAACTTCAGTCCAGTGAAAGTCTTGAAGAAGAGGTTGGTGGTAACAGCTAAGAATACAATAATACTTTTTCATACAAGCAATGATAACAAATTTCTATCACTTTGAAGATATAAAGCTATAAGTAAAGGCACAAATTGGAGTAATTGTAAATCAAAGAATATGAGTAACATGAGCAAACTGTGACACATCTCTGGCGCCCCCTCGTGGTGTTAAATTTTTACATGTTACCTTGTTTTGCAGAGTGTTAAGAATTAAAATATAGACATTGTTTATCTTGTTGCTGATGATCTTGTTTGTTTTTGTGCGTAATGAGGCAGCATCTGTATCAGTTTCACTTTAAATTTTTCATTTAATTTTTGCAGTAACACGTTTTAACACAAAACATTCTCTAGATAACAGTTTAGGCTAATTCTTCTCGGTAAATGACGTGTTTTTATTTATTTATTTATTTTGTACTCACACTACCTGCTTACTGGTTTAAATGATCTCTTTGCCTAATTTGATTTTACCATGACCCTCCAACCTTAACCCTGATAAACAATGTTCAGAGTGAACATTGAACTCTGACCTATCGCCAAGTTAACACAAAGGTACGAACAATGGCTGTACCAATTTTCACTCCAATATGGCCAAGAATGACTGAGATACGTCGGTTTCAATCAAATGCTGGTCTTTGTGATCCTTGTTGTCGTCGTTTTCTTCCGCTTCATCCTGGTCCGGGTCGTGGGGGCAGCAGCTTCAGGAGGGAAAGCCAGACGGCCCTCAACCCGGCCACTTCCACCAGCTCCTCCTCCGGGGGGATTCCCATGCGCTCCCAGGCCAGGCGAGAGATATAATCCCTCAACGTGGTCCTGGGCCGGCCACGAGGTCATGTCTGGAACACCACTAACGGGAGGCGTCCAGAAGGCATCCTGACCAGATGCCCCAGGCTGAGGACGGCCACCCTGCGAAGGAAGCCCTTTTCAGCCGCTTGTATCTGCGATCTTGTTCTTTCGGTCATTACCCAAAGTTCATGACCATAGGTGAGGATCGGCACGTAGATCGACCGGTAAATCCAGAGTCTCTCCTTACGGCTCAGCTCTTTCTTCACCTCTTTGTGATCCTAACGAGCTAAAAAAATCTCCTGTGTTGATGTGACAAGATAATGGGAGAGGATCATGTAAACAAACACCCAAGATTAAAGCCTTGTGGTAAGAAGAGTCTTGTTTCCATGGTGACAGTGGTTTCAAACAGCCCTCGGATAAACACGAGTGTTTGATGTGTTGGGAAATCTCAGTGACTTCGGGACGGAGAGAAGTAACGAGACACATACCTGGTGATTGGGTGTGTTTTTTTCGGGGAAGTGAATAAGTATCTGGTTTTCCCGTTGAGTTAGGCAACAGATGGTAAAGAAAAGTGAGCTTCAAAACTGATTCAAACTCCTGGGTATCTAGAAATATCAAATATCAGGTATACAACTTCAGTCGAGTCTAAATCCTCTTTCATCGATCAAACGAAACTCAAGACTTCATTCATTAATCCCTGTTTAAATTAAATCCCACAAACATCTCAGGGAAACTCCAACAACTGACCAGAAAGTGTCTGAAAAGAAAGCCGGGATTTGGACGTGCAGAATTCAACCTAACACTGAGTGACCCCGATGTGTTTCTGGTAAGCAGGGTGTTGCTGAGGCGGTTTTGTCGCTCTGTAAATAAAGTAACCGTAAAAGAAGCGGTGAGGATTAACTCTGTTGAAACTCTTCAACCACGACTCTGTCAGATCTGCTCAGACATCTCCACAGTCTAGACGTCATCCGTCTCTTTGCCTCGCGTCTCCTCCCTCTTTTCTTCCCACTTCTTGCTCTCAGTTATCCTTCCTTCTCTTCGCTGTGGTCATGTCTCACAGGTTTACATCTCTCTCAGTTATTCTCTTCCTCTTCTTCCTCGGAGGTCAGAGCATTGACTCGACGAAGAGTAAGTACAGTATCTCCATATTCTACATTAACCTAAATCATCTGTACACACGATAATCTGTCTTTATAATCCGTAGGATAGAGGAACAGCTGTCGTAATTTGGCTTGCGTGGATGTTTTGGAACAGAGCCCGTCTTAATCATGTTTTTTTCACAGGAGCTTTCCTCCAAACAAAAGACGGAGACAAGAGAAAAACACACCTTAGACCTGTTCTCATGAAATATGCAGCACAGACTGACAGATCGGATAGCAGCAAAGACACCTTAAACACTAACACAGCGCCTGTTGACCCGTTCGGACCCACGGCTCAACAAGCCAAGTCTTGATCAGTTTCAGATGGACTGGTTTCATCTGGACTGACATGAATTTGTCTTCTTAACATCGCTGTTTTATGACGATCAGATGCTAATGAGGTTCCCAAGTGCCAACCCCAGCTGATCATCAATAAAGCTATATTCAGGAAAGGTACCTAACACCAATTGTTCCCTCTCATAAGGTCGGTTTCTCCCCTTCCCGATTGATTTCGACGTTCCGGAGATCGATGGTTCTGCTGTGGACGCCTGCGGGATTTTATCTTCTCCCTCACCTGACACCCATGCGATCACAACGGCATCTTCGACAACCACAACAAAAACTACACCCCTCACAGAGAAGGTAACCCTCCTCTAGAGTTAGCTGTTTTGGGTTCTTAGACAGATGTTTTCATCAGCTGATGTACTGTGGGCAGAGAGGGACTTTGTAGCCTGCCTGGAATATCTCCACGCTCAGCTTCTGTCATTTTAGCGATTGGTGTTTTACCTGTTCGGGCCCTAGTCTCTTTACCTGTTTGTAGATAAACTGGAAATAAGGTAGAGTTCGCGTTATTAGGAAACCAATAAGACTGCAGCGATACTCTATAAAGTAACATCTTTAATCTCCAGCAGGTGGCGACCACAGCCAAAAAAACAACCGTCAAATCACCGCCAAGAAAACCAGTCAGGCCACAACCACAATCAGCAAGACCAACCAGACCCCCCAACCCTTCCATCAGCCTCCTGCTCTACCTCCTGACCAACAACAGACGACATGCAGTTGGTTCTCCGCCAAGAAGAGGGCAGCTTCACAGAGGTCAGAGTTCATCAGAGAGCGACGAACAACGTCCGAATGTACCGAGAGCAGGAAGAGCGAAGAGAAACAGAAGGAAAATGGGTTTATTTTCTTCAGAGGACTCGAGTGACTAGTCTGAGAAAGAAACTGTGACGGGTGTTCATGTTGGCTAACGGCTAAAACTTTATCTAGTAACTGTTGAATTGACTGCATGTGTTTTGTAAGTTATGATTGAATTCTGTGCATTCTGAAATATACATATTTTAATGTCAATATAAAGATGGTAGCAGCTGTTTCTTTTCAAACAAAAGCAAGAAATCTTTACCGCCAAACTGTTTCTTTATTCCTATCATATTAAAACATGAAAACATATAAATAGCTGCAATAAATAAAATTTTCTCAAAATTTTTTCTTATATTTATGGAACGTTTTTACATACATGGTTATTTTTCAACATTTGTCAAAAAATCAAGTGTAAATTAAACAGTCTTGAACACTAAAGCTAGTGTTACATCACTTTTGTATGTGATTGAATGAACAGCATCAGGAAAAAACTGCAAACCAAGAGTCATCTTGGGTTTTGTTTTAGTCACGGTTTACAGTCATTCATAACATTGAACAAAAAGTTAGAAGATAATATTAGTACCTAAACAGTTATGCATGAAAAGAAGTTATTTTTAAATCCTTGTGGGATATTTCTTGTTTCATACAGTCTTGTCTTTTCTTTGGTCTTTGTGAGTGTCTTTGGTGTTTTGTTTACCTGAAACAAACAAAAGGAAATGTTGTTGAATAGACTTGTCGTTGTTCCTGGGCTTCAGACGTCCTTCATTGGTCTGAGGGAATCATTCCACTTAAGAAATCAAAGACTATGAGGAATTTTCAACATCGATGATTCACTGTGTTTGCGCAGAATTTCATTGGCCCACACAGAGCCTGCAGAATAAATGGGCGTGATGATTTTTTTTTTGTGTGTATGTAGAGTGCATACCTTGACCCAGCACTGACCTTTTGAGATCTGGGAAATGGATGTTGGATTTCTTTTTGGTCACTTTGGTGTTACTGAAGTTGCAACTCTCTGACTGGAACAAGTGCTCACAGATCTGACTCTTCTCTGGCACCTGAAAAGGAAGGAAGTGTCAACTTTGAAAGAGCTGATTCTTCACTGTGTTCATACTGTGATTAAAAGCATGTACTGTGTTACCTGATGACTTAGTGATCCCGGTGAATGGCTGGATAAAGGCTGCTGGGTCAGTTGCCGTGGTTTGTCGGTACCCCTGCAAGACACACAAATAATGTTCAAACATCTGGTATCTATCCCTTGTGTAGAGTTCATAGGGTTCGGATGGGTCTTGAGTTGTACCCAATCACAAGAATTTTCCATGATTGATGAATTATTCATCTTAGGCTTTGAAGGCGAACCCCTAACCCTAACCCTTCGCTGTGTTTAGGCCTGAGTACTTAAATTTTCATGCCCTAGTGCAGAACTTTAGTTATGCCATCTGTGAAAAGATACCTACCTTAGGTCCTGGAGCCCAGGATGGAATCCTGTTCCCATGTAGGATGGATTGCTGGGGGCAGAACTGATGGTACTAACGACAGAGATAGAGGGAACAAGGGGAGTCGCTGATGGAGGAAGTAGTAGAGGAGTTGAAGAGGGCGGAGGGGGAGGAGGCGGTGGAGATGAATTCGATACACTGAAATTAAACTCATTTAAATCTGTGGTGTACAGGTTGTGGGAGATCCTTGTCAGAACTTCCTGCTCTGGAGTTGCCACTGAGCTGAAGGAAGTGGTTGATCCTGTGTTTGTGGTCACATTGGTTGAGTTCTCCTTTTCTACGTTGTCTCTTTTATGTCTTGCCCCTGTAGGAAATACAGTTTTTTGAGTCCTGAGCATCATTGCTGTAGAGGAGTTGCTGTGGTTGCTGAAAGATCCAAGCTTTGTCTCGGGTTCCCCCATCAGAGAATGGAGAGGTCTAAAAGATTTCAAACTAGGTTCTTCCTGCTCAACCTTTGGGATATGATCCACCGAGGACTTGTTTGATGGACTTGTGGACAAAGATAGTGCGAGATCCTTTCTGTTCTCTTTATCTGAGACTTCCATCGCTTTAGGAATTGTTGTTGCTTGAGGTGTTTCGGTTTTGGGGATTTTGCTTGGCATGGTGGTCAATGCTCTGGACTCTGTGGTGATCTTTGGCTTGGTGCTTTGCAGACGGTTGCTGCTGGGCTCATGAAATTCCAGATCCCCTGAGTAAGTGGAAATATCAGATGTCTCAAAGTTCTTTGAGGCTTTTTTGGTAACAGAGCTTCTTGTTGAGCACTCGTAGTTCCCCCTGATGTCCTCCTCTGAGGTATTACAACTCTTCTCCCAAGTTGTGGTTGCAATCAATGCCCCTCCAAGGTCCTTGGTTATTGGGGGATCAGGAAAATACGTAGTGTCATCTAGTTTAGGATCTAAGCATGTTCCTGTTTGGAGGGTTTCCTTCAATAGTGTTGCAACTCTATTTGCAGGACTTTCCTCAGTGAGAACCTTGGAGGATTGTGCGGAAAAATCTGAGGTAAGACTCTTCAGGGGACTGTTGGGTAAAGATTTGTTGTCTTTGGTTACTTTGGTGCCAGGCTTTGATATATTCTTTGATGGCTTGGTAGGTGGGGGTAAGACTTTTGGATTTTTTTGCTCTGTGTCCAGGTTCAAACTCTTGGCGTGATGCTTTGAGGAAGTATTTTTCTTGCATGGCTCAGGGACGGAAGCAGTAGATGGGCCATCGATGGTTGATTTCAACGAAGGTTTCAGAGAAGAACCTTTCATTGTTCCATGACTAGGCGGACTTTTAGAGACTTGGAGAGCTCCTGTCTTTGAGTTGGTCTTGCTTTGGTCCTGACTTGGCTCCAGTTTGGATGACATCTGGGTTACCATCATATTTGTCTCAACTGTACTTGACACAGTATTGTCAGAGCAACTGGAGTTCAAGCCAGTTAGATTTCTTTCTTTTGTCTCTTTCTTGTCTAATTGGCCGTTCTTTGGCTCTGATGAGGCAACTTTCCCATTTTTAAGTTCAGCATTCAGGGAACTGTTTTCATCCAGACCGGTTGCAGTCTTGGATGCATCCAATGAATCAAAGGTTTGGGTTTTAGGTGGTTTAGGGATCTCAGGTTCTTTTCTCAGCTCTGCACCAACAGCCTTTCCAGGTTTACTCCTCGTGTCGATTTGGCCGTGGTGGCTTTTGGTCAATTTTGATGCATTATCAATAATTTTGGCTTCTGATGTTTTAGATTGTTTGGTTGACAGCTGAGGTTCCGAGGTGTTGCGAATGCTTTTTGGCTTAGAGGGATGTTTTCCCTTTGTTTTGGGTAACTTGTCCTCTCTTTCCTCCTTGTCACTCTTCTCCTTCGCCTTGTTGAATTTCTCCTCCGGGGCTTCGGTTTGTTTTTTGTCTTTGCTCTTTTTGTTCTTGGCATCCACTTCATCTTTTTCCCGTCTCTGGGTTTTGCCTATTTTGGGGAGGGTAGAATTTTCTCTGTGGTCCTTTTGGATCTTGACATTTAGTTCATCCAAAAACCTGTTGGGATGACAAGTTCAAATGAGCAAAGCTTGGCTGACACAAGGTCAAAATTGGGTTTTACTGTGAGCACGCAGAGCTACCTGACATCAAATGAGTCATGAGTGAAAAGAGTGTGCTCTAGAAGTTCTGAACACTGTGTTCTGTTTTCTGGATCCATCTGGAGACATTTCTGAACGAGGAAACACAACGGTTAAACAGATTTTATCTTTTCATTGTCCAAACGTGAATTGAAATCATTAAAAAAATAATCATTTGAATGGTGGAAAAAAGGTTAATGAGGGTTCTCTTCTCTGAACCAATGAACCGGAGACACTGTACCTGTGCAACGTCCAGTGCGTTGGTTGGGATCGAAGGGAAACGCTGCTCAAGTGGGACTGTCCCAGAACACTGAGGCAGCCTGACCCCTGAAAAGACGGGATTCCTGTAGAATAACTCCTGGTGATGAGCCGTCAGGTTACCTTTTATTGAAAAAAATTAGATCCTGAAGAGTACAAAGACGCTGGAATCTGACACACCTTTATCCAAATCACTCGCTTACCAAAGCACTTGACAATGTGGTATATTTGATCAAGGTCTGAGTCTCCAGGAAACAGAGGCTGACCCGTTAACATCTCCAAGAGCAGACAACCAACAGCCCACAAGTCAACAGGTCTAAACACACAAAGAAGTTCAGATAAATATACAACCCAGAGAGGACAATGTACGATGTTCACGCCGACACTTACTTTCCATACTTGGTGTCTCCCACCAGCAGTTCTGGGGCTCTGTACCAGCGAGTGGCCACATAATCCGTGTAGACACCACCATCAGCAGGCATCGTTAACGTCCGGGCAAAGCCGAAGTCGCACAGTTTGACCACTCCCCCTTGAGAGATAAGAATGTTCTCTGGTTTGATGTCCCGGTGGATTATCTACGATGAAAAAGTGGGATTAAAACACAAACCTTTAATAATATACCACCTTTTCACGGCCATAGTATCTACCTAACCTGAAAATGAACCTGACTAGCTGAGACAAACCCAAAAGTCTTAGATTTCCTGGGAGAACTCACATTTTGCTGGTGACAAAAGGCCACAGCTCTCAGGATCTGGTACAGGTACTGCCGGCTGGTGTTCAAGTCCAGCCCACTTTGGTTTTGCTCCAAATCATCCAGGAGAGTTCGCTCCACGAACTCAAACACCAAGTACCAGCGACGGCGACGCTTCCACACCTCCAGGAGGTTCACCAGGTTGTCATGACGCAGTTGCTAGATGGAAAGAAAGACGAGAGAAATGAACTCAAAGGCAGATTTATTTGAAGTTTGACACTCAGGCTCCAGAATAAGTCAATCTCAATAATCCAGACTGGCTTCTAAAACGCCTCAAGATCCTCCTGTGAAGGAGTGGTGCGACTCTGACTTTGTTGTGACTTTGTTTGTTCAGTGATTGACAGGCTGCTTTTGTGTTTTCAGTCGCTCAGGTTTCAGGCTCAAAGAGGCCGCTCACTGCTCAGTTACTTATTGATTGATTGGCCGATGGACTGATTGACAGGTACCCTCAGCAGCTTGATTTCCCTCAGAGCGATCTTCTTCACCGTCTTGTCATCGTCCGAGTCCATGAATTTCTTGATGGCGACGAGGCGGCCGGAGTCTTTGTGACGGCACTTCAGCACGGTGCCGTAACTGCCCTCGCCGACCAGACCCAGAGATTCGTAACGTTCCATGAAACTGACGATGAAAGTTAGAAAACAATAAACAAAATAAACTTGAATACTATTTTTATAGAGCTAAACTTGTCATTAACATTAGTATGGAATAATGTATAGTGAATGGGTGGTTATGCGGAGTAGAATCTGGACAGGCCCTGCAGGAATCAAAATTTACAACACATTAGTCTGCATATACTTTGACTACAAACTGAGGGTGTATGTAATTGCAGAGCTGCTAAATTTCCAGAAAATGACAAGAGTGAGACTTTAGCGTCACGATGTGTTCGGCCGCACGGTGATTTTTTTTTCGCCTTTTTTAGCGTTGATTTATACCTTAAGACTGATGTCCTCGCTAGTCTTAATTAACCAAAAATTAGACATGAAAATTGTAATAATTGTAACATTTGTCAATATTGCATTACGTCGAGTGGGTTTTAAATGTCATGTAAAATGTCAATCTCAATGTTAACGTAAAAAAATCATTGTTTCAGTTACTAAGTCGGAAAAAGCAAAATCGGAGACCTGAAACAAGATGGCTATATTTACGAAAGTTACTTTAGCGCTTGCCGTGTCCGAGTTCAAGGCAAGCGCTAAAGTAACTTTCGTAGACGTAGCCATCTCGTTTCAGGCCTCTGATTTTGCCTTTTTCCGACTTGGTAACTGAAAATCTTGGAACTCTGGTGTTACGACATTTTCAGCTCCGACATCTGACTTCCGATGTAACTCGAACGCAGCATTAGGCACAAAGGACTGATGGATCGGTTATCACGGTCAGTCAATCAGAGTTACTCGAACTACGGCTAGCCAAGTTTATTATCATGAAAAAAATTAATACAGAGTATTAAATTAGGAAGTGCGGCGTGTGGTGTGAGTGTGGGTCAAATTGCGTGACTGTCACACTCAAAGCGTGATGGTTGTCAGCTCTGAAACTGGCACCAAATATTGATTTTTAAGTTATTTATACAGCTAAACCGAATGCAGCCTAGTTACCTTCATTTATACAGATGTTTATTAATATTTTTGCTAATTAAAAATACTTGACTTATTTTTAAGGATAAACAATCAAGCTCAAAGTTTAGGATGTTAGCTTTAACCAGCCCTGACTACAACTTTAATCAACATTTATGCTGGAATTCCACTTTTAACTGAATTTAAACATTTTAAGTTGTCTTATTTCAGTGGTCTTGACATAAAAAACAACAGCACCCATTCACACAACATCAATAATACACAATACCACCTTAAGACCGACTCTGTTCCGACGTTTTCAGGAATATCGGAGAAAAAGCGGGATAAAACTCGACGAACCGTTTCGTTACCGTGATTAAATGGGCTAAGATGGACTTAAACTCACACACACTCACACACTCACCTCTCTTTACTCGGTTAAACTCCGCGGTGAGCTGCTATTATCAACGTAAACACTGGAGTAAAGCCGTGTGCGTGGACGTGTGTGAGCTCCGAGTCACCGAAGAAGTCAACTCGACCCCGGTGACTGCTCCACACGTCGCCATGGTAACGCCTCCCGCCACGTTCCGGGCCGTTAGGATCGTGTCGTTGTGGTAAATAAGTAAATATACCGGGGGATATTCTACTAGATGAAGTTTAGGGAAGTGGTGAAGGGCAAAAGTTCACAAAAATCCCACAAACTTGTTTCAAATGAGCGAAGAGCTCAGCTGATTAACTTTACACCAGGTGCAGTTTTCTTTTACGGGCACCAGAGGGCGCTGCTGCTCTTCATTCACTCAGCTGAAACACTTAACCGCCACCTGCTGTCATCTTAAGTGTAGTTCATGCTTAAAAAAAACGTCCTGTGTCATTAAGTTTACTACTTAAAACCACAAAGGTCACAAGTGATGACTCAAAAGCATTAACGTTATTATCATCATCATTATTATCATCATCTTTATCATCATTATCATTATTTTAATGATGATGATGATGTTGAGTATAATTATTATTATTGTAATTGTTCTTACTATCATCATTATTATTATAATTATCATGATGATTATTAGATATATTATAAACATTGTCTTTATTATTATTGTCCTTATTATTTTTATTATTATCATTGTCGTTGTTATTATTGTTGTCGTCATTATTATGGTTGTTATTATAATTATTATGATTGTTATTATTGTTATTGTTCTTACTATCATCATAATTATTTTTTTCATCATGATTATTATTTAAAAATCATTATCATTATTATTGTCACTATCACTATTATAATTGTCATTATTATTATTATTGTCGTTATATAATTGTTTTTAAGATTATTGTTGTCGTCATTTTTATTATTATTATCAATATTATTATTATTATTGTTGTTATATTTATAATGGCCGTCATTATTATACTGTTGTTGTTGTAATTATTATTACTGTTATTATAATAATTATTGTTGTCATTATTTTTATCACTGTTTTTGTTATAATTATCACTGTTGTTGTTATTATTATTGTTACAATTATTTTTGTCATTATTATAATTGTTATTATTATTGTTGTTGTTATGATTATTATAATGGTTGTTAATATTTTTAGTATTATTGTTGCCGTTGTGGTTATTTTTACAACTATAATTTATCTTATTTTCTTTCTTGTTCAATTGCTTATTAGTTTTTCTTTATTATTGTTTTTATTTTCTATAACGTTTTCCACCTAAACCACATACATCGTACTCATCCACACAATCAAGAGTCAATATTCCTTACCGTACACTTTGAACAGTTGTGACTGATCCTCCCTACTCTTGTCTCATTTGTGTTTTCGCTTTGCTTACCTTTTTTGCTGATTCACCATTATCATTTTTGTTGCAGTTTTTTTTATTTGTTTTTGTCTCTTGTTATTCTCTTCCTTGGTGTTGTTTTTTAAATACCTTAATTCTTGTTTCTATTATTAATCAGATCACACTTCACTCCTTTGCATGTCTTGTTAAATATTTGCAATAAAAATAAAAAATAAAAAAATAAAACCACAAAGGTCTTGTTATACTGGACAAATTCACAAAGTTACAGTATTATGTATTTGTGTTAATTTAATATCACTGTGGAGGGAACAGAGCTGAATCAACAGCAAACAAACGAACTCCAGCTCAAGTAAACAGTCTTTAAATTTTTGTTAAAATCAGACTCATAGATTTTTAATTAAATCTGTTTATATAGAAGGTGTGTTAAATTTACAGTGCCTCAACCAGAAAGGTTTTATCGGTAAAGACAAATTATTTACAGTCATATAATATAGTTTGTTTACGCTCATTATTTACAGTATAAACAGCTTTACATTATGATTGTGTTAATCTTGGTTCTCTGCCAGTTTCCTGATCTCCTCCAGAAGCTCCGAGAACGACGGTCGACCTGTCGGCTTCTGTCACCACCACCGAAGAAGAAAAAGAACAAAGGGAGGGAGAAAAAGACAAACAGTTAACAAGAGGTAGTCGGATATTTTAGATTTTTTTCCCCCTCACTTCAACATTTTCAGTGACATCATTGGAGTGAACCTACTTCGTGCCAGCAGCGGTACATGATGGCGTAGAGCGGCTGTGAGGTGCGGTGTGGGCGGTACAGTCGGACTCCTCTGGTGATGTCACCGACGACTTCAGAGTTGGAGCGGTTTTCAAACGGCGTTCGGCCTTCTGAGTAGATTTCCCACATCACCACACCTGCACATTATCACACACACTCGTGACACGACCGTTGTAACTAAAGCTACTTCGAAAGTTTATTTTAACCTTCAATTTAGCAGCAGGAAATATTCGCATCTTTTCGGACTTTAAGTTCTAACGCCGCGTTCCAGTTGTACTCGGGAGGCGGGATATCCGAGCTACGAGTCGGAAATTCATCTGGAACGCCCCCCCTGAAGTCAGATATCCACGCCGAACCCGCGCAGGAGGCTCCGCGGCCGACCATAGCAGACAAGAGCTGTCGGAATGACGGGACGTTTTATAGCATGGTAACATACCGCCACTCCGACAATTAGAGACCAATGTCTGAATGGCGGGATGTCGGAATGGCGGTTGCCCCCCGACTGGAACACAGCATTATACATTTATTTTATCTCAAGAATTTTCTCTCTCTCTCTTTTTGAAAAGTAGACGATAGTGTCATCAACAACTCTCGAATCAACCCGTAGAAAGGATTCCAGTTCAAAATAAAGAGGATTTCACATTTGCTGCACTTCCAAGTGAGAAAAATAGTAAAACGAGTGTTTGCTTCCTCACCAAAGGACCAAACATCGGACTTGCTGCTGTATTTACTGAAGTGGAAAACTTCGGGAGGAGACCATTTCACAGGGAACTTGGATCCACTCGAGCTGGTGTACTGGTTATCCAGAACATACCTGCAAACAAGGACGTGGTTAAAAGTACGAGTGCAGTGTTCAAACAATTCCGATAAGAGTTCCGACTGTTTGATTCCTTTGTTGTTGGATTTTTAATTTTCTGCCTGTCAGCTCATTAGAAGCTGCTGCTGTTGGCCATAGTTTAGGATAAATAGGTTGCCGTACCTGGTCATTCCAAAGTCGCTGACCTTCACCACATTGTGTTCGTTAACCAGACAGTTCCTGGCTGCCTGGATGTCGGAAAGATAACCGTGTAACTCTTACAAATGTGTCCTTGGACTGTTCATTCAGACTCAGAGACAGAATCGGGTAAAGACTGATCAACTCACCAGGTCTCGGTGGATAAAACTGTGAGCCTCCAAATACTCCATCCCCTCACAAACATCCTGGCACATGGACATTAGCCACTCATCCCTAAGGTCCCCGCCTCTTTGCCGGAGGACGTTCAGCAGGCAGCCGTTGTCCATACACTCGGCCACGATCAACAGGGGGCGCTGCTGCAAGCAAACCCCGTACAGCTGCACCAGTTTAGGGTGGCACAACCTCCTGGTAGACACAACAACAAAAAAAAATCAGTTTCACTTCCACGTCATGACGGCAGATTTCGAAACTCGGTCTTTGTTCCCTGTTTTCTCGCTCGTTTCCGCTCCCTGTCCTGATCCACCATTTTGACTTCATCCCCTCCCCCCTCCTTACATCATGACTTTAGCCTCCTCGATGAAGTCGTCCTCAGACATGGCGCCTTCTCTGATGGCCTTGATAGCCACTTTCTGCTGAGCCCTCCACTTCCCCAGCCTCACCAGACCGAACTGACCGCAGCCCAGCTCCTTCATGAAGGTCAGTTCACTGGGGTTGATCTCCCACTTCTCTAAAGGGGGGGAATAAAAAAAGAAGAGAGTGGGGAGATAGATAGAAACGAGGAAAGGGGAAACAGGACTTTGAAAAGCATCTCTGGACGCTCCAGTTTCAAAGCTGCTTCCTTATGAATTCCTTTGTCGAGTATCTCGTTACAAAAGGGGTAAAAAACGTTCAATAACTTCCATCTTCCGAATGTCTTGTTTGGAAAGATTTCCTGGAATCTTGTTCAGGTTCAGCCAATCGGGAGCATTTTTTTTACAGCATCTTTGCTAGCAACATGGAATAGCCAACACGCTGCGGCAAATAGTTTATTATGGTTGAATATTTTTGACCCTGTCCATGTGTAACACAGAAAACAGGGAAAACGGATCCAAATCTAAGAAAAAGGGCACGGTATCGTCTGCATATAAAGAGATAATTACATCCGCCAAGGAGGTTATGTTTTCGGTAGCGTTGGTTTGTTTGTTTGTTTGTTTGTTTGTCTGTTAGCAACTTTACGGAGAAAGTAACAGACGGATTGACCTGAAATTTTCACCAGAGGTGCAAAATTTTGGATACTGTGATCCAGAACACACAAAAATAAGGGTGTTGTTGGAATTTTCAATGCTGAAAGATAACCAATGGGCGGCACAGTGGTGTAGTGGTTAGCACTGTCGCCTCGCAGCAAGAAGGTCCTGGGTTTGAATCTCGGTCAGGGCACTTCTTGTTTAAGGGGGGACATGAGCTGCTTGGCGGAGGTCTGCGCTCTCCGAGTGCTTTTCTAGTTTATGCTAATCTCTAAATTTATATGTCCGAGCAAATTGTAGAGTAAAGGTCCTTTCACACCGGGAGCTTTTTTTTCGTGCGATTGTTTCGGACGTCAATATTATTTCCTGTCCTGTCATTTCAAGCATCATATCAGCGACTTTTCCCTGTCCTGCGATATTGCGGCATTTATCCACTTCTGACCAATCAGATTTCGTGTTGTTGCGACGTCAGATTCACCCGTATATCCAACATGGCCGACCATCTGATTGTTTACGTGTTGGAGAACAGAGTGATTTTTGATAAAAGACGCAAATATTACAAAGATAACGACCTGAAGGACGACTTGTGGAGAGTCATAGCGTCAGATTTCTCATATGACGATGGTTTGTGTGCTTTAACAGTTTGATAAACGTCTTTGTTTGAACTTTCATCTGCTCTAACGTAAGCTAAAAGTTGTTACCATAGTTTCATGTGCTTTAAGTAAAGGTCCTTACACACCGGGGCCGACACGAATTTAGACTTTTGCCGGGGAAAGCCCCGCCTTCTTCGCATTTGATTGGCTAGAAAAGCTGGAAACATCATCACACGCTCAAGCCAAGCGGTCAGCACTTATAGCCAATCAGAGCAAGAAGTCCATGACAAGTAAAGACATTTTAATCTAAACTCCAGCTGGGGTACAGAAAGAAAACACTTTTGTAGGGTCATAAATTAAAGCTTTTTGCGAATGATGGTGTTTATTTACCTGAGCTGAATCCTGACGTCGCAGGTACACACCTTCCCATTGGCCCCACAGGATACCGCAACCTGGAAACTAGACCTACAGCGGTAAACCAGAAATATTATATTTAAAATCATTTTTTTGTCTCATGACAAACATTCAGTTATACTTTTTGAAATCATGTACCTGCTGCGTTGTGTTCATGGTAGTGTATGACCTCAGGTATGGAGTCGAATGTATGCTTTTCAGCCAGGAAGTACTGTCCGGTGTCACTGATCTTGATCTGGTAATGCTTAATATCCCCGTTTGTACTGCGCACACAAATTAAAGCAAAAGCAAACAGACGAATTAGGATTCAAAAGAAACATATTTAATAAATATTAAATCTTTTTGTTATGTCTTCTGTGCAAGACTTTGGACTTTTGATTCACCTTTTCATTTTGGTGTAGACAGAAACGGTGTAGACTCCCTTCTGGCTGGACTCTCGCACCAAGAATCCGCCCTCTTTGTCCTGGAGAGAAAAACAAAACAAACGTCTCGGTAGAAGAAGTGAAATATCTCAAACAATTCACTTTAACTTTAGAAAAAGGTAGAAAGTGAACCCCCACACATGAATCTATCATTTCTGTCAACTATTCGCCGATCATGTACTCACGGATCATATATCTGTCGAACAACTTTATCCCCGAATTATTTCAGAACTGAAAAATGATAAATTCGTCTTAAATATTTGAATGAATCAGACAAAAATCGAACCTCTTGTCTCAGCAGCTGCTCGGCTTCTGTCCTGGTGATGTTTTTGCAGTACCACCTCCACAGAGGGAAGAAAATAGGTGTAAGTTTGTAGATCTGTTATAGTTCACAATTTTCAAAACTAAAGGAAATACAAAAACTGTTCTGATCAAGGTTTAGTACGAACATAGACATCCAAAAACAGATGGTAACTCTTACAAGTTTGCTTCGATTCTGTTCTTCTCGGTGACGTAGTTACTCGGGATGAAGCCTTTATTCCTGACGGAAACAAAACAAAGTCAACGTGAACCGTCCGCTCACAGAAACAGCCGCAGTTTAACTCATGAGGTTCAGCTTTTTTTAAAGCGTTAAAGTCATTCCTGTTTGTTAAGTATGGAAGTCAATCTGTGCCATCTGATTGTGAATTTGAAGCTGGACTTTGAATTTCAATACTAGTGAATTTCAATCACACATTTATATTTCTGACACTTTTTTTTCACACTGATGAAATAAATTCAGTGTAAAACAATTGGTCCCTCAAAAGATTTGTTAAGTAGAAATTCGACTTTAAAAAAAACTTTGATTAAGAAAATTCAAGAAAAAAAAAATTCAGTGTACCAAAAAAGAGGCCCTGACCCCAGTGGAAGATTGCGGAATCGATTGCGTCTCCCTGATTACCCGGATGTTAAGTCGGTCTGTTGTACACAAAATTTTTAATACTAAATTGTTTAACACAATTTTTTTTTTGACACACGTTTTTTTATGTCAAATTTTTACTACATGAATATTTTTAGAGACTGATTTTTTCACACTGAATGATTTGACACTGAAATTTTTTAATGTTGAATTTGTTTTACACTGTTTTTTTTTAGTCAAATTTTAAATACACACATTTTTTGAGAGACCGATTTTTTTTACACTGAAGGATTTGACACTTAAATTCTTTTAATGTTGAATTTTCTTTTTTACACAGTTTTTTTTCAGTAAAATTTTTACGAAACAAATATTTTTTTTTCAGTTGAAAATATTTGCAAAATATTTTGCAAAACTGTTTTTTATACACTGAATTTATTTCATCATTGTGAAATTTAAAAACTGAGAAATAAAAATGCGTGCTTGAAACTCATTGGTTTTGAAATTCCAAGTCTGATTTTTTTGCCAAAAAAATTCAGCTTTAGAAATTCAAAATCAGACGGCACAGGGTTGAACAACACAAACCAAGCTGCCAGGACTGAAGAAGAAGAAGACTTTTATTAATCCCCGAAGGGAAATTCAATTATTGATTAAATTAATCGATTCAAAATTCAATTCAATTATTATTAAATTAAATTAAATGGTGAGTTGAATCTGGAAAACACACTTAAAAAAAACCCTGACATCTTGGTGATCTTGAGAGAAATAAGGGAAAAGTATGAAGTTAGAAAACTTGATTTGAGAATCGTTAAAATATCGTGGCTCACGCACTCACGACGAGCTTTAAGTACTTTCGATTTTCGTACCCATTTTTGTCCTGCGCTCTCCACCACAGCTGATCTTGTTTGTGGAGGATGATGTACTCTTCGCCCTGTGGACGCAACACTCTGCATCAACATCCACCCTTTACTCAGTTCAGTCTGTGTTATATGTGTGTGTGTGTGTGTGTGTGTGTGTGTTTGTACCTGTTTGAGTGTGAGGTCAGTGTTTTCTTTGGCGCTGAAGTCATACATGGCGATGACCATCAGCAATCCCCCGCCCACGCCGTCCTCGTCCTGAGGAGGGGGGAGGGGAGGCTTCTTCCTCGACCGGTCAGTCTGTGACAAGAAGACGGAAAATTATACAGCAACATTAAAACATTAAAACATTAAAACGACAAAGACATCGACGAGGTCTTACCCGACAAGTTGTCCTGGAATATCGTTTCTTCTGGAAACACAGGGAGGTGCTGTCCTCCAACTCCATACGGGTGCTGAACTCCCTGAAAAGAACCCATCCGTAAGATTGTTTGTGTTTTCAGAAAGTTCAACGATAAAAAAAAAAAAACGTGTGTTGATTATTGACAACTGTGACTGCCGAAGCGTGAGTACCTGGTCTGAACAGAACAGCAGCAGCAGAAGAAGGAGCGGATGGAGTGATCTGGAAAAAAGAGAAGAGCACTGTTACGTCATCTTCAAATCAACAAAAACAAAAGTCAGCAGCTGTCGTGGTTCTCAAAGTTGAACAGTTCTCATGACCTTTTTCTCCAGATCCATTTTTCCAGTCATGAGTTAGAACTGATCTTCCTCCGGGGTTTATAAATATCAAAGATCGGAGAGAGTCTGCTGAGTCGAACACTTTATTGTTTCTAAGTTTTGTTTAAGTTGAACTCTGTGGTTTTGAGTAGGAGGTCGTTGTCAGGAAGTATAGTTTCCTTTTCTGCAGAACGAACACTCGCTGAGTCGCTGAGAGAGAGAGAGTGTGTGTTTTGTGGGCGAATCAATAGACAGCTGTGTGGGTCATTTTCTCACCGTTTGCAGTACATGTCTGAGCTGCACGCCTTCCTGTTTCGTACTATTTGTGTTTCTGAGTTTGGAGATTAAATTCAAGGTAAATCCACACGTCTGTAAACCGATTTACAGCTGAGTGTCGGAATAAAAACGTCTTTCTTAAGAAACAATCAAGTTTTGTGGTTTGTGGTGAACCACCGTCTTATTAAAACAGTCGGTCTGGTTTCTGAAAGGCTAATAACAGAAGTTCCTTCTTCATCTGACTGTCTATAGTGTGATAGTGAGTCAATCAGTGCGTTTACAGTCACAGCTTCATCGGACTAAGCTCATATTTTGTTTTTTTTGCCGAATCGGACTTCTTTCCTTGTCCACATGAACGTGTCCTCCTCCCCAAAACTAGGGGGCGATATCAGGGGCGACGTCAGAAGTGTCTACAACTGCTGCTGATGGAGCATCGTACAGCGTTGTTTTTGTCCGACATGATGGACGTGCTACTTCTTCTGCAGATGAGACGAACGCTACTCCTCTACTCTGGGGTTTTTGTTCTGGGGTTACGGGGGCGTGGCGCACGCGCAAATGTATTGTCCAATCATACTCCGACTACGCCGGTTACATGGTAAAGAAAATCAAATTTTAATCACATTATCTGGGTGTCTTAATCGGAGTTGTCCGACTATAATCTAAGGTGTTTACATGACCTTCAGTTGTCCGGTCTTAATCGGAATAAGGCGATTATTCGGTTTTCTTGAGTGTCATGGAAACAGACTGATTGATGCCCTTTGACTTGTTCACATTGACTGGAAAAAACTTTGTAACAAGCGTAACAAGCAGTGTGTGACGGCCTCAATCTCAATCCGCACATGAAACCTTTGCCTGTTGACACTGAGTCAAAAACTTTGGTTAGTATTCCAGATCCTCAGGCAAACAAGACTCCATAATCTCAAGAGTCCATAATCTAAGACAAAGGCACTGGAAGGATGGTGCAGAAATGACAAGACCGATACACGGCATGTTTGAATGAAAGAGACATCAACCAAACTGAAGAAAACACTCATTCAACATACTGTGTGTCGGTCTTGCAATTTCTGGACCATCTTTCCAGTGCCTTTGTCTTGGATTATGGGCTCTTGAGATATCTTAAAGGTACCATTAAAAATGACCGGGGTCTTTAAGATATCGCAAGAGTCCAACATCTAAGACAAAGGCACTGGAAGGATGGTGCAGAAATGGCAAGACCGATACACGGCGTGTTGAATGAAAGAGACATCAACCAAACTGAAGAAAACAGTCATTCATATAACACAAATCAAAAGCTGCTAAGAGCTTTGAAATGTTGCTGGACTGTTAAAAGAAACGCAAACGTCAGCAGACTTTGAACTGGGATCTTGTTTGACTATGTCACTATTCCATTCTGCATTTCCACCCGCTCACCATCCATTGTCCCTAACCTCGGACCCTCAAAAAAATCCCCAAACGACGAGTTGCTTTAAAGTTTTGGTAACACTCAGTATGTTTACATGACACTCCAGAAAACCGGATTATCGCCTTATTCCGATTAAGACCGGACAACTGAAGTGCATCTAAACACCTTGGATTATAGTTGGACACCCGGATACTGCGACTGGAATTCGATTTTCTCTACCATGTAACCAGCGTAGTCGGATGTATGTGTGCGTACAAAAATACCAGAGTAGAGGAGTAGCGTTGGTCTCCTCTTTAGAAAAAGTAGCGCGTCCATCATGTCGGACAAAAACAACGCTGTACGATGCTCCATCTTCTTGTTTCTCCAAAATGCCCAGCAGCAGTTGTAGACACTTCTGACGTCTGACACCGACCTGCTGTTGTTGTTGACGGTTGTATTGGGGAGGAGGACACGTTCACGTCAATAATTCTGGATAGTTTCTCCAAACGAGACATAATGACGACCATCTACTGTAGGTTACACCCTGATGAGTGATGAATTACTTACCCACTCATAAAAAACGCTGAACTATCCCTTTAAATTGGCAGTTTCTAATGTGACGTTGACATCAGCATTTAGAGCGACTTGTTCGGTTGAAACTCCGACTCTTGTTTTTAGGTTTTCAGAAATTCTTCAGAAAGCAGATGCTTCACTCTGATTTGATACTTGCTTAAAAAAAAGAGAAACCCGAGGCAGCAGAAAACCTGTAACTGACGGCAGAAACAGAAGTGAAACTTTCACTTTAACTAATTATCGTTTCTATGGACTCTGCAGATCAGCTGCTTTGCAGACAGGTGGGTTTGCTAGCTTACATTCTTGTAGCTTTCAGTCTTAGTTTCCACCGTACAGTTTGTCTCTTTCAGTCGTTGGAAATCACTGATGATCGTTTAAGAAGTCTAACAGCCACGGATCGAAGTGTTATTGTTTTGACCCCATAGATTACCAGAGAGATGACTCAGTCCTGAATTCGGTTTCATTAAATTCTGGAATATCAGCTGTTAGTTAGCAACATCAAAATGTAAAAGACAAAATGTTCTTGGTCGATTCCAGGGTGACATTTCTTTAAACTTCGGCTTGAAGGATTCGAGAACGTCGACTGTTCCGGAATGTCAGCCTAGTAGATTCCGGAATGTCGGCCGTCTCAGAATGTCAGTTAGTTAGCCTACGTTGAAATGTAACAAAACTTTAGACCCTCTGCTTCATAAACTCAAGATAATCAAATAATTACATGAGTAGGTAGAATGCAGAATGTCACTTTTCTTTGATGTCGCTAGATTCCAGAATGTTAACTACTCTTGGTCGTCGGCTCGGTCGATCCCGGAATGACAGATGTCTCAGAATGTCAGTTAGCTAGCCTACATTGAAATGTAACAAAATTTAAACTGTCTGCTTGATAAATTCAAGATTATCAAAATAATTACATGAGTAGGTCGAATGCAGAGTGTCAATTATTTTGAATGTTGAAAACTTTTGGTCGTCTACCCGGTCGATCTTAGAATAACAAATGTCTCAGAATGTCAGATATCTTATTATCAGGATGTCGGCCTTTTACTGAGTGCCTGCTAAACAGTTGAGAACATCAGTAAACGTAATTCTGGAATGTCTAATGTAGCAGAATGTCAATTAGTTTGACTCAAGACTGTCAAATACTCCAAACTGTCTGAACGGTGGATACGAGAGTCTAAATAATCTAGAATCTCTTAGTTTAAGACTGTCAAGTACTCCAAAGTGTCTGCTCGGTATAAACAAGACTCTTAATGATCTAGAATTTCTCGCTCGACTTCAGAATGTCAAATACCTTTGACTAATTTCCCGTGTCTTTTCAGAATGTTATCTTTTTGGTTGATAGATTCCAGAATGTTGAATACTTTCGGTCGTCTGCTCGGTCGATCTTAGAATAACAAACGTCTCAGAATGTCAGATAGCGTATTATCAGGATGTCGGCCTTTTACTGAGTGCCTGCTAAACAGTTAAGAATATCGGTAAACTCAATTCTGGAACGTCTATCGAATGTCAAACACTTTAAAATATCTGCCGTATTCTGGAACGTCAAAAGTAGCAGAACGTCAGTTAGCTCGACTCAAGGATGTCAAATACTCCAAACTGTCTTCTCGGCAAATACGAGACTCGAAATAATCTAGATCTATCTAGAATTTCTTTGCTAGACTTCTAAATATCAAATATTCCTCAGTGCGTACTTTGAGCAGGTACGTCTGTTATGGAAACTCTGTCTGACTGTCTTAAATCTTCCGAGGTAAACACTTACTTAGCTGGATCATGGTCGATCGTCTTCGAGTTTCTTCTTCTTCTTTCACTTCTTTTTCTTCTCACACCCTCTACCTCCTCCTCCTCCTCTTCTTCTTCCTCTTCTTCTTCTTCTCAACCTTCTTCGGCTTTCGCTCTTCTCTCAACTTTTTGGGGGTTGGTGATAATTCCTCCGCGTTGAGTCGCATCGACAAAGCTGGTGCGATACAACAGGTGTGAAATAGTTGAGCTGCAGAAACAAAGGGACAAAGAGAGAGAGAGAGTGTGTGTGTGTGAGAGAGAGAGAGAGAGACAGGTGGGTGGAGGAAGTAGAGAGGGTGAAGGTGAGACTGAATTGAAGAGGGGAGAACAAAAGAGAGAGAAGACATGAACGCAGGAAGGAAACGATTCTGTCCAGTTTGTCGTCTTCGGTCAAATAGACGTTTGAATATGAGTCCACTTTTTCTTTAATACAGAGAGAGAGAGAGAGAGAGAGAGAGAGAGAGAGAGAGGACGAGTGTGTGAGAGAGGGAGAGAGAGAGAGAGAGAGGGAGGGAGGGAGAGAGAGAGAGAGAGAGAGAGAGAGAGAGAGAGAGAGAGAGAGAGGACGAGTGTGTGAGAGAGGGAGAAGGACAAAGATACTGAGAGGAAGTAAAAGAATGACGTGATCGAAACCACAGAGCATCCGTCTCTGTGATGAACCCGAGGAAGAGCCCACACACTAAAACACATGTACACACAGCCTGCACTCCGCACCTCGACGTTCACCCCGTACAGTCAAGAGGGCGAAACCGTCGGACTGAATATGAAGAAGCGGATGAAGCCTGAAGAGTCGGTATTTTGGCTCGAATATTTGGGGGTTTTGGAGCATTACAAAATTACAAAATAAAGAATGACTTTACAAACTGAGTTAACTTATTGTTAAACTCTGTTAAACCTGATTTAACTGGTGGAACCGCCCCCTGATGACCATTAGACACAACTTGGGCACTTTGGTGTCCGCCGAACCATCAACCAAGAAACCGGATCCACTTCTTGTCTCCAAGGCCGAAGGTTGACCAACGACAAAGAACAGCTTGCCTTTTTCCGCGTAACTCTTGCGCTTCCTGGCGGTTCGCCCATCTGTCCTTTCAGCAGTTTGTTGTTAACCATCTTGTCTGACACCTACGGACAGTTTCAGAGAGAAAACAAAACAGAAAAATGAGAAGTATGAGAAAAGTCTCATTGACTTTTGTGAGCCGTTAAAAAGGCGTCGCTGTGAACCGGGTCTGTTTAAAAACCAGACAAACACTGATGTTAGCTCATACTGCCTGATTTTCTACCTGGTTTTTGACTTTCTAGCATCTTTAATATCCGAGCTGAAGCCAGGCGGGTCAAAACAGCTCCTGTTGGTATTTGACCGATTTATAACCAAGTCTAAAACCTAACGTACGAAACTTTTTCAGTATATCAGCAGCGGAAATTAATCTGGAATGCCCCCCTGTAGTCGGATTTCAGACTCTGACAGTCTGACGATCCTCGCCAACCCCGACTTGACGACAACGTCATAATCCAAGATGGCAGCACAGAGCATCAGCAGTGAAGAGTAACAGTGAAAACTCTCGTAATGTTTTATTTATTCGCACTTCTGTTTTGTTTTTATGAAATTAAATAAGTGGTTTGTGTCAAACTGCCCGACCTCTAACTGTGAACACGGTGTTATGGTGTTTGTACGAGTAAAATACTGTGTTGTGCGTTCTTTAAAACTGATATAGCTAACAACAACTGACAACGGCTAACGACAGCTGGAAAGCGCTAAAATCATTACTAACATTTACTTTTACTTTTACGTACTTTAGGACTTTATTCTCACCACTAATAATTTTATTACGACTCTTGTGTCATAAATAATAAATTAAAATACGACTTTATTCTCGTAAATAATGATTTTCTGAAAACTTTATTATTGTAAGTAATTACTTTATTACGACTTTATTCTCGTAAGTAATAATTTTACCACAACTTCATCGTCATAAGTAATGATTTGATTTCGACTTTATTCTCATAAGTATTTACTTTATTACGACTTTATTCTTGTAAATCATGATTTTATCACCACTTTATTCTCGTAAGTATTGATTTGATTACGACTTTACTCTCGTTAGTTTTTACGAAGTCTTAATTTTTCAAACTTACACTCGGTCGTAAAATCTTGCTCTTGCTGGTCCTGTTCTTCGATTTTCAGTCCGTTTCGTAAGTGTGAGAACATTCCTCTTCGCTTTCGAACTGACGTGATCTCCCACAAACCACTGACCTCACACACACACACACACACACACGAACACATGAACACACACTGAGCTGTGAGGAAGTTTCTATCAGTGTGTGTTCATGTGTTCGTGGGTTCACGTGTGTGTGTCCGCCTCCCTCCCTTCATTTCCTCAATCCCACTCCACGGGTATTCAGCGGCACGGGAAACAAACTCACTCACGAGCAGCTGACGACGATGACAGGTAAGATAACTCCTGAGGAATTCACGACATTTGAGGTTTTTGTAGATTTTCGCGATAACTTGTGTTACGTCAAAGTGTGCGGCTGTCAGAGGACTAAAACCACCGACCAACAAGACTGAGTCCACACCGACAGAGAGCTGCTGTTGCTCCGTGAAAAAAAACGTGTTTTTAACAGATTCTTACACAACAGGACAAACCGAGCTTTAGTTCAGACACTGAAGTCACATAATCGACTCGAACACGGAGGAATTTCCCGCGCTGAACGGTTTAAAATGGCGTCAAAGTAAAAAAAAACCTTTGTTAAAAATGTTAGATCTGAAATGTATATTTGTGTTTGTTTGTATAAATGTGTTATTATCACGTTAATCGATCCGAAAAGTGGCTGATTCACCTGAGAGCAGGTGGAATCGCAGCGCTGCTATGATGGTCGTTTCCTTTTGCTGCATTTAAGGACTGTCGGACTTACGGGCACCGCATAAAATACATGATAAATCCGTGTTTATATGGAAGTATATCTGTGCCATCTGATTATGAATTTGAATTCTTAAAGCCGAATTTTTTTTTTGCATTAAAATCAGACTTTGAATTTCAAAACCATCGAATTTCAAGCGCGCATTTTTATTTCTTGTACAGTTTTTTCTCCCACAATGATGAAATAAATTCAGTGTAAAAAAAAAAACAGTCTCTGAAAATATTTGTAAAAATTCAACATAGAAAAATTTCATTGTCAAATAATTCCGTGTAAAAAAAATCAGTCTCGTAAAATATTTGTGTAGTAAAAATTCGACCACATCCGGGAAAGCTCCGATCTGGAACGGCTCTGATTTTCGCCGTACGCCAATTCCTACCGGATCCGTTTGTGAGGTAAATTTCGTGGCAGATTATGGACAGCAGGAATCACGAAAACTCACAAGAACCTGCGGATAACGTGACATCACGTGATAACAAGTTGTCTTCAGCCACTTAGACTAACCTTATAAGCAGTAGATTGTGTCCTTCCAGAGGAGGAAATCTACTTCTAGACTTCTAGAATCAGCATCTCCTCATCCATGGTGTCATCGGGGTGAAATGACGTCTAAAAACCTTTCACTTGTTCATCCCCCCGGAGTGTTTTATTTTGAAAAGAAGCCAGATGTTTTATTTTGTGTCTGTGCCCGACTTCCTTTCCAGCACGGGTTCATCTGTGCTGAATTTATCCGCCATGCTCCGGCGTCTGGAAAATATAGAACTCTTGCGAGCAGCTGAGGAGTCCGATGATCCGCAGAGGAACGGAAAGAAGTCGGTGTAAATTGACACGTTAACTTGAATGGTTACGATCAGCTACGATTGGAGGATACAACCTTTTTGTAACCGTGGAAATTGCCCGTTTTGGCGACTTCAGAAACTCTAAAATTCTAGAGACATTTAAAGGGTCAACGAATAGGAAGGAATGAGGCTAGGTACAAAAAAGCTAAACAGCTTCTACCTTCTCCTTTTCGATCTCCAAAAAATAGTGAATTTCTTGTCTAAAATTGTGCTGTATGTATATTTGATCGGATAAACGATCTCTCTTTCTCACTTTGGTTTGACTTCGCACGCCTCTTTAGCTAACCTTCAGCCTCCTGTCTGCTGAGGGCGTGGGCGGGGCCAGGATGAGTGAAGAGCTGCTATTGGAGGAGACGCTCATTAAGCGATCGCAGCAGAAGAAGAGGACGTCGCCGCAGAATTACAAGGAGCGACTGTTCGTCCTCACCAAGAGCCGGCTGACGTACTACGACGGAAAAGCAGAGGTCGGATTTACGGGGCGATTCCGTTCGCTTGTTGGTGTCTTTATTTATGCAACTGGAAACTGAAAAAATTGAAGGACTTCTGTCGTTGATTCGTGAAAACGTTGATGTCCATCCACAGAAAAGGTTCAGGAGAGGCTGGATCGAGCTGAGCCAGATCAGGTGTGTGGAGATCGTCAAGAATGGAGGAGGAATCATCCCCTGTCAGAACAAATATCCGTTTCAGGTACGGGTCCACAACTTACGCACTCAGCTCCCTCTGGACTCTTCTGTGAATTTTACTTTAGTTTTTGAAAGTGGTTTTTGTGAAACAGAAAAAAACTAGATGAGTCAGGAAGGTCTCGTGGTCAGAGGTAGATGAGCTACGGTTTTAGCTAACTGGACTACTGTCCTTGTCCCAGTGGTGAGATGTCGTCTTTCAGCTTGTTCCTATTTGCCGTCTCACCATGTACCAAAACAATCAACAAACAAGTCAACAAAGTGCAAACAGACTGTACGGTAAACCATAACAAACCATTCAGCCCAGTCTTACTACCTGCTTCCCTTCTTCTTCTTCTTCTTCTGTGGAGGTTTTGTTTACTACTCGGCTTCCTGCAAACATGATTTTTCTGTTTAACTTCTGGGTCATAAACTGTGGAACACGTGCAGAACATTTAGGCCAGTTTCAGTCCAACATCCGAGAGAAAAACCCTATTGAGAGATGAATGTTGCCGACCGCTTACTTCTCTAGTTATACCAACTTTAGGAACGACCGCAGGATAGAAATACAGAGAGCCACGCCCCCAACCAAAACGCCACTCTATAGCCACAAATAATGCTCAGAACAGCACTTAACTTCATCAACAGGACATATAGGGTCACAGACATAGTACTAGACACCAAACATCTTTATAACTTTGACTCATTTCTTTAGCAAAGAGACTAAACACAACTCACCTACTCTCTTCCAGCAGACGCTTGTTTGTAGAGAGACCTCAGGCCAGAACATTACGGACTACAGCGGGGTGCTGCAGCTCAAGGAAGAACATTTATGATCATTTCTTCATGGAAATACAATCAAACTGAGACGCTAAGACAGAAGAACTACCGCGTCTGTAAAATGATCAATATGGTGATTATTACTTCAAGGAAATGATAAAGAAATGATCATAAATGTTCTTCCTTGAGCTGCGGCACCCCGCTGTCGTCCGTTACTAAAGTTGACTGTTGACTGTTTATAGAATGGACGCCGTCTGCCAAGAGCTTTTTGGCTTCAAATCCGCATACCGGCATAAGGCAGAACCAAGTTGTCCAGAGTATAGACGGTCTATGGTCTGTAGTAACTGCCCGGTGTTAGCTAACAATGCTAGAAGAGCTAATGACTCATTTGTTTGAATAATGACCAACAGTTAAAAGTGGAATCAGATGGTTAATCTTTTTGGCCTTTAGTGGTTTTACCATAAAAATATGAAATAATGATTCATATGTTGTTATAAAATCACTTCATTGGTTTCTTTGACCAGGTTTGTGTTTCTTGTTTTAGGTCGTGTACGACACCAACACTCTCTATGTGTTTGCTCCAAGTCATGACAGCAGAAGTCTGTGGGTCCAGAGCCTTAAAGATGGTTGGTATCTATTCTATTCTACTCTATACTCTCCTAATTCTGTTCCATTCTATCATATTCTATTGCGGCGTTCGAGTTACCGCAGAAGTCAGATGTCGGAGCTGAAAATGACGTCACACCAGAGTTCCCAGGGTTTCAGTTACCAAGTCGGAAAAAAGGAAAATCGGAGGCCTGAAACAAGATGGCTACATCTATGCAAGTTATTTTAGCGCTTGCCTTGTCCGAATATTAGGAAAGCGATAAAATAACACTAGATGTAGCCATTTTGTTTCTGCGTCCGATTTTGCTTTTTTTTCCGACTTGGTAACTGAAACGCTGGGAACTCTGGTGTGACGTCATTTTCAGCTCCGACTTCTGACTTCCGAGGAAACTCAAGTGCCGCATAGATTGTCCTTCTTCTATTTCTTTTTCTATTCTGTTTTAGTTTATTGGGTTTTTTTCTATTCCATTGAGCACTGTCCTAATTCTGTTCTATTCTGTTCTTGTGGTCAGGTAATAAATTTAGCCCACTCTGTTCAGTGTTCGATGCTCTGCAAAGATCTTTTCACACTTCGACCACAACCGTGCAAATAGTTTTCACACTTATTTCCCATCAGCCTCTGCAGTTTCCACCGCTCTCCTCTGCTATTTTCACTCAGTGATTCGGACTGAAGTCACTGATATTAAGTCTCACAGATGAGTTTATGTATTTATGACATCATTTGTACCTTTTATGGCTCCAGTGACCTTTGAGTGAACTCACCCACACTGTTAGGAAGTCTGAACCTGATCAGATCTAAACGCTCTCATGATAGAGTTTTTTTAAGGGCGTGGCTGCCCAAAATAAACCAATCACAAGTGTAATGTCTTGTCTATGAGAATCTTGAAAACAGATTTTTTCACTCTAGTAGAAATTTAGTAGCTAAGATTTTAGTGAATTAGAGAAAACTTTCACCATCCAAACAGCAGCGCATGAACTGATGAGTCAGCATTTTTAAGCTCCAACCAGGATGGAGACCGCCAAAGTGACGTACTTAAAGGTGGGGTCGGCAGGATTCTGTTAAAGAAGCAGCTTTTTTTGTGGTGTATTTACAAAAAATCTTCTAATATCAGTCAATAGTTATTAGTTATTGATGACATTTGGTAATATATCGATATCTCTGTGTTCTCTTATGTCTGTGTCGTCAACATTTGAACATTTTTGAGCGGTCCGCTCTTTCTGACTGTAAACAAAGCCGTTCTCCACCTCCTCTAACCTGATTGGTTAAACAAAACAGTCAACAAGAAAACAGTCAACAAGAAAACAGTCAGCAGGAAAACAGTCAACAAGAAAACAGTCAACAAGAAAACAGTCAGCAGTAAACCAGTCAACAAGAAAAAAGTCAAGGAGTAAAAAGTCAACACTAAACCAGTCAACAAGAAAAAAGTCAATAAGAAAACAGTCAACAAGAAAAAAGTCAATAAGAAAACAGTCAACAAGAAAACAGTCAATAAGAAAACAGTCAATAAGAAAACAGTCAATAAGAAAACAGTCAACACAAAAACAGTCAACAAGAAAACAGTCAGCAAGAAAACAGTCAATAAGAAAACAGTCAACACAAAAACAGTCAACAAGAAAACAGTCAGCAAGAAAACAGTCAATAAGAAAACAGTCAACAATAAACAGTCAGCAAGAAAACAGTCAACACAAAAACAGTCAACAAGAAAACAGTCAACACCAAAACAGTCAACAAGTAAACAGTCAGCAAGAAAACAGTCAACAATAAACATGGGGGACGCTTGGGGATCAACAAGGTGACCCTGTAACCTTTCTGCTGGACAGGTAAACCGCTTTAACAAAGTAAGACAAGTGTCTGTAACAGAAGTGTTTCTTGTCAACGGACCTGCTGTAGCGTGTTGTACGCCATCGTAAACAGTCAGCAAGAAAACAGTCAACAATAAACAGTCAAGAAACAGTCAACAAGAAAACAGTCAACACCAAATCAGTCAACAAGAAAACAGTCAACCATAATCGGTCAACACCAAAACAGTCAACAAGAACCATTAATACAAGGGGTAATCATAAACAGTCAAGAGACAAAATACTTTTAACTGAGCTTTATAACATTTCTGCTCCCCCGTGTCGTTCAGGAGCCCAAACAAAGTTAGCGTGCTACAATATCGGACAGTAGAAACCAACCAGAAAGTTCGGAAAATTGTCTGAATCTGCTTTTCTTTGGCCACGACTGCCGACACAAGCAAGAAAACAAAGTAAATACCGGAGACTCTGGAGGAATAACGGGCGCTTAAAACGGAGGTAGACCGGACAAGAGCTAAAAAGCCGGGTCAACATAAACCATGGGGGACGCTTGGGGATCTTGGTGACCCTGTAACCTTTCTTTCTCATATCTGATTTTTTCATCTAAGTGTGAACAGGTCAATTCTGATTGGTTCTAATCCGACCCAGGCCTCTTCTGTATGTGGATATAAATCGGATATGTATCCGATGTGACTGCAGTGTGACGCTCAGGTCGCGTTCATCCGACCTATACGTCGTCAATATGCGACAAACGTCACCATTGTTCGACGACACAAACAGGCGCGGAAGGCATTTAGTGTTTTGTGCGCATGCGGGTCACTTCACAGACGCATTCCATTGTTGTAATGTGAACGACCGCACAAAAAGATCGGATTTAACAAAAAAGTCGTGGCCTTATTGCCCTCGACTTCGTTGTATACTGCCCCCAAGTGGCCAAAGATTAAATCTTAAACTGAACCCTGGAGACTGAACTCCCTTCTGATCTTTTTTTGTTGTTGTTTTGTTTTGTGCAGAGATCAGAGACAATCTGGTCATCATGGCAAAGTTCCACCCTCAGTTCTGGCAGGAGGGGGCGTGGCTTTGCTGTCGTCAGGCGGAAAAACAGGCTCTGGGCTGCGAGGAGTACAACCTGTTTGGAGACAGTAAGTGAAACCTCGCACGACCACGGTCACCTTAAATGAACAAACAAGAGTAATACTACCATGAGAAATACTGCTAAGTGCTGATTTAAGTGTCTTTTTAGGATTTTTAGAGGTTGTTAGAATATTTTAGGAGTTTAGGCTCGAACTGTTTGGAGTAAAATCAGGATAATGATGAAGACTGTTGGAATAAAACAGCCGTGAAGCTGCTTCATGAAGCTGACAGAAACCAGTTTTAAGGGGATTTTTTACAGTAAGGAGTCAAACTTCTGCACTTTTAAGCCTCTTAAATGTCAGATCAGCATTTTTGAAACTTTTCGCCCCAAACGTTTCCAAAACAGAGAGTCATCAGCTGCAGTCAGACGAGAGCGCAGCAGTGTTTCCAGTCAGAGATCAGTTCTTCTTGTGGTTTTGACTCGACAGAAGTAAAACCTTAAAAAGGAGAAAAGAAGCAGAAATGAAAACAGACGCCGGAGCTCGTCGCACCGAACAGCTGCGCCGTTTTAACACGCTTCTCAGTCAACGGTCACCCGCAATGAGCTGAGAGGTGGAGTAAATATTCGACAGCATGATGTCGAGGTTTGAAAAGAAACTGAGTTAATTTTGCAGAAGCAGAAACTCCAGATTCAGCGAGCGTGAAAGACAAACAGGAAGTCACTGTGGAAAGTCTAAATTTAAGGCGTGAGCGTGGTCATCAGCTCTTTATCAACAGTGTTACATAAGACAGGCGGGTGGGGGGTAGGGGTCAAAGGTCACGGCTGTACACAATAAGAGATAAGTGTGAAAACAGTAAGAGACTCTTTCTGCTCCTGTCTCAGTTTCTAGGAAACCTTTACCCCCGATCCCTGGAGAGGAGCCAGCAAAAGAAAGGGTAATACACACACACACACGCACGCACGCACGCACGCACGCACACACACACGTCTGTATTTATACCTGAAGTCTACCTGGTGTTTCCTTCAGCAGCGGCGGCGAGCCCCGCCCGCCCCTCCCTCCGGTCAAGAGGATGTCTTTGAAGAAGAGGAGGAAGAGGAGGAAGAGGAGGAGATAGTGGTGGCGCTGTACGACTTTGCCGGTACCGAGCTACACGACCTGAGTCTGGTGAAGGGAGGCGAGTACGTCATCCTGGAAAAGTTTGATGCCAACTGGTACAAGGCGCGCAACAAGTACGGGTGAGTGAGCGCCAAAGTTTGGACGTTTGTCTGAAATCGTTTTTTTCTGGGTTTTCTTTCTCTGACTCCGACACTGTTTTTGTTTCTGTGTGTCTGACAGAGAGGAAGGCTACATCCCCAGTAACTATGTAACCGAGAAGAAATCCGGAAACCTGGAGCAGTTTGTGTGCGTTTGTTAATCATTTCACACTGAATCAACAGTCAACAGTTTTGTTTTCAAGTTAGAGCTGCAGACCGAGGAGGATCAGGAATCTCTGCAGATTAAACAATTACAGAGGCGCAAATGTACGGTGGCCGAGAACTGCCACTGCTGCAAATGAAAAAAAGGATGCAAAAAAAAAAAAAAACCAACAAAAGTTACTGATGCAAAAAAAAAAAAAAAAACAAAAAAAAACAAACAACAAAAAAACAAAAACAAAACTAAAGCCTGCTGCAATTAAAAAAGGAAACGGTGCATTAAAAAAAAAATGATGACGCAAGAAAAAAGTGGCGATGTAAAAAAATAAAATAAAAAATGAAGCCGAAGCCTGCTGTAAATAAAAAAAGAAACAGTGCAATAAAAAGAAAAAAAAAAGCCACAACGGACGTTAACGCCACAAAAAAAAAGGAAGCGATGCAAAAGAAAAAAAAGAAAATAAAAGGATGCACATTTTAAAAAAGCCACAAAAAAAGTTAACGACACAAAAAAGTTGCAATGCAAAATAAAAAAAAAATTACTTACTGTGAAAATAAAAAGATGCAAATAAAAAAAGCCATGACAGAAGTTAACGAAGCAAAAAAAAGTGGCGATGCAAAAAAAAAAGAAAAAAAAATTACTCACTTCCGATGTGGCTTTTTGTATTTGCATCCTTTTATTTTTCGTTGTAATAATTTTTTTTTGCATTGACACTTTTTTTTTGCGTCATTAACTTCAGTTTAAAAAAAAAAAAATCTGCACCGTTTCTTGTTTTTATTTGCAGCGGGCTTCGGTTTCTTTTCTTTTTTTTCCATCAGTAACTTCCGTTGTGGCTTCTCTCTTTTTTTCCCCTTTTTTTTATTTGCAGTAGTGGCGGTTCTCAGCCACCGTACAAATGGACCAAAGCTGCAGCAAAACAAATATGTTCTGATCACGTGAAGTCATTCTCGATATCTATGTTCATGTTTTCCCTCTAGCTGGTACAGTAAACACGTCAACAGGAACAAAGCTGAGGAGCTGCTGAGGAAAGAGGTGAGCTCATCTGCCAACTTCCAGAATCATCTCCACTTTCGTTTCTTCCACACTTCTGTCGGCATTTCTTGTTAATTTCTCTCTTTTCAAACGTATTTCTGTCCTTTCTTCAGTTTTTGTTCTTGTTACTAAACACACACACACTTCCTGTAGTTCCTCAAGAGTGACAGACGTGAGTCAATCCCCACAGAGTTCCATGTAAAAATGTCTCAAACTGTAAAAGCCGAGAAAAAAATTTCTGCAACAAACCATCAATGAAAGAACGACGACGACGACTTTGTTTCATAAAATAAAATTTTAAAAAAGAATCAAAAAATGTGTATTTTAAAATCACATAAACTAAATGTGTCAAATCTCACCGACCTGTGTTCATCTGTGTGTCGCCCCCTGCAGGACAAAGAAGGAGCCTTTATAGTCAGAGACTCGAGCGACGCGGGAACTTACACAGTCTCTCTCTATACCAAGTCTCCTGCAGGGTAAACACACACACACACACACACTTTATATTCAGAAGAACATTTTATAATTTTTTTTTTTATTTGATTCCTTAGTTGAGAGTTTGTTTGATTTAAAACACAAAATGTTAAAAGTGTCTTTTAAAGCTCCAAAAGTTCACAGTTATTTTGATCGTCGTATTTAGAGACTTTTCCTGAAGTTAAACTGAAGTAGAAATAGTTGTTTTAAGATCTGAACTTCAGTACAAACTCAACAGAAACCTGTTAAATCCGGATTTATTTTAAAAAGTTTTTATTTTTCTTGTGTGTGTTTGCAGGGAAGGACACCCGGCTATAAAGCATTACCACATCAAACTGACACAAAGCTCGCCTCCACAGTTTTACCTGGCTGAGAAACACCCGTTCAGCTCCATCCCTGACCTCATCGAGTACCACAAACACAACGCAGCAGGTAAACACGCGACCATCACCGAGTCACAGCGCAGGGTTAAAGGGATATTCCGGTGTAAAATTAATTTAGGGTCAAACACACTGTAGCACTTAGACCCCCCCCTCCAGAGATGAATGTTGTCGACCGCTTGATTCTCTAGTTAAACCAACTTTAGTAACGACTGCAGGATAGAAATACAGAGAATATTAATGACCATTTCTTTATCATTTCCTTGAAGTAATAATCACCATATTAATCATTTTACAGACACGGTAGTTCTTCTGTCTTAGCGTCTCGGTCTGATTGTATTTACATGAAGAAATGATCATAAATGTTCTTCCTCGAGCTGCGAAACTCCGCTGTAGACCGTAATGGACTGTGGTCGTCAACATTCATCTCTGGAGGGGGTGTCTAACTCGGTGTTACCGTGTGTTTGACCCTAAATTAATTTTACACCGGAATATCCCTTTAAACAAAGGAAAAAGGACCCAAATGCAGAACTAAGGATTTATTTAAGCAAAAAGGAAAAGTGCAACAAAAACTTACTCTCAAAATGTCCGACTGAAAAATCCAGAGGAAAAAAAACATGAGGAGCAAAATCCTGAACAAACAAAAAGGCACTGGGAAAAACTGGGGATCCAAACAGACACTGACATCGACCACAGACAGACAATGAACAAACCAGTACAGAGGAGAAGACAGGGACTATATACACAAACAGGTAAACGAGCAACAGGTGAGGCAGACGAGACACAGGTGAGACTTAACGAAGGAGGGAAAATTAGGGAAGTAAAACCAGACTAGAAACACAAGGAATCATGGAACTGGACAACAGAGGAACAGGAACACTAGGAAAAATACACACAATGCACTCAAGACATATCATGACACATAGAGCCTAATCTCTGTGGCTGAAAAATGAAACCAAATCCAAAATAAAGCAGTTCCCAGAGTGTCCACTAGAGGCCGGCTCCTGAATTGAGTCAAGATTTCACACCCAGTCAGTCCTAACATTTTTGTGTTTGTGTGTGAGCATTTACTCACAGGTATCTGTGTGTGTGCTCCTCATACCTTGCATCTCGGAACCCAGCCAAGAATTTGCACCATGAGTGACTCTAAAAAAGTCAGAGTTCAGTCCCTCTTCAAAAGTTCAGTTCGCTGAGACGGAGCTGGGTGTGGTTGTGAGCCCAGTTTTAAGTAAGTGGAAGTTCCTTTTCTGCTGGAAAGGTGATACTCCATGTATGAAAGAACAAGTCCACATTGGGACTGACATGCCGAGGCCCCTGACCTGATGGCCACCCTGGTTTGTATTGCACCCCTGTGTTTATTCCTGGGGGTGGTGGGCTCACAGGGTGTCATGGTTTGGTCCATGGATGCAAGCCTGGTCACAAGTTTGGCTCCGGGGGTTTTCCCTGGTTTCTCTATTCCAAGTGTTTCATAGGGGTTATAATAACAATAATAATAACAATACATTTTATTTATATTGCGCTTTACATCTGAGAAAACAGATCTCAAAGTGCAAACATAATAAAAACGACCAATAAAAGGAGCAAAAGTCAGAATATAAAATCAGCCCAGAAAGGCTTTTCTAAAAAGGAAGGTCTTAAGTCCTTTTTTAAAAGCATCCACCGTCTGTGGAGCTCTGAGGTGGTCAGGAAGGACGTTCCACGGACAGGGAGCAGTAGCCTCAAAGGCCCTGTCACCCATGGTCTTGAGGGAGGGGAGGCCAGTGCCGAGTGCAAAGGATGGGGGTGATGTGCTTATGTTTGCGCCTCATCAGGACCTTGGCAGCGCTGTTTTAGACATATTGCCTGGGATCCTGATGAGGAGTGCGTTGGTCGTCCTTGAACCACCACTGCATCATGGTTCCTTTGTCCCTGTGAAGCTTGGAGCCTTGTTCTTGTTGTTCTGCTTTCACTGCAGTCTCAGACTTTTTGGTTTTATGCCTCTATGATTTCTTTGAAACTTTAGTTTTGTCTCTATTTGCTCTGGCAAAACCTAAAACTATTATCAGATTAACCGTATTTAACCTTTTTTTTTTTTTTGGAGTGGTCTAAAATGTCTGAATATTCATGGAGAGTGTAAACGGTCTCTCGATCCTGTTTTTCCTGTCTCAGGTCTCGTTGCCAGATTGAGGTACCCCGTTGGGAAACAAGACAGTTCTGCTCCATCCACCGCCGGTTTCAGCTACGGTGAGTTGGATTCAGCGTTTTTGTTTCTCTTTATCATCTTTCTCTTTTCTCACCCTCTTCTTTTCTCTAATCCAGATAAGTGGGAGATCAACCCCAGTGAGCTGACCTTCATGAAGGAGCTGGGCTGCGGTCAGTTTGGTCTGGTGAGGCTGGGGAAGTGGAGGGCTCAGCACAAAGTGGCCATCAAGGCCATCAGAGAGGGAGCCATGTACGAGGAGGACTTCATCGAGGAGGCCAAAGTCATGATGTAAGGAGGGGGGGACAGGAAATGATAGAACAGAAAACTTAGCCTTCATTTAACCTTTGCTACCCTCTTCTGGAGATTTGTAGTAACTGCATCATCGTGCACTCAGAGCAGGCCTGCAGTCTGGGTTATTACGATAGAAGTAAAATTCTAATATCACCAAAATTACCTGTGCTCCAGGAAACTGTCTCACAAAAAACTGGTGCAGCTGTACGGCGTTTGCAGCCAGCAGAGGCCCATCTACATCGTCACGGAGTTCATGGAGCACGGCTGTCTGCTGAACTTCCTCCGGCAGCGACGGGGCAGCTTCGGCGTGGGGTCCCTGCTGAGTATCTGCCTGGACATCAGCGAAGGGATGGAGTACCTGGAGGCCAACGGCTTCATCCACAGAGATCTGGTGTTTATCAGTTTATTAAATGTTTGAACGGTGCTTTGTTTATCACTGGCTGGATGTGGTCGGTGTCTTTTCCCTCCAAAACTATAGCGGTCCTGTAAATTCATGTGGACACGTGATGTAAAAGTGTCTTCTCCCTCTTGTGCAGGCTGCTAGAAACTGTCTGGTGAATGACTCACTGATTGTGAAGGTGTCTGACTTTGGCATGGCCAGGTATGAATTCAACCCCATCTGGAAATTTTCTCACACATTCCTTTACAGTCTCTGATAAGCATCAGGAAATACCGGATTACCTCTGAACTAGCTTCACTTTGACAGGCAGGTAGACGGCTGTTTGTAATTGGTTTGTGTTTTTTGTAGGTACGTGTTAGACGACCAGTACACAAGCTCATCCGGCGCCAAGTTTCCTGTGAAATGGTCGCCTCCGGAAGTCTTCAACTTGTGCAGATACAGCAGCAAGTCAGACGTCTGGTCCTACGGTGGGTAAACTTAACCATCAACAAATCAGATATGACACACTCAGCTTGACTTGAGTAGAATCCATTTAAAGAGGCTTCCAGAAATTCCGTACGAGATTCCGCTCTCTTATCGGGTATCTTGGTCTGTTTCCAGGTGTGCTAATGTGGGAGGTATTCTCAGAGGGTCGTATGCCGTTCGAACAGAATCAGAACCATGAAGTGGTCGCTCTGGTAACTAAAGGTCATCGACTATTTAGGCCCAAATTAGCCACTCCCACCGTCTATGACATCATGCAGATGTGTTGGCTTGAGGTGAGAGTGTTTCCTGATAAAATCCGTTTGACTGTAAATGAACTTTTGTTTGTTCATTAAAATACAAACTTGTTATTTCATCTACTGCACACTTTGTTTTCAGAGACCAGACAAACGTCCGACTTTCACTCAGATCTGCTGGATGATCTCTGACGCTCTAGAGGGCGACACCACCTCCCCAAGTTGACCAACTGACCAATCAGCTTCTTCCACCTTTAACACCAACTGTGGCAGCCATGTTGGCTCTAACATTGAGCGTTCGTATCATGGTACTTACAGTTTTAGGAACTGACCAGTCAGATGGGAAAGGTCGCCAAATCAGAACTGCTGGAGCCGACCCTTCCACCAATCACAGCGCAGCTGGACTGATGGCTGAACGAAGTGGAGCTGCTGCTCATGTTTGTTTCTGTCGTTTTGAGACTTTGACTCCGACATGAACTGACAAAGAAGAAGAAAACATGATAACAACATCAGCTCAGACCGGAGCGTCCTGTTCGTGAACCAACGATCTTTTAGATGAAACTTAAAAACCTTCAGATATCTATAAATGATTAAGGGGCATTATCACGTATAAAGAGATTAATTCATTCCTCAGATAAGACTTATCTGTGATATGTTAGGAATCTCATCAGGTGGTTGGAAATGTACTTTCTTTGTTTGCTTCATCGCTGTGGTGCTAATCTAGATTTCATGTCACAACTTCTCCTTTAATAAAAAATAAATATTGTCGAAATCAATCAGTTATTTTTGTGTAAATCAATTCTATATAAATGAATAGTACAACAGCCACAGACCCTTAGATGTCTTTAAAAACTCTTCCTTTTGAGGTTTAACTTTTAAACTTTGATGTCTCTGAATGAAACTCTGGATGGTATCTCGTCTACTTTTCTGAATCTTTGAATCTCAGTGTTACAGAAGTTACAGAATTTTTTACAAACTGCAAACAGAAAAGAGAAGAAAATTTGAGTTTTGCTGAACGGAGGAAAAGACTAGAAAGTGTATAATAAGTGACTTGTAGGATATGCAGAAAAGCTTTGAACTGTGTTTTTCAGGTACTTTCTTCACGACTGCATGTAACAGGAGAGCTAATCTATTTTTGTTTGGGCTCAGTTCAGTTTCTTTAGAGGTTTGGTCTTTGTAAACCCATCACTCATATTGAATGTGTGGGACCTTTAAGCCTTTGTGACTCTGATCACAGAATTCAAAGGAAAAGGTCAGAACTATAAAAGATGGCAGACATTCAGCCGTGCTAATACTTTTAGTGTCAAGGGCGGACCAGGAGCAGTACACCATCAAGGCCTTGTCTCAAGGTCACCAAGGAAGATGGACCACGTGGTAAGGCACCCTCAAGAGATCCATCAGCTGGGCCGATCTGTGGAAGACACCTCCACCAGTGGTTTGGAAAGGAAGAGAGCTGTCCCCTCTGCAGTGCACCTAAAGCCAGCCTGCAGCACCTGCTGTCAGGCTGCAAGACCTCATTGGCGTTACAGATGGCATCACAATCAAGTCGAAACTGGCCTAAGTCCTGGACAGCTGCAGACTAGATGGCAACAAGCAGCCCACAGCCAGACAGTCGTCCGTCAGGTTTGTCAGGCCAGGGGAGGACAAAGGAGACACCAGTCAACGAAGTCCCTGGAGTGTCTCAAGCCAGGGACTGGAGTATGAGGGCCGACATCGGCCAACAGCTGCAGTTCCCCCGTGAGATTACCACCACATCACTCTGGCCAGACATCGTGCTCTGGTCTGCTGCTGCCAAGTCTGCCATGCTCATAGAGCTCACCGTTCCATGGGAGGAGGGAATCCATGCTGCCTATGAGTGGAAAGCAGCAAAGTACTCCGACCAGGTGGCAGAGTGCAGAGAGCTGGTCCACCACCATCTACCCTTTAGAAGTAGGCTGCCAGGGCTTTTCAACACATTGACAACAAGGCTGCTTCGTGATGTGGGAACAACTTGGGCTAAGCTTTGAAGAGGAACCAAGGCCCTTGGTGAGGAAGCAGAAAACGGAAGCTTCTGGCTGTGGCCGTGGCTGAGGAGGAGAGATAAGAATTGGGGATCAAGCCAGTGAGATGAGTCAGCTGCAGGCTGCCACCACCCCACAACCAGGAGGTGTTCCGGGGTTAAAGAGAGTGAAACTCCAATGAGCGGTGGTCCCCGGCTGATGACCCTGCAGCTGGCCCAAAAGGCGCCATAGGAGGCGCGTCAGTCACTTTTGCCCGGCAGAAACAACACCATACCTGTACAATCAATCTTTATGTAAAAAGTGAACTCACCTGACCTCTGAATGACAACACAACATCAGATACCATCAGCGCTCCACTGTCAGGGTTGAACAGATTAAGATAGCCCAGATAACCCAGCTTGTTACCATTTCTTAGGGCCTGGTTTTACTTTTTTGTGGAGCTGTTAGTGAATTCTGTTGGTGCTTGTCAGTTATCCATCAGTCTGATTGCGGGTCAAGAGCACTGCGGGAATTTTAGGTATTTTATCTTGATGAGGAAGTACAGGTGCTATATAAATGGCACTGAAAAAAGGGACATCAGTTCTGATCAGTCTTCAGACCAGCTCCCCACGACGCAGAGAGGATGGCAAAGAGTGAGTAGTAATATATGCACTTATTTACATCTGTACCATGCCAAGAGGGAACCACATGTAACATGATCTAGAAAAGCTGGTGACTCACCTGGGTCCAGAGAAGTTTGACTCTGGTGACTTTTGGTTCTGTCTGTATGTTTCTCCTGCAGTGATTAAGAATGTGGACTTCCACTGTGAGTCCAACAACATGGCTCATCGCACTATTGAAATTACATCAAAGCAGCTGATTGTGAGGCGTGGACAGTCCTTCCTCCTGACTCTGGAAATGATGCAACCTTTCAAAAACAACGACGTACTCGTTCTCTCTGTGGAGACAGGTAGTTTACTAAAACGTTAAGCTGTTACTGCATTTCTATGTGCAGCGATTCACATGTATTTTAACTCATCAATCTGTCCCTTTTAATCAATGACCCAACCCTTTGCTTACCAGGTTCTGCTCCATCTGAGGTACTTGGGACGCGGTGTAATTTTGGAAACCCCTCTCCTTTGTACACCAGTGATGCCAGAGCAATATGGAATTACAGCATTGACAAGAGTGCCAACCTGCAACTGGGCATTGTGACACTGTCTGTGTCCCCTCCAGTTGATGCTCCCGTGGGCAGGTACTCACTCTCTGCAAGGACGACGAGTGACAAGAAAACTTTGGGGACCCTGGTGGTGCTCTTCAACCCCTGGTGTTCAGGTTGGTCGTGTAACTGCAGCCATGACCAAAAGAAAACCTGTCAAATTTGTCTGCACAGATATCAAGTTTTCTGAGTAAATTCTGTCCAATCAGAAAAACTTAGAACTTAGAAATGATCGAGGAGCTGATGTTATATCCCCAAAGGTTTTTTCCATGCTCTGTCAGAGATTTTATCGTGTACTTGGTCATGCTATGGTTTCCAGGTGACTGGGTGTTTCTCCCTGACGAGCAGGAGAGGCAAGAGTATGTAATGAATGAACAAGGAGTTATCTACTATGGAACAGCAGGTTATCCACGGCCCATGGACTGGGTATTTGGACAGGTGAGCATCAGATATTGATTGAGCTTCTCAAGACTTGCATTTCACCCTCACGGCTTTGAGTATTGGCTATTGAAAAATATATATTTCAAAGTTTCTTGAACATTTTAAGAATTCCAGAATGTTAAAAAGGTTCCAGAGCGTTTCAAAGATTCTAGAACTTTTTGAAGATTATAGAACGTTTTAAAGATTCTGGACATTTTAAGCATTCCGGAATGCTTTAAAGATCCTAGATCATTTAGAAAGTTCCGGAATGTTTTAAAGGTTCTAAAGTGTTTTAAAGGTTCCAGAATGTCTGGATAATTCTAGAATGTTTAAATGATTCTAGAATGTAACAAAGATTCTGGAATGTTTTTTAAGATTCTGAAACATTTAGAAGATTCTAGAATGTTTTAAAAATTCCAGAATGTTTTGAAGACTCTAGAATGTCTAATGAAAGAATGAAATACGAAAAGAAAAATAAAGTCTAGACTGTTCTTCAATAATTGAACATTCAATAGTTAGACTTCTAAAAGGCACAGACTGGGTAGTTTGGTATGTTGGTCTTTTTGGTCATTCTGACTTGTATCTTATTGCTCAGTTTGAGGAGGAAATGGTGGATATTTGTCTCAAGATGTTGGACATCAACCCGAAACACACCAGAAACCCGGCAGATGATGTGTCCGCTCGCTGTAACCCCATCTATGTTGGCCGTGTGGTCAGTGCTATGGTAAGACCGTTTTAAAATCACTTACTTTCAGTTTAAGTTTTTCTAATTTCAACAAATTATGATGTAACTTTTTTACGCCATGCTTACTTACAGAAAAAAATATTGAATCTTATTCACAAAGGAAGTTATATCAGGAATTTGCTTATTTCCAGATCAACAGTAATGGTGACCAAGGTGTGTTATTGGGACGCTGGCATGACAACTATGTTGATGGAGTGAGGCCCACCCATTGGACTGGCAGTGTGAGCATCCTTCAGCACTGGTATCAGAACAACTGCCACCCAGTCAAGTACGGACAGTGTTGGGTGTTTGCTGGAGTAATGTGTACAGGTACTACACATACTTAACATCAAAGCTCAAATCTGGCATTAATGGGTCAAAGATAACATTTGAATTTATCATTCAATCAGCTAATATTAACTTATACAATACCAACTCACAGCAAATGTTCTCTTTATGCTTGGGTGTGTTAAAATGTGCATTTTATTCCAGTGATGCGGTTCCTGGGTATTCCATGTCGTGTTGTCACAAACTTCAAGTCAGCTCATGACAAAAACAGCAGCCTCACTATTGATGAGTATTATAATGAATATGGGTTACGAGCCACAGGGAGCCAAGACAGTATCTGGTAAGTCCTGCATTCAGACACAAAGATTAGGGGTACCAACAGAACCAAAGAGTTGCCTTTTTTAATGGATTTTTTAGAATTTTTCCAAAATGAACTCGGGTTTTATGTGCTCAAAAACTGTTTAAATACTTGAAAAATCTGTTTGATGCAGGAACTTCCATGTGTGGGTGGAGGGATGGATGAAAAGACCAGACCTCAAGAAAGAAGACAAGTACGATGGTTGGCAAGTCTTGGACCCCACTCCGCAGGAACTAAGTGAAGGTGAACACAAATTGTAAAAAACGGAATTGTGGGGTTTGATTTCGAGAAAAAGCAGATAAAAGTTACAAATAAGTGAAAATTTGTGTTTTTTTTACAGGGGCATTCTGTTGTGGTCCAGCTCCAGTCGCTGCCATCTTCCTGGGTGACGTTGACCTGAAATATGATGTGCCGTTTGTCTTTTCTGAAGTCAATGCCGACATTGTGAAGTGGATGGTGAGTATGTGGAAATAGTGGGGACCTTGATGCTACACTGTCTGCATATTGTCAAAAAAACCTTTTATGTCAATCTCACACTATCATGCACTAAATACAAAAACACCTGTGGCCTGTGCTCGTCAGTTAGTAGAAACATTGTAGTGCAGTTTTGTTCATCCTGTACAGAACACTTACCCTAACCCCTGATTCTCTTTTCAGGTCAGTGCTGGAGGTGTAAAGATTAAAATGCACTCCAACACTTCAACAGTCGGTCAAAATATCTCCACCAAGGCTGTTGGCTTCAGCATCAGGAATGACATTACAAGCAACTACAAACACAAAGAAGGTAAACATTGTGTGAGGACATGAATGTGGCCAAAAACTCATCAAGAGAAAAAGCTTCCCTTTCTGTTTTTATAGAGGAAATTTTAACTCGATGATCCTCAGCCCCAGTTAAACCGAGGATGTCTTTCTTCTCAACAGGCAGTACCAAGGAGAGAGACGCTTTCAAGAGAGCACTGAACAGAGTGAACTCAGGAGATGATCAGGAGGGGAAGAGCAGAGATGAGACTCTGAAGCTGGAGATGAAATTTGAAGAGGTAAGAATTTTGATGGTGAGCCACAACAAAATGTAAGATGTGTTAAAGGGATATTCCGGCGTAAAATTAATTTCGGGTCAAACACACCACAACACTGAGTTAGACACCCCCTCCAGAGATGAATGTTGCCGACCGCTTGCTTCTCTAGTTATACCAACTTTAGTAACGACCACAGGATAGCAATACAAATCGGTCTGAGGAGCCATAAACAAACCTCAACCAAAACGCCACAAATAATGCTCAGAACAGCACCTAACTTCATCAACAGGACATAGAGGGTCACAGACATAGTACTAGACACCAAACATCTTTTTAACTTTGCCTAATTCCTTCACGTTTATGATCATGATGATCATAAGTGTTCTTCCTTGAGCTGCGTCACCCCGCTGTAGTCCGTAATGGACTGGCCTGAAATCTCACTACACACAAGCGGCTGCTGGAAGAGAGTATGTTCGACCCTAAATTAATTTTATGCCGGAATATCCCTTAAACATTAAAAGTGCTTCAACAAACAAGCAAACATGAAACTACAAAATTGTATGAAGTGGAAATTCTGACTAAACTCACAGGGATCTAAAATAAGGCACAGTTGAAATAAGGTGAGTTGTAAAGGAAGAATACACGTATCCTCTCTGTTTTAGAAAAATCAAACAATCCTAAATAAATGTCCCAAATAAATTCAATTTTTTTACGTGTTCACATCCCTCTTTTTATTTCTCAGGCGGGCAAGATGCTGAATGGTCAGGACATAAAACTAAGCCTGAATCTGAGAAACAAAGATCGTACAAACAAGACAGTGTCAATTCGCGTCACAGCCCAGGCCATGATGTACAACGGTATACCAGCCAACAACATTCAGAGCACAGTCCAAGAGAAGACCCTGCTGCCTGGACAAGGTCTCCAGAGTTCCTCTTATCCTTCACCTCAGTTATTATGACCCATTGTCTTATCATTGTTTTTTGTCAACAAGAAGCCAACAGAAGTTAAAAGACATTTGTTAAACCAATCTAAACAGGATCTGAATCAGACCTGTGCCTTACATTTACCTCCCTGACCTTCTCTGTTCCACAGCTGAGATCTTGCCAGTCCAGATTCCATTCTCAGTCTACGGTAAGTACACAGTGAGCTGTGACAGTGTGAAGGTTTCAGCTGTGGCCGTCAACAAACAGCAGGAAGATGACATCTATGAAACTGAGACTGACATCGTCCTTGAGGACCCTAAGGTCTCTATCAAGGTTGGTGGAGTCCTCTGATGTCGGTTTTGTTGATGAACCCAAAGACAAAGGCACAAAAAAAAAAAACAGTGGGATCTTTTTATGTTTGATGGAACAACTGCAACAGGGTAGCTGCTTATGCTCATCACTGATGACTGTTTGGTAAACGTACAAGCTAGATTTGTGTCTGTCTGGTTAATGAAACTGAGTCCCAGGGTGACTCCCATAGATTCAAGGTGATTATGGGTATAATAAGTCTCTCCTAAAGTAATTTGACCTTTTTGTCCATTTTTGTCTGGGTGCAAAGTCCTTCTATTCAAATAAAGGATTGTCTAAAAACGTATGGTGGGAATTTCTGTCAGCGCAGGGCTGAGGAACGAATGTCTCTGAGAGTTTTATTCAAAATGTACCTTTCCAAGAATTCGGAACAGGGTAGAGCTCAAATTTCTAGAGGTTAAAAAGAGACTGGTGGCCTATTGACCCAAAGGTTAGGTGGTTTCAAGAGTTCATCTAATGGTCACAGTTCCTGCTCTTGGTCATACTTCCTCTTAACCAGTAAATTCTCTTTCTAGGTACTACTTAAAAGCACACTCAGCCCTTTGTGAAGCCTGTTATCTCAACAATATAGAAACCCTGATTCAACAATAAAACATCACTTTCTGTCACTAAGGGCATATTTCTTTATTCTATATCCTGACTACTAATATAGATGGAGTGGAGAATGAATACATGAAGAGGGTCATGAAGTCTTTATCAAACATGTGTCTGTAATCTACAGTCTGTCAGTCATGCTGTTGGTTTGTGTTTTAGGTCTTAAGTGAGGCTCGCTTATTCAAGGCAATGACGATGGAGGTGGAATTTACAAACCCGCTCAATGTGACACTGAGAAACTGCTCGCTGACAGTAATCGGATGTGGTCTTTTCAAATCAGACTACATAGAGGGGTAAGTGCTTGAAGCTGCAGTACATTAACAGTCCTGTTTGTGTTACCTTCAGCTTGTCTTATTCAGACTTGGCTCCATCTTTGACTCAGAAATACCAGGGAGCTGGACCCAAAAAGCAACCTGAGGCTGCGGATCACAACCACCCCCTACAAGGCCGGGCTGAGGACTGTGGTGGCCGACTTTGACTGCAGTGCCTTCAGAGACGTGAAGGGGAGCTGCACAGTAGATGTCAAAGCATGAATCTTGGTCTGCTTCATAAACACTCGACATACCTGATGTTAGTGTGTCTAAAGGCAATGACGGAGGCTGGAACAGCAAAGTCCTGCATTTGTGTGTGTTTGCTGTTTGATTCAAACCAAATAAAGGGACTGTGTTCTGGCTAATTCCTGAAAAACTCTCATTTTGTATGTCTTTTCTGATATAAAGATATTCACTTTTCCTGGTTAATGTTGAACTATTTTTATTGAGCAGTGGTTCCAAACGAACCTGAATAGAACACACAAGTTTTTAGTCCATAAGCACTCCCAGACCCAATCACCTTGAAACTTTTTATCTGGTGTGAGAAGTAGCCAGAAGTAATGTTTAACAATAAAAAAACGGTGCTGCATTGTTCAACTTAAAAAGTGACTTTGTGTCAAGTGCAGATGAGAACTTTTCTGCTTTTTGTGCTCAAGAGAAAAGAGATGAAATCATGAAGAAAATCAAGACAAGGAGCTCAAATGTATAACAGAGGAAGTCTTTCATGAAAGGTACAAAACAAAAATGTCTTGATACCACAGTCAAAATGACATGACACTGTTAAGGAGAATTATCAGGAGCTCTTAGTAGCGAAGCCAAATCTTTTCCTAGAAAAACACATGACCTCACTACCACATGATTGTGGTTGCATATAGAGAGTTATTTAAACCTGCTTGACAGGAGTAAAGTTCCTTGCTCACCTCTCTTCACACTTGAAGCCACTTTCACAGAAGTTGGTCTGCATTTGGGTTCCCAGAGCGCTTCCATGCAGACTTCATGAAGGTCTTTTCAGGCATGGTAAGTTCGATCTTGGTTTAATTTGTCAGCTTATTTGTAACTCTCCATTAAATGAATGTCAGTTATTTTCTAAATTAATCTATCGTTGATTTTTTTACGGCCAAGTAAAGTCAAGCCGATCTCAAAAGTTTTTCACATCTGTAAAAAGTTCAAAGCTTAAAAAAAAAAGACTCAATCTAGAATCTCAACACTCTTATCATAAAAGGTTTTCTTCATGCTTTACTGAACAAGTCAACTTTAAAAAGTTGCAAATTAAGAAATTCTCTGTAGCTTGATTCATGATTAAATCAAATATATTTTCAAAAGATACCTGTTTTTCTTTTCTATTATGTGAAAGGTCTTATGGCTGTGACGTTTGATGGTAGATAGTATATATACATGAAAAGTTAACAGAATAAAGAAACTACAGTGTTGGAAAAAAGTTTGGAATATTTTCTTCAGTGTTTCGTATAACGTGAATGATCCTCCAACATGAGAGATGACAGATACCGCCACCAGGCTGTGATCCAATGCTGGCGAGAAATCCCGGTTGAAACTCTTACCAACCTAGTGACCAGCATGCCCAGACGTGTACGCGCATTGTACAATGCTAGAGGCGGTCACACAAAGTACTGACTGTATTGTTTTATCGTCTTGTTATGTTTGATGTTGCTTTCAAAGATGGTCCACGTATTTTGTGGCAATTTAAAATTACAGCCGTTTATTTATTAAATACCGACTCATGATTTTATGCGTTATTTCTATGGCTTTTTGTGAATCATGAGGTGTCCGCCCTACAATTTTTTGAGAAACAAAATAGTTTGATGTGAATTTCAAAAACATATCACAGAGACCAGGGAACATTAAAAAGTCTTTGAATAATTCTCCAGAAAGCAGCAGACCGCGTTAAACACGAGGCTGGGGTTGAATTGACAAATATTCCAAACTTTTTTCCAACACTGTATTGTTCCTGATCCACATTCAAGTTTATGACACAAAAATTTTACTTTGTTTTTATAAAATATTATACAAGTATTTTAAAATTTGAACTATTAGAAATTAACTACCCCATATGAAGATTAAGAGTTTCAGTATTCTTACTCCGATAACAGAGATTTTTAGGGTAATATACACTGCTAAAATGCTAAAACACACTGAATTCATCTTTCCAGATGAAAAGCCGTCACCAACTCAAGCCAAAGAGGTCTATAAAGAGGTCATTTCCTGGATGACAGTATAAATTGACTACATTAGCTTTTAAGCTCGGTACTGTCTTTCTGGTGCTGTCTGCCTTCCTCTGGGAGAAGAATCCAGTTTTAATCTAAGCCCTGTCCCTGAGGATGCATTGCCCAAGAGCCAGATCTAAACGATGAACTTACTTTTCACAGAATAGCAGTGGTGACAGGTGCGTTTAATAAACCATCATTTCTTTCACCCCAAACCCCGCAGTGTAAAGCGATGACATACCTGGAGAGATGGTGTCTCCTGCCCCTCACTGGCCTTCTTATCTTTGCCATTGTTCCCACTGCGCCTGAAGTGGTGGATTCAATGTCAGACTGTGCTGGGTTTTTTCTTCATGACACACCACCAGAGATCCCAGGAAAATTAGAGAGCGGAGAAATCCTGGATACAAGCCGATACAAGATCATTTGCCAGACTTTCATGAACGAGAGGAGGTATGTGACACTCTACGACACTGTGAACAGAATCCCTGTTTTCTCCGCTTACAAGTACAGAGGCCAAGACAACAACAACAACAAAAGACCAACCGTTCCCTGGAAGATAGAGCCAATGGTAAGTCATTCTTTCTTTTTGAAACACTGTTGTTTTTTTTGATTTACAATGGAAGAGGATTTTGTCTTTTGTCACCTCGGACGTTACCACTTTAATAGAAAGAAAATATGAGAATTTCTCAGTTGGAGACACATTATACAAGAATAAATACCATAGGGTGACAAAACCCGATGGATCACATCTCACTAGTTTGGATTACCTAGGAATAATCATTAATGAACAGATAACCAGTGGGTCATTTTACTTTATCACTGAACATGATTGAATTTGCTTTCTCTACAGCTTGAAGAAATGAACAACATCAACATGAGAGATTTCAACAACTCCCACCAGGCTGATAATAATGACTATAAAAGCAACAGTGACGTTTACAATAGGGGCCATTTGTTTCCAGCCGATCATGCATTTGATAACAGTGACAAAGTCTCAACGTTCACCCTGACAAACGTTGTTCCACAGACTGTATCTTTTAATGGTGGCAGCTGGCAAAAAATGGAAACTTGTGTTAAATGTGTCATGCAAAAATACTGCATCAACAATAATAGAGCCATTCAAGGATTTGTGCTTACTGGGGCAAAGCCTAGCAACAACAACAACAAACTCAATAAAAGAGTTAATATACCCACAATGCTATGGTCAGCATTCTGCTGCTACAGTAGCAGAGTGAACAAGTGGCTAGCCAGTGCACACTGGGGGTACAATGTTGTTGAAGTTAAATCTACATATTTACAGACCAAGACTCTGAAACGTCTCAAAGATACACTGGGCTTGGAGGTATTCCCCGGATCACAATGTCCCCAAGATGAAACGGTATCTGAGTTCTACCTGGAAATTAATGCTGAAAACAAACATTGCCAATGCCCAACCCAGGTTACAACCACATCTGCCGCCCCTACTACGACTGTTTTCTCAACTACCACTGAACCAACTGCATCTGCGCTAACAAATACTAGACCCCAAACAACAACGATGAACACAACTGCTAAGATTTCAACTGGTCCAATGACTTCAGAACTCAAAACAAACACAACCACAGCTGACATTTCAACAACTAGTCTTTTGGCAACAGTAAAAGGAACAGACACCACCAAAGAGATTTTGACAACAAACTCTATGACTACAGTTCCAGAGACAAATACAACTTCCAGCCTTCCAGCAACCAGTCCTAACACTGCTCTACCAGACACTAACACAGCAGCTGAGATGTCATCAACTCATGTAATCCAAATATACCCGACAGAAGCACAACCGCTGACACTACTTGAACAAATGTCGATACTGTTCCAAAAGGCACAATCCCTGTGGAAGAGATTTAAACAATTGTGTTCTTAACAGTACCAGAAACAAACACAACCTGCTGAGATATAGACAAGTTCCAACACCATCTACCAGACAAACCACCACTGAGACTTCAGCAGCCATGAACACAACAATATCGCATCTGATCACAAGCCTTGAGAAATCAACCCTGAGTCCTACGACTGTGAATCCAAGAGCAAACATGACAGATGACACAACTTTGACCTTTGATGCAATGACTCCTTTACCAGAATCAAATACAACCAACCAGACATTCAGAATTATCAAAGGTCATCAAAACACCAACCCATCCTCTCCCCTCCAACTCCTCGGTTTATTTAACCTCTTCTTTAACCTCTCACTTGATCTTTGTTTGTTGCTCAAAAAGCTCGGAAACTTACATTAATCAAAATCAATGTTGCCACTGCTGAAAATCTAGTCTTACACATGAATGTTGAAAATTGAAGCAGTATTTTAAAAACGTAATCTTTTATGATTTACTTTTCTGTCTGAATTTGATTTTCATATCAGAAACTTGTATGTAAAAAAACATCATACCTAACTTTGTACATTGATTTACATTGTTCAACATCACAGACTGTGTTTGAAAATTTGTACAGCAGCAGTCCATATTAAAAAGTCATCTGTATTCAACACAAAATAAAGGTATTTTTGACTTTTATTTGGTGAACTATTTTCCAGAATGTGGGCTTTTTGCTCGATTTGTGTTATCAGAGGTAAGAACAGGTTATGTTTAAATGTCTGATATTCACTGGTAAAGTCCCGGTCGGGCGGTGCGGGTGTAACCGTGTGTGTGGAAGCAGTATCGGATGTGGAGGGCTGTTTGTGTGCGTGCAGTGTTGCATAAAAAGCTTGGCTAATGTGGAGAGAGAGGTGAGACGTCAGAGATCAGGAGGGAAAACACACACACACACACACACAAAGCCAGGAGTCTGGAGGATAGTCGTTAGAGCTCTTTAACCCTCAAGAAGACAGAGTAGTACAGTTAGTGAAGCTATTGCACTGTGCACAGGAAAAAGCTCCATGACTCTTCCAAAGGTAGGAGAATATCCTTTACTTTATGTTAAATAACTGTACAACAGAGGGATAAAATACCAAAACAGACAAATATTGATGTCCTGAATTGCAGGATGTGACAAACCACCGGTGCAAATATTGGCCTATTATTTAAATCAATCTTATTGTACTGTGGGTCACCCTTTGAACCCCTTATCCCAGATAAGTTCTTCTGAGGTCGAGGCTGACGGTCAACATGTGATATAGTAAATTTCAGATTTTAAAGCACTTTCTCTGTGTGTGTGCTCTCTGGTTTTACCTGCAGGATAATAAAAATATAACAGGAAAAAGCAGAAGTGCTCCACAACAAGCTGGTCTCTGAAGAAGAGACACTAAAAGAAAATTCTAGTAATTTGGAGAGAACGGTAACGGTAGTTTCTGATCTTTCCATTGGAACAAGAGGACAATGGAAAAGTCTCTCTACCGTTTCAATCAAGTATAAATCAGTGACATTTGAGACTTTAGTCAGGATTAGAGTAAAGCTCTCAAGTGAAGTGTCAAGATGATTTAAATGTGTAAATTCTGCTCCACCCCCCTTCTTCATGCTGAAATCCGATCTAGCCTCAAAGAGGTCAAAGGTGAGGAGGAATTTGTAACAACAAAATGTGTGTGGTTTTTTTGTGAATCTTCTAATTGGATCTAGATGAGGGATATTTTGTTGTGTCGGGGTCTTTGCATGTGTGGGCCTGAATGATTAAAAAGTTATAGAAGAAATCGATTCATTATTGATAAGATTATGAAAGCCAATAATGACAACTGGATGCATTATTGATTAGACCTGATAATGTAGCTGAAGTTCCACAACACTATAATGAGATTATGTAAGTCTGAGATGACACACACACACATTTTCCATCCGTCTTGTCTTTGAGAAATGACCATGATGTTAATATTTCATTGATGTTTTCCTCCCTCACGGTTCTCTCCGTCTTCCAGATGTCATGGCGTTTGTCTTTTCGTTGCTCAAAGTTTCGCCATGTTTTTGGAAAGCCTTCCACGAAGGAGAACAGCTATGACGGGGTGCCAATCACACGCAGCGTCCATGACAACCACTACTGTTCAGCCAATCCCTGCTTCATCGCTGTAGTGACAGAGTGCGCTGGGGGCGGGTCCTTTTTAGTCCTTCCAGTCCATCATGTATGTAGATTTTGAATAAACGGGTAAAAATGTTCTCCTCTTTTGAAGCGGTTTCTGACCTTAAAGGGTTTATCTTGAAATACTTGACTCTTGCTGTCAGACAGGCAGGGTGGACCCCCAGCATCCTCGGGTGTGTGGTCACAGTGGGAGGGTCTTGGACGTCAAGTGGAACCCGTTTGATGATCACTGCATCGCCTCGAGTTCAGAGGACTGCACTGTAAGCGCCGCCTTGTTCATGATCCTCATAGTGGACCGGATGTTTGTAATGTAAATGAAGGTTCTCACAAATGCAGAACACCATCCCCTCTTTAAATGTACGCAGGTAAAGATTTGGGATATCCCGGTCTGTGGGGTCCTACAGAACCTTACCAAGGCCAGGAAGACCCTAACAGGTCACACCAGGAGGGTGGGGCTTATTGAGTGGCATCCAACAGCTGAAAACCTGCTGCTTAGCTCCGCCTATGACTACAAGGTGAGGATCATCACTGGTCTGTGGGAGTGTTTGCAAAACCAAAACCCTTTTTGTAACGTGGTTTCAGTAGTATTAAAAATCTTTGTGTTGTACTGACAGTCATAAAATACTGTTAGCTGTTTTCAAACCATTTAAAAATAAAAAACACTCTAATGGGGCGCTCACACCAAGCGCGAATAAAATCATCTACTCGCATAATTTGCGCAAATCGAGACGAGGAAATATTTACCTGCTCCATTTGCGCGTCAGCGATCATTTGGACGGTGATGATCCCTACCAATTCAAACGGCAGGATCAAGTGATAGACAATGTTTTTTTTTACAATTTACCAGGTGATCCAACCTCCTTACTCACTTGCCTCCAGATGAGCTCCTTTTATTCTAGTTTCGGAAATTGAAAGAAAAGGTTTCACATAATTCAGGGCTCCCACACACCAACACGATTGGTTTGTTCTCCATTTTAGATACCAGTGAACAACCGTCTGTTTTCTAACGTCACCTAGCAACCTTCATGCTGAGCAGTTATTGCGACGCGAATATCCGCTCAAGTTGAGACATTTCAGCTCCCATCAAATTCGCATCTGAGTAGTAGGAGCATCTAATCGCGTCTTTGCATTGACTTAACATGTAATTCATTCGCGCGAATGATTTTACTCGCGCTTGGTGTATGGAGACGGTAAGACAGTCCAAGAGTGATCAGGTTGGGGGTTTTGAATCTTACCAGCCTAGATGATATGTACAAGCCCATCAGCAAGTTCTGGGTCTACCCCCGAGGTCTTCTACTGTTTAGACATGCCTGGAAACCTATTAGGGGAGGTGTCCAGGAGGCATCCTTATCAGGAGTCACTGACCAGAGTTACCCCGTCTCTAAAGCTGAGCTCAGCCACCTCTCATAGGAAACTCCAATCCAGCCCAGTCCAAACACTCCTGACTTTGCCTTTTTACATGCCAGGTCCTCCTCTGGGATGTATCTCAAGATGGAGCGGTGCTCAGGTACCCTGTGCGGGTGGTTTTGATGCCCATCTTCCACCGATACCCAGCAGAAGCTCTACTGCTGTCTGTCAGCTTTAACACAGATGGCAGCAGGCTGGCGGTTGCTTCCAAAGACAGGCGTGTTAGAGTCCTCGACCCGCGAACAGGAAAGATCCTACAGGTGGGTTTTAGGTTTTAACTGAGTCAGATTTTTTTTCCCATAAAACATGAAAACCAAACGCTGTATCACATCTCTGCAGGTGTCCAGCAGTAAGTTCCACAGAGCCAGTAAAGTTTTATACATCCGAGGGTTTAAAATGCTTCTGTCGACTGGAAGCTCACCTTGGAATCACAGACAAGTCGTCCTCTGGGATCCTGTAAGAAACAATTGCATATGGGTAGTAGAAAAAGTCAACTGTATCTGCCTGAATCTTCATGATTGGATATTTTTAGAAGTACCAACGCAGATTTAGTCTGTACCATTCCCTCACTCCTGTGATTGGTTTGCAGGATGACCTTTCTGAGCCTTTGTATGAAGAGGAACTGGATGGATCTGCAGGAGTCCTCTTTCCGTTCTACGACCCAGATACTCACATGCTCTACTTGGCCGGAAAGGTCATAAATACTGAAATATCAACTCAAAAGTTTGTCTGGAACACCTCCATCGACAGAGGAAAACCTCGAGGGTCCCAAGTTAGTGTTGTAATTGTGTGTTTTAGGGCGATGGGAACATCCGGTACTACGAGCTCAGCAGTGAGAAGCCTTACATCAGCTTCCTGACAGAATACAGATCCCTGCTACCACAGAAAGGACTTGGTGAGAAACACTAAAGCCGACTGAATGTTTTCGATCAGATTAGTGTCTCTATAATTCACTTTAATCCTACAAAGTCAGAACTTGCTGTTTCAACGAAAGCACTTTCCTTATTTATAACTGCATCCAAACAGTACATGATACTACAAAAGGACTGCCCTTCACTTTCTGACTTCATTTCAGGAGTGATGCCAAAGCGCGGCCTGGATGTGAGCGCCTGCGAAGTTTTCAGATTTTACCGTCTGATCGCCATCAAAGATTTGGTGGAACCTCTGTCGATGATCGTACCACGAAAAGAGGTTTTGTTTACCTTTCTTCTCAGGCCACAGAGGAAGTAACGGGCAGAAAAGTTCAGATTTCCTTTTGTTCTTCCAGTCAGGTGTTTTCCAAGAGGACCTGTACCCCATGACGGCTGGAAACCAGGCTGCCATGACGGCTCAGGAGTGGCTATCAGGAATGAACAGAGGTCATTAATATCTGTTTGAAGAATTGAAGACAAATACTAGAGACACAAGAGTTTCTCACTGTCCCCCTTTGTGTCTCTATTAGGTCCAGTACTGATGCCACTGAAGCCAGGGACTCAAGTCCCTAATCCTTATCCAGAAACCCCAGCAGAAAAGGGGCATGTGAGGAACTCCCTGAGGATCCAGATGGGTCCTGCTGATGGTTCGGCATCCAGGATGGACCTAGACTTTATGGAGGAGGTATTTAGTCATCATGGCAATAAAATCCAAATATTAAGTACCAGAATAAAGTCAGTAAGGCAAGTCCTAACGGGGACACAGGATTCTGGGAGGATGTAGATACCAATCTCACCTGAAGGATCTTTTCCTGCTCTGTTTGGTTCAGTCCAGTTTGGTATGGTTGAACCTGATCTTTCTAGTATTTCACAGCAGACTTTATCCTACCCCAATGCTTCATACAGGAAGCTTGTTAGTGATCCCAGAGTGATTTGAACTTTGGTGAGTATACTGACACCAAAGATCTTTCAGACCACCGACATGAGCAGCAGTTCACTCTTGAGGATCTGTCTTCTCCTCTGAAACTCTACGAATCTCTCGTTTGGTTGTTTATTGTTGTATAAAGCAGCTGATTATTCCTCTTAAGGCTTTCCTTGAGGAGCAGCTGGCCTACCAGGACGCCAAATACCCCAAAGAGGTGAGTGATCTGTCTGGGTGGCAGCCAGATGAGACCCAGATCCCGCTGTGGACGTACTGCTGCACTCCACACTGCTGTGAACCTGCAGAGAGACCGCCCCCTACAACTGAGAGCGAAGTAAGGCGTTAATTATCCGCCATAAAGATGAGATGTTTGAAAAATGATGTCAAAGGTTTGTTCCCTCCTCTTCTTGTTATTCCAGCTCCTTCAGGCGTTTTACAGGCAGCAAGACGAGATCAGGGGTCTGCGAGAGCAAATTAGTCACAAAGATGTTAGTATTTCAAACACATTCAGTGGTTTTTATGGTTCCAAAACAGGAACATTAAGTTTATATTTTCTGATCGTAAGTATTACAGAGGAAAAGTTTCAAACTTACAGTCTCTGTTTTGCAGGTGAGGATTTCTCAACTGGAGCTGGAGATCAAAAATGCAAGAAACAGCATGAGAGCAACTTTCTAATTCAACAAACCACATTTCATGATGCCGTTTTAAAACCGGACCAAAAACAACAATCACATTTCCAAACAATAAACATGCTGTCGGGCTCTGGTGTTTGAGTAACTTTTGCATGTATTTTTGTTTGTAGTTTATTCAAATATTCCTGCACATCAGTGGATCACCACCTAATCTCAGAAACATTAACAAGATCTCTTTAAGACATATTTCAAAGCTGTGACTGCTCTCTAGTGGACAAACTTTGTAAGAGCAGTTTGGTAACACTGTAGACTGATCAGCCACAACATACAGCCACCTGTCTATCACTGTGTAGTCAGGTCAGGTCCAGAACAGGATGATACTGGCCTTCACAAGAGGACCCCTGAAGGTCTGATGTGGTATCTGGTAGAAGGAAGGTGGGGCCTCCATGAATCAGACCTGGTTCAGATCTTTAATAGACGGTGGTTGTAATATTCTGGCTGATGTCTCTACCTTTATTTTCCCACTGCGGCTGATAAAAAGCAATGTTCCTGGTCTGGCTGAGTCATGCTGTCAAAATAAACATTCACAATTTCAATCATTATCCAGAACAACAAGGCTAGAAGGGTCAAATTCGTCCTCACGGAGGACATGCCAAAGTTCATCTGATCAAAGCAAAAGGAAAAGTGTCAGACAGACAAAAGGCGAGATTGGAGACGCAAAGAGCAAAATGTTAAGATTTTATTTACAAAGTCCTTTTTGTGTGTTTTTTGTTGTTTTTTTTACTTTAACTTACAGAAAAGTAAAAAAATTAAGTACAAGAAAACAACCTCAACTAGTCAGTGTAAGAGTGACGGATCAACTGGATCTCTCTGAGCAAGAGAAAGAGAGAGAGAGAGAGAGAGAGAGAGCGAGAGAGGGAGAGAAAGACCCCAGACAACCATACAAAATTAAACAAAAAACATTTTCTCTGCAAAAATATTTCTTTTAAAAAGCTCTGTTGGCAAAAGAGAGAGAGAGTCAGAGAGAGAACACAGTTTGCCCTGAGCGTGCTCGGCCTCGAGGGAAATCTGGGGAGAGGACAGAGGGTGGGTCTGTTTGGGGAATTTGAAATACTGCTACGACAAAAGAAAAGACCCAGGAAATAAAAAATAAAAAAAACAAAAAACAAACAAAAAACTGGAGGTCATTATTTTGGGTAACTCAAAGATTTTTTCACAGTGTTTTTTCTGAACATTTTGGTGCTCTTGAATGTGATTTTTATGAGATAGGATTGGCCGCTGGTGTTTGGTTTTTACTGGAGACGAGGATGCAGCGGGAGGAGACCAGTATCTAAACTGGAACGCAGCCCAGCAACCAGATAAAGGGTGTGGGAGGAGTCAGAGGAGGAGGACGAGCGTCAGTGGGGGAGGGGAAAGGTCACATGGGGGAGGGGCGGCGGGCAAGAGGTGGAAAGGGGTAAACAGGGTCTCTGAGGGTCTTCAATCATCATCTTCATCATCGTCTTCAGGGTCCCTCTTCCTCTTTTCTCCTTTGGTTGGTGACGAGTCCTCGTCTGCAGGAGACGACAGAGGTTTGTCAGGAACAACAAAACAAGAAAAACAAGCATAAAAAGCCTCGCAATCATATGATTGTCAAATTCCAAAAAAAGGAGGAAGAAAAATACTCATCACATGATTAAAAAGAGGGAACTAAATAACTTAAAAATAAACGTCAAATAACACAAATAAACAAAAGACAACAACAATAAAAACAGGTACAATAAAACCTGCAACACAAAAAAGCTAAAAAATGACAAAAATAATTTAAAAAGGACAAAAAAATTCAAATATTACAAAAATGCAAAAATAGAAAATGTAAAAAAAAAAGAATTTTCACAAAAAGTCCAAATAATGAATGAATAAATGAATAAATAAATTTAGGAAAAAAGAAAGAAAAGGTTGAAAAAAAAAAAAGAACTTTAACAAAAAGTCCAAATAATGAAAATAATAATAATAAAAAATTCAAAAAAAGAAAGAAAAGGTAAAAAAAAAATTAAATTTTCACAAAAACTCTAAATGATGAAAAAATAAATACATAAAATAATAAAAAAATACATAGAAAAAAAAATTTACACAAAAAAATTGATGGAAAATTAACAGAAAGTCCATTAACATTCATTTTTTTTAAAAGAAGAAAAAAAAAAACTACTTTTCAAAAACCTCTTTACTCCTTTTTTGATAAACTTCAAATAATTGGGAAAAACTAAATCACACAAACAGCCAGAATAATAACAACAAAATATCACCATGACATAAAAAATATAAACATGAATACCTCAAAATCTACAGTGATAACAAAAATTCCTGTATTTTCACACTACAAGGCGCACCATCAGTGAACTTGTCTATTTGCGTCTATTTTCATACATAAAGTGCACCGGATTATAAAACGCATTAAGCCAAACAAAACAGTCCGATTAGTCAAACTTTATTTAACTTATTCAATAACTCTGCGAGGCTACGGTAGCTGCAGTGCTCCGACAAGCCTTCAGGCTGTGCGGCTTTGTAGCTAACTGAAGTCGTAATAAAACACTTTGCCAGATTTTTGAGCGCGCTGTGTACCACAGAAAATCGGTTCGAGGTCAGTAAGCACAACCATAATTCATACATAAGGTGCACTGAGGATTTTTGAGAAGATTAAAAGATTTTAAGTGCGCCTTAAAGTGTGAAAAATACAGTAAAACAAAAACGAAAGTGTTCAAATATTTTCTCTCACAAACGTCACCGATGCAACGATTCTGATCCAGAAAAGCCAGAGGAAACTGGATCACAGAGGAAAAGGCGTTTAAAAAGATCTGTTACTAACCTTCATCCTCCTCATCTTCCTCGTCGTCATCGTCATCCTCCTCACTGTCCACATCTCCGTTCACCTCTCCGTCCTGCACACACAAAGATGGATGATGCAGATGAGACCAGCAACTTTAAATCGAGACCAGGATTCTTTAAAGGACCTCAAACCAACGACAAGAAGAAGGCTTCTGCTCACCTCATCATCACCGCTGTCATCGTCGTCATCATCTTCTTCAGCCACAACATCCTCCTCATCCTCCTCTTCTTCATCCTCAAAGTCCTCAGACTCTCCCCCTGAAGAAAACGCAGGAAAAGTGTCAAAAACTCAAATTTTCAAATCGTAGTTTTTCCTTCGGTGTAGTTTTAAAACTCACCCTCTTCGTCCTCATCCTCCACTCCATCTCCCTCCCCGTCTGAGTCGGAGGCTTCGCAATCGTCGATGTCGTAGCCGTCCAGGTAGATGAGCTGTGGGAGGAGCTTAAAGATGGAGTCCCTGTAGTCGGCCAGGTTTGTCACCTCACAGTTAAACAGGTCGAGACTTTTCAGCTGGGGCAACTTTTTCTGGAGGACGATGAACAAACCGGATAATCAGACCATGCGGCAGAATTCTAATATTTCCACGAACATTAAAACAAAACTGTCTAAGCTTCACAGAGATGCTGATTTCCTTCTCCAGCAGGACTCAGCACCTGCCCACAGCGCCACAACTCCTTCTTCTGCTCTCAGGAGATAAAACTTGAGTGTGTTCGGTGCGCCTGTACCCACCAGAGGCTCCAGAGTGCTGATGTCTTTGAACTTGTTCCCGCTGAGGTTGAGGTGCGTTAGGTTCACCAGTCGCTCTGACAGGACCTCCAGACCTCCTGATATCCTGTTGTCACTCAACTCCAACTGCACCGGGGAGGAAAACAAGATCTCACTTCACTTCATCAAGAAATTTCAGTTGGGCAGAAACAATGAGACAGTCCGTTCTTATGCTGCGTTCGAGTAACCTCAGATGTCAGAGCTGAAAATCAAGTCGCACCCGAGTTCCCAGCGTTTCAGATACCAAGTCGGAAAAAAGTAAAATCGGAGTCCTGAAACAAGATGGCTACATCTACGAAAGTTTTTTTAGCGCTTGCCTTGCATTCGGACAAGGCTTTCGGTGACTGAAATGCTGGGAACTCGGGCGTGGTGTCATTTTCAACTTGGACTTCTGACTTCCGAGGTAACTCGAATGCAGCATTAGGCTTTGAAAAACAACAACAATCAGTTCGGGACCATTTTTAATCGATCTTAAGTTTGAGGAAAGTTGTCCTCAATGATCCAATAGTTCATCTGCTAATTTGGGGACAACATTTGGGGATTTTAGTGCATAAAAAATAATTCCAGTACCCCCAGAGGACAGATCCTCTTTTATATCAAATAATCCAACATTTGCAATTTCATATTCAGCAGCTAAAACTAGACTGTTTGACTTTGAAACATATGGTAAAAATGAAAATAGCAGTAGAAACAGCGAGCAGGGCTTTACTCTCAATCAGTTTTTGTATCATCCACCCATCCCACCAGAGAGAGTCCAGCTCAGGTTTGTCCTGTTTCTCTGACCTTTTTCAGTTTGTCCAGTTTGGGGAAATCTGACACACTGGTCAGGCCGACGTTGATGAGGCTGAGCAGCTCCAGGTTCGAGAACTCTGCGGTGATTCCTTCAATCTTCCCGTCAGGAGTGCGGCAGTTATCTAGAACCAGCTCCTGGACCTGACAAAAGAACGGTACAGACGGTCAGGGGTTATACCTGTAGATCTGTAAATCATGCGCTGCTGTTTGCATAACAACCATATCTAAATGAAGGTTACTGGTCTAAAGTTGAGCCAAATAAAGTCATAAGAGCCAGAAAGACTCCTTATTGGCTGCCCTCAAATTAAATGTAAAACCTTTTACGTGAGACTGAGTTTTACTTTTTACTTGAAATCTTGGTGTAGACTAGGCAGAGACAGCTTGACTGAACTCTAACTCTGTGAAAATGACTTTCAGTCCTGGGATATATCGACAGTATGACTAATCTAGATCAGTCATTACGAGTCTAGAGCACAAACGTTACTCTGGTGGAAATACCTGATGATGATGAATGAAAACCACAATGACAGACACAGTATTTCCCCTTCCTTTAGCAGTTTTGTTACAATCTACATGCGTGTTCATTTTGAAATTGGACATTGCACCGTTAAAAATAATATAAAACTACTTTAATTTGTCATGTATTGTCCTATTTTGACATATTTTGATGACAAGGACTTTTTCTTGGGGACATTATTTCGGGTAAAAATCACCCAGGGATAGTGATGGTGTTACCAATTTTAGCAACAGTGTCCTAGGGTTAAAAATTTTGTAAAAATCTTTCATTAAATGGCACAGTCAGTGCTTTCACGGACTATTTAGAAGCCGCGGCCCACAGTTTGGAAACCTTTCTCGGTTTCATATTGGAACAGGTCCCGGCTCTGTTTATAAACTCCCAACACATGTGACGCTGCTACGTTAGCTTAACTGCTAACTTTAGCACTCTCCTAAAAGCTCGCTACGCTTTATCTAACTTACTGCGCCAACCTACGGCCCTCAGAATAAAGCTATACGTTTACAGACAAGTTTCATACAAATTTAGGAGGTTTGTGTTCCACACCATGGCGAAACGTGCGCACACGGGATAGCCCGTTAGCTGGCTAGCGTTAGCATGCAACTGACTACGCGCCCTCAGCTTGGTGTTCTGTACGGTTTGGCTTCCTTTGTGAAACGAGGCAAATTATCTCGACCGTTGGCGAAAGTTATCAAACAATGTCCACAGTACTGAGTCCCTTTGTCCGTTCACTTTGCCTATATTGTCGGGAAACAGGGGCACGTTTAGGTGCTTAAATACCGAAACTTTAGGAGAGGTTTAAAAAGATTTTAGAGACAACGTCGTTTACTCGAACAGAATTCATGCAAAAAAATCGCTTGACTGTTAATTTCACGCACACATTCACAGCAAGAAGGATGTTAATAAACTATATCTGTATAAAGTTTTAGATTTAAGAAGAAAATAACTAATTATGGTCGCTTTAACCTGTGTTTGACGCAACAAGCGTTCTCGTCTACGGCGCGGAGCGTGCGCAGATAGGCGGAGAAGCAGAACTTAATAGGTAGCAGTTTTTCCTGGAACACCGACAACGACTTAACACTGGAAGGACGACGACAATATGAAACGGTGTTATAAGGGGTTCAAACAAAACTGAAAAAAAACCATAAAGTGCAATTTCTACATAAAGAGATGTGTTGTACTTAACTTTGTAATTTAAGCTAAAAAATAAACGACAATGACGCCAGAATTGCTCCAGACCAGTGTGATACCATCACAAACGCCACCATTTCTCGCTTTTAAAACGATGCCTCGTAGCAATGTACACGAAGTCTCAACTATAAATCAAAACAAAGAGTCTTGTATGTTGAAAAAGTTTAACATTTTAGGCGCGGTGTAGCTTTTCGACACAACTTATCACTTAAAAAACAACGCTATTCCAGACATTAGCCAGGCCCGGGAAACACGGATGTACGTTTTAGTGCGCAGGCAAAGGGCGTGTGCAAGTTCGGTTGAATTACATCGTAGGTAACAAACAATCTGCAAACAGCGTGGGTAAAAATGATTCAAAAGAAATAAAATGCACGTAACTTTACACAAAAATGGAGCGGGAAACTGTTTCAATACCGCGCATAATCATGACACAGGGGTCCATTTTCGAAGTAAAGAAACATACACTCAGAATTATGTTATACTCCAGGCTTTAAGAGGTATGTGAACAGCTAAATATACATTTAAACAACTTTAAGAGCCTGCAGGCACCCCGCCATGTGCTCGTCTTTACCGGCCACTCGTGAAACTAGACAACAAACTGGGTCACTCACCTCCGTCGGTGGCCGGTGCCTCAGTTCTAGGGAGACCCTCTTCTTCATGTCCATTTTCTTTGATTTCGTCCTGAGTTTAGGTCTCTGTGATGCAAAAAAAAACTCTTTAATTTCTTCTCGATCTACTCTTCAGTATCAACACGCGGACCAATGTGAAGCTAGTCAAGATACAGATACGTCTCATCCGGGGGAACTTCCAAAATAAAAGCATCACAAGGATTATAACTGGTAGTAACCGGTAGGAGTGAATGCGATGTAGGGTTGGATTTTTCAAAATTGGAAACTTTAACAGGAATTAATCTGAAATTTACAAAATTGAAGGTTGGCCCTCAACAGGGAACTTAAATATAGTTGGTGGAAATATACTTTAACATAATCCTGGCCAAAACAAACAGATTTAACGCAAGTACAGATGACTTCTTGAACCCTGGAGGCCGCACTTTTGAGCCTTAAGCACAAGACATTGGAGCCCACCAACTATAGAAAGTCAAGTAAGTTTGGATAATATTATGGGGTAAATATATTTGATCTATAATAGTATTAATATTTAACTTGCAAAAATTAATTGAAAATAGGTACTAAATATAAACTGCTTTTTAATTTCATTGACTATTTAAGGGGCTAGCGTCTTATGGTGGTGCTAGCTACCTCAAATGTGATGCTGTTTCTTCTGACTCCTCCAAGACGGTTTTCTGTAACTATACAATAATTTATACATCAATTATCACATATTTTGAAGACCCTTCCAAGTGTTTAGCCAATTACATTTCTGTAAATGATATTAGACAAGTGATTTTACAAACTTTTTTTATTTGATTCTACAAAAGAAATGCCACGTTCGCCATCCCACTAAGCAATAGACGGATCTTTGACCTCTGTTTTTTTTTAGACCTTATTTCAACCGTCTAGATTTTGAATATTTTTAGACGTAATGTAGACGTTGCACTTTAACCCATTATTCGATAACTATTTATTTCAAAAAGCAACTGTGAGTTGCATTTATGTTTGGATATGATACAGTTTGTATAATTTTCCCCCGATTTCCAGTTAATTCCCATAAATTCCCATAATTCCCATGGAGTTTCCAATTTGGACTATCTCTAAAATTCCCCAGTTGAATTTTCCAGAAATTTTCCGCCCCTTTGCAACCCTAGTGCGATATCAATGATCTATTTAATTTGGAAATTCAAATCGACCAATTCGGACAAATATTTTGCTAATTTAGTTCACATTCTCATATCTTGTGAGAGGTGGTGCGTCTCGTTGTAAATTTATTCTGAAGGTGACTCAATGTATTTCCGGAAATTCCCACTCCTCCTTTGTGTAACTTGATGGAGGTACGAGTCCGAGCGAAACGTTCCCGTGGCGTGTATGGAAAGTGGGTCAAACCGTTTGTTGCCTTTAATTACCCCCAGGAATACCAGACTAATGAATTTTATTACCTCATAAAAAACTAGACTTCTTTTTATAGTTTGAACAGAAAAAAATCGAGTTGACACCAGCTTTTGCACAAGCGAGACAACGAAAAAAAGAAAACAATCAGATGAGAATCAACAAATAATTCACGAGATTAAAAGAACGAGAGTTTACAGTCATTTTGCTCGTATGAGACCCAGATCTGTGAGATCTCGACTGTAAAATGACAAATTTATCTCTTTTAAGATTAAGATATCGAAATATTATGCAATCCACCAAAACGGATTAGATGGAATCACGTTCACCAATCTCTCCTCTTTCTGAAAAATGTTCTTATATTTGTTCACCGATCTAGTTTGTTTTTCGAGTAGAAAGACTCGCTGAAAATCGGAGGGAGCTCTCGAATTCGACTCTCCTGGGAGCACTTGAAGGCGTCATTGTTGATCTGCAAAAGGAGGGAAACGGTAGCGTGGAGGGAAACACTCCTCAACACCGCCCCCAGCGGCCATTTTGATTTGTTCATACACAAACGCAGGAATGCTCGTCATGGTGAGTCGAACTCGTTGTTTTCACGAGTTTTATTCGTTAAACTTGGTCGAACACGCGTGGATATAGGAAATATGATGGAAAATCTCAATTATATGCCGTTTTACCCTAAAATAAAACTAGTTTAGGGCTCCTTTTTTTAATCTTACAAGAGTGAGACTTTAGCGTCATGATGCGTTCAGCCGCTGACCAGCGAAAAAAATTGACCTTTTTTAACGCCGATTTAAACCTTAAGACTGATGTCCTCACCTCCATGCCAGCTACTCTCCCTTATGTTAGTCTCTATGCCTTTCTCAGATAAACTACACTCTCTTTTGAATGTAATAATCCTCCACAATACCTCATTCAAATCAAAATAGAATAAAACAACTACACTTCTCGAAAAGATATATGACACATAAAGCATTGTGCGATATCACAAAAGGTATTGATTGGTAGAATGATTTCATTTACAGGACCGTTGTAGGTTTAAAAAAACATCTTGTATAAAATCCATTCGTGGCAAAGACGCAAAATTTTCCTTTAAGATGGTGATGCTGACTTCAGGTGCCTTTTAGAGGCATTTTTGCTCATGTGAAAACGTAAATTGGATTCAAGGAACTTTATTTGTCATGCCTCACACCTTTGACAGTCTGTGGGATGAAATTAGTTCCCATGTCCATTTCCAAGCAAAGAATAGTATACAATAGATAAAATACTAATCCAATAACAAAGAGCAAAATGTAAACAGATTTAAGTGAGAATGAAATTAGCCCTGTTGCACTTCAAAAACCGTATGAAAGCAGCACCTTGGTTTGTAAAGTTAAAGTGAAAACTGGAAGCTATGCCTGACAAAAACAAGAAACTGACATAAAATTGAGCTTTGGTGCTCAGTTGCAGTGATACGTTTAAGACGTATTAATGGGATCTTGGTCTTCAGGAGAGCAGGAGAACGTTGGGTGGGTTTTAAATGTCAGCGCTGTTGTTTGTGAAAGATAGTAAGAGACGCCAAGATCTGTCTTACGATGCTTCTGATTGGTTTATATTGCGCAGTGCTTTTCGTGGTTGGTTAGATTTAGTCACAAAGGACTGATGGATTAGTCTCGGATTAGTTATCTTGGTCAGTCAGTCAGAGTTAGCCAAGTTTATTATCATGAAACAAAATAAATACAGAGTATTGAATGGGGGAATATAAGCGTGAGAAATGTCAAGTGTGGCGTGTGTTGTGATATTAGGTCAAATTGCGTGACTGAGCACCAAAATGACCCAATATTTGAACAAGCAAAACACTTATTTGTAAAGTGAGCTGGTTGTTCTACCTACCTACCTACCTACCTGTCTATCTAGAACAGAATGGACTCGTGTCTGCTGTGTTGTTATAGTGTTAGTTCTTTATTGTCATTACATTGTAGTTCATCTTCACGACAAGCAGTTATACATACAGTGGTCTTAGATAATATCATCGTCCAATACGAGGAGAGCAACACTTAGAGTTAGTATCACAGCTAGGTTTTTCCATTGACCACGCCCCCCACACCCCCAGCCCCCATCCCTTCATCTCCCCCCGCCCTCCCTTCGTCCACATCGTACACCAATGTTTTGACAATCCTCAAAATACGCCACAGGTGCCGAACCGATAAACAGGATGCGGGCATATATAAATCAATAAATTAATAAATAACCGAATGAATACTTACCTTACATAAATAAACAGCAACAAGGTGTGTATAAACTCACGTACACACATGTAGCTCACCAGCAGACACCAGGGTCCAGAGGCATAGGGGCTATTTTATACAGCCTAAAGGCATACAGTATCATGGAGCACATCTACAGGTCAGACAAAGGCCACCATAAACCATCCTGATCATCAGAACGTGGACTGAAGTTTGTGTCTATGAAGCAGAGCAGCTCAGACAGCAGGGATCCTCTCACTGTTTGGGTTCAGTCGAGGTGAGTTTGAGCCTTTTCTGGTCTTGTTGCCATGCGAAGCTAACCTACTGCTGGTCCAAGCTTGACGTTTTGTAGACTGATGGAAAAGTAGAAACCATCTACACAAAGTGCCTCCAAAACTTCATTCTGTAAAATTGGATGGAGGCAGGCTAGCTGTTGCTCCCTGAGGACAGCTAGAGGGTTGCTAACTTCCTCACAAATTCAACAGATCCAGATGTTCCAGATTCATACTTTCCAATACCCTTTAAGTTCTCAGATCGACTTCCAAGAAACATTGAGATTATTTCTGCTACCCAAACTTCTCCGCTTCAGAAAATGAACTGAAGATTTAATTTAGATTTAGAATTTTAATCTGCTGGTTTGGTGTTTGAGAGTCTTTTTTTTTTAAAATTAAACTCTTGTGGTTTGTGTGGCCCAGGTCTGACCCTCATTAAGGTGAAAAGGGGAAAACGGAGAGTAACACTGTACAAGTCCCTCATTGAGGTTAGAATATGTCGCCATAGAGGGCAAATCAGCACAAAACAAGAACAGAGCAACAAATCGATTCTGATGTTTAAGGTGCAAAATAAATAACATCATATCATCGCGAAATTCAAAAAGATCTTAAAGCACTTTGTAATTCAAAAAGGAGTGCTGATACAAATAAAGCCTAACCAAGTCAAAAGGATAACAAAACCAGTGACTGAGGAATAGAAAATGAAGAGTATCAGGCTCACTGCAGTGTTAGAAAAAGCCAGCCGGACTAATTTGTCTTATGTGTGTGGTTTTTTTTTTTTTTGTGGTCTTTTTTGTTTTTTAAAACTATCTCCATCAGCAGACATAAAGCGGTTCAGTTGCATGCAGCTCACAGACTTTCCACAGGCGGACCAAAGAAATCAGGATTCAGACTCAGAACACAGACTCAGCCGAGGAAACAAAAGAAAAACACAGAACACAGTCGCGATTCAAATCCCACTCTTACGACAACCTGCAACAGATACAGAAAAGACCAACCCACGAGGGCGCCACTACCACCCAATTTAATCTGTTTGTATAGTTGCTGTTGTTTTTCTATGTGCTTTGGCAGTAAAAGAGATGTCTCAGTGATAGATCGATCAACGTATAGATCCATCTATAGATCAGCAGTTAGATCTGTAGATAGATCTGTTGGTAGATCTGTAAATAGATTGGTAGATTTGAAGCTCACAAAGTTTGTCAGATTCCCTCACAGCGGTCTCAGCCTTCTACTGAAATACACTATTTTATTGTAAGATAAACAGTTATTGCCTCTTCAGTGTTTGACTGTTTTTATATTGTACAGAGTGATGTTTACTCTCTGACCTGACTGAACATGTTTTTTTTCGTTATCTGTTTCGTTATCTCTGTTTCTCAGAACAAACTCTTAAATGTTCCCATCCAACAGCTCAGTATTCAGTCGCCCCTTTTATTATTACTATACTCAACAAATGTAGCAAGAACCTGCACAATACGACCGATTTAACGTCCCTGACCCATGGTCCAAAAAAAGCATATGATGCATACTACAACAGACCAGTTTCTTTTGGTATTCGGCAAATCAGCCAAACAGCTACGCTAGTCCAACACTTTCACATCACCTCTGAGTTGGGATTGTGTTGAAAATACTTCTTCAGTACACAAAACTTTATATATTTTCTAGTATTTGTTATATACTGCTCAACACTGCACGTTAATGCGGGAATGTGAAGCGAGAGGCTATCTAGCTAGCCATATCTGGTGCTTTAGCATTAGCCATGCTAGCACAAATTCCTGCTGGTGTTTGCTGATGTCTTAAGTACTGCTTTGGTAAACAAACCCTCAGTCTTTAAGGTTAATGTTCTGTACTTAACTGCATTTTTATTCTTAAAAATGTTAGAGCTGTAAATGCAAATAAGAGATCTATTAAGGCGACCAATTTTAGCTTCATATTCGCACAAGAGCAGAAGAGTGTGCACAGTGGAGTTCACATTAACCTAGCACCATACTGAATGCTCAGTACAACAGGTGAAGATTATACAATTAAAATCTTCAACTTCCTATTATCTTAATGTCCCAACACGTTTGTTCAACTTTGGGTGAAATCCCTGGTTAGATTGTTTCAAAGCTAGCTACAGCCAACAGAGGTTAAAGTAAATGCTACAGCCTGTAGACTAGCTGCTGAAATTCTAAAATGCTAATCCTGTTATTAAAGGCTAAACCTCAGAACTCTTGTTTTACCAATTCGCCATCCTTTACACTGTCTCACAAAGAATACTGCTGGTACACCCATATTTAGGTAAGTTGCTCTTTGGTAGAGTAACAGTTACAGAACAAGTCCCACTAAGTTCCACTTGAGAATGTCTGACGAACAAGAACTTGCAGGGCTAACCGGTACCACCAATACTGACTGCTTATTAACCCATCAGGGACTAATCTGGAACTTGAGCCTCTAATAGAACTAGAGCAGGATATCTTTAGGGTGCAATATTCTGAGTATTTCATTCATATTGAAAGTTCTGAAAATGTTCAAGGCTTAGTCTTTTCTATGCTTGTTGATGTTTATCACCCAGCTGGCAATCTGGGTACCCATTGGCTATCACTTGTGACATTTTACTGTAGTTATCGACATTCATATGCAGTATTTGTAAAAAAAAATAAAAAATAAAAAACTATATATAAGGAAGTAGAAGTAGAAGTATGTATAAGGATATATTGATGAGTCCAGGGCTGGGTTCTGGCCTTGGTTCTGTCCCCTCCACATGGACTGATTTTACAATGAGCTTAACCAAAGCACATTAAAATATTGTCAAATAGGTACGAAAAAAGTGACAAAATTCGTTTTAGTCAAAGTCAATGTCAATTACTCACTAGTAAGAAGATTTTAAAAAATGTTTGAAATATTCCAGCATTTGATTGGCTGAAAGATTCCGGAATGTTTAAAAGATTCTGGAACCTTCCAAACATTCTAGAATGTTTGAAAGATTCCAGAACCAAGTTTTCTAGAACTTTTGAAACACTGGAACGTTTGGAAGGTTCTTGAATGTTCTTGAAGGTTCCGGAGTGAATTTGAGGTCCTACATCGTTTGTTAGATTCTGACATAGAAAAGGCTGAAGGACAGCACAGATTCCACAAATCTGTCAATATTCTAGAATGTTTGGGAGTAATGAAATGTTAGTAAGGTTACGAAAGGACTTTCTGTTTACGGAAAGACGTTCTGTTGCATGTAGGACACACTGAGCAGCCTTTGTGAAACTGAAATAATAAAACTTTGAAACAGGAACTTTAGAACGACCACAACTAAACACCCACTCTTGCATGCAAAAGCCACAGTTAAGACGAATCAACAAGCATCTACTGCACACAGTACACAAAACACTGTGATTGGGTGACGTAGAAGAGTATACAAAAAACAAAAACAAAAACAAGCATGTTTAGCTTGATGCACATCAACCTGTTAAAAAGTTCTGGTCAATACAACTGGCCTGTGTTGGTAGTGTTTATGTACTGCTGCTCTCTTGGGTATATCTTCCCCAACCTCTTGTGATGTCTATCCTGAAATGTTCAGTGACGTAAAAACATATTTCCTGACTTCCAAATCTTTAAAACTGTCTTACTTTCCCATTGTACAACAAACTGGTAATCAATTCCTCAATCTGGAAAAATCTACTTACTGCAGTTACTGCTTTATTCCAAAGATGTATCTCTGAAAAATACAATTCAATGGTGTTTATCACTCCAACTTTTGATTGGGCTGGTTCATGCAAACAGCCACTACGTGGAGAGTCTCTGCAGACTCTGAGAAAAAAAGAAAGTATTAAAAATAAGTATTACCCAAACAGAAAGGTCTGATGACCCTCCATAGCTCTGGATTATGAATTAGAGGACTGTACCTAATGGAGCCATGCTCAAAGGCAGTGTGAGCTTAGACGGAGAGGAACAAAGTAAGAAAGTGCGGAGGAATCTAGGGCTGAAGAAGAGAGCAGGAAGGCAAGTCAAGGTAGGAAAGTAAGAAGTACTTTCAGAGAAAGACAAAGAAACTTAAGAAGACAGTATCACAGAAAAAGCTGTCAGGCAGTTGAACTGACAAGCAGGAATTTGTGCTGGCTTGATCATGTAGAGTAAGAACAGGTTAAAACGCACATACAGACACATACATGCACGTACATTTACACCGTGCCTTATTCGTAAGTCTCCGAGGCCACATTGGCATCCAGCACTGGCTGAGCGGAGCACTACTGAGTGAGCACTGTGCTGTAAAAGATCATCATCTCTTCCTCTTCTCTTTCCATCCCTCTCTACTCTCTATCTCTTCAGCATCTACCATGCTTAAATCCTCCTCCCATAGAATCACTGTCCTACTGCCCCATCTTGTCTCTGTCTCCATCGCAGTTGGTTCAGTCTGTTGTGTGAAAGCGGAATCGCACAGAAGCACAGAAGAAGTAGAAGAAGGGCGTGGTTTGTTGTTTACGCAAATACAGGCTGTTTTTCAGGATGTCTTGATTGATCTGGGGAAAGGTCAGGTCATTGGCGGTACCTAATGAGGGAGTGGCACCAGGATATCCACATAGTTGATGGGGAAGAAGCCTGACTGGCCGTTGATCATGCCCTCGTACCAGTTGTCGTCAATCTGGTTGGTCAGGGTAATGACATCGCCCTCTTTGAAGCCCAACTCGCCTTCGTTCTCCGGCTCAAAGTCGTAGAGAGCTCGGCAACAGGGCTGGTCCATGGGGGCTGTGGTGGGACAAACAAGCTCAGATTTAGTTGGGGTTTTATTGTAACAAGGCCGGACTACTAGTAGCTACATAAACCTCAGAGTCTTTTAAATTACATTCTTTGGTTTCACAAGAGGCCTTATCAAGCCCAAAGATGGTGGTAACCACATTGGAAATGTCAACTCCAATAAAGTTCAGGTAAATGTAAAAGACAGTCAAAGAGGTGAAGCTGAGGCCTTTGCCACTTGGCAAACAGCATTACTTGCCTGTCAGTTAGATCAAACACTGTTGAAAGGGACATTCAAATATGGGCTCCAATGGGGTTTCCTTGGATTTTAAAGACAGCCTCAAGTTGTAAAGAGGTTCTGTTTAGTTGCTTATGATTTCTAGGTTAAGAAACTGTTTTGTTCTCTTTCTGGACAGTCCTGAAGACTGACAGGCACTCACTCATCAACCCAACCCTTCATTTCACCCTTTACCTGGTGATCTTCCAGGTGATTTGGCAGAATGTATCCCCCCGTTGTGACTCTCGCTGGGGGGCAGCAACTCCAGTGTCATTCTTGGTTTTGGAGTGTACTCTTTCCTCGGTTTACTGGACACTTCTTTTATCCTGGATGAACGCCATGCACAGTTATAAAAAGGTTTGAACCACATCAGTCTATATTTCTTGGTTTATTTTTACCAGAGGTAGGCAGATGGATCGATACCTGTCCTCCATCTTGCTGGAGAGCTGTTGGAGGATTTCTGCAGAGCGGCTGTGGTATTCCAACTGTGCTTGAACCAACGCTGCCAGCTGGCTCACCTGTTCTATCTGCAACACACACATGCACACACAGTTTTTCTCCAGCACACACTCTGTTCTGTATCCCACTGGGCTTGGGTCTGGCTTGGCACAGCATGGCACAGGTTGCTGCCCTTTGTTTTTCCACTGCAGTTTTGAATACTGGGGTCCCGTTGAGAGCTGTTTGTGCAACTATGGCAACCAAGGAGTCATGTCAAAATCAACGACAGACATGGTGAATATTTGATAGTCAGACAATTAGAGTGCAAATGAGGTCAGTGCAATGAGGGAAAACAATACCCACCAGGAACATGCAACAGCAACACGGAAACTCCAGAGTGCAGTCTTGTACGCTGATTTTATCTCAAACTTCAGAGTTGAGGGAAATAATATCTGAAATAAGCTCCCTTGAAAGGGCAGCCGGGTTCAGCCTTTGAGACAGAGTCAGGGGTTTGTACATCTGAAAGAAGCTCGGGGTTGGACTCCTGCCCCTTTGCATCCAAGAATGCCTCATGTATGCATCTCTTTAGAAGTGTTACCCAGGATTTCCACTGCATGCAGAACGGCTCCGATCCGGAAGGGCTGCGATTTTCGCCATACATCAATTCCTACCGGATCGATTTGTGAGGCGAATTTCCTGGCGGATTACAGACAGCTGGAATCGCAAGAACTCACAAGAACCTGCTGATTCATGTACAACTGCATGATAACAAGCTGTCTTTAGCCACAGAGGCTAACCATATAAGCAGTAGATTGTGTCCTTCCAGAGGAGGAAATCTACTTCTAGACTTCTAGAATCAGCATCCTCTCATCCATGGTGTCATCGGGATGAAATGCTGTCTATAAACCTTTCACTTGTTCGTCTCCGCCCATTTGCATGGTGTGAAATACGATCCGCCTGACACACAGTGTTTTATTTTGAAAAAAGCCGGATATTTTATCTTGTGTCTGTGCCCGACTTCCTTTCCGGCACGGGGTAATCTGTGCTAAATTTATCCGGTATGCTCTGGCGTCCGTAAAAAATAGAACTCTTGCGATCAGCTGAGGAGTTCGGCGATCCGCAGTGGAACAGAAAGAAGCCGGTGGAAATTTACACATTAACTTGAATGGTTACGATCAGCTACGATCGGAGGATACGACCTTTTCGTAGGTGTTCCGGATGTGGTGGAAATTGGGAGTTACAGGCATATTCAACTGGGAGCTTGCTGGGGGGATTATATATCCCATCTGGTTTGGGAACAGTTTGGAATCCCACAGATTGAGAATGGGAAAATGTTGCTGGGGAGCAGGATGTCTGGATTAACTTGTGAAAGTGACCCCAAATAAGTGAGAATGAGCAAAAAAACAAAGCAGAAACTAATCAGAGAGATTGTTTTCCCACCAACAGTCCGAAGATAGTCTGGGGGTTTTCTGAATGTTTGCAGGACAAACTAAGCAATTATCTTCCATTACCAAAGATAATTTGACAAATTAGCTAGTGATTAAAAAGCCTTCCAGCTGAATTCCTAAAGCAGACACACAAAAGAGGAGACTGTCCTTACATCACTTTCCAGCAGGTTAAACATGCTCTGCTCCGCGATCTCTTTGCTTTCGTCAAACTTCTCCAGCGCCTGTTTGATCTCATCATCCTGAACTTTTCCCTGACGTTTCTTTTTGTAATCAAAGTCCAGGCGGCGACCCTCCATCTTCTTCAAATGGTGCTGTGGAGGTGGAGAAAAGAGAGACACAAGTATTAGAAAGCAGAATATAAACACAGGGGACATTCATGACTCAGTGAAATGTTTTTTTTCCCCATTACCTTCAAAGCTAGCTAGAGTGTGGTACCAAATTGAACCAGCCATAAGGACGTTGAGGACTATGAGGTATATGGATTACCTACTCTGCCATCTGAGCCAAACCTGTGCACCAGGTGGTCTTTTGAGGGATAAAAAAGGGTGTTCTGTTCACCTGTATCTCTTTGAGGTCTTTGTCATGAAGGTTCTGCAGGGGGTCGATGAAGTTCTGTTTGACCTCCATGTCCAGAGCATCCTTGATCTCCCCGAGTTCTTTCATCGATTCACCGGCATCCATCAGTGCCAGACCTGGAAAGACAGGGTTTGAGGTAAAATGAGGTAAAATTTAAGGGTATAAAAGAAACAGTGATAATGTGACAGGCTATAAGACAGTCAGGAACAGGAACTTTTTCCTCTTGAACACTTTAACCACTCAAGAAATATTTGACCTGGCCGAGACTCCTCAAATATTCAACCATGCCCGCTCACCAAAGCTGGACTCCTCGCCTAACTCTCGTCCAAACTTCAACATGGCCTCTCCCAGGACGGTCTCTGCCTGTGGGTAACCAGGTCCTTTTTCCTGCCCGCGGATCTTTGACATGGTGTTGATCATACTCAGTTTGGCTCTGGACGCTGCAGGGAGGTTAGAGTACGATCATAAGCAGCCGTTGTGGTATTCCTGTTTTGTCTGTTGTGTACTGTTTGAATGTGTGTTTTGTACCTGGGTTAGGTTGTAGGTACTCTGTGGTTTTGGTCATGATGTCCAACACCGCTCTGCTGGTGACATCCACCTTCTACAGAAGACACACATCAAGCTAATGTTAGCAGATTACCCACATTAACCCTCATAAAACTGATCCAGTCTTAATAGAATTTATAGAATTAATTTTTTCAAATCTGCCTCAACGGGTCTGTTTTTTTTCAACTGCTTCTCAGATCATCAACCAGGACTTTAAACTAAATAAAAGGCCATTTTATTGACGGTTTTCCTTTAAGTCATGGAGAGAAAGTTGCCGGCTCTAAAGTCTTACCTTTTCCATTTCTTTGAAGTCATCGTCTAGTTTGGTTCCTTCTGCCCCTCCAACCTTCTCACTGACTTTCTGCAGAAAAAAAAACAAAAAAGGAAACAGAGTCAATTTTTTCTGTCCTTTATTTAAATGTGAGCCGCTCAGACAGCCTCTTAAGAGAACAACTCTCCTCCAACAGAGGCCGAGTGTGCTCGAATCCTTCAATGTTTTTCAGCTCACCATCAGAATCTGCATCCAGCCTCAGAGTTCACGCTGATTTCACTTTTCTCTTTGCTGTTGTTTATGAATTATTTATCTTATTATGAAAATGGAGGGGCTGGATTCTGCTGATTTGGCATTGTTCTCTTTTTTTTATCCTGCAGACATAATGAATAAGTTTACTGCAGTGGTACAAAGACAGAAATCTGGGGTTTTATCCACGGAATAGAGGGTCGGGTTAGACCTCCTTATTCATCTGTAATATTGCTGACACACGTTCGTTTTTTTTTAGACCGTGAAGAGTTTATTTCTTTAAGCTTTTAAACCTCTAATGTTATGTTGATCCAATTATTTGAAAAGTTCTATTCGGCAGTAATTTTAATATCACATAACACACCACTGTAACACACACTCAGTACGTTTACACGTCACTCGAGAAAACCGAATCATCGCCTTATTCCGATTTAAACCGGACAACTGTAGTGCATGTAAACACCTTAGTCTGACTACAATCGGAGTTTGAGAACTTCGATTATGACACCCAGATAATGCGATTGGAATCCGATTTTCCTACCACGTAACCAGCGTAGGCGGAGTATGATCGGACGATGCCTGTGCGTGCGTGTGCGCCACGCCCCCGTAACCCCGGAACAAAAACACCTCATCTGCAGAAAAAGTAACGCGTACATCATGTACGACAAAAACAACGCTGTACGGCGCCCAGCAGCAGTTGTAGACACTTCTGGAGAGGAGAGAAGTCCGATTTGGCGAAAAACATGAATTATGAAAAAAAAAACAAAAAACATTTATTTGATTTTGGTGAAATTAATAGTTTTGGACTTGAAAATGTCGATTTTTTCTCCACTTGCTGTTCCTATTAAAACATCTCTGAGAAGGAAATATCAGGAACCGCTCAGACCACCCAGAACCATCAGAACCGACCCAACAACTGTGACCAAAAACCAGATGCATGCATCGTTGCATCTGCAGAACCCAGCAGGTTAGAAAACTGTTGAACTAAGAAAGCTTCTTAGGGACCGTGTGGTTTGTGGCCGGAGAATTACTAACCACGCTTGTTTTTCTCTTTCTGTTGCTTTATTTCTAAAAGGTCATTAACTCTACGAGGCAGAGGCTCTTAAACCTCAAGGACAGTATCCTCTTCTGTACGAGACGTTAAACGCGATCGATCCGTCTTCTTTCTGTTTTTGAGACCGCAGAAAATGCTGCAGAGTGACACCTCTCGCTTTCTAATCACTCGGGTTGCAGGAAGGAGGAGCGGAGTGGGATTTTCCACGATCGTGACTCACATCAGACGCCCACACATTAGAGGGCTGCAACAACACACACACACACACACACACATAGAGCATATATACCCGTATGCAAATACATTCAGCTGGGTGACGTTGTATAAGCAGGAGAGAAGTGCAGAGGGGAAAATATACGTCAGTGTTTACTCTGAAGATTAGAGGCAGAGATGGACGAGATGTTGGAATTATTTCAACATTCATCAGAACGACTGCAGGTCATATGAGGTTAAAATGTTGGGATGGAAATATCCTGTTTGTTTTAATCCCCAAAAATGAGCAGTTTATGCTGATGATTGAGCAAATTTTTGTTCCGGACTGAGATGTTTCCACTTCATGCTGCTTTTATAAAGAATAATTTTAACTCCACATTGATCTGGAAGCTTTATGTACGAGCTTACGATGTAAAGAAGTAAGAACCTCATCATATATTCTCCGTTTTACTACTCAATCACTAATTTTATGTCTTTCAATTCATTAATTATTCAGAATTTAATTCCAATAAAACATTCTTCTATTGTCGTAGAATTCTCAAATCAAAGAATTCATTTTTTATAGAATCCTGAGATCAAAGCAGAATTAAGATTAAAAAATTCTGCCGAAGCTTCAAAAGAATTCTGACATAAATTCTGAATTCCAAAATCATCTCAGAATTCTGAGATCAAAACAAGAGCTGAGATTTCATCTGTTCTACGAGATCTAAACCATCATCCGGACTTTCCTTTTCTTTTAACTCCTGAGATTAAATTATGAAAGAATCGAGATTTCTTTTCACAGAATTCATTTTTTGTTTTCCATGAGAGGAACTTTTATCCCTTTAACAAAAGTCAGAATCCGGCTTTTTTAAAATATGTAAATTTAAGAAGGTGGCATTAATTCATCTTGAATAAATCTCCAGTCATTGTTTAGCAGAATTTTAAACTTGTTTTTAAATTCTGACTCCTCACCTCAGACTTTTTCTCACTATTTTGAGATTTGAGAAGAATTCTTAAAATTCACAGATCTCTCCTGTAAGTGAAAAAGAAACGATCCAGAATCCTCCACGAGTTTAAGATTCTGTATTTTTGATATATTTAGTCGTGTTTGTACTTTTCCTGTTCAGGCTGGTCCTAAAAATGTTCAAAACGCTCTCCTGCAGAGACACTCTGACGTCAGATCCAGTGTGAGGACACAGAGGAACAGAGAGAGGAGACGATTACAGTCCAGAGACAGGAGGTTATGTAAGAGCGTGCCGGTACACCTCTGTGAATCCAGACTGACTGTTCCTCACAGACACGCTCCACTGTGTGTATTTGTGCGTGTGTGTGTGTGGTTCCTGGAAATATGAGTGGACCCAGTTGGATCCCTGTCTCCATGGCAACTGCATCCTCCTCATCTGTCCGTCCTTCTCACTCTCACTCCTGCTTTTGTTTTGTTTTCATATTTCAGATTACACCTTTCTGCTCCCTCTCTACTTTCATTCAACAGATCAATTTGGATTCCGCCCCACCTCTCCAACACACACACACACACACACACACACACACATATATATATGGTGTATATACTGTAGGTGCTCAGGTGTGAGCTGTTACATAAACACACACGCTCTCCTTCACGTTTTCACGGTTTGTTAGTCTGATGAAGACGTGTGACGTCTGCTCCAGAGCAGAAACAAACTCATGTTATTTTGATTTAAACATTTTTACATACAGAGATCTCACAGTCAACATAATATCTGGGTCTCTTTGTTGGACAGTAGGGCTGTCAGGACTATCGAGGCCAGAAAATACAAACTTGAAAATTGAACACGGTCAGCCAAACTGAGGAACAACAAGAGTAACACATCACTTCATAAACTCATTTAACAAACACAATCAAGTTCATCATCAATCTGCAGCCTCCAGTCATGAGAAATGAAGCTGATGTGGAAGTGTTAAAACCTGCAGTTCCTTTAGTGTCCACTAGAGGCTGGCTGGAGAAGAACCACAAAGCCAGAAAAGCCGAACTTACAGCTCAAATCACCAGAGCGCTGCCTTCAACGATTGTTTGTCCTGCTTTTACTTTGAAATGTTTCTGTCCTGCATTTAAAGCTGAATCGTCAAACTGTGCTTTAAACTTCTTTTGGCAGATTAGCGTTATAAATGAACTGAATGAAAACAGCTATAAGAACAGTTGGAAAATATTAAAGTTTAAAAGATTAGTAACTCAAACAGGTAGAAGCTCTAACTTAAATTTGAGACTCAACGACAAAACGAAACATCCATTTTTTAAAAGTGCCAAATCATCTCTCAGAAGGATTCTTTTCTGTTTCATCATCATACACTCATGGTATTACAATATATATATATATATATATATATATAAAAATCTGTATATATAGTATATACACATATAAACTATATATAAGTATATATATAATATAGAATTTTTTATATATTTTTTTTATTTATATTTATATATATATATATTTTTTATATATATATATAAATATATATATATATATATATATATATATATATATATATATATGTGTGTGCATATATATACATATATATATATGCACACACATATAAATGTACATTTACACACATATTTATACATAGATATACACATATATACAAATAAATACACATATACATATATATTACACAGATTATTATATAGTCAGTTATCATTGTGAAACCCCCTCACAGGTATCCACACACGTTTAAGGCAGTTATCAGATACCAGTACAGCAATATTGATCATGTTTGAACGGACAAATGATCAATATGATCACGGAGGACTTCAAAGTTAAAGAGGGAGTTCACAAACAGTTCATCTAAGTTTTCCAGGACAGTTCTACCTGTGAGGAGTTTTCTCCCACAGATCATGTTTTCATCATCAGGACTGAGTTTTGACGTTCTGGACTCAGGAGCCACAGAAAAGGCGAATATTTGTGTCTTACTTTTTGGTGGAAGTTCTCCGAGAAAAAACTGAAACTAGACCCACGGGTGCTGGCAGGGTAAGTCATTTCACACCACACTACCCGCCTGAACACACACACAAGAACACACACTGTATGCAGAAAGTGGAAGCTACCACCTCTTAGAGCACTGAGGCAGTAAAAAACCCATCTGTTCTTCATCTCTCCCTCCTCCTCCTCCTCCACAGTTGCCTGTTACCAGTTTCTTTCTTTTGTTTCTACGACTCCCACACCATCAGCCATCTTTTCTGCGACCTCCTCCATCTCTGCATCTCTTTAATATTCAGGCCCTCTCTTTTTTAGCTGAGTCACTCCCTGTAAAACAAAACTAAATCACGCAGCCGTCCTTACAGGGGGGGCCGACAGCGAGGAGAGTCAAAGGTCGGAGGTTAGGACGGCCTGACAGCAGATGGAGCAGATATACCTCCTCTCCGGCGGACATCGATATTGTGTGGAGGAGAATTAGCCACTCAGAGAGAAATAAGAGACGGGGAGGAGAGCTTGGCAGCCGGAGTGGGTTCATCCATCAGTCTGAACGGCTGCCAAAACACTCAGACGCCATCTTGGACCATCACTGGATAACAGGCGGGATTGATGGTCCGCTAAGACTATTCATCCAAAACGAATATGTCCGTGTTCAACCAAAACTCAACCAGTGCTATCACCCCAGACAGCTCTGATACAGATCTAAAGTTTCTGATCCGGGGAAAATCGACTTCTACGAAAAACGTTGGAAACTTTAAAAAGAAGCAAAGAAAGTCGAGAAAAACAAACAAACTACAGTATCAACGCTGTTTACGCAAGAAAAACTTGTGTACGCTACGATCGGCGCTCAAGTTCAGATGTATCAACGCGAAAAGTTAATCGATTCTTGCGCTGTTTCAAACCAACTCCAGAGGTACCGTAGAAGTTGGCGGAAAGGCGATTCTTGCGTTGACTGCACTTTGGTTTATTGGCGACACTGTGTGGTGGTGTCTGGTGACCTGTTGGCATTATCGCGTTGGTATTACCGCGTTCACCCTCTCGCACACCTTATCCCACTCACAATGTTTTTTTTTTCGTACTGACACCACCGGACAGGCTGCCAAACAATATCTGCCATCTCTCCTCCACCTCCCTGACCAGCACCTCCAGCTCGCACGCCGTAAACCTCTTTTTCTTTGACATCGTTTCGCGAGCGCGGACAGTGGAAGGCCTGGTCACTCCGACATCTGCGCTCAATTCCACGTTGATTGGGATGTTGCAAGGAAACGTGCGTGGATTCCGGCGCTCGCACAGATTGATACATCCAGATTTTTTGTCCTGCGTGCGCAACTTTAAGGATTCTTGCGATAGTTTGAGATCAAGGCAAGTATCCATACATGAGGCCCCTGATGATTGTGAATCACAACATTTCCTCATACAAAAACCTGTTGAGTCTGTTACAACGTGGTTTCCTGCAACCCTTTAGGGTTTTAGGGGTCTCTATAGAAAGTTCTCTGTCGCATCTCAACTCCAACATCAGTTTTCAGACAAACTTTAACGTCTGCGTTGAGTTTCCAACAGATTCCAGGTTTGAAACACCCTAAAGGTTCACAAACATCAGCCATCTTTTCAAATACCCTTCAGCGTCTTTGTCCAGGAGCCGGTCTGAACCACTTTCAGGTCTCTCTTGGCCTCTGGTTTAGTACGGAGATCATATCAAGGTACTTTTTATCGCCACTTTCTTGATAACCTCAAAGAATCTCTTGATATCAAGATACCCTTAAGTCTACCAGTTGAGATACTGCTTATCAAGGTCAGGATATCCATTAGGGACGATGATAAGGTTCTTTGGGCTCCAGGTCTTTGAGTACCCTCTATCTGGTGCAGTCTTAGTACACTTCAGTGCCAGGGTACCAAGTTTCAAGAGACCCTCAGCATTTGTGTCAAGGATTCTCAGCCTTCAGTCTGTGGTGACCCTTCTGGGTTCATCAACTCACCACTGAAGTCAACATCTGTACACTCCCTCTAAAAAAGAAACGTCCCCCTCGGCCTTCCTGTGTTCGCTGCAGTGAAGATGAAAGTTTCCTGACTGCTCTTAACTTTGGGAAACTGAATTATCAGACTGTAGGAGGGAGGTGAGGAGGCGAGGCTGTTCCTGATTTTTGCTGTTCTTGCTTTTTTATTCCACCACCTTCTGTGAGAGAGACGGATTTACCAAAGACGGAGTTCAGAGCAGCTGAAGAACGACTCAGAGTCTCTAAAAACCGCTCTTTTCTCCTCAGACAGCCATCACTTTATCATCATTATATCATCACTTTATCATTTTATCATCACTTTATCAAATCTTTGTCATCGTTCTATTATTACTTCATCATTCTAGAATCACTTTATCATAACCTTTTCATCATTTTATCATTATTTTTTTATAATTCTATCATTACTTTATTATCACGTTATCATTTTATCATCACTTCCTCATAATTCTATCAACACTTTATCATTTTATCACCATTGTACCATCACTTCAGCATCTTTTTATCTTAACTTTATCATTATTTTGGTATCACTTTTTCATCATTTTATCATCAGTTAATCATCATTTATCATCAATTTATTATTTTTTCATCACTTTATCACTTTAGCATCATTTTATCATTATTTTATCATCACTTTCTTATCATTTAATCATAATTTAATCATCACTTAATCATTTTCTCGTTTTTTTTCATCATATCTTCATTTTAACATCATTTTGTCGTCCATTTATCAACATTCTATCATCACTTTATAATCACTTTATCATGACTTCATCATTTTATCATCATTTTATTATCACTTCATTATCCCTCTAACATTATTTTATCATTACATCGTTTCATCATCAGTTTATCATCATTTTATCATTATTTTATCATTACTTTATTGTCACGTTGTCATCACTTTATCATCACATTGAGTTTTGTTTTCTTTCCTTCATGTTTCCATTCAGCAGCAGGGATATCAGTTATATCATTAGATTTAATCGGCTTGTGAACATTCAGGAAATAATAAACACCAAGAGAAATTCAGACGGATATTTCTCTACAGCCGGAGGATTTTTGACACTAAAAGAGAGAAAAAGAAAGACCCAGCAGCTGTTTAATTATCGTACGGAGAAGAAGAACAAGAAAGGTGAACTCCTGCTGTAAATCGGAGCGAGAAACTAAGACACGAGAAAGAGGAGAGCGGAGAGTTTCATCGTATTTAATGGAGCAGAGCAGAGCGAAGGGAAGTGAAGGGAAGTACGTCTAAAGAGAACAAAAGAGACGGAAAAACAGAAAAGAGGATAAAAAAAATTAGAGCTGAGAGAAGAAGGTCGAGAACTCAAAACAAGATGAAAAATACAGGAGAAGAAACAGGAAGGATAGATGAAATAAAGGTGACGATAGAATGAGAAAGAAAACAAAAGGAGCATGATGAAGATGATGAAGATGATGAAGAGTACAGGGTACAGATGAGGATAACAACACCGGACATGGTGATGACGAAGAAGGTGACAAAACAACAGAGAAGAAGAATGACGGCGATGATGAAGATGAGGACGACTGTGAGGGAGACGAGGTTCAGATGATGAAGATGAGGACGACTCAAGGAGGATGAAGATAAATGTGAGGGTGACAGGGATCATCGAGACGATGAAGGAGGAGGAGAAAAGAACAGAAAGAGAGAAAGACTGGAATCATGAAGGACAGAAGAAGAAGAAGAAGAAGAGCAATGAAGAGGAAATGAGGACGACATTAAAATGAAAAAGAAATGAGAGCGATGAAAAAGGTGAGGATGACAGTGAAGAAGGAAAAAAGGAAAGAAAAACATGAAAAAGAAGGAATAAATGACCAAGATAAAATGAAAAACAAAATGAGGACAAAGAGGTTAAAGTTAGAAGATATGAGGATAATGGCTGATTTAAAAAATGAGAACGACAACAACAACCAAGAAGAAAGTAACAAAGAAAAGAAGAAATGAGGAGAACATACAGAAAAATGAGAAAAAGGTAGAATGGAGAAAAAAATTGTGACCACAATAATTAAAGATGAGGAGGAAAAGGAAAATGAGTGAGGCTAAAAATGAGAAATAAGGTCAACAAAGAAAATGACAACTAGGAAATGAGAACAACATGATAGAAAAATGGAGACAAGCAACAAAGAGGAAATGAGGACAAAAGACAACAACAGAGAAAGAAATGAGAAGAGAGAGAACGGAGGACAAGGACAACGTGCAACGAGAAACGTAAGAGAAATTTTAAAAAAAAGACTGAGGATGACAAAGAAGGGAGGCAACAAAAAATGAAGAGGACAATAAAGAAGACAATGAGACAACGAGGACAAGATGAGAAACAGTTAAAGTTTGGTTTAGACGTTAAAACAATGAAAACAGTCACAACAACAACAACAACAGTTTAAGAGTTTCTACGTTTGTCATAAAAAACTGCATCAACACCAAACAGGCCTTTTCAGTCCACATGATAACAGTCCAGGAGGTTTTAGACCAGAACAGGGTCAACAGAGACCCGGAGACTCTCTAAAGTCCTCACTGTAATCCTCTGAAAGTGTCAGACGCTGCGTTCTTCATCAGGCCGACAGACACGATCTGATTAAAACCTCTTTGAGTTTAGATACAAATCTGTGAGCCGATCCAACTGAAAGAAACCCGGACCAGACGGGACCAGAAAGATCTGATCAGGACACAAAAGGAGGACAGAGGAGAGAGAGTGAAAGTGAGAGTCTGAAACTGAACAAAAGGAGCAGAAAAGAGACGATAGAGGGATCCAAGGACAGAGAGAGACGAGACAAAAACAAACCAAGAGGAGTAAAAAAATAAAAACAGGAGAAGAAGACAAACTGAAGGAGAGGAAGACTGAGGATGTTTCGGGTTCCCTGCAGTCGTTCCTGCAGGTTTCAGCTCTGCTCTGCAGATGCATTGTTATTCTCCGGAGGCGATGGTTTGACTCCAGCAGGAAGAATCTGACCAGCTGCAGTGCAGCAGATCGGAGATAAACACAAACACCTCGGCGTGTCTCGTGCATTATTAACAACATCATCTACAGCAGAGGAAGAGGAGGAGGAAGAAGAGGAGGAAGAGATCAAAGCAGCGCTGAGAGACAGGCCTCAAGGTTTTTACCTCCAACAGACGGACCGGACTGATTTGACCCAAAACCGTAACCCCGAGTTAGACCCCCCCTCCAGAGATGAATGTTGTCGACCGCTTCCTTCTCTAGTTATACCAACTTTAGTAACGACCGCAGGATAGAAATACAGAGAGCCACGCCCCCAACCAAAACGCCACTCTATAGCCACAAATAATGCTCAGAACAGCACCTAACTTCATCAACAGGACATATAGGGTCACAGAGACTGAACACAACTCACCTACTCTCTTCCAGCAGACGCTTGTTTGTAGAGAGACCTCAGGCCAGTCCATTACGGACTACAGCGGGGTGCCGCAGCTCAAGGAAGAACATTTATGATCATTTCTTCATCATTTCCTTGAAGTAATAATCACCATATTGATCATTTTACAGACGCTGTAGTTCTTCTGTCTTAGCGTCTCGGTCTGATTGTATTTCCATGAAGAAATGATCATAAATGTTCTTCCTTGAGCTGCGACACCCCGCTGTAGTCTGTAATGGACTAGCCTGAGGTCTCGCCAATTTTACGCTGGAGTATCCCTTTAAAATGACTTGTTTATCTTTCTTATATCTCACCTAACTTTGCACATGATGGATGACCTCAGTACATTTGGGTTTAATACCTTTGGAAAGGTCAAACTGGTCACCGGGAGGCCACATTCTGGACCACAGACAGCAACTATTTTAGCCGTTTTAACACTGAAACTACGTCAGATTCATCTTCATATCCAACAGGACTGTAGTCCTTAAGTTTTTTTTCATTTCTATACTTTTCCAAACCGGCCTGGAAACAATTCACATCAAATTCCATTTCAGTCAGACTAAAAAAGAACCAGAACAAGATTGGGCGAGATTGCGTGGCTTTCCTCGAGATATAAAGGCCTGTTCACGGTGTGTTTTAGCCGGGGTGTCACCTGGAAGACTCCGGACATCTGGCACACTTCTGAACGCCGCTCACAGACGCCAGAATGAGCGCGTTCGACACTCACGCATTCATACGCAAATAAAGAACGATACGATCATTCATCGGACTAATTCAGGCACAACACTCTCTGAGGTTTAACTGAAATAAATGAGATCCATAACCACACGCCGGCCTGCAGATTGAGTGCTGTTTTCATTTGTTTTAAGCCCTTCAGATGCTCCTCTGGGAGTTAGCGTTAATGCTAAATCAATCCCTGGTCAATAGGTTGTCTATCGGGAGTGAAGAAGTACTCCGGTTTATGTGTTCAGGCGCTCCGGATCAATGATGAGGGTGGAGAAGAGACAAAGCAGGACAACGCTCTCTTCTATCAGGAAATTTAAAGTCCTGCTTCATGGCCTCGTAACCGCCTAGAGTGGCTTTCAGTCACATGGAGTGTGAGCGAGATGGTATGATATAAAGTTATGTAACCAGAGTCACTACTGTAACACACATTCGCACACAAAAGGATGTCACATTACACTCAGGAAGTGGGTTGTTGGAGAGTGAGGCAGAAAAAAGAGATGAGGGGGAAAGAAAAAACCAACGAGATCTGCAGACAAAGAAAATCCAAAATATCTCAGCCTGTCCGTCTTCATTCATTTGTATTCATATCATATCAGAGAGGAAGTTTCAGCCTCCTCAGCAGAGTCACGAATCACAGTCTGTGTTCGTCTGGTTCAGACTGTCCTCCAGTTCTCCACTGATGAAGACAGAAACACCTGAGGGGACCTCCTACTGTGTGGACCTCACACCTTCCTGCTGTAAAGTCCCACTCTGATAGTTTTTTTTACGATTTAAAGGTGGGGATTCCGTTAAAGAAGCATCTTATTTTGTGGTGTTTATACAAAAAAGCTTTTAATATCAGTCAATATATACTCTTTCTGACTGTAAACAAAGCCGTTCTCCACCTCCTCTAACCTGATTGGTTGTGAGGCAGACGCTGCTCCCCCGTGTCGTTCAGGAGCCCAAACAAAGTTAGCGTGCTACAATATCGGACAGTAGAAACCAACCAGAAAGTTCGGAAAATTGTCTGAATCCTCCTTTGGCCACGACTGCCGACACAAGCAAGAAAACAAAGTAAATACCGGAGACTCTGGAGGAATAACGGGCGCTTAAAACGGAGGTAGACCGGACAAGAGCTAAAAAGACGGGTCAACATAAACGATGGGGGACGCTTGGGGATCTTGGTGACCCTGTAACCTTTCTGCTGGACAGGTAAACCGCTTTAACAAAGTAAGACAAGTGTCTGTAACAGAAGTGTTTCTTGTCAAACGGACCTGCTGTAGCGTGTTGTAGCGCCATCGCTAAACTGTCCTCCCTCGGGTCCTGGACTATGTCACTTTATCCTCGTTGTAGAAGTCCTGCAAACATTGTGTTTGCTGGTAGTCTGTTGGCATCTACAGTAGCACCAATGCTTTTGACTTTCACCTTGACTGGGCCCCATTTGTAATGATCTGAAGTATTTATCTGCATTATATCTGAATTTAATTGGAACGATACGAGCGAGCAGGAGCGTCTGTTTGTGGGCGGGGCTTGAGGGGAAAACTGGTTGGGAGGGGTAGAGTTTACATTCAAGATTTCTCCTAAAAACTGGAACTTCCTCAGATCCTGACTACAACACCTTTTAAAGTGTTCCCAGTGGTCTTTAAATTTGATTATGAAGTTTTTGCCAAAATCACGTTACCTGTGTCATTTTCAAGGACTTTTCTCCTGCAGAGCTCCAGTAGCTCATTAGCAATTTGCCTCTGAGTCGTGGGCGGAGACGGTGCTGCCTCACATTGCCGGTGTAGTAGAAGTGGTAACAGCTATTCCGCTCTCGGACACTAATGTCTTTGGGGTCATGATGAAAGTTAATATCATAATCAACTTTTTTAGAAGCGTCGCAATCCACTAACATACACGTTTGTTCTGCGATCCTCCTCTCTACTTCTCTGAGTCTGGCCTGCACAGTGGGGCTCCAGGGGGCGGAGCTTGGATTTGTGATGTAGGAAATCTCACTGTATCTAAGCCTGCCATTTGGGTCTGTGAAAAGTTCATAGCCATTTGTTAGTTTATTTGTTTATTTGAAAGGATCCCCGTTAGCTGATGCCAAGACAACAGCTAGTCGTCCTCTGGTCCAGACAATACGTACAAAACACAGTACAGAAATGCTAAGAAATGCAATTTGGCACTTGTTATTCCCTTGATATGTCCTGTAGCATCAGAAAAATGCCTTAAAGAAAAACATGATTTTTATCAGAGTGGGTCTTGATTGTTTCCAGGCATAAATGGAAGAATCACAACGTTTGTTTTTTGGATTTCCTGCAGCCCTTTTTTAAAAATATCTCCACTGTCAGTTTTTCTGGCTCCATTTCTAAACCAAACTGCAGATTTTAAAACCTTGTTCCAGACTGTTCCCACTGCCAGCCAATGTTTACCATCGGCTATAAAGGACGGGTCGGCCCTCCAACACTCAGCTCTGACTCAACCACATTATGAGACGACTCCTTCAGAACATGAGAGCTGTTTTTCCCCGCAGGGGCTCCGGCTGAGGATTGATGAGGCAATAAAAAACTCCGAGCTCAGACACACATACTGTTACAGAGGAAGGAGGCAGTGGAGGAAGTTCAGAGAGAGGAGAGAGAGATGAAGATTGATGACGATACGAACGTTTTTATAATGATGTCAACACAAAAAACAGAAGGAGAAGAAGAAGAAGAGGAGAATCCACATAGCAGCCGAATTCATGCTCTTATTTTGAAAGGATGGAAACAGTATAAGCATTTCACTCAACAGAACAGGAAGAAATTCTCAATGTGAAGCTGAACGGAGGTCTAGATTGGAGTCACGCAACAGCTTCGGACTCAACTTGACGATAAACTTTACGACCAGTGATAACGGACAACAATGCTGACCATTCAAGAGGACGAATTTCACCCAGAATCCACCTTGTCTGTTCTCGGTTCGCTCTGAAGCTGGAGGAGAAACTGTCAAACGTGAATGTCAAGAGCATCACTCGCTGGAAAAATGCTGCCAAACACGCCGTCTGACACCCGCCCCCACGGCGCTGTGCACAGATGATGAGAACTACTGCATCAGTCTCGGCCCTGTCGGTCCCGTACCGCGCCGTATTTGGATAATCATCCGTTCACTGATTTAATATGAGTGTCATTTTAAAAGCACCTGAAAGTGAGGTCAGAGGTCAAAGGAGGAGGATTCACCTGAAACCCGAGGACACGGGAGGATCGCACAGACACGCCGCTGCTGCTCCGACACGTGCTGCGCCCTCAAGGTTGATCAATTATTGAGCGAGCCAACCAGAACTCAGCGTATCTGTGTGTGTGTGTGAGTGTGTGTGTGTGTGTGTGTTTGCATCACGCCTGCTCTCTCTTCACACGTGTGTGGTATCCATAGCAACACAGTCTCCCTTAAACGGAGAGGGGTGTGTGTGTGTGTGTGAGAGAGAGATCAGGAAGCAACAGAGAACAAGAGACACCAGATCTGTTTCTCCACCTGAAGTGATCCTTTAGAATAAAACCGAACTGTTGAAACTCCGACATCGAAGTTTTCTGAACAAATCGATCATCATTAACGAGAAAAGAGGGTTTGACGTCAAGACAAACTTCCATCTTTCCTCTGTAGTTTCCTTTCATGCACTTCCGTTGTTTACGCTAACCCCCAATTTCCACCGATTCTGGAATGGCTACGAAAAGGCCGTGTCCGCCGGTCACAGCTGATCGTAACCATTCAAGTTAACGTGTCAATTTCCACCGTCTCCTTTCCGTTCCGCAGCTGATCGCAAGAGTTCTATTTTTTTCCGGATGAGGAGATGCTGATTCTAGAAGTCTAGAAGTAGATTTCCTCCTCTGGAAGGACACAATCTACTGCTTGTTTGTCTATGTGTCTAACTTGTTATCGCTGGATTGCACGTGAATCTGCGGGTTCTTGTGAGTTCTAGCGATTCCTGCTGTCCGTAATCCACCACAAGATTTGCCTCACAGACCGATCCGGTAGGAATTGGCGTACGGCGAAAAACGCCGCCATTCCGGATCGGAGCCGTTCCGGACGCGGTTGAAATCCCGGGAAAAAAACAAAACAAGAACAGACGAATCTGAGAAGATGAAGTTGGGCGTAAGGAGCCTAAATGCTCTACGTCCCTTTTATGAGAATTTCAGTTCAGGACCAAATCCTGTTTACCTTTACCAACTGAACTCTCACTTTAAAATGGACTTAAAAGCAGAAATGTGTGTAAATAAGTTCTTTTAGTATCTGGACTCAAACATCCATCCATCTGATGGACTACAACTGTCATATTCTCCATCGTGGTCGCTTTGAGGACCACGGTACATCTTCATGTTTTAAAACTGAAAATTTTCTCCTCTTTATTCCTTCACTAACGTTTTCTTCAGTGTGAATCTGATCATTGATCTCTCTCTCTCTCTCTCTCTCTCTCTCTCTCCCTCTCTCTCTCTCTCTCTCTCTCTCTCTCTCTCTCTCTCTCTCTCTCTCTCTCTCTCTCTCTCTCTCATGTTTTATTTAACCAGGTGGACTGAGGTGTCTCGTTTCCTGCCCCCGCTGGCAGTGGCAGCAGCGGCGGCCATCTTTGAACAGGGCACGGTGACTTAGCAGTCGGCTTCACGCTGCCACCACTTGCTCAGCTCCGGTTTGTTCCAGTCCATCTGTTCGATCCTGAGTACAGGAGAAGACAAACACGGGTGAAGACACACGCTGAGACGTGTCCTAGATTCAGGCCTCCGTGGACGGCGAGTTACATTTTAATATTTTAATGGATCACCACCAACAGCCAATCAGAACACACCTTACAGCACAGCCCTCGACTAGAAAGCGCTGACTATCACATTCTAAAGGGATGGGTAAACAAAGAGGCCGGATTTTCAAGGCTTTCAAAAGCCAAAAACAGGAAGAAAAAACGTTCTTTTCAGAGTAAAAGCCTTGATTTGAACACATCCAACACCACATGATGAAAACATGAGTTCACTTCATTAAAGTCTAATGAAATGTCGGGGTTTGGGTGAGTCTGCTGCTCAATCCGTCCTCAACTTTGAGTCATGGTCCTTAAAAATAGAAGATTTGATCATTTCTGCCGCCGAAGAAACGCCTTTTCCAGAAACAAAAACAAACTGTTCTCAGATCAGTTATTCTGTCCAGTCATGTTCGTCTAAAAGACTAAAACTGTCAAAACACAACCAGAGTTTCCAAGATTGTCGAGGCCAACCTCTACACTGTTTATTTCCAGGTTTGAGTTTCCTCCATGTACGAAATGAAACAATACATTAAAGGCCCAATTTATCAGCTACTCAAGTCTGGCCCCACATCACCTCTAAGGTAGTAACCCTAACCCAGGTCATCATTTGATGGGATACCTTCCATGAATGGGACTTGGTTGTCCTGTGGATTCCTGAGTTACTCAATAAGACTGAGATCTGGGGGATTTGGAGGTCAATCAGGACCAGTATCGATTCTTTCAGGGATCTGAGCTTTAGGAACACGCGGACGAGCCTTCAGACGAGCCTTGGTCGTCCATGACTAGAACCTCAAACTCTGGTGAATATCCACTGATCATATCTTAATGTTCTACTTTAAACACAGGTGATGGATGGTTTCTCATGGTCGAGCTGATCTAGAAAAATGGACTTGAAGTTGTCTGTAGGGGTGACCCGGTCTCAGTTCCAGTCTGAGACTCCTTTCCCTCATGTGACTCCCTCTAACTCCCCTGGTTTCCTTCTCTGTCCACATCCTCTCCTCTCAAAGGAATCCAAAGATCTGAATTTCATCTACTTATCAGATAGGACTGCTTTTACTGTAAATATGTAATGTTAGAGTTAAACGGGACAAACTTCTACCCTTTAATTTGCAGAGCTGCATCGTCCTGCAGTCCGTGGTGCGTTTACTTCCACTCAGAGTCGTATTTTCTAACCTGTAATTATTCACTGTGAGGAATCTGTGATCATCCATCACCTGTGCTATAAAACGCCCACCCTGCTGCCCTGGATTACCGCTCCGCTTTGTCTGCTTGGCGTGCCGCTCTCTGCTCTGCATAAATAAAACAGGCTGATGAGCTCGATCGCAGCCGCCGCCAACGTCCCGCCGCCTCACGGAATCAGGGTCAGGTTTCGATCCACGTTAAAGGAAACACAGATGAACACTGTGTAGAAACCAACAGGCTGATTAGCCCTTTCCTGGTTTCCAGAGTTACCGGTCTATGACGTCTCGTGCTGCCCGCCGCCCCCTCTCTCTCTATTAACGTCTGCTGTTGATTCACAGATCTATTCTGGGGCCTCGCTCCCCGCCCGCTCTCCACACACTGCTGACAGAGATGCAGCCACCTGACATCAAACATGTGATCTGTTTTAGTCAAACCTCGGCTCCTGCTCCTGATCCGTCAAAAATCTGCTCATCCTGGCACATTTACAGAAACTAGATTTACATATCCACCAATCAGAGCTTCGTTTTTAACTCTTTCTCGGTAATAATGATGGGTTTGTAGATGCTGACATGACAGGTATGCTATCTGCCTGAGGAAGAAGAGACCAGCTGCCTCTTGGCAAAACTGAAGACCTGAAACAAATGACTTCCTGACAGTAAAGAACATTTTTCAGTGTTGAACATTGTCACTGATGATTGTTACTAGAAGGGTTACTGGCAATTTCCATCGGCTTCTTTCCATTCTGCTGTGGATCGCTGGATTCCACAGCTCAGAGTTCTATTTTTTCAGACGCCGGAGCATGGCGGATAAATTCAGCACAGATTAACCCGTGCTGGAAAGGAAGTCGGGCACAGACACAAAATAAAACATCCGGCTTCTTTTCAAAATAAAACACTCCGTGTTTCAGGAGGATCGTATTTCACACCATGCAAACGGACGGAGACGAACAAGTGAAAGGTTTTTAGACGTCATTTCACCCCGATGACACCATGGATGAGGAGATGCTGATTCTAGAAGTCTAGAAGTAGATTTCCTCCTCTGGAAGGACACAGTCTACTGCTTATATGGTTAGCCTATAAGGCTAAAGACAACTTGTTAGCGCACGATTGCACATGATTCCATGGGTTCTTGTGAGTTCTCGTGGTTCCTGCTGTCTGTGATCTGCCACAAAATTTGCTGCCTCAAAAACTTCCTTTTCACAGGCAGAAACCCTGAGCAGGACCAGACTCATGTTAGACAGCCACAGTTTGGTTAGTCGTTTGAAGAGGATCCAGAAGAGCTAAAAACAAAACTCCCAAGTGAGGCCTTCTGCAGAAGCAGTGGAAACCAGGTACACACTGAACCAGAAAGGCCAGTTTTCAGAGCAAAAGTTTACAGTCTGGTTTTAGAGGGAATAGCTCAGGGCCCCTACAGCGAGGAACTTTCCTTTTACTGCTTTAGTTTGGGGAAAAAAAGCAGGATTTATTTGTGAAACAGAAGTTTACATTAAAGTTTTGGTGGTTGATGATTTCACATACATAGATTAAATGCTGAGTCTGTTATTAACACTAAATATAACAAAGGAAACAGTATTTTTGTTTGTCTGTCGGAAATGGTCCAGATCTCCAGAGGACTGAAAAAAGAAACAGGATATCTTCACTCTCTAGAGGCTGAAACCGCTAACTGATCTGTAATTTCTCCAACATATTGGATTAAGAGATTATCAGAGTTGATTTAATTTTTCAGTTGAATTGATTGTTAAAGCTCCAAATCTTAATTGGGATCTCAAAGTGGGACTCAGCTTGGAGAAAATCCCCTTAAAACCAGACCGAGCAGCCATCAGTGAGGACACGTGTTTGTGGATATAAACTTATAAACTTCATGCTGTTGTCTCCTGGATAAATGTCTCCGATCAGGTTTTCAGAGCAGCTCTGTTCGTCTCGTTTGATGGATTCTGTTTGATTATTTTAATGGGTTAGAGTTTCAGAGGACGCTCCGTCTCTGACTGACTTCGTCTCTCTGTCTCTGCTGCTGTCAGACTTTTATTTCCTGTTCCGTCTCTGCTGCAGTGACCTAGTTTCCCCCTCAGGGATCGATAGACATCATCTCCTCCCTTTATCAGCGGGCCTTCCTCCCACAAACGCAACAAATGTGCAAGAATTGGTCCTGATGACAGTGGAGCGCAAAGACAGACTCGAGGGACACCGATTCGTGAAAGAAACCCTCACCCCGTCTGATTCGGTTGATCTGGTTCCTTTTTCAGGGTCATGGGACGTTATTTCATCGACACGTTTTTCTGGACTAATTTCAGGAATCAGAGTGTTCAGAGACGTCTCATCAGGGTTAGCCCTGTGTTTCTCTCTTTAGTAGATCTGATGATGGATCACAGGGTGTGGAAAACACTAGAAAAGTATCGCCCCGTCTTTAACGTAGAAGTAAACCGCTTAGATGCATTCAATGGCCTCCAAACAAGCCAGGAAACACAATGAGTCCACTGAGTGTACTTCAGTATCACGTTGTTTGGACTTGTGACCCGTCCGTCATGGTTCGACTCCTTGGTTGCCGTTTGCACTGACTGCCTCTTGCAATGCGTCAAATCATTATTGGAGGACAGTGATGAGGGGACTGTCACGCATTAATGCTAATGACGTTGATGACTGAAACCAGATGGAACTGGTTTCCCCCACAGGAGAAGCAGGAGTTGATCATGACCCCTGCTCCTTAACAGTTAGAACTCTGCTAGAGTTGACACCATTAATATTGTTTACAGTTTCCCAGGAACTATTCCGTGTATCTTTTCGGGATGAAAAGTGTTCAAAAGCTAACGTCCATGTAGATTCTCATTCATCCAGGTCATGGTTATCTCAAAGACTCCAAAATCAGGCAACTGGACTGTGAGGAGTTGAGAAGACGTTTCGCCTCTTTTCCGAGAAGCTTCTTCAGCTGGACAAGGGAAAACAACGACTGGGAGGAGTTGGATCCATTCATTCCAACTCCTCCCAGTCATTGTTTTCCCCTTCTCCAGTAAGGTAAATACCTGCTCCCCTCACGAGCTATTTTAGAACTGAAGAAGCTTCTTGGATTAGAGGCAAAACATCTTCTCAACTCTACACAGTCCAGTTGCCTAATTTTGGAGTCTTTGAGTTCAAAAGTTTACACTTTTGGCGATCTATCGAGGGTTTCCAGACATTTCTACACCTGCTACAAGGTTTACAATCCAGACACAAAAACAAGTTTGATCAGAGACGTTTGATGGTAAATCTGCAGTGATATACTGATGAGAACAGGATTATTGATCAGATTGTTGTGATCAGAAAAGATTGCTATTGCTAAATTCCGCTAATGTCTTCGGGGTTTGACAAGCTGTTTTGATGACGTCTCATATTCTTCTTCTATTGTCCCCTTGACGGTAGTGTCCAATAAGAGGCAACCAATTATCAACAAGAGACAAGAAAGTTCCCTGCTTGTCTGCAAAATCAGAAATAATGGTCCTCAATGTTTGTAAACAAGTAAAGAAGAGATTCTGAGCAGTATGATGTGGTCCTCTGTCTCATCTCAGACAGGAACTGCTTCAAGGAGCGGCAGAAACAACTGAAAATAGTCAAAAACGCCTGGAAGAATGAGTGTAAATATGTCAATAGTTTCTGTTGTGTGTTTGTTCCAATCTCAATATTTCGTCTCCTGATAGCCAAGACTTGAGAGAATGATGTTCAGGTGAGGAAAGGCTTGGTCACTGTAGATTTATGTGTTTTTTGAGCAAAGTACTGTTGGGATCAGGGTAACCAGGGTTAAATGTTACCAGTGATGGTGACTCGTCAAAAACTGACACTGAATAAAAGGCCGTACTCTAAAAAACGATTTCCCTCATTCACATTCAGTTCAGTCCAATAAGAGCCAGTGAAAGGTGGAATAGAAAGCAGAGGAGTAGAAATAGGAGCGTATTTGGGTTAGGTAAACCTCCATCAGTCAGTCCGTCAGATCTCTGCCATCATCTTGTTTCCACTCTCAGCAGACAGCAACGAGGCGAAAAGGTTAGAGAGATTCCCGGTAAATCTCTTTTTGTTCATTATTCAGATCGGACTGGAAAAGGCTGCAAACGCCTACCAGCACCTGTCAACACCACTCCTCTTCTCTTCCTCTATTCCCTCCTTCTTTTCTAGAAAACAAAAGCTGCTCGTCATCGTCGGGTTATGATCGTTTGAGGAGAAGGAGGGATGCTGAAGAAAAGAAAGAGGGATGACGAATGGACGATACGATGTTAGGATGGATGATGGCAGGGTGTAAAGAGGGAGGATGAAGGGATGACTGCAGGGAGAAAGGAACAAAACAGAGGGATGAAGGAGTGATTGTAATATGTCCAGAAAGATGGGACACGACTTCAAACATGATGAGATGAAAGGTTGAGATACAGCTGGGGGAGGACAGACGAAGGGTAAAAAGAAGGGAAGGGGATTAAAAATGATAGAGGGATGAAGAAAAAGGAGATGACAGCGGAGGGGGTGGATGGAGGGAAGAAAAATAGCTGGTGGGCACCATGAAAAAGAGTAAAAACATGGGGGGATGATGGAGGGATGTTCAGGCAATTAAGGAGATTAAGGTTCGGAAAGATGGAGGGTGATGGAGGGATGGGAAAGAGAGAAAGAGGTTAACGTTCGAGGGATGAAAACAGAAGGGGTGGTAGAGTAAAAGAAAAAAGATGAGGGGATGAAAAGATAATTGTATAAAAGGGGAGATATCTAGACTGAGAGGATGAAGGGATGAATGGAGATGGTTGAAAAGTTTAGTTGATGGTAGGATGACGACAGGGAACAGAAAGATTTAGGACGACTATGAGCACACCTGTACAGGTAACAATTACTGTACAAGGCTTTTATTTTGAAAAGACTCAATCTCAGGCTTTTTCCTCCCGGTGTGACATGTCCGGAACACCTCTAAGGGAGGCGTCCAGAAGGCGTCCTAACCAGATGCCCGAGCCACCTCAGCTGACTCCTCTCAACGTGGAGGAGCAGCGGTTCTACTCTGAGCGCCTCCCGAGTGTCCGAGCTCCTTACCTTATCTTTAAGGCTGAACCCGGACACCCTGAGGAGGAGACCCGTTTCGGCTGCTTGTATCAGCGATCTTGTTCTTTCGGTCATTACCCAAAGATCATGACCATAGGTGAGGATCGGCACGTAGATCGACCGGTAAATCCAGAGTCTCGCCTTACGGCTCAGCTCTTTCTTCACCACAACTGATCGGTTAAGCGTCCGCATCACCGCTGACGCCGCTCAGATCCGCCTGTCTATCTCCCGCTCCATCCTACCCTCACTCGTGAACAAGATCCCAAGATACTTGAAGTCCTCCACTTGAGGATTTATCTCCTTTGGATCAAACGTAAATGAAGTGCTCCCTGCTGCCCTTCCAGTGTGTTAAATAATGTTTGGTTGTTGTGTAAGGATTGTATCTTAAGAATACTACTGTCATGGGGTGCCTTTCAAAATGTTCTGCCCCTGCCCCTCAAACACCCTGATTACGCCCCTGCTGTTACGCCTTTTATGAGTGATAGGCTACATTAATACTTTCTGGACCTCGCCAGTTCCCATCCCCTGGTTACGGGTACGACAGAAGGATGGTGTGACAGTGAAGACATGGAGGGAAAGACGATGGTTGGCATCATGAAAAACACGATAAAAGGAGGATGGAGGGAAGTTAGCCGGATGTAAAAATGGAGGGAATTCCCTGTTGCGTGCGGCAACAGCCAATCAGCTCTGCGGACACGCGCACACATACCCACTCTTTCATCTCTATTACGTAATATGACATCTCCACACAGAGAGGGGGGTATACCCTGCTTTTGAATGCACACCCACGCGAAAACAACGCGAGAAAACAGCTCGTCGTATACCCGTGCATCGAATTAATATGAGAGGGAAAATACATCCTGACTTTTAGGTTGATTCCGGTTAAAATTTTGGCTTTTTTAACGGGAAAAATTAGAAGTTTTGGGGACAAATTGATCATCCGAATTTTAAACCGTTTGGGATTTGAATGCACGACGCATCCTAACACGACTACGGGTATTTCAGAGGGAAAAAAACAGCAACATTTCTGCGATTTTCAAACATATACACGATTTTTTTGTACATATAATGTCCACTACGCTATAGCCTGTGTCTCCTACATCCTCTGTTTACCCCTGTAGCGGTCTGTGACAGAAGTAAAACCGTTAAAAACGTCAAAATGTGATTAAGTTTAAGTTTTTTCTCTTACCTGAGTGGCTTTATGGAACTGCTTTTTCAACCCCGCGACAGACATCACTTCGGCTGCTGTAAAAAAACACGAACTATAGACTAAATGTGTTTTTTTAAATATATATATAAAGAAGGTTGCTGAAACCAAAGAGGACCAATGAAGACCCCCAGACGGTGTAATTCCTCTCGGTTACGGTCGCCAGGCGTCGATATTTTCCGTTTTATTTTGGATGGTACTGGTGGTCGGCGGCTCGGGAGGCGTTGATTGCCAGACCAAACCCAGCTGGATCTATTTTCAGTCTGAGAGAGAGCGAGAGAGCGAGAGAGAGAGAGAGGGAGGGAGAGAGAGAGAGAGAGGCAAAGATCGTCTATTGATAAGACGGTTAATTCAATATGACTCAAAGGGGAAATTCTCTAAATTCTTATCTCTTGTTTTTCTTTTTTCTGGGAAGTTTATTAATGAACTGAACTTCAGATTCAGGCCGGTGAAAAGCTCCCCTGTCTGCAGGATCATGGGGAAAAAACAGCTCTGGAATTACACAAGATATTTACCCAGGTTTCCTTAAGTAAATAGTAAAGGCCACATAACTTGAAAATCCTCCTACTTACAGTAAATACGTTTTAAAAGAGAAGTGTTTCCTATTAGACCTTACAGAAAATGCATCTCCGAAGACGGTTTTATTGAATAATGAATATTTGGGTAACACTTTACAATAACCATTATTTATAAATGGTAAATAGATAGGTTATTATCGTTTAATCATCATTTAAAAACAGCAAAAAGACCAATTATAAATGGCAAATATAAAGTTTATTAATGTAAGTTAATAATTACTTTAACATTAATGAGCAATGAAATTATGATTAATGATTTTCATTAATTATCAATGGACTATTGATTAAATGTTTATATAGGGTTTACAAATTGGTAGTAAAACATCTAGATTAAAATGTGTGTAATTAGCATTTTGTAAATGATTAATTTTTGTTTTTTTAAACCATCTATAAACATTACTTAGACAGTTATTGTAAAGTTAGGGTTAGGTTTTTAAAAATGATTAAATTTACAATTTATTATTGATCTATATGCTTTTTATAAATGATTATTAAACATTAATAAACTATCTGCTTACCATTTATAAATGGTCTATTTACCATTTATAAGTTATGGTTATTGTAAAGTGTTACCCTGTTATCCTTTTATTCTGGTTGAAAACAGTCACATGTCGTCTTTCCTGATTTTACAGTCTTGTTTTAGCAGTATCTTTTTTAACCCGCTCCCATTTAAATGAGAAGGTTTGACTATTGGCCAAAACTGAGAAAAAGAAATGGGTTAAAACTACAAATATAGTACATTTACGTGCTATAGTTGCTCAAGTTTAATTTAATGTGTCTTAAGTGGATGGGTTACATTTTCAAGAGTTCATTTTGTGCTGCTGTGCTGAAATTCGACTAATCCCATCCTTCATTACAGGGTATATTTAGCACCATTTTTTGAGCACCATCTGTCAAACAGAAACGATCTCTGTTTAAAAAAAAAAAAAAAGCGAACGTCACGTTTTCTTTGACGTTACCGCGTCCCCCCTCCTCCTCTCCGTGACGCCCCAGAGCACGAGACATAGGACCATGCCGCCGTACCTCTTTTAAAGAACAAAAACAGGTGTGCTATGTTCACGTGACCCAATATGACGGCACGAGACGGTGCGTTTTAACATGTAACACGGGAGAGGAGGAGGGGGGGTATTCAGGGGTTACGGGAATCCAGGGTTTCAGCACCATGGATAGTTCCGGAGGGGGGTTAATGGTGCATTCAAGTTCAGCTGGGAAATTAGAGCTGTGGTATAAATCAGAAACAACCCCATCCAAACCCTTTAATTATCATTTCAGTGATATTAAAACGACAAATTAATAAAAATACTTTTTTTTATAAAAAAATAAAAGCTACATCCACAAGAAATTTAAAACAAAGTGTAAAGCTGGAGTCGGGGTTTATGTAACAGGTAAATCAGAATTTTACAAACTAAAGGTTCATGGACACAAAATGAAGAATAACTGGAACAATATCACATAAAGATAAACAAAACTATTTAAAAATATGACTGTCAGGACACTTAGAAGTGCCCTCTGTTTGTATTTCTGTCTCTTATTCCATCTCCATGACGACACAGTGGCGCCGGTCCACTGCAACAAACTGAGAGGCTGTAATGTGATGGAAAAACAGCAAATATCAGTCAAACAATAACAGCTACTGAAAAAAAACGAGGGTCCAGGTGTGCGTTATTACCTCTCCTCTTGTCCCTGTGTATGAGTGCCAGCATGATGGTGGACAGCAGATAAGGAATCCCTGTGACGACATGACAGATAATTCTGTGGACGGGCATCACAGGAGGATCAGGATCTGGACGGTCTGGAACTGGAAGGAGATGAACTGAATCTTAATTTGATATCAAGATTAAAATCAGTCAGATTTTGTTTATTTAGTTTGTTCTTTCAGACTTGAAGGAAAATGGTTGTACACATACTTAAAAAGTTGCAAAAGCTGCAAAAGCTGCAACGTGAGCTTAAACTGCAATACTTGCACCGGCCAGCAGATGGAGACTGTAATAGTATAAATATCCGTGAGAGCGGGTACCCCTTCCCAGGTAGTTTATGCCTTAAAGGTGGGGTAGGCGGGATTCCGTTAAAGAAGCATTTTTTTTGTGGTGTTCACACAAAAATCTTTTAATATCAGTCAATAGTTATTAGTTATTGATGACATTTGGGAGTATAACGATATCTCTGTGTTCTCTTATGTCTGTGTCGTCAACATTTGAACATTTTTGAGCGGTCCGCTCTTTCTGACTGTAAACAAAGCCAACCTGATTCGTTGTGATGACAGACGCTGCTCCCTCGTGTTGTGGGGCGTGCTCCAATTCCTTGAATAATGTTCACGAGCCCAAACAAAGTTAGCGTGCTACAATATCGGACAGTAGAAACCAACCAGAAAGTTCGGAAAATTGTCTGAATCCTCCTTTGGCCACGACTGCCGACACAAGCAAGAAAACAAAGTAAATATCGGAGACTCTGGAGGAATAACGGGCGCTTAAAACGGAGGTAGACCGGACAAGAGCTAAAAAGCCGGGTCAACATAAACCATGGGGGACGCTTGGGGATCTTGGTGACCCTGTAACCTTTCTGCTGGACAGGTAAACCGCTTTAACAAAGTAAGACAAGTGTCTGTAACAGAAGTGTTTCTTGTCAAACGGACCTGCTGTAGCGTGTTGTAGCGCCATCGCTAAACTGTCCTCCCTCGGGTCCTGGACTATGTCACTTTATCCTCGTTGTAGAAGTCCTGCAAACATTGTGTTTGCTGGTAGTCTGTTGGCATCTACAGTAGCACCAATGCTTTTGACTTTCACCTTGACTGGGCCCCATTTGTAATGATCTGAAGGATTTATCTGCATTATATCTGAATTTAACTGGAACGATACGAGCGAGCAGGAGCGTCTGTTTGTGTTGACGTTCAGGATTTCTTTCAAAAACTGGCACTTCCTCAGATCCTGTCTACCCCACCTTCAGCTGAACCTTTCCTGAGTGGATGTTTGGTCTTTATCTCGAGTTTCAGGTCTTTTAAGGTCTAACAGACATGAAGGCTCAACGTTGGCTTTGAACTTTATTCCACAAAATAAACTCAAACCTCAAAGCCAAAGTGAAGCTATGGTTGCACTGATCATGACTATCTGATTGGTTATCATATCTGCAGGACTGAACGGTGCGTTTGCAGCAGCAGATATCAATAATGGTCTCACCTCGAACAGAAAGCCAGTTGCTGAGTGAACTTCCAACTCCAGAGATGTTGCACATGTACAGTCCTTCGTTGGACTTGGAGACCCTGTGGAGGGTCATGTTTCCTGTGGAGCTGCTCCCAATGAGGCGGCCATCTTTATAGAAATCTGTCAGCCTGGAGGAGGTCTCCCTCTCTGCACAGCGCAAGGCCACACTGTCCCCCTCCATCACGGGGTAGACAGGACTCTCCAGGATCACAGGACCACCTGAGACCCGGACAAAGAGAAGGAGACTATGAGATCTACAGTGGTGGATTAGAGGATCATGCAGTTTTACCTCAGCATTAAACAGTCTTCATACGTCTCAGTTTAGATAACAAGCCCTCCAACTGTTGAACAGTTTTCTTCATATTAGCATGTCCGGTCTGTTCGTTGATTCGTTAATGTCAAACCTGTTTCAGTCATCGGTTCATACCTGTGACTCTGATGTTTACAGGTGGACCTCTGTCTCCTGACTCTGTCTCACACCAGCAAAGTCCACTGTCAAAGGGGTACAGGTCACTTAAATTACAGGTCGAGACTTTCAGACTTTTCCTTCCACTCAGGCAGGACTCGACTCCTTTGGAGATAATCCACTTCGGTAGACCACCTCTGGATGACGCCTCACAGCTCAGATAGACCGAATCGTACTTAAAGAACTGAGACCTACTGGGAACCATGTGTAGATGGAGGACTGGAAGACAGAAACATCAATCTGTGAATGACTACAGCGTTAGAGACAACCCTCGTAAAACTTTGAAATAAGAGGAGCAGTTCTTCAACTTATTTTGGACACGGGAAGTTTCCATCACCTATAATCCTGCGGTTAATGAGTTCAAGAAACTGAAGAATTGGTTTGATTTAAATAAGTTTACACTGAACTCAAGCAAAACTAAATTCATAATATTTGGAGACAGATCAAACAACTCCAGCCAAAAAAACAAGATAGATGAGGCTGAGTTTGAAAGCGTGTCTAAGATCAAGTCAAGGATCTTGTAAGTCAACACTCCTCAGACTCATTGAACTGCTCCTTTATAGTCCCAGAGATGGATTACTGTGTTTCCTTCATCCTCAAGAAAAGAGTCGTGAGAACCACAATTAAAACCACCGACACAGAACTGACAAATTAACTCTTTATCCGACTGAAAAGGACCTGGTCAGTTTCAAACAATCACAATTACTGTCAAAGTGAAAAACCCAAACCCTCTTCAAACGGAGTTATGTAATTTAAGTGTGTTTTAATGGCTCTGCAAGCTAACATTACCTTTTTAAACATGTTGGGATAAATAAACAGAGAGATTGAAAAATGCATTAAACTTTATTAAAACTGATTTGACTGATTTCAGGTCTTTATATTTCCTGTTTGCTAAAATCATCTTGACTGTGAGTGTTGAAGAAATTATCTTTAGCAAAAGCTCGAACGTGTCACCAGCTACCACTGAACATTTTCCACATCCCACTGAAACTGCACCACTCTGCCTTATGAGACTCGCATGCTTTATCTCTTCTTCAGCTGAACTGAAATCAAGAGTGAATTATTGTTTCGTCTTTAAGACAGTTCAGCAAACATGTTTATCCTACAATAACCCAAAAGTGGAGATTAAAAGAGCTCAGTACCTTCGTTTTTGCTGTCAGGTGATGGCGAAGCAGGAAGCACACCTAAAAACCAAAAGAGCAGGTAAGTGATAAAGAAGAGAAGACTTCTCTGTTGAACCCGATCTGAGATCGTCCTGAAAGCACAAAGATAAAAAGACTTAAGTACTCACAGAAGATGAGAAACAGCACAGAGGGCTTCATGCTTTCTCACTGCAGTTAAGGCGAACGCCCACTCAGCATTTCCTCTTATGTGCTTAAACCACAGGAAACGAGGTGTCCAGACCCCCTGTTTCTGCACAGACCACTTTTTCCGTGAAACAATAGAGACACATTGACCGAATCTCGTCAAGTACAATGTACTCTAACACGGGCGTTGTCCTTGAGTGAGAGCATCTCACGAAGTAGAAAAGGTTTAGAAGTTCACTTGTTGTTTTGATGGAGTTTTTTCTCACCTACACACCTGATAAATATGAAGATCATTTTGAAAATCGGCCAAACATCTCGAACAGAAATTTCACCCGAGAAAAAAAAATGGATTCATCGAGTGTCTGGAGGCAGAAAAATGACCTTAAAGGGATATTCTGGTGTGAAATTAATTTAGGGTCAAACACATTGTAACACCGAGTTAGACCCCCCCTCCAGAGATGAATGTTGCCAACCGCTTGATTATCTAGTTATACCAACTTTAGTAACGACCACAGAATAGAAATACACAGCGGTCTGAGGAGCCATAAACAAACCTCAACCAAAACGCCACTCTGTAGCCACAAATAATGCTCAGAACAGCACCTAACTTCATCAACAGGACATATAGGGTCCCAGCCATAGTACTAGACACCAAACATCTTTTTAACTTTGACTCATTTCTTTAGCAAAGAGACTAAACACAACTCACATACTCTCTTCCAGCAGACGCTTGTTTGTAGTGAGACCTCAGGCCAGTCCATTACAGACTACAGCGGGGTGTCGCAGCTCAAGGAAGAACATTTCTGATCATTTCTTCATGGAAATACAGTCAGACCGAGACGCTAAGGCAGAAAAACTACCGCATCTGTGCTGTAGTCTGTAAAGGCCCGAGGTCTCGCTACAAACAAGCGGCTGCTGGAAGAGAGTAGGTGAGTTGTGTTTAGTCTCTTTGTTAAAGAAATGAGTCAAAGTTAAAAAGATGTTTGGTGTCTAGTACTATGTCTGTGACCCTATATGTCCTGTTGATGAAGTTAGGTGCTGTTCTGAGCATTATTTGTGGCTATAGAGTGGCGTTTTGGTTGAGCTCATGTCTCTCTGTGTTGCTATCTGCGGTCATTACCAAAGTTGGTATAAGTAGAGAAGCAAGCGGTCGGCAACATTCATCTCTCGAAGGGGTGTCTAACTCTGTGTTAATTAAGTTTACGTTGGAATATTCCTTTAAAACTTCAAGGTCTTAGTAGTATCATTCGAGGCAGAAGTAAAGGTCTGTAGTGGACGACTTAGGATGACCTCGTCTCATTGCCTTCTCACAGATGTTTCCCCATCAGTGAATTGTTAGTCCTCCTGACATGGGCTCTAGGTCCTGGCAACTGTATCGCTCTGAGACACAGGTGTTTCAGGGCATGAAGCTGTTAGTGACGTCTACTAGAAGAGCACATGAGAGAACCCGGATCTGCCAGTACAGTACTCGACAGATACTGAGAAGAACCTGAACCCAACAAAATGAAACGTGCACAATCGTTTGTTGGGTTGAGGTGGTGATGTGATAGTTTTCAAATCCCCGTGCCAACAAGATCAGACATTGTTTCACATTTTGGCATGAAGACAGCCTCCCTGAAGGAGGTTCACTGTAATCCTATTGGCTGATTCAAACCTCAGTAGGCGGACCCAAAATTATGTCAACAAAAACAAAAGATCAAGTGCTACCGGTTTCCAGGAAGGAATTTCAGAAATGAAGATGAGTCATATGGAGGAATCCTGCCTGGTAACCGAAACTCTTTGCAACCACTTATAAAAGGGTGACAGCTGACATGTTTACACCAACAAAGTCTCTCACGACCACAGAAAAGTTAAATACTCCAGCTGAACGTTTCTGATCCCTGAATTCCTGGTTTTGAGGTTATTAGTGTCGTCACGAAGATGTCCCAGAACACCCTCCAGCAAGTCCAGATCCTTCGCCTTGACAGCTAAGAACTACTTTTTGACATTGAGCTTGAAACAAAAACTTGTTGTTCCACTGTGATGAAAATACACACTCTGAGATCTGGACGTAGAAGAGCGTTACACCGAACAACAACAACAAATCATGACCGGTTTCGGTGGAGGTTCAAGAAAATGGACACAATCGGAGCGTGTTTGACCGTCAGCCGTTCGACTGAAAAGGTGTAGATCTCTCTCTGCACCGTCAAGCCCCTCCCACCAAAAAACGCACCAAACATCGAGTGCATTTTTTAGCTTGAGGTGAAACTTCGAGGTCACTTTTGCGCAATAGAAAGGAGGAACGTGAAGATGGAGCAACTGGAAGACTACTGTTTGTATGAGTGGCTTTGATTGGCCGTCCACCACCTTATCCAGCCCCGATTGGTCGTTAGAATGGCAACTCGGATGTAAACTTAAGGACTGGCCAACATACCGCTTCAACCACACCCTCAACTACATATGAGTGTAATGCTGACATGCAGGTTCAACAATCTCCGAACTACTCACAGTGAAAGAAGTACAGATAAGAGGTAGACTCAGAGGTCGATGGAAGAAACATTTGAGGTTACCTGGCTTTTACTCTGATTTACTGACGCCTGCTTTGGGATGACCTCTGCAGGGGTGCGCAGTATAGCTGGACTACTTCTGATTCAAATGTGGTTTCCAGTTATGAGAGGTAAGCACACTGGATTACACAGCTAAGAGTATCTACTTGTCTGATTTGCAGTAGCGTAGAGTTTATTGGAAATGGTGTGTGGACATTATCATGGCATGGTCAAACCGTGTCAGTTCATTGTTGTGGTGGAAGTATTGGCCTGGCAGTTCGGTTTGATAAAAGTGAACAGAATAATGAGCATTATTGTAGAAATGAAATGAGTTTGGTAGGAAATGGAACGATGGACACAATCACTGAGTCATTTTTGGATGACTCAGCAAAGTGATAGAAAAATTTAAGCAATTTCAACGATGGTCAAAATTTTATGAAATTCCGATGATTTCTTGACTGAAACTTTGCGCTCTTTCCAGGTGAGTCTCAGTTAATCGGATCAACAGAGACGGTAGTCGGATTAGCCGGACATCACTGTGTTCTGCCGTGCAGCCTGAAGCCTGCAACAAATGTTGCTGAGAAGACCGTCGAGTGGACACGATCAGATCTGAATCCCAGTTATGTGCATATTTTCCGTCAAGGGAGGTTGTTGTATGACGATGTGAACCCATCCTTCCTGCAGAGGACCAATTTGTTTGAACAGGAACTGAGGAACGGCAACATGTCCTTAAAACTCAGTGACCTGAAAATCTCTGACACAGGGATGTACACGTGCAAACTCATCACCATGTCGGAATCTTTTATACAAGTCTCCGTTGGTAAGCTTGCTGATAAGCGTCACAGTGATTTATCACAAAGATTACTCTGGTTCATTAACAAATTCTGACTTAACATATTGTAGTTTTTATTTTTCTCCCGCTAAGTCATAGGTGCTGTGTCTGAGCCACAAATCTCACTCGAGAGATACAAGGACAAACTCGTTTTTAAGTGTGAAGCCAGGAACTGGTACCCAGAGCCTAAGATGGAGTGGAGGGACAGCGAAGGACGCATCATTCCTCATGAGGACAGGATCGAACGTGGTGAATACTTCTCGGTCTACAGCCGGATAACAGTGGACATCGCAGCCAGTGAAAATTACACATGTACAGTTCGACAAAAGGACATCAGAGAGACAAGAGAGATCGTCATCAGTCCTCCAGGTGAAAAAAGCGCAAATACAACTTATGTTAAAAAAAAAAAGGGACAAGGTCAAAAAATGAATACTGGATGACCATAATCCTTAGATCCCTGGATTAACAGCAGACATGGAAATCACAGCAGGGGCTCAGAATCACTCACTTAAAGCCGACAACGTCTCAGGGCCGAAGGTCATGAAAAACGGACTGAGGCAAAGTGGAAGTCAAAATTTCACTTTCTATTTGGAAATCATGGACTCTGCATCCTTCTCCCTAAATCAGAGAGACTGCAGTAGGGTTTATCAAATTCAGTTTTTACAAACATTTTTACAGTGTATTTAGGGTTAAAAACACCGTCAATACTAGTTTGTGAAATTCAACAGTACTGTGGAACGGTTCTGCTGATCCGTTCTCTGATTTTTCAGAAGTCTTCAGGGAAGTGGCTACCATGAAAATTTCACTCTCCAATCTCATTGGCTGGCTCATCGTGATGGTGCTGCTGTTTCTGTTTGCATTGATTATGGGGGCTCTGATGTTGACGTGGGGTAAGTTATTTAGCTTCTGAATATGACCAATTTCTAGAATACTGTTTTTAATCTGATAACTCATTTCACATTTCTTCACACCTCCAGCTGGGAGAAATCTGACCCGTAAAATAGGTAACTGATATTTTCAACTTTTAATACTTTTCATCTCTGCTTCTACTTTTGGGGTTTAGGGAGAGGATTCTGGACCGTCACAGATGAATGTTGAATTAGTGAATGTGCATGTAAAGTGATTGTTCAAATATTTATCATAATGCTGAATCTAGTTTGAACTACAAAAGTAAGATTTTTGTGAACAATGCACCGTAACTTTTTGTCAATAAGCTAATATTTTCTTTTACAGTTGCAGTTCAAAACACTAGACAACCACGAGAAAATGGTAGGTAGTACTTTACTCACAACATTGAGTAGCTTTGTCGCAGTTACCCAAGATCAAACTCTAACTAAGAACTGGATATCCACCATTGAAGGACAGGAGGGGACAAATACAGACGAAAGTTTGGATATCAGTAACTTTTTTTCTAGATGATGGTCAGGGCTTGTCAATCAGAGGTTTTAATGGCCAAGATTAAGATCCCTAACTTAACTGTTCAACTTTCAATGGGGCCATAATGGTCAAAATTAGCATCATGTTGTGTTGAAACTAAAGATTGTTATTATAAACTCGTTGGATGAATGATAATTGACGTAACTAATCAACTCAGAAGATGTTGGGTTTGATTTTCGGCAATCCTTCACCAGCTTAAGGATTCAAATAAAGAGACCACGTCTACTTACTTTTTTACACTGTCGATTAGAGGGAGTTATAACACTAATTGATCAAGCCAACACTTTGATCAGTAACCATGCGACCCTTCTTGTTAAGGATCACTGTCACTGAGCCAACTACAAGGAGAAGACAGAGTGGAAGAGGGTAAGCCGAGTTTTGTTGAGAACAGGTAGGTGTTTGTGTTACCCAGAGATCTGATGGTTTATGAAAGAACTTGAAGACGACCTGTGAAACAACATCATCTTCTGCAAATATAAAGAGGACTAAACAACCGGAACATCACCATTTGGATTGTGGTCCACCACACCATCCAAGTCTTGGTAGTGGGAACCACAGGAGACCATATTTGGGGAAGCAGGTGGGGTTGGGTCGCTAGAGGTACCCAGGTTGGTAGTGGCTTGTTGGCCAGTCCCAACATTAAGTTAAAACTTGTTATCCTTGAGTGGGGCCATAAATCAAGAACTACATCCTGATGTTTTGAAGAAGATTTGAAACCGGATGAGACCACAAGCTTAAACAAATCTTAACCCTTTGTGGGCCTCATTTGTCTATGTTTAGCCCACCACAGCATATCTCACTCATTTAGGGTCATATTTGTTGGGTCCAAAAGTGGTTTTGGCCTTTGGTAACTTAGATCTATGATCTCTGGGGGACTGAGGATACTCGAGGCACCTAAAGGAATTAGCTTCACCTACATTTAGCAATTCTGCACAACTTCTAAACTAAAGAAATTCACCGTTTTCCCTTCACAGTTGAAACTGATGGACCCATTGATCCTCTCATGGAGCAACCAGAGAGACAAAACGACAACCTTCAAAGACAAGTTGAACTTCTGCAACAACAAATTGATGATTTGACTGAAGAAAACGGCCGTCTCAGAGAGGAAGTTCAAAAACTAAAGAGACAAATTCAAGACCTCAGAGAGGTTGACAGTGACGGTGATCTATAAAATTTGAGTCTTCAAATCTGTTGTAAAAATAGCTGAGCAGAATAAGGACCGTTATGTAAATAATTGTGTATATATATTTCTGTATTTTGATGAAATGTGTTTAAAGCCTTTATCAACTGTTGGTGCTTTACTTCAGATCAGCCAGACTCAAAGTGGGGCTCATGGACTCAAAGGGGTCCAAAGTCCGTCCATTCCAAAAGTGTGTCTGTAGTTGAATATGTCAGTTATGTCCTAAAGAACCACAGCTCGATACTGTTAGTGCTGTCTGTCAGCCACTAGATGGAGTCACTAAACAGCCCAACGTCCATGTGCTTGGTTTTTCTGTCAGTGAAAGTTAAACTCAATTCAAAATAAAGAAAATCATCAGTGATAAACAAAGACATGGGAATGTTATGTGCCTTCTAAGATTGTTTGTCTGACTTTGAGTCAAGTCATAATGTTTTACCAACACTGAGTTTATGGGAGACTTTGGGACTTTTTGCATAGATGAAACACAACAGGTGTTTTGCCAGTTACAACTAGAGCAATCTTTGAGAAAAATACCCAACTCTTTGCGCCTGTAACTTCATGAAAAGAAACCAATGCCGATAACAACGATGCCACATGGAGGTTGAAGGTTTCACTTGCAAGCGCTAGTCAAGCGAAACCCCCAAATGTCCAGAAACAAGGAAATGAAAGAGACCTGGTCAAAATGATCGAACATTGGCCATGCAATTGACTACTGCCTAACCCCTCCCGAAACGGAGGCAAACGACCCAACAATGGAGATTAAATATAAACTTACAGAGTTGATCAAAACCCGAAGGGATTTCAGCATCAAAAATGGACAGGATACGATTTAAAATAAACTTAAAGGGATATTCCGGCGAAAATTTAAGTTATGGTCCAACACACTGCAACGCAAAGTTAGACCCCTCCAGAGATGAATGTTGACGACCGCTTGCTTCTCTCATCATACCAACTTTAGTAACGACCGCAGGATATAAATACACAGAGGTCTACTTCCCCACGCGCTCAACCAAAAAGCCCCTCGCTACGGTGTGTTTGACCATCACTTAAATTTACACCGGAATATCCCTTTAACATGGGTGAAAACACTCTGAAGCAGCCCTTTCACTCGACTGTGGAGTCTCTCAGGGCTCCATTTTAGGGCCCCGTTCTCTTTTTTTTTACCCCACGCTGATTTCTTAAATTTACATTTCTCAGATGATTTGCAAATTTATCAGCCAAAAAAAAAAACGTGAACACATGAAACCACAGATGGAGTCGACTGAAACGTCTTGTAACAGCCGACTGTAACACAGAAACCAGAGCTCTGCAGTCATTTGAGAAGTAGATTTATTCGGCATTTACAGCAAAGATTGATAAATAAATAAAAAATGAGGAACATCCCAATACTTCAAAGTTATATGTGCAAAAGATTTTTCTTTATAAAACAAAAAGACAACCTTTTTGATTGGATAATATTTCACAGGGGAAACCTGCCTGTGTTTCAGTGTCAGTATGTAAATATAGCTTCATATGGACTTAGTGTCTGGCTAATGGCCAAATTTGGGTTGATGACTAAGAAGTGAAATGCAGCCCAAAATACAACTTAAGAGTTTCTTCAGTCTAAAGTAAAATAAAAACCTGAGTCATATCTGACAGACGACTGTCATTTATATTCTTAAAGACATTAATCAACTAAAATCAAGTCTTCAGGAAGTCACTAAATTACATTCAAGAGTTAAAACAACAAAAATCTGACTAAGAAGATCAACTTCTTGTCAACTAAGACGGTAATCGACGAGGTTGCATTGAGAATAAATAATGACTATGGCTAGCACAGTTTAAAGATATGATTAAAGAGCAATAACAGGACTTTCTAAAATGAATTAATAATGTTGGTTTGTTTTGGTCTGTCAGGAAACGTTCATCTGAGTTGCCGACACTCCTGTGTTTAAGTGTCTCTGTTATCGCGTTACTTTAAAAGAGGTATATTTAGGTCTTCTAAACTGTGACATAAAAAACTTTAACGTCTTTTTTCAACAGTATTTATCACATTCATTCAGCTAACACTGACTTTACTTCACGTTAACTTTAAAGTGCAATGACTCAACAAAAGCAGCCTCTCTCTATAATAACTAAAGTGTCAGATATCACCGACAGTATTTTACTCTATCCTGAACCCTCTTTATAAACTTTGATCACATAGTTTGAGAACACTGACCTGTTCGTTTCTTAATGTCATTTAGGGTTGTGTGGAATTTTTGAAGAACATCTCCATGAAAATAAAATAAAAAGTCGAGTAGATAGTAGAAAAAGTTCCAATAGATAAAATAATATCTGGTAAATTTTAAGTAAAACAAAAAGTGTATATTTGGCAAAGTTATGATAGAACGTTTTTTTTATTTCATGAGGTCTAAGAGTAGAAAACTTCAGAGAGATCTTTGACTCCGACGGCATGGCTGCCACCCTCTGAAATACGACGGCGCCTTTCTGTATCAGGACCACCGCTTTCAGGTCATTTAAAGGTTTTATCAGGTTTAAGAGGTACTCTGTAAACCTTTTAATAATTATACTTTTATCAGGATTTGTAACTAAAGTGTCCATGAGTCCAGAACTTTGAGGTGTGGTCTACTGAGGACGGGTGTTTTCAAGAGAAAGTGCGACACCAAAAAACCCCTCTCTAAGAAATAAAGACTTGAATCCAAACAGGAAAGATCCACCGAGTGTCTCTCTGAGGTCAGGCGAAGCAGCAATCAGTTCTTTACAGACAAAGAGTGAAATCTAAGAATCCAAAGCCACCTTAGATGATGAAGCAGTTCTGTTGATGGATCAGTGCCGAGAACCTTCAGGAGGGTTCGTGGTCTGGCACGGTTCCTCCTTTTAAAGTCCCAAATAAACTTGCTTTAAGAAGAAAATCCATCACTCCAGGTTCTTTCAGGGTTTGATTCAGCATCATTGAAGATCTTGAGATGGACTCTGGATGGAGAAAACACCAAGCAGAACACGTCAGCTTTACTGCCACTAGACTCTCTTCCTATGAGAGATGTTTGCAAGTCATAAAACCTATCTGACTCATTATTCAAAGTGTGAAACGGCCGTTATCAGGACTCAGAGACCATATTCAAATCAGACTTACATCCTGCTTCTGATGGGAGCTGGTTTCCAGCAGATAAATTCTTCTTCAACTGTGGGACCGGTTTAAATCCCTGAGGTGATGTCGAAGGCCGGTGTGAGTTTGAGCAAAGCAGCTACACAAATGACAGGTTTATTTTAGTAGCAGAAAACGCAGAACTCTGGAACGAGGAGAACAGATACGTTTATTGACAATGAATACACAGTTGATTTTAAACTAAAGAAACCTTTAAAGATGTAAGATTGTGTTGTTTCGTTACTTACATTTTGCTTTTGACTCTTAATGAGTAAATATATGCCTCCACCCAGGAGTACAAAGCTGAAGACAAGCACAGAGATCCAGACGCCTGGATGTGAGCGACCACCTGATGTGGAGACAGAGTAGAAAAGACAGGTTAGAGTGACTCGTATTAAACTCAAATACGACATGAATCAGATTCAGTCTCACGATTAGATTAAAAATTTCCTTTGGGTGTTTTCTTACTTTCCCTGTCGGTCTGATCCGTCGGTTCAGGAGTGGTGAAATTGTTTGGATCCACTGATGTCTCTGTTGGAGCAAAGCTTGGATCTAGAAAAAAACAAGAGTTAAAGTCAGAGTGAATCGAAACCCCAAATATCGTCAAAAAATTACTTCAGCTTTGAAAACTTATGAGCTCATCTGTCAGAAATCTGAACATGGACTCACCAACTTCGAGCCTGATGGTGGCCTGTCTGTTTCGGCTCCTTAGCAGGGGGACTAAGCACTTGTACTCCCCCTGATCTTCCACAGTGACTCCCTTGATTTGCAGTGAAACGTTCCCACTTTTCAGGGACTCTGTGAACAGCCTCGTTCGGTCCACGTAGGCCTCGCTTTTCACACTCTTGACCTCTTTCTTGTACCTGTACAGGAGGACGAAAGTGACCTCACTCTGCGGCTTCAGGTCCGGCTTGGACCACTCAATGGTGTAATCCTGCAGGTCAAGTTGAGGCTCTACGTGGCAGGGCAGGATGACGTCTTCACCTGGAGCAGCTCTGACCGAGCGGGGACCGATCACGTTAGGCTGACCTGGAGAGTTAACGCAAAGTTAGTTCAAGTTTTAAAAACTTCGCAAACATCTTCTTCAACTTCTGTCTCAGGCTGGTCTTCAGAGTAGGGATGCACCGATCCGATATTTGGATCGGATATCAGCTCCGATATTGACAAATTAACTGGATCGGATAACTGATGAATGACGCCGATCCAGCGATTCTGTTCGCTCTGTATTCTATGTCCGTCTCTCCTTTTGCACTAAATGTTTACATCGAATGTAAATGAATGTTTATGCCTGATGCCTTCACTCACAGGGCGAGGTATACTGTTCAGTCATTCATTCGACAGTAGTATTGGATCGGTATCGTATATCGGCCGATACGCTCAGCCCAGGTATCGGAATCTGACTGGATCGGAAAAATATGGATCGGTGCATTTCTACATGAGAGCAGCCTGAGGAACAACTGAAACCCCAACCATCTCGAAGGGAAACAGCTGATGGAAAACTTGGTGGAAACACCTGCCTTTTCGAGTTTTGTTTGATTTCCCTGAAGGCTCAGACACATCTTTAAATTTCTGTTTCGGTAAACTTTCAGTCAAAACAATGACTCTTTTGAGACTGTTGAGGCTCAAGACTCACCTTTTTAACCAGGCTTTTCACTAACTGCCTTTTTATATTTCTCTTATTGCAAATGTTCATTTAAATCAAAGTTCTTAATGTTTATTTTATGTCAATTTATTAATTATCTCTGTTCTTAGTCTTTTGTGTTAATTCCTGTCTTAGATGTGTGGGTGAGTGAGGGTGGGTGTGAGTCTTTGTGTATGTGTGTGTGAGTGGGAGGTTTGGGTTTTGTTGTTAATTGTTATTTTTAGCCTCTGACGCACTTTGAACTGCATTTTTTGTCTGAAAAGTGTCATAAAAAAACCCAAAAGATTAGCAAACTGCGCGATCGAGGTTGGAAAATATTGCAAAATGAAAATAATAAATAAACCTCTAATCACTGACAGAAGCATTTAGTCTGTCTTTAAATAACTTTTTGTATCCTGTTGATCAGTTTGAAACCAATTTTCCCTTTGCTTTTCTATTTTAAACAAACTTCAGTTTTCTGTGTGCAAAAACAAGACCAACAACACAGATTTCACTGACTAAACCACTGACTTACTCACTTTAAAGTGATGAGGTGATGATTTCATGTTGGGATTGAACTTTTTACCCACCTAAATGAGAAGAAAACTTCACCTGTCACGATAACTGGAGGCCCTTTGTATTTTCAGTTTAACCGTCGAGCTGATCTGATCTTTCAAATTTGAATGTAAACAAACACGACATCCTCTTACGTCTCAAAATGCGGACCATTCCCGCCAGATAACTGTAGCTTCATAGTTGGTGTTGGAAATACCCTTAATACCCTCAATATTATCTGAATGACCAATTCAGATGAGTCATTTTTGACTCATTTAGAGAAACCCGTAAAGTAAACACGTGGATGATTTGACGTGAGTCACGATTAAGTCAGCCACATTGTCAAGTCCTGACTCGTTCAGCCTGGATATATCAAATATTTTACCATATTTATTTTCATAGACTGATTAATATTTCAGATATTACAGGTGATACAGACACCTGTCATCTTAAATATGACACATACTGACAGTTTCGATAGATGAGGAGATGCCTGTGGCCAAAAACTTTACCAAAAATATTAAGCAACGACAGACTGAAACAAGTTAATTTAATAATACGCTAAGTTGTAACATCTACTTTTTGCTAAGTCACTCCCAAACGTATTTTTATCGATCTTTGTAACCCCTGGTGTTTTGGTTAAAAAAGTGACCCTGCCAACTGGCGATTTACACTTCACAGCGTCAAATTATCGTGGTTATAATGTCTGTTAAACTATAAAAGAGCTCTAGTGTATTAAATTGTCGTCTAATCAGGTATAATAGTCAAAATATTATCCTACACATCACATTAAATGAAAGATACAGAAAACCGCGCGGTCACAGGTTAGCACGGTAACTCTTCACGCTGGAACACCGAGGAGACATACAGAGAGGGAACGAGAAAACACAAGCGCTTACCTTCGACAGGGACACCGAACACGGCGGTAAAAGTCCAGAGAGGGAAGGCCAGACCTAACGCTAGGACCCCGAACTTAACCATACACATCCCCGACACAAAGACCGGCAGATACGGTCTCTAACGGTCCACCGGAGTTCTGGAGCTGCCTTCATGCTGTCTGCCATTATTAGTCAACGACACGCCTACCTCTGACGTTCGGAAAAAACTACGTCACGATTTTCCATGGCAACAAGGAGCGTCCAAACATGGAGGAACGCACTCGTGTGTTCTCGTACTTTTCCGTTATATAAGTGTCGCTTCATGCATTATAAAAGTAAAAGTAAATAAAATTACGATAACAACAAATGAATATATAATTTAAAAATATAATATTACCATGTCTCCTCTCCTTAATATAACATCAAATTAAAGTCAATTAAATATCATTTTGAATCATTAAAATTACTTTTATACTGATGAGGGTGAGGTTTTCGGCTTGTCCCTCACTACTATTGTTGTACGTATACAGGACTTTAAATTTTAAGTATGATCTTGTTGTTAAACAGTGTTTTTGGTAATAAAATATATTAGTCATTAGAAGTCATTTACTGTAAAAAAATATGAACTAGTGTCCCATTAAGGTTCACTCATAATATAAAATGGACAAAAACCTCTTTGAAAAGTCATGAATTAAATTGGTTTTGCTGTTAAAAGTGCTCACTAGATAACCATAGAGTACATTCTTCTGTAAATGCTGATTCATTGTACAAAACTTAAAAAACAAAGTTCTCTCTGGATGCCCATCCATCTTATAAAACTAAAAAAGTACATCCAAGGAGCTCATGGTGAAAAATAAAACTAAAAAAGTAAGTAAACTCTCTCTGGGTGTTCTTTTTGTTTTTTTCTTCACACTGTTGCACTCTCACTTGAAATTATTACATCCATCATGTGACCTGTCATGTGATCATTGAGATGCTGAAAAAGACTTGTCCTGACTTGTTCTGATTCGTGTTGCTGTGATTTGATGCAATACTTAGTGACTCGGCATGTCAGGTATAAACCGGCTAAGAAAAGAAAATAACACCAGATCATGGTGAAGTGTAAACTTCTCATGATGATCCTCAGCCCTTAATTATTGTAATTCTTAATTTGCCCAACAGGAAGTGCCATCTCACCCCAAAACCCCTGAGAGACTCCAGGAAATGCCACGCAAACTGAGGGAAGCCATGTTTAGTCCAGTGAGTTATTGCTGTGTCACATATAAACAATCCTTACGCAAAACAGCTGAGTCATCTGCAGTGACATTCAGTCCCGCTGCTGCCCCTAAGTTTAAATATAAAACACACAAACAGCATCTATTGAAGATTTTTACAGATTTTTGAGTTTTTAAGGAAATTAAAAATGTTTTCACGAGCTAAACATTCAACAATTATAATAAATACTTAACAAAACAGTTAATTTGGAAACTAACAATAATAAAAATAAATTTATTTTTATTGAATTTAATAAATATGAAGGTAAAAACTTTATTGAACTGAAACAAACAGTAATAAACAGAAATATTCCTGGAAAAGCAGGTAATCGAACTGTAAAACTGGATTAAAGGTTTTCTATCAGGACACTGTTTATTAAAGGGATATAAAGAAATGATCATAAATGTTCTTCCTTGAGCTGTGACACCCCGCTGTAGTCCATAATGGCCTGGCCTGAGGTCTTGGTCTTTACACTGGGATATCCCTTTAATTTCAGAGTCAATTCAAAACTGAATTTCTTGGTTGTTTTTTGAGGTCTTTATTTTTCAGTCAAGAGTTAATCAGCTGAAGAAATTCTATTTGTGTTTTATTGACTCTTTAGATCTTTAAAATTTAAAGAGATAAATCCTGCAAGAATTTCAGAGAGTAAAATTCATTTTTTGAGAATAATGTTTAAAGAGTTTTATTTTTTTTACCTGATTGCGGGACCCAGTCGCACCTTTGTGTCGTCGTGCTCCGTGTCGTTCAACATGGACCCTCTGATTTCTGTCGGCAGAGCAAAGACAGCTTCAGGTTTTGTCGCGTTATCGCTGTGCAACGTAAAAAAGTGTCAGGGTCAGCATAACTGGGGTTTTTTTATTCTCTGTTGAGGTTTAAGAGTTTTTGGTCCAAAATTTAGGTCATCACAAAAGGACTACAAGAGGCAAAGGCCGTAAAATTGAGAAAATGGGTGTCACCTTGAAAAGACCAAAGCAGGAAATGACCTCTATAAACACCCAACATCCTGACTGAAGGAGGTGATTATATAAGCAGCCCCTCATCCAGACAGCCTGTCAGTCAGTCAGTGTTTCTACATGAACATCATGACTATAATAACTCTGTGCGCCGTCATAGGTGAGTATAAACGTTTTCGTTCAGTATCAGAGTCTGAATCTGATTAAAAATATTAAATACATGCTTTTAAAGATCTCCTCCTGCTAAATTAAACCCCAGGTATCATCGCAGATCTTGGTTATCATATCGCTTATCGTGTCATCATGTTATATGAATGCGTACATTTTTGTTTCAGCTCATTGAATATCATGTTTTTGCATTTTTTATGTCTTTATACCGATCGTTACATAAAAAAAACAACAAGTGTTTCGTCCTGCAGAGACGTCTTTCAGTGTCTGCACAGATAATCTGTGAGATGGCTTTACAAACGTGATCCTCTGGTGTGGGCGATGTGCCCTGCTGCTGCAGATGTTATCAGTGATGCTTGTTTGGTTTGGCCTTTATAACGCAGACAAACAGAAAGCAACTAAAATAAGTTCACAGCATTTTCCTGCCTACACAGAAGTCAGTACAGTGAGCAGTGAAAAGTGTCATTGGCAGTGAAAATAGAAAACACTATAACGTTGTGAAGGTGGTAATCTTTGTGGGTGTTCTCACATCAGCTTGTTTTTTCCGCCTGTTGGTCAGACTGTATTTATTTTCTTGAAACTGTGCTTCAAATGAACTTATACCTATTCCACTGTTGCTGCGGTGTCTTTATTCACAGTTGTAAGAACGGTCCTAAGGCTGGGCAATGATGCCACAGTGTGCTGTTGGCCGACCGACTATAGTTTCTGACATACCAGAGTATCAACCAGTCTGGAACAGCTGACCAGACTGGGACCAGGTCTAGTGACCTCCTGTTCAGTGCATGACAATCGACATGCGATCAGACATGAACTGAACTGTAGGCTTGTCTTGGGACACATCGAAATAACCAAGTGTTGTGAGTCAAGAGGGTCCGTGGCAGGAAACGTTTCCGACAACAGTCCACATAGACCCAGCAGACAACACGGAAGTTTGTGACATTTCAATCACTTAGGTGTAGGATATGTAGAGATGTATGAGGTTCTTCGGCAGTCCAAGCTTGAAGCTAGGAGGTCTGCCCCCCTTGATCCTGGTGGGGTGGGAAAAAATGCATTTATGATGCCGAGATGATCGATCCATGAACCTACTGGTCTGTTTCTTTCAGCCACTCTGAGGGTCCAGCCCAACAGGTCCCAGTTTTTCAGTTATGGGTCCGTCTCTCTGAGCTGTGAATTTCAGGGGAACTCCTCCGGGTGGACAGTTAAAAGGAACACACTAAAGAACACTAATGAAAGCTGTCATAGCGGGCCAAATAAAACAAAATCCTTCTGCTCCTTTCCTGATCTGTACCCATTTGACAGTGGAAAGTACTGGTGCGAGTCTGCAGCAGGAGGGTGCAGCGAGGCCGTCAACATTACTGTGACTGGTGGGTCAGATTCAAGACATACCAAATTCTGTGACTTCATTACACTTCTTTATAACAACCACTATCTGTCCTTTAGATGATCCCGTGATTCTGGAGAGTCCTGCTCTTCCTGTGGAGGAGGGCGACATTGTGACTCTGGGTTGTAAAATAAGGGCTACGGACTCCATTGAGCACACCAATATTTTCCCGAAAAATCACACCGCTCATTTCTACAAAGATGGCCTCCTCATTGGAAGCAGCTCCACAGGAAACAGGACCATCCACCGTGTTTCCAAATCTGATGAAGGATTTTACAGCTGTAACATCTCTGGAGTTGGACACTCAAAGGAAAGCTGGCTAACTGTCCGAGGTAAGTCCATGAAAGCGGCTTCTTATCATGGAAGATTGTTGTCACAAAAAAAAATCACATTTCCCGGCGTTTCAGTTACCAAGTTGGAAAAAAAGCAAAATCAGAGGCCTCAAACAAGATGGCTCCATCTACTAAAGTTATTTTAGCACTTGCCTTGTCTGAACATAAGGATAAGAACTCAGTGTGACGTCATTTTCAGCTCCGACATCTGAATTCCGAGGTAACTCGAACGCACCATAACCCCTCACAGTCCTTGTCCTGGTCTGTCATGGTTTGGCTCTGAAAACCCAAAGAAGCGGTTGATTTCAGCAGAATCTGAAGCAGTTGATACCCTGTTTGCTGAAATGTCATCAGTGGTGCCATGGTAACCTCAAAGGCTGGCGGATTTCCTGTCCTTGAACACACTTCTTTTAAAACAAGCTCTAGAGTCTTGTTCTCGAGCTCCTGGAGTTTTTCCTCATGATCATCTGTTCTTGAATCTAGAGTAATTAAAGACAAATTAAAGGCCCGTCTCAATAGTCTGCTTTTTCATTTCCATCCACCATGTCTTTGAATTTGAACCCACATCTCCGAATCTTCATTTTTGTCTTCAAACGACTTACTGAAATATGCTTTCCATCTGGTTTTGTGAGGATCAAAATGCTGCCTCTCATCTCTGTGTGAATATGACATTTGAACAGATGTGCTCACCACTAAATCACCACAAAAACAAGAGCTGTTGTTTTGGGCCAACCTGTGTTTATTTCTGTTTGATTTGCAGGACGTCCTGAGGTGTTAAACTCCCCCTTTGAGCACGCTCGACTTCCTGTGGTGGTCGTGTGCTTACTGCTGATCTCTGTGATTTCGGTGACACTGCTCTGCCTCTGGAGAAGCCACAAAGGTTAGCCATTGCATTTTACATGACATTGTCTACATCCGTCACATTATACATTTTAAAGGTCAAAAGTCCGTGTTTGAACTTGGAACTTGAAACTTGAAACTTTTCTCAACCGAGCAGATTCTGCTGAAGGAGACCGAAGCGGCGAGGTGTCAGTGAGAACAAAGGTCTTAACGCCTTTTTTTTTTTTCATGACAGGCAGCGAAGCAACAAAACAAAACATTTTTAAACACGAACAATGTCATGGTGCAGACAAAAAATACTGTAAGAGTTTCCACTGATGTCACTTTTGTTAAAGCTAAACAAGCGTACCTGAAGGTCTGTGCACTCTTACTATTCATGTGAAATAAGGCAGCTCCAGGTTTGCTGTGTGGGTGGAAGTACGTACAGTATGTGGGGCATGTTTTCATTATAAGCCTCAGTCGCTTTATCAAACAACTCAACCCGAACAGCAGGGCTGCACGATTTAGGCCAAAATCAAAATCCAGGTTTTTTTCTCTGAAAACTTGATTTTCGATTCTTAATTCATTGACAACTTCACCAAACTTCACTTTAATAAAAAGTTTTTCTATCATCTCCCAAAGCAAAACCACTGAAAATGATGTCGTGCATATGCCGAGTAAGTGGCGCTATAACGCTGCAGTGGAAATGCACAAAAGACAGAAGAAGAAGAGTACAGAGCAGGTGTGTTGTCGCTACCCGATCCGTCCCGGAAACCCGATCCGTACTGCGCAAGTGCAAATTTACTTCACCTTAAAAACTATATTTAAACTACCGATCGATTTCAGAAACCAGCTGGCGATGTGACAGGCTAGCTAGCTGGAGGCTCCAGGGCTAATGCCGAGACATTCGCCAGAGCTCCTGCCTAGCACGGTGAGACTTTTTGGGCCACAGAAAGCGCTGCAACCCGGTCAAGTTCATGGTTCTCTGACTTTTTTAAGTATCAAGGGGCGATTTATTTATTTCATTCATTTTATAAATCAAATTTATTCACAATATGAGACACATTATGGACAATGAATTCCAGCTTTTTTAAACAGCGTCTCAAATCTAAAAAATGAAATATTCACTTTTATTCAAGCCTTTTGTAACTACATTGGAATTTTACAATTAAGTTGTAGTAAGAACCTTTGATCGTTAAACTGGGCGCCATTCTCTTGACGTTACGGCGCTCTGCTTCAGTCGGGAGAAGCGCTCCGTTCAGGAGAAAAGTGTGTGGCTGATGATAAATTGAAGCGTCCATTCCGAATGAAGCGAGCTCGCTGATGCTGAAGCTGTCTGACAAGTGTCGAAGCTGTCGCAAAGATGGCTAGTTGAGGAAGTGCCGTTCGTTTCGCACATGAGCGGTACAAATCAGGTTTCCGGGACGGATCAGGTAGCGACAAGTATAAAGGTTGTTTTGTCCAGACACGTACAGGCGCCATAAAAGAGTTACGCTGTGTGAACTCAAAACACTTTTGGGTTTACTTCTGAATTCGTTTCCATGGTGACGGGTTGATACCGCCTTCAGACAGACTTTGCAAAGGGGAGTGGTTTGCTCGTCGTCTGAAAATGCGAAGCCATACCAAACGGCATGTTTGTTTACACTGATGTGTGTGGGAACTGGGTAGGCTACGGTGGCCTGAAGGCGCAAGACATGACAGAGAGGTAAATCAATTTGACAATTTTCATTTTTTTAACATCGTCATAATCAAATAATCCGATTACGGTTTAAATCGATTAATCGTGCAGCCCTACTAAACAGCTAAATCAGAGCTGAGGGTTCAAGATGGGAAGATACGGTACGACTGAGTTATATTATTGTGTTGTTATTGTGTGAATCTGTGTCTGAAAATTTAAAAAGGACCAGATTGGGAACGCACAATCTCAGACCTGCCAGTGAACTAGATCTAGATTTAGTGGGATCATGTAAAAGGTTTTGAATCCAGTTGCAAACACACTGGATTCAGCCTCTGTTTGATGATCTGCAGCCTCTCAGTTTCTCACCTCACCATCCCTGCAGTGATCTGAGTGGGTGGAAACGCACTGCGCTAACAGATGTTTGCAGAGGTGGTAAAACACTTTTGAGGAGACGACTGCTGAAGTGTCGCAGCCACAGTTTCAAGAGCGTGTCTCTGAGTGCTGAGTCGACATTACATTTATTCACACTTTCCTGCAACTCGACTGCAAATTGCTGCAACACAAAAGCGGAAGCAGAATAGTATTGTGGGAAACGGACTTGCTTTATGAGTGGGAGTGGTTTTCCAAATGAAATGACCTTGCAGACGCTGATTTCTGATCGGGTGGGATAGAGAAATGACACAGAGGGTGTTTCAGTGTCGACAACCTAGCGACTTTATCACTAGATTAAGCAACTTTTCAGACCCGCCAAGCGACAAATCTAGCGACTTTTTCTGGAGTTTAGAGACTCCACCATAAACACAGGAATTGTTGTTACTTTTCTCAACGGGTAGCCGGTGTGCATCAAAAACACAAACACTCAGACACTCAGACACCCCGCGGAAGACTCCTCCTCCTCCTCCTCCTCCTCTTGGGGGTGGGGGGTCGGTGGCGATGGTAGGTTTGACCAAGGACTTACGCAAATTCGGCAATGACGTGATCTAGGGACTTCTAGCGACTTTTACGACAGCCACTAGTGACTTCCCTTACTAAGGAGTTGGCAACACTGGGCTGTTTTACTTTCACATTAATATCAACTAATACCAGTACATGTGTGATTCCATGTGGCCCAATTAGCAATACCAAATATGCAACAATCATTAAGTCTTTATGTTGAGGAGGGAAATAACAGACTTTTTCCACACAGGTAGTGAAAATCAGAACCGAATCCAAACTCTTTTAATAATCTATTATGGTTGTTGCTTTTTCTCAGTTGTGCTTTCTTCATGTTTTCAGTTTCAGACTGATTTACATGAACATCTGCTTGTGTGTGTAGTTTTAAAAGTGTTGTGTTGCAGGAAAAGTTGACCCTGATCTGCCGTACACTGATGTGACCATCACACAGGGAGTGCAGCCCAACAGGATCACAGGTAAACAGGAACTACACGCCAAAGAAACCAAAACATGTTTCACACGTAAACATAAACAAACACCAACAACTCACATAGAAGAAAGAGGGAAGAGAGAGGGTGAAAACTCAGATTAACATCAGAGGTTTTAATCTAGAAACTAATTCAACTCAGACTTTAGTCCAGAGCAATAAATCTGTCAACTCACCTCTGCGCTGAAGTTTCTACGGAGTAAAGATTGTGAGGAAACAAACCGTCTCCTGGAGAGGAACCCCGCCCCTCACTAGGTTTCATTGGCTCAGCGATATGTCGATCACGATGTTGCCGAGGTAACCATACACATAACATTAGGCCTGAGGCTAGAGCGGCACTAGAGAAAGTCTGAGTCACTGGACTGCTCTTTAACCCAGTTTCTATTTTTACTTTGACTGACGTGGGAATCACATTCACAACAAATGGATACGGGGGCGAAGAAAACACGGAATCAGGCCATAAAGGTTCTGGGTAAATAAATGAAGTAATGTAGAAAAAACAAACAGAACCAAAACAACAAGACAACCTGTCTCAAGGTTTGTTTAACCCTCCACCTGAAATCTTGATTTAAGACATATCAATAAAGACGGATTGGACAAAGTGATGGTATGAATGCAGACAAACAAAAATATATAAAAATCAAAGAAAAACAAACAAAAAAGAACAAGAATACTGTCTACAGTAAAAATCTTAAAGGGATATTCCGGCGTAAAATTAATTTAGGGTCAAGGACATGCAGCTCAAGGAAGAACATTTATGATCATTTCTTCATCATTTCCTTGAAGTAATAATCACCATATTAATCATTTTACAGACGCTGTAGTTCTTCTGTCTTAGCGTCTCGGTCTGATTGTATTTCCATAAAGAAATGATCAGAAATGTTCTTCCTTGAGCTGCGACACCCCGCTGTAGTCCGTAATGGACTGGCCTGAGGTCTCACTACAAACAAGCGTCTGCTGGAAGAGAGTAGGTGAGTTGTGTTTAGTCTCTTTGTTTAAGAAATTAGTCAAAGTTAAAAAGATGTTTGGTGTCTAGTACTATGGCTGGGATCCTATATGTACTAATCTGAGTAGATCATGGTGTAGTTCTGTACAGTAACAGAACCTCATTGGAAAATTAGCTGATTTAACTTTACTGTGCTCTTGTTCAAATATACTAACTCAACAGCACATAAATCCATACCTGTTAACAAAATCATGATTTTATTGATAATTCGGCTCAATAAAAACATCTTTACCTTTTTATTTTACTACAGTAGAAGTTTATTGGACCAGTTTATAGACTATAGAAGTGGAGAAATGCCCCCGCTTAGGTTTATGTTTTCTTAGGAGTTAGAACAACTCTGAATATAGTACTATGTCTGTGACCCTATATGTCCTGTTGATGAAGTTAGGTGCTGTTCTGAGCATTATTTGTGGCTATAGAGTGGCGTTTTGGTTGAGCACGTGGCTCTCTGTGTAAATGTAAATGTTTCATAAACTTCTTACTCAGCCGGATGAAGAAACCCACCATTACTTTTGACAGCTGTGCAGTTTTAGTTCCTGTCAGTCTGCGTCTGAAGTTTCAGCTAAAATGTTAAGTTCCTCTTTTGAGGACTGAACTACAGGATCAGGTTTTGTTACTCTGCCCGTGTAAATGCTGATAAACTTTAGTCCTGCGTCTGTTTTCCTCTCACAGATGTGGGCGCCGTGCCGACCTTCTACTCAACGGTCAAACCTGAAAACACCTGAAAAGGACCCAACAACACCTGGACCGCTGCAAACACATCACAGCTGGATGGACGGACCGTAAAAACCGTTCAGTAAACCAAACCAGTTTAGAGTCACTGACCGTGAAACTCCTCACTTCTATTCTTAGCGCTTGACGGTTTTCACTGAATGTCTGAAATGTGCCGAACTGGTTCTTCCTCATTCCTCTCTCCTTTGGTCTTTAAAACTAGGCCGCTGTGGGAAGACAAGAAGACATCAGATCAAGATTTGGCAAGTCACAGGCATGGAAATTGTTTCTCATACTCTGATCTTATCAAATCTCAGACCTGCTGACTGCTGATACCGAAAACTTCAAATCTAGATCAGCCTTAGTTTGATTTAAGGAGATGTGTCCTTTGGCTTATTAATCTCTAAAGACACCTGAAAAAACTAGAAAAGCACTCGGAGAGCGCAGACCTCCGCCAAGCAGCTCATGTCCCCCTTATATTGTGATTCACACCAAAACTTTTACTGTTACGTGTCTTTTATTAACATTTATTTGTGTTTAAACTAGTATGTTCACTGTTCATAATGTTCCTAAAACAAGACATGCCCTGACCCGGATTCAAACCCAGGATCTTCTGGTTGTGAGGCAACAGTGCTAACCACTACACCACTGTGCCGCCCGTTGGTTATCTTTCAGCATAGAAAATTCCAGCGACACCCTTATTTTTGTGTGTTCTGGATCACAGTATCCAGAATTTTGTCTGGATCACCACCAAAATGTAATGGGATCCTCCTGGGGCTGAGACGCACCTCTGGTGAAAATTTCAGGTCAATCCGTCTGTAACTTTCTCCGTAAAGTTGCTAAAAGACAAACTCCTTGTTACCTCCTTGGCGGAGGTAACAACCTTTAATTCTCTCGGTGTTTGGGGATGATGCTTAAAAGGATTGAAGGCAGTGAAAGTTGTCTGTGGTTGATGTCTCAGGTGTTTGGAGCTATTTGAAAACACCTAAATGCTGACAACTGCTGGTGAATTGTGATCACTGCATGGAAAGTTTCACTGAACGCAATCTAGATGAACTCATATGTTTAATAATGACAATAATTCAAAAACAAGAACAACAAAAATCCAGCAAAGACGTAATTAAAAGATGAAATAAGACACAGTTTGTGTGAGTATTTAAAATTATAAAAAATATACAAACTTAGATGATTATTGTCTTATAAGCTCTCCAATCAGACATAACAGTAATTTTTGGACAACATTTGGTCTAATATCTAAAAAGTATCATATTTATGTATAAATGAATCATCCTTTATAAAAAGCTGAAGTAGTAAATAATGTATTTGTGTTTAAGTGAAATGCTGTAATAGTCATAAGAAATGTAATATCATGTAAATGCCATTAAGCTCATTGACAAGTTGATTCTTTTTTTTTTCAAGCTGTGAAAAACAACTTTTTTATGATAATGAGAGAAAGAAGTCATTAAAAAGTTTGATGAGTAAAGATGGTGAGTTTGTCCTCTACCCGCTCTCACTGGTTTGATTTTCTTCAAGACTTTCTCTGCGTCATCGTTCCAGGTGACGGGGACCACTGAGGATTACCTCGAGCTGCAGGAGAAACAAAGAGAGACAAAAGCAGTTAATATTTTTGTCTTCGCACCTTCAACCTCCCCTGCAAACAAGCCTCTGAGGGGCCTGTGCGGGCTGTGTAAAAAATGTGTAAAAGATAATATTGGTGACTCCTTAAGTCCTTAAGTTTATATATATATATATATATATATATATATATATATATATATATATGAGCACTAAGGATGGCAGAACTGCACAAATAAAGCTTTTCATCAGTTGAGGGTGTTTTTAGTGTCCTATACTAACAATAACAACTAAATTATTAATAATTATAACACTCACCAAGCATAATTGATGGAAACTCTTGATCCTCACATCACACCCCCGATCAAAGTTAGGCACCTTTGTATCAAAATATTGTCTCACTACATGCCCTTCATTAATTACTAATGTACATCATGTTTTCACTCTCTCTACCTGTTCACAATATGGAAACCACAACCATTGGAGCTATTTTTATAAACACAAGACTTGTTTAAAGCTAGAACTTTCTGTCTCCTCCTGTCCTCAAGAGAACATACTTTTCTCGGAATACATTCTCATTCACCTTTGCAGCTAAACGACCCTTTTGTTAGATGGAATCACTGAGACCCAATTACTGAAATTCCCAAATATGGAACATAAGTTTGACCATGAGCCATGGCGTATTAAATATCAGTCTCAGGACTGCCCCCTGCCAGTATACAGTTACCAGTCTTCTAAAGATTACGATAGATATCGATGATAATAATAATAGTTTAATAGTGGTGTGAATAATTGGTGTGAAACGAAGTCCAGGACGAATCTGCAACTACAACTTCATTTCCCAGAAAAGGCTTGTGCTTTATGACGTAATTTTGTAGTTCGTTTGTGCATCGTGATTGGAGCGCTAACCCATGTGAGCGTTTCCTGAGTCCCTGATTGGTCAACAGAATCATAGCGTCCAGAATCCAAAATCGCTTCCCGCGGCTGAAGATTCCCAGAAGTTGCTGCGTCACCTCAGACAAGATCGGCAAAGGTGACTTTTTAATGATTAATAATAAACGTTTACCAGCAAATACTTGTAAGTGTACGTGTGGTGATGTGTTTGGGTCGTGCTGCGTAAATTTAGCATGTATAGGGAATACTTTCCGTCGAGCTAAGACATGACGTTACATTGGCTTTTAGCTAATAATAATTTAAGATGACTCATGCTAGCTAGCAGATGTACAAGAGCTTTCCCTCGAATAAACCAGACTTGCAAACTAAGAACGGTTGGTTGGACAACAAATGTTTATACCATTTTGTGCTTAATCTACTGAGATTTCACCGTGTTTAAGTCATTTTTACAGCCAAAGAAATGATTCATACCATAACTGGGGTTGCCAACCGTCTTGTATTAGCCGGGACGTCACGTGTTTGAGCGAAAAGAGGCGAATCCCGGAAGGGGCGTTGTTTGTCCTGGCCGCAGGGGTAAATTTACCATTTAAATTAAAATTATTTTTTAACTTTTTTAAATTAAAAAAAAAAATTTAAATCATTTTTTAAATCATCCCTCAAGGGAAAATGCATATATTTTTTCTGCATACATACAATTAATTTATTTTTATTTTTATACATTTCCAGATGAAATCATCGGGAAAGGAGTACAAGACATTTTGTTGAACGGACAAGACAAGTGACTGGAGGTGAGGCTACTTTGTGTCTTCTTGGGGCGAGTGGTGGAAATTGATGCTGGATGGGAAGCTTATGGATCATTCAGTTTTCAGTTATGCATTGACTATATACATATTACATGAATATCATTGTTTTTTATTTTTCCTCAAGTGAACAGAAATGGCGTAAACCAGTGTGGGCATGGTGGGGGCCTTGTCAGGGCTGTTAATGGGGGTTTTCCTGCGGGCTAAATGAGGGCTGATATTCAGGGAACTGTTACCTCGTGATAACAACTTATTCTCTCGTTATCGCGATATGACAAAGTTCATTTTCCCATGATTGATTCACGGGATAACAGAAATGGCGCTACCCCGACTTTCTGTTTACAACGGTGGCTGCAGAGTTTAAGAAATATCCTAATCTGGAGGGCGTTTTTAAAAGTTACCGCTTGAGATCAGCTAAAATGCCATTTCCGTTATCATGAGAATTCAATCTTTCTTATACCAAGATAACGAGATAATAAGTCGTTTTCACGAGATAACAGTGCGTAAGAAAAAAGAAAAATCCATGGCTATTCTCGTCTACTGTACATTAATTAAAACTCTTCTAGATTTTTCCCACTAAGTGTAAAGCAGATTTGTTGTTAGCTGTGCTTACATGAAAATATCTGTTGTAAGAAAATAAAAGATGGCAGCTGGGATATCATTATGACAGATGGAGTTCTGCCTGCTTTTGCTCTCAATACCGACTATTTCCTACCTGCTCTTACGTCGCGCCCTCTGCCGGTATAAATATATACACAGTGAGAGTATACAAGTGTAGAGGGTGAACAGCAGGATGGTGCACACCAGTTTGGGCAGGGTCATGAAGGGATCAGAGGGCTCAGGAGTGGGTACGACCAGAGGCCGGGCTGTGAGGGAGTACATCAACACATTGTTTTACTTGGATTGTAGTGAATAAATAACATGATGACACAGAGGATCAACAGAAAGTGATGTTTGCAGAGAGCTGGGGCCTCATGTATCAACGCTGTTTACACAAGAAAAACTCACGTACGGCAGGATCAGTGCTCACGTTCAGATGTATCAGACTTTGTCGAATCGTCCGCTGTTTCACGCCAACTCCAAAGGTGCCGTAGAAGTTGGTGGAAAGCCGATTCTTGCGTTGACTGCACTTTGGTTCGTTGGCAACACTGTGTGGCGGTGTTTGGTGACTGAAATTATTTGACAACCGCACATACATCGGGCACAAAAAGCCGTCAACACAAACACAAACACCTGTTGGCATTACTTAAGCGGCTGTAAAAGAGCCTTCACGATTGTGCTGAATGTGCAAGATTAAATTTTTTTTTTCTGTTAAATGTTCCAGAACATTTTTCAGAAAAAAAAAAAAAAACATTAACGGGGGAGGGCCTAGTCATTCTGACATCTGCGCTCAATTCCACGCTGATTGTGATTTATCAAAGAAACGTGCGTGGATTCCGGCGCTCTCACAGATTGATGCATCCGGATTTTTTTCCTGCGTGCGCAACTTTCGGGATTCTTGCGACCGCTGTTTTTTAGTATGAGATCAACACAAGTATTGATACATGATGTCCCTGATGTTCAATCCCATAGATCTCCAAAACAGAAGCTCACATCACCTTTCACTGCCAGCCAACTCTGTGGGGACCGTTGTCCGGAGGGGTGCTTACATCTGTAGAAGCCTTCATCAGACAGGGACACAGATGACAGGACTTTCTCCCCTGAAGACTTGGTACCAATGAAGACACCGTTTTTGAAGAAATCAGCAGAAAATTTTGATACAGACTCATATTGTTCTTCAGTTTTGTAGGAGCAGCGAAGTGTCACTTTATCTCCTTCCGTCACAGGATGGACTGGACTCTCCAAGATCACAAAACCATCTGAAATACAGACATAGACCTGATGAGCAAAACTCTACCTGTTTGAATCATGGAATACAATCCTGAAGTGGAAAACCGCCACCGAACAGAGGTGGTGGACTATTACACATCTTATCACCAACATGTAGTGTACTTTTAAATTCCTGTGTTCCACCCAGGATCATGTGACTTCAGTTCATGGGACCCACTCCCACAGGAAACTAGGACTAGGACTCAGCCAACTACCTTCAGGTGACCAGGTGACCTGGTCCATTAGCATGTCCATACTCACAACTGATCCAAGCAAAAGGCTCGTTTCAGGATGTCTCTGACTGATCCCGAGGTAACAGTAGGTAAGGAATCTGCCCCAACAATGACACACAACACACTTACTCTGTGCAATCTGGGTGTTACCTGTTACTGTGATGTTAACGCTGTTGCTGCACCCCCCTTCCTCAGACTCACACCAGTACACTCCGGTGTCGGATGAGTCCGGATACATAGTGGAACAGGAGGCTGTACCAGGTACCCCCCAACCATTCTTACAGGGTTCCGATTTACTGAAGGAGGTGTTTCTTTTCACTGTCCAGCTGCTGGAGTTGGCCGACACCTGACACTTCACGGAGAAACCTTCGTTCTGGAAGAACTGGGATCTGTTGGGAGTGACCGTCAGGGTGGCTGCAGAAAATCATGAAAGTTTCCAGATTTTACAACAGACTTAAGGTTCCTCTCAGCATATACTCTTTTCTTTCTTTCCGACATGTTTTAAGGTTTGTGACATGACAAAATTTTAGGTAGATTAAGCAGCATTACGACTGAGATAGTTCACATCAGAAGTGTCAAATTAGGTTTTACAGAGAATTGAAAACTCAGTTTGCTGGGTGAAATGTCTGTGTCTCAGTCCAACCTCCTTCCAACATGGACCTCGTCTTTTTTTCTAGGAAATCCCAGAATTCCAAATGTTTTGTTCAACCTGATCAGCTGTACCAAGAGTCTAAACTGGTTTACATCACAGTCAATCTGAAATCTTATCTTATCGAGACCCTCAGGGATACAAAGCTTTGATATTTGGTTGCATTGTAATAACATGAGACCAGATTTGAATACAGAAAGCTTGAATGAAAAGAAGGTGAAACATGTAGAAGATGAAGAAATGATTCTCAGAAAAGGAGGAGAGAAGATTAGAGATGAAGACTGGATTAAAGAGGACAAAAAACTTCATCACGATGGTTATGTGTTTTTATGGATCTGTAAAAGAACGGTCACTTAATATCAGGCTATTCAGGAAAATCGTCAGTCCAGTAAACTGTTCACAGGTTCGTCCTGTTGATCTTTTAAATGAACAAGGACTTAAAGGAAAGACGAGCGAGTTGAAAAAGAAGAGAAAGGACATGACTTAAAAAAGTAGCTTTACTCACTAAGCATTAAGCAGAGTGGTGCGATCTCCATCCTGTTGAAGTTGACCACATCCTTACAAAAGAAGCAAGAAACCGAAAAAGGCAGGTTTAAAGCAAAACTATCAGATTTAAGGAAGTATTTTTAAAATAATTCTCAAAATGAAGAAGAGCATTCCTGGTACAAACGCTCATTACGTTTACGGTGTCACCAAAACTCACCATAAGATGTTCTGCTTTGCTGATGACTTCCTGCTGTCTGTGTCTAAATCATACGTGCTCACTGCTAAAAGGTTTGATTTCGTTTTGACTGTGTGGGAAAATTAGATCTGAAACAACAATAAAAAAAAGCTTCATCTATGCTGTAGACCACAGAGCGCACACACTTCCTCTGAGGCGGTTTTCTATAGGTGATTTCAAAGAAGCGAGAGGCCACAACTTCTAACAAAACAAAACCTAGATCCAATAAACCAACATGTCCTCCGGCTCAAACAACAGGAAACGTACACCAGCAGACTTAAAAACAAAACATGTATGACCGAAGATTTAAGCTGAAATAGTGGGTGTTTGGTTGGTTGTAGACACTTTCTTTACATGGGGATGAAGGCTGATACTCTGTCTGAAATAAATATGATCTTTTTGTTGGGATTGTAAAGTTTGTGTTCGGGTGCATTCCAAAAATAAGTTCTTCATGTCTAAAATTACTGAGTGTGTGCTTACTTCCAATCCAGGGTGCTATGTCACCCCTCAGGCCTTCTTGATTCTCACAGTTTTGTTGTTGCACATGTGCATTCCCTCCTCTTCAACACTTTAGATGAAGCCACTAAAGAAGCTTGCATTACAAACCAACAAACCTGCAGGTGGCAGCATGAAGACATTTGTAATATGCAGTATGCTGTAAATCCATTTGGTCAGTAAATCAGAGGACAGTCTGCTAAAAGGATGCTTGATAATCCAGATTGTAAAAATCCAAGTTAATTCAACTCCAATTTTCATCAACCTTAACTTGAGGCTTGTTACAGTAATGGAGCAGAATAGTGACATAATCGTTCACCACAAAATAAGATGCTTCTTGAACAGATTCCTGCCAACCCCACCTTTAAATCTATCAGTCTTGGGATAAGAAAAGGAGATATTTTCAGAGCAAGACTGCCATCTGCTGGTAGGTAAGAAAACCTGCAGCCAGCTCTTCAGTGAAGACAGTTTGGTTTAACTCAACATGAAACCCTTTTTAGGAACTCTAACCGATGTGAAATTGAAGGATGATAGGTTCAAGTGAATCAGGAAGAAGAACCTCTTTTTTTTCCAAGAAGTCTCTTAGGGTAATATTTTTATACAAGTTTTCAGTCTGTATTGATCTGATTTAAATAGTCTTGAAATAAGCATTTTTCCTCATTTTTTAAGAGTTTTTGAACTTAAAATTTCTGTCTAATGCAAAAAAAAAATGTAAGAGGATGTTGGCTTTCAGCTGACCTCACGTGATCTGTATTGATCACTGAAAAACTGTACGACTCAGATAATTGTAAATAACAGTAAAGAGTCTGCCCGTGTGATTTTGGAAATATGATTTTTCTTTCAGATTAAAGTCGTGTTTCTAAAATACAGTTAAAATGTGGAGGAAGGAAATCTAAACTGTGTCTTTGCTGATGATTTAGATTATTGAAGTTTCTTGCAGAAACTAGAACAGAGATATTTAAACACTAGACCCTGAACTTTAATATAAAAATCACCTCTAGAAGACGTACACATCAATCCACTTTATCCGCCATTTTCCTGTCAGTTTCCAGATAAAACTGACAGGAAAAATGAAAGTAAAGGAGGCGACCTCGTGGAAAAATCCAGGCTACTTTAGTTCCCACCCCTGTGAGCTGCTGAGTCTTGTTTAAAGGAATGTCTCCTTTATCCAGTCTGCTCTAGCAGGACTCAGCAGCTCAGTTCTCAGGATCTCTCTCCTTCATCTTCCTCACAGAAGAGTCCGTTTTCTTTGTCACGATGAAAAGTTCGTTCAGGGACGGAAAATTATGGATTTAAAGCTCCTCTTTGTTCTACTCTATCTCTACGCTGAAACAACCGCAGGTAAGGTGTTGATAATGATAACTCCCCTCTTGGTCAAACACACTTCCTGGTGTAAATGTCGTCCAAGAAGAGCGGATTATAGTCCCAAACTCAAACTACCCGGAAAAAAAACATTTTTCTCACCATCGATCCATGAACGTAATCAAACTTTAAAAAACACCAAAGTAGACCTTTCTCAGTCCAGGTTTAAATCCTGCTAAATGATTACGACTCAGATTTTGTTGAAATTTTTACAGTTTTGAAGTCATTGTCTTACGTGAACTAACTTGTAAAGTCGTTGTGTGAGGTGATTAAAGATTAAAGTCATGTTTCGAAACTACAGTTGTAAATTTAGTCAATGATTCGCCTCGTAGCTTATATTGTTTTAAAGGGGGATTTCACACGTCTGTTTCTTTTACTGTCTTTTATAATCATGTTATGGAGGTGGCACAGAACAGAATCCGAAAGTGTTCATAAATAATACGGATTAATAACGAGCTTAATTTTGGAGACATAAACATGAAAATGTAAAGAGACATAAAGACCATAGAGTTGGTTTTCTTTTTTTTATTATTGCTCTTGTATTTGTGCACTACTCTTAATTTTTATGTGTATTTATAATTTCTTACCAAAGAAATGTGATTACTGTGAAACAGCTGAATATTGTCCACCAGTCGTTAAAGCTTTTTTCATATTTAAGACTCATTGAACTAAAACGACACAGTTCAGCCAGACTACTCAAACTTAAGTCTTTTTACGTGCACCTGACTTCGTACTCAGCCCCATTGTTTGTCATCAGTGTTGATTTAACAAAACTGTCTGCTGTAAAAATTTCCCGGATAGGTTTTTTTTTTAATCTCATGTCAGTAAAAAGACAAAATATTCTCTCGAATAATTCAGCATGATCCTTGTGTGTATATTTTAGATTTAACAGAAACGTGGTTGAATTTTTTAAGATTTTAAAGAATTTTAAAGATAAAGCGACATGATGTCTTAATAAGGGCCCGACCGATTTATCGGTCCGCCTCAACGGTAAGTACTTACCGATACTTACTCAATAAGTCAACAAGTTTCAGTTCAACCCACTTCACCATGTTTGCCGCTTTGCTGGTCTCGGTCACGCCGAGTTAACGCTGAGGCACCATGTAATATGCAAGCTAAAGTTAGAATTAGCCACCTGCTATTAAAAACACTTTTCTGGTCAGAGTTTGATCAGTTGCTCTTCCTGTCGGCATGAAGAGCAGTAGCCTACAGTGTATTTACAGTATATAGTATACAGTATATATATATTTTTTATAACTTAATAAAAACTTTTAAAAATCGGCTGATGAATCGGTAATCAGCAGTTCTGAAAGATAAGAAGGCCCAAGATCATCAAGACATTTAAAAACAAGTAAAAGAACTTTAAAATTGATCCTAAAACACACCAATGCCATGATTCTAAAACCGGTGTAATGTGGGCCCGCCTCCTGGTCTTAGTCAGGACACGTGCTGCTGAATTTTGTAATAACCGTAGACCCGAAATATTCTTGGTGATAAAAGCATGCATTAGCATCTCTGTGTTGGCCCGAGAGAGAATGGTGTTCTCTAGGTGATAAAATCCTATTTTTGTCATGTTCTTAATGTGCGGACTAAAAGTCAGCTCAGAGTCAAAAATGACACCCAGGTTTCTCACTTGTGGTGATGAATTAAAAGACAGTGCTTGTAGTTTGGGTAAAAGTTTCTCTCTCTGGGCCTCAGGACCGATGACTAAAACCTCAGTTTTGTTCTGGTTAAGCTGGAGAAAGTTCTCTGCCATCCAGGATTTGATATCTGAAATGCAGTTAAAAAGAGCATCCATTGGCCTGGTGTCATCAGGAGACACGGAGATGTAGAGCAGTGTATCATCAGCATAGCTGTGGAAGTTGATTCCGTGTCTCCTGATTACACCACCAAGAGAGAGCATGTACAGGTTAAAAAGCACAGGGCCTAAAATTGAACCCTGGGGTACACCACATGTGATTTTATGGACTTTGGAGGAGCACGTGTCTACACTTAACATGAATGTCCTGTCTGTCAGGTAGGAGGTGAACCATCTGTGAACAGCACCTGAGAGGCCAAGGTGTTTCAGGCGGTTTAAAAGAATAGTGTGGTCTACTGTATCGAAGGCAGCACTCAGATCCAGCAGAACCAACAAAGTCACCTTTTGTGCATCAAAATTAAATCTGATATCATTTAAAATCTTTACCAAAGCGGTCTCGGTGCCGTGGTTCACCCTAAAATCAGACCGACACTTTTCAAGAATGTTATGATTATCTAAAAATTCTTTAAGTTGGATAAAAACAAGTTTTTCTAAAATTTTGCTTCTTAATACATCCTAATGCATTAAGAAGTCTTCATGCTTACATTTCTTTTTTCTGCAGGACAGCATTCAGTATGTGCCAATATCAACGAAACAGCCATTTTACCAGTGGACCTGAAACACGAGCTGGACAGAAGCAATCTAAAAGTAATGTGGAAGCGCGGTGACAAGATTGTGCATAAGTTTAAATATAGCCAGTCTTATCTGGAGAATCAGGACAAACGCTACAAAGACAGAACAGATCTGTTTGAACATGAAATTGAACGAGGAAACCTTTCACTGGAGCTAAAAAACGTGAACGAGCAGGATAGTGGCACTTATACCTGCTATGTCACAGGGAAAAATGTCCCTCTTAAAACTGTCATCAAAGTAAACCTTGGTAAGTACATCCCAGTTAAACACTGTTGAATAACTGTTGACACACTCACATGCTCACTGTCTGACGCACTTTAACAGAGGTGAAGAATGAATGCCAAGCCAAGAATGAGAGCGAAGCAGATGAGGGCCAAGTAGATGAGAGCAGAGTCAAGGTGAGGAAACACTTCCAATACGATCAGAACTGTAACTGTCATGAAAGAAGAAGCTCAATCTTTGTGTCCAAACATGATCATGTAATAAAATACTTTATTCTATTTCTTCAGCCAGAAGAACCCCTGGAGGAGGAACCAGACTGGACCAAGGTAAGATGATCAAAGTTCAGTCTTCACAACATCCTGAAACGATTCAAACAAGTGATCTTAAAGTCAAACGTCAGTCTGGGCTTCCTCTGAGTCTGGACCTCAAAGTCACTGTTCCAACACAGCAGATCCTAAAACAGGGCTTTGCAGTCTGTCGAGCATCTGGTAAAAACGGAATAATGAACCTGCTGGGGTCTGAGCCTCACATCAGCATCATGGTTTAATAATTACTAATAATTACTGGACTGGAGTCGTCTCAATCAAGGAGCTGTGAACTGATCACAGGAAAGCCGCCATTATACGCCATCATGACACACAAGTTTACCGCCTGAGTGAGAGAGATGAAGAAGATAGTTGCCATGGGAACATGGTTTATGAGTGCCAAGTGTTAAATCTGTTATATATCTACGTCCCCTTTACACCTCATAGATAGTTTTCAGAGTCCAAAAGACAATAGGAGAAGTTGGTGTGCAACATAGAGGGACTCTGTCAAGACCACATCCTCTAAAGAAGAAACACTGACAACTTTCTTCTGTGCCTTTCAGATTTACATCGTTGCTGTTGTTGCTGTTGTTGCTGTTGTTGCTGTTGTGGGTGTTATTGTTGCCATTATAGTATGCAAGTATAAAAAATCCAGTAAGTCAAACATATTCAATCTCAATTTTTTTTTTAGATTTGAAATCAAAAAAGTTCATCATTTTCAAACACGTCTGCAAAACTTTGTTGAGCACCTGGACGTAAACTGGACTTCGGCGGCCTGGTTTTGATTCCAACTTTTGGCCCTTTTCTCCCACTCTACCTCCTCACAGTTCAAGTATGAAAGAACGAATAAACTCAAAAAAGAAAAAGGTGCGAAGGTGAAGTGAGGCATAGGCAGAAAGACAAGAAGTTCCGTTTTCTTTGCTCCAGATCGACTGTATTTGTCTTTGGACCATAAATCACTGCTCTTGTAAAAGTATAAGTTATGACAAAACAACCTCAAAAAGCACATCGAGGGATATTAATTTATCAGCATCAAAGTGCTTGTCATGTGGCCACGCCTTTCCTCCATTAAAGCGGGGTGAAATGTTTTAGACTTGCCTGTTTCTAGAGAGTGAAACTGTTTTCTTCTTGTAAACACTCCAATGTGACTCACAGCTGTCACTGTTATCACAGTTTGGTGTTTTTATAAGAGCGAGTTGAGACAGGCACAGGTAAAGGAGACGGCATGATTAATTATTACCAAAGTTAGTTTGTTTGGATAAGTCGCAGCCTCATGTTGTGGCACATAGTTGCACTTAGCCCTTCCCCTCACAGTAAATTAAACAGCCCAGATGTTTTGAGCAGCATCATCTCAAGGAAAGTCTTTCAAGAGTTTGACTTTGACAGCAATGTGTCAGAGTTGTTTCTGTCCTAGACAGGTTAATCCAGTTGACATTAATTTTACCCTGGTTCAGAGTCTCAAAGACAACAGAGTCTGGATGACCGGCGCCGTAGATCAGACTTCTTACGACATACTTTAGACCCGGGATTCACCAAAATCAACTCAGACTGACAGCTCCTCACAGCTGTGTGAAATTCAGTGGTAGTGTTTCAAATTCTGGCAAATTAGTTCAAACTTTTGTGGGCAGAAGATTTTCTCTGTCACTGTAGCAATACAGCAAGTGGGAAAGAGACGTTTTTGGATATTCAGTTCCTGTAACCCGGACTCCTGCTGGAATCAGGATCATCTTACTCAAAAGTTTCAGACTTTTGATCCTTCAAAATTTAACTTTATGAATAAACCAATCAAGAACAAACACAGTCTTTGAGTGTTAAAAATGCACCTGTCATTGTCGTCTGAGTTTAGTCATTTCAGACAAACGTTGCTTAAACTAAATCTCCTTTTTCTGTCTCAGGACGAAACCAAAGAGATCAACCACCAGACCCAGCAGATCAGCGTGGTTCCGAGGAAATCCCAATGGAAGAATCAGCTCAAAGTCTAAATGAAGACGGTGAGCAGACTTCTGTTAAATGACAAACTGAGCGTAGGACAGGATGTTGCTCCATTTTTCCCTTTCAGAGCAGTGGGGGTCTGAGCAGACTTCAGGCCACTCCTGAAGTCTCACTGGCCACCTTTGACCAAACTGACCCAGGGCCAGTTTTACATTTCTAACCACCATAGACCACGATACCAACCACAACTCCAACAAGTAATTAAAAGAATGTTTATCATTGGAGTATTAGCCTCAGCTAGAAAACTGACTTGGTCAGTGAATCAAGTCCAAGTTACTGTATATCTGCTGGATTTCAAGACCTTCGTGCAATCCAATCTATTAGTCAAAATTTAGCTTTATGAACAAACCAATCAAGAACAAACACAGTCTTTGAGTGTTGAAAATGCACCTGTCATTGTCGTCTAATTTCAGACAAATGTTGCTTAAACTAAATCCCCTTTTTCTGTCTCAGGACAAAACCAAAGAGATCAACCACCAGACTCAGCAGATCAGCGTGGTTACGAGGAAAGCCCAATGGAAGAATCAGCTCCAGGGACAAACGAAGACGGTGAGCAGACTTCTGTTAAATGACAAACTGAGCGTAGGACAGGATGTTGCTCCATTTTTCCCTTTCAGAGCAGTGGGGGTCTGAGCAGACTTCAGGCCACTCCTGAAGTCTCACTGGCCACCTTTGACCAAACTGACCCAGGGCCAGATTTACATTTCTAACCACCATAGACCACGATACCAACCACAACTCCAACAAGTAATTAAAAGAATATTTATCATTGGAGTATTAGCCTCAGCTAGAAAACTGACTTGGTCAGTGAATCAAGTCCAAGTTATATCTGCTGGATTTCAGGTCCTTCATTGGAAATTCTTCTCGTCTTTTCTACCAACAGGAAGAGGTCCAGAGAATCGCAACACTCCGGCGGACAGTAACTATGGGAGTTGGCCGAGGGCATCGGATCAAGTTAGACAAAGGAACATTAGACCCAGGATATCTTCTCTGTTAAATATTTAAACCCATCATTATGACAGCTCAGAGACCGGTCAGTTTACTCTTCAGTTAAAACTACAAACCAACAAAGTAACGGTTTTCAGAGCCAATAATAGAAGCTCATTTTTTCAGCGAAGTTTACATCAGAGCTTCACGATTCTATATTGATATAAAAAAAGAAACAAGTTCTTCTCTGCAGTACAAACTGAGTAGATTAACACCAGACAGTACAAGGGTTCAGAAAATGGACATAATTCAGATTTTCACTAATTATTCTATGAACACTACGGCTGCAACTAACGATTATTTTACTAGATTCAAGATGAACTCATATGTTTAACGATGACAAAAATTCAAAAACAAGAAGAATCCAGCAAAGATGTAACTAACAAATGAAATAAGACCTTTTATTTATTTATTTTATTTTAGAGTAAAAATCAGTCGGACTGTCAGGTTCCACGCAGTTTGTGTGAGAATTTAAAAAGTATAAAAAATATACAAACTTAGATGATTATTGTCTTCTAAGCTCTCCAATCAGACATAACAGTGATTTTTGGGCAACATTTGGTCTAATATCTAAAAAGTTTTTTACATATATGAATCATCCTTTATAAAAATCTAAAGCAGTAAATAATGTATTTGTGTTCAAGTGAAATGCTGTAATAGTCATAAGAAATGTAATATCATGTAAATGCCATTAAGCTCATTGACAAGTTGATTCTTTTTTTTTTTAAACTGTGAAAAATAACTTTTTTATGATAATGACAGAAAGAAGTCATTAAAAAGTTTGATGAGTAAAGATGGTGAGTTTGTCCTCTACCCGCTCTCACTGGTTTGATTTTCTTCAAGACTTTCTCCGCGTCATCGTTCCAGGTGACGGGGACCACTGAGGATTACCTCGAGCTGCAGGAGAAACAAAGAGAGACAAAAGCAGTTAATATTTTTGTCTTCGCACCTTCAACCTCACTTCCTGTTTTCTGTTGCTGCTGTTCGATTCGTCAGCCTGTGTATCACCATGGCAACCTGGGCAATGTGGTTTGTTTATGAGCACGAAACAGGATATCTCATACGACCAAAGTCATTCTTTCAGTCACTAAAACTGCGTCTTTTTTAAGTTTTTCTCATTTCCTCAGATTTGTTGTTAGCTGAGCTTACATGCAAATATCTGTTGTAAGAAAAAAAACAGATGGGATATCATTAAGACGGTTGATCTCAATACCAACTATTTCTTACCTGCTCCTACGTCGTGCCCTCTGCCGGCACTTGTATGTACACACTGAGAGTATACAAATGTAGAAGGTGAACAGCAGGATGATGCACACCAGTTTGGACGGGGACATGGAGTGGAAAAGGGGACTAGGAGTGGGTGAGGGGACGACCAGAGGCCGGGCTGTGAGGAAGTAAATCAACACATTATTTTTCTTGGATTTTAGTGAATAAATAACATGACGACAAAGTGATATTTGCAGAGAGCTGATGTTCAATCCCATAGGTCTCCAAAACAGAAGCTCACATCACCTTTCACTGCCAGCCAGCTCTGTGGGGACTGTTGCCCATCAGGGTGCTTACATCTGTAGAAGCCTTCGTCAGACAGAGACACAGATGACAGGACTTTCTCCCCTGAAGACTCGGTACCAATGAAGACATCGCTTTTGAAGAAACTGGCATTTGATACCGGCTTATATTGCCCTTTAGTTTTGTGGGAGCAGCGAAGTGTCACTTTATCTCCATGTGTCACAGGATGGACTGGACTCTCCAAGATCACAGAATCATCTGAAATACAGACATAGACAAGGGGCCTCATGTATCAATAATTGCGTGGATCTCAGGCTAAAACAACGAAAGAATCCCAAAAGTTGCGCACGCAGGCAAAATGTGGATAAATACGTAAATTTATTTAAACAGGGTCTCTGCTGCAAGCTGGAGGTGCTGGTTGAGGAGGTGGAGGAGATGGCAGATTTTGTTTGGCAGCCTGTCTAGTGGTGTTAGTACAAAAAAAAAAAAAACATGAGTGGGGTAAGGTGTGCAACAGAGTGAATGTGGTGGGTTCGGAGCAACGCGCCCTAGCAGAGGTTTAAACAAAGCGGCCCGACCTCAAGGTGGAGGTCAGGCGGCGTAGGGCTGCCCTCCGTAGGAGTGCCGGCCAGACAGGTGGGGGTCAGGCAGAGGGGCACCTGATGGAATTTGAGCAGCGGGTGGCGGCAATCATGGGCAGCACCTCTGTGGGGGGGGGATTGTCGCCGCCAGCCACGCGGTCTCCAAGAGCCTGGACGGTTAGAGGCTTTCCGCCAACTACTCCAGGAGTTGGCGTGAAACAGCACAAGAATCAACGAACTTTCCGCGTTGATACATCTGAACGTAAGTACCGATCCTGGCATACGTAAGTTTTTCTTGCATAAACAGTGTTGATACCTGAGGACCCTGATGAGCAAAACTCAACCTGTTTGAATCTTGGAGAACAAGGAAAGACTTTGAAAATCAAAATTAGTATTAAAAACATCAGAGAGTCCACACATGATGGCAGATGATGACCGACACCCAAACCAGACCTTCATCAAGACCCTTTAAGGGACAGCCTACCAGCAGAGAATAAGAGGACAACAAGTGTCAAGGCTCAGTCATTCCTTACCTGGCTGGCAGATCCGAAAAACTAAGGAGGACAGTTCGAGAGGTGTCAGTGAAGTGGGAAACCGCCACCGAACAGAGGTGGTGGACTGATCCTGAGGTAACAGTAGGTAAGGAATCTGCCCCAACAATGACACACAACACACTTACTCTGTGCAATCTGGGTGTTACCTGTTACTGTGATGTTAACGCTGTTGCTGCACCCCCCTTCCTCAGACTCACACCAGTACACTCCGGTGTCGGATGAGCTCAGATACTTCGTGGAACAGGAGGCTGTACCAGGTACCCCCCAGCCATTCTTACAGGGTTCGGATGTGCTGAAGGAGGTGTTTCTTTTCACTGTCCAGCTGCTGGAGTTGGCCGACACCTGACACTTCATGGAGAAACCTTGTCCCCAAAAGAACTGGGATCTGTTGGGAGTGACCGTCAGGGTGGCTGCAGATAAGCCTGACAAACAAAGTCAAGCTGTGTCAATTTGAGAAGTGGAGTCTAAAAAATGTTTCATTTAGTGTTTCAGTAATCGAAGCTGATCTTAGGACTCATATATCTTACAAAGATGATGTGTTAGCCCCTCAAATTGTAACCCCTGCTCTGAGGTACTGTCAGGAGTCTCTTCAGGACCCCTTTAACTGTTGTTGTAGGTACCTTTGGAGGCTATTCTTAGAGTCCATCAAGGATGTTTTAAGGTATCCTTTTGTAGAAGTTAAAGATAATGAGGTATTTTTACTCAATAATTGTCATTTTCAGGTACACCTTTGGATTATCTGTTGGTCGAGCACCAAAAGGGTCAGAAACAAAGCTTTGATATTTGGTTGCATTGGAATAACATGAGACCAGATTTGAATACAGAAAGCTTGAATAAAAAGAAGGTCAAACATGTAGAACATGAAGAAATGTTTCTCAGAGAAGGAGGAGAGAAGATTAGAGATGAAGACTGGATTAAAGAGGACAAAAAACTTCATCAAGATGGTTATGTGTTTTTATGGATCTGTAAAAGATCAGTCACTTAATATCAGGCTATTCAGGAAAATTGCCAGTCCAGTAAACTGTTTACAGGTTCATCCTGTTGAACCATGAAGCGAGAACAACAAAAGATTTAGGTGACCTCATATAACTTTTAAACTGAAGATTGTTATTAATAAAGAAACTTCTTTTAGCTTTGATGAAAAACAGGTGAGATCTGAGTTTGACTGAGTGCAATGAAAGCTAAAAGATCTTGTTTGTAAGCTCGATATCTTTTAAATGAACAAGGACTTTCAGGAAAGACGAGTGAAAGCAAGAAGAGAAAGCACATGACTTAAAAAAGTAGCTTTACTCACTAAGCATTAAGCAGAGTAGTGCGATCTCCATCTTGTTGAAGTCAAGTTAATTTGAAGTCGACCACATCCTTACAAAAGAGGCAAGAAACCAAAAAATGCAGTTTGTTCTGGTTTAAAGTGAAACTATAAGATTTAAGAAAGTATTTTAAAATAACTTTCAGAATGAAGAAGAGCATTCCTGGTAAAAACGCTCATTATGTTTACAGTGTCACCAAAACTCACCATAAGATGTTCTGCTTTGCTGATGACACTGCTGTCTGTTTCTACATAATAGGCGCTCACTGCTAAAAGGTTTGATTCGTTTTGCCTTGTAGACCACATACACTTCCTCTGAGGTGGGTTTCAAAAAAGCTAAAGGCCAAATCTAAAAAAAACCAACATGTCCTCCGACTCGAGCAACAGGAAACATACACCAGCAGACAAAAACAAAAAACAAAACATGTATGACCAAAAGTGGAAAAAAAAGATGATAAAAATGTTGCCTTTTTTAAAATTTTTATTTATCTATTTTTAAATTTTGGGGGGTTCAGAATATACTTTGAACTGAGTTAGACACACTTAAAAAAAAAACTCTACTTGACCCGAAAAAACCCATGTGCCCAACCCCGCCCCACATAGTAGTGTCCTCTTTTTGGGGATCTAGTCCTAATTCTTAGTGCAGTATCTGCTGTGCCCTTGTCCTTCCCCTTTCTTAAATCTATCAATCTCAGGATAAGAAAAGGAGATATTTATTTTCAGAGCAAGAGTGCCATCTGCTGGTAGGTAAGAAAACCTGCACCCAGCTCTTCAGTGAAGACAGTTTGGTTTAACTCAGAGAGACCCAAACATGAAACCCTATTTAGTTCACTCAAAATAAAAATTGATTATTTGAAAAATGCCTTTTTGTGAATTTGCCCCCCTCTCCTTTTTTTCCTTTTACATTTTTATCACAATACTTTCAATATCACAAATAATTCATCAAATTCAGGATTTTCCTCCTTTTTTTTTAAGTATTAATAAACTAAAAATTTGTGTCAAATGCAAACATAACGTAAGAAGATGTTTGCTTTCAGATGACCTCACATTATTTGTATTGGTCATTGAAAAACTGTGACTAGATTATTGTAAATTAGAGTCAGCCCAGTGAGATTTTGAAAATATGATTTTCTATCAGTAACTGTCTTTGCTGATGTTTTAGATTATTGAGGTTTTCTGCAGAAACAATCACAGAGAAATTTATTGAAAACACTAGACCCACAAACACAACAAATACGACAAAAACTAACTCCAGAGGAGCACATAAAAATACGACAAAAAACAACTAGAGACACAAACACAAACAATACGAAAAAAACATCTACGGAGAGACTCAAAAAACGCGACAAAAACCACAATCCAACTACAGAGATAAACAACAAACTTTGTTGAACAAATTTTTTGTTCACGAATGCCTCACCCGACGAAAGTGATGGTGTTTCTAATTTTAGCGATAGTGTTCGACGGTTGATCCATCCTTTTCCTTTATTTATTTTACTCTCAGTTTTCACATCTGCGTAAAAAAGAAAGTGAAAGTTCAGGAAGCGGCCTCCTGGAAAACCCAGTCCCACCCCAGTGAGCAGCTGCGTCCTTTTTAGGGATCCGGCTGCTCTATCCAGTCTGCTCCAGTAGCACTCAGCAGCTCAGTTCTCTCTCCTTCACCGTCCTCGAAGAGTCAGTTTTCTTTGTCCTGATGAAAAGTTAATTCAGGGACGGAAAATGATGGATTTAAAGCTCCTCTTTGTCCTGCTCTATCTCTACACTGAAACAACCGCAGGTAAGGTGTTGATAATGATAACTCTCCTGTTGGTCAAACATGCTTCCTGCTGAACGTAATGTGTTTAAAAACACCAAAGTAGACCTTTCTCAGTCCAGGTTTAAATCCTGCTAAATGATTACAACTCAGATTTTGTTGAGATTTTTACAGTTTTTAAGTCATTGTCTTACGTGAACTAACTTGTTGTAAAGTCATTGTGTTAGGTGATTAAAGATTAAAGTCATCTTTCGAAATACAGTCGTAAATTTAATTAATGATTAGCCTTGTAGCTCATATTGTTTTAAAGGGGGATTTCACACGTCTTTATCTTTTACTCAGTCTTTTATAATCATGTGGAGCTGAGGGGAAAAACAAACATTAGAGACAGTTTTTTCTTCGCATTTATTCTGAAAAGGAAAAATCTTTTAACTCCAAGTCTGAAAATTATCCATAATAAAATTATGGGGGTGGCACAGAACAAAATCAAAAAGTGTTCATAAATAATACAGATTAATAATGAGCTGAGGGGACATAAACATGAAAATGTAAAGAGACATAAAGACCATATAAGTGATTTCCTTTTTCCGGATTGGTCTCGGTAACAGCATCTTATTTGTGCTCTTTTTTTAAATGTTTATGTGTATTTATAATTTTATACCAAAGAAATGTGATTACTGTGAAAATGATGAATATTGTCCACCAGTCGTTAAAGCTGTTTTTAATGTTTTAGACTGATTAAACTAAAACGACACAGTTCAGCCAGACTAATCAAACTTAAATCTTTTTACGTGCACCTGACTTCGTACTCAGCCCCAGTGTGTCACGTTTCAAAAAGAGAAGGACCCAAAACGCAGAACGAAAACAGACTTAAAAGGAACTAAAACAACAAAAACTTGTTTATAATGTCCAACTCAAAAACCTCAAGAAACACAGGAGGCAAAATCCAAACGAGCCAAAAATCCAAAATCCAACAAAGGCACCGGGGAAAAAAGGACATGGAGACACTGGAGACACTCAGTATGTTTCCATGACACTGGAGAAAACCAAATTATCGCCTTATTCTGATTAAGACCGGACAAACGAAGAGCATGTAAACACCTTAGTCCGACTATAATCAGGGTCAGAGAACTCAGATTAAGACATTCAGATAATACGATTGGAATTCAATTTTTTCTACCATGTAACCAGCGTAGTCGGAGTATGATCGGACAATGTATGTGCGCCACGCCTCCATAACTCCGGAACAAACCCCCAGAGTAGAGGAGTAGCGTTGGTCTCCTCTTTAGAAAAAGTAGCGCGTCCATCATGTCGGACAAAAACAACGCTGTACGATGCTCCATCTTCTTGTTTCTCCAAAATGTCCAGCAGCAGTTGTAGACACTTCTGACGTCTGACACCGACCTGCTGTTGTTGTTGACGGTTGGATGGGGTCGGAAACAGTGCGACTGAAAAGACCCAAATCGCCCTCTTGTTTTGGGGATTTGCACCCGTGCACACACGCAGGAGCACACAGACTTTTCCTTCCACACATACCCCACTCTTAGACATCCATATCTAGTGTCATGTAAAGTTTCCTTCATGTCTGAGGATGTTTAGTGGATGAATCTTCAGACTCTCTCAGTCCATGAATGAAGACTTGTGTTTGCGGCACTGAAGGGGTTAAAATGATGTGCGTCTCAGTCTGTTGTCTCACTGTGGGAAAGTCAAATTTAGAGCCCTGCTGATCGACTGACTGCAGAAAAAAGGTTGTAATATGTTGTTATGGAGCCGTAAACACATGCTAAAAAAAAAAACTTTTTAATGGAAGTCTATTGGCCGATTTATGGACAAAGGAGGGTGGGCGGAGCTAAAATGACGGAGAACTACAGGAGACATTGACGTTTTTTTTTTAATAAGAAGAAAAATAAGAACTCTCACCAAATTAGATTTTCCAATCCTTAAAAGTGTGACTGTCATCTTAAAATAAAGATAAATAAAAAGACAGATGTCCTCAAAATGGACAGAGTAGGAACCGAGGGTTAAAGATCTTTTCAGTCAGTTTCTTTTAGTTTAGGGGAAGTTCTACTAGTTTATGATGAAGTCATGTGACCTCTGCACAAATGAAAGAAGTTTGGGATACTTTCTCAGTGAAGACCAGCTGATTATGTCAGTGTTTATTGGTGCTGTGACATCTTCATGCATACATTTCTTATTTCTGCAGGACAGCCTACTGTGGTATGTGCCAACGTCAAAGAAACAGCCATTTTACCAGTGGACCTGAAACACGAGCTGGACAGAAGTGATATACTAGTAATGTGGAAGCACGGTGACAAGACTGTGCATGTGTTTAGATATAACAAGTCTTATCTGGAGAATCAGGACAAGCGCTACAAAGGCAGAACAGATCTGTTTGAAGATGAAATTGAACGGGGAAACCTTTCACTGAAGCTAAAAAACGTGAATGAGCAGGATAGTGGCACTTATACCTGCAGAGTCCAGCCTTTTGATATTGACTTTGAAGTTAATCTTGGTAAGTACATCCGAGTTAAAAGCTGTTGAATAACTGTTGACACATTCACACGCTCACTGTCTGACACACTTTTTAACAGAGGTGAAGAATGAGTGCCAACCAGAGAAGAGAGGAGTCACGGTGAGGAAACACTTTCAATACGATCAGAACTGTAACTGTCATGAAAGAAGAAGCTCAATCTTTGTGTCCAAACATGACCATGTAATAAAATACTTTATTCTATTTCTTCAGCCAGAAGAACCCCTGGAGCAGGAACCAGACCGGACCAAGGTAAGATGATCAAAGTTCAGTCTTCACAACATCCTGAAACGATTCAAACAAGTGATCTTAGAGTCAAACATCAGCCTGGGCTTCCTCTGAGTCTGGACCTCAAAGTCACTGTTCCAACACAGTACATCCTAAAACAGGGCTTTGAATTCTGTTGAGAATCTGGTAAAAACTGAATAATGAACCTGCTGGGGTCTGAGCCTCACATCAGCATCATGGTTTAATAATTACTAATAATTACTGGACTGGAGTCGTCTCAATCAAGGAGCTGTGAACTGATCACAGGAAAGCCGCCATTATACACCATCATGACACACAAGTTTACCGCCTGAGTGAGAGAGATAAAGAAGATAGTTGCCATGGGAACGTGGTTCATTAGCACGAAGTGTTAAGACTCTTATATGACATCTACGTCCCCTTTATACTTCATAGATAGTTTTCAGAGTCCAAAGGACAATAGGAGAAGTTGGTGTGAAACATAGAGGGACTCTGTCAAGACCACATCCTCTAAAGAAGAAACACTGACAACTTTCTTCTGTGCCTTTCAGATTTACATCACTGCTGGTGTGATTGTTGCTGTTGTTGTTGTTGCCGTTGGAGTATACAAGTGTAAACCATCCAGTAAGTCTAACATATATTCAATCTTTTTGCTCCAGGTCGACTGTATTTGTCTTTGGACCATAAATCACTGCACCAGTAAAAGTAAAAGTTGTGTCAAAACAACCTCACAAAGCACATTAATTTATCAGCATCAAAGTGCTTGTCATGTGACCACGCCTTTCCTCCATTAAAGTGGGGTGACATGTTTTCGATTCACCTGTTTCCAGAGAGTGAAACTGTTTTCTTCTCTCAAACACTCCAACCTGACTCACAGCTTTCACTGTTATCACAGTTTGGTGTTTTCCATAAGAGCGAGTTGAGACAGGCACAAATGTGTAATTGTTTTTTTTCCGTCCAAAACAGGTTAATCCAGTTGACATTAATTTTGCCCTAGTTCAGACTCGCAAAGACAACAGAGTCTGGATGACCGGCGCCGTAGATCAGACTTCTTACGACATACTTTACACCCTTGATGCACCAAAATCGTCTCAGACTGACAGCTGTTGTTTCAAATTTAGGTGAAAGTATAACTTTTTTGGCAGAAGACTTTCTATGTCAGTGTAGAAATACAACAGCTGAGTGCAAAACACAAAAACAAATGGCTCTAGTATCAACATTCTTGTTGGAAAGAGAAGTTTCCTGATATTCAGTTACTGCAACCCGACCTCCTCCTGGAATCAGAATCATCATTCCATCCAGCAGTTTTCAGGATTGAATCCAATCTATTAGACAAAATTGAACTTTATGAACAAACCAATCAAGAACAAACACAGTCTTTGTCTGAGTGTTGAAAATGTACCTGTCATTGTCGTCTAATTTTAATCATTTCAGACAAACGTTGCTTAAACTAAATCCCCTTTTTCTGTCTCAGGACAAAACCAAAGAGATCAACCACCAGACCCAGCAGATCAGCGTGGTTACGAGGAAAGCCCAATGGAAGAATCAGCTCAAAGTCTAAATGAAGACGGTGAGCAGACTTCTGTTAAATGACAAACTGAGGGTAGGACAGGATGTTGCTCTATTTTTCCCTTTCAGAGCAGTGGGGGTCTGAGCAGACTTCAGGCCACTCCTGAAGTCTCACTGGCCACCTTTGACCAAACTGACCCAGGGCCAGTTTTACATTTCTAACCACCATAGACCACGATACCAACCACAACTCCAACAAGTAATTAAAAGAATATTTATCATTGGAGTATTAGCCTCAGCTAGAAAACTGACTTGGTCAGTGAAACCAGTCAAAGTTATATCTGCTGGATTTCAGGTCCTTCATTGAAAATTCTTCTCGTCTTTTCTACCAACAGGAAGAGGTCCAGAGAATCGCAACACTCCGGCGGACAGTAACTATTGGAGTTGGCCAAGAGCATTGTTTCCAGTTAAACAAAAGAACAGAAGACACAGCCCAATCTCTCTGCAAAATATTTAAACCCATCTTTATGACAGCTCAGAGACTGGTCAGTTTACTCTGCAGTTAAAACTACAAACCAACAAAGTAACGGTTTTCAGAGCCAATAATAGAAGCTCATTTTTTCAGTGAAGTTTACATCAGAGCTTCACGATTCTACATTGATATAAAAAAAGAAACAAGTTTTTCTCTGCAGTACAAACTGACTAGATTAACACCAGACAGTACAAGGGTTCAGAAAATGGACATAATTCAGATTTGCTTTCAGATTATTTTTTCAATTAAATCGGATACAAAAACATTTCTAATTTTCACCACTATATTTTAAAATAAAAAATTTGAACTGACAGAGCAGTGCACAAAAAAAGTGCTGAGTATCAGAAATATTGAAATTGGTTTTGTTTGCTGATGAGTGATATGTGTTTGTTTGTAGTAAACTTTTGGATGAAATCACTTTTTTATAGGTAAATGTGAAAAAATAGTTTGATAAAAAATTCACAGTCCTGATATTTAAAATCAGGTTGTTTGGAAACTCTAAAACTAACAGTCAAAAAGAAGGAATTAATACAAAGAGAGCTGAGGACAAGTTTCAGAAAACAGGTATCATAAAATAATCATAGACATAATTATTATTAGCAGGATATGTTCAACTCGGCCTGTAGAGATTATTCTGGATTATTTCAAACTGAAAAGTCCTGATTTTTGTTGCTGCCTGAAATACTGTGATTGACAGCACTGAATGTTTGGGATTATACAAATGTGAGATTTTTTTTTAACAAATCCTGACACTATTTTTTACTTTCTTGCAAATTTCAGCCATCTTACCCTCTAAATGTTTTCTACAACTTTAAAAGTTTGTCAGGTTATATTCAGTGGGTTATTTCATTTTATTCATTTATTTTTGGTTGACTTGATTACTGTATTTTTAATTGTCATCTTTTTGTCTTTTAATGTCTTTTTTTTAACTTAAGGATTTTCTTTCTGTCTTATGTGAGGCACTTTGAACAGCCTTGTCACATAGGGAGCACAAAAACAAAAAGTGAGGACCCACGTGCAGAAGAAAAAATGATTTAGTCATTAAAGACTGAAAGTGAAACAAACAAACAAAAAAACTTACTTCAATGGAAAATCCAAAAACATGAGGAGCAAAATCCAAAGAAATAAAAAGGTGCTGGGGGAAAAAACCAAGAGACTAACTGGGGATACAAACGAACACTAACACTGACAAACACTCAAACAATGAACCAACAAATGAAGAGGGGAAAACAGGGAAACAAGAGACAGGTGAAGACAATCACAGAGGAGGGAAAACACAGGAAGTAAAACTCGACTAGACACACAGGGATTGACTACAACAAAATAAAACAGGAAACACTGAAAACTCATCTAAAGAATAAAAACACTGAGAACAGGAGGGAAACACTAAAAACCAAATACAAGACCAAACAGAAAGTCACAACGGGAATATCAGAATAATGGACAAAGACCAGTGAACACATCGGATCAACAAAATCAGGAAAAACCAGAACAGGATTCAACTATGACATGCCTTGCTGCTGAAATAGGCTTTGTAAATAAACTTGCCTTGTCTTGCCTTTCAAAATGTTTTTATACCAGTGTAAATATAAACAGACCAATTATTGTCTCTTTTTTATTTTTCATTTATCTGCTTTTTTTTAGTTTAAAGGGCTTAATGGAATTAAGTTCAAGAATTATATTCAAAGATTTTGATTTTCACTCATTTATTTTTTTATATCCTTAAAGGTCACCAGATGTTGCATCAATAAATCTGTCAATATCATCAACACCTGAACTTTGTGTCGTTATAGACGGGTTTCTGTGCAACGTCATCGCAGGTATGCGCGCGCAGCCAGGGGGCAGAAAGCGGGACATTTCTTATTTGTTTACTAGTCAACAGAGAAAGAAAATTATGAGGGGCTGTTGTGCTGTAAACTGCACGAATCAGCAAAACAAACAGTTTTTCTGATTTTGATGCAATGAAAGACAAAGTGATTTTTCAATGAAATTACATTTTATTGCAACTGTGTCAGGAAGAACACTACGGCATCTTCATTGATATCAGTTCACTCTGAAGCAGGCTTTTGCCCCCTGGTTGCGCGCACACCTAGTATTGTTTCTTCACAAGAAACCCGTCTATTAAACTTCCTTTGAGGAGATTTTTGTTTGCGTCAGTTTGTGGTGTCGTTGAATACTGAATAAAAAATAAACTTGTGCTCGAACTATGGGTTTGTAGTGGTGGTCCCTTATGCTGAAGGAACAATAAAAGGAAGAAATCTGGAAAAGAGGCGGCTACTAGTGAGCTAGCTGTAGCATTTCTCCGAGAGATGATTCCACACTTAAAAACTGACTTTTAAACTCGCTAACCCGTATTGTGATTAAAACAGAGGAGCTTGAAAATATGAAAGAAATGAGCCACTGGGAAACTTTTTAGTAAAGGACTGTACTCACTGAATTCTGCTGTTCGAGAACTTTATGACAAATTGTAAAAAACACACGGGCCAAAATGTCATTAAATGTGTCAAACCTACTTCTTTCCTGTTTGCACGGCTTTTTCAAACATTTTCAGTGACTATACAACATTCTCGGTTGAAATCGGACTGATGTGCTGCAGTGAAGTTGGTTAGCGTGGGTGTGAAAGTAGCTCAGCATCCTCTTTATGGTGCTATTTCTTGGAAACGTGTCACCTAGTTTAAATTTCTCACCACAAGACAACATTTAGACAGGCAGAGGAGGCTGACTTAGGAAATTACTGACCAACACAGATTTTCCAGTTCCTATTTTCTGACTTTTTAAAACATTTGCTCCTGAATTTAAGAAGAGAATTAAACTACAAAAGGATACGTGTCAAATATATTTATTCGTTCTGATATTTCTTCGCTGAAGTTCGTGATGATACTGTAGATGCTGAATCATACGCTGCGAATAATTCACCAGGAGCATTCAGGTTTGTTCATGATGGTGAATGATGTGATGAGTTTCTGTTTGAGGTAAACTGTCAAGGTAAACAGACTTCACACCTCACATAACGGCAGCCCAAAGACAACAAAACCACAGAACAGATGCTCATGAACACCCTCACTTCCTCTGTACCCTCTGCTGAGTTAGTCTGATACTGTAAAAATGATGGACACGAGGACGGCTCCCCGAAACGTTTGGACCCCCCCCCCAGAGGAGGACTGGGAGAATGTCATGTGGTCAGATGAGACCAAAATGGAAGTCTGGTTTAAATGCTTCTCGCTGTGTTTGGTGGGGCAATAATGCTGAGTTGCATCCCAAAAACACCACACCCACTATGAAGCATGGGGGTGGAAACATTATGCTTTAGGGCTGCTTTTCTGCAAAGTGAACAGGACAACTGATCCATAATAAAGGAAAGGATGAATGGGGCCGTGTATCGTGAGATTTTGGGCAAACACCTCCTTCCATCAGTGAGAGAATTGAGAATGAAACGTGGCTGGATCTGTAAGCATGACAATGATCCCAAACACACCACTCAAGCAACAAAGGAGTGGCTACGTAAAAAGCGTTTCAAGGTTCTGGAGTGTGCAAACCTGGTGAAGACCTACAGGAAACATCTGATCTGTCATTGCCAACCAGGGATACATTACAAAGTATTGAGGTGAACTTTTGTGATTGATCAGATGTGTTTGTGTCTCTCACAGTTGAAGTGTACCTATCACGAACATGACAGGCCTCTCTTGTCTTTTTAAGTGGAACAAATTGCAGAATCAGTGGCTGCCAAATACTTTTTTGCCCCACTGTAAACAGATGGGACATGGGTCGAACCGTGGAATCAAAATACCGGTCGGATAAATGCCTCAAAAACACAGTTTCTGTCTTTAGTGCTGGTTTCTATGACGCTTATAGTGATGGTCATGAAATAAAATAGCTGATCACTGATAATTGTGAAGCAACAACATCAGAAAAAAACAAACATTACGATCGAATTCTGACTCGATTTGACTGTGATCATCTTTTGGTTCGGTCTTCATACTCTGCTTGAATTGAATTTCACCTCAAGCCAACAGTTTCCTGTCGGTAGTCCAGCAGGTCACCACTGCAGTGGGTACTGGCAGTAAACTGGATAACCAGAACCCTCCTCTGGTTCTGGATCACATGTATGTAGATCCTCTCAGCCCGTAGAGCTATTGTATGATCTCCATGATGACATCTTTGCTGCCTCTTCTAGCTTCAGCTTTTCGAGCCACTGTGGAAAAAAAAGTCCCAATCAGTGGTGGAGTCTCTAAGTTTAGATGTTTGCAGAAGTTTACAGAAATAAATGAGAATTTTTTTAATGAATTCATCAGAAAGTCCCAGTAAACATCTTTGTCGGTTATGCAGATGACGCCACGTTGTATTTCTGCATCGAAAACGACCAGTTACTAAAAAAATGCTTGATATCTTTTAGATAAGATTTTATTCTTATATCTTTTTATTTACAAAATATTTCCTGATGGTTCAGTAGGTTGTTTGAGCGACAGGACAGGATTAGTCAAACAGGACGTTTACCCTGAAACCTCCTGATTCTCGAACCTTCTGTCAGGAACCAAAGTTTATCAGAAATAGCGGAAACATCTCTGAGGACAGATGCTCACCTCTCCTGTCTTTGCAAATGAGTCCCAGTAAGATGGTGGTAAGCAGGTAAGGAGTTCCCACCACCAGCTGACACACCAGTCTAGAGACGGACACTGAAGATGAAGCCTGATCTGGTGGAGGAGTGGAAAGTGGAGGAGATCCTGAAAAAGGAGAGGAAGGGGATAAAATACCACGGGGGATAAAATAATGAATTTGTCACATTTCATGAGAAACTATCTGTAAAATATGAAGATAGAACCAGACTGTGGAAGAAATACTGTGACGTATACCTTCTGTTTTGTTTGTTTTCTCGTGGCCTGATATATTTCTGGCTGAAAAGAAAAACACATAATTTTCTTTTTTTTTCCTTTTTCTTTTCAACAAACCGCAATAAAAAGTTTTAAAGGACAAAACAAGAGCCAGTTACAAACAGGGACCCCAGTTAGATCTCAGGGGCCACCCCAAGTCCTGAAGCTTGGGTGACGACTTTCCTTGTCAGGGTGGAGCTTAAGTGAAAATCAACTGTACTGGCGGACTGCAAACCTGTAAAATGATGCATTTCATGGCTTCTGAGAAACTACCCAGAGAGATATCAATGTTGGTTTTCAGAGATGCATGTTGGGTAAATTTGAGGACCTGAAATACTGACCTATTATAAAGTAAATCTGCTGATCTCACCTTCAACGGCGAGCAAGCTGCCCACTGATTCTCCGCCTCCTGAGACTCTGCAGGTGTACAGTCCTTCATCAGATTTAGAAACGCTGTAAAGGGTCGTCTTTCCTTCGGAGCTGCTGCCGATGGAGCAGCCATCTTTGAAGAATTCAAAGTTTTGGCTGGAGGAGTTTGCTGTCATCATGCAGCCCAGAGTGACAGAAGCGCCCTCGGGTACAGGAAGGACGGGGCTCTCCAGGATCACCGGGCGATCGTTGGGATCTACGGAGGATAAAGTTGAACTCATCCTCTTCCACTGTTGCCACGTGGACTTTAGTCCTCGTTAACTTTCTTTAAAATCATCATTTCTGATCAGAACTCTGTGGTTGAACTGATTGTTGTGTGTGTTACCGATGATGGTGAGGTTGACCACGTTGCTCCTCGTCCCGTCTCCAGACTCGCACCAGTACACGCCGCTGTCTGAAGGGTAGATGTTCCTGATGAGGCAGGTGGAGCTCATGGGGTTGGAGCCCCAGCCGAAAGAGCAGGTTGTGACCCCGCCCTTGGAGGTATTCCTCTTTACTATCCAACCGGTGAAGTTAAACTGGTCCTCACAGCTCAGAGAGATAGAGTCGTACTTGAAGAACTGAGACCTGTCAGGACTGACCCGTAGACAGGCTGCTCGAGTGGGAGGGAGGGAGAGGATGGCAGGAAGGAAACCTGAATGTTACAAGAGTATGGCCAAAAGAAAAAAAGGATTAAAAGAGGAAAAAAAGAAATCAACAGAAATTTGAATAAATGAAAGACAGTGAGAAAGATCTGACTGGAGAAGAAGGGAAGATGTGGTGAAATCGTAAAATCAGAAGGGCTGATAGGAGCGAGTTAAAAGGTGACTAAAGTGTAAAAACAGCTGAAATAAAGAAATTTGAAGATAAATTGTTGTAACAATGAAAAAAAGAAAAAAAAACCTCACCTAACACCACGCTGAGCGGTGAGAGCTGCATCCTGTCCCATCGACTGACACACAAATAAACAAACGGCGCTGCAGTCAGACGGCTGCATTTCCTCTCTCCTCCCTCACACGCTCTGTTGCTGTCAAATTTGTCACGTCTGCTGCTTTCGGAAAAACATCTGAAAGTTTCTTCAATTTTACAACAGCTGCAGGAACTTGGATCCAACCGTTACGTGTCAGAACTTTCCAGAACATGAGTCTCTAACATTTTGACCCCATTGTCGTTGTGGGTGTTGTTCGTATCATGTCGGTAAACTTGCTCTGCTTTGGTTCACACAGTGTGAGAACAGTTTAGAGCTGAATACCTGTTTGAAACTTGCTCTTGTTGTTCCGATATGATCCAGATGGTGGCGGTAATGCTCCTCTGAGCTGCCTTGCACTACAAGAACTTTAAAGATGACCTTTAAATGTAGCCCAGCGGTGGACCTACAGACCGATGAGGTTTAAGGGTTTTTTTGGAATCCGCACCTGTAAATGACTATGAGCAGGACACGGCCGAAGAGCGCTGCACCGATGGTGTTCAACTGTGGAGTTGGAAGATGAGGCTGAAATTTTCTGCCTTTGTTTCACTGATACGGGGATAAATGTGCACGTGCATGAACAGTTGCTTTAAAAACTACAGTCACTGAAGGTCATTCCAAAAAAACAAGAACATGAAATATCACATTAGCTACTTATCCAACAAAAGTCACAAGATCAGGTATTTTTGCATCATGACATTATCAAATTGAAGTCAGTGTTTCTTCTGGGACTTCTGCTGGGAGGTGGAAATGGTTACTGAGCGAATATGGAAGCACTGAGGAGTGTCGGCGCTTCAGATTGGGAAGGTTTGGACCGCGCTGAGCAGAAGGCGTGTTGGCGAACCGGCTGTCAAAGCTGACCCTCTTTTTTGGGCTGCTGGTTGAGGAAGAACTGGCCGGCAGCGGGATCTTCAAAACATCAGGGTTACTGTTGGTTCGTCGGAGGCCAGGTTCTGAAGGACGGCTCTGCACCGGCGCAACATCTAATGAAATCAGCTGAGCATCAGAGAGGGTTTGAAGCTGGCGGTTGGTTGAATGCAGCTTTAAGGAAAGCTCACCAGTGGGGCTGTTTTCCATGTGGGTATCCCCGTCGACCATGACGCTCTGCAGGAGCGACTGGTTTTCGTAGGCAGCACTTCTTGAACTTTGAGCTGACGACTTTCTCCTCACTGGAAATGTGTATCCACCTACAACACAAGAAAGAAGTCAGATATCACATGAATCTTCTTCTGAGGAACTTTTACATTTCAAGATCTGGACAAATAAGTTTTTTTGAGGTCCTTTTTAATGAGCAGGAAGCCAAGGATTAAGAAAATAAAAGCCCTAAAAATGTTCAGAACGTTGTTTTCTATGTTTGATTTGAGCCCTACGTCTGAGCAGATTTAAGCCACTGAGAGAACTTTTCTGCCATCTTGAGGAACTCACAAGGAACTGCAAATTCAAATCGGCTGTGCCGCCCCACTCACTGACTTTTCAGTGTTTAAATGTTGGTGACTCACCAGATCGGCCAAACCGTTTCCTCAGACAGAGAGCTAATCCACACAGATTCAAGAGGAGAGAAAGGGTTCCTCCAACAGCAAAGCCAGTGGATAGAGAACAGGACCTCATGCAGTCAGCTGAAAAATGAATACACAACAGTCAATCTTCACCAAACAGGAGGAACAATGAATGTTACCTGGACAGGTGGGGGCTCAAGCTTGTTACACCGGCCCTTTTTATCACTCAGAAAAATTCATGTGACACAAAGAGTTCACACTCAACCATATGTGTTCAAATTATTGGATGCATAACAAGTGACTGTTCAGTTTTTGTTACTTATTTCAACCTGTACAGGTGAGTTGTTGGGGGTGCAGCATACCTGGTATCAAGGTCTCTGTAGTTCTAGTCTGGTTGATCTCTGGCTGGTGAACTCTGCAGGTGACCCTGTGATAAAATATATGATTTAACCTTAGAACTCCCTGCTGTATTTTGAGATATATATATTTTTCTTTTTAATAAAAATCTATGTAGCAACTCGATCCTTTCAAGCACAGCAAATATATACACATCTTTTTTTTCAGGACAACCTCAGCTGTCAGTTTATGGAGCAAAAATGATGTAAAATAAATGTGACAGTAGATTCAGAAACATCAAAGTCAACCAAAAAACAAAAACGGAAATTGATCCCAACAGTACTTTGCTCCAAAAACACACAAATCCACAGTGACCAAGCCTTTCCTCACCTGAACATCATCCTCTCAAGTCTTGGCTATCAGGAGAAGAAATATTGGGATTGGAACAAACACACAACAGCAACTATTGACATATTTACACTCATTCTCCCAGGCTTTTTTTGACTATTTACAGTTGTTTCTGCCACTCCTTGAAGCAGTTCCTGTCTGGGATGAGACAGAGGACCACATCATACTGCTCAGAATCTCTTCTTCGCTTGTTTCCAAACATTGAGAACCATTATTTCTGATTGTGCAGACAAGCAGGGAACTTTCTTGTCTTGGTTTGACAGAAAAAGCTTGTCAAACCCAGAAGACATAAGCGGTATATAGCGATCTTGACCTTTTATGTCACAACAATCTGATCAATAATCCTGTTTTCACCGGTATATCACTGCGGATTTACCATCAAACGTCTCTGATCGAACACCTGTTTTTGTGGCTGGATTGTAAACCTTGTGGCAGGTGTAGAAATGTCTGGAAACCCTCGATAGATCGCCAAAAGTGTAAACTTTTGAACACTTTTTATCCCATGGAGATACACAGTATAGTTCCTGAGAAACTGTGAACAATATTAATGGTGTCACATAGGATCCCCGGTGATCCAGCAGAGTTCCAAGTGTTAACAATCTTTCCTGTTCTTTCTCATGAGGAAACACCACTTGGTTGTAGTGTTTCTTTTAATGTTTGTGCAGTTTTGTCTTTTTTTGAGGGAGTTTTGGGATGTGGAGACCCAATGAAGGAAACTGAGCTCACCTGAACATGCTCTCTAAAACCAAGAGTTTAAGGTTGGGAAACACATTAAAACTCAACCTTTTGGTGGTGCCCTGAAGAGACAATCTTCTTGTCACAGTGTAACACCCACAGGCATCTTGGACCTTCTCTGGTTCATCAGCAGTGAGGTGATTTCCCTCATCATCCAGAAACGTGATCTCAGGTTCAGGCAGCCAGCAGATTGCCTCACACTGAAGAGTCACGCCTCCTCCCTCAGCTGATCCGAATGACAGTTTTGGTTCTGAAACCGCATCTGCAAGAACGAGAGTGATGAAAGACGCGAGCTTTGATTGTTCCGATAAATGAGACAGGGAGACCAACTTTTAAAGTCCGTTTTAAATTGGTTTTAGGCCTTAACAGATTGAGCTGGTCCTGCATTAGGCCCAAACTAACTGATCCTGATCAGAACCAACAGAACTTGACATACCCACAATGAGCTCAACTTCTGTAATGTCGTAGGGGGCGTTCCTCCAGAGCCTCGAGCATCTGTACGTCCCGGCATCAGACAGCTTCAGGTTGGAGATCCTGAGGGAGAAGTTCCTGTTTTTCAGCTCCCGTGTGATGAGGCTCGTCCTGAATTCAAAGACCGGGTTTTTCATCTCATAGGTCTCACATCCATGTCGGTAGAGGAAGACAACATCTGGCTGCAGGCCTTTCTTGGACCACTCCACTGATGGGAGGTCATCATTGGCAGTAATGCTGAAACTGCAGGGTAGGACAACATCCCCACCAGCAAATGCTTGGACCTTTACTGGTGGATCATAGTCCAAAGAGTCACCTAAAACCCGGGGAAATTAAATAAGTATTAGATTTGGTCTCATCTCAAACACCTGATCCATAGTCTGACCCAGGAATCACATTTGGGGTCAGAGGGGGTGGATTCAATACTTGGCACATGGGGAGGGGGCACACTCTGGACAGGTTTTTACTAGACCACTGTCGCTGTTGAATAACTCTAGGTTAGAGTCTCTTTGTGTTTTCGGCAATCTGTTGGTACCTTCTTTAAGGCCTTTGCTGCCTCTCTTTTTGTTGATATTGCCAGTTTTACCTGCGCTAATAAATAACTCGAATTGACCATTTAACATCTGGTTGTTTTATATTACTTCCCTTCTCCCCTATCAAGCTGGTCGTAACAATAACACTTCCTGGTTTGAGGTTAGCCTCTAGTATCTCGTATCCTTTACACATGACCTGGGGAACCACAGAACCAGAACCTTTGAAATGACAGTTGAGCCGGATAGATGGATCTGAACCCGTTTGAGACCAAAGACAGCCAACTGAAGATGTTAAACTCCTGAGGAGCAACATCCAAACTTTTCGCATCTGTCGGCATTCTCATGTAGTATCCCAGCTTCAGCTGACTGGTACCAGCTGAGGGAAGTCACAGGTGATTCTGATAGCTCCTGATTGGCCTGTGAACCTTGTGGTCTGGATTTGGATCTCTGTCCATTAGCCCCACTATTTTGCATGATCTTACCCTACACTACTAGATCAGTACAGTCCTCAAAGAACTTGAGTTGCTTTGCATCCTTTAGGCCTTTGTTTGAACTGACCCCTAAACCTCCCAAACCTCTGACAAGTATCGCTTAACAAAGGCAAAAGTAGTGACTTAAAACACGAGAATAGACAAAAACTTAACAACCATTACTCTGACCATGATTACGCCTTTCTAGGTCAAGGTACACATCATAAACGGAAGGTTGTAAAGCTTGTCTAATTCTGACTGCTGTCCTTTATCAACAAGAACAAAAGGGAGTCTGTGAGGTGTAACATATATGAAACTGGGCCAGCTGGATCATCAAAACCAAAAGAAGAACCTCCATGGTGCGGAGAGGGAAGAAACCCAACAATCAAACTCAGGACATCTCACAGGGCTTTGGATCAGTACACATACAGGTGTGTAGATCAGAACCCAAACAAAGTCTGGGTTCCTGTACCGTCCAGTTTTTGAAACGCCAACATGTTGTCTGAAAACGGTCACATTAACTACAGCAGAGTCAGTACTTCATGATTCTGATTTACCAGAAAAACTTCCTTGGTAACATTTTCAATCCTGTCTACCAGAGCAACGAAACACCTTATATCAGACAGTTCAAACTCTCTTACATACCTGAACAGCCAGTCAGCAGAGCAGCAATCAGGAAAACAAGATACAACATCACCGACAGACTGAAAGGACTTTTTACTTTCTGTATTCAAAGAAGACAAAAAGTTCCTGAGAAATGTCTCATGCCTTCAAACCTGCTCGGCCGTGCACACCTGACACACCTCCGAGATGGACTTCATTCACATACACAGGCGTCACCCAGTGGGACGTTCAAGATCCCTGGGAGAGCTGGGAATTCTGAGCATTTCAGAGAAGAGTTGACAACGTGATGTGACTGAAGAAAGCCAAAATAATAAAGTGGCTCAGGGATAATGTCTGACTATTTCACCGTGGAAATCTCTGATCTGTGAGGTTGAGGTCGAAGGATCGTGGACATTTGAGGAATGGAGGAAGTCGCCTTGTTCTGCATAAATGGAAAAAGTCAGTAGAACTTTAATCTGGATTTAAGCAGAAGCACAGCCTCCTCTTCAGTAAAATATTACATTTAAATCAGACACATCTGGCACACCCATGGGACTCTGGTTCAAAATGACATGTAATTGCATAGCTTGCATTACTGTCATCATTCCACAAGATGGTGTTGTTAAGTTTAATGCGCGCAAACATGGCGAGATGTGAACACTTGTCTGAGGAGAGAGGTAAGTGCTAAAAGGAGAAGTAGAGGCAGAAAACTGAATTACACAAACTGCTTTCTAGTCTTGAAGTCTGTGTTTCCAGGACTTGAGGGACCAGCACCACACAGACCCATGAACGCCTTTCAGCAAAAACCATAAAACAAACTTCTTATGTGGTTGGATTCTTGGACAAAATTATTTGTCAAAGATTCAACTTTGTCTCCATGTGGTGTTTAAATAAACCAGAAAAGGAGTCAGTGACAAGGAAAACCTTTTGGAGAACTGCCTGGAAAACCTGGAAAAGTAGGTTCAGGATTTAGAGAGCTAAAGGACTGAAAATGTTTCACTGAGACAGGACAGCGCTGTCCTGTTGGTCAAAGATATTGTCCGGTATTTCACGTCAATAGTTGTTCTGGTTAATGAAGGTTTGTTTTGTATAAAGGAAGAAGTTTCCTTGTACTCGTTTTGATAATTATTTTCTCAATGAAGCCCAAACATATTTGTTAAATTAATAAGGTGGATAAGACCTTCAACTGTCCTCCATTGAATTTCACCGACCAATCAACTGGCACACCAGAGCCTTTGAGTTCATTTACATGTTGTTAAAAATAACTGATTTACTTTAACTGATTTATTTTAGGAAAGACGGGTCTGATGAGTCAAAGCTTGACCACCCAGACCACTTTAAGAGACCTTAGGTACTGGACTTGCATCTTATCTATTAATTTATTTGGACAGTCACCTGTTATCATTGCCTGACAGCTTACGGTTTATGCAGATATCTGTTGCATTGTATTTCCTCCATCATGACTTCTAGATGTTCCTGTCACTTTGACTTGACTTGACCCCCATTGCTCAACAAGTTCCTGGAAAAAAAAAAGCAACTTCTGCTCACAAATTCAGAAGCTAACGAAATCTTTCATCAGAGTTATCGTTTGATTTCTGCCACATCATTTCTTTTTACCTTCAACTCTGCAAAGAAAACACTTCTGCCAAATCATTCTGACTGTTAGGCACTCAATTTCATACTTATGGCCTCAAACTCCAACTTTCTAGTGTTTGAATCCATTTGCTCAGGTTTGCACGGACTTGTTTTTTGGGGGCAAAACTTCATGGATGTAAAAAAGTTCAGATGTTTTTCTGATCAGGATGTTATGTTATCAAGTTTGTTTACACTGAAAAGAAATCTTTAAATTTGTTTGAAAAACAGCCGAAAACCTGTTAAAAATACAGAAGGTAAATTAATACTGTTTTATGTTAATGTTTCATATCAGATCTTCACAAACTGTTTTCCTTGAACACTTTTACTAACCCGGTTGTTTGTAGCATGTCGGGCATTACACTTAAAAAAAGTCAGTGAACTACTCCAGTATGTTTAAAGAAAAACGGATAAATATCACGAGCAGTGAATCAGTCACTGCTCCAAACTAAATTTACCTACAGAACACCTTGGTCGTTTCACCGTACAAATGCACGAGTCTTTGGGTGCAATCTAAGACTGTTCCAGTGCAGCGTACCGTTTTTAGTGAGTGCACCCAGAATGGTTTGGACTTAAAAGATTGGTCATCCGGTTGCATCTAGACTGACTGCACTTGTAAAAAAAAAGCCTGGATCTAATTATCAGTTTTATAAAGTTAGTAAAGTCAGTGCATGCATTGGTTTTTAAATGACGCTGCTGAGACCGAGGATCACGTTTTAGTTTGAAAGTTCTGCCGATCAGAGAACTCTGAAAATCTTCTTGGGGGTTAAAGGGGAGGGTCAGCAGAACTTCTGAATCCCTCTGAACTCCTTAAAAGGAAACAAACAGTCAGAAATGGAAGTCTAGCAGCCGTACTGGTGTGAACTGACAGAGCTGTGAGTCAGGTGAATCCCTTATATGGAGAACGGTTCATTGTATATAAGAGCTGCTCTTCCTAATTCTTCTACCACTCAGAGAGAGGAAGAGAAGAGGAGAATCATCCAGCAGGTTAAACTCAAACTTCTCTGTTTGACTCTTTTCTCTCTCAACATTTGGACTTCTTTGAATGAACTGGACCAACAAGAGCTCATGTGTTTCCAGGTTTCTCCTCCAGAGTTGTAATTATAAATCTGTTTCTTTGTTGAAGACAGCTCTCTCTCATCATCATCATCATCATCATCATCATGTCCCTCATCAAGTTTCTGGCTGTTGCTCTTCTTTTTGGCGCCATGATGGCAAAAGCTGATCGTGAGTATTATTGCTCATCTTTCACTCAATTTCCATGTCTGGACCGCCCTGTAACTTGATCAGTGTTGGTTTGATTTTCATGAACTTCGTCTGTTTTCTCCTCATCTGGAGTTTTGCAAAGCTTTCTCTGGATCATCCAGTATGACGGTTCTGGCTGAGAGGGTCAAAATGACTGAGCGCGTCAATCTGAGGCTAACAACTATGTTTCTAACTGTCCAGCTCTCCCGGAGCCAGAGCCAGAGCCAGAGCCGGAGCCGGAGCCAGAGCCAGAGCCAGAGCCAGAGCCAGAGCCAGAGCCGGCGCTGGAGTCAGAGACCGAGGCCGAGACCAAGGCTGAAGATGAAGAGTTTGAAGCTGACGCTGAAGAGGGTGAGCTGATTTTGATGGTCACGGATTTGTCTTCAGAGTCTTTCAAAACTATTCACATACAAACCAACCATGTCCTCTGATCAGAGGGAAATAAACCAGTTGGTGTCCGGGCCTCCACTTCTCATGAGTTCAGACTAAAGTCCAGTCTATGGTATGGTTACTCCAAAGGTAGATTCCTAAAACTGATGTCCTCTGTTGTTTCATTTACCTCCTCAGAAGCAGCTCTCCTATATGAGAGAACTCCAACTTGTCCCAGTGGATGGTATCTTCTGTCTGGCCGCTGTTTCTTCTATGATTCCAAGGTCAGGACCTGGACTCAGGCTGAGGTAACCTGGAGGATTTGGACTTCTTCAACTCTACCTTGATTTGGTTTGAGATTCATTTTACTCAACTTTCTTCTGTTGAAACTCTTGACTGTCTGTGGACTTTCCTCTGCAGAAAAACTGTCAGAGCTTGGGAGGAAACCTTGCATCCGTGCACAGCGCTGCAGAGTATCACAATATCCAATGGCTGGTGACCACGATGACTCACAAACACGGAGTAGCATGGCTGGGAGCCTCTGATGCTGCAGAGGTATTTGATCACTACATCAGGTCTCAGAGTTACACTGTGGAGCTTTAACTGATCAGATCTTTGTTTGATCGTCTAGGAGGGTTCTTGGCTGTGGAGTGATGGTTCAGCCTTTGACTATAGGTACTACGGAGGATTTGACAACTATAACAGCAAGGAGCACTGTTTGCAAATGAACGTCGGAGGTAATCTGACATCCAGAGTATTACTAATAATTTACAAACAAAGTGGAGAAGAAACTCTTCATCTGATCTGAACAAACTAAAGCTTTGATAGATTCACATTTTAACATACGCTTGTTTTATTTGAGAGTATTTCTCTGTAACACCACCAAGATAAAAGTTTGAGTCTGTGGTTCAAAATAAAATTTTTCCTCAACTGTGATGGTTTTCTGTGGAAACTACCGATCTGAGGTCAGCTGGAAAAACATCAAGAAAAAAGTTCCCAAAGTATTTTTTTGTGTTTGGCAGTCCTGGACTAACGCCCGTGTCTTTGCCTCTTCCAGAAAACAAGTACTGGAATGACGTGCCGTGCAGTGATTATTATCCAAGCGTCTGCTCCAAAAAGCCAAAAACAGAGTAAAAAGAGAGTTTCCAGGCTGCAGGACCCGATGAAACCACCATCACATCATCGCTCATATATCTTCTTCTTTATCCACTCTTTTCTTTCTCTGTCGCTGTAACGCAACTTAAGGGATGAAGCGACAAGTGACACAACAGGAGCTGGGATGTCTCTGAGACTCAGTGGAAATGTTCTGGAAAGATTGCTTTTAGTACAACCTTGTTATGTGAAGTCAACTTTTGTCTTCTTCTTCAATAATAAATTCTGCAAGCATCAAAAGAATCATGGTTTTGAGTTTTTGTGTTGAATCAGACATTTGAGTTTTATCACCAGAACTCTGAATAGCTTATTCAGTTGTTAATGGAGAATGACTTCTGTGTTGTTATTATTAGAGTTGCAAAATTCTAGGAATTTTCAAAGTTGGAAACTTTCCATGAAAATTAACAGGAATAAATCTGATTTTACAAAATTGAAGGTTGGCCCTCAACAGGGAAATTAAATATAGTTGGGGAAAATTTTATAAAAGGTAAATATATTTGATCTATAATAGTGTTGATATTTAACTTGCAAAAATCAAATAAAAACAGGTGCTAAATGCTATTTTTCATTTCACTGACCATATAAGAGTCTAGCTTATAATTGTGGTGGTAGCTACCTCAAACGTGATGCTGTTTCTTCTGACTCCTGCGAGATGGTTTTCTGTAACCAAACAATAATTTATACATCAATTGTCAAATATTTTGAAGACCATTTCAGTTGTTTAGCCAACTTTATTTCTGTTCATGCTATTGCATTAGTGTTTTTACAAGCTTTTGTTATTCTACGCTATAGATAAGTGCCACATTCGCCATCTGATGCGTGTCATGTTTTTTTTTAATTGCATTATTTTGCATGGATGTCTACTCATGACAAATTTATGTTTGGATATCATACAGTTTGTTTAAATTATCCCCAATTTCCGGTTAATACCCATAAATTCCCATGGAAAGTTTCCAATTTGGAATATTTGCAAAATTCCTCAGCTTAACTTCCCATGGAAAGTTTCTGGAAATTTACCAGAAATTTGCCGCCCCTTTGCAACCCTAATTATTATTCAATAATGCTGGGACACTACATCCATAAAACACTACTTATGGGCTGTGTATATTTGCATCAGAAGAATCTGGTTCTTAAGGAGCCAGAGGAGTGGGTGAATGATTCACAGACAAGATATGGTTTTGTTTTATGTTTTGTATTGAAGCAATATTTTTAAAGAATGAACAACACAAAGAAAGCAAAACAGTTATTGCAAATTAAAAATAGAGATTTTGGCCAAGAGGAAAGGAAAAAAAAACTCCTAACTAATGCCAACCTAATACCCAGGATAAATAAATTACCACATAATCCAAATTTGGATGTTCAACAACACCATAAAATCCAGGGGTTAGCTCACCATCTGGTTAGGTTGAATGTGGCAGGACTGGCTGAATTGTAGCTGTGATGTAGGTAGAGTTGACAGTGATGATCCCTTACAAAATCCCGACCTAAAAAAAAGGCCAAAACATAAATGAATATCATTTTCATCAAAATTATTCACTACTTTTAAAGTAAACAAAAAGAAATTCAATGCATCTATTACACACAAAAGAAATACATTACTGAATATTCAAATACTAAATCCCAAGAAAATATCAATAATTCAAGTAAAAAAGGAGTCAAAGTGGATTTTAAACATTTTCAAAATCAAAGAGTTACATACCCAAGCGAGATCAGTAACAAATCTAGTTGCGAGACATTAATTATCCAAATTATTCAGTGATCGCGTTCAGCCTTGACCAAACCTCATTGCAGTTTAGCATGTATCTACAAAAACATGCTGAAGCTGCTCAAATCAAACACATCACAGGAAAACAAAACGAGCGACCGCAATGATAATCTATTGCCTATAATTCGGCTCTTCTTTAAACAACATTTAACACTTAATTATCTTCCGTTTTATACTCCCTCTTTCTCTCACCGCCCGATAGCGAACACCGCATGACACTCTGGGAGGCATTAAATGGAGTTAGCGACTGCGACACAACAACATAACAACAAAGGGTTTTTCAATAAAAAAGACAGAATGCTCACCGAGAACCGCAGAGTTTGACTCGCTGAAACACGACATATGCTCTTTGTGCAGTCACAGCGGAGGTGAAAAAGGTGAGTAAACAGGTAAACTCCCGAACGTAAAGGAAGCTGAGGAGTTTGGACGATGACCGGAAGTTGCCGACTCTGCATATGGCGGCCATTTTGCGTCAGGCAGCCCGCCTACTCCTAAAATTCCAGTCTACGGTGCATGTAGCATTTAAATAACCATAGATTGGTTAATTTTAAACCGATTTTCAAACGGTTTGGTTTGTAACAAACCCAAGAGTTTTAGTTATGTTCCCGCACGTTCCGCACGTTTAGTTATGTTCCAGAATGGTATACTGGAGTAAGATGGCCGCCGTGTAGGGACGCCGGTGACTCCGCCTCAATTCATTTAGCCTTTATATATATATATATATATATATATATATATATATATATATGTGTGTGTGTGTGTGTGTGTGTGTGTATGTCTATGGTCCGATCAGAGAGTGAAGCCAAGACACAGAATTTTAGTTATCCCTTCGTTGTCTTCATTTTAGCAGCGTTTCACAGCTCTCATGTTCTGTCTGTCTGTCTAACAGGTATCAACGGTGTATTAGCCTCAGTAACGCGATATGTAAGTATGCTAACCTCGGTAAAATATAAACGAACTTTATGCAATTCACGAACTCTACTCGGTTGAACACACACACTCATTCAACATATACAAAGTTAACATTACTTACCTCTTCATGACCGCATAACAATCAACTTAAAAGGTCAACTTGGTATGTGATCGCGGGTTTTGGCGGTAATCAGTGTCGCTAAAAGATTGAGGACCCCCCCGCCTCAAAACTGCCCGTATTAATGCCTGAACAAAAATGGGTTAAATGCCTTTTTTTTTTACCTTATTTGATAAATACTTTTATGATCAACAAATTACTAAAAGAAAACACCTGAATACAGCCCGATAGATGATTAAAAAATGTCCTCTTTTAGTTTATTAGTGTATCAAACGAGATAAATAAATATATTTGTTAAATTTTAAGGATATATATATATATTTTTTTTTTTTGGTTTTCGATTGTAAGTAAAATAAACATTTCAGCTCCAAAAAAACTAGAATTTTCTGGCCATAATTTGTGGTTTCAAGCATTAAAGGGTTACAGTGGTTTCACAGAGACAGAAAACAAATGTAGGAAATTTATAACAGCTGTCGATCATGAAATTGTTGCGCCATTTTTTACTCTATAGCTCAATAAAAAAGAGGTTGCTTTGTTAGATGGTTTAGGCCCATATGTTATTACTGCGACTCACTCTCAGTTTGTTAAATATAGGCGGTTCACTGTTTCTGTTATCGTTGAATTGTAAAAAAAAAACAAACTGCTCTGAAGCTCTTTGCTGATTGTTTTATATGTAGATTTATTTTGGTCATGTTCATCTCACGTTTTTACCAACACGAACTCTACGAGTGCTCAGAAGTATGTGTGAACTACAAACAAATCACAGTTTCTGAAATGGTGATTGAGTTGATGTTAACGCTGTCGAAGAGTTCTAGTGATAAAACTCGAATACCTGTACTTTTCCACTCTGAATTTCCATCTGAGGATTGATGGTGACAGGCAGGTACATTAGTGCGGGGATACAAAAACTCAACACCATGTTTCTTTTAATGCTTGCACATTTTATTATTGAAGAAGAAGAAGACAAAAGTTGACTTCACATAACAAGGTTGTACTAAAAGCAATCTTTCCAGAACATTTCCACCGAGTCTCAGAGACATCCCAGCTCCTGTTGTGTCACTTGTCGCTTCATCCCTTAAGTTGTGTTACAGCGACAGAGAAAGAAAAGAGTGGATAAAGAAGAAGATATATGAGCGATGATGTGATGGTGGTTTCATCGGGTCCTGCAGCCTGGAAACTCTCAGGGCTTTTTGGAGCACACGCTTGGACGATAAAGATAACAATCCGCGTCATTCCAGTACTTGTGCTCTGAAAGAGGCAAAGACACGGGAGTTAGTCCAGGACTGCCAAACAGAAAAACTGGTGCTCCACTAAAACTAAGAGAAACCCTTGGTGGTGTTACAGCCAAATACTCTCTAATAAAACAAGCGTATGTTAAAATGTGAATCTATCAAAGCTTTAGTTTGTTCAGCTCAGATGAAGAGTTTCCTCTCCAGTAATTTGTGGTTTACCTCCGACGTTCATTTGCAAACAGTGCTCCTTGCCGTTTAAGTTGTCAAATCCTCCGTAGTACCTATAGTCAAAGGCTGAACCATCACTCCACAGCCAAGAACCCTCCTGGACGATCAAACAAAGATCTGATCAGTTAAAGCTCCACAGTGTAACTCTGAGACCTGATGTAGTGATCAAATACCTCTGCAGCATCAGAGGCTCCCAGCCATGCTACTCCGTGTTTGTGAGTCACCGTGGTAACCAGCCATTGGATATTGTGATACTCTGCAGCGCTGTGCACGGATGCAAGGTTTCCTCCCAAGCTCTGACAGTTTTTCTGCAGAGGAAAGTCCACAGACAGTCAAGAGTTTCAACAGAAGAAAGTTGAGTAAAATGAATCTCAAACCAAATCAAGGTAGAGTTGAAGAAGTCCAAATCCTCCAGGTTACCTCAGCCTGAGTCCAGGTCCTGACCTTGGAATCATAGAAGAAACAGCGGCCAGACAGAAGATACCATCCACTGGGACAAGTTGGAGTTCTCTCATATAGGAGAGCCGCTTCTGAGGAGGTAAATGAAACAACAGAGGACATCAGTTTTAGGAATCTACCTTTGGAGTAACCATACCATAGACTGGACTTTAGTCTGAACTCATGAGAAGTGGAGGCCCGCACACCAACTGGTTTATTTCCCTCTGATCAGAGGACATGGTTGGTTTGTATGTGAATAGTTTTGAAAGACTCTGAAGACAAATCCGTGACCATCAAAATCAGCTCACCCTCTTCAGCGTCAGCTTCAAACTCTTCATCTTCAGCCTTGGTCTCGGCCTCGGTCTCTGACTCCAGCGCCGGCTCTGGCTCCGGCTCTGGCTCTGGCTCTGGCTCTGGCTCTGGCTCCGGGAGAGCTGGACAGTTAGAAACATAGTTGTTAGCCTCAGATTGACACACTCAGTCATTTTGACCCTCTCAGCCAGAACCGTCATACTGGATGATCCAGAGAAAGCTTTGCAAAACTCCAGATGAGGAGAAAACAGACGAAGTTCATGAAAATCAAACCAACACTGATCAAGTTACAGGGCGGTCCAGACATGGAAATTGAGTGAAAGATGAGCAATAATACTCACGATCAGCTTTTGCCATCATGGCGCCAAAAAGAAGAGCAACAGCCAGAAACTTGATGAGGGACATGATGATGATGATGATGATGATGATCAGAGAGAGCTGTCTTCAACAAAGAAACAGATTTATAATTACAACTCTGGAGGAGAAACCTGGAAACACATGAGCTCTTGTTGGTCCAGTTCATTCAAAGAAGTCCAAATGTTGAGAGAGAAAAGAGTCAAACAGAGAAGTTTGAGTTTAACCTGCTGGATGATTCTCCTCTTCTCTTCCTCTCTCTGAGTGGTAGAAGAATTAGGAAGAGCAGCTCTTATATAAAATGAACCGTTCTCCATATAAGGGATTCACCTGACTCACAGCTCTGTCAGTTCACCCCAGTACGGCTGCTAGACTTCCATTTCTGACTGTTTGTTTCCTTTTAAGGAGTTCAGAGGGATTCAGAAGTTCTGCTGACCCTCCCCTTTAACCCCCCAGAAGATTTTCAGAGTTCTCTGATCGGCAGGACTTTCAAACTAAAACGTGATCCTCGGTCTCAGCACTATCCACAATATATCCACGATGTGAACAATAACGACACAGGCGACAGAGTCAACAGATTAAGTCATCAGTGTGTCCAACTCTACCCCGGTCTGCATCATTGGTACCAAAGTCCGTACGGTCGTAGAAGACGGTTTCCCACCCCGAGTCAGGTTCTTCTCTGGATTTCTGCTGGTTAAACTTTTGTCTTCCACTCAGGAACTTCAGGAATATTCACTTACTCACTTTCTAAAAACTGATCTGTGAAACCAAAGATTGACCGGTTGATTTGTTTAGATCACTCTGAACATGAAGAACTACTGTTGATACTTTGAAATAAATAAGTTGTGACTCGTTGTTTTGCTGGTGGTTAATTTCAGATATTCAGATCACACCAAACACCTGAGAAGTTTGTTCAAAGTTTCACCTCGAGTTGTACTTTTGTGGACTTGGATCACAGCTCTGCCACACAGTCCTGGACCCTCCAGACCAGCAGTCCTCACAAAACCTCATCGCTGTATTTCCTCTTGAACCACATCTTTTTTCTTAACAACATGACACTTTCAATCACCTGAACTGAACTCTTTCAGACAGTCTGCCACATGTTGTTTCTTTAAAAAACGAAGTCCTGTACCTCTTCTATCGTGACCCGAGAGCAGGATTGTGAAACATGAAACTTTTCCTTTCAAGAATGACTTGTAGATTTACTCATCATGACAATCCATATTTCACTGCACTCTGAACTTTTTCATCTTCGAAAGTTGAAATGTGGAAAGAAACAAAAGAGAAGTAAGAAGGGTGTTTCTTCAAACCTGTTTTGCTTCATCACTTTCACTGGGATGTTACAAAACCTTCTTTGAAAGTGTTTTTATTATAATTTCATAAACATCTCTGCATTTCTACCAACACCATAGTTTATATTCAAAAACATCAGAAACTAGAAGAGCACTCGGAGAGCGCAGACCTCCGCCAAGCAGCTCATGTCCCCCTTATATTGTGATTCACACCAAAACTTTTACTGTTACGTGTCTTTTATTAGCGTTTATTTGTGTTTAAACTGGTATGTTCACTGTTCATAATGTTCCTAAAACAAGAAATGCCCTGACCCGGATTCAAACTCAGGACAGTCTTGCTGTGAGACGACAGTGCTAACCACTACACCACTGTGCTGCCTATCTACATCACTGTACCGCCCATTGGTTATCTTTCAGCATTGAAAATTCTAACCACACCCTTATTTTTGTGTGTTCTGGATCACAGTATCCAGAATTTTGTCCGGATCACCACCAAAATGTAATGGGATCCTCCTGGGGCTGAGACGCACCTCTGGTGAAAATTTCAGGTCAATCCGTCTGTAACTTTCTCCTTGAAGTTGCCAACAGACAAACAAACAAACAAACAAACAAACAAACACCAACACCAAAACATAACCTTCTTGGCGGAGGTAATTAGCTTAAATATCTTTAATATTTAACTTTCATATCTAGCAGTTGGTTTGATCCAAAGCCACTTCTTTCACCTTATGAACTTTCTCTCATCTCAAACACACGGAAACCTGAAAAAACACATTTTTGAAACAACTTCAAAAAAATACAGAAATTAAAATATTGGAAAAAACTTCATATAAAATTCTGAAATGTGAGCGTGTGATCTGAACTAAACGAGGGTCGATGATGAAACGAAGCACCACACACAAGATGGATTATAATCTATTCATCTCTTTGACTATTTCGACATATACGACATTGTTTTTTCAAAAATTCTGCTAGGTTTAAAGAGTGGAAGAGTTGCCTTATTTAAGGTGAGGTTGACACAGTGAGACTCTAAAGGTTTAAATGACCAACACAAGGAAACTTCTTCATGATGACGTGTCATCGGCAAATAAACATATTTTACAGTTTTGACTAGTTTTCAAATTCATTCAAAAAGCGTGAAAAGAGTGAAAATTAAGGCTGTCAATTAATTATTTTTTAATTTTCATCATTTTATTTAAGTAGTTCATGATTTTTCCATTTTTAAAGGCACGTTTAAACTTGTTTTATATTTTATAACTACTCAAAGTTCTGCTAGTTTCCAAGGGCTGTAATTATCTGTGATTTGCTCTCAAAAATAGTGCTTTACCAGCAATTGTGATGCAGTTTCTCCCAGATATAAGATTCAGTGTAAATCCTCAAATAAAAGTCACAACATTCTCTTTGGCTTTTCAAACAGACTGAAATCATTAAACTGGGCTCCAGTATTTATTCTGGTTTTATAACTGACCCTCCTTCTGAGTTTGGAGTGATTTTAGCAGCAGTAAAAGCTGAACAGACACATGAGAAGCCAGGCCTGGTACAACCATGAGATTCTGCAACACATTTGAACTGTCAAACAGCTTGTAGTACACTCATTTCTCCATGATGGGGAGCAGCTGCCAGCGTCAGGAGCTCACGTGTGATTCAAACTGAACAGACTCGTTGAAGGCCAGCGCTGACTCATCCATAAAACAGTCGCATCAATCTGAAACATCGTGGTACTTTGCATTTCAGCCGACTGTCCACAGGGTGTTGCTATTATACAACTGAATGTTTCTACCACACTATATATTACAGTCATCTGTCCACATGGTGGTGCTGCTACAACCTTTCTGAATGCAGACAGCAGGACATTAGTCAGTCAGACTTTATACAGGACTCCTACTACAACTACTACTACTGATAAAAAGAACAACATAAAACACAGACACCATGTTTTTTCTTCAGTTTTTGGAATGCTTTCATTTTGTCTTTTTCCCCTACAGTTTAAAAATATGCTCTTATTTTGAAGTGCAAGCTACTTCCTGTGAATAATGTGAAACAAAAGGTCAGAAAGTAAAGACAGTCATGAGTAAACTCAAAGAGGGAAAAGCTCAAATTTTTTATTCTTGATTGAAGGTCAAAAAGAGGATGATATGGTGAAAAACGCTGAGTCATGGCTGCCCTGCATTGTCATTAAAGGTAGGGTAGTCAGGATCCGAGGAAGTTCCAGTTTTTAGGAGAAATCTTGAATGTAAACTCTACCCCTCCCAACCAGTTTTCCTCTCAAGCCCCGCCCACAAACAGACGCTCCTGCTCGCTCGTATCGTTCCAGTTAAATTCAGATATAATGCAGATAAATCCTTCAGATCATTACAAATGGGGCCCAGTCAAGGTGAAAGTCAAAAGCATTGGTGCTACTGTAGATGCCAACAGACTACCAGCAAACACAATTAGGGTTGGGCATCGAGTCTCGAGCATCGATGGGGACCGGGACTAACATTCCGATTTTAAAATTTCGATTCCAAGTTTCGATGCCGGAGTCTGCCGGCCGGAAGAAATAGCCGACAAACACCACAATGGATAATCGTTAGGAACCAGAATCGAAACGAGGAATCGGAACCGGAATCGTTCAAAATCAAACGATACCCAACCCTAGACACAATGTTTGCAGGACTTCTACAACGAGGATAAAGTGACATAGTCCAGGACCCGAGGGAGGACAGTTTAGCGATGGCGCTACAACACGCTACAGCAGGTCCATTTGACAAGAAACACTTCTGTTACAGACACTTGTCTTACTTTGTTAAAGCGGTTTACCTGTCCAGCAGAAAGGTTACAGGGTCACCAAGATCCCCAAGCGTCCCCCATCGTTTATGTTGACCCGGCTTTTTAGCTCTTGTCCGGTCTACCTCCGTTTTAAGCGCCCGTTATTCCTCCAGAGTCTCCGGTATTTACTTTGAGTCACGGTTGAATAAAGATTAGAAAACAAATACCAAACAAAGTGGTTACCTTCGTAAAAATATCAACATGAGCTTTTCCAAACCAAATGTCGCTGAAGAGGGAAAATCAGTTTTACTCAATGAATGAGTCCAAACTCTCATTTCCTCGTTTGTCTGAACCGATCAAACCCGATTGAAAGTCTTGTCCAGTCATCCTTCGGCACTGAGTCTGCTGGCGTCTCTGAGCACATATTTGGTCATCCTGTGATCAGTTCCTCATTTTTCAGCAGATGATGAGATAAAAATTCGTATATAAGAGCCGGTTCTTCTCTTGCTCTGCACCACTCGCTGGAGCGTTGAAGTTTTGCCGAGGAAGAAGAAGAGAAGAAGAAGAAGGTAACTCTTCCAAACCTTTGAACTTCACTACCTTCACATCTTGACTCTTTACAGTCAGGGCAGGTGGTCTCTTTCATCCTCTCTCTGTGTTCCTGATATGATGGACACGTCTTTATCTCTCAATTCTTATCGATCGTCATTTTCAGAATCAGCAATATGAAGCTGCTGGCTGTCTCTGCACTTCTCTGTGCCGCCGTGGCTCTGACAGGAGCTTTTGGTCAGTACTTTTAGGAGACTGAATAATGTATCATGACTGTAGACATCAGAGTTATTTCTGCTGAAAGTTTTGTCTCTATTTTTACCTGAATGACCGAGTAAATGTCTGTTTTTTTTATTGTCCAGTTCTTCCTGAAGACGATCAGCAGGAACTCGGTCAGTGAATTTTCTTGCAGATGTCAAATACCTGAAATGTTTAATATTATTTGGATGCATATATTTATACCACTCTATCCTCCAAAGGTTTCCTCACTTTATTCTTGTCCTTTAATTCTCAGTGGACTTCCTCGAACAAAGGGGGACTTGTACCGGCACCTGGTCCGAGTTCAATGGACGCTGTTTCCGATATTTTCCGAAAGCTATGCCTTGGGCTGATGCTGAGGTAACCGGCATGGCTACCTAGCACCTTGCATCTTGGTCAAGCTTAATTCTTTATAATTCTTCATTTTTTCCCCTATAGCTGAACTGTCAGTCCTTCGGTGCAAACCTTGCATCAATCCACAACATCGAGGAGTACCACGAGATCCAGAGACTGGTTTTGACCAACAGTTATCAGACCCAGTTGTCATGGATTGGAGGTTTTCTTGCCCATGATGTAAGATTCTTTAAACGTAACACAAGACCCACTTTTGGATTCAGAGTTTGAGAATCGATAATGTGATGTATGCTAAAGTGTGATCATATGGATGTTCAAAAGTTAAAAATCCATGTGAGACGTTCAAAAGTTCAGAGGTGCAGGAAGATGTTTTGAACCAAAAAGGACAAACTTCAGACCTGCTGACGGTCCCAACCTCTGTGTGTGTTTATGTTTTTTTTTTCCATCTAGACTGAGACTTGGCTGTGGAGCGACGGGTCCAGGTTCGTCTACCAGAACTGGTGCGAGCATGAGGCTGAAGAGGCTCATGAGGGACCCTGCGTGGATATAAACCAAGGCTGTAAATATCGTACCTTTGCTACTAGTGGTTGAAGTTAAAACAGTGATAATACTTCGTTACCTGGACGTTTCTGTGGCACCAATTAACCATTAGGAGTCCATCAGAAAAGCGACAGATGACATGATCTGAATTCGAGACAGTTTTTCCCTCCTCTGACAAAAGTAGGCTTGTCTTTTCATCAGGGTTTAGCGGATAAATTCTTGGACAGTGGACGGCGCCACTTATCCGTAATGCCGGTGAATCACTCGACACAGTGACATCGCTCTCTTTCAGGCACTTTGGTATGAACAAGAACTGGAGAAATGAAGCACAAATTTTAGACAATTTCAGAGACATTCAGCATCGATCGACCAGACAAGAAATACTAAGATATGAAGATATGAACACACGCCATTCCCAGACTGCAGGTTCTTGTATTTCTATGGTGTAAAAATGCCAATACTTTGGTGCTTTTCTATACATGATAAACGATCATTCTTATTTTATAAAATTCAACATTACAAATCATAGTTTTTATTTTTAAGGGTGATAAAAGTGCCAACTTACCTTCTTTTATTCTGTGTCGTTAAAGTCTTTTTTAATTGGAGCGGGTTCGTCTTGTAACAAGTGTCGTCTAGTTTTAGGATCAAAATGGTGCGATAAAATAATTTAAGAAAAGAGTCAACAGACAGGATAAACACCGACTGATCCTCTGAATTTGTCTAAACTATGAATTACAGTTATTAGGAATAGTAAAATTCAGCAGTTATCGACGAGCTGAAAGTGTGAAAAATGTCTCCAAATTTCATTATAATTCAGTTTGGGATTTACAAAATGTTTTTATACATTTATTTACAAATATTGTGTAAATTGGGGGATTTTTACAATCCATAACAAATACTAATCCAGGCAATCCACTTTCCTTAAAGTTATCGACAAACCAACATCAAATAAAGAGAAAGTTTTCCCCATCAGGACTTTACAGAAACAATCTCCTCCAAAAGAGAAATGATTTAATAATTTTTAAATGATTATCTACAAAAACCAAAAAGTGCTTCATTTATGGTCAGCTGAGTTTGCAACTGCAGAAACCCAAATTAGAAATTTGTCCGAACTTAAAATTAAAATTGTTAAGTACATTAAAGACGCTGTGGCAAAACCCTCTCAACCAATCGGTCCATGATTTTTAACTTAGCTTTAGATCAAAACAACCCAGTATTTTATCTTTGGAAGTGAAGTTTTTCTGTAGTTTGTCTCATGTGTTTTTAGTAAAGGTTAAAACATAATGTTGGTGCACAGACTAAGACCAAACTCTCTTTTGTGTATAATGTTTTCAGATGGGAAGTGCTGGGGAAGCGCCACCTGCACTGAATCGCTCCCGTTCCTCTGCTCCAAGAAGATGTGATCATACTAGAGTGGAGACAGAGACGCCCGAGAAGAGAGCAGACATATCTCCATCCTTTCACGAGTCCCGTTTAATAAAAAGTCAGAGCGTTCCTCCTTCTCTCACATCTCTGTTATTCTTTCAATCGCTGTGAAACAACTAAAGGAACAAAAAGACAAACAACAGGAGCTGGGTTCAACGAATAAAAGGTCTAAAACTCTTAAATGGAGCTTGTCCATGTCTTTGTTTTATCTAAAGAAAACTCTTCCAGAATTTTAAAGTTTTCCAACTACAGAAGCACTAAGAATGAATTTGTGAACAAAAAGTGGGAGAATAAATATGTAAATGTTATTTCACAAGATTAATTTATAGGTCTCTTTGAATAGTCCACCCATTTACACTCAACATGCTATCAGGACATACTTAGTTGCATGTCAACAGTTTTTACTTTAATGTGACAGTCCTTACATGTGTCTACAAATACATAAGAGTTTACCACTACTACTATTAATAATTATTATAATTAAACTTATTTAAAACCTTTTCAAAACGGGGTGACAAAGTGCTTCACAACGTAAAAACAGAATAGAAATACAACATACAGCAGCAGATGGAAAAACAATTTACAAAAACAGTCAGTCAAAAGGAATGAGTCAGAATTCAATAAAAGATGAAACCCCAACCATGTTAATAATAATAATAATAATAATAATAATAATAATAAGAAGAAGAAGAAGAAGAAGAAGAAGAAGAAGAAGAAGAAGAAGAAGAAGAAGAAAAAGAAGAAGAAGAAGAAGAAGAAGAAGAAGAAGAAGAAGAAGAAGAAAAAGACTTTATTAAAAGTTGAGAGCTAAGTTAAAAGCCATGTTCAGTTAAATCACACTTATAAAAATAGGTTTTAAAAGGAGTTTGAAAAGAGGAACAGGTCTGATCTCCTCAGGCAGTTTGTTCCAGAGAGCGGGGGTCCTGACAGAAAAACTCTGGTCCCCCTTGGTCCTCAGTCTGGACTGAAGAATAGTCGGCAGACCTTGTCTGAAGACCTCAGGGTATGACCAGTCTTTTAAGGTGTGAGGAGATCTAAAAGTGCTTTCAAATTTTTCAGTAAGATCTTAAAATCATCTAAAAATGAACTTGAAGCCAGTGGAGGGAGGCTGAAACAGGGCTGAGATGTCCTCTCTCTATAGTCTGTTGATAATAACTACCTTTTTACGTGTCTTTTTAAACTATAATTCAATGCTTATTACAAGGACCTTAATATAAAATGTTACCGGCTAATAGAACGTAATAGAGAATGTTAATATCTATGATTCTTGGTATGGGAATCATGAACAGTGCATCTTTAATGATGGTAAAAATGAAGTATTGATTGAGGCTGGGCTAAGACTGCAATTCTATATTATAATAGTGTGTTCATGCGTGTTTCATCAGATAGAAACAGGTGGATTTCCTTTTACAGGCTTGATTACTGGTACAAGAACTTCAAGAACTGTTTCCAGTTAAGAAGTAACAAGTTTAAACATATTGGTCTTTACAGTATATTCTTGAAATGAAAGGGAAGGCTCATGTTTGGATGAATTTCAGCCATTTACGATGATAAATCCCAATGTTGATTAAAACCTTACATTATTAGGATATCAGCATTTTCCCATTAAATTATTTTAAATCCTGATATATTATTTCCTTTAGTGTTTATCATGTGACACTCATTATAAAAACAGAGATTCAGAAAAGTGTTTTTAGATCAAATAAAGACTCAAACTCATTTGAATGCTTAATGCTTTTTATTTTGCAAATGAAACAAGAATTATGCAAAAAGCGATCTTTCCATCAAACATGATCTTTTCTCTTTTTAAAGGCACTCAGCCAAAGAGACAATCCAGTTCCTGTTTACTTGTCTTTTCATTCCTTGAGTTGCGTTACAGCGAGAGTAAAGAAAGATAAAGAAATGAGAGAAGATAGAGCGCTTGAAGTTTGTGTCTCGGGTTCTTTAAGAGAAGGACGAGTGTCTGTTGTCTTCACGGGTGCTTCTGTCTGGACCGGAGTGGGATTACGCCCTGGTGGAACAGACGAATGGAAGAACTTCGTTGCAGTTGCCGTCGTTCCAGCACTTACTCTCTGAAAACATTACAAATAAAAATGATCAAACAATGGTTCGTTGTGGTGACAAATAAATCAAAGTTCACGGCTTTACAGTCGGGTCACTTTTCTGATATCATTCAGAAAACTATTATGACTGTAACTGATACTTCACAGAAACAACTGGAAATGGACCGGTCCATCATAAGGTTCATTTAAGTGGGTTTTATTTACCGCTGTAGTTGACCTGCATGCAGTTATTTCCAGAACCATTCTGGGGATCCCCTTGGCACCAGTTCTCGTAGGTGAACCTAGTCCCATCACTCCACAGCCAAGATGTGACCTGAAACAAGTGATATACTGAATATACACACAAGGGCTGTGACCGTTAACGGGTTCATAACAAAGGTCTGAAATTTGTCCCTTTGGGGCCACCGTAAATTTAATCGATGACATGAAAGTAACGTTGAGTTGAAGTAGAATTTTATAAAGAATAACCATAACATCATTCGCCTCAAACTTGAAATCGGCAGGTGGATCAAATGAAGAATACCTGATGGGCAAGATTCCCACCAACCCATGCCAGCTGCAGGTTGTAACTGCCGGCCACAATCAGTCTCTGGATCTCGTGGTACTCCTCGATGTTCTGGATTGATGCAAGGTTTCCTCCGAGGGACTGACAGTTTTTCTGCAGGGGAAAAAATGTGGGTGAAAATGAGGCGTGACCAAGATGGACTAAAGATCAATAACATGAATTCAAGTTAAAAGTAAAGCCATCTCGGTTACCTCAGCAGCAGCCCAAGTCAAAGCTCTTGGAAAATATCGGAAACAGCGTCCATTGAACTCAGTCCAGGCGCCGGTACAAGCTGCCCTTTTGTCGAGGAAGTTCTCTGAGAATAAAGGACAAGAATAAAGTGAGGAAACCTTTGGAGGATAGAGTGGTATAAATATATGCATCCAAATAATATTAAACATTTCAGGTATTTGACATCTGCAAGAAAATTCACTGACCGAGTTCCTGCTGTTCATCTGCAGGAAGAACTGGACAATAAAAAAAAAACAGACATTTACTCGGTCATTCAGGTAAAAATAGAGACAAAACTTTCAGCTGTAATAACTCTGATGTCTACAGTCATGATACATTATTCAGTCTCCTAAAAGTACTGACCAAAAGCTCCTGTCAGAGCCACGACGGCACAGAGAAGTGCAGAGACAGCCAGCAGCTTCATATTGCTGATTCTGAAAATGACGATCAATAAGAATTGAGAGATAAAGACGTGTCCATCATATCAGGAACACAGAGAGAGGATGAAAGAGACCACCTGCCCTGACTGTAAAGAGTCAAGATGTGAAGGTAGTGAAGTTCAAAGGTTTGGAAGAGTTACCTTCTTCTTCTTCTTCTCTTCTTCTTCTTCCTCGGCAAAACTTCAACGCTCCAGCGAGTGGTATAGAGCAAGAGAAGAACCGGCTCTTATATACGAATTTTTATCTCATCATCTGCTGAAAAATGAGGAACTGATCACAGGATGACCAAATATGTGCTCAGAGACGCCAGCAGACTCAGTACTGAAGGATGACTGGACAAGACTTTCAATCGGGTTTGATCGGTTCAGAGGAACGAGGAAACGAGAGTTTGGACTGTGATCCAAGTTTAAGGGTCGATTTACACACTTGTACTCACATTTATTTGAACTTTTTCAGATTTTTGTTGATATTTTTACGAAGGTAATAACTTTGTTTTCCAACCTTTACTTGACCATGAATCCTTGATGAAGACATGAGCTTCAAATCACTTCAGATCAGGGATAAAAAACTGACTATCAGAGGCACAAAAGCTATGAGGATGGAAAATGATTCCAGAAATGATCCTGAATCTTAATCATAATATTTCAATCTAGTCTAGATAAACAGCTCTGTATTCAGAACAGCTTCTGAGTTTCATTTGTTGTTTTCACTACCCAAGGTTTTTGCCCACGTACATCCCTCTAAATGTTTGAATAAAAGCACCTTGACTTACTTTTCACTTCCAGATAATCATCTGTCATTTTTCTAAATTGTAACATATGTTTTTATTGATTTATTTAAGTGTCAATTATCCTGATGATCGTTTAGAGAATTAGTCAAAGATAAATACTCTGGTTGTTAAGGGCAACAGACTACTAAAAATGTGGCTGATTACTAATTACTAATCTCTTCACAGACACCACTATCAAATGCCGTCGAATGCAGTCCTCCGGCTGTCGCTTCTTGGTCCCCAAGGCCAGGACCAAGCGTTACAGAACCACCTTTTTCCCAGCAGCCATTGCAAAGCTCAATGGCAGGGCTTATAGATGAGGGAGTCTTATTGAACCTTCAGATCTGGAGAGATTTTATGGCTCTTAACAATTGGCATTTTTTGTACTTGATTGTTGTATTGTTGTTTTTATGTGTGTCTTATCCTGCCTGCAAACAAAATTTACCGCAAGGTATAAATTAAGAAACCTTTGAGCCTTTGAACCTTTGTACACCAGATCTGCCTTTTTTTAATTGTTGTTTTTTCATTTCCATCAGCTGTGTAAGTCAGTGGAGACGGTGGTTTTCTGCCAAAGCTCAAAACTTGTTGCATAGATGGTAAAATTGTACTGTTGTTGAACCACAAGCAATCATTTTATGATTACAAAAAGATATTATTAATGGACTTGAGTGATGCCCCTCATGGTTCAAACAGAGAAAAATAAGGAGGTTTAAAGGGCGATTTCACAACATACCAAACATTATTTGGCAGGCAGTGAAAGTGAATAAGCAGAATAACTTTAATCAGATAATTCCTGAACTTCCCTTTTTGACACGGTATCAAACGCTTCAACTTCTCCAAATAAAAGGACTGATGCAAGGAGTGATTGATTATCATGGTGATTAGATGGAGACAAGCAACAAACAGCAGCATATTTCTCAATCCTGCTTTAAGGTCACGACTGCAGACGTACGGTAAAAAATACAGTTTTTATATATATATTCTGAAAATGTCATGGACTCTCTGCACTTAAATTTAAGATGTAGAAAACTGTTACCTCAGTGACAGATATCAATACACTCAAATCAATAATGTACAATCAGAATCACTTGAGTTACTTGTGGGGTCCCACAAGGCTCAGTCCAGGGCCCCAAACTGTTCCTTCTGTATATTAATGATGACTGTAACGTGTCCAAGATATCGAAATTTGTATTGTTTGCTGATGAAACACATTTTTACTGCCCATGGAAAAATCTAGAACAGCCTTTACAAGATAGTGGAAAGTGAACTGAATGTTTTAAAGGATAATTTTGACCATAAAAATTCGGCAAATTAAAACTCAAATTAATGATGTTAACATAGAGAGAGTGTATGAAAATATATTTGAGGGAGTGATAACTGATCATTGACTTTTACAAGTCACATTTAAATTATGTTAAAAGTCAAAAAGTCATTGCAGTACTGTTTAACCCTCTAATGCCTTTTGTATCATATTTGATAGATACTTTTATATACTTCAATCAAATCAATATGATCAACAAATTACTAAAAAAACACCTGAATACAGTCCGATAAATGATAAAAATGTCCTCTTGTAGATTATCAGTTTCCAAAAACATTTAATGTATCAAATGAGATAAATAAATATATTTCTTAAATTTTAAGGACATTTTGATTTTTTTGGTTTTCAGTTGTAAGTGAAATAAACATTTCAGCTCCAAAAAAATTTGAATTTTCTGGCCATAATTTGTGGTGTCAGGTATTAAAGGGCAATAATGAAGGATAGATCTGGATTCATTATATACCCTGTGGATCTCTTACAGTTCTGTATGTGGAGTATTGTGTGGAGGTTTGGAGTAACACTTACTTAGAAGCAGGACTGACATTTTCTCGTAAACAGAGAGGAGCTGTCCAAAAGTTTCTCTCTATGCTGATGATGTTACTCTGAAGTACTAATATCTCTATTTTTATTCCAAATATTAAACTGATATTACCATTTCAATGTTAGCATATTTCCAAGGTCATACTGTTTTACTACAGTTTGTCTGGTGAACTACAGGTTATTCCATGGAACTGGGGTCAGTGGATATCTTTACTCATTTATCCACCATTTTCCTCCATACTAGTTTCCCTTTTTTGAAGTTATTTTTTATTTAGGAGGAGAGAGTAGGAAGACATGAGGCAATGGGTTGAGGTTGGGACTCAAAACCATGATGGCTGCGAGGACCACAGCCTCCATATGTGGGACACCCTGACCGTATGTCAACAGTGGGTTGTACATTTGTCAAGTTTCCATTAAAGTTGGACAGTCTTTACAAATACTGAGTGAATTATAGTCTGTTGATAGTTTACCGACTTTTGTACTCTTGTTCTAACACATCCACAAATGAGTTCAGATGGCCAACTGACAGATAGATGTTTTGTAACCATAGAAGTTGACCGTGTACTGAGAGCTAGTTGATATGAAAGTGAAGCAGGTGAAGTAAGTGAAACTCCTCTGTCCACAGAGCAGTGGCAGCTCAATGTTTCACTCCGTCCTGAGCCTTTAGGTCACGACCTGGTGGTGGCATATGCTAATATCTGTTATATTGTATTTCCTTTGACATGACTTGAACACAAACTCATCATGACAATCAATCATGCAACCACTTTGACCTTATTGACCAAGAGCTTTTTGGAGAAGTGGAAACTTCTGATTTCTGGTTCAAAGGAGAAGTTGATAAAGTATTTCATAAGAGTTATCACTTTTTACACCTGCCATTTCATTTTTACAGTTCAGTTTGTAAGATAAAGTTTTCTGCTAAATCATTCTTGGTCACTGTGTGCTGCAGCCCATTCTTCGGGTCCTGACCTCCGACCTTTACACGTTTCAACAGACCCAACAAAGACCCCTGAAAAAGGATTTCACGGATCAGTTGGAAGTCATTATTTTGGTTTCTTGGAGTCTTAGGATTAGTTTGTTCATCTCCACATCTTTGTTGACTTGATCAAAGTCGTCTACTCTTGATGGAGAAACACAACCTGGAAATGTAAAAAATAAAATTAATAAATTTTCAGATTACTTTCTACCACCTGAAAGATTTATTTTCTCAATCTCTTTTCTTGGTTGGACTCTGTCGCTATGGATTACGTCTCACCAATAAATGTGTATCAGTGAGTCATATAATAGTATGAAAGATGAAAACAGAGGAGGGTAGAACTGATTCCTCTGACAAAAAAAGTTCTTTAATAGTAACTTTCTAAATGGAATTATGGAAATAAACTTTTCTATGATATTTTAATTTTTTGAAAAGGGTCTATAGTGTCAGGGAGATTTCCTGTGGCATACCCCAAGGGTCTGTCATAGGTCCAAAACTCTTCATACTTTATATCAATGATATTTGCAGTGTTACATCTTTTTTAAATGTATTATTTTATGTAACAAACAACATTAAAGTCAAATTTATTGAGTATGGACCCACAGATAGGCACAGAGGAATGGATGGGCTTCAGGTTGCCATCCATCCATCCATCAACCCATCCATCAACCCATCCATCCATCCATCCATCCATCCATCCATCCATCCATCCATCCACCCACCCATCCATCCACCCACCCATCCATCCATCCATCCATCCATCCACCCACCCACCCACCCATCCATCCATCCATCCATCCACCCACCCATCCATCCATCCATCCATCCATCCACCGACCCACCCACCCATCCATCCACCCACCCATCCATCCATCCATCCATCCATCCATCCATCCAACCACCCACCCATCCATCCATCCATCCATCCATCCATCCACCCATCCATCCATCCATCCATCCATCCACCGACCCACCCACCCATCCATCCATCCATCCACCCACCCACCCATCCATCCATCCATCCATCCATCCATCCATCCATCCATCCATCCAACCACCCACCCATCCATCCATCCATCCATCCATCCATCCATCCACCCACCCATCCATCCATCCATCCATCCATCCATCCACCCACCCACCCATCCATCCATCCATCCATCCATCCATCCATCCATCCACCCATCCATCGTTCCATCCATCCATCCACCCACCCACCCACCCACCCACCTATCCATCCATCCATCCATCCACCCATCCATCGTTCCATCCATCCATCCATCCATTGTTCCATCCATCCATCCACCCACCCATCCATCCACCCATCCATCTATCCACCCATCCATCCACCCATCCATCCATCCATCCACCCATTCATCCATCCACCAACCCATCCATCCATCCATCCATCCATCCACCCACCCATCCATCCATCCATCCATCCATCCATCCATCCACCCACCCATCCATCCATCCATCCACCCACCCACCCACCCATCCAGTAAGAAGAGTGACCGCTTCATAAAGTATGTGTCTACTGGAAAAAGATTCTGCCATATCTTCTGATGGCGTTTAAAGGATTAACAGGTGGACCATCAAAGTCAAGTGTTCTGGTCTTAAAGAAACGAGAGGACACGTTTTAAAGCAAACTAGTCCTAAAGAAGTGAGTCTTCAACCTGAGGTGTCTGAGGAGACTCTGTCTGAGGATGTTTCTGTGCTCATATTTGGTCAGGCTGTGACCAGTTCCTTATTTCTGAACAGATGATGAGATAAGCAGTTGCATATAAAGAGCTGGTTATTCTCAGTTCAGAGCCCTGACGTGAGAAAGTTGAAGATTCACAGAGAAGACAGAAGGAAGGTCAGTTTTGAGTCCAACTATCCAATGTCAGTGTAGTCCATCTGTTCCCCTACAGCAGCATCAGTGACACTTGTGTTTGAATCTTTAGTCTCATCTCATCGACCTGATCATGAAGATCCTGGCTGTCTGTGCTCTGGTCTGTGCCGTCATGGCTCTGACTGCTGCTGCCGCCGGTGAGTATGTCAAATATTGATCAGTGTGGGGAAATATCAGGTCAATAACTTCAGTTTCAAACTTTCCAGACGCTGCACAGGAGGAACAGGAGGATGCAGAAGGTCAGTTCTTCTCTTTGTCAGATTCTCATTTCTCACAATTATATATTATTTTAATGTTGCGTATTTTATCCGATCTCTCTGTGTGTTAAAACCTCGTTGTAAAAGTCTGAACTTCCCCTTGTGTCATCGAAGCTCTGATGAATTAGTTGTGTATACTCCGATATTTGTTTTATTTTTCTCTTTTTTTCAAGTTAACTTTGTTTTATCTTAGTTTGAGGCAAAATTAACAAGACGTTTCATAGCAACGCGGTAACTTGAAGATGAAGACGCTGCGAAGACAGCAGCGAGGCGGGCGTCTGCTTTGACTCAAGGACATTAGGGGCTGAGCCTGGACCCTTCAACAACAACAACAACAAAAAAAAATCTTTAATAAAAAGTTATTGATGAACAGTAACGACTGAAATGGACTTTTTGTTGACTAAAAATATTCAGGGCTAAAATTGGGACTGAGCTGAGCGGAGTTTTGTACTGAAGACAGAGACTAAAATAGTTACTATAAACATTAACAGTGTGTCATATTATATAGAAGTAGATTATGTTTTTGGTGACGTGAGGTTTCATGTGATATTTCTATTCTACTCAATGTTGAATTAAATCCTATTTCTTCACGGAAAACTGTGTCATTTTTTGGCAGTTTCACAATTTCTACATTATTATTGTTTTGTATTATATTATTTTCTGATATTATTATGTTTGATTAAATTTGACTCATGGTAAAAATGTTTTTTTGTATGACATTTAATCTAGGTCTATATGTTATGTTGTGTTTCTGTTATTTCATATATTACTTATTTCTTTATGTCGTACTGTGTCATCTGCTCTATAAAACGTTTGGATGATGCCGTATTTATCATGTTATTTACTTAAACTGTTAGATTCTCACAGTAAAACATTTTCTGATCATTTATTCTGTAATTATGATTTAAGAAAAAGTGTTTTTGTCTACGAGTTTGATTATTCATGGATATGATATGTTTTACGTTTTTCTTGACTTGTTTTTCCTCCTCATGTCCTTCAGAGGAGCTCACTCTGACGACGAGGACCTGGACTCGGATCGGAAATAGAACTTTCTTGTTCGTCCCCAGAAAGCTGAATTGGGCTGACGCAGAGGTATGAGCTGGTTTACCCGGAAACTACCTCAGCGGCCCCAAACTACTCATAATGATTCTCTTTTCTGCTTTAGAGAAACTGCAAGACCATGGATGGACATCTGGGATCTGTGCACTCCCTTTGGGAATATAATCTATTAAGAAATCTGATCGTGACTGATGGGGAAAAAGCCACATGGCTTGGAGGCTCTGACAGTGAAGTGGTACGTCAATAATTTCAACACACAAATCCTTTTATAAGATTCAGTTGTACTTGGATAAAAAAAGTGATGTCTTGATGGTTCATCCAACACACCCATGTCCCCCTTTTTATTATCTTGAGCGTTTATTGTAATGTGTTTCTTAGGAAGGAAAGTGGCGCTGGATAGATGGGACTCCGTTCAATTTTGATTATTGGTGCTCCGGACAGGCAGTCAAGGATAATCAGGACTGCTTGCAGATCAATTACAGCGGTGATTAAATAACTCTGAAGGAGAGGTTTACTTCTCAATGTTTTTAACAAAGGAAGTGTCGGAGACAATACACCTAACGATGCTCTCTTTCCCTTGTGTTTACAGCTCGCAGATGCTGGGATGATGTTGAGTGTACCCGCCGTCTTCCATCTGTCTGTGTTGCAAACTAGAAAACTGGTTCGACCCAGAGAGACAGTTTTAGTCTCTTTATCCTCTACTTCCTGTCTCTGTAACGATGACACCGGGGTAACAAGGACACAAACCATGCAAACAGGAGCTGGATGACCTCTAATAAGACTTAATATGTAACAGGAAGAACGCTTAAGCACAACCTAACTCCTTTGTTTTAACTCTTCTTTCTTAACTTGTGCAGAATTACAAGCTTCAATCATTAAAAAAAGTTTTAAAAAAGTCTGTGTGATGTCTTGATTTCTGAAAAATTATCCTTTCTGGCTGACAAAGTAAGAACATCAAATAAGACAAGTCAAAAAAGACGTGGAAACACAACAACAGACACGAATAAGACCGAGGGGTGCCAAATTCATTCAAATGTCCAAGTGGACCCTTTTATCACTCCTTTTATCACTCCTTTTAACACCCCTTTGTTATATTTGTAGATGGTTTCAGTTAGAGTCTGTTCTCCTAAACTGCTGCCCTTCTCAGTTTTACCATCTTTGGCAAATTAAACAGATTTCTGATCACTGGGTCGGATTGTGGAGAATGTCGACATCATCATTTTAGAATAGAATAGAATAGAATATTCCTTTATTGATCCCCCATGGGGAAAATTTTTTTGTCACAGCAGCATCACAGACAAGCCAAAAAGTGCAAAAATGCAGTTATAACAATAAGGGTCCTAATATTAAGAACTTAAATAAATGTAATAATTAAGAAAAAAATTAGAAAAGGGAGAAGAAAAAATAAAGCTTTCTACAATATACACAATTTAAATGCCATAAAAAAAGTGGTGGTGTAAAATCAGTTTTGTTACTGTTCATTGTAAAGTCTTGATCACTGGGTCGGATTGTGGAGAATGTCGACATCATCATTTTCTGACCGGAGGTGGTTTTCGGTCCAGACTCAGGACAGATAAAACGTGATAACAAACTAAACAGTCCATGTTAGGATGGACCAGTTTCTCCTGATTCAAACCTTTTTTGAAAATATTGATAATTTGATCAAATGAACAGATGTTAAGAAACAGATTGGACGTTGGCGTTCTGAAACGAGGCCTTCATACTTTTCCTGAATGACACGAAGAATGAACACTCAGTTTAATCATCGCCTCATAGATGAGCGGACCATTAGTGTACATTCGTGGTGAATGACCCGTAACCCCTCAGAATAAACAAGAAAGAGTTCATGTGGAAAATATATATATCACTCTCCAAAGACAAAGGGGTCTATGACGTTTGGAGGGGGGTAAACATGTCCAACATTTACAGACATTACTGCTGCTGAAATGTTATTTCCATGGAAGAGAAGCTCATAACGGAATTTGAAGGAAAATATTTGAAAAAAAAAAAATTCTGTGCAAACAAAAAACCAGACATATGTGCAAATAAAAGTGAACTTTGACCCTGAATCATGTGTGAGACCTTGTTTAGATAACAGCCAAAGATCCCTGGTCCCACAGCTCAGATCAGGATTTATTCCTCTGGACTTCGAGGTTGGTCGGTCCAAAAATACTCCTGTAGAAAACAGAGGAGGTAAGTTTTGTGATTGATGCTCTGAAGAATTCTTACAACTTTAGAAAGTGATCATTTCATGACGTTTATTGTAGAGGAAAGTCACGGAAAACTGATCAAAAATATTCAACTTTCGGGTCATTATTTTTTAAAAAACTCAAAAAGCTTTAATACTGCGAACTATATTCAGTCATTACAATAATTCAGATCCTTCTTTGGCTATCTGACATGTTTTGTTTTGAAAAGAAGAAAAGATTCATGTCTGGACTTGCCTGGTCAGTGGGACTTGTGTTACAGATGATTTGGTCCGTTTTCTTGGATCTGGATTATTCTTGAATTTAGGCTCAAAGTCGCTCCATTCAGAATCCATTACAAATGTCACAGTCGCCATGTTAACATGTCCAAAATTTCTTGATTTAATTAAAAATCTGAGGGATCTGAAAATCTGAATCAACTTTTTGTATGGGCCCTAAATCTAATTATCCGATCATGACGTTTGTTTACGTGCACCAAGTTTCATTCAGATTAGAATCATTTGGACATGCGCAGAGTTGTCTGATTTCGCTAAAACAACCACAGAAGAAGATGAGTTGTATTTACGCCTGTGCTGTCAACAAATCAACAAACACGCTAGTGGCTCACTCCATCCAATTCAGGAGTTTTCCCCTGTTGAATATTGTCCCATGCATATGTGACATCATTACGCTGTTTGTACGCCTTGTTATGTTATCGGAGGAGCAGACACGACACCTGCAGTTGTGTTAATAATGAAATCTCCTGTACTGACCCCAATAAATAAAGAGTAAAGACCGAGTCGAGTCAGAGAGTCACCATCGGAATAAGTGTTTACACGGTTGTGTTTTGGAATAACAATCGGCATAAACCACCCCTCTCGATCGGAATACGATTTCTTTCCTAATGAGTCAAATTGGATCAGATTTTCCGATCGACATGTTTACATGACGCATTTTATACTGATCGGGCCTTTATCCCGATTATTTGTGCCCATATAAACGCAGCTAGTGTTGCTCTCACACACGTCATCTCTGGACCTCTTTGTCGAAAACAAACCTCCACGTTCAGCCGTCAATGCCTCTTTTAAATCAAACTTTTTAACACTTTTACATGGATTTTTTTAAAGTCGATCACTTTGACCATCACTTCTGGAAATACAGTTTTTCCTCTCGTACCTGTTTTCATGACCTGGGAGCAGGATTGTGAAATGTGCAGCTCGATGTTTCTTCATGTTTCTTCCGGAATGACTCACAGATTTAATCAATCTGATAATCTATCATTCATTGTGCCATATCTATATTTTGGAGAGATTGGACCATCTGATACTGAGACAAAAGGGGAAGTGAAGAAATTATTCCATTTTGCTAATTCATTTTCACTGTTTGACCCGAAATTTTTTTGAGCATGTTGTGAAATCCTTTAGTAAGTTCACCTTGTTTTTAACGCAGCTGAAAAAACATCTGATTTCATGTATTCATCTTAAAGCCTCACAGAAATAAGGGGAGTCTTCGAGCTCCTCATTCCTTCTAAAAAGCACTGCTGATACCATTTACCACCCCCTGTTTTCATTTCTCATATTTTGAAATTGTGTAAATACTTTTGTAATGAACTCTTTGTGGTTTGGTGTCCTGTTGGCGCCCTCTGTTGGGGCCCCTGACAGCTGCAGCTTGTCCCACTGGTTGGTAAATTCATAGTGAACTCAGCTACAACAAATACATAAAGGTTTGTTTTTCTCTTTCTCAACTCAATTTATAAATAAAAATTGTTGAAATTAAAAAAAAAAAAATCTGTGACCAATATAGCCACCCTTCTTTTCATTAACAGTCATAAGCTTTCCATTCATGGAGTCTTTCAGTTTCTGGATCTGTTGACGATCAACTTTTTGTGTTGCAGTAACCAAAGCCTCCCAGACACTGTTCCAGACACTGTTCAGAGAGGTGTACTGTCTTCCTTCACTGTAAATTTCCCGTTTAAGAAAGGCTCACAAGTTCTCAACAGGGTTTAGGTCAGGTGAAGAAGGAGGCCATGTCATTATTCTTTCGTTTTTAAGGCCTTTACTGGCGAGCCACATAGTGGAGTACTTTGTTGCATGCAATGGAGCATTGTCCTGCATTAAAATCATGGTTTTCTTGAAAGATGCAGACTTTTGCCTGTACCACTGCTTGAAGAAAGTGTCTTCTCAAAACTGGCATTGGATTTGGAAGTTGATTTTAAGTCCATCTTTAACCCAAAAGGTCCAGCTAGCTCATCTTTAATAATACCAGCCCATACCAGTACCCCGCCTCCACCTTGCTGGTGTCTGATTCGAAGTGGAGCTCTGTGCCCATTACTGATCCAGCCACGGGTCCATCCATCTGGTCCGTCAAGAGTCACTCTCATCCCATCAGTCCATAAAACCTTTGAAAAATCTCTCTTCAGATATTTCTTGGCCCAGTCTTGACGTTTCAACTTGTGTCTTGTTCAGTGGTGGTCAGATTTCAGCCTTCCTTACCTTGGCCATGTCTCTGAGCACTGAACACCTTGTACCTCTGGGCACTCCAGGTAGGTTGCAGTTCTGGAATATGACAGCACTGGAGGATATTGGGTTCCTGGTACCTTTACATTTGAGTCTTCTCAAATCTTTGGCAGTTAATTTGCGTCTTCATTTCTTGCGACCCTGTTGACTATTTGCATCAAAATGTTTGCTGATTCTGTGATCACGCCCAAATATCTAAGCAATTTCAAGAGTGCTGCATCCCTCTGAAAGACTTTTTACATTTTTTGACTTTTCAGAGTCACTTACATCTCTTTTTTGGCCCATTTGGAAAAGAAGCTGCCTAATAATTATGCACACCTTGATATAGGGTTTTGATCTCCTTAGGCCCCAGCCTCCCTCATTACACTAATACACATTACCTGATATGCTTATATCCAATAAGCATTCAACTTTATACAGCTTGGAGTTGGAAAAATATGCATAAAAATGAGGATATGATCAAAATACTCAGTTGCCTAATAATTGTGCACACAGTGTATAGAGTTAGATAAATGAATCCCAGCAGGTTTGTCCCAACAAAGAGGACCTCCAGCTGGGATCACTGCACATCTTTAACTCTTACTCTCAAGGTTGTGGACTGATCATATCTGATAAACGATCTTATCTAGTTTTCTCAGGACACTGTGTCTGAGGATGTGGTTTCTGTGCACAATCTTGGTCATCAGTGATCAGTTCCTTATTTTATTAGATGATAGTATAAAAGCTGGTGCTTCACTTGCTCAGTACCAAACAAAAGAGGATTGAAGCAACACCGAAGAAGAAGAAGAAGAAAGTAACTCTGAGTCCAACTCTCCTCTTAGTCATTGTAGTTGATTTGTTCCCTGACAGCAGCATCAGTGATTCTTGTGTTTGTGTTTGAATCTTTAGTCTCATCTCATCGACCTGAACATGAAGATCCTGGCTGTCTCTGCTCTGGCTTGTGCCATCATGGCTCTGACTGCTGCTGGTGAGTACGTCAAATATAAACAATATTATAAACAAAGGAATTTGTTCTTGCTAGACAATCTAACTATTGTGCTGCGTTACACCATAACCTGTAATTACAGTGGAGTGGTCTTGGATGGGTGGACCCTACATCACCTATGTTGAGAAATATATGACTTGGGCTGATGCTGAGGTAAGAGATGATTTACATGGGCTGCAGGGTATTTTTAAGTTTCAAACTAACATTCAGGGACCAGAATGAGATATTAAATTAGAAAAAAATAATAATAATCCAGAGACACATACTTTAGGACTGTTAGCATGACCTGCAGTAAAACGAGCAATGAAGAAATGTGTGGCTGTTTTCTAGGAAACGAAGGAGATGGTTCACTCCTCTGATTTCTGTCTTCACTTTAGAAGAACTGCATCTCTCTGGGAGGACACCTGGCATCAATGCATGGACTTTATCACCGCAATTCCATCAAAAACCTGATCTTTGCCAAATCCAGTGATCCATCATCCTGGCTCGGGGGTTCTGACAGTGAAGAGGTATACATGATATTTTTGTTTTGTTATGGTTCAATCTGAGCCACCTCAGCTGACTCCTCTCAACGTGGAGGAGCAGAAGCTCTAATCTGAGTGCCTGCTGAGTGTCCGAGCTCCTTACCCGATCTCTAAGGCTGAGACCGGACACCCTGAGGAGGAAACCCATTTCAGCCGCTTGTATCCGCGATCTCGTTCTTTCGGTCATTACCCAAAGTTCATGACCATAGGTGAGGATCGGCACGTAGATCGACCGGTAAATCGAGAGTCTCGCCTTACGGCTCAGCTCTTTCTTCACAACGACAGATCGGTTAAGCGTCCGCATCACTGATGACACCGCTCCAATCCGCCTGTCGATCTCCCGCTCCATCCAACCCTCACTCATGAACAAGATCCCGAGATACTTTAACTCCTCCACTTAAGGCAGGACCTCCCCTCCGACCTGGAAAAGGCAATCTACCTTTTTCCGACTGAGGACCACGGCCTCAGACTTGGAGATGCTGATTCGCATTCCAGCCACTTCACACTCGGCCGCGAACCGCCCCAGCAAGAGCTGAAGGTCACTGCTCGACAAAGCTAGAAGAACCACATCATCCGCAAAAAGCAGCGACGCGATCCTCTGCCTGCCGAACTGGACACCCTCCACCCCCCGGCTGTGCCTAGAAATTCTGTCCATAAAGGTTGTGAACAGAACCAAAGTTTTTCTGTGCAGTTGAAATCATGCTCAGAAAAATAAGAAATGGTAGAAGTCATGATGAAGTTGGCAAACTTTGATGGGGTAAGTAATGTCTGGAAAAGGATAAGTCAACAGTGGGAGCAGGATAAGGACACGCAGTACGAAACAGTCTCAGTGTGACATGAAGTTTGGGAACTTTATCAGAAAAACCTTCATCCATAGACAGTGTGGTGACGTCAGCATTGATGAATTGAATAGATGACAGATGCTAACCCTGTCGTAGTGACTTCTTCTCATGGATCTGTTCTGTTTTCTAGGAGGGAGCTTGGCGCTGGACCGATGGGACAGCTTTTGACTATGATAACTGGTGCCCTGGAGAGCCAAACAACGGACCAGGGGTCGGTCAGAACTGTTTGTACTACAACGCCGGTAAATAATAAATATATCTTTGTCTTTTTAAAGTGCAAAAGTGTATTAAAATAGTTTTTTTTTTAATAAATGTTTTCTTATTTGTAGTTAATACTGAAAGTCCACAGTGCCTTACGATGGTCTCTTCTCCTGTGTTTCTGGTTAGGTCGAAGGTGCTGGGATGATTTTCAGTGTGATGAGCCGTACCCATCTGTCTGTATGAAGGATCAAGAGTCCTGAGACTCTGAGGAGAAGAGGCTGTGAAGCACAGAAACTCCAGTTCATGTGTTTGAAAACTCATCTGGTCTCACGTTGAACCTGAGCGCTGTTAATCTCTTTTTTTCCCGCTTTTCTATCACTTTAACGCTGCATAAGGAACGCTGCTTTATTTTGGTATCAGGTTAAAACATTTTAATTTTTTTTTTTCTGATCTGGGCAACAATAAAAGCTTTGAGCATTTAAAAAAACACGTCTGTGCAACATGTCATTTTGTTATTAATAGCATCCAGAGATCTTACTTTTTAATATCTGCTATCTTCTGAGTTAATAGTGCAAATTTTGTCTGGTACATATGAGTGAAAATCATTGTCAGTAGATATACACTCAGTTTAATCATCGCCTCATAGATGAGCGGACTATTAGTGTACATTAGTGGTGAATGACCCGTAACCCCTCAGAATAAACAAGAAAGAGTTCATGTGGAATATATATATCACTCTCCAAAGACAAAGGGGTCTATGACGTTTGGAGGGGGGTAAACATGTCCAACATTTACAGACATTACTGCTGCTGAAATGTTATTTCCATGGAAGAGAAGCTCATACCGGAATTTGAAGGAAAATATTTGAAAAAAAAAAATCTGTGCAAACAAAAAACTAGACATATAAAGTAATAAATAAAAGTGAACTTTGACCCTGAATCATGTGTGAGACCTTGTTTAGATAACAGCCAAAGATCCCTGGTCCCACAGTTCAGATCAGGATTTATTCCTCTGGACTTCGAGGTTGGTCGGTCCAAAAATACTCCTGTAGAAAACAGAGGAGGTAAGTTTTGTGATTGATGCTCTGAAGAATTCTTACAACTTTAGAAAGTGATCATTTCATGAAGTTTATTGTAGAAGAAAGTCACACAAAACTGATCAAAAATATTCAACTTACGGGTCATTATTTTTTTTAAAAACTCAAAAAGCTTTAATATTGCTAACTATATTCAGTCATTACAATAATTCAGATCCGTCTTTGGCTATCTGACATGTTTTGTTTTGAAAAGAAGAAAAGACTCATGTCTGGACTTGCCTGGTCAGTGGGGCTTGTGTTACAGATGATTTGGTCCGTTTTCTTGGATCTGGATTATTCATAAATTTAGGCTCAAAGTCACTCCATTCAGAATCCATTACAAATGTCACAGTCGCCATGTTAACATGTCCAAAATTTCTTGATTTAATTAAAAATCTGAGGGATCTGAAAATCGGAATCAACTTTTTGTATGGGCCCTAAATCTAATTATCCGATCATGACGTTTGTTTACGTGCACCAAGTTTCATTCAGATTAGAATCATTTGGACATGCGCAGAGTTGTCTGATTTCGCTAAAACAACCACAGAAGAAGATGAGTTGTATTTACGCCTGTGCTGTCAACAAATCAACAAACACGCTAGTGGCTCACTCCATCCAATTCAGGAGTTTTCCCCTGTTGAATATTGTCCCTAGATGGCGCCCTTGCTAGTTTATTTTACTGTTCTGTCAAAGGTTGCACTGTGTATGCAGATGTGACATCATTACTCTGTTTGTACGCCTTGTTATGTTATCGGAGGAGCAGACACGACACCTGCAGTTGTGTTAATAATGAAACCTCCTGTACTGACCTCAATAAATAAAGAGTAAAGACCGAGTCGAGTCAGAGAGTCACCATCGGAATAAGTGTTTACATGGTTGTGTTTTGGAATAACAATCGGCATAAACCACCCCTCTCGATCGGAATACGATTTCTTTCCTAATGAGTCAAATTGGATCAGATTTTCCGATCGACATGTTTACATGATGCATTTTATACTGATCGGGCCTTTATCCCGATTATTTGTGCCCATGTAAACGCAGCTAGTGTTGCTCTCACACACGTCATCTCTGGACCTCTTTGTCGAAAACAAACCTCCACGTTCAGCCGTCAATGCCTCTTTTAAATCAAACTTTTTAACACTTTTACATGGATTTTTTTAAAGTCGATCACTTTGACCATCACTTCTGAAAATACTGTTTTTCCTCTCGTACCTGTTTTCATGACCTGGGAGCAGGATTGTGAAATGTGCAGCTCGATGTTTCTTCATGTTTCTTCCGGAATGACTCACAGATTTAATCAATCTGATAATCTATCATTCATTGTGCCATATCTATATTTTGGAGAGATTGGACCATCTGATACTGAGACAAAAAGAGAAGTGAAGAAATTATTCCATTTTGCTAATTCATTTTCACTGTTTGACCCAAAGTTTTTTTGAGCATGTTGTGAAATCCTTTAGTAAGTTCACCCTGTTTTTAACGCTGCTGAAAAAACATCTGATTTCATGTATTCATCTTAAAGCCTCACAGAAATAAGGGGAGTCGTCGAGCTCCTCATTCCTTCTAAAAAGCACTGCTGATACCATTTACCACCCCCTGTTTTCATTTTTCATATTTTGAAATTGTCTTAATACTTTTGTAATGAACTCTTTGTGGTTTGGTGTCCTGTTGGCGCCCTCTGTTGGGGCCCCTGACAGCTGCAGCTCGTCCCACTGGTTGGTAAATTCATAGTGAACTCAGCTACAACAAATACATAAAAGTTTGTTTTTCTCTTTCTTTTTCTTTTTAGAGCTGAAGCTTCTCATAACCTCAGTCATTATAGAGTTAGATAAATGAATCCCAGCAGGTTTGTCCCAACAAAGAGGACCTCCAGCTGGGATCACTGCACATCTTTAACTCTTACTCTCATGGTTGTGGACTGATCATATCTGATAAACGATCTTATCCAGTTTTCTCAGGACACTGTGTCTGAGGATGTGGTTTCTGTGCACAATCTTGGTCATCAGTGATCAGTTCCTTGTTTTATCAGATGATAGTATAAAAGCTGGTGCTTCACTTGTTCAGTACCAAACACAAGAGGGTTGAAGCAACACCAAAGAAGAAGAAGAAAGTAACTCTGAGTCCAACTCTCCTCTTAGTCATTGTAGTTGATTTGTTCCCTGACAGCAGCATCAGTGATTCTTGTATTTGTGTTTGAATCTTTAGTCTCATCTCATCGACCTGAACATGAAGATCCTGGCTGTCTCTGCTCTGGCTTGTGCCATCATGGCTCTGACTGCTGCTGGTGAGTACGTCAAATATAAACAGTATTATAAACAAATGAATTTGTTCTTGCTAGACAATCTAACTATTGTGCTGCGTTACACCATAACCTGTAATTACAGTGGAGTGGTCTTGGATGGGTGGACCCTACATCACCTACGTTGAGAAATATATGACTTGGGCTGATGCTGAGGTAAGAGATGATTTACATGGGCTGCAGGGTATTTTTAAGTTTCAAACTAACATTCAGGGACCAGAATGAGATATTAAATTAGAAAAAAAAACTAATAATCCAGAGACACATACTTTAGGACTGTTAGCATGACCTGCAGTAAAACGAGCAATGAATAAATGTGTGGCTGTTGTCTAGGAAACGAAGGAGATGGTTCACTCCTCTGATTTCTGTCTTCACTTTAGAAGAACTGCATCTCCCTGGGAGGACACCTGGCATCAATGCATGGACTTTATCACCGCAATGTCATCAAAAACCTGATCTTTAAAAAATCCCGTAATCCAGACTCCTGGCTCGGGGGCTCTGACAGTGAAGAGGTATACATGATATTTTTGTTTTGTTATGGTTCAATCTGAGCCACCTCAGCTGACTCCTCTCAACGTGGAGGAGCAGAAGCTCTAATCTGAGTGCCTGCTGAGTGTCCGAGCTCCTTACCCGATCTCTAAGGCTGAGACCGGACACCCTGAGGAGGAAACCCATTTCAGCCGCTTGTATCCGCGATCTCGTTCTTTCGGTCATTACCCAAAGTTCATGACCATAGGTGAGGATCGGCACGTAGATCGACCGGTAAATCGAGAGTCTCGCCTTACGGCTCAGCTCTTTCTTCACCACGACAGATCGGTTAAGCGTCCGCATCACTGCTGACACCGCTCTGATCCGCCTGTTGATCTCCCGCTCCATCCAACCCTCGCTCATGAACAAGATCCCGAGATACTTCAACTCCTCCACTTGAGGCAGGACCTCCCCTCTGACCTGGAAAAGGCAATCTACCTTTTTCCGACTGAGGACCATGGCCTCAGACTTGGAGATGCTGATTCGCATTCCAGCCACTTCACACTCGGCTGCGAACCGCCCCAGCAAGAGCTGAAGGTCACTGCTCGACAAAGCTAGAAGAACCACATCATCCTCAAAAAGCAGCGACGCGATCCTCTACCTGCTGAACTGGACACCCTCCACCCCCCGGCTGTGCCTAGAAATTCTGTCCATAAAGGTTCTGAACAGAACCAAAGTTTTTCTGTGCAGTTGAAATCATGCTCAGAAAAATAAGAAATGGTAGAAGTCATGATGAAGTTGGCAAACTTTGATGGGGTAAGTAATGTCTGGAAAAGGATAAGTCAACAGTGGGAGCAGGATAAGGACACGCAGTACGAAACAGTCTCAGTGTGACACGAAGTTTGGGAACTTTATCAGAAAAACCTTCATCCATAGACAGTGTGGTGACGTCAGCATTGATGAATTGAATAGATGACAGATGCTGACCCTGTCGTAGTGACTTCTTCTCATGGATCTGTTCTGTTTTCTAGGAGGGAGCTTGGCGCTGGACCGATGGGACAGCTTTTGACTATGATAACTGGTGCCCTGGAGAGCCAAACAACGGACCAGGGGTCGGTCAGAACTGTTTGTACTACAACGCCGGTAAATAATAAATATATCTTTGTTTTTTCAAAGTGCAAAAGTGTATTAAAATAGTTTTCTTTTTGAATAAATGTTTTCTTATTTGTAGTTAATACTGAGAGTCCACAGTGCCTTACGATGGTCTCTTCTCCTGTGTTTCTGGTTAGGTCGAAGGTGCTGGGATGATAATGAGTGTGAGAAGCAGTTTCCATCTGTCTGTATGAAGGCTGAAGAGTCCTGAGACTCTGAGGAGAAGAGGCTGTGAAGCACAGAAACTCCAATTCATGTGTTTGAAAACTCATCTGGTCTCACGTTGAACCTGAGCGCTGTTAATCTCTTTTTTTCCCGCTTTTCTATCACTTTAACGCTGCATAAGGAACGCTGCTTTATTTTGGTATCAGGTTAAAACAACGTTTTGATTTTTTTCTTTCTGATCTGGGCAACAATAAAAGCTTTGAGCATTTAAAAAAACACGTCTGTGCAACATGTCATTTTGTTATTAATAGCATCCAGGAGTTAGAGTTTTTAATATCTGCTATCTTCTGAGTTAATAGTGCAAATTTTGTCTGGTACATATGAGTGAAAATTATAGTCAGTACTTATTTTAGAAAAACTATTTGGTGGTTTCAGAGTGGACCAACGACATTAACCATGCAAATTCATTTTGATCATACTTGTCATCATACTTTTGTTTATGAATTTAAAGCTGATATTTTATGACCAAGAGTGCATCTAATTGGAGCAAAACATCATGAAAACTACTGAAATAAAGACAGAGATACTTGATCCTGTACAGCATCTATTTCAGGCCACATGGTAACCAGAGCTTGTTTGGGAAAACTGTGTTATTCTTTAGCCCCATCTGTGGGTCATAATGTGTAAATGCTTGGTAAAGGGTTAGTGCTTGACTTTTAGTTCCTCTTTAAAAATGACGCCTTGTTTGACTCGGTATGTTGGTTTCTGTTGTAATAAAATTTTCCAGTTTTCTCCAAAAGGAAATAAAAAGAAATAAAAAATAAAAATGGACACAGTTAAACAAAGAGATAGCTGCATAAATAAAACATCTGTACCTCTTTATTGCTGCCACCGTCACTAATGTCCTGTCAGTCTTGTTGGTTTGATTATAATTGGTTGATTGTGATTTCTAGTCCATTACACACACTCAGCTCACTGGTCTTTGTCTACATTAATGAAGCAAAAGTCACAAACACTCCATGACAAAGATATAATACCACACAAACGAATCTCTGAGAGGTTTCATCACTGAATAGACACTGAAACAATGAGCGCTTGACAGTTTCACGGGACGTCCACTCAGAGAAAAGCTTGCAGCGCAGTCTATAGTCCACAAGGTGGCAGTATTGTAGAGAGCAAAATATTTCAGTCTCAAGAAAAAGAAAATCGTTTACACAATCGAGAGTTTGGGTGCAAAGCAGATGGGAAGCAGATGCAAAATGAAGTTCAGCCATTTGTGAGGAGGTCTACCAGTGAAAGAGGGAAAAATGTTTGTGAGCTAAAAAAACCCATGTAGATATCGTAAAAAGTAACGCAATATGGGAGAGCGCAAGTGAGAAAGTAAATGACAAAAAGAAATCAAGAGAACCAAAAGTGAAACCTCATAAAAAAACATTTTGGTGCACAGACTAAAGACAGATCTGCTGCTCTTTGAGATGAAGGTCACTGTCAGACAAGAATCCTCCGTAACATCAGGAGCATCAGACCCTACCTGCCAGAGCATGCAGCACAGCTCACTGCCCTACATGCACGTTTCTTGATGTATCTAAACATTTACCACCTAAGAGCAGGATTGTGACATATGCAGCTGTTTGTTGTTTCCCCGTCTGAACACCTTGGAGATGTAGCGTACTCATCATGACAATCAGAAATTAATTCAGTATTTCATCGTGTGAGAACTTGTATTTGGAGAAGTTGCAACGTCTAAGAGAGGGTCAAAAAAGGAAGTCAATGGATTATTTCATCAAATTTACTTTGTTTCATCACTTTATTGGTTTCAGATCGTTGGGCATGATTTTAATCTTACGCACTATAACGTGTTTATTTAGTTATGATCTCTAAGTTGTAATGCCGAAAAAAAAGGACCATGAAAAACAAACAGACCCTCACATATTTCAAATTTTTTCAAAAAAATCAATTATAGTTTCTGAAAATGAATTTTCTTTCTTTTTTTAAATCAAGTTTTATAATGTGAGATGGTTAGACGAAAGGGAAAGGACCCAAATGCAGACATAAAAAGGATTCATTTAAAACCAACTAAATAAAAAGCAACAAAAAAAATCCAAAAGGCAAAATCATAAGGAGACAACTAGGGACACAAGCGTACGCACACACACATCGACATACAATGAACCAACGCAGACAGAGGGGAAGACAGGGACTATAAACACACTGGGAAACGAGCAACAGGTGAGGCAGACCAGACACAGGTGAGACTCATGGGTGATTAACAAAGGAGGGAAAACTAGGGAAGTAAAACCAGACTAGAAACAGATGGAGTCAATTACTACAAAATAAAACAGGAAACGCACGGTGAAAACTGATCTAAAGACTAAAACACTACGTACGTTTACATGACACTGGAGAAAACTGAATTCTTGCCTTACTCCGCATAAGACCGGACATCTGAAGAGCATGTAAACACTTTAGTCCGACTATAATCGGAGTTTGAGAACTCTGATTAAGACACCCAGATAATGTGATTGGAATTCCATTTTATCTACGTGTAACCAGTGTAGTCGGAGTATGATCGGACAATGCATGTGCGTGAACGCCACGCCTCTGTGACCCCGGAACAAAAACACCAGAGAGAAGAAGTGGCGCTATCGTTAAAAGAACGATAGCGTTCTTGGACTTGGACATTAAAAGACTCAGAAGCAACTGCAACATGGCTGAAGCACGAAAGGATGTCAACTTTTGGAAAGACAAGGAGAGTCCCGTTATGCTTTCCATCCTGACAGAAATTGACATTTTGAAGTATATGGATGGTTGCAAAACGAGGAGCAGAGACATCTATAAAAAGGTCTAGAAATAGCGCCACTGCAAAGACCCATATCGCCCCCTAGTTTTGGGGAGGAGGACATGTTCACGCCAATAACTCGATCTTCTCAGCTGCATGTATACGAGGACAAGAGAAGTCCTATTTGGCAAAAAAAAAATGAATTATGAGCTTAGACCGATCAAGCTGTGCATGTAAACGCACTGACTGAGAACAGGAGGGAAACAGGGTCAAAGACAAACTGAAAACCCACAAGACAGGACTACAAGGGAACTACAAGGGAACAGGACTACAAGGGAACAGGACTACAGGGGAAAAGGACTACAAGGGAACAGGACTACAGGGGAACAGGACTACAGGGGAACAGGACTACAAGGGAACAGGACTACAGGGGAACAGGACTACAAGGGAACAGGACTACAGGGAAAATAATCCATATGATGGTTACGCTGTAAAAGAAGTGTAATCCTATAAAATTTAGATTAGTGTAAATGATTTAAACTTTTATTTGGGTTCCACTGAGATGAAAACCCTCTCCCTCAAAGGAGACCAGACCAAGACAGCTGCAAAAAAACACAACTTTGCAGACACACACAGACAACCGCAGTCTGTGTTTCACAAGCTCTAAATTATCAACACAAACGATCTCAGAGACAGTAAAATATTTCACGACATCCGTGTCTCCAGTTTCAAGTCATTCTGCAATGAGCTCCAAGCAGAGGGTGCAGGGTATACCCAAAAACCCTTTCCCTGTTTGGAGTCGAGCTTTGGAGAGGGGAAAGCTTGAAATGTCCCAGAAGAGCAATGAAAACTCCCACTGATTGGATCTAATTTCATTTCTAACTTGTGCCAGTTAAGGGTTTGCAATTGTTCATTTCCACACTATTTGGTCATTTATTTTCTGTTTAACGTCAAAAGTTTTTCTTGGTATTTAACAAAAGTTTTCTGAAAGAGCGGCTCCACACCAAACTCTTCCTAAAATCTATAAATCGCCAACAGCAAAGTAGTATGACATGAGGTGCCATCTTTTAGGAGCAGACCCTCTCCGATCCCACACTCTGAAACATTTAGAAAGTTAGAGTCAGGATGAAAAACATCCACAAACATTGAGCAGAGCCAGACTTATGCTAGGACAGTCATCAGACTGAGACTGCTGGAAACTATAAATCCCTTTCATCATCATCAGGTCTCTTGCTCGGCGACGGCGCCATGCGTAGAGCCAATCAGTTTCACCAATCTTCTCCATTGGGGTCGATCCAGTGCTAGGGGTTCGGCTACGGCAAGCGACAGGCCCAATTGGTGAAGGTCCCCGGTGACGACATCAATCCATCATGTGCGGGGGGCACCATGGGGGCGTTTCCAGCCGGCAGCTTTGGGTTGGAAGTGGAGGATAGCGCGAGTAGGATGTTCTGGGGGGAGTCTCCTGATATGGCTGTACCAGCGCAATCGACGCTGTGCTGCCAGTTGGGAGGTGGGGGGCTGTTGTGTCAGTTCCCTCAGCGTGATGCTGGAGACCCTATCTGGCCATTTAATACCCACTATTGAGCGCAGTGCCCTGGTGTCAAAGCCATCTATTCTGGCAGCCAGGGTCTTGTTGAGTGGCCATGGAGAGGACTGAGGTGTTGTAAATCCTTACTTTGGTTGCTCTTGATATGGAGCGGTGTCTCCACAGCGGCTTCCAGAGTGTTTTCATGGTGCTGGCTCCGGTTTATTTCGGTTATGATGTTGCCTTTGTTGGTTACATCCCTTTACATGATGGAAATGATAAGACTTATTATACTTTTAAGAAACATGAGGACACAAAATCAGCAAAGAGGTGTCAGCACACACAGTAAGAATACAACTTCTATTGATAACATGTGAATGCCATGGTCTCTTTGTTGGTCTGACTACAGTGTTGGTAAACTGGATCATATCAGCTTGAAGTGAACAAAGTGGGCCTGTACAGTTCAAACTCTCGTTCTCATATTTCTCAACTCAATCAACAGTCTGGTTCAGTTTTCTTAGGAAATTGTGTCTGGAGATGTTTCTGTGCAAATCTTTGGTCAGATTATCATCAGTTTCTTGTTTTTTCACAGATGATGACATAAAAAAGTCCTATATAAGAGCTGGTGTTGGAATGTTGAAGATTCACCCAGGGGGAAGAGGAAGAAGAAGGCAAATCTTTAGTCTCATCTCATCGACCTGATCATGAAGATCCTGGTTGTCTGCGCTCTGGTTTGTACCATCATTGCTCTGACTGCAGCTGATGGTGTTGACGGTGAGTATGTCAAATATTGATCAGCGTAGGGAAATATCAGAAATGGCTTAGGTCAATAACTTTGGTATCAAACTGTCTAGACGCTGAAGAGAAGGAACCTGAAGCTGCAGAAGGAGGTCAGGATGTCACTGGTAAAAACTCTCTTCATTAAACTCTATTTTTACGTTTTTCTTCGTGTTTTGATGTATTAAACCACGCTTGGTGCCGTAAACTCAACATTACTTATCAATCTTTGTTCCTGTTTCTTAGAAGAGCCTGAGGTGGAGGTCGCTGAGAGGTTTTTTTGCCTCTGGGGCTGGACGAGAATTGGTCACCGTTATTTCCGCTACATTTCTAAGCACCTGACTTGGGCTCAAGCTGAGGTAGGAGATGAAGCAGAATGCTTCTTACTTTAGTTACAACTGTTTACAAGCAACTGACTTTCAGTTCTGTCTCTCTGCTGCAGCTCTGACCCAAGTCCAGGCCCTAGACTTATCATTTCTTGTACGAGTCAACCTTCTCGGCAGTAGACCTCGTTCTGATTGTCCTATTGTTATTTGGCTTTAATGACATTCTCTGTTTATCTCCAGAATAACTGTAAGTCTCTGGGAGGACACCTGGCATCTGTTCACTCCGGCTGGGAGTATCAGCAGATCAAAGCTCTGGTTGCAAGAGGAGGTGGCGGGAACCAAAATGCATGGCTTGGAGGCTCTGATTGTCACTCAGTATGTAATTTATCACCATGGAAATTGTGTTTGATGCATCAACTCAAATGTTTATTTTTAAGTAGAACAGTTGGATGTTTACCAAGATCAGTTTCTAAATGAATGTGTTTTAATAAAAGCTGCTCTTTTTTTTCCAGGAGGGACATTGGTCCTGGACGGATGGAACCTGCTTCAACTACAAACACTGGTGCCGTGGAGAGCCAAATAATAGTGGGGGTAGACAGCACTGTTTGCAAATGAATTTCAGCTGTAAGTACCAAAACATATTATTCTTAGAGTAATGGATAACATAGGATGAAGAAGGTGTTTCATTCATTATCATTCAATTTAATGTTGTATGTGAAACAAAGATTCAACTGTCAGTTTGAATCACTGTGTTTCTGTTGTTTCTGTTTTTTCAGGTCGCAAGTGCTGGGATGATCTTTGGTGCGACCGTCGTCTGCCCTCAGTCTGTGTCAAGAAATGGTAAATCCTGGTCTGACACCGAGGCATGAAGACATTTTTCTCTTGTGATGCAGTTGGTCTATATCACACTTGATTTCTCTGAATCTTTTTTATCGCTGTAATGCTATCAAAGGAATGATACGACAAGTAACACAAACAGGAGCTGGATTGTCTCTGAGGCCTCGTGCCCTTTATAAGATCAGACCGAATGTGAAGTAGAAAGAACGCTTTGAGCACAACTGAACTCTTTTAACTCTTTCTAATCTTGTGCAAAATTAAAAGCTTTGAGCATTGAAAAAGAAATCTTGTGTGTGGTGTGTCATGCATTCAACTAAAATGTCCTGAGGTTCCTCTTCATGGCTGAAATAAAAAGATCCATATTGAATTTCTCAGTAAATTTGAGTGAAAACTAGTGTGTGTAAATCGTTTTAATAATTAATAGACTGTTAAATCGAGCAATTCTGAGTTTACACACAGAGCATCTATTAAAGACATGAACTTATCGATATTTGATTTTTAAAGAGAACATGAACAAAAGTCTATCTGAAAGGGAATCGAGTTGTCTTCTTCTTCTTGGTTTCAGTCAAGGTGATGATACTAAAAAAGTATATGCTTTGAATTATATACCATCTTTAAAAAATAAATAAATAAACATGTTTAAAGTAAATCTATAAGTTTACACCACCCCATCTGATGATGGATTATAATCTAAATTTGATATATTACATGGAAAAATAATTGACCCTTCTTTCTCAGAAAGAAAAAACAATATTTCAACTTCATGAAAAACTTAAATCACAGTGACCTCTGTACCCAAGACAAACTTCCAGAGTCAAACTAAGGCCCAGTTAGTTCCTGAAATGTCAAAACATGATATGATCAGTCTTTCAGTAAAAACAGCTTTACTGACTTGACTACCATTGACTAGTACTAATATTACTGTAGGCACCCAAAATGGGCTTAACCTGTTCTCAGACAACTCCTGAGTCCTCAGTTTGTGTTGGGTTTTTTTTTTTCAGTTGCATCTCTTAAAAATGTTGAATAGTTGAACTAGAGTCATTCTGCAGTCAGTAAGAGCTTCCTCACCAACCATGAAGAAGTATGGGAACTAGTGTTGGGCGGTATGACAGTATAAACTGTGTGATGGTATAAAAGTCTCTACTGGTCAAAATTTTGCTGTACCATTTATACTGGAGAGCAAATGTCTGCTGCATCTCTCTGGGTCAGTGTGTAGTTGTCTACGCTCATTAACTGGAAAGCCAGAGTGCATACGTTTGGGTGCGTTTCCGTATTTTTCACCAGCGTGTCATACAGGGTTTGTTCGCTCTGTTTGATTGGTCAGGTTTGGGTGCGCTCCCTATAATCACCAACGTCTCCAGCAGACTGCTTGGCATAGTTTCAACAAAGAAGAAGAAACAGCTTTCACTGGTGGTGGTCATGGCGGACGCGGAGATTAATGGCAGTATCGAGAAAACGGAGGCAGCCCAACCCACCCGACATGAAGAAGAGGAGGAGGGACTTGTTCCGAAAAAGGGCGTGGGTCGCGACATCGGGTGTCTGGAGATTCTTCTGGTTTAAAAAATCCGACAATGATCAAAAAATAATACTATGCAAAGAGTGCAAAAATAAAATGAACAAATGCGACAGTTTGGTTATTTTTAAGGCATTAATTGAATTTACAGGGGGAAAAACATACCCTGTAATAATAACTGTCTGAATCTCCTATGCTAATATTTTACCACTGAAGGTTGTTATTTTGATGTAACGTACATAAAAAGTTAAGACCGGCTTTGACCTGGATATCCACACAAGCTCTTAAGATTTCCATCACTGGGTTTTCAAATCCAGGTTTGATGTTAATAAAACTGAGTTTTCAAAGTCCAGTGTCAAAGTTTACTTGTTTATTATGGGGCCTTAAGGAATTACTCATCTAGAAACTCAGATTATCAACAACATCAGTCAGTTAACAGACTTTGTCCTTTTGTCAACATCATGAGTTTATTACGGGATATTAACTCCATCTTTGTTTCATTTTGGTTTTATGAGTCCACCAACTGAGCCAGTAAAGATGTTTTTGTTGAAGATACAGTTTCTTTGTTAAAGGAATTTTTGTCTTCGAGAAGTTTAGCTTTTATGAAGCCCTGTGTTTGTGTATTTGTTATAAAATCAAGAAAAAAGTCAAATGTTCATGAATTTATTTTAATTTATTCTTAACTTTTCCTCCCTTTCTCTGACTAAACATGATCTTGAATTTTCTCTCTCTGATTCTGTCTCTTCTCTTTGTCATCTTATTCATTTATTGTCTTCAGTTGTTTTTATATGTTTATCATCAGTTGTTGAAATTCCCTCTGTTTCTCCTGCTGCTTTCCACATGACCTCTGTTTAAATCCCTGAGCTCTTATGCATGTTCTTGCATTTCACAGCTTAAAAACCAAGTTTTATCTATGTTCTCCACTATTTTAGGGGTTGTGAAGAATGACTTGTATGTCTTACAAGTATTTAATATAGCACAGGGCGGTGCCAGCTTCTTTTGGTTTACAATATAGATAAGTTTTCACTCTCAGAGACTCCATGTCCTCACAATCCAACCAAAAAGGACTCATCAGCAACAAGTCATTTCTGATCAAAACTTTACCACATTATTCAACCAACCAAAGTTTTCTCAAACTTCAACCTTCAGACTGCATGGAGTCACAATTGAAAAGTAATTCCTTCTCAGCTTACCGTTCCAAAATTCTCCTGGTTGTTGGTTTAAGTTACGCTTCAGTCTAAAGTCCTACTTTATGATTTTATTACAAAGTTATCCATAAACTTGGACTCTGGTCCATTCATGCTTTTATTATAGGCACCTCAAAAATCAGGGTGTTGCAAATTTACTTCAGACTCGAGCTACAGCCTTTATTTTTCAGTGTATTTTTAACAGTAGTACTGGGATTTGTCCATAAATTTACTTCTGCAGAACATGTGATTCTTTAACTTTTCAATGACTGAGGAATATTAAGTATTTCAACAGCATACCACAGTATTTATAAATTTAGTTCACACTTAAGATATTAAATGATACATCAATCAATCAGACATCATCTGTATAGCACTTTTCATACAGCGAGATGTGGCACAAAGTGCATTAAAGAAAAATCATTGAAATTAATAAAACAAACACAAAAACCCTGAATCATTTAGTGCTTAGCCAAGCAGATAAGTAAAAATAAGAAATAAATTAAACATGATCACATGATAATAAAAAACCCTGAAGAGCACTGAAACTTCTTGGCTTCTCATGATATACCTTTGGGACCATGTAGGTGTAATGACCTTGACCTCCATGCTGTTCTTGTGGCCACACGAGTTTGTATGTGTTTCTTCTGAGGTGTCTGATAAGCTGATTGGTCATATCAGCCCTGATGCAGAGCACCTGGGCCCAGTACTCCACACCAGATACATTTGCAGTTTCAACATACTATCATGTTCCATATTGACTTGAGACATTGTGAGATGTCATCTATATAACTATTACCTTAATAACAATAAAAGTTTCATTTTGAAACTGTTTTTTCTTAGTGTTGGTCTAAGTTTCATTTTTCTCTAAATGTATAATGTAGATAGAAAAATGAACAGAAAATGCAAAACAGTTTATTTTAATTGCGCATTTATTTTGTTTACACTTTAAATGCTCTGACCAGTGATATGACAAAAAATTCAAACTAGTGATAAAAAATATGAATAATGAAGTGCATTAGTGGTCAATGCGGCCCTGTTTTTAAGTAAAGAAAAATGCTTATTATTTAAAACCTCGTGTGAAAAATATAAAAACAAATATTTTCTGATGGTTTTAAAATTTCTATATCATGTTGTCCACTTCTACATGACAAAAATACAGACAAAAACATCACACGGTTCTACACATGCATCAAACAAATTAAAATGTGACCTCAAATTTGGCCCTGTACATTTATGTGTAAATCAAGAAGGAGAACTTTATTAATCCCCAAAGGAAAATTCTAAATTAAGTAAAATATCAAGGAAAAAAAACAAGTCAAAGATTTTTTGTTTGCTTTTCTTTAGCATCCCTGTTTTCCCTGTGAGTTTATTTTCAATCACCTTATTCTGCTTTTCTATCTCTTCCGTTTATCTCTTTGTTTGTGGTTTTCCACTCTGTTATTTCATCTTTTCATTCCTCTTTTCCAGTGTCTTTTAGAATTGGAGGGGAAAATGTTCCTTCAGTTCCACTCTTCCTCTGTCAGAGGGCTGTGGCAAGTCTCTTAGTTCTTTTTCCTTTTCCCACAACTTTTCAATTAGTTTTGCTTTTCCTTGCTCTGAATCTGGACCTGCTCTGGCTCTTTTTTGTGTGTTCAATAACCTCTGAGGTAGGATTTTCTTTTTTTATGTTTAATCTTCTTTTGTTTTCAAAATGCTTGAGAAAGTATTCTCTGTAACTGTTCTGAACAATCTTTTGTTTTTCTGTACATTTGCCTTTCATTGTTTTTCAAATTTACCCATTTACCTTTAATGTTTTAACTATTCTTTGGAAGTAATTGTCCTTAAGGGTAGGTTTGCAATTTCTTGTTTTGAATCTTCTTCTGTTTTCTTTAACTCCTGAAGTAGATTTGCTTTATCATGTTTTAAAATTCCGTTTTCTTTAACTCCTGAAGTAGATTTGCCTTTTCTCGTTTTGAACCTTCCTCAGCTTGTTGAACTCCTTAAGAATTTCTGACTTTTTTCTTTCTGAATCTTCCTCAGTTTTCTTTAACTCCTGAAGAAGTTTTGCCTCCTCTTGTTTTGAAGTTTCCTCCGTTTTCTTTAACTCCTGAAGAAGTTTTGCCTCCTCTCGTTTTAGATCTTCTTCTGTTTTCTGAAACTCCTGAAGAAATTTTGCCTCGTCTCGATTTGAATCTTCCTCACTTTTCTTTAACTCCTGAAGTAGGTTTGCTTTCTCATGTTTTGAATCTTCCTCAGTTTTCTTTACCTCCTGAAAAATTTTGGCCTCCTCTTGTTTTGACCCTTCCTCAGTTTTCTTTAACTCCTGATAAATTTCTGACTTTTTTCTTTCTGAATCTTTCTCATTTTTCTTTAACTCCTGAAGAAGATTTGCCTTTTCTCGTTTTGAATCTTCCTCAGTTTTCTTTAACACCCGAAGAATTTCTGACTTTTTTCTTTTTGAGTCTTCCTCAGTTTTATTCAACTCCTGAAGAAGATTTGCCTCGTCTCGTTTTGAATCTTCCTCAGTTTTCTGAAACTCCTGAAGAAATTTTGCCACCTCTCTTTTTGAATCTTCCTCAGTTTTCTTGAACACCTGAAGAATTTCTGACTGTTTTCTTTCTGAATCTTCCTCTGTTTTATTCAACTCCTGAAGTAGGTTTTCATTTTCTTGTACTAAATCATCCTTGGTTTGTATTATCATCTGAAGCAGGTTTGCCCTTTTTCTTTCTGAATCTTCCTCGGATTTTATAAACCCCTGAAGAAGGTTTGCCCTTTTTTCTTCTGAATCTTCCTTGGATTTTATAAACCCCAGAAGAAGGTTTGCCTTTTTTTCTTCTGAATCTTCCTTGGATTTTATAAACCCCTGAAGAAGGTTTGCCCTTTTTCCTTCTGAGTCTTCCTTCATTTTCATTAACTGCCTTTGTAGGTTTGATTCAACCTGCTCTGAACTCTCTGTTATTTTTATCAGCCTCTGAAGTACGCTTTTTTTCTTGTTCTGATGCAGTCTCTTTTTCAAGTGACTCCTGTAGTAGGAATGCCTTCTCTGTTTTTGAATCTTCTTTGTTTTTGTTTAGCCTGAGAAGTAGATTTATTTTGTCTTTCTCTGAACTCTCTTTTGTTTTTATTAACCTCTGAAGTAGGTTTGCTTTTTCTTGCTGAAAATCTTTCTTTGTTTTCATTAACTGCCTCCGTAGGTTTGTTTCAACCTGCTCTGAATCTCTGTTATTTTTATCAACCTCTGAAGTACTCTTTTTTTTTCTTGTTCTGATGCAGTCTCTTTTTCAAGTGACTCCTGTAGTAGGAATGCCTTCTCTGTTTTTGAATCTTTTTTGTTTTTGTTTAGCCTGAGAAGTAGATTTATTTTGTCTTGCTCTAAACTCTCTTTTGTTTTTATTAACCTCTGAAGTAGGTTTGCTTTTCTTGCTGAAAATCTTTCTTTGTTTTCATTAACTGCCTCCGTAGGTTTGTTTCAACCTGCTCTGAATCATTTTTTGTTTTCATTAATATCTGTATTAGGTTTGCCTTTTCTTTTTTTGAATCTTCTACTGCTTTAATTAACATCTTAAGCAGGTTATCCTTTTCTTGTTTTGAATCCTCGTTTGTTTTTAGTAACTCCTGGAGAAGATTTGCCTGTTCTTGTTTTGAATTTTCTTTTGTTTCCCTTAACTCCTTGGTTAGCTTTGATCTTTCCTCGATCAAAATGGCCTTTTCTCCCTCTAACTCCTCATGGAGTGTTGCCTTCTTTTTTTCTGAAACCTCTATTTTCTTTTCAAACTCCTCTTGAAGTTTTATCTTTCTATCTCCCAAATCTTCAATTTTCTTCTGTAATGTCTCCTGAAGTTTTAGCTTTTCACTGTTTAATTTCTCTATTTTTTTAAGCAATTCCTCATTTTTTGATTTAAACCTTTCTGAGTCCTTGGTTATCTTTTGTGACTCCTCTGCAAGTTTTGACTTTTCCTTTTCCAAATCAACAATTATCTTCTGAGATTTCTCTTGAAGTTTTAATTTCCCACCTTCTAAATCATATTTAGTTTCTTCTGACCTCTGAAGTAGTTCTTCCTTTTCCCTCTCTGAATCATCTTTTATTTTCTTAGCCTCTGCAAGAAGTTCGGACCTTTCCGTTTCCCAGTTTTTGTTTTTGTGTTGTTGTTCTGTTTCCTTCTGCTTCATTCCTACAGGGAAACAGAAGAAGGATAGAACAGATTAGGACTGCACTTCATTTTCTTGTAAATTTATTGGACGTAATAAGCTGTCCTTTGTTTCCACTAGTACAAAATTGTATAAAAGTAATTATTTTCTAATGGTAAATCTACAGAAAATAAACACCCAATAACTAATAAATATCAGAGACAGTGCCATAATAAGTAAAAAAAATATTGTGTTCTTTGTTGGTAAAAATAAAGGACACATTACAGACCCTACAAAAGGAACAAGATTAATGTTCTTCAAACTGTGCAAACAATGCCCTAAGACAATGCCCTGTGACAACAACATTTGAGTCATCAGCATAAGACAGTATATGTGTTGGATAGATTAAAAAAAGCTGTTTTCTACGAATTGATTTGTCAACTTAATCAAAATTCATGTTCTCACCAAAGGAATAAAAGCAAATCTGGTTGGATTTGAATGTAGAGCTGCTATGTAAAACATTACTTCTTTGCAATTAAAATCAAATATCTACTTCCTCCACTGGGTTTGAAAGAGACAAGGTCTTCCAGATTTCTTTGCATCTCTTTAAAGAAAAACTTTACTGCCAGAATCGTCTATTATTATTATTACAAAAGGCGAAAGAGTAAGAAAATTAGTCATAAGAATTTAAAATGAATTTCCAGACTTACCAGTTTGTATTTTTTTCCATTTCCAGACCACCAGAACAACTGTTACAATTAACATCAAGCCAAATAACACACTAAAGACTATTGGAGCAATAATGTTAGGAGGAGCCATGTAAAAATCATCTGAAAACAAGAAGAGAAGGATACAAACATTATCCCACCAAATGTAATGTTTGAGTGAAGTTAAGGTTTATATATATGTATATATATACACACACAAATATACAATCTTTATGTCAGATGTTTGTTGTTTTTACCTTGAATATGTAAATGTGCCTTCCTGGTCTGGTTTATGTTCCTCTGTTGGACTCTACAGGTGAAGTTGTTGCCGTTTGACTTCTCCACAGTCACTCTGCTGCTGACACTATAGAGACCATCAGGACCTTTGACTGACTTTGTTGGTCCAGCTGAGAGAACTTTTCCCTCACTGCCCAGCCACAACACCTCAGGCTGTGGATACCAGCCTGGAGAGTTACAGTCCAACATCACTCCACCACTGACTTTACCGATGCTGATGACAGGTGAAGAAGCAGAACCTGAAGAGAGGATGACATGAGTTGATTAATGGTATAGTCCTAGAATTCTAGTGTACACCTTTTTAGCATCAGCATCCAGCCTATTAATACAACTCTGGAAAAATGGAACTGTGAATATAACCAGTATTTAGATATTTTGGCAACATATTTATTTATTATTATTATTATTTTTTCTCCACAAATTTCAGCAAAAGTCAGCAAAATAACAAAAAAAATGAACTGACAATGAAGCCATTGCCTTAATAAAAAGTAAGTAAATAAATAAATAAAAATAAATGAAAAAAGGATTACTATTATTTTGTTATTGTTGTTATTATTATTATTATTATTATTATTATTATTATTATTATTAACAACAAGGCCATGGGTAAAACGCACCGAGGTCCTGTTGCCATACTGTGGATTTTTTCTTATTTTTCTTCTGGGCAAATTTTGATTCGCTACTAGTCCAACAGCTTAAAGAGTTTAAGAACACATTATATATCAAAACGTGTTGTTTGATCAGGATTGGTGTGTTATTATTCTCTACTGTATATGAACTTTTTTGTGATGCAAGTCGCATAAAACTTTTGCATTGACGTGAATGAGACAAGCAAAAAGTAGAGCAATTATAGAGCAAGAATCTCATCATAATGTACAAACCCCAGCATAAGACTATTATTATGAGTAGATTATTAGATTATTATTATTGTTATTATTATTATTATTATTATTATTTGAGTCACACAGTGAACAGCATAGTTTTCATGTTACCAAAACTGGAATGATTGGGCTGCTTTCCCTGCATACTCTCAACCTCCACATACACAATAGTATAGTTAATTAACTTACCAACATGAAGCTGGATGAAATATTGTTTCTTCTGTTTTGGGATGTAGCATCTATAAACCCCGTTATCAGACGGTTTCACTTTGAGGAGTGTCAGAGAAAGATCTCCTCTCCTCAGTTTGTCAACAGACATTGATGCTCTTTTCTTATAGGCCACATTTTGATCAACTCCAAGTTCCTGACCATTATGCCAAACAAAGACAAATCTGGGGTTCAGGTCAGGTCTCCCCCACTCAACTGTCATGGAAACAGCATCCCCAGGAGACTCCAGCTGACAAGGCAAAACTGCATCATCACCAACCATTGCCATGACTTGCTGCTGTGGAGGGTTATTCTGTGCCACACCTGCAAGAAAATAAGTTATTTTAAATTCAGTTTCAAACACTGTTCTTTTTTTTATTGTGATTAATATAAACTATATTGTTGACAACATTTTGCAATATGCCACAGTATCCCATATTCTGCAAAGCTTATTTTCATACCTAAGGGAGTAACAGTCTGCTAGGAATAAAGCAACAAAAATTCTTAAATGCACAGCACATTATATTTTTTACTTGTAAATATTTTACATTTGGTGCAACAGTCGGACAACTCATGCTATATAACTGCCTGTGTGGGCTTTTGAAGAACTTTTGGGATGAATATTTGGACTTCTGTTCTCTTTTACCTAGCCTTTGTGGTTTGGAGATCTAAGAATTGTTGTCTTATATGTATAAGAATGTTTGACATGTTTCCACACACAAAGTAAAGGAACTGCTGTCAACAAGAACAACACACCATCCCAAATTGATCCATCACATTCCCTTCATTGCTTTTGAAGTCCATGGGAAGTTGTTTATATGCCAAGACAAAAAAAAAAGAGAGAAACCAACACGTTGTGTATCTTACCTCCACAATAGTAGGTTAGGAGTAAAATGACAGCTATGTGTTGGGCAACATCCATTGGGGGAACCATCCTGAGCTGAAAATCAAACACACATTTACTGTAAATAAGTTAGAATTATCAGTTTTATTTTATTTTTTGAAAATATTTTCCTTTTATACTCCTGCCTCTCAGTTTTTTTTCCCTTCAATGTTGGCAATGCTTGATGCTTCTGCTTTATAAAGATGTAGGTAAAATGAAAGATAGGGGGACTGTAAAATTGTAACCACTTTCATGTGCCCTGACAGAATGAAATGAAATAAGCTGTACAAAAAGCTTGTTAAGGTGTGATTTAGCTTCTTGGGTCTTTAACAGTCATATACACAATAGGGAAAAACTTTTATATTCACTAATAAACCTATATTAACTACTTCCACTGTTGAGGGTTACAATAATTTGATTATACTTGTTCGTAACGTGACGATGTAACTTTTTTTGTTAATTTAGTAATGAAATTACTGTAACAGTTTAATTGCCTTTCTCCTTGCTAAGTTCTTCAATGATCTTTATGGCATAAGACAGACAAACAAATAAATAACCTTGTACTGTGTGCTTCTGCAAAACTCTTTGACCTTACTCATGAAATTCATAAAAGGGGGAGCAGAAACAGTAGAGCAGTTCAACAAGAGGCAGATTTTAGAGGCTTAGAGATATGCACAAAGGACAAGAATGTGAAAGCAATGTGTTAACTTCGTCCTGGCCAGAAACAACTACCACTGCTGTTGACTTGACACCAAATCTTTCTAAGCACCTGCAAATGCAACAAACTAACAGATAGCAAGTGATCTAATTTCCCTGTGCCCTGAGTAATAAACAAGACAAGAGCATGAGCAGACCAGGCTTAACTTTCAACAACAATAGGTGTGAACAATAGCAGCGCTTTATGCTTTTTCCTTGACAGTTTTTTTTTCAATGGAGAGTGTAAGTGCTAATGTTACAGCTAAAAAACCAACAACAGAAAAATGTTGGGTACGTCCACATAAGCATTTGTGCTCATGTTGCATATGGTAAAATGTTTAAGGTTATGTCAATTGATAGTTCAGTGATGGTGCATCTCAGTTGATGTGGAGTACTGCCAAGTATTGTTACTTGTAGGATAGTAGTTACTTTTCGCTGTGAGTGTCTGAGTACTTTTCCAAAGAGTAAGAAATGATTTTAGCATGTTACTTTTCTTGACTAGCTGCTTCAGCACTGACTACTACCACTTACACTACTTACACTATTATAATTTTTACTTTGACATTTTCTTATGCTACTTATGCTATTGTTTAAATTTTTTTCAACACCAATAATACTGCTCTAATACTTCTCCTAAAGTTATCACTGCCTCTAGTGATACTACGCCTAATATTAATTGAAGTATCACTGCAGCTATTACTTGTACAACAGCAGCTTCTTACTTACTTTCATGTATTTATACTTTTTAAGCAGTTTTGTAACCAATGATGTCAGCATTCACTCTAACCCCAACTGTAGCTTTGAGTAGACATGTTTTTTTTTCTTCTTTTTAATATTCACACAGAAGTTATTTCTTAACTAAATCTACACACTGTGATAAAGCAATAGCAGCTGTCTCAGAGGTAAAATCCACTGGATCTAGTTCAGTAAATCTTGGGAGGATCAAATGTTAAGGCCAGTATGTTTGCTGTCATTGATGCAAAAAAATAGAAGCAACATTTTTGATCAAAGCAGACAGTTTACTGTCATTTTAAGGGAAGGAATCCTGTTAAAGCCACAGCTGAGTCATCGAAGTGCTTTGCGCGTGAATGTTTACGACAGTGTCTGTTGAAAAGGAAATCCTTTTTTAAATCATATTTTAAAGCCATTTATACCATCACTGTACTAATATACAGAGCATGCTAAGATTTAAAATACATCAATTTGATAGACTCATACCTTTTGTGTGTCAGTCCCGTCACTTCTCAGTGTGCTCCACGGTCAAAGTCCTCAAATGAAAGGATCTGAACTTTGAGATTGGATTTATTTGCTTTTGAACGTCCCACAACCCCTTTAAACACAGGGATGTGATAAGTAATCCATATCTAGGTGCAAACACTTGTTGACTTGCCAGTAAACCATAACTGCCCCTGCCCACACAGGATTATGTGTCGGATCACAAAACCATCATTGCAAAACATCAGCAACCCAGTCACAGAGGACTGGGGGGTATAATGCTTTGTGTGTGGGGTGGGGAGAAGGTGGTTGGTGGGTAATAATGAGGCAAGCCTGCCAACCAGGGATTAGATCTGTGGGAAAAACCTAGAGAGTTAAATGGCTTTGGGCAAATGACAGAGAAGAATGGCAGACAGTCGACAGAGAGACCTGATAATAATGGCTTAAAGGAACAGCAGTAATAAAAAAAAAAGAGAAGACAGGGAAGAAAACAGGGGAGATAATTTAAATTGAGGTTACCACTTTTGCAGGTGCTTGAGAAAACTGATAGAAAACAGGTTGCAAGATCTTAGCCAAGTAGAAAAGATTCAAGGAAAGGAGACATTGAAGAAAACAGTAGAGAATGTTGTTCGGTCAGACTGTCTGTAGCCAGTATATACGGAACATAAACCGGTGTTGAAAAGTTTGGAGACAGGAACTGAAATTGAGAGAACAAAGAAAATAGTAGATGGTTATCCGGAAAGGTGTAGCCATTCAATATCTTGATAATGGGAAATTAAGTGATACGAATACAAAAAGAGTGATGTACAACACCTGAATAAAATCATGATCTTAATGCTTGCCTGACGTTTGCTGCCTTCAGAGTTAAGACTTTAATGAGCATTCACAAAGAGCTTTGCAATCGATTCAAACTGGATATACTCAGATTAGATTACTCTTGGATTTCAACAAAGATGAACTTTCTCAATTGCTGTTTAATCTTTGAAATTGAGTGTCTGATCATTCCACTGCTATTTAGTGGCTCTAATACCTGTTACCATTGCCATGAAGCCATGATATCTGACTAAAAACCTTCTTTTTTCAAAACTAAAAAAAGACTGTATTCAGAGATTATCCAGGTTGCATGCAAATTTCTCTGAACTAACATCACATCAAGACATCCTATGTCCTATTAAACATCTACATCAATTATTTGCCAAAATTGGGATTGATTCTGTTCTTTTTGTTTTAACTCTCCATGAAGTTCTCTCCCTTTTTATTATCTAAGTTGTCTTTAAACAAGTGGTAAAGTTAAGTTCACTCTACTACCCCGACCCCCCCATGTGAAAAAAACGTAATGGCCTATTACGCTCTAAACATTTTAAACCCTGCCCTGGCTTTGCTTTTTAAAAAAAAAAAAAAAAAAAAAAAAACAAAGCAATGAACAACTGAATTGATGAAAGATGTGAAGTAAACTATAAAGGACAAGTGAGCAAGGATAATCTACATGAAGATAACTGAAGCATATAACACACCTACTTCTGGTTTGGTTTCAACCTAGCTTAAATATTGATGTCAGTTGTTGAGAACAGACTTTGTGGCTTTTTTATAATATAATAACCAGATTGTATGAACACTTTCATTGTTTCATTGCTCACTTTATGGTTTTATAACCGGAACCAATGCAAAACCAGCGACGTCATAAAAAGAGCAGACACTTGAGACAAAAAGCAGGCAAATGTTTCAGTTTTCAATACATTTATGATTTTCAACAAAACAAAATGAATCAAACTTAAAAAAAACATATTTATGTAAAAACAGTAAAAATACATGCCGAAGATCACACATTCCTGTGTACATGTAGAACTTCCAAAATTTTATGTATCATATTGTCAAGGTTAGGTCAACATGACGAAATTAGAAACAATAACTATCACAGAGTTCTCACACCAAATAAAAATGTAAATGTCCTTTGACATGAACCCCAGTATATGTGTGTGTATCAAGTATATTCTCTAGATAAAAGGAAGGTAAGAGGATGTCTTTGGTATGTTCTCCTCTATCTCCCATCCTTTCTCTGGCTGAAGTATATTTTAAATCTTCTGCTTCTGATTCTCAATCTCTTTGATTCTTCACCTGCTCTATGTTGTTCTCTACTCTAGTAATCAGTTGTATTTTTCTATTTCATATTCAGTCGTTTCTGATTCTGTCCATTTTCTTCTGGTTCCAGCCAGCAACTTGTAAGATTTTTTTAGTTTATAGCTTTGTTGGCTATTCAACGACCCCCTTCTTGTCCTCTGTCAGTCTCTCTGCTTCCTAAAACTGGGGAAAAAAAGATGCTCCTTTTGTTTCTCCAGGTACTCTGTCAGTTCGCTCTGTGTCTTACTCAGCTGTCAATCCTCTAAGTTCTTCTTGATTATTCTTTAACTTTTGAGTTCCAACTTTTCCCTTTTTTAACCCCTCATTTTCTATAATTCCTCTTTAAGTTTTGACTCTTTATTTGAATCCTCAATTCTCTTCTTTACTTCATTATAAACTAGATTTTTTTTCTTATTCATATATTCCAATTACTTCTTCTCTAATAGTTTTGAATTTTCTCTCATCAAATGCTGTATTTTGTTTTGTAACTGCTCTTGAAGTTTTAACTTTTCCTTTCCTAAAACCTCTATTTTTTCCTCAAAATTTTGTCTACGTTTCATGTTTTCATCTCTCAATTGCACTATTTCTTTCTGTAACTTCTCTTGAAAATGTGACTTTTCCTGTAACACTTTCTCATGTTTTGACCGTTCCTTGTCAAAATCATTTTTTGTCTTTTCTAACTCCTCGCTAATTGTGTTGCTCCTCTGTTCAAAATCATTTGCTTTCTCTTGTGACTCCTCAAATTTAGACTTTTCCCTCTTCAGATCACATTCTGTTGTCTGTAACGTTTCTGTAAGAGAAGAATTTCTCTTTTCTAAATCACTTTTTGCTGTCTCTAACTCTTCTATACGGTTTTCCATTTGTGTTTTCAAGTCTTTCGTTTCCTTGGTCTCTTCCATTAGCTTTTTTTTTTCTTTTTCTTCTTTGTCTTCTTTCTTCTTCATGTCTTCAGGAAAAACAAAAGGAGTAAAGAACAGGTTAGGGTTATATTTAATTTTCTGGTACATTAAATAGTTTTACAGTTGTAACTAACTAGACAAAAATAGCATCTGTATATTCTATATTGGTTAAAAAGGAAAAAAACTATGATAAAACTTTGAAAACTATGAACTTAATAGAACACACTTTAATTTAAACAACAGTAACAACATCCAACATTCCAGACTTTCATTGAATAACAGCAAGTACTTACAGTAGGACATATTAGAAGAAAAGTATATTTATAACAACACACTTTTATACGACAATTTTGATTCCACTTCACCTCTGTGACTGAGTAAGTTTAAAAAAAACTGTTTATATGTGCAAATAATATTAAGACACAGGCTCTTATGAAAAAACTGTTAAAAGCTGGCACAAATTTTAATATACAGCCTTCTATTATCAATACTTAACAATTACACTAAAAATGTTATCTGTACTTTGGGAGATTTCTGAATGAGAAAAAGTGTCTTCCTGGTTTTTATGCTTCTCTTAAAAGAAACACTATACTATAAAATACATTATCAAAGTTTTAACAGAAATTATGGAGATGAAATTAATCTTTTCCCTACCATGCACATCTCATCAAATTATATATCAAAATCATACAATTGTATCTTATTCTTTTGCAGACCTTTTTTTGCAATAATTTGCAAAGGGTTAAGAGATAGAAAATTAATCACTCATTGTGAAACAATTTTTTTACTTACCAATTTTGTTTTTCCAGATCAGCAGGACAACTGCAACAATAAGCATGAAGGCAAACAGCACACTAAAGGCTATAGAAGTAGTACAGCTGGGGGGGTCTGTGAAAAAAGCATCTGGAAAAAAGAAACAAAAATATTTATCATAATTGAGTACATTCTTCTACTGAAATTAAGGTTTGTTTCGGCTGTATTCATTGGAGGGTGACAGTTTTTTTTATTTTCTCCACCTTGAAGATATATGTGTGCCTCTCTGGTCTGGTTTATGCTCCTCTGTTGGACTCTACAGGTGAAGTTGTTGCTGTTTGTCTTCTCCACAGTCACTCTGCTGCCGACAGTATAGAGACCATCAGAACCTTTGACTGACTCTGTAGGTCCAGCTGAGAGAACCTTTCCCTCACTGTCCAGCCACAACACCTCAGGCTGTGGATACCAGCCTGGAGAGTTACAGTCCAACATCACTCCACCACTGACCCTATCAATGCCTGCTATGGTGATGATGGGTGAAGAGACAGCACCTGTGAGAAAGGAAGACTTTTGATATGGTCCTGGAATCTTGTATAGCATCTAGGTCACCTCTTTCATAATATCAGCATCCAGCTTGTTTCCAACTCTGGAAAAAAATCTATTAAAAAATTGATAAATGCAAATAATAATTAAAAGTATTCTGATATCTTTTGTTGTAGGAAATCAAGTAAGTACTTACATTATTACTGTATATTCTGCAAAATTGTATTTTATTGTTAAAAGGTGTCTTTGCCTCAGTTCAAATTGAGCTTTCCACTTTGTTCTAGCCACGTTTGAGCCTGACAGTGAACATCATGTTTTTCTTGTTATCTAAATGTTTGTGATTGGGCTGCTTTTCCTACAAAGTTAAATTATTATTATTTTTTTTTTTTAACCAATTTTATTTTATTTATACTTTGGGTGCCTTTCATAGCACTCCATGTCACCTTATATAATATAATATAATTAAGTAACTTACCAACATGAAGCTGGATAAAATATTGTTTCTTCTGTTTTGGGATGTAGCATCGATAAACCCCGTTATCAGAGGGTTTCACTTTGAGGAGTGTCAGAGAAAGATCTCCTCTCCTCAGTTTGTCAACAGACAATGATGCTCTTTTCTTATAGGCCACATTTTGATCAACTCCAAGTTCCTGACTTTTATGCCAAATAAAGACAAATCTGGGGTTCAGGTCAGGTCTCCCCCACTCCACTGTCATGGCAACAGCATCCCCAGGAGGGTCCAGCTGACAGGGCAAAACTGCATCATCACCAACCATTGCCATGACTTCCTGCTGTGGAGGGTTATCCTGTGCCAGACCTGCAAGAACACCAGTCTTATTAAATTCTGTTACAAATTATACACTCTATTAAAAATACTTACATATCATACAAAAACACAAATTGTTTATAGTGGCCTCTTTTATATTTAAGATTCTGAAGATGGTAATAGTATTAATTATATTGCAATTTGATAATACTCCAGCTCTTTCATGTTGCAATATGCTGTTGAATACCAAGTCCTGTAAGGCTCATTTTTATACCTAGAGGAGTAACAGTTTACAGACGACACAGTTCAGCAATTACCTTGTTTTTGGGGTCAAAGTTTGATCGAACAGGAATAAAGCAACACAAATTCTGAAATGCACAACATTAATTTGTTTTTAAATATTTAACATTTGGTGCAACATTGGGGCAACTCATGCTCAGTTTATGCATTTGTGCTTGTAAGAGGCAGAGAACTGGGCCTGGCTTTTGTCTGCACAAGACCCCTTTTGTGCAGACAGGGTCCTGCATTTAGGTGCAGAACTGTCAAAAACTAATAGTTTCAGAGATTCCCTCAGTTGTCTGCTCTCACATCTAAAGGCTTTTTAGGAACTCTAGGGATGAATACTTGGACTTCTGATCTCTTTTGCTCTGCTCCAGCATTTCACAGATGTTGTTGATGTCAATTTACATGCATTCACATGTTCGACATGTTTCAACACTCAAAAACATGGCACAACTACTACCAACTCCTAGGTTGGAGTGCACAGTCATGTATGACCACTATTTATGTTCACACTCTCAGATGTATTTGCCATCTTAAACTATAAACCAAACCGTAATGTCCATGCCATCACAGGTTAGGACAGAAGGGAACAGAAACTTTATGATCTTATTTTACCCAGTAGCTGTTCATATGTCAGGGTGTAAAATAGAAGACCAATGTGTCTGTGTATCTTACCTCCACAAAAGTGTGTTAGGAGAAAAAAGACGGTTATGTGCTGGAAAACATCCATTCTGGAGAGCTGAAAATCAAACACACACTTATTGTAAATAAGCAAAAATAATATTTGTTTACCTCTCTCTCCAACACACATTCGCACAGTCAAACTAAAATTTCACATTATACTAGGGGTTATTGTAGTTGGACAACATTTGTCTTTTAAGTGGGAGGGAAAGGTATAGCTGCTGCTGATTTAGTTTTCCGTTGACTGTTAGTAGTCAAACACTTTCTTATCCTTTGTACTATTTTGAATTTGTGAACTCTCTCCATGGCAGAAGGACAGACAGACATCAAAATCTCTGCTTCTGCAACACTTTCTGATCTTGCTCCTGGGAGGTGTGACTTGTACACACATTTATGCTTGATGCTCTTTAACACATTTCTGTCTTTTTTGTTAAATTTACATTCTGTTATTAACTGCATCTATTTTTGGATGAAAGTTAAATATCAAAGTAAAGCAGTAAGTAAGGAAAAAGGAGTAGCTCCGCAAAAGACAAAATCCACCTCAAACCGGCCAGCAGTACCAACAGGATTAAAATGTGAAGACCAGTTTTTTTTTTTTAAAGGAAATCTATTTTCTCCACATTTTAAAAGTTTTAATGATCATAAAAATTTTCATAACTATACAAAACATTCTAACATTTAAATTATTTTAATTTGATAGACTCACCTACCTTCCTGTGTCACTCCCGTCACTTCTCAGTGTGCTGCACAGTCAAATGTCCTCAAATAAACGGATCTGAACTTTGAGCTTGGATATGAACGACTAAGTGAGGTGTGTTCCAGTTATAAAGGGCACAGGTGTGAAACTTTCATACTGCAAGTGAAAATCCTGCAGCCCTATTATTTTCTTACAATTTAATTTAGAACATTACAAATATTGAAAAGTTAACTACTTTAAACAATTTGGGAGCACATCAACCTTGAAACACAGAAATCTAATATCAAAATCTTGATAATCATTATAATCATAAAAAAAGTTTAGGTGTCAAACTGGGTTTACAGCTTTTGAGGTTTCTAGCAGGTATAACCTTGATACTTATATAAATACTAGTTGTTATGCAACTCAACACCTAAAAAAAAATCTTTGTCTATTTGTAATCAATAGAAATTAGATTCTAAACCTCAATTTGATGAAATTTGATGTGAGCTTGGCTTCATGGTTTGCAGTTTAGTGTTTTTTTATACCTTCTCTGATAGGTTAATGATCAACATGCACCATGAACTTAGTTAAACATTAACACCATGTATCACTCAGCAGTTGGAGTAATTTTGTTTGACAAGTGAAGGTTACTGCTGTGAATCAAGAATTGCCAATAGATGTTTCAGACCCCAGTCTTTTATCCGTCCAGTCTCCTTTTTTACCACAGAAGCAACACAAGGAAAGAAATCAGTAACCAATTTAATTGACTGACCACAGATCAGTCTATAAATTAAAAACAACAGCAGTAGAAATGAATTGGGGGGGGGGGGGGGGGAAATAATAATACAAATGTGATACAAAAGATTTGTAAATGTAGTGGAGACTTGGAAAGACAGCAAAAATGAAACTCTGCTGCGAACATATCGGTATTTACAAGAATCCTTCATGCATTCTCTATACTCTTGGACTGATGAAGACTTTATAAAAGACCATATAAAATCTGTGCAACTCTTGGTCTAGTTCAACACACAAAACTGCACCCATGAGCACTGATATGGCCAGAAGATGATCATGGCTTAACCTCCTTGTGGACATTGGAGTTTCACAGAAGATTATTGCTGAAAAGACTGGCTGTTTACAGAGTGGGCTATCAAAGAATTTTAGTTAAAAGATGACTGAAGGGAAGTGTGTTGGGAAAAGATGCACTGTCAACAAGGATGACCACAGAACTGAAAAGACTGCCACAAAAACTGCTTCAAGAATTAGAGCTTCAAAAAGAATGGACTGAGGCTGAGGTCTGATCATCAGAGCCACCACACAGAGATATGTTCAGGAAAAAAGACTAAAAATATACATTCATGACATCAAGACACTCCTGAACTAGAAACAATGTGAGAAGAGTCTTACCTGGGCAAAAGAGAAAAAGAACTAGATTGTTGCCCAGTGATCCAACATCCTCTCTCCAGATTAAAGTCAATTATGCAACTCATTTCAAAAACAAGGTCCCAGAGTCTGAAGGAAGTGTGGGAAAGCACAGGGACTTAAGTTTTTAAGGTCTTTGGGCCCTTATAACATCCCACTGATGCAATGGGTTAATTTTCTCAATGTCATGCCATAATGATGCTGTAATCTACAAAATAAGTTCCTACCCAAGTTCTGAGCAGATGTTTTTATCTTTGTTTTGAAAGTTAAAATTCTTGTTCCAAATCTTTTTTGATCATTGTTAAGAATAATATTTTTCATTTTCTATGTGAGAAAACATGAAATATTTCCTTTTTAGATAAAAAAGATTAGTGGTCCAGGATTATACAGTTGACTTTTACATTACATATCAGAATTACCTATCCACACCACATTCACATACTGATGATGGCACAAACTGTTATGTATGAAGCGCATTAGTTTTTGACTTGTTTCATTCGCACACCACTAGACCTGTCCTGGCGCCACTGTCTTGAACAAGGACACTTTATAATGTGGATAGCCCTGGTACCGAACCCCTAACCCTTCAAATGGGAGACATTGACTCTGACCAATTCTCCGACAATGCTAAAAGGAAGGCTGAGAAAAACAATGACATTTTGGTTGGTGCACCACCTTTTTTATTTGTTTGGAAACTGTTCTACTATCTTATTAGGAATTCATAATTAGGACTAGCACACAAACACACACACATGAGGGTCAAACCGGAGAGATAACTGTTTCTATTTCTAAAGCTCTGCATCACACAGATATTTTCAGCTCTGTTTGAAGTTTGCGTCGACTTAAACATTAGAAACGGTGCACACAGGAAGAGGAAGTTCTGCCTGAGAGTATACTTGTTGTACTACAATCATACACTGCAGCAGTCAGCAGTGAGACATCATGGACATCAGATCTTTCATCATCAGACCCTGTAAGTACAGGCTCTTCTGTTGCTGTCGTATCATGCTTCAGTAAGCACAAGATATTAACTGTTTTCTTTATTTGTCTTTCCAGTGATGGTCATGTTGGTCCTGCTGGTGGTACAGATGAATCACTCGTACTTTGCTCAGAAAGCTTGTAGGTTTCTAGCTGATGTTCTTTATTATACTCTTGATATTTAACTTAAATTATTATATGTTTCTTTGATAATACCTGGGCAGCAGTTTGGCTCAAGAGTCAACCACTAAAAGTGTCAAAGGACCAACAATGACTTGCAGTCAGTAATCATGTGACTTGTGCGAAAGGGAAGGGTCACTGCAACTAAAGTTATATTCACTAAAGTTGAGTATCTTTAACATGTTTACCTGCCACTCTGTATGTTGGAATGATAACTGTTTTTGTAGATAATGTCACATAGAAGCACATATATATTTAAATTCATGATGACTTTACTCTAAGCTCTCACACATAAACTGTACATGACTGGCTGTTCACAATAATTTATAGTTTCTGCTGCATTTTTGTGATAAATTGTTTTATGTCTGCTTTGCTGTTGTTTCACCATGCAAATATATTATTGCTTGTCTGTGTCTGCGATAATGTTGGTTTTTAGGTATGCACCTTATTTACAAAAGCCTAATCAGGAACAAGGACAACAAATTAACCACAACTAGAAGGCTTACACTGCATTGGTCGCTCTTTCATACATGCAACAACGCCTGCATGTATTGACCGTTTGATATACAGATACATAATTGCATCACAGGTGTAAAAAATTATGCATATTTAAACATATCATGACACCTGTTCTTTCTTTTCTTGCGTCTCAGATGCAGATTTTCCTCGTATTTCTCCAGACAGACTTCAGTTTTTTGAATATGAGACTATCCGCATAAGCTGTGAGGAGTTAAGTGGAATGACTGAATGGAGAGTGGTGCAGAAACTTGACAAAAAAATTCCCGAAGATTCTTCAGACTGTGGCTCACCTGCACCATCCTGCACAATTTCTGTTGCCCTTGCATCACACAGTGGAGAGTACTGGTGTGAAGATACAACAGGGCAAAGAAGTGGTGCCGTCAACATCACCATTACTGGTGTGTAAACCTAAATATGAAGGACAAATACTGATCTAATTTTTCTTTCTCTGGACTTGATTTCTGTTACATTTTTACTCTACCAAAGTTTGAGAACAGACAGAGAAAAAGTCTAAGTTTTTAATTAAGAAAACTATAAAAACAACAACAAAAGAAAACATTCATATTTCTTGTTATATGAAATTTCTATTTTTTGATTTTGCATTCATAGTTACTCCTTGTCAAATGTTTCTGGTAGAGGTTGAATAGTAGACACTGCCAAATATAACAACTTAATGCATTTTTAATGCTGACACGAGAATAGTTCTTTTCCAGCTGGATCTGTGATCTTGGAAGTTCCTGCCCTTCCTGTGATGGAGGGATGTGATGTGATTCTACACTGTACAAAACAAGAATCAGAGTCAACTCACATTCCTGATTTCTACAAAGATGGTGTCAAACTTGGAGCAATTTATGAGGACAAAATGACACTTCAAAATATATCAAAGTCTGATGAAGGACTCTACAAGTGCATTTCCTCTGCTGGAGAATCACCAGAGAGTTGGCTGAGAGTTTTACAACAATCAAACAAATCCAATGACGAGATTCAGCTCTTTCAGAGACCATCTTTCTTGCTGTGGGCTGTCATCAGTATTTCTTTGGCAGTTACACTTCTGTTGGTGATGGGACTCTTTCTTTGCTGCAAATACAGAGGTACTGAAAAGTACTTAAAATTTATGGTCCAAGTCTATAGAACTGAAATGTAGTTTGAGTGTTAAATACAAACATAGCACTTAGGAAAATGATTTATGATTTTGCTTTCTGTGTCAGTTTTACTTAAATTTCTTCTTCTTGCTCCTCCAGCTCTATAAAAATATCTGTACTGGAGTCCAACTTCAATTGACTATTTTCACTGAAGACCTCTTCTTTTGTTTTGTCTAGTGTTTTCATCTAAAGACTCGATACCAGCCCAACCGCTATCACAAGATTGTACAGGTCAGTAAAACCAACTATGTGTGATATTTCATTTTTATCATGGCTTTTTTTTTTTTTGAAGAGGATGAAACTGAAATTTGAGAAAAAAAAAGTTCCTACAGGTTAGGGTGAGAACAATGAGCATCTTAATGGAAAACAGTAGATTAAATGAGGTTAACCTGTATGCTTGCCTGTTAACGGGCAAATAAACTTCCAAGTCCTGATTTTGTTTCAACTTTTGTGATGCCATTGTTGCTTTTTGTTTCTGGATAATCTGGGGCATTTGCAGTTTTTTTTAAATGTGTAACCATTTCACAAAAGTGTATATTTGACCATTTTTTAATCATCTTCTAACTTGTGCTTGTTAGCTATTTTTTGCACATCTTATTGAGAAAATCTCTACTTTAATATTTGGAATTTACTTTTGCTCATAAATGAAGCATCACAATAAATGCCTGTAATTTTCGATGTGACATTTTCAGGAGCAGAAGGACATCCTGATACACAAACTGCTACATACGCTGTCGTAAAAAAGTGTGATGAGAATAGTGGTAAGACATTTCATGGCTTTAATTACTGTAAAGCCCCTGTGAGGAGGCAAGAGCAGCGTGGTTAAATCTACACCGGGGTTAAGTTAGTTTCAGGCTGGATATTCGATGGGCATTCACTGAGGATCTACCGGTGTCTTCTCACTCTCCATAACTGGGAATAACAACAGCAGCATTAAATCCACTCAGCACCCTCACTGTCAACATCGGTGTTGAATAAGGGACCGTCAATAAATTACTGGTTGATGTTCTCAGAAAAATTTGTTCTCTAAAAATTTCTGTTAGATTTAAAGGCACATTTTGAACATTTTCTTTAATAGCTTCCATTACATGTGACCAATTAACCTAAAATTGATTTCAAATAATAGTACATATGTCGACCAATAAGACACACATTATTTGATCAATTCTTATTGTGTCCCTAAAGTTCTTTGTGTGTTCCTTACTTTTTCAACTAAATGGCATTTATTATTGCCTGTTTTTTTAAATGTTTTGTTTGAATTTCAGGTGGTGACGATGACGTTGACCCAAACACAGTGACATATGCTCAAGTCAAAACCAAAAAAAGGAAGCAAGGTAATATTTAAAATATTACTTCTTTCATTTTACGGTAGATCCACCTTGCTAATGACACAACAGGACCAAACAGATCTCAGATATCGATTAGAAGAAGATAATCCACATGGACTGTAGCGTAATCCATCCAGTGGGCAGTAAAGGTTTTAAAGTATTATTTTTCTTCCCCCAAAAGTGTTACATGCTGCAATGTTCAGCACATTAATCTTTACTGAACAATATAGTAAACCTCTTACAGCAGTAAATAGTAGTAGAAATAAGTAATTGGTAATATGAGATGTAATTTCTCTTCCATTTAGGTTTTTCCTTACCTTTTTTCTTTGAGTATCACTTTCAACAAATACCAAACAAAAGGTCTGCATTAACTGTTTAAAAATGGTTGAAAAATAAATTACTTAAATAAATAAATTACAAAAGAAACGCACAAAACGTTCAATTTATGTAATAGACAGTAATCTCATTTTTCCACATACAGCGCCAAAAGAGTCCAAAGCCAGAAGAAAGTCCAGTTCATTGGAGCCAAGTGTTGTATACTCATCTATTAACCACAAGTAAGCATGACTGCATCAGAATATATTCTTCTAATATTACAGTTCATATTCTTAAACCTATTAATCTTATAATTTCAAGGCTTGTGTAGCATTTGCTGATCTCAGTGGTTAGAGTGTAAATGAACACCCACAATGAGCTTTGCAATAAATTCAATGAGATTCACTCCAATTTATAATTCTGGAATATCAATAAAAGTGGACTTGTGTTCAAACCTTTAGGTAGAGTTATTACATTTATTCAGCTTGCATGTTTTAGTTTTAATGCCAGTTACGTCAGCCATCTTTTTTTTTCAATTCAAACTTCACAAAACTTTTAAAAAGTCTGTTCAAAGATCTGATAGCATTCTTTTTCCTGTCAATTGACAGTATTTGTAATTCTGTAATTACTGTAATACAGTAATTGTATATCTTGTGTATTTTACAGGCCATCTGTACAAGACTGACAGAGCCAGGACAGTCTGTTTTGAGGTCTACTTTTGCATCTTCATTACTATGAAACTTTTTTAGTGATATTACAGCAACTCACACATGGCCATGTGCCATGTAAAAATATTTTTTGTGGATAAAATCTGTAAAATTATCCTTTTTAAGTTAATAAATGTGTTTTCTGTCTATCACAAATACTCTACAGGTATTGATAGTATTACTAGTGATATAAAATTGAAATAAAACAGGCTGTTTGATTGGACAAGCAAAGAATGAATTTTGTCATATTTTTATAATAGGACAATAAAAACATGTTCATAACCACTTACTGAGATTTTATAAATTTTTAAACAAATTTTGCACATTAAAAATATATATATACTTGCATATCTCGTATTATAAAAGATCACTTAGAGAACATGATGAAATGCAGCACAAGTTTTTAACTGGCAAGGTTTATCTGTCAAAAAACTGGCTTGATATTTGCACAAGTTGATGTGGAATGCACATAAAAACTAGTGGAGATAAACACTCAGTTGATGTGACATGAAGCTAGAATAAATAAAACGAGGTTTGTGTTAAAGGTCTTTGTGGTTCATGGTTTTCTCGGTCTATATCTGCTGTCTTCAGTCCAACCTTATTGTTGGCGTCTCTTTCTGAGAGTGAGATGAACAGATACCGACAGTTGAACCACAGTTCTTATCTACTTTTATCTACTGCATGTCTGAAGACGCTGTTTTAGAGGAACCGAGTGGCTGAAACTTTTAAATACACTTGCTGTGGTTACAAATAAATATAATGCTGTTATATTGGTAGGCCTGAAGACAAACTAAGTTTTAAGAATGTTTCCATTAAGGTTCAGACAATGGACCTCATACATGTCATTTTTGCTGATGCTCTGGCTGGGTCACATCGCATTAACAAGAAAAGCATCACACCACATTTGGTGTATTTTTAAATTCACAGACCTCTGTACAGTGCTGTATGTTCAGTCTCATCTGCTCTCATCCTGCACTCTGATGATAGTATACACTATAATTTAAGTACACACTACAGATACACACATAAAACAGAAATACAAGAAGTGTGAATAAATGAGATAGGATAAAATGATTTAACAACATCACCTAATCTGATGATTATTGGCTCATACAAATTATAGACGCAGCTGCAGAGTTTAACCCTGGGCATTCAAACAAACTCCTTGAAAATTGTTTTTTGTCAGGTTGTCAAAGCCTGGGTGGGGAAAATGAACTTTAAGTGTCTTCAGTCAACTTGAACTCTGTGTCTTTTGTCTCTACAGAGCTCTGTGAACACATATCCATGTAGTTCCTAAACAACATCTGCACAGTCTCAACCATTGTCATTTGTTAAGATCAGACTTTGAACCTTTTTTTACAGCATAATTTTACCACCACATGATCATTTCTGGTTTTATTACAGTACATCCATGAGTCAACCAACTGCAACAATCAGGATTTATTGCAGTTTTCTTTTCAACTTTACTTCAAGTGTGTTTCTATATTCCAGATAGTTCTGTTTGAAATAGACAAACATCAGTCTGATTTATTTGATTAAATTCTTTTAATATATTTAATTTTTTTGTGTTTATAGATAAATAATCTGCAACACCACAACATATTTTGTCTGATGCATTTACAACTGTATTATCAACATACATCTGCCCTCCAATAGTTTGTGTCCAGCTTCACAGGGACATCATTTTTAGAATCATAGAGAGAAGAAGTGTTCAAATCACATTACCCATTAACAGGGATCCCTAAAAACTAATTGCTTGGTTCCTTCCTTTCTCGATATTCACCATTTCACGGTGCCATTATCAAATCTCTTGAATCTCATATCACTGCTATGCAGATGACATCCACCTCTTCCTGTCATTCCCACCAGATTGCACAACTGTCTCAGCCTGAATCTCATCATGCCTCGGTAATATTTCTAAATAGATGAAAGAATTTCACCTTCAGCTCAACCTGTCCAAAACTGAACTTCTTGTCATTCCAGCCAGTCCCCTCACACAACCATACACCAAAAATAGGACAGATTACTCTTTCAAATTGAATCACAGGAAAAAAAGGAACTTTGAGGAATACCCAATTTTGCTATGCACCCCTACTAAGACAACAAGGCTAAGAAAAATACCAACATTTTGGACACCTTTGATCTGTTTGACAAGTTTTTTTTTTGTTTTGTTTTAATTATATCATCAGGTACAGCATATACATTTCGGGTCTGATTTGGTCAAACTAGTATGATCCCACCACTGAAGTGCAGAATCGCACAGGTATTTCTGACCATACATTTCAAGTCACTACATCACCATCAGAAATAGTTAACACAGGAAGAGGAAGTTTGAACAGACGCTAAGTCTCTGCTGTATTGTAATCTTGGGCTGCAACATTCAGTAGCCAGACATCATGGACATCAGATGTCCCTCCATCAGACTCTGTAAGTAAAAGCTCTTGTTAGATTATCATTATCTTTAATTGACCCAAAAAAATGACTGTCCTCTTCTCTCTCTTCAGCAGTAGTCTTGTTTGTCCTGCTGGTATCACAGATAAACCACATATGCTTTGCTCAGAACTATGGTAGGTTTCTAACTCGTGCTTTACAGGCTCTATTATTCTGGATTCTTAACAGTAATGCTTGTATTTGTGTTTAAGTATTACCTTGGAAGCCTTCGGATAGAGACTACAATAAGAAATGTGTGAAGACCAAGAATGAATCAAACAGAAGTGTGAAATCACGATTGGAGCACCTTGACTGTGTTCCTGCTGTTCTGTTGTAGTTCATCATTTGATCTCACTGTGTGTGTGTGTGTGTGTGTGTGTGTGTGTGTGTGTGTGTCATGATCCCTTTGGTGTAAATAATTGTGGATATCTGAACATATCTTAAAGTACTTTCTCTCCGTGTAACTCTGTCTCAGATGCAGGTTTTCCTCGCATTTCTCCAGACAGACTTCAGTTTTTTGAATATGAGACTATCCGCATAAGCTGTGAGGAGTTGAGTGGAATGACTGAATGGAAAGTGGAGCAGAAACTTGACAAAAAAATTCCAGAAGATTCTTCAGACTGTGGCTCACCTGCACCATCCTGCACAATTTCTGTTGCCCTTGCATCACACACTGGAGAGTACTGGTGCGAAGATACAACAGGGCAAAGAAGTGGTGCCGTCAACATCACCATTACTGGTATGCTAATTCAAAAATATGAAAATACTAGTGTCTCCGACCGGATGCCAACTTTTTTATAAGCCAAAAACTTAACATAAAAGCTTCATCACTTCTAAGGATAGACAGATCCATCACTATCAAGGTTTCAATGAGACATGAAAGGGATGGTTTGTATTGAATAACGACACTATAACAAAAAATTCTGTCTTGTGTTTTATGATGACTACATTTATGATAAAAATAATTCAAACTCATGGTTACTTTCTGCTTGTCTGTTAAAAACAAAATAAAATAGCAAACACTCTCAGATGCAGTAATATATTGTGCAACTAATGCTGATGCAAGAATCGATCTTGACACACTATGTTTTAAATGATTTCTAGCTGGATCTGTGATCCTGGAAGTTCCTGCCCTCCCTGTGATGGAGGGATGTGATGTGACTCTTCACTGTACAAAACAAGAAACCGAGTCAACTCACATTCCTGATTTCTACAAAGATGGTGTCAAACTTGGAAAAATTCATGATGACAAAATGGCTCTCAAAAATATATCAAAGTCTGATGAAGGACTCTACAAGTGCATTTCCTCTGCTGGAGAATCACCAGAGAGTTGGCTGAGAGTTTTACAACAATCAAACAAATCCAATGACAAGATTCAGCTCTTTCAGACACCATCTTTCTTGCTGTGGGCTGTCATCAGTATTTCTTTGGCAGCTACACTTCTGTTGGTGATGGGACTGTTCCTTTGCTGGAACCACAGAGGTAAATTAAAGCAATTATTTACATTTTGTTTTGCATACATTCTAGACAACTATATATAGGGTTGGTGTTTGTTAACACAGAGGCAAATACAGTTTTAAGCACTTCCACACTGGCTTTATTTCACAAGTACATACACAGGTTAAAGCTTAATCATAACACAGAACATACACTTTACAAACTTAAAAGAAATGAAAGCATCTTCAAACTAAATGACAGAGTGTGTCACCCTTAATTAAGGAAATTGTTTTACTTTCTCTGACAGTGTTATTACTGAAGGAGAGTTTAAAACTGTAATAATCCTTAATTCCCTTAAACAGTTTAACAACTACAGCAAAATGACATGTAAATTATCTGTCAGCCATGTTTTATTGATTTTTTTTCACTGCATTCACGGCTTAAAATGTATCTTCCATGCTGAAAAATTATACGTGTATATAAAAAACAATAAATTGTAAATATTTTGTTCTACTTTCTCCTTACACAGAGCCAAATAAGTCTGAGGCCAGAACAAATCTCATTTCATTGGAGGAGAATGAGATTTATTCTACAGTTTACTACAGGTAAGACTGGTTGAATAAAAATATGTTCTCTCTAATATTACAGGTAATGCTCCAAAATTTGATGAAATTACAATTTTAAGGTTTACAAAACACCCTCTGTCCTAAGAGGGTTAACAAACATTCTCACACACACACACACACACAAAAAAAAAAAAAAAAACACACCAAGTCACACACGCATTGTCCAACAAGTTCAGTTACTCTGGGGTTAAAACCAAATGGACTTTGCTTCAACCTTTAAATAAGGTTTGTGAATTTATTAATGCTACCATCACAACTACTTTTTGTTATTTGTTACTAAACCCATGAGATCTGGATAACTTGTGAAAAGTATTCTTTTGTAAAATTTTTCAAAACCTTTAAAAAGCTTATCAAAACATCATATAATATTTATTTTTCTTACTTGATCTGTTTACTGTGTGGTTTTCAGGCCATATGCACAAGAGTGAGGACATTAGGATATGGTCTGTTAAAATTTTTCATGGTAAGTAGTACTATGCAGCTTCTCTCACAGCAAGCATGCCTGTATATGTATGTGCAATACTCAGACACCCACTGAGAAACCATGAAATGTTTTAAATGTTTAAAAACTTGATGCTGTAATTGAGACTTTAGTCTAAGTTTCTTTCTGAATGAAAATAAATTCCACTGGATATCAATTTGCTCAGGACTCATAAGGACCTGAGAGATAATCAAAAAATCACTTCTCACACAGATATATATACTTTTTACTTTACCTGAACCAGTTGTGCATAGCTCTCATCTCCCATCTCACCCAAAGGACGGTTAGACACAGTGGATGAAAAAAATATTGCAAATCCAGATTTTCTGATATACACCCAGAGTCTCACCAAAGGTCCACATTTTTTTGTCCACATTACCCAAGTTTTGTATGTTAGGGCAAAAATGTCTGTTTCAAGGTTACCCATAATGCTATGCTAGTTGTTCATCTACGTTTTGCACTGATGGTCTGAAGATTATTGTATTAATGGCCAACCACGTTTATTATAAATATTTTTGTGAATTTTATGTCTTTCAAATGACAAATGGAAGACAAAAACAAAAATGTAGCCTTACATCTTCATTGTGAAATAGCAATAGAGCAACTGTATAGGCTCTCTCAAAGATCAACAAACAGAATAATGTGCTGTTTGTGACAGAAAGCTGTCATACGATGACAAAAAAGACATTATGATACTAAAAAGTAGAACCTTAAATGATAGCAAATGACTAAGGCCCATTTCACAGAATTGCCAACCTCAGTCAAGCGGAAAAATGTCAAATAACTGGCATTTTATATGCTGCAAATCAATTTTGCACATAGAAACAGGTGGACGGGAACAACACATTAGTTGATGTGACATGTCAGTAGATTTGGTATATTTTTAAATTCACAGACCTCTACACAGTGCTGTATATTCACTCAGTTTCAGCCTCAATCAGTCTCCTCTGCTCTCAACCTAAACTCTGATCTTTGAAATATATACTACAGTTTAAGTTATGTATCACAGATTATTCACAGGCTTTAACGCACAAAAGCATGGTACATTACTGTCTATTTATGAGCATATTGTAAAGATTAGTCTTGGCCACTTATTGGATTATTGCTTTAATTTGCCTCTGCATAGCAAGGAAGTTACAAAAAGGAGACAAAAATAAGAGTGAACAAAAGAAAACAATGTTCAATGTAAATACACAAAAGACAGAAAAACAGGAAAAGTGAATAAATGAGTTAGGGTGAAATGACACTTTGAAAAAATTTTTTACATCAAGTTGTCAAATGCTGGGTTAGGGAAAATAAGTTTTGTTGCCTTCTTTTAACTTGAACTCTGTCTTCTCTCTCTACAGAGCTCTGTGAACACATATCCATGTAGATCCTCAACAACATCTACACTTCTGTCTGAACTGTTGAGATTAGACTGTACTTCTTTCCCCTCGTATGATTTTATCACCTCAGAGTGAAGACTATCGTAGTTTCATTTCTGATTTTATTACAGTACGTTCATGAGTCAACCAACTGCAACAATCAGGATTTATTGCAGTTGTCATGACATTTTTACTTTGTGTTTCTGTGTTCTAGATATTTCTGTACGATATAATGCAACACCAGTTCAACTAAATTAGTGCAAATGTTTATTGTAGAAAAGTGGAGCGAGCCCATTCAATCATTTAAATAAAACCTTTTTGTGTTTGTTTTTGTCAAAGGCCTGATTGTAGAAGAATTTTGAAGAGTTGATGGTTGACTTGCCAGAGACCAGGCCAAAAAGCCTAATCCTCTCTTGTCATCTTAAAGCAGACAAGGTTAGCCTTTCGTATTTGGTTAGTCTTTTCTACATCACTTTTAAAATTTAACGGAGAATCTAAATGTATCCCCGAAAAGATTAGATTAGACTTTGAACTATTGTTCACTTTATGATTTTATAACCGAACAAGCCATAAACTCTACAAACAAGTCATAAACACAGCTACATTACTTAGTTTCACTTTGACTGGTGGTACAACAACTACAAAACTATGAGGATCTTATTTTTTACATTGATTTACTTATTTTTATGTACTGCAAGTACAATAGTCTAAACTTATCCTGCATCATTGTTATTCTTACTTGATCTCATATATAAACCAGTTAGTTTATGTTTAAATATGCAGGTAGGGTTTGGCAGATGGCAGTACTTAATGAAAAAATCTTCAAATGGCCTAACACCCCAAAAGTGAACATATTCTCTAAGATGGTATTTGACAGAAAGCAATCAGCTCCCATCTGTCACTCAAATAAAGTATGTCCCTTATTTTATACATACCTTCAAACTCAGGTACAATTTAAACAGATGAGTTATATAAAGATTTAACTTTGCTCTGGGTGACTATTACAAATGGTCCGGTCTCTCATAAGGCCCTGGTTTTAGTGCCTTTGTTCTTGTTCCTTTTTCTATGTGTCCTAAAAACATGGATCCCCAAGCATTCTAGTAATGACTCTGTCAATGATAAATAACTATTCTTCCAATCTGGTCCATTAGTCTCGCATCAAGTTTTCTTTTTCTCTCAGTAATCCCTCTGGTTTGTCAAACACCACATCAGTTCCTGTTTCATTTACCACTGCCTGAAGATTTTGCTTGATAACTTTACTCTCCCTCTCTATCTCCTCTAGTTACACTTTAATTTATTCCTCTGGATCTCCAGTTCAGTCTTTTCCTCGATCAGTGTGGTAACCAGATCCTCCTGCTTGTTCTTTCTCCGGGACTTTGTTCCAATCAGTGGATTTTTCTTCATCAGTGATTGCAATAACAATAGTAATTCTGGATTGTCGATTGTAATCATTATTTTAGATAAAAGCTTTTGGAAATATAGGTTCCAGGACATTACTGAGAGTATGTTCACATTAAAATGTTAAACATGATAAACTTTTGTAACTGACTACAAAAATAAAATGCTGTTTACCTACGATTCCATCTCTTAACCAAATAATTAGACAGAATAAAACTAACACCCAATTCAATAAGGCCTCTAATTGACACCGTGTTGAGAAAAAATGTGGAAATGGCTGTGACAAAGTCAGCTGAAATGACAGAACAAATTGATCACTGTGATTAAAAGTTGCTTTCTGCCACAGGAAAATTTTTTTTATACATGTAAAAAAAGTCTAAAAATAACTTACCTCCAAAAGTGTGTATTAATAGGATAAAGAAAACCTGGTCCAGGCTGAAGACATGTTTGGGGGGCAGATTTTCCATCTCATTCGGCTTTCCGAAGACCTTATAAGACACAACCAATAAATTATGTTGATGTTCTTATACTGTCACAATAAAAACAAAATCAGTAAAGCAGCACATCACCTCTGACTTTTTACTGTCTGGTTAGCTTTCTTATTCTTAAGGAATTGCATTATTGTCCAATCCTATTACAAAAATGCTTTCCTTTGCATTAACTGACAAGTAAAATGTTATTTTGATAAGGTATCTGTCTCTAGGAAACATAAGGGTGATTTTTGATGGGTGGATTTTAAAAGTGTCATGATTTCTGTTTTCAGGGAAAGTTAGCATTTATTGCCGCATCAATCAGCTCATCACGAGGCTCTAGAATAATGGACGCCCCAACTATCTTAAAACCTATTTTCTCATTTTTATACTCTCTGTCCGTTTACCCCCATCCCTCTGTGCAACTCTAGTAGAAGGGACTGAGCCCCCATCCACAACATATGGACATTTTGACATCAGTGTTTGTTTCTCTGTGTTTAGACTTCCTATTCACATGCTAAAAAAGGTTTTGGCCACTGAAAATTGATGTTTGGGAAAAAACTTGCAAGAGTGAGACATTTGAAAATTCTTTTGGCAGCGCATGGATGTCAAATGACAGTTCTGGGAAATGCTGGAACACTTATGCATGGCACATGTACCAGGATGGCAGGCTGCTGATTTGTTTGGGTCTGCTCGGTACTGTTGGGTTCCATTGTGAGGAAATCTTGCTGTGCTTTATGAGTATACCACAGCACAGGGATGAATAAATGCATCCTTCCACAGTCTTTAATTTGCAACTTGCTTAATAGTTATTTTTGCTGACATATAAACATATTCAAAAAATTAGTTAATTTAATCGGCTGAATAATCTTACATGTATCTTTGAATTCAAGACGGTATATTGGAAACAAGACTTTCAGCCCTGGTTTCTTCTTCCTTTCTCTTACCTTTTCATGTTGTTGCTCAAGTTTCTCTGTCAGGTACGGAAGTTTCATGTTGTTCAGCAATGTGGCCTCCTCTTTTTCCGACTGGATTTCTTTCCTTAGTGGCTGTTCTTTAAACAGTTGATTTCTCTTATCAGGACCAGTTTTTTCATCACTTTTAAAATAGTCTAAAACGAAACAGGACACAAAGAAGTTATTTCAAAAAATTTGAAAAAAAAAGTCTATCGATATCAAGATGAGAGCAATGTGATCAATAATGTATTATTTATAGCATTTGATCAGTTTTGATTTTTTCATTCATCTTCATGATTGTACATCTCTCCAAATTAGCAGACACATCAAAACTTCGCTTTGACTTACATCCCAAACCGCCAAATAAGATGAAACTTCCCAATGCAGACAAGAGGCGAAGTTCCATTTTTCTGTTACAGAGGGGCGTACCTGACAGAGACAAAATATGAAAGCATGATGAAAATAAAACAGCCTTATTTTAAGTCTTTCAAGATGATATAGACAGACACTTCTCCTAATATAGCAATGGATGATGGGTCGCTTTATATTAAGTTGGTCTTTAATAGACTTTAAAGAGTTAAATAGTTTACGCCATTTTTTTATAACTCATAATTACATTTAGTTTCAACAGAAACCTGAAATGGTTATAAGCAGTTTTAAATGCTGGTCATAAACATTTCAAAAAGCAAAAATATTGAATTTCCAATAAATAAATCACATTTTGACAGTGTGATCCATTTTTAAAGTCCATTTTTTTTGCTGAGACTGCCCAGTCAAAAAAAGTGCGATCATCAAAGGTTTATGATCTAGAACAGAATGAGCTGAGACTGTACAGCTCCGCTATTTGGGAAGGGAACCCTTAAATTCACATTTAAATATTCAGTTTCATGTCATTATGAATCTTGTTCATATCTAGCTGGATAGAAAAGCTTTAAGATGTATCTCCTATTGTTACATTTAAACAGGATTTTTAAAAAACATATTTCATTGTTATAATTTAATGAGATCTGCACTTGTTGCACAAAAATAAGCTCAAAGGAAATGCACATACACTCCTTGCAATGTACACACTATGCTCAAGTGTGGATTAATGGTAGAACTTTCATTAATGTATACTTTCAGTTAAAATTTCCTCCCAACATCTGTATCGGCACAGTATGTCATAGATATGTAAAACAAAAATCCTGTTTTTTTGAGTAGTCCATGGAGGTTGTGGTCACCCACAGACAGGGGTAGCCAGTGTGGCCTCAGCATGATTGTAATTTACATACAACAGAGTAGTAAACTTACTATAAGATTGGGTAGTTCAATTTTCAAACCATTTCAACATGTACAATTCAACCTAATTATAAAAAATTAAAAAGCTTACATACCCACTATGTGCATCAAAATGTCCTCCTCTCAGAGTAACATGTGCTGGCAGCCCGGTCAAAGTCCTCAAATGAAACTACACTAGCTGTGATCCTTATCAGTTGTATCAGGTAACTTGCACACATATATATGAGAGTATTTCCTGCTTAACAGCAAGATTTTTATGAAAAAGAAAACACAAGGAATACATTATTAGTATTTATATTATATATCTAAGTTCTTTGTGGTAAAGTCTATATTTATGTATATATATCCCTCCATAAATGTAATTAAAACGTAATGATATGTAGGGTCAGCTTTAAATGGGTGCCTACAATAGCAGTGTGTCAACTAGACTGCTGCTGGCCCAATTTGGCCCAAAAGGGAGTGACTGTTAGTTCGTGGATTGGCTGAAGGTATTTGCTTAAAAGCGTGGCTGAGGCTGGGGTTGGAGTTGCCAATTGCTGGTTGCTTCTCCAGGCTTGTGGTCGGTAGTGCAGAAGTTCCCACTGCAGAAGCATTTGAAGGTTAGGAAGGAGCTTCGCTAGTCTGCTGTCAGGTTGTTAGAGGGATGGGCTGCAGTGGTACTCAGACTGTGTGGATCTCAATGTACCATGCATTAGTGTTTTCGCCACATTAGGTAAGTAACAAAGTGTGAGTTCATGTATAAGTTAGTGAGTGTTGGGGGGTCAGGGTCTATACAGTCTCACAGTTCTTGACCCTGGTTTCCAGTTTTGACACAAAAAGCCACCATATATTCCTTTATCTAACTTTGCTGTCTTTTTGCTGATGTATGCACTTTCCCATGCCAGAGATATCTCATCCTCATAGGAATAAAACTAAAAATGTTGTTTCTTCATGCCTACAATTGTGTCCTCTACAAAGGCTTTTCTTCTGTTGGTAGATACTATCATCTGATGACTTTATGATAAAAAACCCCATCAGTCAAAAATAGGACCAGATTTACTCTGTAATGGTACTGGTGGTCTAGATCCACTCATCACCTTTCTGAACTACTCAAGAAAATTAAAAAAAAAAAAAAAAAACTCATGACATACAACTTCTGACAGATAAACATTGAAGTCATTATGAAGAACAAATGGTTCTTAAACAAAAATATAGCTCAGCTACCTAGCAACATCAGCCTCAAAGAGGCAGCAGTGACGGTTAAACTGAGAAAGCATCTTCACAGGAAGAGGAAGTTCTCAAAAGCACTGAACTATATTTGGCCATCAGTCTCTCACTCAGGCAGTATGCAACAAGTTACCATGGAGGTTGTAGCTCTTATCTTCAGACTTTGTGAGTACTCATTGTTTAGCTGTATTTAGTCGTTTTCACTCTATATCCATAAACTGGGTAAAACTCGAAGTAGTTCTGGTGCAATAAGAGTTCTTGTGAATTTATCAGTGGTTTTCTTGAATGTTTTGCATGTTTATACGTACTATAAAAACAACACAGTCAACTAACATTTACCTGCAAAACTCTACCCTTTTGTACTTCCAGGGTTCATTGTATTTATACTCTTGGTTCAACTTGTTGAACACTCTTGTTTCCAGACTTCTGGTAAGCTGCAATTCTCAAAAAGCAAAATATTCAAAAGGGAAAGTGTTTATTATAGAATATGTTGCAGAAACTAAGTCTCTGAGAGTTGACGACAGTGGTGGGGGCAGGGACTGATTTCTGTTGCTGAAGCCAATAAAACTGCAAAGTTGAGGGCAATGGGGAGGCGGAGGGCAGTGAACCCAGAAAGGAAGATAATGTAGTGCATCTGAAATAAAAGGGCCAACCAACAAAAACATACCTTATCAATTAGTTACTTTCTAAAATGAAGTTTTTACAAGTCAAAAAAAACTGAAAGTTAGTAACACCATTATATGCTGTTTTTTTTTTTCATCACAGACACAGTCCATCAAATTGTTCCATCCAAACTGCAGCTCTTTGAATACGACCCTGTCTCATTTATCTGTGAGGGACTGAATGACTTAGCGGGATGGAAAGTGAGAAACAAGAAAGAGTCCATCCCAAAATGTTCAAATGACACTGTGACACTGACATTAAAGTGCACCATTCACACTGCTTTTGAACCAGACAGTGGAGAGTACTGGTGTGAAGGTGAAGGAGGAAGGAAAAGCAACACCATCAACATCACTGTTACATGTATGGGATGTTTTTTTGTTTTTGTCTCAACTTGGCACACATTAATGACAGAAACCACTGTAAACCTCATACCTTGCAATTGTGTTTGTTTGTTGTCCAGCTGGGCCAGTGATCCTTGAGAGTCCTGTCCTCCCAGTGACAGAGGGGGATCCCGTGACTATGAGCTGCAGTACCGGGCAAAATCCTTCAACCCTGTCCACTGATTTTTATAGAGACGGCATCTCTTTCATGAGCAGCGATACCGGACAGATGTCCATCGCAAGTGTTCGCAAATCTGATGAAGGCTTCTACAAGTGTAGTATCGCTGATGTTGGAATGTCACCAGAGAGCTGGTTGGCTGTTAGAGGTAGTTTTTTTTTTTATCTGATTATTGGCATTGATAAAACGTGCAGTGGTATTATTATTTTTTTTTAGCTTTTCAGACTTGAGTAGGTAACCTTGAAAAAATGTGTCCGTATTTAGATGCAACTATAAAAAATAAAAAAAACAAATAAATGAATGAGTAAATAAATGAATTCTAACACTTACTTATTATGCCATTTAGTAGGCTTCAAAGTGTACATGGACAGTCCGTCTACTCCTGTGATGGAGGGACAAGCTGTGACACTTCGTTGCAGGACGATGAAAACTTCTTCAGACCTCAAAGCCGATTTCTATAAAGATGGCACACTCATCAGGAGCAATTCATCAGGAGAGATGACCATCCACAGTGTTTCCACGTCTGATACAGGACTCTACAAGTGCCGCATCTCTGGAGCTGGAGTTTCACCTGAGAGCCAACTGTCTGTCAAGGGTGAGAAAAATTCGCAGAGAAAAATAAGATTGTTTTTCCCTTTTTTTTTTAAACTTGTCACTATAAAAACTACCTATAAAAAACTACTGTAATCTCTTTTGTATTGTATAAGACTTTAGCACAACTCACAGACTGGTTACTTACAGAAAAAAATATCTGCTCAGAAATCTGTATACTCATCTTTGTCACCTACCTTTCATTTTTGCAGCATCCAGCAAAAGACGTCCTCTCTCCCACCTTTACTTCATCCTCCTGTGGCTCCTTGTCATTGTCATATTGGTTCTGCAGCTGCTGGTAGTGGGACTACTCTACTGGAAAAAACAGCTGGGTAAAGAGTCTTTCCATATTGCATTACTCAAAGAAAATATTAGTGGCATGCCTAATGTAGTTCACACCACTTGTAAATAAATGAAATAAGGTTTTTCAGTGCTCTACCTGCTTCCAAGAAAATTGTTTCTTCAGTTCAGAGTATCCAGTTTTCAGTTTTGTACATAAATGAATTATTTCCAACTCATATGCTATGATATAGAACACTTTATTTTGTTAAAATAGCCTATATACAGATTTCTGTCCATCTTCTTCCCATAAACTGACTTTTAAATGAATCCTGTTTCAGTCACACTCCAACTAAAGATGTGTTATCCAGACAATGACATGCATGCGGCTGCAAAACACGACAAGAAAAAAGGTAATTTCCTGCATTAACAGTTAAACAACAGTAAAAAGTGATAAGACAAGATGACTATCATTTAGTGGTTTAAAATAAAAATATGTGAACACGAGTTTCAAATGTTCTCATCGCTAATAAAATGGTGTCTTGTTTTAGATGCTGTGTATGCTGCTGATAATTTAAGCCTCTGCTTTGAGTCAAACCAAAGCACACGACCACAGGCAGAAAAAGGTAAGATAGGTCTCCAACCTCTACAGGTTGTAGTCCTCCACAGCATGGTTTGGCGTTGCTTTCAAAAGTCACGTCAAAACCAACATCTAGCCTGACCGTTTCTGTACGTGACACACTGCGACTCTGAGCAACGTGTTGTTTTGCTGAACTGTTGGACTTGTTTCGATATCACATCCTCACATGAAGTAACGGCTTCTACGCTGGACAATCCTGAATCCAAAATCTCATGTTTTCATGTTTACAGAATCAGGAGTCTCTAGCTTCACAGGAAACAGGGCTTTCGATCCAATTGCAGATCCAACTTTGACAGATGTAGATTCAGAATACTACGCAGAAGGTAAGCCTGGGAGTATAAATACAGCGAGTTATTACCCTCAGTGTAAAACATCAAATCAAGGTCACATAAGACCAAGACTTCAAACAGTCTCCATACATATTACTTACTGGTAAATGAACATGAACATGTACTAACATTGAACCCTGTGTGTCTTACAGTTGAGTGAGGAAGAAATGTCTCACTTGGAGACATGGAGAATTTGCTTGAATAATCTTGTATTTATCAGCAGAGCATACCGGTCTCAGAGACTTCAGGGGAAAAATGCTTAAAAATTCCTTAAGTATTCAAAGCTCATTGATAGTACATGAGTGTTTTGTATCAGATATTCTTATTTGTATTCAGTTGACATATATGTTGTGTTTTCATTAAATTTCAAGTTATAATATTTCATCATTTCCTGCTTCTTTTTTTAAAATATTTTCACTCATAACTCATATTCTAGCCTCATTAACCTCATTAGCTTAAGGTTAATTGTATGCATCATTGCCCAGGTATAAAAACTGAGGTATGTCTGAAAGCTTTATTTGTAAGCTAGCTAGCTCACCAGACCAGAGCTTATGTGAATATACAAAAAGGATACTGCAATGATACAAAATTCACCTTATAATAGCTGTCATATTGTTATTATTCCTGTAACATCTTCATTTTGTTAACAGAAAATCACAGAGAGGAGTTTAGGAGCAATACCAATAAGCTAGCAAGCTTCAAAAGCCAGCTAGCTCAACCTACCTTAGCTTGTGAGGACCTACCTGACATCTTGTCTTCTCCGTTGTAAAATGTGTTGATTTTACCCAAAAAAAATATTTAAATAGAAAATCAATCCCTAAGCTCAACCTCAAATGCACAAATGTTTGCTGACAATGGCCACCAAAACCATTAAAATTCCCAAGGAAAGTATAGAGCTGAAATGATTTTCAGGCTTGCTCTTCACCAACAAGGAATCTTAGCCACTAAAGGGCTCAGAGGACATCAGGAGCAATAACAAAAAGCTAGCAAGCTTCAAGAGCCAGCTAGCTCAACCTACCTTGGCTTGTATTGACCTAACTCACATCTTGTCTTCTGTATTGTGTAGTAAAATTTGTTTGTTTTTTTCCTTAATATTTGAAACAGAAAATCAACCCCTTAGCTTAACCTCAAAAGCACAATTATTTGCTGACGTTGGCCACCAAAACTTTAAAAATATTGCAGGAAAGTGAAGAGCTAAAAGGATTTTCGGGTTTGCTCTTCACCAACAAGGAATCTTAGCCACTACGAGGCTCAGAGGACTTCAGGAGCAATAACAAAAAGCTAGCAAGCTTCAATAGCCAGCTAGCTTAACCTACCTTAGCTTGTGAGGACCTACCTGACATGTTGTCTTCTCTGTTGTGTTGTAAAATTTGTTGTTTTATTTTCTCCCCAAAATTTTAATAGAAAATCAATCCCTAAGCTCAACCTCAAATGCACAAATATTTGCTGACATTGGCCAACAAAACCAAAAAAAGTTTTCAGGAAATTTAAGAGCAAAAATGATTTTCAGGCTTGCTCTTCACCAAAAAGGAGCCACTAAAAGGCTCAGAGGACTTCAGGAGCAATAACAAAAAGCTAGCCAGCCTCAAAAGCCAGCTAGCTTAACCTACCTTAGCTTGTGTGGACCTACCTGTTATGTTTTCTCCTTCATGACAAATTACTCTTTGAAAATTGATTCAACTATGCAATACTATTCATTTAAAGGTTTAAGAGCACTTGCAACCAACAGTTAAAAAGTAAACAGCTGAAAAGTCTGTCTAGCTTTGTCGTTACTCAGCAAGCTGGCTCAACCAAAATAATAATAAATAATTATAATTTTATTTTTAGTGCCCTTTACATCAAGCAACCTCAGAGAGCTACATCTTAAAAACAAAGAATTTTCACACTTAAAAACAGGTTATTGGTTAAAAAATAAGAGAAACATCTCAGACAAAGAGTAAAAGCAAGATAAACAGGTCTTTTTTTAAAAAAATCTATGAGGAGTGCTCAGCTGTATTTTTTATGACATCCTAGTTAAGATCATAGAAAACGTGAAGGTCAAATATAAAATATACATATTTCAGCCAGCTTGCCTAACCTGCCTTGGTTTATGGGGACTTGTAAGCTAAATAAGTTACATTTCAAATTACAAAATGGATGAAGCACATACTCATCGTACATACCTCTGTGACATACCTTATCCTCACAGTAAGTATTTGATAGTTGTTCAAGGGTCCAGATGCTGAAACTCACTGCTGTACCGTCTCCAGTCCTGTTTACAGAACACACAAAAGAATGATGTCAAAGATTAACCCAAATTTCTGCTGAGATGACAAATTCTTAGAGAACTACTAAAATACATTTCCCAAAAACAGGTTCCTACAGTTTAGGAATATTTTTAATTTTGTTTTGTTTTCATCATAAATATAATTCTAAAGTTAGATATTGTTCATAGTTTGCAACATTGGGTGGGTCCGGGGGTCTGCTCTCTGAGTGTTTAGGAAGTGAATAACAGCTTTAACCATTTTACTCTTAGATTATAACTTTAAGATATCTGGTTCAACACCTCGGAATAAAATTGAAACCTTATAGACAATTTCACCTGTCTAAAACCCACTGCAGCTGCAGCTGCAGCACAGCGGTAATAGTTAAGTTTGGCTGAGGCTAGAAAGCACCTACTGGGGCCTATGTCAACAGAAATTAAGGGTCAAAGAAAAGGAGATGGAGATATATAAAATAGGGTGTCATACAAGATGAAAAAGTAAGCCTTTGTTTAAAAAAACTTGAACGCTATGGATTTATAGAGTTATTTTCCAGGTGGTAGTATTTGCTTCAGTAGTATGGACTCATCCACATCAACTTTAGTCAGTGTTAATCAGCCAAACACTTGTCACAGTATTTTAAAAATACAAATATCACTGTCCTTTGTGGACTTTAAAATTCTGCTAGAACTGGGCAAGGTAAGATTTGAACCTATGACCTCAGGAGTACCAGTCAATGGTCTTATCCTCTGAGCCACACGGACACACAGGATTATACCATTTGCTTCCTCTTTAACTGTACTGTTTAGACACTAGACTTTAAAATTCACATTCCTGAATAAGGCCCAAACCCACCACCCCAGAAGTCCAAGTCAGTCTCCTTATCCCGTCAGCCATGTGGACAAACAAGAAAATTGTGTTTTTTCGTCATACTCAACACTAGAAATTAAAAATTTCCACTGTGTGAAGAACAGACTGCCGAAATAAAAAAAATTTCCAGGCCTGTTGTCTTTTCTTAGACCAGGAACAGTAGAGATCTGACTGACTGCTTTTGGCTCTGCATTTTGAACTTTACTGCCATCTACAGGATAAAAGGAATGACTGCATGATTAATGGTGTCCATATTTTCCTGCTTAAAGTTTTATGTGATCTGGTTGTATTTGTTCATTTAAAATGTCTGTAATGTGAGATCATTATTGTGAACTCACAAAATTACAAAAACTAAAACAAAAAAACTAAAAATTAGGTTTTGCAGAAACACAATATCTGGAGTAAATGTTTTCTCTACGTTGGTAAATGGGAATCCCTTCTTTCTGATCTTGATTGATTATTGACCTGTTATTTGTTTGTATTCTGGTGATAAGTTTTAATAGTATCTTTAGAATCAAACCTGTTTTGTTCCAGTTAGAGCTGACAATCAAAATCTCTCAAATTAAAGAGCCGATGACAGTTGAAGAATATTTTGAGGATTTATTTCCATTCTAATCATTGTTACTGTATCAATCAGAATAAATGAAATCATAGGATAACATCAGCTTTAAACAATAAAGTCCAATCTTATCATTAATATGAATATGGTAAAGATAAGGCAGTCAAATTAAGATGAACAGTCTCACACATGCTCAAGGATGCATGACCTTGGTGTGGATGTAGATCAGAGTCCTCTGCTTGAGTGAGTTTGGCTTTAATGCTGGCTGCAGGCTAAGGCTGCACGATATTGGAAAAAACTAACATTGCGATTTTTTTCAACCCTGCGATATATATTGCGATATTAAAAAATAGAGGAATGTTCACCAGATGACCTGAATAGCACTTAATGTGGTGCTGCACTGCTGAAATCTTGAGGACAGTTAACCTGCACTGATCTTACCTCTTTTTGTGAATGTTAGAATGGCTTCTGTCTGTCTCAGAAATATTTTTAGCTTTTATTGTTCTGGGAAGTTATTGTGGCGACAGATGAACACAGAACACGTGTTTTGGTCGACATTATCCATCTTGTAACCGAAATAATTCCAGATAACTGACTTTCCTTTTCTTTTTGGCAACAAGTCTTCATCTTCTGTGGTTTTCTCTGTGTGTTGCTCAGTTTGCGATCGTTGTTGTTGTTACCGGGGTACTGAGAAACGCATGTCCTCCGAGAATTGCATGCACCTCACAAAACAGAGTCACATGCAGTGTATCTCAGTCAGTTACCCTTGAATTTACCTGAGTTCATTCACCTCCGACATCGCAGGCTCTGCAATGTGACTATCGCACACACGTACATCGCGATGACGATGCTCAAACGATATATCGTGCAGACCTACTGCAGGCACACCTGTGTTCCCAACACACCTGTCAGCAACTGTCACTTCTTTTAGCGGTGCAGCATTTATTTTGACCACCAGATGCTGCCATTGTGATAGCATGGGAGAATTCACTACAGATACATATATCAACTACTCAATAAAATAAAGCTCTTTTTCTGCACTTACAACCTCTAAAATGTTAGTTTTAGATGTTTCAGTTTCCTATTTTAAAACTTATTAGTGCCTCTATAGCAACCACATTCACATTTAACTACTGAGGTTACACATATGAATGTATGTGCAGCTATAACATGGCCCCCCAACCCTATTCAAACAAGCCGAATCGAGTAAAATCTGTGCATGACAGCAGCGTGAGATGTTTGGCAGTTCTTGACACCGCTTTTAACTGAAACTGATAATTTCAGACTTCTTAACTTTCACTGTTTAAGTAATCTTGTAAATGGTCCTATGAGGAATTCTTTTTTTTTACCTCTAATTAATAGACTGAAATTCAAAATTATGTCTTCTCATTATATCCATAAATTATATAAATTATCTGAAACCAACAATAGAGGTCAGAAACAGAACATTTTTAAAAACTATGATTATTTTTACTACATAATTTGTAAATTTTGCTCTAAAATAGCTACAACTCTGGTTTATTTTTACCATAATCGCCAGAACATCACCCTTATCCAAAGATTTGACGTCTGAGATTCACTTTAGTATGTTATAAGCTCCAGAGTTGATAGTTTTTTCATGTAGAAAGCACATTGTCTAAATTTAGATCTATATTTCAAAGCATCGATAGTGACCGAGTTAAGCTAGCTAAGACACAGATTCCATTAATAGCATTTTATTAGCATTGAAAGTTAGCTGGGTTAGCTGTTTTTTCCGTCTAAATCTTTCCCTTACCGGTGTTCTAGTTACTTTGGTGAAATTTCAGTATTGTACCTTACAACCGGACTTTCTCTCTGTTGTCTAGACGGTGCGGGTGTGTCAATTAACGCTAACAGCGAGCAAACGAGGCGGGAACCCGAGGCTAACATCTCCCGCTAAGCTAACACGGCTAACTACCGAACCATTTACAGCCAGCCTCACACCTAATGCTAAAGTTTTTGACACAATTCGCTGTCCGCTCCACTTACCGCTGTCTTGTTTTCTCCTTCTTTCTTTATCTTTACGTCTCTTTCACTCCTCACTCCCCGATAAGTCGCTCCATTTCACGGCTCATTTCGACGTTGCTTTGATTGACACACTCCACTTAAGATGGACGTCGGTCACGTAGCAGCGCGACAGGGATGACATGGGGCCCCTTCAAGGGGGGGATCCGTCTAAGATGTCATTGCAATCTGACCGCCGGTTGTTTGTTGCAATATTTCAGGACATTTTTGGGGAATAAGGTTCGTCAGCCCTTGGGAGTCCCCTAGTGGCCAGGGGTCCCAAGCATATGCCTGTTGAAAAGCTAGACAGACAGTTGAGCTGGGCTTTTAATGCTGGCTTTTTCCCCGTGACTTATTTCAGCCCTGTTTTGGATCAGTGTGTTTAGACTCACTGAGGTTTTACAGCTTTTATTATTTTAATGATAATTCCTCAAATGAACAAGAGTTTTCAGGGAGTTAAAAATATCTGAGAACATAAAAACAGAGTCAAAATATCGAGATCACATTGTTGTTTTTCATGGTCATTTATTGCAAAACCAAAAATAAGTCCACAAACTGCATCAAAACTCATCACTAAGTCATAGTACGATTATAATATAACTTTCAGACAGCAAAATTAACATTACAGCATATCTGACACATAACAAACATGATGCATTGAGCAATGATAAACCAGGATATTGTACAGCTGGTAGCTGCATTGAACAGAGCTTTTAAAATCTAAATATAAGAACACAAAGAAAGAAAGAGTTGTTGATATAAAATATATGGTTGATTATGACTGCATTTCCTGTCACCAGCTGCTTCATATTTATTTGGTGCACCATGTTTACCTCGTTATAAAAACCTGTTGGAGTAATATCGGGATGCAATGATGTAACAGCACACATCTCTGAAGACATATGAGGAGTCCATGAGAAAGAATAATGTTCTGTTTGGACAAAGGACTCTGGATAGATGTTGTGCAAACAGCGAAGTCCCGCGTCCCCATCGTTGCCCAGCCCTGTTGTACGTGTGGTGGTTGTAGTAAAGAGGGTTGTAATAAATAAACCCATTAAAATCGTGAATTCAACACACCTCTTTGCTTGAAGATATTCCAGCATCTCTTGAAGGAGGAGACGTGTTTATACATCAGCCAACACCACAATTACAGTTACGTTATCAACCAGAAGACCAGAACCTTTACAGCTGCTGCATGGACTCGTACATTAACAGTGGTCCTTTGTTCCTGTTTCTTGTGCAGGTAAAGGATAATACAACCACTACCAATGAGATGTTGATTCTTCAGTATGTCAGACTTTTCTCTCACTCACTTGTGCTGCACTCCAATTTTCTTAATTTGGATCTCCGCTCCCATCTCTTTGTGTCATTTTAGTTTTTAAGTCAGAATGCAACTGGTTTGTTTTATCAAACAATTTCTGAGTATTTAATACGAATCGACTATCTCCTTGTCTTCGTTCTTGCAGTTTTGTCTTGGCCAAAAGTATTACATCCATCAGTTCAAAGTATCCCTTTTCTTTGTTATGTTCTCCAACATTCTTAGCTACCTCCAGCTTCTTCTCAGTTTGTTCTATATTTTCCTTCATCTTTTTTTCTTGATCTTTGAGTTCTTGAATCAGATCCCCCAGATTCTTCTTGTGTTCCTCCAATGTTTCCAGAATGTTCTTTTGTTCTTCTAATATATTCTCCCCCTGGTTTGGACCGTTGTTCATTGTTTCTCCTAAAAGCTTCTCTCCTTGGTCTGTGCGTTTGTTGTCTTCCTTTAGGTCTGTGAAATGTACGACATGATCAGTAATTGCAAAACAGACAGTTTGATTGGACAGAAGTATGATGGAGCAGATTTGAGCAACACAAATATAAATCCTACATCTCAAATAAATTTTTTCACGCTTAATTTCATTTTTGGATGGAAAAACATTTTTAACATACCAGCTGTTGGCTGTCGCCGTTTCCACAGAAAAAAGCCAATTACACTGATACATAAGCAGGAAGCCACCAAGACGACAATGATCCGGGCCGCAGAGTTCGACAAACTTGTGCTGCATTCAGCTGTAATAATAATAATAATTATTATTATTATTATTGTTATAAAAAGGTGTATTAAAACACTTTTAACAAACAAATGGCCACTGCAACGACAACTCACCTGATATCTGTATGTGTGTCTCTCTAGTCTGGTTGATGTTCCTCTGATGGACTCGACAGGTGAAGCTGTTATCATGTCTTTCATTCACAGTTAATCTGCTGCTGACACTAAAGAGTTCATCAGGACCTTGAACTGTTTCTGTAGGTCCAGCAGAGAGGAGGTGTCCCTCACCATCCAACCACAACACCTCAGGCGGTGGATTCCAGCCTTTAGACTCACACTGTAGAACATCTTTGTCTCCGCTTATATTGATCTCCACTATGACCGGTGTGGAGACTGAGCCTGTGAAAAGAGAAACAAAACATCTCTGTGAACAAAAATACTCAAGTTAGCAACAGGGAACAATTTATAACGTATTTCAGACACAAAGTGTAAGTAAGTAACTTTGCTACTGTGAAATTGTTAATTGAAACAACAAGCTGAGGTTTTGTGGGTTGGTGTGTCTTTCAGTCGTACACTTATTCACTTATCTACAGTGACCAAACTGATGTTGTAGCAGCAGAAATGAACTTTGATTGAAACACAGCGAGTCAAATCTGTTGTCAATATGTGGTTCACAATAATAAATACTTTGATTAATTACTCACCAACAATAAGTTCTACAGTAGATTCTCTGTTTATTTTTGGAACATAGCATCTGTACGTCCCACTATCAGATAATTTCACTCTCAAGAGTGTCAGAGAAAGGTCTCCATGTTTCAGTTTGTCAGTGGACAGTGACGTTCTCCCTTTGTAAGATGGGTTCTGGTTATCCAAAAGGTTTTGACCTTCATGCCACAAATGGACAAATCTGGGTTTCAGTTCTGGCCTGCCCCACTCCAGAATCATAGAGACAGCATCGGCTGCAGGTTCCAGGTGACATGGCAAAATGACATCTTCACCGACTAAGGCCACTACTGGGGGGGATTTACTAACACCCTGAGAAAGACCTGTTGGGGAAACAACCAGATTTTAAAATGTCAGTGCAGAGAAGTCAGGAGCATCAAATCTTGTCCAAATGGCAGATAAAAGGTTATAAACATTTAGAGAGGTTGGTGTCTTCACTGTCATTGATTGATATGATTATGATTTGAATAATGTTAATTAGTCCATGTTGAGTAAATAGGATTATTTTGAATCTAGTTACTCCAACAGCATCACTACTTAAGCCATACAATGAAGTTCAAATACACGAGAAGTTTAACTTATACGCTGACATCCATACACAAACAGCGGTGGTGCCGCATAGTTGCCTGGTACTTGCAAGCATAAGCTTAGTCTATTACAATATTTACCTTGAAAGATATGTGGCAGTAGAAAAATGAGGATGTGTTGAAAAACCAAAGCTTTGACAGACAGTCCTTTCAATGGAAGCATCTTTGTTTTCTGAAAAAGGAAACATATAAAACATACTTTTTTTTTAAAGGATAAAAAGCACAAGAGTTACATTGGTAAAGCTGAGAGTTGAATAAAAGTGAAAAAAGTATTCTAGGCATGTTTTTTCATATCATTTGGAAGAAATGGAGCTGACATACAGGAAGTTGTATCAGTCACATTGCATATTCAACACCATCGCTGCCATGTTGTGCACTTGAAATGTTAACCTACTCAAAATGGCTCCTTTACTTCCAAAGGTCAGTCTTTGGATCATTGTCAAAAACAGATTAATAACAGACAAATCTACCCTGATAAACTCATTATACATGTCACTGAGGACTGAGTGTAATTTTCTTACTTTCAGACTATATTACACTTTGAACTCAAAACATTTCTAACCTTTTGTTCTCTCCTTTAAATAACTGGCAGTTTTATCACATCTGGTTAAAAGCAGAAATGCACTGAGATCACAGACCTTTGAAACATGTTCTTTTATTCTTGAATATGTTTTATCAGAGTACGGTCTGTGCTTGAAATGTCTTTTCTTTCTCGGAACAGAATTCAGGAAACCACAAGCGTAAGCAAGACAATAAAAGGGAGTTGGCAACAATATTGCAGTGCAGTATTCTTCACATATTTAAATGTTTATTCAAAATGAAATACACGTCTTAAACAGGTAAAAGTTAAAAAGGACATACCTCTTGTAAAAAGCGTCCCTGTCAGTGTAATTCTGATAAATGACACCCTGTATGAGCATCAAATAAAATAATGTGAACTTTGAACTGTAATAAAACAGGCTGCATGTTCCTGTTTGTATAACAGCCATGGTGATGAGGAGTGTACAATGTTTGGCGGGACATTTTAGCACACTCATACTCAGAAAATAAATTGTTTGTCATTTTGTTTGTATGAATTCATTTCTCTTGTTTCTGAGTCACCTGGCTTCTGGGGTGGCATTTCCTCCTTGGACAAACAAAAGGTGAGGCGGAGGGTGGAGCATGGCTTTATGCTGAAGTCCCTCCCACAGACTGGACCAAGAGCTCTTACATCATGGGGGGACCAGGGTTTTATTGTGTTAGTTTGCTTTATTGTGTATATATACAGTAGTTTCCCCCTGTTTGTTAAATGTGGTCTGATCAACACTGTCTTATCCTGGCAGGTCTGTTAATTGAGTTGATGTCTCGTTTCGTTAGCCTTATTTTCAGTAGAGTTATATTTTGTTGACCTCTTTTAAGGCCCCTATAACTTTGATTTCATTTAATTCAGTCATTTGCTTTGTAAATTTTTTTTTTTTAAATAAATCCATCTATTTCTGGAACTTGTTTTGTGCTTGACTGCTTGGTCCCTGACACTGTCTTTTTCATGTGTCTATCTTGTCTTAGGAAAGTCAGCCAGCCTTGTCTAACTGTCCGTCTATCTACATGTTTGTCTGATACCCAGAGCTGGAGCCAGACAACAAGCATGGCAGGCAGTTGCTTGGGACCCCAGGCCATTAGGGGGCCCCCAACGGCTGACAAACCCCACTCCCCAAAAGTATCCTGAAGTATTGCAACCTCATTTAGCAACTAGCAGTCAATTTGCAATGACATCTTAGGCTGTGTCTCAACTCAGAGACTGCACTGTTGAACGGTGCATTTCAAGTGTGCGTGATGTCATCACGCAGCGCTAACGGTGTCCCATTTGGCTTGTATACTGAAGCAAAGTTCCTTTAAATGCTTCATGGCCCTAATTTTAACAAGTCTCCTCTGAAATAACAGGGAACCTTTCGACTTTATTCTAATAAATTAATGACTTTACTCTTGTAAATTCACGACATTAATCTTGGAGTCTTAAAAAAAATCGCACTTTGGCCCTAAAACTCCATTCAAAACAATCATTGGAGGAATTTAGTGGAAATGATCTGTGCTTGTATGTATCTATTGTTTTGTGTCTGTGCATGGTCGCACGATTAAAAAATAAATGCTCCGCGGGTTTTTTTCAAGTCAGTCGTAAGTCGAGCCTGAGGGCGGGAACATTTGGCGACTCAACCGGGAAGTCCTCTGAAGTGTAGACCGTCCCAATTCACAAAAACCGGACCATCTCACACAGGGTACTCCAGTCCACAGAACGATAGAACGCTCGGCCCTGTGCAGTCTCTGAATTGAGACAGAGCCTTAGACGGTTCCCCCCCTAAAGGGGCCCCATGTCATCCCTGTCCTGCTGCTACGTGACCGACGTCCATCTTAGCATAATGTGTCAATCAAAGTAACGTCGAAATGAGCCGTGAAGTGGAGCTACTTATCAGGGAGTGAGGAGAAAAAGAGAAGGAAATAAGGAGAAAGTAAGACAGCGGTAAGTGGAGCAGATAGCGAATTGTGTCAAAAACTTTAACCAGCATTAGGTGTGAGGCTGGCTGTTAACTGTTTATTAGTTAGCCGTGTTAGCTTAGCGGGAGATGCTAGCCTCGGGTTCCCGCGTCGTTAGCTCGCTGTTACCGTGTTGTGACACACCCGCACCGTCTTGCTGGGTTCGCCGACAGAGAGAAAGTCCGGTTGTAAGGTACAATACTGAAACTTCACCAAAGTAACTAGAACACTGTTAAGGGAGAGATTTAGACAGGGAAAAGCAGCTAACCCAGACAACAACTTTCAATGTTAATAGAATGCTATAAATGTAAGTTGTGTCTTAGCTAGCTTAACTCTTACTCTACTGATGCTTTGAAATTTAGATCTAAGTTTAGACAGAGTTCTTTCTTACATAAAAAAAAACATCGACTTTAAAGCTTATAACATACTGAAGTGAATCTCAGACATTGAATCTTTGAATAAGGGTGAGATGCTGGCTATTACGGTAAAAGCATTCCAGAACTGTAGCTATTTCAGAGCACATTTTTCAAGTTATATAGTAAGAATGATAATTGATTTTAAAAGTATCTGTTTCTGACCCCTTTTGTTGGTTTCAGATAATTTATGTTCACCGCTTCTCAGAGGGGCCCCTTGACAATTTTTGCTTGGCCCCCAGCACACTTTAGAATCGGCTCTGCTGATACCCTCTATATCTTTAACTCAAGAAACAACTCTCTGATCTGGTGCCTCTCGAGAAGAAGAGGAGGGTCTTAGCTCGATGATTCTGTTGTACTTTAGCGCGATGTTCAGTAAACGTTCAGCCGCGAGACCAAATGGAAGTGAAAGCTTTCTGCAGCGGACGGTGTGAGTACTACTAAGTCTTTTTGTCTGTTTGCTCCATCTTGACATCACAAACTATGTTTCAGCATTTCAGTATCACATGACAGATTCACACGTTCATCTGTATTAACACGTATATTTGTGTCTCCAGGGGTGAATGTGATTCTGCTGTTTGCTATTCAAACTCAGAAATGTTATTTTGCTGAAAAAGCTGGTAAGTATCTGTAAGTTAATTCTTTCACACACATGTAAAATAATGATAAACTAATAAAAAACTGCAGCTGGGTATATGCAAAATATATTTTATTAAATATTCACTTTTCAAGCAAAGTCCTAGATTATATATTCACTACTTTTAGCCATCGTTGGTGATGAGATTTGAGTGTTTTTATTGGGTTTTAAAGTGTGAACTACGTTGTTAAAGTATCTTTTATATAATATGTTTGTTTTATTTCTCTTGCGCTTGTTACAGATGCTGGTTTTCCTCATTTTGATCCAAGCAGACTGCAGTTTTTTGAGTATGAATCCATCCAGTTTAAATGTAATAATCTGGATTTCTCATCTGAATGGAGAGTGATGAGAAAGCTGAGAGAAAATACAACAAACGCTCTCAAGTGGGAAACCTCCACAGGGTCCTTTAACATCCGACTCGCCTTGGCATCAGACAGTGGAGAGTACTGGTGTGAAAATGACGTTGAGGACAGAACCAGCAGTGTCAACATCACAGTCACCAGTAAGGACCATTGAAAAGTGTTCATCAGTCAATACATGTTTAGTCAATGTCACATATGTGAGCCTTGAAGGACTTTTTAATTCAGAAGTGTAAATACTTTGTTGTTCAGCAGGAAATGTGATCCTGGAGGGTCCCATTGGTCCCGTGACGGAGGGTGACAGCGTCAGTCTGACTTGCAGGAAAAAGATGGCTGTAAAAAATTTGGCAGCTGAATTCTTTAAAGATGACAAACTCATCACAACAGGATACAAAGGAGAGTTTCTCATCAGTAATGTCTCTAAATCTCATGAAGGACTCTATAAATGCAGCATTTCAGGAGCTGGAGAATCAGAAGAGAGCTGGCTGTCTGTGAAAGGTGAGACTTTTTCCCAATGTTAGAAAACTATATACTCGAGTTTCGGCAGTTTGAACAAGTTTTAATGGACCGGGTACATTTGGGATATTAGGGATATTATAAATATTATATAGACTTAGGAATGTATTAAGTAATACACTGAACTTTAAATTCGCCCCAAATTTTGTGTGTTCATGTTTGATCAAATGCAGATTTACCAGCCACAGAGATCCAAGACCAATCTGATGGCTTTTCTCATTACTCTTTGGTTTTACTGGCTCTTCGGGCTTTTTTGGTCCTGGCTGGACTTCTGTTGATAGTGGGCCTTCTTTGCCGTCTGAAGAACAAAGGTAACATTATTCTTGTAAAGAAATGTTTAGCATGCTGTCCCTGTAAGGTTATATATGTTTGAATTCTGGTAACCAGGAATATGCAGCTATCAATGAGAACAGAAAAAAATAGCTCAGTGAAATGTTGTTGAGAGGAGGACAGAGATGTCAGGATTCTTGGACAAATTAAAAATGTATTGGCAATGTTGTGCCTTTTTAGGTTGATGTCATACCCACTGAGGAAAGGACAGCTATTAGACGTCTAGATTTTTTTAGACCTAATTTCAACCATCTAGCTTCTGTACATTTTTAGACGTTGCACTTTAAATCATTATTCGATAACTATTTATTTCAAAAAGTAACTGTGAGTTGCATAACTGATCTCCAAGTACTTAACCAAAATAATTATGATAGCCATTAAGGAATATACTGTGTACTATAGTATCGCCAGCTAGTCTAACATTGGTCTAAATTTACACGTCTAAAAATCTTTCATTTTTAGACCTGTGGTAGTCTGATTTTAGACCAGTCGTCTAGGCTACATTTAGACCTCTTTAGACCAAAAAATGCTTGGTGGGTATTTACTGTCAGTAAATCAAGAATCCTATCAAATGTGTCAATGCTACAGAGGTTCGATTGGTTACTTTGTCTTATTGAGTTGGCAATGTGTTGGAAATGCAAATTACTGAGACAATTAACCACATAAATAAAGGACTAAAGGTGTGCAAAGTACTGCAGACACAAGCGTGCCCACATATGCTGTTGTTACAAATTTGAGAGGAAAGGAGGTAAATCATTTTAAATATTGCTCTACATATAAAATTTAAACTAAAGTTTGTTTACTTTGGTGAACAAAGTTATTGTAGAGATAAGGTGTGTCGTAGTGTGAAGACTTTTAAAAGTGACTATAGATTTAAGTTTGAAGAAAGTCATTGAATGAATGACTATTTTTATATAACAATAATAATGATAATAATAGTAATAATAACAATAAACAGTACTGTGGTGGGGGCAGTATGAGGTAGGATTCTATGAAATGTTATGTATCCAAAGAAGATATTTGCTCTTATATTTATTTATTTTTTTCTGCAGATCGGAGCAGAACCAGATCAGCAGCAACAAGAGACAAAGCTGTAGTTCATTAGACCATAAACCCGAGGTATGTCCGTCACGATCACTGGTGTAAACCAGCCAATACAAGTTTCATACTTTCACTGACTGACAAAATCACTTACTGTCAAATTCATAAAACTGAAATATGTCGCACTCTCTAATGAAAGTCGTTTGTTTCTCGCAGGTCCACAAGAGCATATACATTTGCACAAGGAGAAGCGTGAAGTTGTGCTGTTTTTTTGACCAATCGGCAAGCGCAAGATTCATTGAACTTTCCATAAAAGTTAGTCCAGGTTAGACTCGGATCAAATGATGTTTAACAAACTGAAATAAGGGACATCTTGTGGAGAAAGAAAACATATTCATGGAAGAATAATTCAGGGGGTTAAAGCATTTGGGTCAACGGGGTTTTCACTGACTCTCATCTCAAGGCTTTTGTTTGAGGAGGGTGGTGGTTTGAGATGTCACAGTTACACCACACTGTTTCCATTCCCACAGGTGAAGCTATAGCAGTCTTTAAATACTCTCCCTGTGGTCTGTCACCAACATATGTCTGCGTCTGCAGTTTGACCTGAAGCAGACGAACTGAAAATGATCTATAGATGTACTCCATCACATGTCACTGCCTCTGAGGTGAAGGTTAGGTCGAATATTTCTGGTGTTTGTTGATCACATCATCTCTGTATGGTTGTAAGTCTGTCACTCCTATTTTTGACTGAGCGTCTGAGCTTTACAAATGCTGTGTGAAACAACCACATCATCCTCACAGGTCTATTGATAAGGGGTTGTGGTTCACTTTGTGAAAGTCAGTTACTTTGCAGAACAGACCATGAACTTCACTTTTGAAACTAACAGTTACTGATCTTATTGTCCTTTCTGCAGAATACATTTACTTTTGTTTATAAAAGACAAAGACAAAATATTAAAAATACATCAGCTCTCATTAATATCACACCAATCAAAAAGTAACGACAAACAAAACCAAAGGAGAGCTCCTACAACCTTAACAGTTTATGAGCATCTTTGTCAGTCTCCATCAATAAAATATTGATTAGAGGAACCTGTCTGATATATTCTTATCAGGATTTTGACCAGACTACGAATTTGTTGGTCCACATTCTTTTAACAGAATTTAATTTAATTTCTTGGTTCAATTAATGATGGTAGAAATAAAAAGACTAATCCATTTAAATCAGCATCTGTCAACTGTATTTTAGACAGACTGATATTAAACTGACTGCTTTATCATTTTTTATTTATTATTATTTTATCATTAGGCTTGAAGCCAGATTACCTCTGCTTTTCATCTTCTCATCTCTGGTCATCCTGTTTTTATTCTTGGTAGAGATAGTTAAAGGTTCTGGGACTGTAGCGCCACCAGGTGACCAGATACAGAGCTAAACTTTTTAAAATCATATTTTTTAATGCAATTCACAGAGCTGCCAGCAGATGTTCCCACTGACTACAAATGGGGATCTTAATCTGAACTGAAGTGTACTGAAGCCTGATCCTCGACTGTAAAATTTAAAGGGCATTCCACTCAAAATATTTCCTTTAACCCTTGTGCACCCCTTAAAGTTTACTGACACGGTCCGTCTAATAAAAGTGCAGTAAAAACATTATACATTCATATTTTTTTACTTTTAAAGCATCACATCTTGTCAACATCTTCAGACCTATCGATAGATAAAAAGTTTCTTATAATTTTTTAGATTCTTTTTAGGTTTTTAGCATCTTTTGTCGAGAGAACCCAGATTTTTTTTTATGGGAGAAACACAAAATAAGCAATATTTCCAAAAATGAGGTGCAAAGTGAAATATTTTTGATAAAGATATAACAGCCCAGACCGTGTCAATAATTGATAAAAGTATTGATTTTAATGCATTATTATTTTTGGTACAATGACAGTTTTCAGTAAAAACAAACACTTGTGAACCTCGTGACCAAAAATGGACGGTCTAATAAAAGTGCAGTAAAAACAAACTCCTCAAAATCTCCTCCTTCAGAGATTCAAACTCCTCCTTCTCCTCTTTGTTCAAACTGCATTGTCCCTTTCTGTCTCTGTCCCTTCATCCATATTTTTACTCGATACACTAAATTATTTTACGATCTTTGTTGTACAAGAAACAAAAATAAGCAGTTGAACTCTCTAAAGTGTGTATAAAAATCCAAACTGTAAAACTACACAAAACTCAAAGTCAGTGTTCACAATCACAGTATTACAGCAGATCATCCTGACAACATTTAATAGTGCAAACCTTTGAGAAAGTAAAAACATTCACTGATCAGGAAGGATTAGAAACACGTCAACAGTTCTGTTTTTCTGATATTCTCAGTGAAAGTTTCTTTTGAATCGTCTTCAGCCGTTCATAGATTTCTTTCTTGTTGTTCTTGAGCGCCTCCTTCCTCTCCTTCACTATTTTTTCTAAAGCATCTGTTATGTTCTGAAACTCTTGTGTTTTCATTTGAAGGGTCTCGTATTCAGTTTTTCCTCTCTGCAGATGTTTTTGAGCTTCCAGCGCGACGTTTTTCATCATGGTGAATACCTGACTTTTGTCACTATCTACCACCCTTTCAGCTAACTGAAACTTATCCTCGATGAATCCGGTGACCTTCTCCATGCTCTCCTCTTGCTCTTTGAGTTGATCCACTTGTTTGTGCACTTCTTGGTTTTTCTCCTTCAGTTTTTGAACCATCTGTTCCAAGTTCTTCTCTTCTCTCTCATTTCTCTGCAGGTCTTTTTCAAGCTCTCTCTTCTCCTCCTCCAAATCCTCCAGTTTCTGTTCTCTTTCTGACATGAGCTTCTCCTTCTCTTCAGCTCTATCTTGATTGTTCTCTGACTCTGTGAGTTTAAGAAAGAGGAAATTAAATATTTTGTATTTTAAAAACCAGAGTCAAAGTTAAAAAGTGAAGATGCTGCTTTATCGAAAGAGAAGACGACAAAATAGGATAATTTTCTAATGACATTAAACAGAACTAAAACTTTGATTGAAAAAAGGTGATGAGTGGGCGGGGTTCCCAGAGCAGGACTCTGAGTGCACCATGGACCAGTTAACAGTCTTCACCAAACTCTGTAATGATGTTTAAACTTACACATTATTATTATTATTATTATTGTTGTTGTTATTAATCAGCAGTAGTAGTATTGTTGTTGTTTCATTAATTTATAATTATTAATAATTATAATTGTATATTATATTAAAAATAATTATTTTAATTACTGTTATTTTTAGTATTTTCTAACCACATAATTATATTTATAATAATAATAATAATTATTAATTTTATTATTATTAATACTTATATCATCATTATTATTACTATTACTATAGCTTTTATTATTACTTTTGTTATTTCAATTAAATGTATTGTTTATATTAAATTTTTTATCATTGTAATTATTAAAATTATTAAAATTATGATTTTGTATAATAAAACTAATACTAGATATAATACTACTACTACTACCTCTACTTATAATAATAATAATACTAATAATAATGATAATAATGATAATAAGAAAATGAATTATAATGGGTTTTTATTATTATCATTTTTGTTATTATTAGTTCAATTATAATTGTTTTTCTTATTAATATCACTTTTACTATTACTATTTTGTATTATTATTATTATTATTATTATACTAATATCAAAAATATTACTATTACTAATATTATTATTTCAATTATTATTTTTTTAATTAATACTATGATTAACAATACTATTATTATTATTCCAATTATAACTATTATTTAAATATTTATTTTGTGTCACTATTATTATTATTATTATTTTTTTAATTATTATTTTTTGTTGTAATTATTATTCTAATTTTTATTTTTTATTATTATTAATATCAATGTTATTTTTATTCTAATCATTGTTTGTAATTCAATTATCATTCTTGTTATTATTTTTGTAATGTGAGGGTCTGATGTGAGGTTGTTGGATCACCCTAATGATAAGAAAGCAGTATTTATACGTTTCAGCTTCATCGGCATGACAACAACTTGACTTCTTTACCAACCTGATCACATGTCACAGCACTAACCAATCAGAGGCTAGAATCTTACTCAAGGTAAATGTGAATGAACCACAGAAGCACATCCTGCTCATCTCACTTATTAACATGAAAAAAACCCACTTCACTGTCAAAGCTAACACTATTACTATTATCATTGATATTATTATTACTTTTACAGTGTACACTTCAATCAATCACAGAACTTTTATTTTGAGGTGTTTTAATGATGACTGGTGAGGACTGACCTGTTTTCCGATTTTGTTTCAGTTTCCACAAACCAAAGCCAAAGACGAGTGCAGAAATCAACCCGACCAAAATAATGACTATGATGCCGAGACGAGCTGATTCAGCATTAGAGGTCGTAAAGAATCCAGCTGAAACAACAAAACACAACATCAGATCTACAAAACCATGTCAGCTGTAAGAAAAGTAAAAATATGTTTAAAAAAATCACCTGAAATGTGAATCTGAGTCTCTCCGGCTTGTTGGACCGTCACCTGTTCGATTCTACAGATAAATGTTGAACTTTTGTCCACAGTCAGTCTGCTGCTGACGGTGTAGAGACCACCAGGACCTTCGGCTGCCTCTGTAGGTCCAGCAGAGATGAGGTTTCTATCACCATCCAGCCACAACACCACAGGCTGTGGGAACCAGCCTTTAGACTGACACTGTAACGTCACTCCGTCAGGGTTTTTATCAACACCGTGAACGACAGGTGAGGAGGACGAACCTGAGGATGGGAGACAAGAAGCACAAACTGTAAGTATCAGGGATAGAAACCTGAAAGTCTTCTTGTGTTTGGCGCCCTCTCTTGGTCTAAAAGATGTAGTTACTCTTGTAAATGTTGAATACAAACATCATTTTCTCAAACGAAATGAGACTCAAAGACGGACATCAGCTGAACAAAAAAAACGGTTTTTGGAAGTGCAGCTTCATCAGAGGTCATAAAAACGCCGAGTTATGGGAAAGTGGGAAAATTAAAACACGTAAAGACTCACCAACAACGAGCTCCACCATGGATATTCGATCTTTTAAAGGAAAGTAGCATCTGTATTCTCCGTTATCAGAGTGTTGGACTGAAGACAGCGTCAGCGAAAGGTCTCCATACTTCAGTTTATCCACGGACATCGAAGTTCTTCCTTTGTAAGACGGGTTCTGGTTTATCAAAAGGTCATGACCTTCATCCCACAAATGGACAAATCTTGGTTCCAGGTCAAGTCTGCCCCACTCCACGCTCTTTGAAACAACATCCTCCGCAGGTTCGAGGTGGCACGGCAGGATCACGTCATCTCCAACTAAAGCCACGACCTTCTGAGAGGGTCCGTCTTCCTGAGTCTGGCCTGGAGAAACACACGTTTCCAAATGGTGCGATGAGACTCTTGCACAAGTCTGACTTAAATATTTGTATGATAGATACCTGTACAAAAGTCTGCCGACAGAAGGAGCGTCACAATGAGCTGGAAAACAAAAGCCCGGTGGAAAAAGAGCGGTCTGGAAAAAACGCCATCCATGATACAAAACATCCTGAGAGAGAAAATTCAGTCAACTTCATCTGTTAAAAAAGATCTTTGAGGAAATCTTCTAACCCTGAAACCTCTGCTGGACTGAACACACTCCGTTAAGACTCAGATACTCACATTTATATTGATTGATTGGTGTCGATTTCTCCAGCTAACGAGATATTTTAACTATCAAGGCGACTGACTCTGTACCGGAGAGGCTGACAGGAACGGTGGTCAGTATGACTCAAAGTCAGGAGACGTTTCCTCAGCTGTGCTCAGACTGCACTCTCAGACTTAAAAGATCTGTTCACTTAAATTCACAGAAAACTTCGTGGAAAGACGCAGAAATATTAGAATAAAGAGTAAAAAAAGAGACACGTACCTGCTGTTTCCCTGTAAGCAGTTGTACGACCGACGTCTATAAATCAATTTAAAACAGACTTTGACTCTCGTCTGAGGGCGTGTACCTCTGACTGGACTGACTGCTCTTACTTACAGGCTGTTGATTATTTCAGACTGATACGAGTAAAACAGGTAGAAAAAAAGCTTTCAAGTCGCTCCTCTCTAAACACTGCCCTGCCTCTACAGTCGGTTTCAGGGTCAATAAAGGCCTTATCCTGATCACATGGTCGAGTTAATGAGTAACTGATTCAGGATCAGTGACAGTGAAAACCAGATTCAGAACACTGAGGTTGTAATGAGTTTATTTCAGTGATGAAATTTAAACAATAGGACATTTATATTCCGACAAAGAAATCATTGATCCAACCAGATGATGGAGCGCAGTAGTTTATTATTTTTTTGTAGCACATGCAGATAGACGATGGGAGTCACAACAACAATAATGATAATAATAATAATGGTTATATCTTAAATTATTTAAATCTTAGAAGCATAAAAAATGCTAAAAAATAAAACCAAACAAACAAACAAACAAAAAATAATAATACAAATGCCACACTTAAACTTAATGTTGTTTAAGGTTTCACTATTGTTCCAGTACTTATTTTATTTAATTCCATTTAATTTTGATTAAAATTTATTTTTTTAATTTTATTCAGTTTTGTTACATTTTATAAAATTAATTCCATGTTATTTAATTAAATATTATTTATTTGTTTTTATTTAATTTCTTATTTTTTCATTTTATTGATTATTAATTGATATATTTACTTTAATTAATTAATTTTTTATTAATTTATGTTTATTACATGGAATTTTATTTGATAGTATTATTCGTTATTTATTTAATTTCTTAAATTATTTATTTTATTTTATTGTTTTATGGTATTTTATTTTTTTAGTATTTTTTTATTTATTTTATTAGTTATTTTATTTCTTTAGTTGAATTTTTTTTATTGAATTTTATTTTTATTGTAGTGAGTCCATCCATAAACCATTTGTAAACTGACTTGCAACAAGAATACAAAAAAAAAAAAAAATCTGAAGAGAAAGATAATCATACAGAGGAATACACACAGTCAAAGTCAGTCCCAGGGCCAGCGACAACAATCTGGACAAAAAAACCTCAAGAAAGGTGAGGAGGAGGAACCTGAGGATGGGAGACAAGAAGCACAAACTGTCATCTTCATCAGGGATGGAAACCTAAAAGTCTTCTTGTGTTTGGCGCCCTCTCTTGGTCTAAAAGATGTGGTTACTGTTGTAAAGCTGAGCAGTGACATGTTGAATATAAACATCATTTTCTCAAATGAAATGAGACTCAAGACGGACATCAGCTGAACAAAAAAACGGTTTTTGGAAGTGCAGCTTCATCAGAGGTCATAAAAACACCGAGTTATGGGAAAGTGGGAAAATTAAAACACGTAAAGACTCACCAACAACGAGCTCCACCATGGATATTCGATCTTTTAAAGGAAAGTAGCATCTGTATTCTCCGTTATCAGAGTGTTGGACTGAAGACAGCGTCAGCGAAAGGTCTCCATACTTCAGTTTATCCACGGACATCGAAGTTCTTCCTTTGAAAGACGGGTTCTGGTTTGTCAAAAGGTCATGACCTTCATCCCACAAATGGACAAATCTTGGTTCCAGGTCAAGTCTGCCCCACTCCACGCTCTTTGAAACAACATCCTCCGCAGGTTCGAGGTGGCACGGCAGGATCACATCATCTCCAACTGAAGCCACGACCTTCTGAGAGGGTCCGTCTTCCTGAGTCTGGCCTGGAGAAACACACGTTTCCAAATGGTGCGATGAGATTCTTGCACAAGTCTGACTTAAATATTTGTATGATAGATACCTGTACAAAAGTCTGCCGACAGAAGGAGCGTCACAATGAGCTGGAAAACAAAAGCCCGGTGGAAAAAGAGCGGTCTGGAGAAAACGCCATCCATGATACAAAACATCCTGAGAGAGAAAATTCAGTCAACTTCATCTGTTAAAAAAGATCTTTGAGGAAATCTTCTACCGCTGAAACCTCTGCTGGACTGAACACACTCCGTTAAGACTCAGATACTCACATTTATATTGACTTTGTAAAAGATCTGTTCACTTAAATTCACAGAAAACTTGGAGAAAAGACGCAGAAATATTAGAATAAAGAGTAAAAAAAGAGACACGTACCTGCTGTTTCCCTGTAAGCAGTTGTACGACCGACATCTGTAAATTAATTCAACTTGTCCCAGGGCGTGTACCTCTGACTGGACTGACTGCTCTTACTTACAGGCTGTTTATTATTTCAGACTAATACAAGTAAAACAAATCTAAAAAAACTTTCTCTCTAAACGCTGCCCTGCCTCTACAGTCGGTTTCAGGGTCAATAAAGGCCTTATCCTGATCACATGGTCGAGTTAATGAGTAACTGATTCAGGATCAGTGACAGTGAAAACCAGATTCAGAACACTGAGGTTGTAATGAGTTTATTTCAGTGATGAAATTTAAACAATAGGACATTTATATTCCGACAAAGAAATCATTGATCCAACCAGATGATGGAGCGCAGTAGTTTATTATTTTTTTGTAGCACATGCAGATGGACGATGGGAGTCACATAAAGTCAATGAACTGCTGAAATATTAACAACAATAATGATAATAATAATAATGGTTATATCTTAGATTATTTAAATCTTAGAAGCATAAAAATGCTAAAACTAAACAAACAAAAAAAAAACAAATGCAAATGCCACACTTTTATTTTGCCACACATTTATTTTTGTTCTATTTTATATAATCAATTTCAAGTAATTTTATTTTATATTACTCTTTTGTTTTTTCTATTTAATTTCTTATTTTTTTCATTTTATTTTATTTCATAAAATATTTATTTATTTTATTTCATTTATTTATTTATTTTTTTTTTCATGTAATTTTATTTGGTATTATTTATTTAATTTCTTTATTTTTTCATTATATTTTATTGTTTTATGGTATTTATTTACTTCAGTTATTATTTATCTATTTATTTAATTTCAATAATTTTTCAATTAATTTTATAAATTTAATTTCCTTTTTTTTTTTTTGTATTTCTCATTTTAATTTATTTCAATTGTAGTGAGTCCATCCGTAAACCATTTTAAAACTGACTTGCAACAAGAATACAAAAAAATATTTATCTGAAGAAACAGATAATCATACAGAGGAATAAACACAGTCTAAGTCAGTCCCAGGACCAGCAACATCAATCTGGACTTAGCTGTTTGTGTCAAAAATGATTAAAGACATGATAACATTTTTGAACAGTGTTGTACAAATCATCAAATTAAAAGTCACTGAGCTCTTTTTACCCTTATCCACACCTGGTGCACAGTGCTGTGGCCTGCAGTATAAATGTCTTTATTATTCTCTATAGTTGCAGTCATGATTACGACCTACAGTGTTTGTGGAGAAGAAAAACTAAATCAAATTATTTTGAGCATAAAATTCAAATTTACAAGTTTTAAACATGGTGAGTCAGCGAGGAAGTAAGAGGTTCATTGGTGTCTAAATGGTTGGCTGTGTTTATGTTTCACTCTCAGTGAAGGTTAGCATAATCATCCTGACGTTCTAGATCTTCTAGCTGCTGATTAATCTGGCTCCTTTCACTGTCTTTCCTCCTTCATCTCCCTCTCACGGTGTCGACCATTCCCTCTGCTCTCTGATAAAGTCTCTCGATGTTGAGTTGCTGCTCCTCCAGCTCTTCTTTTCTCTTCTCCAGTTCGCCCTGAGCATCCAGCAGTCTCTGTTTTTCTCTCAGGTACTCCTCGGTTCTGTCTGTGGCTCTCTCCCTTTCACTCTGGGTTATTTCCATCTCCACTGACTTGATCCTGGCTTTATTTTTCTCCCTGTTCCACTCTGCTTTCCTCACCTGATCCCTGAACTCATTTAGCAGATTCTTCAGTCCAGTCTTCTGCTCCTCCCACCGAGTCAGATCTGCTTTCCAAATGTCCCGGTCTTCTTGAATCGTCAGGGATTCTTCTTGGAGCTTTTTTGAAGCGGTACCTTTTTTGGAGGTCCATGCAAGATCAGAGAAAAAACAGAGAAAACATGAAATTAATGCCAACAAAGGATCTTCCAGTTTAAGTTCAGTTTGATGATAAACTTCTCTAAAAAACAGACTGTGATTTTAACACGTTTATTGTTACTCACTGTTTTCTGATTTGGTTTTCCACTGGACAAATAAAATACATCCTGACGTTAGAACACCACAGGCTAGTCCACCAGCCAGAGCGATGAGGAAGCAAGACACACCAGTGTAACATTCCAGAGCTGAAAATAAAAAGTTTTAAAAATAATACATAAAAGTTATGATTCGGTTTCTTTTTAATCATTTAATTGAGAATTAAATATTTGGAATACTTCAATATAAATATTGTGAATTGTATTGAGATGAATACCATTCTGAGCGTCTACTTTCTCATCAGGCAAAGGTGTGGAAGAAACTGAGAAGATATAAGAGACAAACTTAAATAATGAAGTTTAAGAGAAAATATCACTAAAATAAAACCAACCTGCTCCTTTTTATTCATTTTACATCAGTTTAACTTTGTCACAGGTTTGGAAGAAAAGTGTCTGAAGTCAATTTTGGGAGAGTTACATTAATTAAAAAACAGAATTTTGAAAAATTTTGTTTGTGTCTGGATGTCATCACCAAATTTTGTTTGTAACAATAAAAATTTTTGGCAAGTCTGTAATTAGAAATAAAAAAAACAACAACAAAGCTTTAAAAAGCTCAGACAAAGGTCACCTTGAAATATTATTGCTTTGTAGACAAAAGCAATCAAATAAGAGAATAAGAAGATTAATTTTTTATTGTCTTAAATAAGAAAAAAGATTTATATCGAGCACACCGTGAAAAAAGACAATCACTGTTTTGGTTTTTTTGTTACTGACGGCTAATCATGATGCAGAAAAGTCAGTCGTTCTGACCAATCAGAGGGGTTTAAAGTCCTTGGAAGAAAAGAAAAACAATATTTTTGAAAAATTTTGTTTGTGTCTGGATGTCATCGCCAAATTTTGTTCATAACAATGAAAAGAAAATAAACAGCAAGTCTTTGAATAAAAATTCAAAATAGCCTTCAAGGACTCGGACCAAGGTCACTTTGAAATATTATTGCTTTGTAGACAAAAATTATCAATTAAGAAGATAAGAGGAGTAAATTTTTATTGGTTAAAATAAGAACAGATTTATATCGAGCACACCGTGAAAAAAAAAAAAAAAACAATAACTGTTTTTGTTTGTTTGTTTGTTTTTTTCTTTAGTTACAACTTAAAGTGATGCAGAAAAAGTGTCAGTTGTTTTGACTAATCAAAAAGGCTAAAAACCCTTGTAAGAAAAGTGTTTGAAGTCAATTTTGGGAGAGTTACATGAATAAAAAAATTTTGTTTGTGTCTGGATGTCATCACCAAACTTTGCAAGTAACAATTAAAATTTAAGGCAAGTCTGTAATTAGAAATTAAGAAAAAAAAAAAAGCTTTAAAAGACTCGGACAGAGGTCACTTTAAAAAATGATTAAAAAAACAATCAAATTAGAAGAGAAGTAAAAATAAGAACAGATTTATATTGAGTACAACATTTAAAAAGACAATCACTGTTAATTTTTTTTAACTGACTGTTAAAAGTGATGCAGAAAAAAAGAAAGAAAAGAAAGATGTTTAAAACGTACTGAATAAATTACCTGCAATGAAAACAAGGAACAGCACACAAAGAAAGAGAGCCGACTTCAGGATCTTCATCTTGAAAGTCTTGAACCTGACGGGCATCTGTGATAGAAGAAAATAGAGATGGTGAGAGACATCTGGGATTTATTATCTGAATACAGGATCTTCATAAAGGAATAAAAAATAAGTAAAAAGATTCTGAATAACAAGCTATGAAAGTTGTTTTAAAGTTTAACATCCTAAATGTGGAAGTCTGAGAGATTCAGACCACATACAGACGATCATCAAAACAAAGTGACATTAAAACAGAAACACATTTAAAAGATTTTTCTTAGAAATAAAAAAAAAACTTCACAGAGAGAGATTTATTTTTCACGTACCAACAGAGCGAATCAACAAACCAGCTCTCTCCTTCAAATCCGTCCAGGATATCAACCGTCGGATCAAAGTCCTGCTGTAAAACCGTCACATGAGTTTGTGTTTGGTTTCCTGGGAGCTGGATTAGGGTGACCATATGTCCTCTTTTACCCGGACATGTCCTCTTTTTTGGGGGCTGTCTGGCCTTGTCCGGGGGAGTTTATAAAATCCTTCAAATGTCCGGGGTTTTGTACGGAAGTTTTGAGTTTGTGGATTTACTGAGTTAGAAGCACGTAAAAAACACTCGAACCGACCTAAAAACCCTCAAAATTTAGTACACACGACTCCGCCCTGTGTGGTTTGATTGATCCTGTACTTCAGCAGAGCCAGAGTAATAGTTTGATATATTATAAACCAGGAATGAACCTGTGCCTCTTACATCAGGTCATAAAAAAAAACACATTTGGATTATTACACACATAAACTCAAACTCATCGAGGGTCCAGAGTTTATAGGTTAGCTCCTCTGAATGTTCTTGAGTTGATATCTTATCTGAGACTGATACGACTCCAAATATCGAAGCTTCTTTCACTTTCTCATCTGTGAATAAGTAACTTTTATTCCTGCAGAGTTATTCATTACAAGAGATACAACAACCTGAAACATGTCAATGTTCCCGCTATCAGTTATCATCACCTTATATGACCCTGGGGCGGCACCAAAACTGCTGATGTGGATATTTTTACAACACTAACAAAAATAAAATTAAAATTAAGATTTATGATGTTGAGTAAGGCGTTAGCTGGACGATCAGTTTTTACAAACAACACATCAGTGAGAGAGAAACATTTTTATTTAAAGCAAAGTGGTTTTATTATTCCAACATTATTTCTTCTTCAAAAACTTCTCTTACACATTTTTAATACAACCTTATTCAATCAATCAATCAGTCTTTATTTATATAGTAATTTTCATACACAATCATGTAGCACAAAGTTCTTTATACAGAAAAAGGAATAAAACAAAGAAAACCCAAATCTACCCCTCATTCCCACCCCACGATCTAAACGCAACAGAAACAGTATAAAAATGCATAAACTTAAAAAGGGCTTGATTCAGAATGTGTGCACTGAAGAATCAAGCTTTATTATCTCAGAGCTGATCGTACATAAAGAAAAGTCACTAAAAACCACAAAGACTCATCCCCCGGGTACCACAGACGAAAACCTTGACTGGACGTCCTTCATCTGATCCTGTTTGTTACAGATCAAAACTGAGGATTATGAAGCTAACACGCCGTGTGAGCAGAGCATTTCCTTGACTCTCTCTCTGGTCATTTTCAGCAGATCAAATTCTGATATTTGGAACAGGGAAGGATAATATGAAGAAACACTATAAACAAGAAAGAAACAAACAAAAAAACGAACGTTATCCTGACTCATGAACCCATGATCCTTCTCTGTGAGTTCCTCGATGTTGATCATTAATTGATGTCGTTTGTCTTCTAAGCGAATCTTTCTGTCCCTCATCCTTTTCAGAAGACTCTCTGACTCCTCACTTTGAGTCAGGATCTCTGAGTCCAGCAGCTGCTTCTCCAGTTTCTCCTTCCTGTTTTCCAGTCGACCCTGGTCGTTCAGAAGGTCTTGTTTGTCTCTCAGGAGTCTCTCCGTCCTGTCCGTCGCCCTCTCTCGTTCACTCTCCGTTATTGAACTCTCTAATGACTGCAGCTTCTTCCTGTTGTCGTTCCTCTCTCTCTCCACGTCCTCTAGCTGCATTTTGACGTCATGCCACTGATTCAGCAGAATCCTTTGAAGGATTTCAGAGACGATTTTGCTTTGCGCCATTTCGTCAAGTCTGTCATTGATCTGCTGCAACTCTTCTTGACAGTTTTGCAGTCTCTTCTTGAAGGATGAACGCCGCCACACTGAGGACATGACATTTGAAAAAGATTGTTTTCAGCAGGGCCATCACATGACAACGTTTAAAGGCCAATCCCAATTGTCACTCTTTCCCTTTCCCCTTCGTCTTACCCCTTTGTCTACCCCCTCCCCTTTAGCCCTAAAACATCCATCCATTTTCTACCGCTTTTTACCGGTGGGGGTTGCGGGGAACCTGGAGCCTATCCCAGCATCCTCAGGCGAAGGCAGGGGACACCCTGGACAAGTCACCAGTCCATCACAGGGCTGACATATAGAGACAAACAACCATCCACGCTCACACCTACAGGCAATTTGAAAGTGGCCAGTTAACCTAACCCCACTTAGGCATGTTTTTGGGATGTGGGAGGAAACCGGAGTAAACCCACACAGACACAGGGAGAACGTGCAAACTCCACACAGAAATGCCTTGACCCGGATTCAAACCCAGGACCTTTTTACTGTGAGGTGACAGTGTTAACCACTACACCACTGTGCCGCCCTAGCCCTCAAACAGAAGGGTGAAAACACGCTCCTAAGAAAGGAGATTCCCGCTACATCATCATGCCTTGCCGCTTGCTGGCTGTGTTGTAGGCTGATGCAGTGATACCGGTAAGTGTTGTTACTATGAGAATTATATCAAAATCTTACCCCGAGCTTTCAAGTGAGGTCCCCAACCCTAACCCTTCCCCTTAATCTTACGGAGAATCAGGACCACTGGCGCTGCAGGCAGAGCCCTGCCTGAGCTGCGTGAGCCAGCATGAGCAAAAAGCATCAGCGTCAGGGCGGACTAGGAACGTCTGTTGTCTCACGCATGTTCAGATCACAGTTGTGCATTAATGTTAGGGGCACCACAGGCCAGTGCCCAAGCTTTCTGCGCTTTCACACATGCTCAGATCACAGTTCTGCATTAAAAAGTTAGCTTTTCCTAGCCAAGTAAAAAAAAAAATCCTTAAGGGGCACCAGGGACCAGTGCCCAAGTGTCCCTAATTTGAATGACATAACCAGATCGGTCACAAACGGATGCATAGCTACAATATGCGTCTGACATAGCTAGCTGCTCTACTGGGAGCTGTAGTGAGACACTACATAAAAGTCAGATTAATGAGAAAGCTAACAGACAATATTTATGCCGCAGTGTTAGAAATCAATAACTTTTAAGGCAGGATGAAAACATCCTGGAAAAGTCTTGGTAAATGATCTCTGTAAAAGAGCGGGAACCCTGTATTTGTTCACCCAGTTTCAATTCAGTTCCACTGAAATATCAAATGTAATAAAATTGTTCTGTATTCAAAGCAAATGTTTGTGTTGTTTCCCTTTGACTGATCACTTTGATATACAGCCTGATTTGTTATAAATGTGGGTCTGCTCTTCTCTATTTTTCTGCAGTTGTCTTTGTGTGCTCCTTTGCTGTAGCCTAACCTGTTGAGCTGCAGGTGGATGTACACGAGTAAGAGTATGCTGCTGTCAGTTTCTATATCATAGGATTACATTGAATGTAGGTAGGCTGTGTGTCGGCTATAATACCCTGTTAATAATTTGAAATACAGTTTCCCCACCCCATTTGTCTTTGTAGGTCAACATCGTATGTTTCCTTAATTATTTTCACAGAATGCACCAGAAAGCTTCATTTACATGTGAGAAAATAAAAAGAAAAAAACTCCCAGGGGAGGATACCCCCAGTCCCCCCTACTGGGCTCTGGTCTTCAAGCCTTCTGCCCCACCTACTATTTTTCCCACCAGCCACCACCGATTGGGACCCCCCTTCGCTTGACCTGAACATGAAAAAACGAGGGCTAAGAGGAACAATTGGGATTGGCTCAAAGTCTCAGGCTTTACTAAAGTCTTTCTACAAAGGTTTTAGTTTATCTGCTTTAAGAAAATTGAATTAATGAAAGAAAAGTTGACAAAAATAACCTTCTTTTTGATTAAAGACTGAGCCATTAACACAAAAAAGACTCTTTGTGTAAAAAATATGAATGAGACTCAAAGCTCAGTTGAAAAATCACGTCAGCTTTTTTCTTAAACACTGAAATCAAACATTAAAGAAAACCTTGCTACTTGAGTGAATGCAGTTGAATGAGTTCGTGTCTCACCTGCCCGGACCCTGGTGGCACAAACAGAGACGCACAAGCCGACGGCAACACGTCTCAGGAGACACATGAGGAGATGAGACAACAGAGAGCTGAAACCAAACAACATACTGTCAAAAATCACGCAGGAATAAAGGTCTTCAAAACTGCGAACAAAGACCTCGATCACCGCAGACCGCCATCATGCAACGAACAGAGTTACACTCACCGGAAATGAACCAATCATAAATGCTTTTCAGTCAATGAAGAAATAAAAGACGTCTTTGTCTTCGTCTTCCGTATTCCTGGTGTTGGTTTTCAAGTGACGGTTCACAACTCTCTGGTCAAAGTCTATCAACTGACAAACTGTATGAACAGAACCTGTTAATAAATAAGCTCTCACGATATCCCTCCTTTTTCTTTGCACGACTACAGTGTCAACGTACCGAGACAGACAGATCGATTTTACAACAATTCCCAGCATGCAACTCAACTGAATTCTAATCTGTCTTGAATGAAGACAAATCTTGAATGAACTCTGAAGATGATTCGTCTTTAGATCCGTCAAAACTGTCATGATCAAAAGTCTTTATTTGGGGTGATTTCCTGACCACAGAGCCAGAAACACCAGATTCTGATTCTATCACAGTGGAACCACCAAAACCACTTCAAAGTGGGTCTGGTTTCTTTAGAGGATGTGGTTTCCCTGAACAGACCAGCTGAGACAGACTCAGGTTCATGTTAGTTCATCTTGAGACAGACTGGCAGTAATACTGACGCCTCTGCAGGTCCTCTAAAAGTAAACTAGACCATCAGGGACGAGGTTGACTATTTCTATACAAGTACATTTAAAGTACAGAAACAACCAGTCAAGGCCGACCTCATAAAAAAAAAAAAAACAGAATTTTTTTATTATTTCACATGACAAAGATTTACAGTGAGTGCAAAAACAACAAAGTTAAAATGCAAACACAAACTCCCCCAAATAGTCTGAAGGTTAACAAAATGAAGAACTAGACTGACAAACACACTGATTTTTTAAAATTATTATTGTAAATATAATCACAACTTTCACCCTGATGAACAGAAAAATAAGAATTCCCCTTTTTCTATCTATCTATCTATCTATCTATCCTATCTATCTATCTATCTATCTATCTATCTATCTTTGCAGTTTGTGAGAAAGTTTCTTCATGTGCAGCAACTTCAGCAAATCAGTACATTTCATTAATTTCACAGTTGTGTCGATAAACTTTGATTTCAAAACTAATTCATAATAATGTGTCACTAAACATCTGATTTCAACAATATAAGAACAAATCAGCTGATTCTGATTTTAAAGGTTCATGTTTTCTGCTCAGAAAGTTTCCTCTGAATCTTCTCCAGCTCTTCTTCAACTTCTCTCTTGTTGCTCTCTGCTGCCCCCTTTCTGTCACTCACTGTGTTCTCTAAAGCATCTGCTATGTTCCAGAATTCACGTGTTTTATTTTGAAGATTATTATGTTCTTGTTTTCTTCTCAGCAGATGTTTTTTAGCCTGTAATGTGACGCTCTTCATGTCAAAGACTCCCTGACCTTTGTCTCTTTCTCTCTCCTTCTCAGCTGACTGAATCTTCTCCTCCATCTCTTCAGTGAATTTGTTCCTTTCTTCTTCTTCCTCTTTGACTTTTTCTAAGTGTTTCTTCACTTCTTTGTTTCTCTCCATCACTTTTTGAATCAGCTGTTCCAACTCCTTCTCCTCTTCCTCATTTCTCTTCAACTCTTCTTCAAGTCTTTTCTGTTTCTCCTCCAAATCCTCACGTTCCTCTCTCTCTTCCTCTAAGCGTTTTTTCTCTCTCTCTTCATTTTCAGCCTGATCCTGATTTCCTGATTTGAGTAAAAGAAGAACAGGAGAATAAAATGAAGTTTTTATTGTTTTCATTCTCATGTTTGTTCTGATAACAGTCCCAGAGCTTCACTGACCTTCTCTCAGAGTTCGTCTCCGTTTCCACAGAACTAAAGCGACCGTCAAAACCACACCGAGGATCATAACCACGACGATGATGATGCGAGCGGCGGTGAGTGTGACGTCAGGATCAGGAACTGAAACCATAAAACACATCAAAGATCAGACGTCTCATCAAAAGACATCAGCTGTTTGATAAAGACCCTGAAGGATCACCTGAAACCTGGATCTGGGTCTCTCTGCTCTGGGTGATGTTGTTCTGATGGACTCTACAGGTGAAGCTGTTGCTCGTCTTGATCTCCACAGTCACTCTGCTGCTGACCGTGTAGAGACCATCAGGACCTTTGGTGGTCTCTGTAGGTCCAGCAGGGAGGAGGTTTCCATCCCGGTCCAGCCAGGACAGCTCAGGTTTTGGATACCAGCCTTTAGACTCACACTGTAACGTGACTCCTTCAGGGTTTTGATCAACATCAGGTATGACAGGTGAGGAGAAAGAACCTGAAGATGGACAAAGATGTTCTTCAGACTCTGAATCATCTGTCAGGTGAAGTGAACTGAAGAGATCTGAAGGATTAGTTCACAATGAAAGACCAACGACTCACCAACAACGAGCTCCACCGTGGAAATCTGATCTTTTGAAGGAAAGTAGCATCTGTATCTCCCGTTATCAGAGTGTTGGACTGAAGATAACGTCAGTGAAAGGTCTCCATACCTCAGCTTATCCATGGACACTGAAGTTCTTCCTCTGTAGGACGGGTTCTGGTTTGTCAGGAAGTCTTTGCCTTCATACCACACATGGACAAACATCGGATCCAGATCAAGTCTGCCCCACTCCACGGTCTGTGAAACAACATCCTCTGCAGGTTCGAGGTGGCACGGCAGGATCACATCATCTCCAACTAAAGCCACGACCTTCTGAGAGGGTCCGACTTCCTGAGACTGACCTGGAGAAACACAAAGTCTGAAGAGTTATAATCAGAGATTTGGAATCGATAACCAGTTCTTTTTTAGAACTGGTTCCTGGTGATTTGATTCCAAAGAGTTGTTCGTCTGCCTCCTTGACGATTCAGCTTATCAGTTCCTCTTACGTCTTTATGCGTGGTGACGTAGTACGCGAGACACTTGCAACACTTTAATTTCAAATTTAATTGCATTGAAAGGGGGGAACTTCCAATATGCGGAAACATTTGTCCACCCAGAATGCAATTAATTTGCGTAAGTGTAACGTGTTTGATGCGCTACTTAGCGAAGGCGAGACTGGTACAGGCAAAAGCAGGAGCAGAGCTAACGTCTCGACATCATCAAGGTAACGTTTAACGCGGGAATTCCACTGGATCTGGAACCGCTCTGCTCCGCTCCAGCAGGCAGATCAAATACGCAAGCAAATAGCGCCTACCGGATCCGATCCACCGCCACCATCGGAGAAGACACTCTCGCGATATTACTGATAGTTCTTGCGAGACTGGACGAACTCTCACAAGATCTTGCATATTTCCCTGTGAGACTTGAATGAGATCCGCCGATCGGTCCCTCAACACTGGCCTCTCCTATTATCAAGCTAGGAACTTTTCAACGTATTGACTTTATTTTATTTTATTTTCAGGCGGACGAAATTGTGTGGAATCACGCACTTAAATTATGATGCTTGTATATTTGATCCGCTTGCCGTGCCGAAGTGGAGCACAGCCATTCTGGATCCTCTGGGCTCTGCCTGTAACTTCTCCTGCAGGGAAGAGTAAAATGACAGAGGCAAAGATAAACAAATGTCACCAAGAGAATTGATTCTCAATGAGAATCGTTCAGAGAATCGATAAGGAATTGTATCGATAAGCAGTATTGATAATGGAATCGGAATCGCTAAAATCTGAACAGTTCCCATCCCTCTGACGAACTCAGTTTAATTAAAGTCAATCTTCCCTAAATCATCATCGGAGTTACCTGTGTGTGAGTTTGTCAACAGAAGGACCGTCACAATTTGTTTGAAAACCAAAGCACTGAGGGGGCGGAGCTTAAGTTTCAGGTCAAATCCACCTGTTAGGAAAAGCATCCTAAAAAAAACAACAACAAAAAAAAAGTCAAAATGAGTTAAAATACCAAGAATTCAGCCATTTAAATCTCCTTTTTTATTAATCTGGTCTATGAGGACTCTGACAGAGAGACTTATATCTTCATTATCAACCACAGAGGGATCATTAAAGCAGTTTGAAATTCATTTTTCTCACATTTAAATTTTGTTTTTTTCTATTGTTTTCAATGAGAGACCTAAAAAAAAACTTAAATAAGACACAAAGAGGAAGCTCTACTTTTTTATTTTAAAAAAAGTGATGAAATTTTGGAATAAAGTAAAAGACTTTTCACACTTAATGGATCTTATATTTCAGTTTTATTCTTTTAATGAAAACAGTCAAACCAGGAAGTCTCAAAAGTGGATCAGTCAAACACTCTTTAACAGGTTCACAGTCGCGCTACACTGTAAAACGTATTTAAATAAAAACCAGTTTTCTTAAATCCACGACTTTTCAACAATCATCACTAAAATAGAATTGAAAACATGAAAACACTGACATACCTGCTGCGTGTCTGTTCCAGTCTCTCCCCCGACTGTACGGTCAAAGTAAAACAGACGGACTTTGACCCTGACTGCAGGGCGGGTTTACCTCACTACTCTACTGTCTTTATATCCTGGTTGAACAAACACTGATCGGCTTCCTTAAATAAAGCGGCTCTATGACGGACAAAGCTTTTAATACTAAAGTTTCATACTGAAATTTATCCTCCTGAACTTATTTAACACATAAAATAAAAATACTGAACAAAACCGAGAAACGAACAAGAGCAGATCATGACTAAAATAAATATAAAACATTTGAAATAAAAATAAAATGACTAATTTTCAGCAGAAGTCAGAAGGAAGAGTTTTGTCTGAGATTCACTGGGAATGCGACATCAAAAGAGACATTGAACCAACCAGTAAAGAGGGTAAAAAAGGGACTATATAGACAAACAGGTAAACGAGACACAGGTGAGACTCATGGGTGATTAACAAAGGAGGGACAAACCAGAGTAGAAACACAAGGAGTCAACTCCTACAAAATAAAACAGGAAACACAAGGAATCAACTCCTACAAAATAAAACAGGAAACACAAGGAATCAACTCCTACAAAATAAAACAGGAAACACAAGGAATCAACTCCTACAAAATAAAACAGGAAACACAAGAAATCAACTACTAAGTGACTAAGTGAACTAAGATAAACTGTGACATTAGAGGGACATTTAACTGTATACTGTAAATATTAAAGAAGTTCGTCCTCATCAGAAGTCCCTCTCAGATGTTCAGGTGTGCTTCTTTAAACAAAGACCTGATCTGACAGTTGAACAGATGCGTAACTCTATTTTAGTCGGTGAGAGCCGCAGAAACCTCAGAAATGGTCGCCGTGCTAAAAACTGCGACGGCGCCTTCTATATACAGGAAACTGTCATCTTTAAAAACAGACGTGAACAGGCGGTCAGAGACAGTCAGCAGCAAGACGACATGGAGGACTCTTCACTGTGCTTCAGACTCTGTGAGTTTGACCTACCTTCAATATAAAGTGTTTAAAAGTTTGATTTTGATTTAAAATACTTTTGAAATGTGACGTTAACTTTAAAGAAAAGTTAACCGACCTATTTAAAGATTATACGGTTAACAAAAGACAGTCAGATTAGATTTATATCCACGGGTATTTTAAAATCTGAACTGTTTAAAAGACTCTTAAGTTTGTAAAACCTTTGGTACCGTTGGTTGATAGGGTACGTTTTGACTCATGTTTAGCTCTAGCTTATAACCCTTGTAAATATTCACTTTTTTTTTTTACTATTCCTTCAGTGATGAATTTATTGCTGCTGCTCACAGTCCTGAACAGAAGCTGGTCTCTGAAAGCCGGTGAGTCAAAATCTGTTCAGTTAACGTTTTTATTTCTTTCCAACTCTGCAAAATCGTTACTGGTAAAGCATGACTCACTCTCAAAGCTGAAACTTTAGATTTTTTTTAAATTCTATCTTTGATTTATTTACAGAAACGCTCCTCATTGTTATACTCACTTTTACATCGTATTTATCTTTATTTTCTTGGTCCCAGATCCAGTTTACCCTAAAATTGTCCCAAACAGGCTCCAGTTCTTTACATATGAGATCATTCGGTTAAACTGTGACGGATGGAGAGTGATGAAAAAGACGTCTCAGTGGAGGAATTCAGCAACATCAATGACCATAGCACCTGCTTCACCATCTCACAGTGGAGAATACTGGTGTGAGAGCGCAGAGGGACAGAGAAGTGGCTCTGTCAACATCATTGTCACTGGTATGATTTAAAAACACTTTAATTTCTCGTCAATGTTTGTAGAAATAATCCTTCAGGTTTTAACTCTTGTCTTCATTTCTGTGGTCCAGCTGGTGCTGTGATCCTGGAGAGTCCAGTTTACCCTGTAACAGAGGGACTGACTGTCACTCTGGGCTGCAGAAGAAAGGCACCACCACATTACCAAACAGCAGATTTCTATAAAAATGGGAAATTCAAAAAGACTGAGTTTAAAGGAAAGATGGTCGTTCATAATGTCTCAAAGTCTGATGAAGGAGTCTACAAGTGTCGAATCTCTGGAGCTGGAGAATCACCAGAGAGCCGGCTGGTTGTCAGAGGTGAGACAAGAAATCAGTGAAAAGTCATAAAGTCAAAAATGACTGATTGAACTATTAATAAAAAAAGTTTCAACAAGAAAATTCAATGATACGCAACGATCAAATGAAAACATCTCGACTGTTTTCTCATTGATGCCAACAGCACGTGTACCTCCAACATCTGAAGATGTGCGAGAAACTACCTCTCCATCTTCACCTTCTTCTCCTTCTTCTCGGCCCAGTCCTGGTTCCAGTCGGCTCACCACGTCTTTATCAGTCTTCTTCACCATCTTCATCGTGGCTCTGCTGCTTTCAGCGGCAGGACTACTTCGCCATCGCAAACTCAGAGGTACAAATAAAGCTCTTTTAAAAACTGCATATTCACTTATTTATCAGTGAAACGGGGAGAAATCCAAAAAAGTTGAACTTTCAAAACTAAATTTGAAAAAATAGACAAAAATAATCTTCTTTCTCTTAGTTACACGTTTTCCCTCTGAGATACCAACAAGACCATCAAACCCAGGTGAGTACTAACAATAAAAACACTAAAACAGTTAATAGATGTAAAACTGCGCTAAGATTGTTAGTAGGTCATGTAATCAGTCCGTCACGTCTGTAAAAATGTCGTATTTGTTTTTGTTAATCAGTGTATGAAAACTCTCCTGGTGCTGATGAAGACGAGTCCATTTACGTCAACGTCCCGAGACAGAAAACTAACAGAGGTAAATATTTGAAGATCACTGAGTTTAATTTATGTTTTTCAAAATTCTTTCTTTCCCGTTTTTGTTGCTGAAGAACCAAATAAAGTGAATGAAAAAACAAAAACAGTGTATACGGATCGTCTTCTGATTGCCATGATATTCAGCAACCAAAAAAGTGAAGCTTCATAATTCTAGTTTATATTTTTACTAGAGATTTCCTTTTTCTATTGCAGGTTATTCAGGCCATGAAAAAAGAAAATCAGGAACTAAAACTGCAGAAAGAAAGATGAGAGGTACGTATATAAATGTTGAATAGATGACTGACAGTTGAATTTACGAACGACGTGTTAGATGTCGTCCATCATGGTCAGTCAACTTTTTTCTTCATTCACTTTGACAGTGAGTGATTCATGAGATTTAAAAAACTAGATAAAATGAATTAAAATATTTTTTTTCCTTTTTTTTGTTGTTGCTGAGGTTCAGCAGGTTCTTGGCTCTTAAGAGTTCTTTTGTTTGCCTGAAATCAAAATCTAGATTGGGTATAATGTGTTTAAATTGAAAGTGAGATAACCTGTGTTGACTTTTAAAACTTCTTTGCTAATATTGTCAGTAACTGGTCCATGTTTTTTTATACCTCAGTGTCTGGAGAGCCAATTTTACCTGAACAAAAAAGAGCACAGCCAGGAAAAGGGAGAGGTATTTCCCTCCAGTTTCTAATTACATCACACATTTGATGAAGGTCAAATTCAGCCAATCAGGGCCGTTCTTTGACAAAACAAAGTAAATAAAGACAATTTAATCAATGAAATATACATCTATGAATGAAAATGTGAATGAATGTTGATTTTTTTTTTTTTATCTGAGCTTGTATTTCTGAGTAACTTGTAATTCTCTCGTGTCATAGCTCCTGGAGGGGCAGCTGCACCAGGTGTGATAAAAGCCCAAGTGAGAAAGAAGAGGAGAGGTACTGCGATATTGTATAGTGTTGTATACTTACATAGATTGTACATTTTATATAATCATTATCATCTGGGTGATCTTATGGTAATTATATCATGTATAACCTTTTTAATCAGCTTCTTTAATAAGCTGCCAAGTTGCTCAGTATATTTGGCTGATATGTAAACTCGGGTATCATCTGTGTAACGATTCATACAGTAGACATCACACTTAAATGTTATACACAAAACTTAAGATGCTGGTGTCTTAATTCTGTGATTTAGATCATTGCAACATTGAAATGATGTTCGACAACAATAATCATTTATATTCCAAATGTCTTTCAGGTGACAGAGAGCAGAAACACTGACAGACAAGGAAGAAACTACCGGATAAAGTGAAAGTTCAATCATTTTTAATTGTCATTTTGAAATTACATTTAGATTTACTTTTGCCTTTTGTTTGTCTGAAAGAGGATGGCAGTTGGATGTCTCAAACTGTCTGATGGTAGACGTTTATTTTTGAAATATACTTGTTTTATTGTTGAATCCTGTTTAATCTGCTCAGTCTTTTTATAGATCTGAAGAAACTGAAAACACAGAGCTGCTGCTGTTACCTCTCTGAGACTATCTGAGACTAACCATTAAACTAAGTTTGATGTTAGACTGACCAACACAAAAATACCTCCATTACACAGTGACATTTTCAGATCATGTACTACGTGACAAACATGTCAGCAAAATAAACCAAACGCCAACTGTCTTTTTGTACATCATTATTCTGATTCACAGGTTTTTCAAATAATAAAGGTAATAAATGCCATCCAGTATCAATCTGAAAACGTCCCACTAACCAGTATAGGTCCAGTATTATGTAATTTATTTTTTCGTCAACAATCACAGATGAGAAATGAGAAAAACTGAAAAAAAATGTGGATGTCAGTTTATTTTTCTTTTTGCTGTTTTTGTTTTTTTTATTTCCATGTAAAATAAACTGAAAGAAAAAAACTGATTATTTTCTTTATAGATCCTTTAAATGAAAAACACTTTTCCTTCAAGTGTTGTGGTATGAAACAGAGCCGTTAAGTTTTTATTATTGTTGTTAAAAACAGATAAAACTAATCTTTACAGACACACCGACAGTTGAGTCGTCTCCTGTAAAAGCAGTTGGTTAATATTCAATCTGACACTGATATGAATGGAGGTCACTCCGACAGCTGCATGTTGTTCAAAAGTTCTTTTACTTTCACTTCTGTTAATCAGAAACTTTTACAGCTTTAGGCACAGAGATAACTGCCGGTTAATCATTACCAGATATAAAACAGGTCACCACACTGACAAATGAAGCCTTTGTTTTTTTTATTCAGTCACGTTGATTCATGATTCATTTCACTTCCCAGTCCCACGTCTGAATAAATGCAACATAGCTGCAGTTCCCAATAGTGCCACAGGGTGGAGCCTTCACTTTTGTGCTTTGACCATTGACTGTACCTCACTCTCAACACATTCAAATTCAACTTTATTGACACTTTTCAGACAGAAAGACGTAGTTCAAAGTGCCTAACAGAGGCTAAAAACAACAATAAAACCCGAACCTCCCACCTACACATGGACCCACACACACACGTACACACACAAGCGCACACAAAGTGAGAATTTAAGATATATTGTTAAAGAGACATGGCCTGACACCGAGACATCACATGAGAAAAGAGGTACCTTTGGGAAACACTGGAGATAAAAGATAAAAATGGTAAAAAGTACGAGTAAAACCTGATGGACTAAGACAAGAAATAATATTAAATGAACAGATAAGTAAGAGCTCTTTACCGTGTAAAAGGGGTAAAAGAAGTAAAAACCTCTAAGACATGAGTTAAGAAAAAGACTAAGACGAGATTCATCCCTAGTCGACCACAATGTCCTGATCAGCCGTCTGAAATACTGGACTCTTTCATGTCCTATCTTTAAAACAGGTATTTTTCAGTCGTTCATAGTAGTAATGAGGGAGTCCCCCAGGGGTCTATCTTAGGTCCCCTTTTATTTACAGTACACATGCTCTCCCCATGGGGCAAATCCTGCAAAGGCATGTCATAGAGTTTAACAGCTATGCCGACGACACTCAGCTCTATGCTCCGTTAAAACCCGACATCACTCCGTCTCACATCTGAAATCAAGAACTGGAGGTCTGAAGATTTGGCTCCAAACCTGAAGTCAATGTCAGTTTTAGCGACATTAATACTCTGCCCTCCAGTCTGGGTCCAATAATGTTCGCAAAGAGGCGAACCAAGGAGTCCTTTTTGACTCTGACCTTTGACCTTTGATACCCAGGTGAGCAGAGTTATGCAGTCCTGTTTGTTCGGCGAAGTCGACCAAAATCAGGTCTTTTCTTTCTCTTCCTGACTTAGAAAAACTCATTTGCACATCAGTTTATTTCTCCCTGTTTTGACTAATGTAATTCAATTGACTCTGGCATTAGGAAGCACAACATCCAAAGACGACAACAATTTAAAATGCTGCTGCCAGACCTTTAAAAGAGGTGACCACATAACAACAGTCCTCGCTGCCCTTCACCGGCCACCTCTGAGATCTGGTTCCCTCCTACATCTGTGATCCTCTGACCCCCTATGAGACCAGGGTCCTACTGCAGGACCTTTCTCGTGTTTCTTTAATCTAGAAATCGACAAAGAAACTTAACAACCATCTCTCTAAGTTATAATGTAGGCGTACACAGATGTCTGTAGATATGATTATCAGTGCCTTAGATCTGGAGATCGACTAAATAATAAAACTATTAAAAACTCAAAGACTGTATTTCCATCAGAAACTCCTCTCTGTTGTTCTGGGTTGTAAATTGAAATAACTCCAACACTTGAACTGACAGTTGAGCAGATGTTAAAAAAAAACAACTATTTTAGTTTCTGAAAGTCACAGATAGTGCAGAAATGTTTGATATGCTAAAAACTGAAAGAGCCGCCTCGATGCACGAGAAAGGAAGCGCTGCGCTTCTGTCGGTGTCAGACAGAGTTAGTCTTCAGTCTCAGACAGTCAGCGGAGAGACGACATGGAGGACACATCGCTTCCCTTCAGACTGTGTGAGTCTGCTGTTACTTTTATACTGAAATCTTCTGAGAAGAAACTGAAAAATTAAATGTTTTATTGAAATCAGACGTCAGTTCAAGAAATTCAGTTGTCAGGGCATGTATTTGGAGTCGGTGTTTATTTTTTGTCACTTTTATGAGCTCAGCTTGTGTGTTAGTTCACTTTTATTTTCCTCACACATGAAGACGTCCATGTTCAATGTACATCTGTCTCTTATTCCTTCAGTCCTGGATCTACTGCTGCTGGTCTCTGCTCTGGACAGAAACCGGGTTCAGGGAGACGGTGAGTTTCAGTCTTGCAGGATCTTTCAACTTTGTGTTTTTATTTGTGCAGTTCTTGAACTTAAGTCAAACTTAAATATAATATATTTCATGACAATTATACTCACTTTTACATTAAACTGTATATTTATTTCTTGGTCCCAGATCCGGTTTATCCTAAAATTGTCCCAAACAGGCTCCAGTTCTTTACATACGAAGTCATTCGGTTAAACTGTGACGGATGGAGAGTGATGAAAAAGACGACTCAGTTGGAGAAGTCAGCAACATTCATGACCATAGCACCTGCTTTACCATTTCACAGTGGAGAATACTGGTGTGAGAGCGCAGAGGGACAGAGAAGCGAGCCTCTCAACATCATTGTCACTGGTATGATTAAAAACACTTGAATTTCTCGTCAATGTTTGTAGAAATAATCCTTCAGGTTTTAACTCTTGTCTTCATTTCTGTGGTCCAGCTGGTGCTGTGATCCTGGAGAGTCCGGTTTACCCCGTTATAGAGGGACAGACCGTCACTCTTGGTTGTAGAAGAAAGGCACCACCACATTACCAAACAGCAGATTTCTATAAAAATGGGAAATTCAAGAAGACTGAATTTAAAGGAAAGATGACTGTTCGTAATGTCTCAAAGTCTGATGAAGGAGTCTACAAGTGTCGAATCTCTGGAGCCGGAGAATCACCAGAGAGCCGGCTGGTTGTCAGAGGTGAGACAAGAAATCAGTGAAAAGTCATAAAGTCAAAAATGACTGATTGAACTATTAATAAAAAAAGTCTTTAGCTAATAGTGATCAAATAAGCTAGCTTAACTTTAGCTGATATCAGTCCCACTTTAAATTTTCTTTTTTACTACTTAAAGTGTTCTCAGTGGTCTTTAAATTGTGATTATGAAGTTTTTTTATTCTTTACATTACCCGTGTCATTTTCAAGGACTTTTCTTCTGCAGAGCTCCTGTAGCTCTGACATGAAATCATAAAAAAGTGATCAAGTCCAAAAAATTAAATTACAATTAAAAAAAATAATTACAGTTGATCTGTTAATAAAAAAGTTCTTTTAAAAGTTGAAACACTCTGTCCTGACATGTTTTCTAATTATAAATAAGAGTTTAAAGTGAGAATAACTGCAGAATAGAATGACTATAGAAGAGGGTTATTATATCAAATTTCATACTTTTGTTTGATACTTAAAAAAAGTTTGATTTTGTCATCAGAATGTAAATTAGATGAACATAAAAGAAAAAGTTCCTGAATACAAATTTCTATCTATCTATCTAATTCTGAAATATTCATGTTTTAAAAGTATGTGACGGAAATTCACTGAATGTTTGTATTTGTGAAAACTGCTGTGTGATTATTAACTTTCATGTTTGTAGGTTCATCTGTAGAGTCCAGTCCTCTGACGCCTGAAAATACGACCTTTTCAGAAACTCCTCTTCCTCCTTCTCCTCCTCCTCCTTCTCTCCATCTTGGATCCGTTCAGCTCTTCATTCTGTTACCGGCTCTCTTCAGCTCTGTGTTTGTAGCTTTGCTGTTCCTGTTGGTGGGACTACTTAAGTGTCGGAAACATAAAGGTAACAAATATTTTTATTTATGTTTACATATAATCATCAATCATCATTTCTCTTGATTCAGTTTCATCTCTGTACATTTTCTTTTACACCAGCAGCAGCAGCAGGATCAGAGCCAGGTCAGTGTCCTCTACTGTCTCAAACATTATCACTAAGTAACGTCTGTAAAGAGAAAGTTATCTTTTCTTTTCTTCATTTATGCAAAAAGTTAAAATTGAAAAGTTTTAACAAACTAGACGAAGGTTGAAATAAAAACAGAAAAATAAAACTCTTCATTTCAGGCTGTGAAAAAACGACGGAGGGTGATGTGACGTATGCAGCGATCACCATCAAGAAGGGAAAGAGCAGAGGTATATAATTTTTTTTATTATTCATAATTATTCAGTTTTATTTACATATTTTTGAGCATCAAAGATGCCCAGACCCCAAATAAAGACATATATAGTATTTCTAACTTCCATTTAAATCTAAAAGACTTTTTTTTTCTGTTTTTAAATTTATATTTTATAGTTTCAAAATCTCCTCTGACTTCAGTCAGTTACTCAAACATCTTTATTTTAATTTTCCCCTCAGTAACTCACAGTAGCTTTTGTACCAAGTGTGAATAAAGTTTGTTTTTCTCTCGTCTTAAAGTCGAGGAAAGATTTGAACTTGATTCAAACACGGCGACATACGCCGCCGTCCGACCACAGAGGAAAACACGAGGTAGTTAACTTTTTTTTTCAATTTACATGTCTTTTAAAAGGTTTATTTATATCCACTGCTTTTGTATAATTCAGAAAATACTCTGTTTTATTTGAGATATTGACAGTTATGAGTTTCACTTTTCTGTGTTTCAGGTGGCAGACAGGAGAGCCTCGTCATGTCTCTGGAAACAGCGTATGAATAATCTGCGTCCAGTCGTTTTTTGTTGTTCCTGGTCGTTTGATCATTTAGACTCGGACTGTCCGGAGAAATTCAGGCAGTTTTGTACATAAAACAACATTTTTTCATGACGGATGAAGGCTGGAAAACATCTTTCTGTAAATAAAGTTCTGATTTTTTTTTACTAAGAGTGCTGTCGGAGTTTTAGCTACTTTCAAACAGACACAGAAACACAGTCCTCACCATGCTGTCTGGACCTCAGGGGGGTCACCTTTCAGAACCGACCCGGGTCAGAGTGAGCTGGAAGAAGATTTTAGAAACACAAACAAAACTGTAAATTTGTGATTTTGTCTGTTTTAAAGTTTCCTCCAAGAATGCAGGTTTAGGACCGTTTAAAGTTTTTAAAAATGGACTTTAACACGGAAACTTTGAAGTTTCTGACTCTAAAGTTTTTTCAAATGAACTTAAATGCTGAAACTTTTTTTCTGTTTTTAAAGTTTCCTCTGAGAATCCATGTTTAGGACTGTTAAAGTTTTAAAAAAATGAACTTGACGCTGAAACTTTAAAGTTTTTCCACACTTAAATCAACTTGATGTTTTTTACACTTTAGGAAATAAAGTAGAACAAACTGAAGTGTTCCTGTGAGATTTCAGCAGATCTGCTGCCCAAACACGGGGATGCTGATGGTTTCTAATCTTTGCTGCTGTTATTGTTGTTGTCATGGAAACTTGATCTCTCTCACTGTGGGAAGATGTCTCCTCGATCATACCGGTGAAAGACAGTTAAACCACATTCTTCATCTTCACACTTGAGAGTCGAGCTGCTGCTTCTTTAAACAGACGCGCTGTGGTCACCTGTCCACAGCAGTATGAGGGTCTATAATTACAGAGGTGTTCTCTATCACCCCTCCCTCAGAGACGACCGCGGCGTGGACAAACTGACTTAAAACTGATCAGACAGTTGATGAAACAGAAAACCTTATTTTAGGTTAAACTACGGCCTCTCCGACCACCACCACACAACACTCACAATCACACACCAGTGGAGGACACACACTGGGAGCAAGGTGGGTTAAGTGTCTTACCCAAGGACACAACGGACAGACATTGCCATCATTGAAGAGCTCCGTCTGTCTCACACTGGGAGGATGTTTACTGGTGATAGTGGTTAGTCAGAGTGAGACAGTTGAACCACACTGCTGGTCTGTTTCTGTTTGAGCTGCTGCCTCTATAAACAGACACACTGTGGTCATCTATAGTGTGAGCGCTCTGTAATTATGGATTAAATCAAATAGAAGAAAAAAACACAAATGTTAAAGTTGAGATTATTCTTCACAGTATGGTTAGAAATCTGTTCATCTACTGGATTTCACAAAATGATCTTTACATTCAAGAGTGGAATTATCAATAGACTTATCAATATTTTACACATGTAAAAATCTGATTACATCAACATAAGAATAAATCAGCTGATTCAGATTTTAAAGGTTCATGTTTTCTGTCTCTGCTCAGAAAGTTTCCTCTGAATCTTCTCCAGCTCTTCTTCAACTTCTCTCTTGTTGCTCTCTGCTGCCCCCTTTCTGTCAATCACTGTGCTCTCTAAATCTACTATTATGTTACAGAATTCACGTGTTTCATTTAGAAGATTATTATGTTCTTGTTTTCTTCTGAGCAGATGTTTTTTACCCTGTAATATGACGCTCTTCATGTCAAAGATTCCCAGACTTTTGTCTCTTCCTCTCTCCTTCTCAGCTGACTGAATCTTCTCCTCCATCTCTTCAGTGAATTTGTTCCTTTCTTCTTCTTCCTCTTTGATTTTTTCTACTTGTTTCTTCACTTCTTTGTTTTTCTCCATCAGTTTTTGAATCAGCTGTTCCAACTTCTTCTCCTCTTCCTCATTTCTCTTCAACTCTTCTTCAAGTTTTTTCTGTTTCTTCTCCAAATCCTCACATTCCTCTCTCTCTTCCTCTAAGCGTTTTTTCTCTCTCTCTTCATTTTCAGCCTGATCCTGATTTCCTGATTGGAGTAAAAGAAGAACAGGAGAATAAATGAAGTTTTTATTGTTTTCATTCTCATGTTTGTTCTGATAACAGTCTCAGAGCTTCACTGACCTTCTCTCAGAGTTCGTCTCCGTTTCCACAGAACTAAAGCGACCGTCAAAACCACACCGAGGATCATAACCACGACGATGATGATGCGAGCGGCGGTGAGTGTGACGTCAGGATCAGGAACTGAAACCATAAAACACATCAAAGATCAGACGTCTCATCAAAAGACATCAGCTGTTTCATTAAGACCCTGAAGGATCACCTGAAACCTGGATCTGGGTCTCTCTGCTCTGGGTGATGTTGTTCTGATGGACTCTACAGGTGAAGCTGTTGCTCATCTTGATCTCCACAGTCACTCTGCTGCTGACGGTGTAGAGACCATCAGGACCTTTGGAGGTCTCTGTAGGTCCAGCAGGGAGGAGGTCTCCATCCCGGTCCAGCCAGGACAGCTCAGGTTCTGAATACGGGTCCTTGGACTCACACTGTAACGTGACTGAACTGACGTTTTTATCCACGTCGGTTATGACGGGGGAGGAGAAGGAACCTGAAGATAAGAACAAGAAACCGAACTCAGAGAGATCCAAAGAGTACTGGTCCTGATTTGAAAGTGGTTTTACTCTGATCATGGACCAGGATTAGTTCACAAAGAAAGACCACTGACTCACCAACGACGAGCTCCACCGTGGATATTCGATCTTTTGAAGGAAAGAAGCATCTGTATCTCCCGTTATCAGAGTGTTGGACTGAAGATAACGTCAGTGAAAGGTCTCCATGTCTCAGTTTATCCATGGACATCCAAGTTCTTCTTTTATAAGACGGGTTCTGGTTAGCCAGGTAGTCCCTGCCTTCATACCACACATGGACAAAAATCGGATCCAGGTCTAGTCTGCCCCACTCCACGGTCTTAAAAACAACATCTACTGCAGGTTCGAGGTGGCACGGCAGGATCACATCATCTCCAACTAAAGCTGAGACTCTTTCAGGTGGTTTAACCAACCCGGACTGACCTGAAAGAGGAGAAGAAAAAACATTTTTCATTCAGTAACTGTGATTTTCACTTATTCACAAAACTTTACTGTGAATAAAAAAACAATTTAACGGTAAAAAACTGCTAAAACTACCAAAATACTCAGTTAAAGAGTTCTACTTGAACTTAAGTCCGTCCACTTTCTGTTTAGTTGTTCTTTTGTCCTCAGTGAAGTAATCGTTGAGTTTATTACCTCCACAAATGTCCGTCAGCAGAAGCAGGATCACAGTTCGCAGTAAAACCAAAGCTCTGCAAACACCGATCTTTGGTTGAAGAAAAAAACTTAAGAAGAGCATCCTGAAATCTGGAGACATAAAAAAGAGAGAAAAACAAACTTATTTTACATTTATTTTCACATAGAAAAATATAAATCTTTCACATTAACGTCTGGAAATGTTCAAGCAGAATGAGAATCAAAGCTTCATGTTGACTGATAAATTTTTTATAACTTTACGTTTCAGTTCAAAACATAAAATTTTGTTAAAAGAATAAAAACTGAATTTGCTGAATGTTTAGAAACTAATGAAAGTGTTAGAAAATTTAGAAACCCTTTAACTAAACCACTGCAGAATAAACTTCACACTTCTTTGTTAAACATCGACAAAGTTTTTAAAATAAAAGGACGTGATCTGCAGTTCAGTTTTTTACAAATAGAAAAGAAGACAGACTTACCGACGCGACTTTTGATCGATCTTTTAGCTGCTAAAGAAACCCTTCGAGTTCTCGTCCTCACTGTGCTGCATAAATGGAGAAAATGAAGTATGAAACTTCAGCGTTAAAATCTTTGTCATAGATCCACTTAAGTAAAAGAAGCCGATCAGTGTTTGTTCAACCAGGATATAAAGACAGTAGAGTAGTGAGGTAAACCCGCCCTGAGTCAGGGTCAAAGTTCATCTGTTTAACTTTGACCGTACAGTCGGGGGAGAGACTGAAACAGACACGCAGCAGGTATATCAGCGTTTTCATGTTTTTAATTCTACTTTAATGATGATTGTTGAAAAGTCACGGATTAAAGAAAACAGGTTTTTATTTAAATCGCGCTTCCGTGAACCCGTTAAAGTGTGTTTGACTGATCCACATTCGAGACTTCCTGGTTCGACTGTTTTCTTTGAAAAAATAAAACTTAGATTTAAGATCCATGAAGTGAGAAAGTCTGTTACTTTATTCCAAAATTTCATCACTTTTCTTAGAATAAAAAATTAAGCTTCCTCTTGCTGTTTTAATTATCTTGGCTTTTTTAAAGGTCTTTTACTAAAAACAATAGAAAAAAAAAACTAATTTCAAATGTGAGAAAAATGAAATTAAAACTGTTAATGATCCCTCTGTGTTTGCTTGTTTGTTTGTTTTCCAAACAGGTGGATTTGACCTGAAACTTAAGCTCCGCCCCCTCAGTGCTTTGGTTTTCAAACACATTGTGACGGTTCTCCTGTTGACAAACTCACACACAGGTAACTCCAATGATGATTTAGAAAAGACTGACTTTAATTAAACTGAGTTCGTCAGAGGGATGGGAATTGTTCAGAATTTAGTTTTTAAGGTTTTTGCCACGACGCCATGCTGGAAAGTTCTGAACCAAAAGACACTTCTTGCGTACACCCTCATCACAGCATGGAGATGTAAGAGGAACCAATAAGCAGAATCGTCAAGGAGGCAGACAACATATAAAATGTGACAACATATTTTCCGTGTGTCACAAAAACTTCATTTTCTTGTCTTATTCTTCTTTTACTCAAATCAGGAATTCTGCTTAGAGGCAGAAAGACAGAAATGTGAGGATTTGGAGATGAAACAGAAAAAACCTGAAGAAGACTTGAAGAGAAATGAGGAAGAAGAGAAGGAGTTGGAACAGCTGATTCAAAAACTGATGGAGGAAAATATCAGCGAGTCTTTGAAATGAAAAGCATCATATCAGATGCTAAAAATGATCTCCAGAGAGGAGAAAAGAAGAAGATAAGACACCTGAAAATGAAGCAAGGGGATTCATGGGTATAGTATAAACTTTTGTGAGAACAGTGACTGACAGAAAGGGGGCAGCAGAGAGCAACCAGAGAAAAACTGAAGAGGAACTGGAGGAGAAGATTCAGTCAGCTGAGAAGGTGACAGAAAATGACAAAAGTCAGGGAGTCTTTGACATGAAAGCATCACATTACAAGCTAAAAAACATCTGCTCAGAAGTAAACAAGATGACAATAATCTTCTAAATAAAACATATGAATTCAAGAGGATAACAGATGTTTTAGTGGACACAGTGGCTGAAAGAAAGGGGGCAGCAGAGAGTAACAAGAGAGAAGTTGAAGAAGAGCTGGAGAAGATTCAGAGGAAACTTTCTGAGCAGAGACAGAAAAACATGAACCTTTAAAATCTGAGTCAGCTGATCTGTTCTTATATTGATTAAATCAGACGTTTACATGTGTGATATATTTATGAGGCTAAATGTCATCTCAACTCTTGAGTGTAAAGATCATTTTGTGAAATCAAGTACATCACTTTCACTTTAACATTTGTGTTTTTCTTATATTTATTCATCTGTAATTATAGAGCGCTCACACTATAGATGATCAAAGTGTGTCTGTTTATAGAGGCAGCAGCTCAAACAGAAACAGACCAACATTGTGGTTCAACTGTCTCACTCTGACTAACCACTATCACCAGTAAACATCCTCCCAGTGTGAGACAGATGGAGGTCTTCAATGATGGCAACAGCGGCTAAGACTGCCGACCTTCACCGTCTATGTTAAAGATGATCAGACAGGTTAAATGTTAAAGGAATAGTTCAGCATTTTTGAGTTGAATATCGTCATGATATTAACCTCAGTGAGACAAAACTGTTTCATGAAGATATTTAAAAAAAAAAAAAAAACTTATATATTTAGAAAAGTAGAAAACTGAAAAATTCACAAAGTCACACTTTTATTTTTTATTCTTTAAAATCTTTTACTTTCACATGTGTGTGTGTGTGTGTGTGCGTGCGCATGTGTGTGTGCAGAATATGTACATTCAACTTTATTCATGATACACATCTGTATTTAGAGCCACTGAACAGGTTTGGCATTGTTTTTGACATTTTTGTTTTTTAAGAATAACTTTATAACTTAAAGATAGAAGAACTGTGCAAAGATCGAATCAGGAAGTATTTAACATCCAGGTCAAAGAGAGAGAGAGAGAGAGAGAGAGAGAGAGAGTGAAGTCATTGTTAGGGAAATGTGAAATCTTTATTCCTCCTCTTCAAATGAAAAAAAAAAATCTTTTTATAAACGAAGACATCCAGATTTCTCCTGAACTTTGACCTCAATGAAAAAAAAAAGCAGAAAACTGGTTTATGAAATTAAAAAGACAGTACAGGGATTATTCGTGTACAGTGAGCTGTGACAACACTGGACTCTGCTGTCTGTGACCTGAAAGACAAAAAAATAAACAGATGTGAAACTGAACAATGAAACGTATAATTATAGTTATTTTTAATCCAAATAGCTAACGAGTAACTGAAAGGTTTCAAGTGTCTTTTAAATCAGTTTTAACGTCGTTAGCAGCTGTTTTGAATCTTTTTTTTCTGTATTTGTAAATCAAAGTCAAATTGTTTTTGATTAGGAATTAATAAATAAAACTGAATGGAAATATTTTCAGTCATTTTATTTGTTGCCATGTCAATATTCACAAACGAGCATTATGGGGAAAAAAAATTAGTTTAATTCTGAATAAATAAGTTGTGTGTGGAAATTTTAAAAGACCTTTTAAAAAACATGAAAAAAGATAAAAGCTGAAAACCTTTTTTGACGACTGAATATATCGCTTCACTGGAATCGGGCTCAGTGTCTTCACCTGTAAAAGCAAAAAACAAACGTGAACTTTTTTCAGAATTAAACAGAAGATTTAAAAGCTACAGAAAAAAAATAAAAACTTTATTAGCAATTAACAAAAGTAAGTACGAATGAGTAAAAAGTTTTAATATATATACTTATAAGTAGATGTGTGTTTTTAACCAAAGACGCCCAAACCCAAGTTTCAAAGGGTGTGGTCGTCTTTGTCAGAGACATTAAAGTAAATATTATTAAATATGAATATTAAAAACAGATCATTAATTTAGAACCTCTGCTCTTCTTTGTTTTCTTCTTGTTGGAGATATCAGCATACGTCACTTTACTCTCCATGGTATCTTGACAGCCTGAAATAAAATTTTATTCCACATTAAAGAAGACAAATCTTATACCCTGATAAAAAGGGGCATATAGATATAAATATGTGTTTATACTTTAAATGAATATTTAAGGGTTTTAAAATGGAAAATTAAGGAACTATTTATCTACTCCACTTTGTAAAGATGTGTGTGCACATTATAAATAAATATAATTTTTAAACTTTTCTAAAAAGTTGAAGGTAACAATGAAAATAAGAATAACTTTATTTTATCCCAAAAGGGAAATTCATGATAATAACAGATATTATATAATATAAAAAAATATATAATAGAAAATATTTTTAAACATTTAAAAAATAAAAATATGTAAAAAAAAAGTATATTAAAAACTCACCTGGCTCGGCTCTTTGTGCTGAAGTTAAATAAAAAAGAAAAACACATAACATGAAAAATAAAGAAAAAAAAATCCTGTATGTTAATAAAGTAAATATATTTATTTCATTACCTTTGTGTCTGTGATATAGTCCAACCAACAGAAAAAGCAAAACTACAAACACAGAGCTGAAGATAACCGGTAACAGAGTGGAGAGCTGAACGGATCCAGGGTGGAGAGGAGGAAGAGGAGGAAGAGGAGTTTCTTGATTTGCCTCATTTTCAGGTGTCAGAGCTACAAACATAAAGAGAAATATGAAAGTTCATAAACTGATGCAGAAATGTTCACAAACACAAACTTCTTACTGGTTTCATGTCTCACCTCTGACAAGCAGCCGGCTCTCTGGTGATTCTCCAACTCCCAAGATTTTACACTTGTAGACTCCTTCATCAGACTTTGAGACGTTATGAACGGTCATCCTTCCTTTATATCCTGGACCTTTAAAACGTCCGTCTTTATAGAAATCCGCTGTTTGGTAATGTGGTGGGGCCTTTCTTCTACATCCCAGAGGGACAGTCTGTCCCTCTATTACGGGGACAGCCGGACTCTCCAGGATCACAGAACCAGCTGGACATCAGAAAAAGAAAACCCTTTAACAGGTTTATTTTTCTATTTCTAAGATTAAATAAATAACAAGCTCAAGTTAAACTTTTCAACACTTACAGGAGACAATGATGTCGACAGACTCGCCTCTCTCTCCTTCTCTGCTCTCACACCAGTATTCTCCACTGTAAGACAGTAAAGCTGGTGCTATAGTCATGGATGTTGCTGAATTCTCCCACTGAGTCGCCTTGTTCATCACTCTCCATCCCTCACAGTTTAACCGGATGACTTCATATGAAAAGAACTGGAGCCTGTTTGGGACAATTTTAGGATAAACTGGATCTGTGACCGAGAAAGAAAGACAGAGTGAGGAGAGTTCACAAAGTTAGATATAAGTAAAAACTTTATTTCAACATGAGCTCAAAAACTGGACCGACTTTTTCTTGACTCACCAGCCTCCTGAGCCCGGTACCGGTCCAGAACAGTAAACAGCAGAATTAAATCCATAACTGAGGGACGACAGAGAGACTATTAATAAACATGGACGTTTAGTTCAGTTTTAAGATTTCAGACTAAAAACAAAAACAGACTCACTCAGTCTGATCCAAAGTGACGTGTCCTCCATGTCGTCTCGCCGCGGGCTTTCTGAGACTGAACAGAAACTTGGTGTGACGAAGACGTGAACACGACGCTTCCTCTTCCTCTTTAAACAAAGATGGTTTTTCATCTGGTCAAGTTTAGTTCTTCATTTAACAAGAAAACCGAATAAAAAACTTATGAAAGCTCCACCCCGTGGCACTATTGGGTACTGCAGTTGGACAAAAGTTGTGCAGGCAGGTGGGATGACTTTCAAGAAAGGTCAAACCAACAATGAGGAGACCACACACACTCACATGTCCTAAAGATCAACACCTGAGGAGTCTTACCTGGGCTCAGTGGTCCAGTCTCCTCTGCCATCACAGATCTTTTCACAGGTGAAAGTTGGTTTTCTTTGCTTTTGTAGCTCACACACACTTACAGACGTCAATATTAGTGTCAGCCTGTTTTAAAACTCTCCGCTGTATCTTCACCCTGAACTACAGAACATACTAATCTGCAGGCGACCACAGGGACTCAAATATCGGCCGTTCAGGTCATTTATAACAATGAGAGTTTCTGAAAGAAGCTGCAGCAGCAGATCTGTTCATTGAAACCACATCGACCAGAAAAGATCAGTCAGAAAACAACTTTTTCAAATGTCACCTCGTGCAGATTTTAAAGCTAAAGATGTCCACTGAACTTTAAAAAGAGGTGAAATGTTTAATCTAAATAAAGTTTTCTGTTTCATCAACTGTCTGATCAGTTTTTAAGTAAGTCAGTTTGTCCACGCCGCGGTCGTCTCTGAGGGAGGGGTGATAGAGAACACCTCTGTAATTATAGACCCTCATACTGCTGTGGACAGGTGACCACAGCGCGTCTGTTTAAAGAAGCAGCAGCTCGACTCTCAAGTGTCAAGATGAAGAATGTGGTTTAACTGTCTTTCACCGGTATGATCGAGGAGACATCTTCCCACAGTAGAGAGAGATGACGTTTCCATGACAACAACGGCAGCAAAGATTAGAAACCATCATCGACTATGTTGACATGTTCGAAGACATGCTCCAATCCACTGAAATCTCACAGGAACACTTGAGTTTGTTCTACTTTACTTCCTAAGGTGTAAACGCATCGAGTTTACTGAAGTGTGGAAAAACTTTGAATTTTCAACATTTAAGTTCATTTGAAAAAACTTTAAAGTCAGAAACTTCAAAGTTTTAGCATTTAAGTCCTAAACCTGGATTCTTGGAGGAAACTTAAAAACAGACAAAATCACAAATTTACAGTTTTGTTAGTGTTTCTAAAATCTTCTTCCAGCTCACTCTGACCCGGGTCAGTTCTGAAAGGTGACCCCCCTGAGGTCCAGACAGCATGGTGAGGACTGTGTTTCTGTGTCTGTTTGAAAAAAGTTAAAACTCCGACAGCACTCTTAGTAAAAAAAATCAGAACTTTATTTACAGAAAGATGTTTTCCAGCCTTCATCATGAAAAATGTTGTTTTATGTACAAAACTGCCTGATTTTCTCGGGACAGTCCGAGTCTAAATGATCCAACCACGGGGAGCGACAAAAGAAAAGCAGAAATGTTTTTAACGTTAAAAACGACTGGACGCCGATTATTCATACGCCGTTTCCAGAGACATGACGAGGCTCTCCTGTCTGCCACCTGAAACACAGAAAAGTGAAACTCATAACTGTCAATATCTCAAATAAAACAGAGTATTTTCTGAATTATACAAAAGCAGTGAATATTAATAAACCTTTTAAAAAGACATGTAAATTAAAAAAAAAGTTAACTACCTCGTGTTTTCCTCTGTGGTCGGACGGCAGCGTACGTCGCCGTGTTTGAATCGAGTTCAAATCTTTCCTCGACTTTAAGACGAGAGAAAAACAAACTTTGAAAATCTGCAGCGTAAACAAACTTTATTCACACTTGGTACAAAAGCTACTGTGAGTTACTGAGAGGAAAATTAAAATAAAGATGTTTGAGTAACTGACTGAAGTCTGAGGAGATTTTAAAACTATAAAATATAAATTTAAAAACAGAAGTTTTAGATTTAAATGGAAGTTAGAAATATTATAAATGTCTTTATTTGGGGTCTGGGCATCTTTGATGCTCAAAAATATGTAAATAAAACTGAATAATTATGAATATTTAAAAAAATTATATACCTCTGCTCTTTCCCTTCTTGATGGTGATCGCTGCATACGTCACATCACCCTCCGTCGTTTTTTCACAGCCTGAAATGAAGAGTTTTATTTTTCTGTTTTTATTTCAACCATCGTCTAGTTTGTTAAAACTTTTCAATTTTAACTTTTTGCATAAATGAAGAAAAGAAAAGATAACTTTCTCTTTACAGACGTTACTTAGTGATAATGTTTGAGACAGTAGAGGACACTGACCTGGCTCTGATCCTGCTGCTGCTGCTGCTGGTGTAAAAGAAAATGTACAGAGATGAAACTGAATCAAGAGAAATGATGATTGATGATTATATGTAAAAATAAATAAAAATATTTGTTACCTTTATGTTTCCGACACTTAAGTAATCCCACCAACAGAAACAGCAAAGCTACAAACACAGAGCTGAAGAGAGCCGGTAACAGAATGAAGAGCTGAACGGATCCAAGATGGAGAGGAGGAGGAGGAGGAGAAGGAGGAGGAAGAGGAGAAGGAGGAGGAGGAGTTTCTGAAAAGGTCGTATTTTCAGGCGTCAGAGGACTGGACTCTACAGATGAACCTACAAACATGAAAGTTAATTATCACACAGCAGTTTTCACAAAACCAAACATTCAGTGAGTTTCCGTCACATACTTTTAAAACATGAATATTTCTGAATTTTGTAAATATATATATATATATATATATAGAGAGAGAGAGAGAGATAAGATAGATAGACAGATAGACATAAAATTTTTATTCAAGAACTTTTTCTTTCACATTGATATAATTTACATTCTGATGACTAAATCAAACTTTTTTTAAGTATCAAACAAAAGTTTGAAATTTGATATAATAACCCTTTTCTATAGTCATTCTATTCTGCAGTTATTCTCACTTTAAAGTCTTATTTATAATTAGAAAACATGTCAGGACAGAGTGTTTCAACTTTTAAAAGAACTTTTTTATTAACAGATCAACTGTAATTTTTTTTTTTTTTAATTGTAATTTAATTTTTTGGACTTGATCACTTTTTTATGATTTCATGTCAGAGCTACTGGAGCTCCGCAGAAGAAAAGTCCTTGAAAATGACACGGGTAATGTAAAGAATAAAAAAACTTCATAATCACAATTTAAAGACCACTGAGAACACTTTAAGTAGTAAAAAAGAAAATTCAAAGTGGGACTGATATCAGCTAAAGTAAAGCTACCTTATTTGTTCACTATTAGCTTTTTATTACTATTAGACTTTTAACAAACTTTTTTTATTAATAGTTCAATCAGTCATTTTTGACTTTATGACTTTTAACTGATTTCATGTCTCACCTTTAACAGCCAGACGGCTCTCTAGTGATTCTCCGGCTCCAGAGATTCGACACTTGTAGACTCCTTCATCAGACTTTGAGACATTATGAACGACCATCTTTCCTTTAAACTCAGTCTTCTTGAATTTCCCATTTTTATAGAAATCTGCTGTTTGGTAATGTGGTGGTGCCTTTTTTCTACATCCAAGAGTGACAGTCTGTCCCTCTATAACGGGGTAAACTGGACTCTCCAGGATCACAGAACCAGCTGGACCACAGAAATGAAGACAAGAATTCAACACTTTTAATAAACACTTTGGTGCATTTTGGAGCAAAATATAAAGAATACAAACTTTATATAACATAAAAAATAAGATAATGGTGTTAGGTAACTTTACTGTGACCTGTCTTTTTCAGCAACTCTGATGCTAAATTAAAGTTGTTTTTTTTAAATCATACCAGTAACAGCGATGTTGAGAGACTCGCTCTTCTCTCCCTCTCTGCTCTCACACCAGTATTCTCCACTGTGAGACGGTAAAGCTGGTGTTATAGTCATGGTTGTTTCTGACTTCTCCCACTGAGTCGTGTTTTTCATCACTCTCCATCCGTCACAGTTTAACCGAATGACTTCGTATGTAAAGAACTGGAGCCTGTTTGGGAGAATTTTAGGATAAACCGGATCTGGGACCAAGAAATAAATATACAGTTTAATGTAAAAGTGAGTATAATAGTCATGAAATATATTTAAGTTTGACTTAAGTTCAAGAACTGCACAAATAAAAACACAAGGTTGAAAGATCCTGCAAGACTGAAACTCACCGTCTCCCTGAACCTGGTTTCTGTCCAGAGCAGAGACCAGCAGCAGTAGATCCAGGACTGAAGGAATAAGAGACAGATGTACATTGAACATGGACGTCTTCATGTGAGAGGAAAATAAAAGTGAACCAACACACAAGCTGAGCTCATAAAAGTGACAAAAAATAAACACCGACTCCAAATACATGCCCTGACAACTGAATTTCTTGAATTGACGTCTGATTTCAATAAAACATTTAATTTTTCAGTTTCTTCTCAGAAGATTTCAGTATAAAAGTAACAGCAGACTCACACAGTCTGATGCGAAGCGATGTGTCCTCCATGTCGTCTCTCCGCTGACTGTCTGAGACTGAAGACTAACTCTGTCTTGACACCGACAGAAGCGCAGCGCTTCCTTTCTCGTGCATCGAGGCGTCTCTTTCAGTTTTTAGCATATCAAACATTTCTGCACTATCTGTGACTTTCAGAAACTAAAATAGTTGTTTTTTTTTTTAACATCTGCTCAACTGTCAGTTCAAGTGTTGGAGTTATTTCAATTTACAACCCAGAACAACAGAGAGGAGTTTCTGAAGGACACACAGTCTTTAAAGGTTTTATTATTTAGTCGATCTCCAGATCTAAGGCACTGATAATCATATCTACACACATCTGTGTACACCTACGTTATAACTTAGAGAGATGGTTGTTAAGTTTCTTTGTAGATTTCTAGATTAAGGAAACACGAGAAAGGTCCTGCAGTAGGACCCTGGTCTCATAGGGGGTCAGAGGATCACAGATGTAGGAGGGAACCAGATCTCACAGGTGGCCAGTGAAGGGCAGGAAGGACTGTTGTTATGTGGTCACTACTTTTAGAGGTCTGGCAACAGCATTTTAAATTGTTGTCATCTTTGGATGTTGTGCTTCCTAATGCCAGAGTCAAGGGAATGACATCAGTCAACTCAGGAGGAAATAAATAAATGTACAAATGAGTTTTTTCTAAGTCAGGATGTGAGACGGAGTGATGTCGGGTTCTAACGGAGCATAGAGCTGAGTGTCGTCGGCATAACTGTTGAAGTCTATGATATGCCTTTTCAGGATTTGCCCCACGAGGTGAGCATGTGTACTGTAAATAAAAGGTGTCAGTATTTCAGACGGCTGATTAGGACATTATGGTTGACCAAGGATGAATAGAGGTCAAGGAGAATTGGTACAGAGTACAAACCAAAACCAGTGGTTTGTAATACGTGGTTGGAGACCTTGACCAGAGCGGTTTCAGTGCTGTGGTGGGAGCAGAAACCAGAAACCAGACTGAGATTCTTTCAATACCTGATCGCCGTTCTTAAAAGAAATCAGCTGAAGAAATAAACTTTCTCTAGGATTCTAGATGAAAACAGCAGCCTAGATGGGCCTATAACTGCTGAGAACAGAAGGATCTAGAGAGGGTTTCTTTAGAAGAAGAAACCCCAGACGGCAGTGAACAGGTACCAACAGTTCGAGCATCGTGACCATCTGTTTAAAATACACAGCTTTTAAAAGGACAAGTTGGAAAGGTCTGAAATAAGAGAAGACAAAAACTCTGTTTTCTTATCTGTCATAATAACTGATGAAAGATCTGAAAAGTCCTGTATTAAAGCAGAGGTTCACATGAGAGTCTGGTCTGAAGACCTGAACCATGTCAGGTCTCCATGGCGATATAATTCATTACACAGTTTGAGACATCCACCTGCCATTCTCTTTCAGACAAACAAAAGGCAAAAGTAAATCTAAATGTAATTTCAAAATGACAATTAAAAATGATTGAACTTTCACTTTATCCGGTAGTTTCTTCCTTGTCTGTCAGTGTTTCTGCTCTCTGTCACCTGAAAGACATTTGGAATATAAACTGATTATTGTTGTCGAACATCATTTCAATGTTGCAATGATCTAAATCACAGAATTAAGACACAAGCATCTTAAGTTTTGTGTATAACATTTAAGTGTGATGTCTACTGTATGAATCGTTACGCGGATGATACCTGAGTTTACATATCAGCCAAATATACTGAGCAACTTGGCAGCTTATTAAAGAAGCTGATTAAAAAGGTTATTTATGATATGATTACCATAAGATCACCCAAATGATAATGATTATATAAAATGTATAACCTATATAAGTATACAACACTATACAATATCAAAGTACCTCTCCTCTTCTTTCTCACTTGGGCTTTTATGGCGTCTGGTGCAGCTGCCCCTCCAGGAGCTATGACACGAGAGAATTACAAGTTACTCAGAAATACAAGCTCAGATAAAAAAAAAAAAATTCAACATTCATTCACATTTTCATTCATAGATGTAGATTTCATTGATTAAATTGTCTTTATTTACTTCGTTTTGTCAAGAATGGCCCTGATTGGCTGAATTTGTTCTTTATCAAATGTGTGATGTAATTAGAAACTGGAGGGAAATACCTCTCCCTTTTCCTGGCTGTGCTCTTTTTCGTTCAGGTAAAATTGGCTCTCCAGACACTGAGGTATAAAAAAACATGGACCAGTTACTGACAATATTAGCATTGAACTTTTAAAAATCCTTTTAATTCATTTTATCCAGTTTTTTAAGTGTCATGAATCACTCACTGTCAAAGTGAATGAAGAAAAAAGTTGACTGACCATGATGGACGACATCTAACACGTCGTTCGTAAATTCAACTATCAGTCATCTATTCAACATTTATATACGTACCTCTCATCTTTCTTTCTGCAGTTTTAACTCCTGATTTTCTTTTTTCATGGCCTGAATAACCTGCAATAAAAAAAGGAAATCTCTAGTAAAAATATAAACTAGAATTATGAAGCTTCACTTTTTTGGTTGCTGAATGTTATGGCAATCAGAAGACGATCCGTATACACTGTTTTTGTTTTTCATTCACTTTATTTGGTTCTTCAGCAACAAAAACGGGAAAGAAAGAATTTTGAAAAACATAAATTAAACACTCAGTGATCTTCAAATATTTACCTCTGTTAGTTTTCTGTCTCGGGACGTTGACGTAAATGGACTCGTCTTCATCAGCACCAGGAGAGTTTTCATACACTGATTAACAAAAACAAATACGATATTTTTACAGACGTGACGGACTGATTACATGACCTACTAACAATCTTAGCGCAGTTTTACATCTATTAACAGTTTTTGTGTTTTTGTGTTGGTACTCACCTGGGTTTGATGGTCTTGTTGGTATCTCAGAGGGAAAACGTGTAGCTAAGAGGAAGAAGATTAGGGTTAGGGTTAGCGTCCGCCACAGCGTCCGCCACAGCCACCGATGAAGCTGCAGAGGGAGGAAGAGTTCTGATGGCTGCTAGTACAGCTCTCCCGATGTTCTCCGCGAGCGCAGAATCCCCGGACATTTTTTGTTCAATTCAGGCTTGAAGAAGCTTGACCTTACAGCGCGGGCCGGTTTCGGGGTGGTGGTGGTGGGGGAAGGGGGGCGCGCACAAAGGATGGGCGGATTGTTGGTCGAAGTGGAAAATCCGCCCAAAAAAAAAAAAAAAAACACACGAGATTTGCTGACAACCTGCGCCAGACTCTTCTAAATGGCAGTGAATGAATTAAATTAAGCTAATAAATAAATAAATAAATGAATAAATGAATAAATGACCCAAAAGACAAAGTGGAAGACAAAAGACAGGGTTTCGAACCCCGGCTTCCTGCGTCCCAGTCGTCCGCATTACCCGTATGGCCAATGCACTTCTTGAATCGGTGAGGTGCCATGGAGCAGTATGGTGTGTGCGCCTGCATGTGTGTGTGCGTGTGTTCGTACAGTGTCCGCGCCATACGGAGAAGCGACACTGAAAACTCGAGTCTTTCTAATAAAGTTTTTGTTGTTGCTGTCGCTATTGTAGGTAGTTATTAACACGAAACGTCACCCCAAGTATTTGTCCCCCCCTTAAATTGGTTTTAATTCGTTTTCTTCGACACAAGAATCATCAATATGACCTTCTGGAGCTTTTATTTTGGCACTTCCGGTTTCCGACCGTGAATTTGCATATTAGCTAAATATTTAGTTTCGCCCAACACATTTAGATTTAGATTTAACATTTAGATTTAACATTTAACATTTAACATTTAGATTTAACATTTAGATTTAGATTTAACATTTATATTTAACATTTAGATTTAACATTTAGATTTAACATTTAGATTTAACATTTAACATTTAGTTTTAGTATTTAAATGTTGTTGTAAATGCGTAAAAAAATGAGTGCCGAAAATTCACATCACTTTTTTAAATGCTGTTTGAAGCTAAATGTGACCAAATCTTGCTGTTGTTTTTATAATGGGCTGCTTTACAAACGGCACCCCATAGATTAATGAAGATAAAGCTGGACTAACTCAGAGCGGAGTACCTGGATCTGCTCACCCTGCAGAGCTGATCTGGTGGGACTTCATCTCACAAAATCATCTTCACTGATTTTTCACCTCTTCAAGTTTGAGAAACGAAGAAAATAAAAAAAAAGACGAACAAAGTGAGAAAAAGTTTTTACAACCGACAGATAAAACGGGACAAATATGTTCAAGAACTGCTGCATCAGCTCCACCCTAGGTTTACGTGTGTGTGTGTGTGTGTGTGTGTGTGTGTGTGTGTGTGTGTGTGTGTGTGTGTGAGGCCTCGAGGCAGCGTGTGTGTTCATCTTTGCCTCCGTGGATTTCAGGCCCCCAGGCTCTGAGTGTGTGTGACAGCAGATTAAGTCCCTTTGTATAAAAGACGTCCACAGTCTCACACACACACACACACACACACACACACACACACACACACACAGATGCAGTGCTGATTCAGCTGAACAGGATTCTCCTTTTCCTCTGGAGGTTTCTGTCATTTCCTCCTCGTCTTCTCGTCTCTTCTTGTTTCTTCTCAGCAGCAAAGTTAGAACCAGGATCCAGAACCACCAGAGACTTATCTGGACCTGAGACCAAACTGTCCTGAGGTCTGATAGATCTGAGTTTAACCTCCATTTGGAAAGGACAACTAGACTTACTTGAGTAAGTCTATCATAGATGCTGCATCCTCACTTTTAAACAACATCTCCAGGTTTAGGAGCAACATCTGCGTCCATCCAGACATTTTCAGGGAAGACTGACGCTCTTCTAACTCAGTGAGTCCACGTCACACAAACTCCAAACTTCTGTACAACACCATGAACGTTTGAAGGATTCTATAAACTTCATCGGACAAAGAGGACATATCCTGGAACAAGAGGATGTTTGGTGATCCTATAAGAACAGAAGAGTCCTAGACTGATGCGGTCTTGACTTGGAAACATTTGGAGCATCAGGACCCTCAGAACAGGACCAAGGAGACCCTGAACTGTTGAGCAGCTGAAATCCTCTATCAGTCGTGATGGAAGATCAGTTCTTTTGACTGAATCTTTAGAATCGGTTCATTAAAACGATTCGTTCACTGAATCAGTCAGTGCGAGTTCGTTCATTAGCCCCTCCCCTCCCCTGCTGCTGAAGTCACAGTGACCGTGTCGTTCATTCGCCAAGTCCTGAAGGAAGAATCACTCCCCTGCCCTGAAAAACTCACCTCTCTGCGTGTCGCCGTCGGCGGAAACAACACAGCAGCGAGCAGCACACCGCTAAACGAGCGCGAGTCGTCGTTCTTTTATATGTCGGAAAAGTGGAGATATTAAAAATAAATAAAGATGTCAGCTGTAGCGAGGATTCAGATGCTTTTAGAGATATCAAATATCGTATTTCTAATGACCTTTTTTATCTTTTCTTTAGGAAGTGAACGACGCTACACCCCTCCCTACTCTGCCTGCATCAAGTCATTCGAAAGTTGTTTCCGTGCGCTCACTCGCTGGCTGTTGTTCGCCAAAGAGTTAGAGGCAGCAGTTCCACTCCTGACCGGCACGCCAGGTTCACGGCTGAGCTCAACTGAACAAAGAAATGAACGAATCAAGTCTTGGAGTGATTCAGTTCACGTGGTTCACTCGGCAGTTCTGTTCTTTTGAACGAATCGTTCATGAACGACACAAACACCATCTCTCAGGGACAAACATTTGACTTTGAATTTTCACTTTTCCTCAAACTTTTCTTTTCTCTCCTCGATGTCCCAAAGCCTTAAATCTCTTCCTCTCTCTTCAGTCGTTGACTCTCCTGTCATTGGGTTTCAATGCGGCGGTTAGCTTAGCTTAGCTTAGCACAGACAGCTGACTCTGGCGTTTCCTCGTGAACACTAAAGTGACGGGTTCATTCAGGAGAAGACGTCCGGTGTCTCGGTCCGAGTTTGTCCCGACGACAGATTAAGTTTAATTCCTGATGAAGCTCCTCAAAGTGGGTCTCTGAAAAAACCCCTAAAGTCCCACCACAGAGTGTCAAAACCAGAACCTAATCCCAGGATTAAACCCAATCGCCACTCTGTTACCAAACTATTGAAGAGCGAGACTGTAATCCTAAATCTAACAGGATTAAACTTGAGAGGGGTCCTTTCATTGAATTTTAGCGCCACGCTGTGATTTCCTGTCATCTCCCCTCTCTCTCTCTCTCTCTCTCTCTCTCTCTCTCTCTCTCTCTCTCTCTCTCTCTCTCTCTCTCTCTCTCTCTCTCTCTCTCTCTCTGGTCGGAGTAAAAACTCAGAGTCGAAGCTCGTTAGGAAAAGAGTCCAAATCAAAAAAAACCCGAAAACAAAAGTACTGACAGAATAAAGGAATAGACGCTGACCTCCCTGATGAATATTCACCGTTTTTACGTTTCATCTCTGCCAGTCCTTGTTCCTCCCTGCCTGCTGTCCTAGTTGTACCTGTGACAACACACACACACACACTTAACAACACACACATTTACCCAGCAGCCACCTGGGCAGTGCCAAGTTGGACCCGGAACAAAGAGAAACCCTCACACACTCGCTCTCGGGTGGAGTAATGACACAGATATAAAGAGGGGCGGATCACACACACACACACACACACACACTCTGAGGGGTGGGATAAGGGACTGGGGGGGAGAAGAAAGGGAGACACACACACACTGACACACACTCAGGCTGTGAGGGGACACACTAAAGAGGTCTAACACGTCTCTTTAAGTTCCTAATATCTGGCTCACAGGCGAGTTTTGGTGTCATGTAAAATTCACCTTCAGCGCCCCTGAAGTCGACGTTTGAGGCGACAAATGACGGGAAAGTGACCGAGAGGGAAAACCCGATCTGACGGTCTCTGAAAGACCTGCTGAAGCTGCTGCCTGATGGCGAATGCAGGAGGAAGTTCTGTGTCAAGACCAAACTGGGGGGGCACTGACCTCGACCTCAGCTCCAACCTGACGTCACAGACCAGTCTGGTTTTGACCTAAACACAGACTGACCCGGGATTTCCAACACATCCGGAATGGCAGTCATCTTCGCCACACGCCAATTCCCACCGGATCCGTTTATGGAAATCTGCTTCTAGACTTGGCTCATAAAGCTCCTTATTGACCTCATCCTGGTCTCTGTGAAAACCTTGACCCCCAGTCTCCACCGCATTCAGAAAGGCTACAAAAAGGCCGTAACCGCCGATCGCAGCTGATCAGAACAATTCCTGGGAAATCCCGGGTCGGCTCAGCACTTTCCCGGGTCCTGACTGACACACTTCGTTCTGACAGAAACTCGGGGTGTTACTTTTTACACAGCTGTGAAGTTTGAGCTGCTGTTGACTTGGTCTTCCAGATCTGAGCCTTCAGGTCTTTCTAGATGTTCTGGTTTCTAAGTCAGCCTTTGGACCGTGAACCGGTCTCAGGGTCCCGGGTCCCCCCTGAAGCGGCGGCGATGATGTTCTCCTCCGGCGGTGCTTCAGTTTCTGTTGCTTTGTTGTTTTTCTGTGATCTGGTTCACTGAGTTTAGAAATTACCGAGCCAAGAATCCAGGACCAGGACCCCCCCACACACCCACACACACACACACACACACACACACACACACACACACACACACACAAACACACACACACAAAGATACACACAGATACACTCTGAGGACAGCCAGGAGGTGGTGCTGCATTTCAAACAAGACGTCTCTGAGTGGTTCTGGATGGAAGTGTGTCAACGGATGGTGGTGATCACACACACACACACACACACACACACACACACACACACACTGTTATCTTCAGATATTCTAATTAGAACGACATCAAAACAGGAAAGAGGTCCACCAGCTCCCAGCAGACACTCAGCCTGTCCAACAGTCCTACCTTCACTCCCCCCACCCCTCGTTTCTGTGTGTGTGTGTGTGTGTGTGTGTGTGTGTTCGTGTGTGTGCGCACACCTCTGATCAACACTATCAGAAAGTTTTCGGGTCATTTCTGCTCCGGGGAGAAAAACTGTGAAGTCGTCATTTCTCCTCATTTCTTTGTAGTCTCTCTCTCTCTCTCTCTCTCTCTCTCTCTCTCTCTCTCTCTCTCTCTCTCTCTCTCTCTCTCTCTCTCTCTGCGGTTCTTGTCTTTCTCAGGATCCTCCGTCGATCTCGGGGATTCTTGATCTGGATCAGAACCACGACACTTTCACTGTACAGAAGTCAAACTTTCTGTCTTCACCTCCTGGGTCCTCATATTCCCACAAAAACAAGACAAAGTCCTGATAACGGCACAAAGATGAGTCCTCCCTCTGATTCATTTAACCTTGTGTGTATTTGTGTGTACTTGTGTGTGTGTGTGTTTGTGTGACCGTGGCGGCAGGCCAGCTGCCCTACTGTCAACCTGATTCAATTTGAGCCTCAGGGGGGAACCGTCGTCCCAGAGGGGCGCTGTTTCCCAGGGGACACAGCGGCTGATGGACACACCAAGGACAGCTACAGTCTGAGAAACAGAAGACCGGTCTGAGGACCTCTGCTGGACGTAGGGGAAGGTCCCACCTCCTTCGCCTCTGATTGGCTAGAAGTGCTGGGCTCCGATTGGTTATTCCTTATGGCTGTGAAACGTCATCGTCTGTCGGGTTAGGAGATTCAGAAGTGCGATACTGTTCTGTAATTTTCTGTTCGATGTTCAGAGCCGACATCCCGCGTTTGGCTTGAGCGTGTGATGATGTTTCCAGCTTTTCCAGCCAATCAGAGATGAAGGAGGCGGGACTTTCCCCTACGATCCTAGATTAAAAATATCGATGTGTAGAATAACCCGACTTCAGATAGTTTGAAACTTGTAAATAAAAGGACGGATGTCAAGTTAACAATGATTTTAAATCGGATCAACAAATTAACTTTGTTGTTAAATCCAGTTTTTATCATCTGAGGCTTTTATCTAAGATTAAATCGGTTTGATCTTTTAATGAGTCATTCCTGCTTTTATTTCCTCACTTGTGTCGGTCGACTGTAACGCTCTTTACGTCGGTGTTCATCAGGCTTCATCTTTTAACAGGTAAACGAAAACATGACCACATCACTACGATTCTGCCGTCCCTCCACTGGCTTCCCGTTCATTTTAGAATTCATTTTAAAATTTTGTTGTTTGTTTTAAAATCTTTAAACAGATCAGCACAACACAGTACATCTCTGACATCTTAAATGCTTCAACTCGTTGTCTCTGAAACTCGTTTAAAAACCCGTGGCGACCGAGCTTTCTCGGCTGTGGCGCCCAAATTGTGGAACGACTCGAGATGAAAACATCCCCCGACTCTTTCTGCTTTTAAATCACGTCTTAAAACTCGTTTTTCGTCCTCGGCTGTGTTGTGTGAGCTCTGTCCTTTTATCACTTTTATGCTTTCGTGTTTTAATTTAATTTATTTTATCACATTTTAAATGTTTTTTACCTGCTTTTATTTATTATTTTGTGATGTTTTCTGTAGTGTCTGTTTTTTAAATTTTATTTTGCAGCAACTTTGACAAACTTGAATATTTTGTTTTAAATGTGATTTATAAATAAAGGAAGTGGATTAGATCAGAGACCCTGGCAGTACGTCCTCAACCACTGAAAAACGCCATCCTTCTGGAAAACTGTGGACCACTGAGTCCAGGTGAGGGACTTGGGGGACCTGAGATCACAGAACCAGATCAGTTTCCTCTGAAGGGGGTCTGGTCTGGACTGAGATCTGGAGTTTGGACATCCGGTTGAAGCTCGACTCCTTTTTTATTTCTCATCTGTAACCGGTGACCTCTGACCCCCCTCACTGTCTGTGGTCTTAAACACACCATGATCATCAACCAACAAAGAAGAAGAAGAGGAGGACAGTCCGAGCGCTCATCAGGAATCAACCCTCGTCAGATCACGTGTGTGCGGCGCAGTTTGAGGGAGGAGTCAACGACGGAGCGCCTTTAAATGAAAAAGACAGGATATATAAATGAGAGAGAGAGAGAGAAGGAGAGGTGTTTCAAAGTCAAGAGGAGGAGAGGAAGACGGAGGAAACTGAGGAGGAGAAAAAAACTTGAGAATCACAGGATGAAAATTTAAGAAAAAAGGAGGACGAGAGAAAAAGAGGAAAAAACTGTTCAGATGGAGAGAAAGAAAGAGAAGATCTGACTGAAGAGGAAGAGGAAGAAGAGACGGTTGGTTTTATTTTCTGCTGAATGTATCAGGTCAGTTTGATTTAATTAATACGAACAAAATCAGACTTTAAAATTTTCATTTTTCAGATTTTAATCATCTTAAAAAAAAGAAACAGAAAACTAGAAAATCCATCCGTCTGTGTTTCAGAAGTCAATGTTTTTATTGAAATTAAAATTATTTTTTTCAATATTTTCATATAAAAGACAGAAATGACCATCCCTGTATATCTACCAGCAATGATCAATATTTATTATTGATAAAGTGAAATCAGAGCTCTGTGCTTCATCAGGACTCTGATCTTTATTTCATATCATATTAGTGTGTTTTAATAAAAAAAATCATGAAGTGAATAAATAAAAAATCATTTTTGAAAGTTATGAACTGTATATTTAAAATGAAAGTAAAATAAAGAAGTCATATTTTTAAATTAATTCTTACAGAGCAAAAATAAAAAACATTTAAAAAAAAAAAAGTTAATAAATGAATTTTAAAATGTGAAATTAAATGATTTGATATTTTTCTACCAGAGTAAAGAAATAAATAAAAGATTTATTATAAAAACTGGATCAAATTTTCTGTTCTGAAGGTCCAGTTCTGTCGGTCCGGTCCGGTCCGGTCTGAACTGATGATCGTTCTTCTGACTGCAGGACTCAAAGATGAGGATGACTCTGGACTCTGAGGAGGTACTCTTTCTCTCTTTCTCTGGTTCCAGTTTTTACCTGTTCGTCAGACAGGAACTTTAAAACCTGTTTTTATTCATGTTTCCTGTCTGTCAGTCCATCAGGTGTACGGCGTCCACCTGCAGCTGCGTCTGTTTCAGACCTGGACGTGTCCAACTCAGGTCATGTGATCTCTGCGGACACAGCTGGGTGGCTCACGGTAAGATGAAAACACCACTCTCCATATCAGGAATCATTTCTCAAGATCGATTCAGAAATACCTAAAAAAAAACAAAAGGATCTCAAAAACAAAAGGATCTCAGTCTTGTCCACCTAAGATCCCAGTCCTGACAGAGTTTCAAACATTCAGATGTCCACCTTGACATAAATGTCCCAGAACATTTCCACTCGCCATCGCCTCATCAGGTTTCGTCTTCACTCTTGAGTCCAAATCTGAATTTTCTGTGTGTGTCAATAAAGTTTAACGTCGATGTTTCGCAGATTTAAGACCAGCTGTCCTTCAAACACTTTGTCCCCGTCGTACAGGTGTCCACCAAAAACAACAGCAGGTACTAAAACCCTCCACATCAGGACCAACTTCTGAGGAGGTTCAGGTTTTAGTCTGACAGCAACAAACACTCTGCAGATGTTCTCAGTCACTGCGGTGACATGAAGTCAGGTGTCGCTGTCATCCCATCACCATGAGCATCTGGAGAGAACATCTGCATTCACACACACACACACACACACACACACACACACACACACACATTGTCATCTGTGCTGTAAAGTTTGACATTTTTTGTGTTTCTACTGGCAGCGACTTTAGTCCAAATCAAACTGGGTTCAGGTCTCGGACGGGTCACTAACGGTCAGACAACTTTGTCTCGGGACAGTTCAAACTTTTCAAAACCAACCTCTATCAGACTTTTCTCAAAGTTCTGGTCCAAAGAAGTCCCCCTTGATCACTGGTCCGGCTTCAGAAGAAGACAGTAGGACAGGAACTTTTCACGGTTGTCCTTCTCTTCCAGCCATGGAGAAGCTCCAGTTCCAGCCTCTCTCCAGCTGTGGCCCAGTCGAGGTGGCTCTTCCTGGGCTGGTGTTCGACCTGAGCTCCCTGGTCTTGTATGGAGCTCAGGCCATTCCTGTTCGATTGAAGATCCTGCTGGACCGTCTCTACAGTATCCTGACCCCAGAGCAGGTTCTGGACCGACTCTAAAACTAGAGGAATCATGTTCGAGCTGAATAAAACTTTTTTAGTTTAATTGAATGTGTTCACCATGTTCCCTACAGGTTGGACACATCCTGCACACTCTGGGCTGGAGTCTGGGGGACTATGTTCGAGGGTACAAGCTCCAGGTAAGAACTTCTGCTGTGTGCTGTAGCGACTAAGTCTGTGGTGTCCTTATTCACTTATGAAGAATGGTCTTTCAGATGGTCTTGGTCTTTCAAATACTCAGCTCCAAGTTCATGAAACACAGTCCTCTGCTAACTCCTGGTCTCTCTGTATGTCCGTCCAGTACCCAAGTGGAAAGGTGTTAGACCGCTGGTTGATGGTGACCCCCGAAGAGGAGCTGCTCATCCTCAAACAGTTCCTTCGCTTCGGTGAGACTCGCCCAATCGTGGAATTGATGACGCTTCAGTGCCTAGCAGCTAATCCGGACCTGAACCTCCGGTTTAAAACCACGAAAGGGCAGTCAGGTTCAACGACTGATGTCTTCTGTTACAAGAAAAAAGGTCCTGCCGACCACAACAACGCCATCCACCATTTTGAAGACTCTCCAGGTGGACTCTCTTTGCTGTTGCCTTTCCACTTTCAAAACTCCACGTTCCACCTCCCCACAAAGGTACTCCAGGAAGGTTCCCCCTTAGTCCGAGATCCTCCCTCTGACACCACTTACTTTCTCTCCATGATCACTCTCCACCTTCACTTCTCTTTTTCAGGATCTTGTTCCTCCATGTAAGGTCTCATCCTTACCGAGGTCCAGCCATGCCAAATGGGTTGAAAGAAACCAGCAGGAGGGAGGAAGAGAGGGTTCACAGAACAGCCAGGAGGACTCAGCAGTGACGATCAAAGCAGACCCTGACCGGCCGAACCTGTCCCAGTCAGTCAGGCACCAAAAACCCTGGTTCCACCACGAGCAGGATCTTCATCTTCACAGAAACATCTCCTCACTCTCTCCTCCCTTTAACCCCTCACTCATCTCTGTTTCTCCCCCGCTCACCTCCTCTCCCCTGAACAATCCCCAGAGGCTGCAGCGATCCTCTTCCCACTCCCCTAGTCCTCTTCCATCCTTCACATCCTCCTTCTTCTCCGCTCTTCCCACCACCTCTTTTTCCTCCTCCCTCTGCCCTCTCCCATCTGCTCCTTCCTCACTTCATCCTCTCCCCTCCTCCCTCTGCACCCTCCCTTCTCTTTCACCTGCAGGAGGTCGAAAAGGGAGGGTCTGCTGTGGTGTTTGCGGGAAGAGCTTCTATGACAAAGGTAAGAACATTATAACATCCCTGATTTCATTTTCAGTCCGAGTCCGAGGTCCATGACAGACTTTTTAAACCTCAACTACTCAAGTAATTTCAGGCCTTGCTGGATCCAGCAGATTTGTGACTCTGAATCTAACTGATTATTTCTATAACGCACACTTTCATTTGTGCAGGTACTCTGAAGATCCACTACAACGCCGTCCACCTCAAGATCAAACACCGCTGCACCGTGGCGGGCTGCACCATGGTGTTTAGCTCTCTGCGAAGTCGGAACAGACACAGCGCCAACCCGAACCCACGACTACACACCGGGATCATCAGAGATGTCCACGCCAACAGAAACCCCAACGCTGGCCCGCACTCCGAGGTTCTGATCCACAAAAATGTTCGCAAAAACACACAGACACAACTCTACCGGGAAAAAGAGATTCAGAACGCACTCTGGCAACAGGACGAAGATGCACACACACTTTTACACATCCACACCCTAAAAAATGGGTTAAACCACCAAACACATCCCCAACAAGACTGCTGGGAAACCACACCACCTCAAGCTGACTCCCCTCCCTCAGTTCCTCAACCTCTGTCCAAGACTCTGAAACCAAATACCGACCAGAACTTCACCTGCAAATTTGACCTGCAAACCGAGGCTCCACCTCCACCCCCAGTCTTCCCAGTTCAGAGTACCTCCTCTCCAGACTCACCTCCTTCTCTCATCCATGTGGTTTCTCAAGCTCCAGAGAAACCAAACTGCTACTCAAGTCTTCAACCCAACCACAAGTTACTGTCCTCCCTTCCTGACACCACCTCTGTCTCCTTTTCAAGCTACACCAGTCAACCCTGTGAGGATGGCGGCCCAGAGCAAAAACAAGGCAAAGCTTGCACTGGTCCACTGACCAATCAGCAGCAGCGATGGGACACATGTGACCCTTTGCCAAAGAAGAAGTCGAGGAAGTCAAGTATGCCTGTGAAAATAGCGAGAGAGAAGATGGAAAACAAGGATCAGGAGGGTTACTGAAGATCCACGGTGGGTTGGTGGTCAGCAGAACATTATTTTAACTCTCAGTTTGTGAAGGAACTTTTCTTCTAACCCCCTTTATGTCTGTAGAAAACTTGTTAATATTCTTTCAACTTGATTTGAGATTTTTAGAAGGATGCTGATTGTCCTATCATCTTCTCATTGACTTCTCATCGCAATAAAACTCTGAGTATGTTAAAAAACAATCCAATCTTGTGAAGGTAAAAGCAGCTATCATTCAACTTTTACAACTTTAGTCTAAGAAAGTTGTTTTATAACTCTGAACGTCCAAAAAACCTCCTTAAATAACCCGCTAGTCTCCAAAAGTGGACGGATTTTATATCGTCCAGGTCCATTTTTTGTGACATGTATAATATAATATAGCATGCTGCTTTAGTGCAGGAGCTCCCCCTTGTGTTAAGTCTATGTTTATGCAATAAACTGCTTCAAAACCTCAACTTTAATTCATTCTGTGGATACTCTTATCTATGTGAAAATTGGCAAAGGGTTTGACATCTTTGAGCACTGGGCAATACTCTCTCATCTTAGTACTTATACATGTTTGGAAGGTAAGTTTTGAAAAGTGACACAAATATTAAATACCTTAATTTTACTGGCATTAAAAGGTTTTAAAATCTAGGTGGCAAAATACCAGCTCACCATCTTAAACAGACTAACATGGATTGTGTTATTGAGAAGTTTTGAGAGAAGAATTTGGTGAATTTCTATCATAAAATCATTCAGCACTATATCTCCATTTTCTCTCCCAATATTTAGGTTCGGTTTTAGGAGAACAAGCTGACCGCTAACACCCAAAACTGAGGCTGTGTCTCATTTCAGAGACCGCATCAGGCTAAGTGCACTTCTGCACCGTCGAACGGTGCATTTGAAGCGTGCATGACGTCACGACGGCGCGAACGGTGTCCCATTTGGTACGAGATGCTAAGAAATGCTAAGCGCGCTTAGCATTTTTTCAATGACCGTGAATTTACGAGAATAAAGTCATTAATTTATGAGAATAAAGTTTTAAAGTTTCCTGTTATTTCAGAGGAGACATGAAGCATTTGAAGGAACTGTGCTTCAGTATAGGTTTCACAAACAAGGAGATACTTCATCCTCTGGCACATCAGCATCACATTGTCATAAGTATAAAGACTTTAAAAAGAATATATGAGAAATACGTCTTTTCCACAGGGAAAAAAACTGGTGTACTTGAAGGAAATCGCTGCTTTTGTGGAGGCAGAAATGAATATGCTGAGGATATATCTGTCAATGCAGCCGTAAATATCCGTGAATGACATTGAGCTTTAGTTTATGATATGAATCCATATGCCATAATAAGGTGTTGGTGTCTCTGCAGGTGTAGGCTACGGCCGGTGTCAGAGACGTGGTGCTCGTCGGAGCTCGACTCCCTCTGGATCACAAATGTTGATCATCATCAGTTTGATTGTTTCTTCAGAAACCACAAAATCTCTCTGAATGACCCGCTGATACATCCACAGATAACCCTGCAGATGACCAGCTTCAGTCATTTCCCCCTCCACAAAAGCAGCTTTATGACTTTATTTACTTTATGACTTTATTCTCCTAAATTTACAACTTTAATCTCTAAATCTTAAAAGAAAAAAACCTCAATGTTGTCCTGATCCTCTGCTGTAGTTTTGTCAGCTTTCTTATTTCTAATGTTTTTGATAGTTGAAGCAGAGCGGATCAGTTCGTCTCTAAATCTATAATGTTTGGTTTACAGATTTTAGTGAGTTCAGAGATCATGCTCTCATACAGCCTGAGCTGACTGTCTGCTGGTTTTGGATTTCTTGTATTTTCTTTGAAGACGCGCTGCGTCTCCAAGCGAGTCCAGCCTCTCACCTGAAATGCGCGGCTGTGCAGCGGCACGCAAAGCATTCTGGGATACCGACGGCACGAAAGCGTCTATAAATGCACGCTTGAAAAAATGCTAAGCGCGCTTAGCATTTCTTAGCATCTCGTACCAAATGGGACACCGTTCGCGCCGTCGTGACGTCATGCACGCTTCAAATGCACCGTTCGACGGTGCAGAAGTGCACTTAGCCCGATGCGGTCTCTGAAATGAGTCACAGCCTCAGTTTTCAAGATGTGCACACACACAAGTTGAGGATACTCTCCCCTCCACTTGGTGGCAGTGTTGCTCCCTCTGTTGAGAGCATAGACTGTGAAGAAGATGATTGACAGCTATCCACCTTAAAAGTGGGGAGAAGTTTCTTTTGATTGGCCATGTCAATCAAAAGCCCAGCCTAAAAGTCCTGATTATCAGTTCTGGGTCCCTGGCAATGACTGTTGGGTACAAACTGCAAAGCTTTCTTCTGCAGGTAGGGCTTGGCTTTTCATTGACCATGTGGGTCGAATAGTTGTGTGGGAATAGTGTGTCGTCTCAGCCACTATGTTTTCTGCAGTTGTGAGTAGAAAGCACCTTGATAGCTCACTTGTTAGAGCAGAGGACTGCAGGACGTTCCTCATATGAAATGCTGTGATACTAAGGTCGCTGGTCCAATTCCAGCTCAAAGCACCTGCATTTCGTTGGTGTGAGCAATGTTCTGGGTCTAATCACATTGAAATAATGCCAAGCCTTGTCTTCATCTGTCAGCTCCTCCAAAATGTAAAAACACAAACAAGATAACTCCTGCTAAATTTTCCAACCATCAATTTTTTATTCACCCAGCCTAAAAGTCCTGATTATCATTTCTGGATCCTTGGCAATGACTGTTGGGTACAAACTGTGAAGCTCTGTTCTGAAGGTGGGACTGGGCTTTTGATTGGCCATGTCAATCAAAAGCCCAGTGTGGGGCTGTGTCCACATGGCTCGGAGGATAAGGAGACTTCCTGGCACTCTTAAGGTCGTGGGTTCAAGCCTCACCTTACCCAAGTTGAGGTGAATTTTAAAGCCTTGTGTCTTCAAACGACAGTGAAATAGGAAAAAACTAGAAGACTCCTCTGTGTCCACATGGCTCAGTGGATAAGGAGACTGACTGGCAGTCCTAAGGTCGTGGGTTCAAATCTTGTTCAGGTTGTATTTTAAAGTCCAGCAGCCAAAGTTCCAAGATAAAAGGGCACGAACATCATCCCCGAATGTGGACGGTATCCGGTGGCGCAGTGGGTATGCAACTGACACCCAAATGCTGGTCAGCTGGGCAGCCCTGGTTCGATACCCACTCGGCACAAGTGAGATCCTGAAAAAGAATCCCCCCGGTGTTTCCAGAGAGATAAAATAGGGGGCTATGCTACAGGAAGTCAGAGCAGGCTGAACTTTAGAGTAAGGATGGGGAGAAGGGTTGATGGGGGGATGATAGGGGGGGCGGGTTAGGGTTAGGGGTTAGGGTTAGGTTTTGGGATAGGTTTGGGGAAATAATCCCGTCTCCCCTAAATTGCCCTACTTGGGTCGGCAGGGAGCGGGGAATGCACGGGCCTACGCCCCGTCGGACACGCTCCCCGGGTCCTGAAAGGCTGGCGGCTACTTCCGCCAGCTGTATGCCATATTTGGATTAATGTGTATAAATTTGTAATTAAATTCATGTAGTCCTATTTGACTTACTCACACATACACAATTCATACATGATCTATGTTTGATCTATGTATCTATACAATGTGCCTGCTGCGTCGACGTTTCGACCTAGTTTGGTCTTCTTCAGGACTGGGCACATGTAACAGCTAAGGCTGCTGGGCCCCAATTCATAGGGGTGAACCAGCCAGCAGCCAGAAAGAAATGAAAGCCCTACCAACTTTTCTCCCTTTTATATCCCCTCAGCCAATAATTAGAATGAATTTACTTATATTTAAGTTATTTTCTGCTGTATTTAGTTTTTGAAATCTTAACCCTTTATGCACCTGTTTGTGCTTTTAATCCATATTAATTATGTTTATTCACATATTTGTGCTTTAATAAACAAATTAATAGGTACATTTTAATCCCATGATTCGGGTTAGGGTCCTGCTTGACCTTTGACCTCTATGGCCTGCTTGGCCGTTGGTCATTAAGTTGCCTCTAATGGTTAGGGTTAGGGCGAGTCCCAGGTTAGGGTTAGAATCCCATACTAGGGTTAGGGTTAGGGTTAGATTCCCAGGTTAGGGTTAGTGCTGGGGTCAGGGTTAGGGTCAGCGCTATGGTTAGGGTTAGGGTCAGCGCCATGGTTAGGGTTAGGGCTAGGGTTAGGGTTAGGGTTAGGGTTAGGGTTAGGGGTTAGGGTTAGGTTTATGGATATAGAGGGACTGTCTCCTAGAATAGGAGACAGGAGGTGCACGGTCCATCCCCCTGTTCCCCGTCCCCCACGACCCCGTTTGGTACTGCTGATTAGTGCGATACGGGCGTTGACCACGCCTTCTCCCGTATCGCACTTCAGTCCATTGTTCTTGGTCGTAAGTCATGATTGTTGTTTTAACCTTTTTAATTATTTATTGTTATTTATTAATGTGGTGTATCTATGAAACTATTTATTTATTTATTGGTCTGTCTATTGACCTTTTTATTCCAATCAAGGTATTTAAAACAAAAACTGTATCAAATGAATTGTTCTTTATTTTTTTATGCTTTTTTTGTGTTTTGTGAAATAAAAATGAAATAAAAGTGAGAAAACTAAATAAAATGTGTATGAAAATGAAGAATCGAAGATAAAGGGGTGAAAAGAGTGCCCAGTCGCGACGTTTCGACCCGCTTGGGTCTTCTTCAGGCTATGGGCACAGAAAGGGATATGTCTGGACTTGTCTGAGTGTGTGTATGAGATGTTTTCTCTTCCGGAGACATATGTGAAGTGGGAGAAGTGGGCTGTGTGTGCGTGTGTTATTTATAGGGGCGTGGGAGAGAGCAGAGCCAGACGGGGCCCCCGGCCGTCTGGGTGCAGTTAACCCCATAAATTCCAACTGAAATTAGATGACATGAATGTTAATGGCCAATTGGATTTTTTTACCCTCTTTTAACAGATTAATTTTTAATGAATCATAATTGTAATGCCCAATTAGAATTTTTTATAATCTTTTTAACTTATTTAATTTAATGAATTGTAATTGTAATGCCCAATTTTAACGTTTGCCCATTAGAATTGTAATGAAATTGATTTTTTAAAGACAGATGTAATTATGTTAGCCCCTAATTCCCTTTTTAAATTTTAGATGAGATATATATTTGTAATATTTATGGTTTTAATGTGTAATAATCAATAATGGATTAAAAAGAATTAATTAAAATAAATTATTAGTTTTTAAAGGTTAGGGTTAGGGGTCAGGGCTAGGGCTAGAGAGGTTAGGGTCAGGGCCAGGGTTAGGGTTAGATTTGATCCCCGAGGGTTAGGGTTAGGGTTAGGGATAGGGCCAGGGTTAGATTTGATCCCCGAGGGTTAGGGTTAGGGTTAGTATTCTGGTTAGGCGTTAGTTTTAGGGCTAGGGGTTAGTGATTAGGGGTTGGTGGTTAGTAATTAGGGGTTGGTGGTTAGTGATTAGGGGTCAGGGTTAGGGTTAGGGGTTAGGGTTAGGGTTAGGGTTAGGGTTAGGGGTTAGGTTTGGGGAATGAATCCCGTCTCCCATAGGGAGCGGGGAATGCACGGGCCTTCCCTCGACCGAACACGTTCCCCCGGTCCCGGAATGGCTGGCGGAAGCGCTGGCCTTTACGGCCAAAGCGGACCTCCGTCCAGCCGTCAAAGCCACTCCTGCGTGGAGTGGCCATATTACTTTGCTTTTTATATTGTTTTTTTAAGATTTTTTTATATTTAAATTAAAATTGTGATTTTAATATGCTTTAACTGATATTGTGATTTGTATCCCACAGCAATGAAATAAAAGCTTTCTTAAAACAAAATTGTGATTTTCTTGTGGTGTTTTATTGTTCCTTGAATGAGATTATGATTGTGATTATCCCGAGATGCTGTCTTTAATAAACAAATATAATAACTGTTTTTAAACCCTTTCTTAAAATAAAATGTTGATTTCGTTCTTATTTGAACTTCTTAATAAACTAAAACTGTGATTAAATACCCTCAAAGATAATATATTTCAAAGATGAACTGTTTTTAACTATTTTTACATTTTTTTGTATTTTTTTGTATTTTTTTATATTTTTTTGTATTTTTTTATGTTTTTATTTGTTTTAAACAATGATAACTGTTCTTAGCATTCCTATTGTGTGCCTATGATGCTACGTTTCGACCTGTGTTGGTCTTCCTCAGGCCAAGGCACACATAAAATAAAGCAAACAGTGGTTTAAATGCAGTAGGTCTTTACTTGGTGGCTGTCAGAGTGAAAATGAATTTTCCTCCTCTGCTCTGCCTTTTATACTCTCCCAGAGAAAAATACCATGAATTTCCTTATTTTTTAACTAAATTATAAACCCTTTTTCTATTTACTCTTTTAACCCTTTAGCACCCTTGTAGAGAATTTACCATGTAATATATGCTCTTATTTTTTATTTATTTATTTATTTATTTATTAACCCCCTAAGGTTAGGGTTAGGGTTAGACCTATGGTTAGGGTTAGGGTTAGACCTATGGTTAGGGTTAAGGTTAGACCTATGGTTAGGGTTAGGGTTAGGGTTAGGGTTAGGGCTAGGGTTAGGGTTAGGGTTAGGGTTAGAGCCCAGGTTAGGGTTAGGGTTAGGGTTAGGGTTAGGGTTAGGGCCCAGGCTAGGGTTAGGGTTAGGGCTAGGGTTAGGGTTAGGGTTAGAGCCTGGGTCCAGGCTAGAACTAATCCTACATCCCTGCTACAAACGGTGGTGGCTCTAAATTAGTGGAGAAATCCAATGAGTCCAGGAAGACATCTCCTTCATCATACCCTGAGTCTGGTTCATTTGGATCTGGACTCTTGACCTTGTGTGTCTCCTGGACTCTGACCCCTGTTTGGCCTAATGTTTGATCTTTGTCCCGTGTAATGTGTCGTTGTTCCCTCTGTTTTTTAGGA